CTTTCTTTTTTTTCTGTTCGATTCTCACAAAACCCCTTTTTACATTTTTTTACTCTTTTTTCTCTTCGCTACTACATACCTCACACTCTTCTTCATTCCCGCACTAATCACTCCCTTCATCGCTTGCACAATCGAACTCTTCAAATTCTCCCTCCCAATCGTCCTCCTCATCTCTCTCCCCAATTCCTTATCCATCGCTATCTCCTTGATAGACGACTCAGGAAACCTTCTATACAACCGCTTCCGAAACTCTAATGGCAAACTCATCACCAACTGTATTCGCGAACTCGCCTTCAAATTATCAATATACGTCCCTTCCCCCTTTACCAAATACTTCCGCTCTAAAAAATACTCTATTATCGGCTTATACTTCTCTCGAAACTGCTCCATCTGCTTACTCACTATATTCTTCACCTTATTCAAATCCTCCCCTCCTATATACATCCGAAAATCCCCATAATACGATAACTCGCTAATCTGCTCATACAACTCCCTCTCGCTAAACTCCCTCTTCTCCTTCATCATAAGCACCGCTACACTCATCGCACTCTTCATATTATACTGGTTCAAATACTCAACTCTCTGGTCTTCTTCCTTCACATACTCTACTGGCTTATGCATCCTCCCCGCAAAATACATACTCCTCCATTCACTCATCTCCTCCATAGCTCGTCTCTTACTAATCACTCCGTACTTGACTAACTGCTTATCAATTACTACGTACGGGTTGAAATACATCCCCTTCCCTTGTAGGAAATTCACTACCCATTCACTCTTTATCGTGTAATGGGCCCCATTCCGCTTCATATTCTCCTTATGAAACTCCCTCGTATCCTCAACAACAATCATAAAGTCCTTTTGCTTTTCTCCTTTGCTATCCCCTCCTTGCGCAATCACCCCTGATCCATACCCAATACCAACGTCTATCTCTCCTCCAATCTTCTTCATTATCCCTTCATACTCACTCCCTTTTTGACTCACTACAAATCCTTTCGGCACAACTACCTTATCCAACCCTCGGGCTCCCTCATTGATAATGGCTCGGTACTGCTCATCACTGTATCGTAATGTTCCATACCTACGTATCAACCTTAGCATCGGTACTGAACATAAATTGAAAATTGAAAATAAAAATAAAAAAATAAAAAAAAAAATTAAAAACACCTCGCTTGTATAACGATCCCAATAAAGATATACCTGAGAAAAGGTCCCCTCATCCGCACTCTACATCTACTACAGATATTGCTAATCACAGTGCTAACCGCAGTGCTTCTCCCCAGTTCTATTACTTTTTTGTCCATTTTTTTCAATTCCTCTACAAATTGCTAAATCTCTCCTACTTTATGCGTAAAAATTGACACTCTTTGACTTTCTTGCTTGCACCTCTCCAATAGCCTCTACAAAATCTTCATGCTTAATTATACTCTTCCCATTCCTCAAAGCAATCATACCAGCCTCTACAGTAACGGCTTTCAATTGTGCTCCGTTAAACTCATCAGTAGACCTGGCCAATTCTCTCCAATTTATCGAGTTGTTGTCACAATGCAACTTTCTGGCATGAATCTTCAACACAGACTCCCTGGCCTCTTCAGATGGTAAGGGAAACTCGATTTTCCTATCCAATCTACCGGATCTCAATAATGCCGGATCCAATGTATCAACCCTATTTGTAGCTGCCAACACCTTTACCCTATCGTCCGATCCAAACCCATCCAATTGATTCAACAACTCCAACATGGTTCTCTGCACTTCCCTATCACCACTTTTATCCGAATCAAACCTCTTGGTACCAATGGCATCCAATTCGTCTATAAAAATAATCGTTGGCGCCTTCTCCTTGGCCAATGCAAACGCATCCCGCACTAATTTGGCTCCGTCTCCAATAAACATCTGCACCAATTGAGGTGCGGCTAGCTTTAAGAAGGTGGCCCCCGATTGTGCGGCACATGCTCTTGCTAAAAGTGTCTTACCTGTACCTGGAGGCCCATACATTAACGCACCTTTTGGTGGCTTGATCCCTAATTTTTTAAACTTTTCCGCTTGCTTCATGGGCAACACCACAGCTTCAATCAACTCCTCAATTTGATTATCCAATCCTCCTATATTGGAATACGTCTCCGTGAGCTTTTCATCTAACTCCATGGCTTTCACCCTCGAATCATACTCAGAAGGTAACGTATCTAATATCAAATAAGAGTCTTTGTTAACCCCAATCAAATCATTGGGCTTTAACTTCTCAGAATCAACCAATCCAATCATTGGTAAAAATATCGTTTGCCGAGTCGATGTTTTTATCACTGCTGATTTCCCTGACCTCGCTGCGTCAATATCAACATTTGCTCCTTGCTCACTAGCTTCTTTTTCCACGTCCAAGTTTAATAATTCAACAACATTTCCAACTAAATATGGCAATTGCTTATTGTTATTAATCTTATCCTGGTTATCTTTGATCCTCTCCAACATCATAGTTTTCTCATGTGTTAGCCTTTGTGATTCCAGTCTCATAACTTTAATGTCATTGTCTAAAAGCTTCGTGCGATTGATGATATCAGACGTGGATGATTGTAGAATCTCCAAATCAATACTATCCTCGCCTTCTTGATTAATCTCTAGTTCTTCTAACGTAACCATTGTTGAAAAGTAGGAGGTGCTGAATAAAATTCCTACTGTTGCCGCCACTAAAAAAATTAATCCTGTGTGGGAAAAATAAAAAAGAAAAAGAACCAACGGCTTTCATCTCCCAATCTTCATTTTTGTTATTCCACACGACTCGAATGTTTTCCCCAATTATATCCCCATTACAACAAAAATGTGCATAACCCACAAAGGTCATCTGGATGTATCAGACAACGAGTTTAACAATCTCAAAGAGAAAGTTATAAATGGTAAGTTGGAGTTGTTGATATGTATCTGCTTATCAAAATACTAACGTGACTTCTTAAGCAAAATCTTTGGCATATTGTCCATACTCAAAATTTAGGTATGTTCGGCCCACTCATCCTCTATCTTATTTCCCCAAAAATATACTGACTTTTTCAAGAGTATCTTGTACGGTGTTAACAGAAACCGGTGAATATATATCTGGAGCTAATGTTGAAAACGCTTCATATAGCGCAGGAATATGTGCCGAGCGTGTTGCAATAACCAAGGCTGTGGTATGTAAAACTTGTGTGAACAATGTCATCTAGTGTGATTTTATTAACCATCGAATAGAGTGAAGGACATCAAAAATTCAAGGCAATTGCAATATCTGCAGATACTGAAAAACCAATAGTTCCTTGTGGTATATGTCGACAATTTATCCGGGAATTCTGCAAGAACGTTGTTATATTTCTCTTTAATAAGGATGGCGCCTTTGTCAAGGTTTATCTTGAAGATATATTGCCCCTTAGCTTTGGCCCGGAGTTTTTAGTATAAAATAAGAGTGGTTAAATATGGACCTTTATTTATATGAATGATTGATTGTGTATCCTGATTGGGACTTTTTGTAGCCATCACGTGACCATTTGAGCCTCACGATGGGCATCGCTTGGAATTCAAAAATATTGCACTCAACCTCCCACAATAAAGTCGATGGTTCTTTAAAGACTTTGAAATGATTAGTTGTCACTTTGGGCATCATGGACCGTCAAGCTTAGGGCGGTAGATTATCTGTGTGTTGTAAAATTTGGAAAAATGTTGGTAAATTGATATATTTATGATCATCACTACATGAAAAAGAATCCCCCCCTCCATGACGAAGCCTGCTCACCAACTCGACTACATCTTATACCAACATAAAAGCCTCTAATACTACTCCTTACTCTTCATACTCTCTAAACCCTTGAACTTTCCTTCCTATTCATCTCGCAACTATCAAAAATATGCATCCATACACCAATATAAAATTCTTACATCCACTTCTTAACTTTCTTCCCCCCCCCCCATCGATTAAAGAAAATTTTCTCATCCCACTCAAATTCTTTTTCCAACAAAGTAACAGCTTCAAACAAGCTTTCATCTTGATACTAAATACAATACACTCATAACAAATGGCATTTGGAGCTCCGAGAGGCAGAGGCGGCTCACGCGGTGGTAGCATGGGTGGAAGAGGAGGTGGTAGAGGAGGAGGTAGAGGAGGACGTGGTGGTAGCATGGGTGGAAGAGGTGGTGCCAGAGGTGGTGCTAGAGGTGGTGGTGCCAGAGGTGGTGGTGCCAGAGGAGGCAGAGGTGGTGCCAGAGGAGGAAGAGGAGGAGCTAGAGGTGGCGCAAGAGGAGGTGCTAAAGTTGTCATTGAACCACACAGACATCCAGGTGTTTTCATTGCCAGAGGTAAAGAAGATTTGTTAGTCACAAAGAATATAGCACCAGGTGAATCAGTATACGGAGAAAAGAGAATAACCGTGGAAGAGCCAAGCAAAGAAGAAGGACAGCCAGCAACAAAGGTAGAGTACCGTGTGTGGAACCCTTTTAGATCCAAATTAGCTGCTGGTATTATGGGAGGTATCGATGAACTTGGAATCGCTCCGAAATCAAAAGTCTTATACTTGGGTGCCGCTTCAGGTACATCTGTATCACACGTTGCCGATGTTGTGGGGCCAGAAGGTTTGGTTTATGCTGTTGAATTTTCACATAGACCAGGAAGAGAGTTGATTGGTATGGCAAAAAAGAGACCTAATGTTATTCCAATTATCGATGACGCTAGACACCCACAAAAATACAGAATGTTGGTTGGAATGGTTGATTGTGTATTTGCCGATGTTGCTCAGCCAGATCAAGCACGTATTATTGCATTGAACTCGCACTTGTTTTTGAAAGATGGCGGCGTTGTTGTCATTTCGATCAAGGCCAACTGTATTGATTCTACTGTTGATGCCGAAACTGTTTTTGCTAGAGAAGTGCAGAAATTGAGGGAAGAAAGAATAAAGCCATTGGAACAATTGACATTGGAGCCTTATGAAAGAGATCATTGTATTGTTGTTGGGCGTTATATGAGAAGTGGAATCAAAAAGTAAATAAAAAAAAAAAAAGTCATGGAATAAAATGTAATATTGGTTAGAACTTTCGTTTTTTTTTTTTTTTTGTATTTGTATTTTTTTTGTATTCTTTTTATGTTCTTTTTCTTAATCGATCCTGGCCTCAGATAATGTCAACGGTTTGATGTTGTTTGAGAACAACGAGGATCCACTCTTGAATCTATTAATCTTCTTCAATTTCTCACGTACCACCATCACTGGCACTACAGATTTTGTAACGAGATAATTAGATAGAGATCCAAGTAACACACCCTTGATGGCACTCTGTCCCTTGGAGCCTACTACAACCAATGTAGGTTGTAAGTTATCAATGAACTCCAAAATTAAGTGCCTTGGAATTGGGTGGTGTGCGATCTCAATCACCACGTGGATCTGTAACTTTGTCAATTTTAGTAAATTGAGCACCTGTTGCTTTGCTTTGTTCAATAAACTAAGCCTTTGTTGCTCTCTTGCATTTTCATTCTGCGCATTCCCCTTAATGTGATGGTTCTTGTCGTTATCCTCAATCACACAAATTATAAATAATACAGATCCATCAACAAGAACTGTCCCTAATGCCCATTCCAAAGCGAATATCGATTCCGGTGAAAAATCCATGCAAGTAAGAAACATTTTTGGCTTGAGCTTGGGGTCTACCAAGTTGAAAAAATTACCCCTCGTAATGGTTTGTATCACCCTTGAATGCGCTCTATTTGAATCCACCTCTCCCTCTTTTATAGTTTCATTCAACCGTGAAGCAAACTCGCTATCCAATTTATCTTCAACTGCAGAAGTATAGGGTACCATAAAGTCCTCATCGCCCTCTCTAGTTGGAGATGCCGTGTTCGGTGGTGATGTGATGCCATTTTCTTGGTCAATAATCTTCCTCCTATAAGCTTGGTAGTTTTCCAACTTTTGTCGTCTTGAAAAGGTATCCTGATCGGCCTTCTTCAAGTTCAATGTATCCAGTCCAGTTAGTTTATGCTTATCGGTAGCCAACTTATCCAACACATCTTGGTCAATCTTTGTGCCTGCATTTCTTGCTGCTGCTAAAGCTCTTTCATTAGCTGTCAACTCTTCCAATCTCCTCACCGTTGAATTGTCATCCAAATTGGAATGTTCCAATATCGAGCTAACCTCGTCTATCTTTTCATCCTGACAAGCATAGTTGGGTAAAATATTTCCTGTATCATCATATTGGAACTTCTCGTTCGAATCATCATTGTCACTGATGTGTTCTTCTTCACTCACTTCATTCTCCCAAGAATAATCCTCTTCTTTGCTATCTGGTTTCTTGATCCTTTCCAGTGGGTCGTGATTAATTATAGACCATTTTAAATCTTTATTGAAATCTTCTGTTGATATAGACGGCGAGCGCAAACTTCCCCCTCCCCCTCCGTTTGCTGTGCCCGGAGATAGCGACCTACCACGAGAAATTGATTTTTGTATCATTGCTAATCTTTCTGCTTCTAATCTCGATTGACGGCTCGCCATTGTGTGTAATGAAAAGAACCCCCTGTCAAATATATACCTCTTTGTTATCACGAATTTACTTTTCTAGAGTTTTTGATCATTTTTGTATAACCTTCTTTTTCTGACTATAAAACACTACCCTATATATATATATGTGTATCCTTTTTTTTTTTTTTTTTTTTTACTTATATTCTACCAAAAAATTTGCTCCTTTAAAGAAATCTGACGCTTCTCCAATAGTCAAACCAGCATCTTTTTCAATCAACTTCCTTGGATAAGGTTGTAGGATCTCAAAATTGAAATCACATTGCATATAGTAATCATGAACATTGGCAAATCTCTCTTTCATCTCTTTGGGAATATTATCCTCTTTTTTCTCCTCCTCCTCCTCCTCCTCCTCCTCCTCCTCTGGCAACGTATCCCCTACTTTCAACTCCTCTACAAACATTTTTAGTTCAATAAAAATGTAAAAGTCTAAAGTGGTTATTGATTTCTTGAACAGTTCAACTAGACGTCTTCCATCGGGTAACTTAATAGCCACCCGTAATTTGTTCTCTTCTTCTTCGTTACCCACTTTCTGTAAAAACCCTGACTTGAACAAGTCAAGTAGTAACCAACGTCTAATACTCTTCAAATTCTCGGCCTCTTGCTGAGCTTTCAACTCGTTTTCCCGTTGCCGTTTCTTTAATTGGTCTTGAACCAATGATTGCAGGTAGGCGTCATCCTGCTGTTGTCTAATCATCCTGCTCAAATCCATTTCCTGTTTATCAAATCTCGCAGAAACCAATTGTGGATTGAATTTGTCACACAACTTGCTCAAATGTTTTGTCATTTTGGAAACCGTTGTATTTAACTCCTCCTCTTCTTTGATAAATTGTTTCGATATATTCAACTTGTAAACTATAGACATTGATGGCATTATATCGTGACTCGGCGATACCTGCGCTATCAACATCACATAGGGGAGTTTCCGAACTTTATAAGTTTTGGCAATTTCAAACGCTTCCGGAGAATGAACAGGATTACCAATGAATAGTTTGGTCTCCTTGTAAACACCGTGGTCCTTATTGAAAAGTCTGTTAAAAGCGCCATCACCTAACAAACACTGTACAAACTGTTCACACTCTTGTGAATCATTCACCAACATCACCAACAACCAGTCATACTCCGCTTGACACACCGAGTGTACTTCATTGAATCCTGATTCGTGCAATGCATATTTCTCCCACTCATTGTTATTCCTTATGTAGCTGTAGTCTGGATCAAAGTTTTCATAATTAAACTGGGCACTCGATCTAAAAATGCTGTTGCTGTTGTTGTTGTTGATATCGTATCCACCAAATCCAAAGAAAAACTTTATAGATGTAATGAGCATCAGAAGCACGTTTTTGGGTATTAGCAATAAGATGAAACACAAAGTGCTCAATATACTCGAGTTTCGAACTTCCCTTATTTCCTTCCCCTTCCCCTTTTCCTTCTCCTTTTCCTTCTCCTTCTCCGCCAACATGCTTTTCTCTCTGTCACGTATAAAAGAGCTATGAATCCCCACATCCAATTGCCAGCGTGTGGATATCTGTGGTGCCTTGGGCAATCGTGGTATAAGCGAAGTCATCATCATTTGATTTTGCAAATTAACCATCTCGCGCGTAGAAGATCTCGAAACAGATCTATGTGTCAATTGTTCGATGGAGTCATTTTCAACCTCCCTGTAATCTACCGCCGTGCTTGTGGCATGAGATGATAATGATGGTGGTGATGGTGGTGACGATGATGATGATGCCGCCGAGGACGATGCTGCTTCAACACTGCTGAAGCCAGTGTCGAAATATGTTGAAACTGCATTATTCAAGTTATAATCATGTATAGTCAATAAACGACGCACTTTATCCTTTGCCTCATCATCCGAATTGGCAATCCCAGTTACATTCACAAACTGGTCAAAAATATCCTGATCCTGATGATCCAAGTCCGTCATTTGGAGAGAGAGAGAGAGAGGGGGGTGGGGGAGAGACACGGATTTGATTATATGCTCGTTGGTGACAATAAAGATTTAACGTTCTCTTTCAATACCTGGTCGTGTCAATACAACAGAAAATGATCATCATCTTGGTTAGGCGAAAAAATAGAAAAAGAACAACTATCGCTAAGATGGTGATGATGACAAATTGAACAATGTTAGAGAGATGAAAAGAGGTTGAGAGATAAGATCAGAGATAGATGGGAAGATGAAATAATAAAAAAGATAATTGGACATGAAAGGTAGCATTGTTTTGGTGCTAAATAAAAATACCCCGTGTAAACCCATTAAAGGTGCATAATGCATAGCATGATATAGCCTGTCTTTTGTTTCCTTCTTGCTTACCACCTTTGCCGCCTACAAACCTACCACCTACCATCTACCACCTTGCCACCTGCCATTTAGCATGTGTAACTTGTTAAGTCAATACAACTCTTTGCATCACTATGAGAAGAAAAAAAAAAAAATAAGAAAAACGTGCCCTTCTGATTCCTCGGTCAAATTAGATAAGTTACTTGGTTTTTTTTTTTTCATACTCTTTACAAATCCAGTGTTAGAAGCCATCTTTTCCGCGTGCGTGTGTATAATCCCCCTGTCTGATAATTTCCTTTGGTCCGCTTTAGTAAAACTAGTTTTACAGGGTCTAGTTCTACCGGTTGTTCGCGTTCTCTTACATAATGTGGTAAAGATTTACACATTTACCTTTTAAACGGTTTTTTTTTTTTTTTTTTTTTTTTTGCCATGTCTCATATGTTCAATTTTCAACCTTCCATGCGTAGCATTGTATTCTTGCCCAGGATCAGAGAGCAAAAAAAAAATCCTCGGGTTTTATAAAGTCTTTTTAAACCTATTACGTTTATTAGGGGATATTGAGTCGGTGTAGTCAGTGCTGCTCCACCATCTTGCTTCGCTCGATAGAGTCGCTAAGCCTTAAAGACAATCAGTTCTTGTTTGCGCATTAGTCAATTAAAAGAAACATCATACTTATAATCTTCATCTGGCAAAGCTTGCTTTTTTTTTTTTTTCTTTCATTATTATTATCACGACGGGGTGTGAGTGAGTGAGTGTTATGGTAACACCCCAATAATTGCACGGACTTCAGTGATGAAACAGTGAGAATGAATACACTACCTCAAAGAAACTAAATCTGTTTGTGGTATAAAAAAAAAATGCTTACATACTTACAAGACAATTTCCAAATCACTGAGATTTAGTTTACTAGTAGATTTTGAATATTATTATTTTTTTTTTTCTTTCTTTTCTTTGCAATATTGAATATGACATTTTTTTTCTTTTTTCTTTTTTATTGACATCCTTCTTTTTAGTGTCATATAAAATTGTGAGATGTCCCACCGCATTAAAGAGCGATTTACTTTTTTTACTCATCTTTACAGCTTTACCTTTAAATTACAACCTGTTATACATATTCCATCAAACTAGTGAGGGGCAACATTAAAAGATAGAGAGACAAAGAGAAAGAAGAGCAATTGTTCAACAAAGTATTTGGTTAATCTTTTTTATTTAACACATTTATTTATTTATTTTTTTTTTTCTTTTCTTTTTTTTTTTCTTTCTTTTCAAGTTTTTCAAGTTTTTCAAACTATTGATTTTATTTGTTTTTTCTTCTTAATACGTTTGGGACCAAGAACAAAAAAAAAAAATGTCAAGATTGCTTAGATCTACTTTGGCCAAATCATGTTTGGCTGCAGGTGCAGTTGTTGGTGGTACGATCATATATCTAGATTTCATAAAACCTAAAAGAAAATCATTAATTGTTGATTCTTACAAGCCATTGAGAAAAGATTATCCATCGCCGCCAACTAGAAAAGAGTTGGTCGATCAGCTAGGTGGAACCAAGAAATTTGACGTATTAATTATCGGAGGTGGTGCGGTTGGTACGGGATGTGCAGTTGATGCGGCTACACGCGGGTTGAATGTTTGTCTTTTGGAAAAGACTGATTTTGCTTCAGGTACTTCTTCAAAGTCCACTAAAATGGCACACGGTGGTGTTCGTTATTTGGAAAAAGCCATTTTCCAGTTAAGTAAAGCTCAGTTGGACTTGGTTATAGAGGCCCTCAATGAAAGAGGCAATATGTTGAGAACTGCTCCCCATCTATGTACCGTTTTACCCATTATGATTCCAGTTTACAACTATTGGCAAGTTCCATATTTTTTCGCTGGTTGTAAAATGTACGATTGGTTTGCTGGTAGACAAAATTTGAGAAGTTCTACAATCTTGAGCAGAGAGCAAGCCGAGGCTTTGGCACCTATGATGGATATCACCAACTTGAAGGCTGCGTGTGTTTATCATGATGGTTCCTTTAACGATGCTAGAATGAATTCAACTTTGGCTATAACTGCAATTGAAAATGGGGCTACAGTGCTCAATTATTTTAATGTTGACCAATTGTTGAAAAATGATAAAGGCGAATTGTATGGTGTTAGGGCTACGGATTTGGAAACCAAGAAAACTTATGAAATTAAAGCTACATCGGTTATTAATGCTACAGGACCTTTTGCTGATAAGATTTTGGAAATGGACGAGGACCCACAGGGATTACCACCAAAGCAAGAACAAAAGCCAAAAATGGTTGTCCCTTCTAGTGGTGTGCATATAGTTTTACCTGAGTACTATTGTCCCACAACAATGGGTCTTTTGGATCCAGCTACCGCCGACGGAAGAGTCATGTTCTTTTTGCCATGGCAAGGAAAAGTTTTGGCTGGTACAACCGATACTCCAGAAAAGTTTGTTCCTGAAAATCCAATCCCTACAGAGGAGGATATTCAGGATATTATTAGGGAAATGCAAAAATACTTGGTTTTCCCAATTGACAGAAACGATGTTTTATCAGCATGGTCTGGTATTAGACCATTAGTAAGAGATCCTTCGACGGTTGCAAAAGACGGAGATTCTGGATCTGGCTCCACTGAAGGGTTAGTTAGATCCCATTTATTAGTGCAATCTCCATCTGGATTGGTGACAATATCGGGAGGAAAATGGACCACATATAGAGAAATGGCACAAGAAACAATTGATTATGTTGTTAAAAATTTTGATTTCAATGGTAAGAACATCAAGCCTTGTCAAACCAATGAGTTGGTTCTCATTGGTGGTGACGATTATTCAAAAAACTATTCCGCTAGATTAATCCACGAGTATAAAATCCCATTGAAATTAGCCAAGCATTTATCCCATAACTATGGCTCTAGATCAGCGATGATTTTGGAGTTGTACTCCTCCAGCGATTACAATAAACTTCCAGTAACTTTAGCTGCATCGCAAGAGTTTATTCCCAAACACTTGGAAGTTTCACCAGAGAACCAACTAAGCTACCAATCCTTTGATGAACCATTCACTGTAGCTGAGTTACTTTACTCACTCAAATACGAGTATACAAGAACACCTATTGATTTCTTAGCAAGACGAACAAGATTAGCGTTTTTAAACGCAAGAGAAGCAATGAGTGCTATCGATGGCGTGGTTGAAATAATGAGTAATGAGTTGAACTGGGATAAGGAAACTAAGGAGAAAATGAGAAGAGACGCCGTCAAGTACATTGGAAACATGGGTATCTCGCCAAAGAAGTTTGACGTTGAGCAATTTACTATTAAATAGGGTTTAAGAATATATATATATATAATGTTTTGTATTATTTATTCAAATAGAGAAGGTATATAGAAGAACTGAATGGTTTTTATATCAAAAATGCACGCGTAACCTGGAAAATTGGCAAGGCACGAGGGGAAAAAATAGTTTTATTTTGTTAAACCTTTGATCAACTATTTTTCCTCCTTTATTAGTGTGTGTGTGTAGATTGTTAGGACAATGCAAAATGCAGAGAATCCCTATCAAGCTCAAGATACCAATAAACTAAAACCAAGATCAGTCACTCGGCTAGCACTGTCCATTACTGCGGGCTTAACTACATCGAGCTTAACCACTGCATTGCCGTTTCTCGTAGCGTATCCAATTATTTTCCTATCTCATGACCTTATAACAAGCGGACAAAAAAATACGAATCCGACTAATTGGCTACTGGATATTGCTTCAACGGGGCTAAGCACATCGCTTTCGTTGTTTGTCATACATATAGCACTGATCTTCAAAGTTATACCGAGACTACTGCTTAATGGAAAAGAAGGGCCTGGAAAAAGTGTTTTGAAAATATGGTTTGGTATATTCTGTTTGTACGGTTCGACAAAGCTTCTAGATTTTCAAATCGACTTGATTTGTCTTGGGCTCTTGATGAATGTGAGGAATTTGTATACACCCGGTATATTGGTTATGAATTTAATGGCATCCACATCATATGTCAGAATTATACTAGGATTCATTTCCATCATTACTTCCCTATACCTTCTCACTAGAGCAAACTACAATCTAGAACAAAATAGACGCTCAATAATGGTGAATGGTTTCGCTTGTTTAATATTTTTGACATTATTTCAAAGTTTCAGTTTTGAAATGGTGGGAGCTAACATAGTAACTTTTGCAATTGGACTTGTTACTCTTCAAGAACTACCCAAGTCTAAAAACCACCTTATTGGGTGTTTTATCTCGATTGCTGTAATAAACGCTTTACTAAAATACGTTGTTTTGAAAGAGTTGAATAAATGGACAATAATTCACCTTCTTATGGCGCTTTTAATTATTCCGGGATTTGAAAACAAGGGGGGACTTTACAATGTATACAATTCCTCCAGAACTAAATCAACGCCACCACCACCATCATCATCATCATCATCATCATCATCTATAATATCTGAAGTGATAAAATATCCAGACACGAAAGCAATTTTCAATTTCTTACTTCTCAATGCAAGTTTTATGGTGATTCAATTCTTGTACTCATTCAGATCTAAATCTTTAGGTCTATTATCTGATTCGTTGCATATGTTTTTGGATTGTTTATCACTAGCCTTGGGATTAATAGCAGGAGTGGTTTCAAAATATAAAGTTGACCCTGATGGGAAATATCCCTTTGGTTGGCAAAACCTTGAGATACTAGCAGGTTTCACAAATGGCACACTATTGATAGGGATCAGTGGCTCTATATTATTTGAAGCTATTGGCAGATTAGTCAATCCCGTAGAGTTGCAAAGGACAAGCGAGTTGATTGTTGTTTCTTCATTGGGATTGTTGGTGAACTTGGTGGGTATATTTGCCTTTGATCATGGACACTCTCATGATCATGATCATTCTCATAGCCATCATCATTCTCACAGTCATCATCATTCTCATAGTCATGGCCATTCACATTCTAACAATAACAACGAGAAGGAGAACGAGGATGACATCAACGACAATATGAGAGGAATATTCTTACACATACTAGCTGACGCGCTTGGGTCGGTTGGAGTCGTTGTTTCAACTATACTCACAAAGATGTTCCACTGGCAAGGTTTTGATCCTTTAGCATCAGTTATCATTGCAATAATGATATTTTCGTCTGCCATCCCCTTGGTCAAATCAACCGCCTCCACTTTATTATTATCCATCTCCAAGAAACAAGAGTCAATGTTGAGAAGCACGCTACATGAAATTCCTACAATAAAAGGAGTCAAGTCATTCACAACACCTAGATTCTGGCCAAGTCATAAAAGGGGGAAACTATGTGGTTACGTGCACATCCAGGTATACCGAGGTGAAAACACCTCGTTCATCAAAAGAGAAGTCGAAAAACTATTTGAGGATCATCAGTTTGACGACGTAATGGTACAGGTTGAAAATGATTTTGATAGTTGTTGGTGTAGAAAGTAGAAAGAAATTACATTTGTGCGGCTTTCCAATTTTTTTTTTTTTTTTTTTTTTTTGTAATTGGGTACAAAACACAAATTGCAAAAAAAAGAGTTGAGAATGTTACGAGATCCAGCAACCCCATAAAAAAGATTCCGTTCAAGAAGCAACAAAACCCAAGTGAAGAAGAGTTCAGAGAAAGGTACTGTAGCCGTAGCTTGAAGCGAATAAGTGCTGTATTATAGAAAACAAATGTGCAAACAAGGAGTGTGTGAGAGAAGAGAGAGAAAGATACACAATTATACACGGCCTAACCAAATTGCCTCTTAAACGGAACTACTATTGAAATAATAGTATCAGCTAAAAAGGAGTCCAAATTATTTTTAACTTTTAACCGTCGCATAATATCAAACTATTGTTTGGTATGGCTTTTCCTTCTCACGTATTTTTTATTTTTTTTTAAATTTGATAGAGCAAGGAAGAACCAAAAAGAGAAAGGAGAAATGGTTTAACAAGATATTATTACAGCAAAAAATAAAACAAAAACAAATGTAAAAATAAACTAAGTGACCTTTGGTGAAAACCACCTGGTTATAAAATTTCGTAAAAATAAAAAAAAAGCTTTTCCTAATGCAAATCGTCTCTATAAGTAGAGAGTCAAATCTCTCGAAAGATTTCAGTTTTCCTTTTATTTTATTCTTCTCTTTTCATTAAAAGATATACAATCATCACTTATTGATACAAAACCCACCAACAGGTCATTCGCTTTATCAATAACACAATTGAATTTTTTTCTAATACAATGAGAGTCACTACATTTGCATCAGTCTTATCCTTATCTGCTTCTGCCTTGGCTGCAGTAAGACCAGTTCAATTATTTGCTTCTTCAGACAATGAAGAAGTTAACGGAAAGGGATTATACTCAACCCACGAAGGTGCAGGTGTGAACTATTTCTTCTTGGGTTCTGCTCAAACTTTACAATACAATGATGAATCAAGAGTCTTGTATATTGAATTGTCTACCCAACCACCAGCAAGCCAATACTTGGCTTTCGAAGGTGATGTATTGGCTTTAACTGTTGCATCCGAACCATTACCAGTTGATATTGGTGAAGATGGATCAGTTGTTTTCCCAGGATCAGATGCTCTTGCTGCCGCCAAGAACATTAACGACCCATACAGATACTCTGAATCAGTTTTCGCTGTTGTCAAAGCTTCAGTTGAAGGTTCCACCCCATTGACCCTTAAAGCTGTCTTCACTGATGTTGATGAAGAAGTAGAACCATCTTCTACTACCGAAGAAGCTGTTGCTGAAGAAACTTCTTCATTTGCTTACATCAACGAAACCGTCACCATTTACACTACTTACTGCCCAGAACCAACCACTTTGACTGTAACTGTTTGTGATACTGTTTGTGAAGAGTCAGAAATTACTGTTTCAGAACCTGGTTACGTTACCCTTACAAACGCTGGAACCGAAGCTGAAGCCACTACTGCTGCTCCAACTGAAGCATCATCTGCTGAAGAAGAATCACCAGCTACTGCTGCTCCAGAAGAATCATCTGTTCAATCCGTTTTCGAAGGTTCTGCTTCCAACTTGGGCGCTGGTTCAGTCTTGGCTGTTGCCGCTGTCGCCTTCGGTTTAGTCTTTTAAAGATAATACATCCCTGAAACCTACTTTAACCATTTACATGGGCCAATAATTTTGGTGATTAATTCTTTTTTTTCTCATGGTTAAAATTTTTTTTGCAGTAATTTATTTACAAACATTGATTTAATAATTAAAAAATTTCGTTATTGAAGAATTGAAAGGGTTTTTTAATAAGCACTTATCCCTTTTCTTTGTTTCACTAAAGTGGTCTAGGAGAAAATATTTACTTTATATAGCAAAATTTCAATACACATATATACATATATATACATTCTACATAATATATCTAAAGGGTTGTAGTTTTCTAATACGATCTTGATTAGAAAAGGAATTTTGAATTTTCATTCATAGTGGGTTTTGAGAGTCACGTGGCATACGTTCTAAAAATAGACATTCAATTTAATCAAATATTCTATACGTATATACTTGCAAGTAGATCAAGTCAATCCCTCTCATTCCATAAAAGCCTTCCAAGATAACTTATTGAAGAAGATGTACTCAAACTCAGATTATCACCTGTTGAATTATATAGAGTATCATTCATGCCCATTGGATCATTTAATGTATATGGTGGTGGTGGGTCCAAATTAATTTCTCCATTGTTACTAGTAAGCCAAATAGGGTCACTACCAATCGTGTTTGTATTATTGTCAACTCTGTCTTGAGGTAGTGTTTCGTTAGTTTGTATCAGGGAAACGCTTCTCGAGCGTAACGTGGCCGGAGTTGAAGCTCTTGTTTGTGGCGTGTTAGACCCAGATTGTCGAAGGATAGATGAAGCTGAAGTCGAGGAGTTATTCCTCATTGGTCGAACTCGAAATACACTAGGCAGAAGCTGTTGACTTCCTCTACTATTCGTGACATCCAGGGACGATCTTGCTCTAGCTTTTAAAGTTTTCAAGTATGTTATTCCAACTGCTTTCGATAGCGATGATGATGATGAAAAGACTAACGAACTTGATGACGTTGCTGCTTCTCTTGGATCCATTACTGACGACGATGGCGACCTCTTGCGCCGCGCGTTAATCCGTGTTATCACTTTTGAAATTTTTGAATTAAATTTGTTGGAAGCTTGCTGCCGCAAGGAAGTTAGGGAAGGGGAGGGGGCACTACTACTAGCACTTGTGTCTGGTGTAATAACTGGTGAACTCGGTTTTGGGCTCCCCGTATTATTTGATACTCCAATTATTGGATTAGTTGTATGTTGACTACTTGTAATTGCATTCACGCTCTGATTCAGACTTTGATTCTGTACCGATGAGACTTCGTCCACGCAAGCGATTACATTGGATTGTTTCTGTCGATTATATTTTGTACTTTGAATAGCATTAGCTATATGGAACACCGTATATACACAAAATATCCCACAAAGAACACTAACTGTGATTTGTAAAATCTCGTTTGTAACAGTAAGTATACTGGTTTTGAACACACTTAAAATCAGGGACATTTGGTTGTAAATATCACACGTTACACTGACTGGAAGTGATGTGGTATGTATATAAGAATAATCTCTTGTAACAAAAATTTGCAGTTTCATAACTTCCTTTTTTTTTCCTCTTCTTTTTGCGAGAGGTGAAAAAATTATGGTATACATAGACTAAGACAAGTTATAGGGGGGGGGGGGGGGGGGGGGGGTGTCGAAGAAGAGTCGAGAAAGAATAATAGAGCATGCGACAAAATAGGTAAACAGCCCCCTGTGCCCCCCTTCCCCCCTATTTTCCAGAGTCCCATTATTCTTCCAATTACAACCGAATCCACTGGATGTATCAGTTACCACATGTAATCTGGTAAAGAAGAATAGTTATTACTCTATATATCAAGAGTAGGAATTTACTTTGAAATCTCTTCATCCTTGCTAATAGGAAGAATAGTTTCCGCTTTTGATTTTATAGACATAAACATGTATTGAGTTCTATTTAACAAAGTTGATAAAGCACACACTGTACTATATTGTTGTTAGTACAACCATAATACTCAGCATAAATGTTCTAGTTGTAACTGATCAATACGAAATATACACACATGTGTTAGCTTATATACAAACTGCTCGCTTTCTTTAGCTGAGATAAGAAAGCCCACTTTTGTGCAAGGAAAAAAAAAAAGGGGAATTATTGAAAAAAAAAAAATGTTGCTAAGAGGCTCAAAAGCACAACCCCCTTATTTATATCCTTATTCTATGGTTTTTCTTTTAATATTTTTTTTGCATCTTTTTTTCTTTCACTCCCTTTATTCAACTTCTGGTTTATTGAAATTGGAGGGGGTGCCGATATTCTCTTCACGTAGGCTATCTAAATCAGAGTCAGAGACATTCTCCCGATGTTCAAATTCCGGTTTTTTGTTAGCAGAAATGCCGCTCTTCTCCTCATGCGTCTTATTCAAATCATCCTCTTCCATATCCTCCTCATCTTCAACATCAAATATACTAAACTCATCGTCTCTATTAGCTTCCAAATCGGCACCTCTATTCTCCGGTCCTAATATATTGACAATCATCAAATAAGCAATAATAGCCCCTATAAATATAGCCATTGTCTTTCCAAAATCATCCAAGCTTTCGTTTATGGTTGCTTCAATTGTCGAACTTGCTGAACTTACTAAATTACCCAACTGATAAGCTGTTCCAGTTACAAATGATTTGAAATGAGGTGGCGATAATTCTGATAAATGGATTGGAACAACTGCCCATGAACCTTGTATACCAAATTGCATAAAGAATGCAGTAACCCACATTGGTTTAAAGGCCCAAGGATAGATAAAGGCCGCGGCAAACACATTGCCCAACAAGATGGCTGTTCTTCTACCGATAAATGTGGAAAGATGCGAAATCACTGTACCACCAGCAATTGCACCCAAATTTGCACAAACATTAACCACAGTGGTCTTATCATTACCAAAATGGTACTGCGATGTCAACATTGTAGGATACATATCCTGAGACCCATGCGACGAGAAATTGAATCCCGACATCAACAATACCAAATAGATGATATTCAACCAATAAACCCTTATGGCCTTTTTAGCTTGACTTTTAAACTCAGCAAGTTCGGATTTTTTGGCTTTGGCACCTTTTTGGAATATTGCCTTTTGTCGTTGGAAATTATCAGTTTCAGGATTGAATAGCCTCCAAACGACAAATATAACAGAAACACCCGCGGAGAAGAAAAACATATTTTGCCAAACCCTGTCAGTTTCCTCAAATGCTCTTTGGAAACAGACTGCTAGCAAGTACCCCAAAGCATAACCTTCTTGGTATATCCCCGAAAGGACACCTCTTGCCTTTATAGGAGCATCGCCCAATGCTTCTGCAGCACAAATCCCAAATATACCTCCCATTGCAATACCAAAAACAGCTCTCACGGCAAGAAATTGGGTGTAAGTTGTAACAAACCCCGTACCAATTTGAATCGCTATAAGACAAGACATGTTTATAATAAAGGGCCATTTTCTTCCAAAAGTATCACCCAAAAATCCAAAAATCAAAGCGCCAACAGTACGAAACATCAAAACTAAAGTTATACCCCAAGTGATATCTTTAGTTGATCTATTAAATGATTTAGCCAAATTGCCAACATTCAAACTAGTTAAAAAGAAATCAAAAGCATCCATCGTCCAACCCCCATATGCCATAAAGAAAAAGTTCCATTGATGTAAATTCATCTCTTTTAATGGGTAGAATGGATTAAGGACTTCTTTCCATGAATAGCTACTCAATTCATCCCAACCTACCCACAATGAAGTTATTCTTGTATAGAGGTATTTTTTAATCGATTTCGAGTCAAATTTTGGTGGACGTACAATATGCGCATTGTGATCTTCTGCAACTTCTGATGGTATTGAGCTAACTGATCGGTTGTCATCAACTACTTTTGTAGCTGATGGTGAAGAAATCATTATAGCTCTGGTTATTTGAACTTTTTCAAAAAAAAATAAAGAGAAGGATGATTATATTGAAAGTGTTTGCATGTTATATATAAACACATATGTATATTGAAGATTGAGTAATACATCCAATTCGTGTTTTTTAAGGAAAGTAAGGTTATCCAGAAGTTGTCTTTTCAGTAATGCATACATGTACATCTCTTTTAATTTCTATTTTCACCACTGCAAGTGCCTCTAATGATGCACCAATGAGTAATGAAAAAAAGAGGACAAACTCAAGGAAAGAGTATATTGATTTAGAAGAAGAAGAAGAGGAGAAGGAGAAGGAGAAGGAGGAGAAGGAGGAGAAGGAGGAGAAGGAGAAGGAGGAGCAGGAGGAGGTAGTGGTTGTGGTGGAAACAAACAATTTACTATTACAATTCTTCACAAAAGCAAACACCCAAAGAAGTAAAACTTCAAACCATTGCATTTACAAAACATTGACTCCCTCATACTGAAACAGGTTGTTATCTGCAGATAAAAGTGTTAGAACACATACAAATCTAATGTTTCTCTTTTCTCACACCAGAAAGGCTTTTTCTTTCTTTTTATTGATATAAAAATTGGCGAATTGATTAGCCGATCTTAGCCGCGGTTCCTCAACACATATAGTAGAAGAAAAAAAAAAAAGAAAAATGATAATACTTTTTTTGACATATTTATGGTGCGATGAGTACCCTTTTAAAAGCTAGCAACAGAGGTATAGTAGAAAAAGTACTTGGATATAATTCCAGTTATAGAGTGATAGCCGAAGCTGTTGGTTTTAGAGACGAAAAAGACCCTTCTTACTATTTTGCTTAAAGATAAAGTGTACCAATTTTTAATAAATAAAAAAAGTAAAAGAATATTTCGGAGTAGATGTCAAATAAAACATAATCATCCACAAAAAGACAAACCGATCCTTTTTCAAAAGGATTCGATTTTCAGCCCAACTTTTCTCTCTGTGTTTTTACTAATTACCCCACATTTCTCATGAATCTCAAAACTCTCCTGCACCAATACATTTTAATCTTTTTTCCCTCCCTTTTGTAACGCATTAAAGCTCTCAATCAATTTTGATGTTTGGTTATGAGCATTAAGGGCATTGCGATATCTAGGGCGAAAAAAAAAAACATTGAACAATAAGAAATTAATACCTTGAAAAGGCGAAATACATGCTATAATGCCCGTTGTTTGATGGATATAAGCGATAGCAACCTGAAATTTCTTACTTGGTTTTCTAATCTTTCTTTTTACCTAGCTACGTCTTGAATGGCTAAGACTTTGACTCTCTAAATCGTACGATAGATTATTGAGGGTGAAAGTTTTATTTTTTATTTTATTTTATTTTATTTTCTTTTTAATGGCCGCAAAAAAGAAGAAGACCCTTTTTTTTAATTACTGGCGCTTTCATGAGTTAAGAATCCTTTGTCTGTTACCACTTAATAAGATATCAAGGGATCATTACCCGTCCCCCCTCCCTCCCCCACTAATTTTATTTGATTCGATACAAACCAGACAACAATTTAGGCAATTAACAAATAGTCCAATTTTGAAAGCTTCCATTACTAGTCCATGCAAAATGCCAAAGATAGTTTTACCAGCAATCTAATTCATTTGCGTTTTAAGAGATTGTGATTATTCCTTTTGCAGCAATTGCTACTACATTTTGAGGAGAAGTGAAAAACCTCCTTTCTTCATAGAGAAGGAAAGAAAAAAAAATCAATCCGTATAATTAATACATATAATTAGAATAATAAACACACACACACTGAAAACATTCTGTCTTTTTAATTGAAACAAAAAAATCCAAATGTCACTGACTTCTCTCTACCACAATACAAGTTAACTCCCCCCCCCTATCTTTCATCGTCTTTTACCGCCTCCCTCCTAAAAAAAATACAAAAACAAAAAAAGTCCACTATTCCTCATAATATCACTGTCACTTGTTAACCCCTTCTATGTCTATACCTCATTATTCGTTTGAACAAATCCTCTACATCCAATTCAATCTCACTTATAAACTCATCTAAAATCAGTTTATCTCTTATATATCGATCACAATCGTTGGCAATAGTATAAATGTCGACTTGACATTCATTGGCCATTCTTTCAACAAAGGCTACTATAGATTTCCTTTCAATATAAGTATTGTGATCAATTTCATCACGAATCCAATTCTCACCATATTGTTTTACTCGTTGTGCTATTGGATATCCTACTTTATACCATTCTTCAACTATTTCGTAAACGGTATATATATCATGATTTAAATCATATATAGGTACACCGAGTTCAGAAAATTGTTGTTGACGAGTAGGTGGAGGTCCATTCAATTCAATCTCGAATCGATCTAGTGAGCTATTTATACGTTGCGATAAACTGGATGCAAATGCAGGATATGCGGAAATTGTCTTTTGTATGTCATCACGTAATAATGCAAAAGATCTACGGATCTCTTCAATATTTTTTTTGGTGATTCTTTTAGTATATACTGGCTGTTGCTCTGTTTGATTGTGTTGTTGTTGGTAATGGTTCTGTTGGTGTTGGGTACCAGAAGCATGCTGTGGTTGCGAGGGAAAGGTTTGTGGATGCTGATTATATGGCACCGGCTGTTGTTGATTCTGTTTTGCAGACAAAGCAACAATTGCGTCTGTACCTGTACCTTGAGTTGAACCAGAACCACTGGTGCCTGGTTCAAATTGATTAGATGAATCTAGGAGAATAGGAGAATCCCCAGATGCCGCTCTAGGAGCAGCACCTGCAGCAGTAGCAGCAGCAGTAGCACCACCACCACCATCATCATCATCACCATCATCATTATCATCATCATCACCATCACCATCACCATCACCACCACTCCCCGTATTGTCTTTTTGACCCGGTTTGGGCACCCCTGATAATTGCTGAGCTTTATATATCTTCTTCACCATTCTTCTCTTTTTCTTCGAATTTGACTCATTAGAAGACAAATCATCAATCGAAGATGACGAAGACAGTGTATCCTTGCCAATCTCCTTATAAACTAAATACTCTAATGCAATATGTCTATTAGGTATTTCTTTATTTTCCAAATGGTAAACCAAGAAATTAATTTCTTGCAACTTGCTAAACGCAGGGTCCATTTTTCTCAATCTAATAACCGGTTTAGTTGATGAACTATTTGCAAATTGTTCTTGGTAAAATTCCTTCATTAATTCACCCGTAACAAAAAAATTGTCCAATTTCTTCTTGCAACAAAATCGAATAAAATGCTTGAATGTGGTAATATATCTTTTCCTAGTCTCAAACCCCAACGATAATAGTCTTTGTCTTGCCTCAGGATTGGCTAATATCTCGTCATCAAATTTTTTAAACATCTTAATCACATCTTCTGTATCTTGGGACATGATTCTCTTGTTGATCTTAATATTGTCTCTATCGACACGATATCTTCTTTTAGTTTTTTTGTCCTCTGGACCTCCAGTATCATCTTCCTCATCAAACGTCAAGGGAATATCTTGAGCATCAATTTTTTGTGATATTATAGAAGTGATGGGGATGCGTCCTGCAGGTGAGCTACTGCCTGCCGAACGTGCTTGTCCCACGGACGGAGTTGAAGACATTTGTTGCGGGACCATTTGGTGATGATGATGCTGCTGCTGTTGATGCTGCTGCTGCTGGTAAAGTTGCTGGTGCTGCTGCTGGTAAAGTTGCTGGTGCTGCTGCTGCTGCTGTTGATAGTGAAGCTGCTGCTGTTGTTGTTGATGTTGAATATGTGTTGGATGAGCTTGCTGAAGATGCTGTTGGTGCGTTGGTCGCTGTTGTGGTATTGGTTGCTGCTGCTGCTGCTGTTGTTGTTGTTGTTGCGATGGCTGTGGATAATTTGCCATACCTGGAGAAGTACTTCTTTCATAACTATTATTTCTTCGGGCACCAACTTGATGATGAGTAAACAAAGCCAATGGAGGAGGGGAATCATTAGTCAATAGATGGTTGATCTTATGTTTATTTACGGTATTGGATGAAGAACGAGTTGTCATATTTTGGATCGGTCCACCAGCACCAGCACCAGCAGCACCAGCAGCACCAGCGGCAGCTCCACCATCAATAGTATGACCAGATGTAGCGGCGGTAGTTGTATTTGTAGTAGCAGTTTGCTTTTTCTTACCTGACGACTGCTGTTTATTCGAGTCATTTTCTAAATTTTTTCTTTTACGCCCCCTAGTGTCAACTTTTTTTATTGGTTCAGGGGGTTGTGAAAATTTTGACGAGCCAACACCATCACCTGTATGATCTCCACTTTCAACACTTGTCCTTGAAGGATGAAGACGCGTAGACGATATACTGGTACTGCTAGTTGTATCAACTGTGCGATTTTTTTTCTTCCTGCCTCTTGTTTCCTTTTTAACTGATTTAGGTGGTTCTTCCAATCCATCTTGCTTATTGTTATTATTACTATTAGTAGTAGAAACTAAAGAATGTTCTCTTTCCATGGCTGCTCTTTGCTCGTGTATAGGAACAACCTTTTTTAATTCTCTCCCATTAGCACTTAGCTCAACCTCAACATGTTGAGTAGAAGACCTCCTTGTAGAAACCATGACCTGATCAACCGTGTCGTTGTGATTTGATAATATATATGTAAATGTATACAAAATCCAAATGGAAAATAAATCTTTGTATTTTGAAATGTTTTTTTTCCTTTGGTGGTTGTGCACTACTTCAATGAGGTATTCAAGAGAGAGCTTTTGTATAGACTACTAGAAGAAGTGTAGGTAGGAAGCGGGGGGTAGAGGGGAGGGAGCGAGGGAAAGTGAAAGAGTGGGTGAAAATGTATACAGGAAGAGTAGCTATGTAGGTTGTGAAAAGGTCATTCATAAAGAAAGGCTTGTTAAGAAAGTCATCTTCAATAGGGATGAGGGTGGGGGGGTTTTTTTTTTTTTTTTTTGCTACAGTTTTGCTTACCGGTTATGTTTTGAGATGAGAAAAGGGGTTGAATTAGGTCGTGTACATTTCTCAATTAAACTTTGTTTTGCCCTTTAAGACTGCCGCTCATTGAAAGATAGAATTTTCTTTTCTTTTTCTTTTTCTTTTTCTTTTTTTTCTTTTTTTTTTTTTTTTTTACCCCCTTCCTCCTTAACAGAAGTAAATCAAGAAAAGCAAAAGTATGGTGTATATATGATCGTTGTATCGATAAAGGGTCTTAAGTAAGGATGCAATTAAACCCGTGTGTTGTAATCGGTTATAGGAGCGGCTCTTACTCATTTGTATGTTAAGTTTTTTTATTTTATGAAAAAGAAGAAAAACTTTTGTTTCCTATCTTTGTACTCCAAATAAACCGCAATAGAAACAACGAAATCAGGACCAATATGGAACTGAGACAAATTCCAGCTTTGCTATAAAGGATAAAAAAAAAAAAATGGAATTTCACACTCATTTTGAAAGTTTAAACAAACAAATACATATGTGTGTTTAAAACCTTGCCTCTTTCTTCTCTTGAGCCCAGCCCCTTTACCGTTGTGTGTATACAATAACTTTAAAAAAAGATTAAACAATTTAAGCTATTCAAATAATAGTCAATTGGAAACATCTACTTTCTCCACTCAATTACGATAGATTGATGATTTATGATCGAGTGAGAGATTATTAACTATTTTTTTTTTTTTTCTCTTTCTTCACTTCACAACTTCATTAAGAATCATCATGGTCAATAAAAACAATCTCAACTATTCTCATCTTTAACCAAATCAGTTATTTTCACTCTCAAACGAGCCAATTATTATCTGAAATTAATGATAAGTATCTCTATTTTAATGTCTCCTTAGCCATATTTGTTATGATGTGTCTTAACTCTTTTCCTTATCTAGTCGTTTCCCGCCCCTTTAAAAAAAAAGGGCTCTTTCGATTTTGAACCCCCTTGTAAAGCGAGGACCAAAAAAAACAAAAAACAGGCGAGATGCAGAACTACCAGATTACTACCGGAATAATCCAAACCCGCATGTAAGACCTCCAAGAATGGACAAATATCATGTGGCCTGACGAGTGCACTGACAAGATGCACTAAAAAATAGCTTTTAATGAGCTATCAAACCCGTGTATTAAAAGAACTTTGTGTGGGGGAAGATGGGGGAGGAAAGAGAGAGAGAGAGAGGGAGAGAGAAGTAGGACATTTTTTAAATCACCCATATTTAATTGAACGACACTAAGGGGGGGAGCGAAGCGAGCTAGTGGAGCAGTATGTAGTATCAACGGCCACCAATATCCAATTCAGTCAGTTCAACCTAATTCAAGTACTGCCAATAATGCTATTCAAAGATGCACCTTGAATACCAATACTTTACAACAAATTCATTATCCACCACTTTTCTGTCCCAAAATGCTTTAAAAAAGAATCATAAAAGCATTCATTTTCACTTGTTTCTTTACAAAAAAAAAAAAAAAAACTACTTTAACTTTACATTTAAAATTACGCCTCTAATCCAACCCCCCCCCTTCCCCTTTGTAGTCAACCTAAACTTGGTGAAAACCCTATCAGCATGTGGTATCTAATAATGAAAAAACGAAAGAGAAAAGAGGATTAAAGAAAAGGGGAAGGGAGCTGCGGGTTAACTCTTAATCAGTTCATTTATACTCTATTTCTCTCTTTTTATCTTTCTATACCCTGCCACGAATTTCTCGTCGACTGTTGTTTAAACACACATCTTATTTTCAAGCAGCCCCCTTCAAATTTTTATGAGGTTTTTCTTCAAAGAAAATTAAAAAAAAACAAAAACAAACAAACAAACTCAAAACCTACCTCTTTTTGTTAAACATCAAAGTACTCCAACAATTGTAGCAAGGGCAGTGCCTGGCAACTGTAGCAGAGAATGTATTTGACTGTTTTAACCAAAGATCCATAAATTTTAAAAATCTAGCTTTGTCCTTAAACTCTGATATATATCCTCGGCTTGGTTCTTTTTTTCGACTTACAATTTCCACTAGTACTAGATAGAGTTGAATGTGTTTACAATCCTTTAAACACGAAAATTTGTTTTACCTTGTAACTCACGCGAAACATGCAGAGAAGTATTACCGCTCATCCATGCAGAGAAGTATTAACCTTCATCCACGCAGAGAAGTATTACCGCTCATCCATGCAGAGAAGTATTAACCTTCATCCACGCAGAGAAGTATTACCGCTCATCCATGCAGAGAAGTATTAACCTTCATCCACGCAGAGAAGTATTACCGCTCATCCATGCAGAGAAGTATTAACCTTCATCCACGCAGAGAAGTATTACCGCTCATCCATGCAGAGAAGTATTAACCTTCATCCATGCAGAGAAGTATTAACCTTCATCCATGCAGAAAAGTATTAACCTTCATCCACGCAGATTAGTACTCGGGAAAAATCTATAACATATCTCAATTATACCTATAAGAAATAAAATACAAAATACATAAGCACATGAATAATAGCTTGTTTAACTTCACTTTTACTTCTAAGTTAATCGTGCTTTCTCTCTCAATAGCTTTACCTCGTCATCACTCTTTTGGCTGCCTTTCTCAATAATCAAGTTTTTTAACAATTTATTCTCCATTTCAAGATTATTCAATTTCTCTTCCAAACTGTCAATAAGTACTTGTAATGAACTTATCTTACTCTCCATTTGCTGTTCTTTTAATTTTTTCTTGATTCGAAACCGGGCACTTGCCGCGGTATTCCTTCTCTTTTTATCTAGTTCCGCTGCTGCATCTGGTGAAGAGAGATTCGATGATGTGGATGCTATAGACGCGGTGCGTGGAGGAGGTAATGGCCTAATTTGGTTAATTGATTCCATTAGCGTTGTGTTGTTTTGAGACTGTTGAAGTTGGGACTCAAATTGCCATTGTTGAAAATGTTGGTGTAACGGTTGTTGGTGTTGTTGTTGGTGTTGTTGTTGGTGTTGTTGTTGGTGTTGTTGTTGTTGGTGGTGTTGTTGGTGTTGTTGTTGATGCTGTTGCTGTCGTACAGGGATTTCAGCAGGAGAAACAGAAACGTTGGGTGTGATTGAAATATGTGATGAGTACGCTTGTTGATGTTGCTGTTGATGAGAAGAATTGGAATTGACAAACGAGGAAGATGCGACTGTACTACCATGAGGTAGAAGGTTTTGTAAATCGGGGTCAACAACAAATCTAGCAGAAGATGAGTTATTGTCATTGTTATTATGCAGATGTAACAAATTCACTTGGTTCAGTTGACTCTGCAGTGTTTCCTGCGGTATTGGTTTACCCATACTCGACTGATGTTGAGCAACCAAAGCACTCAATAAATCAATTTGGTTTTTAGTCAATCCTGCACTAACCAAGGATGATTTTGCACCTGGAGGGACGGGGAATTTGGGCAAATCGGTGAGATTCAATATAGTTTGTTGATTTCCATCGTTAAACTGTTGTTCTTGTACTTCCTTCCCTCCATAAGGCCCGTTATTATTTTCTTGCTTTATAAATATATTGTTTTGATCGTCATTGTTTCCTACGATGGGAATATTTTCAAAAGCAGAAACAATGTCCCATTTCCCACTATTCGAATGGTGGTTGCTTCTTCTTTTATCAAGCAGGTTTTTTTCATCGTCATTATCATCATTATCATCATCATCACCGTTCCCCCCTCTTCTCTCATTGTCATTGTCATTGTCATCGTCTTTGTAAAAATAATTATTTGGTTTATCTTCATCGGGGAACACAAACGAATCATCAGCAAAAGCAGCAAGATCCAAACTTAACTGACCATCAACATCGATATTCGGCGTTGCATTAGAACTTTCTGTAGTATGTGAACTTCCTTGATTATTGATATAGTTGTCTATATAAACTAGTTGTTCTAGCAAAGCTGAAGAAGTGGTTTCCTCACTCATTGTCAACGAAATCAAGTGCACTGAAATTTACTGTGGATTCGTGAATGTGTATAATGTGGATTCGTGAATGTGTATAATGTGGATTCGTGAATGTGTATAATGTGGATTTGTGAATGTGGATTTGTGAATGTGGTGGTGGTCCAAAAGGATTGCTTTTTTTCTTTATGTGCCTCTTCCTTGTAGGAATATTATTATATCATGTAATATAGTTGTTGTGGCACAGGTAGTTGGTAATGGTGGTGGTTTACTTTTAGTAGTTACAACAGATCTCTACGTATATATATATATATATATATTAGACTTGCCGTGCCCTTCTCACAAAACAAGTACCAAATCAACAAGAAACGTTCCGAATCCACAGTTTCAAGCCGCTAATAAACAGTAGAGCAATCGCCTTATAAAACTGGCTTCATTTATTTTTTATTTTTTTTTTAGGCTTTTCGATTTTGCAATTCACAATTTGTGAGAAGCAGCAGCTAATCGCACGTGACCAAGCAGAACAAAAAGAATGCAAGATTGAGGCTTCATTTTCCGGAACCGGTAGCGCAAGAAAGATATGAACACCACGGGCGTTTGTTCTTTATTCTTTTTTCCCCTGTATATCTTTATATAGATTTGAGAAAGATTGTAGGAGATGAGATCAAAGTAAAGGAAGTTATCGAGTTGTGAAATTTGATGCAGTAGAAACTTCTATGCCTCTATATACGCTAATGAGAGATAATAGTGTAGTCATTAAATGTCTAGAACCCGTGTGTGTTTTTTATATATTTATTCTTAATCTTTAAAAGAGGTGCTTCTAGAGTCGTGTGTAAAGTAAGTTATTCAGGGGTAATTGCTTACATATCCAGAATAACTTACTCTAAGTTTAGTTGAAAATAGCAAACCTGATTGCATTAACTAATGTTTACTAGTTAGAAAACAACATGTTTAAAAACAACGTTAAAAACGTTTAACATTAACGCTTAAAGACAACTTCAAGGCAAGTTTAAAGACAACTTTAAGGCAAGTTTATAGACAACTTCAAGGCAAGTTTGTTTTGACATAATATATATATATACCTGATATATAGAATTGACACCTTGAATAACAAGATAATCTATAGTCTAGTAATTGACTCAAGCAAACCGTAAACGACAATGTTGTTCAAGTGGGAAAAAAAAAAAATCTAAAATGTGACACCAAAAATCAAAAAACCATACAATCTAAAATAATGAACTAAATACACCAAATGAACCATTGCTCCCCCACTTCCCTGTTCCTCGCTTTGTAAAAAAAAAAATAATAATATTAATAATCCTAGGTTGCAACCACTATACAGCCCATAACCCGTTTATCATGTCTCAAATAAACCACCCTTTTTGATCTATTTATTGCTTATAAATTTTTCTTAATAATATCAAAAAACTTTTCCTCTCTCTCATTTTTTTTTTTTTTTTCACGAGTGGTGAACTTGTCTTAAATTTTCATTAAATGTTTTTGATCGAACAGCCAAGGGGGATTGGTTAGTCACTTTCAATCTATATTCAGCAAATGTTTTGAAAGTGGCCCCATTAGAGGAATTGGCAGTTTGATGTGGTTTAACAGTAATTGGAGATACTGATGGACTAGCTGGTCTTACTGGTGAAACACCAGTTGAAGGTGCTACTACTGATTTATAGATTATATCTTTTTGGAAACTACGTTTTGAAACTTGTGAGAATGCCCTTTTAAACATGCTTGAACTCTGAGGAAGGATAAAAAGAAAGAAATAAAAAAGAGTACCAAATCGTTCTACAGATTTCAAGTGGTATTTTACAGGGCTATTTATATTCTAATCACTAAAATCACTAAAGTGAAAAAAAAAAAAAAAAAAAGAAAATAAGAAGCCGAAAAAACAAATCAAAAAGAGCCGAAGAAAAATTAAAAAGAAGTCGATAAAATTTATTATTTTGCATCACTAAGAAAAGAAAAAAGAAAAAAAAAAAATTTTATTGAATATTAAGACCCATGTAGTACTTGGAGGAAACCAGGGTGAGTGCAACTACGATAACGGATGCAACTACGATAACGGATGAATACGGAGCACTGCTAAGCGTAAAATCACCGCCCCTAAACCTTTGCCCATCTCTTTCTCGTTAAATACTTTGAAGAAATGTAGTCATTACCCCTATCGTCATTAATACTTTTACGATTTTACGTATGGTGATGGAGAGATCCCCATCCCCACCGCCCCCCTTTCCCACATTGCATGGGAGGCATTTTAAACTTTAAACGAGACACTCAACAATAGAATAGAATAAATAATAAATGGAAAATTCACCAATAATGCACATAATAACTATTGACCACAGTTTTATATAGATAATCACAATTGAAGCAAATAAGTAGAGAGATGTATTTTCCACGTGCCAGGCGTATACGACTCTTATCCACACTTGGTTTCTATTTGTTGCTGAGTGCTTCAGTTTTTATTTGCTTACAAAACATCTGATTTTTTTTTTTCTCTAGTGAAAAGGTGGGGAAAAAACGAGCGGGAAAATGGAAGTAAAGCGAGACTAGAGGAGACGAGACTAGAAGAGCTGAGACTAGAGGAGCTGAAGGCGACTCTAGTTGAAGCATATTAACTCATGTCATGAGACTAGAGGAGCCGAAGGCGACTCTAGTTGAAGCATATTAACCCGTGTCATGAGACTAGAGGAGCCGAAGGCGACTCTAGTTGAAGCATATTAAACCCGTGTCATGAGATTAGAGGAGCCGAAGGCGACTTAAATCCGTGTGCAGCGAGATAGTGGAGTAGCAAGCTAGTCAGTGTTGTATCAAATCATAAAGAGTGGAGCACATTGACTAATTCACTATTGAGCAGAGCGAGATAGGGGAACATTAACTAGTTACTATCATGAGAGACGTACTTCTATTGAGCAGAGCAAGATAGGAGAACATTAACTAGTTACTATCATGAGAGACTTACTTCTACTATCTCGCCTTACTTGATAGTAGATTATCCATTGTCGGTGGCAGCTAGTAGCTTCTGCTATTATCGAGCTGATGCCTGATAATTCTACCCTCTTTGCAATTTGTAACTAGTTTGTAGGTTGAGTTTGATAGCGATGCTGCTCCATAGTGATGCAGGTAAGCTATTCAGTATCTCGCTCTTGCTCAATAGTAATCAAGTTATCAGTGAAATTTAAAAACTAAACACACGCTACCATTTATAATCAGAGATTTTGAGATCAATTCTTATCTCAGCCAATCATCATTGAGTTTGAAAAAAAAAATAATATTGCGGAGATACAAGTCCATTACTAGAAAGTGTAAGTTAATAAAACAGTTTCCTAACATGTCAAAATTTAACTACAAAACATGCTTACTAAATTTGAAACAGTATATGGATACTCACTAAAATTATCACACTATCGAGCAAAGCGGGATGCTGACTAGCTTTTATTATCACCAAGCTCATGTCATTTGGAACTTAGTCTAAAGTGAATGATGCCATTTACATCTTAGTCTAAAGTGATTGATGCCATTTACAACTTAGTCTAAAGTGAATGATGCCATTTACAATTCAGTCTAAAGTGATTGATGCCATTTGGAACTTAATTTAAAGTGCACTTGATGATTTTCAAGTGCATTTTACACTTGATGATTTTCAAGTGCATTTTTTCACTTTATTTAATTTCATTTTTTTATCCTACTTTGCTCAAACTCTTCACTCTCAACACTATCTCGCTCTGCTCGATAGTGTTGCTCAATAGTGTAGCGGCTGACTCATACTCTCCACGCTACCTTCTGACTCCCACTTAAAATAATTCTCGGACTTTTTACTTTTGTCCTATTATTAATTAACAAGTGCTTTCTGTGTCATTAAACAACTCAATGCCTATATAAAAAATGGAGTTTAATATCCATTACAATAGCAAGTGTAAAAAAAAAATGTTCTCATTTAATTCCTTCTACATCTCTTTTCAAACGGGCCAAGATTCTTTCTCTCATCCTCGTCCATTATTAATTCGCACCCATCTTTCCTTGGTTACATTGAATATTCCGCTTAAACGAGGTCTAGTTATCTCTACCAAAAAAAAAACAAAAGAAAGAAATGAAATGAAAAGAAAAGAAAAGTTTAATTGCATTTTCAACAACCTCTGCTTCTATTAGTCTACTCCTTTTACACTGCTCCTTTTCTTTGTCTCTCTCTCTCTTTTTCTTTGTCTCTCTCTCTCTCTCTTTTTCTTTTTCTTTTTTTTTTTTTTTCTCTTCCCCTTCTTTATCTCTTCCTCTTTAGTCAATTAGTTTAATAATTGACGAATAAACGGTAGTAGACCACAGTATATATATATAAATTGGAGTAGAAAATTGATACAAGCTTGCTTGTACCTAACGATATTTTCTTTTCTTTTCTTTTCTTTTTAATACTTTCCCCTTGAAATGAGTAGTACAGTTAAAGTATCAAATACTCATGATGGAAAGATTAATCAAATGAGAAGAGACTCAACCATCCTCGGTGCCATGAATAAAATACTCGTGGCAAATAGAGGAGAAATCCCAATTAGGATATTTAGAACAGCTCACGAGTTGTCAATGCAAACGGTTGCCATTTATTCTCACGAGGATCGTTTATCGATGCATAGATTAAAAGCTGACGAATCTTATGCTATTGGTAAAAAGGGCCAGTTTACCCCGGTTGGTGCATATTTGCAAATTGACGAAATCATCGATATCGCAAAGAGACACAATGTCAATATGATCCATCCTGGTTACGGGTTTCTCTCAGAGAATAGTGAATTTGCCAAAAAAGTCGAAGAAAGCGGTATGATATGGATTGGCCCGCTGTATAAGACAATTGATGCTGTGGGTGACAAAGTAAGCGCAAGAACTTTGGCTATTGAAAATAATGTCCCTGTGGTGCCAGGCACACCCGGTCCAATTGAAGATGTCAATGATGCTAGGAAATTCGTTGAAAAATATGGTTTTCCCGTGATCATCAAAGCGGCATTTGGTGGTGGTGGAAGAGGTATGAGAGTTGTTCGTGAGGGCGATGATATAGAAGATGCTTTCAAAAGAGCTACTTCTGAAGCAAAAACTGCTTTTGGTAATGGAACTTGTTTTATTGAACGGTTTTTAGATAAACCTAAACATATAGAGGTTCAATTGTTGGCTGATAATTACGGAAATGTTATTCATTTATTTGAAAGAGATTGTTCTGTTCAAAGAAGACACCAAAAGGTTGTTGAAATTGCACCAGCAAAAAATTTACCCAAAAATGTAAGAGACGCTATATTGACCGATGCTGTTACATTGGCAAAAAGCGCTAATTACAAAAATGCCGGTACTGCAGAATTCTTGGTGGATGAACAAAATAGGCACTATTTCATTGAAATCAACCCAAGAATTCAGGTTGAGCACACAATTACCGAGGAAATCACCGGTGTTGATATTGTCGCTGCACAGATTCAAATTGCTGCAGGGGCAACATTACAACAATTGGGTTTATTACAAGACAAAATTACAACGAGAGGCTTTGCAATTCAATGCAGAATTACCACTGAAGACCCGGCAAAAAATTTCCAGCCTGACACAGGTAAAATCGAAGTTTATAGGTCCGCAGGAGGTAATGGTGTTAGATTAGATGGTGGTAACGGATTTGCAGGATCAATTATATCACCACATTATGATTCCATGTTGGTGAAATGCTCATGCTCGGGATCAACTTTTGAGATTGCTCGTAGAAAGATGTTGCGTGCATTAATTGAATTTAGAATTAGGGGAGTCAAAACCAATATTCCTTTCCTTTTGGCATTATTGACAAACTCAACATTTGTTGATGGCAATTGCTGGACTACTTTTATTGATGATACACCATCGCTTTTCCAGATGATCAGTTCTCAAAATAGGGCATCAAAATTGTTGTCATACTTTGCTGATCTTTACGTTAATGGATCTTCCATAAAGGGACAAATTGGATTCCCCAAATTGGAAACTGAAGCATTGATTCCAGAATTGCACGATCCAAAGACTGGTATTTTAATTGATGTCAATCACTCACCTGCACCAAGAGGATGGAGACAAGTTTTACTTGAAGAGGGAGCAGATGCATTTGCAAAGAAAGTTAGAGACTTTAATGGTTGCTTAATCACTGATACAACTTGGAGGGATGCTCATCAATCCCTATTAGCCACTAGAGTAAGAACTATTGATCTAGTCAATATTGCACCAACCACATCGTTTGCTTTGAAAAGAGCATTTTCTTTGGAATGCTGGGGTGGAGCTACTTTTGATGTTTGTATGAGATTTCTTTATGAAGATCCATGGGTTAGATTGAGGAAATTGAGACAATTAGTTCCCAATATTCCATTTCAAATGTTGTTAAGAGGCGCTAATGGTGTTGCTTACTCATCATTGCCTGATAATGCAATTGATCACTTTGTTAAGGAGGCTAAAGAAAATGGTGTTGATATTTTCCGAGTGTTTGATGCGTTGAATGATTTAGAACAATTGAAAGTTGGTATTGATGCCGTTAAGAAGGCTGGTGGTGTTGTTGAGGCCACCGTGTGTTATTCCGGTGATATGTTACAGCCAGGTAAGAAATATAACCTTGAGTATTATTTGAAATTTGTTGACGAAATTGTCAAGTTGGGTACACATTTCTTGGCTATTAAGGATATGGCAGGTACTTTGAAACCAGCAGCTGCTAGATTATTGATTGGAGAAATTAGAAAGCGTCATCCTAACTTGCCTATACATGTTCATACGCATGACTCTGCCGGTACTGGTGTTGCATCAATGATTGAGTGTGCTAAAGCAGGTGCTGATGTGGTTGACGCTGCATCCAATTCAATGTCAGGAATGACTTCACAGCCATCAATAAGTGCGATCCTTGCATCCTTTGAGGGATCCATTGAGACGGGACTTTCTCAATCATTGGTTCGAGAATTGGACGAATATTGGGCGCAAATGAGATTATTATACTCATGTTTTGAAGCCGATTTGAAAGGTCCAGACCCCGAGGTTTACTCACACGAAATACCGGGAGGTCAATTGACTAATTTGCTTTTCCAAGCGCAACAATTGGGTCTTGGTACAAAATGGTTAGAAACTAAGAAAGCATACAAGATTGCCAATAAGATTCTTGGTGATTTAGTTAAGGTTACCCCTACATCTAAAGTTGTTGGAGATTTAGCTCAATTCATGGTTAGTAATGAGCTTACTGAAGAAGATGTTAATCGTCTTGCGGGAGAATTAGATTTCCCAGATTCAGTATTGGATTTCATGGAAGGGTTAATGGGTACACCATATGGAGGATTTCCTGAACCTTTGCGTACCAATATGTTGAGCAACACTTCTCGTAAGAAACTAAATGCAAGACCAGGATTATCGTTACCACCAATTGATTTTCATCAAGTTAAAAAGGAATTACGATCACGTTACGGAACCCAAAAAATTACCGAGACCGATATTGCTAGTTATGTAATGTATCCTAAAGTTTATGAGGCTTTTAGAAAACAGGTTGAGAAATACGGAGACTTGAGTGTTTTACCAACAAGATATTTCCTTAAACCAGCAGCTGTCAATGAAGAGGTTGTGGTTGATATAGAGCAAGGTAAGACATTAATTGTTAAACTTCTTGCTATAGGGGAAATATCAGAAAAGACAGGGTTAAGAGAGGTATTTTTCGAATTGAATGGTGAAATGAGATCTGTTACAATTGAAGATAAAAAGGCATTAGTAGAAACAAAAACTAGACCAAAAGCAATTCAACCAAATGATGTTGGTGCACCAATGTCAGGAGTTGTTATTGAGATTAGAACTCATAAACATCAAGAGGTTAAAAAGGGTGATCCTATTGCAGTATTATCGGCCATGAAAATGGAAATGGCCATTAGTGCTCCTGTCGCGGGTGTGGTTGGTGATTTATTGATTAAAGAAGGTGATTCTGTTGATGCTAATGATTTAATCACTAGTATTTTGAATCATTGAAGAAGAAAGTCAAAGGGGAAAAAATAATAAATAAAAAAAAAAAAAAAAAAAAGAAACTTGGAATAAGAAGAAGGTCTTCCCCCCTCTTCCCCTTTCTTCTTCTTCTTTTATATATATTTGATTAACGTTTTTATTTATAGAATATTTTGTTTAACTTTAGTGAAATCCCCCTTTTTCGTAGAAGTGGCACTTTTCTTTTCACACATTCAATTTCCTTCTTGACTATCACACATTCAATTTCCTCCTTGACCGTCACCCATTCAATTTCTTCCTTGAACCATCACCAATTTCTTTCTTGACCGTCACCCATTCAATTTCCTCCTTGAACTATCACCCGCTGTATTTAATAATCCCAACTCTCTTTTCCTCTTATTGGCCATCTCCTCAGCTTTATTCCACCTATCACGTTTTTCACTAACTTCCCTTTCCAAAGATCTATTGAGAATCATATTTTCTGATTCCAAAGCAATTAGTTTCCTTGCCAAAATTCTTAGTTGTTTATCCTCTTCATCGTCGTCGTCGTCGTCGTTGGTGTTTTCACTTTGGTTTATTCTTTCTTGCTCTTGCTTTTCCTGTTTGCTTGGGTTCCACTGCTTATTATCGATCATCTCGTGTGTGAAATTTGCTTGTTGTATAATTTTTGTCCACTTCAGCATCATTTCCATTGTATTTGAAGTTGCCTTGTTTAATTTATCCATATCTTGAGATATCTTGAATATCGAGTCGTGTAATAGACAAAGTGTTGAATTTATTCGAGTAAGATGTTGAAGCTCTTTCTCTAGTGCTGTTTCGCGCGTAGTTACCGGTTGTGTTTGGTGCATCTCTCCTGTTATTGGTATTTTGGAAGGAGACGCCATTTTGGGTAATGTTGTAATTGAAACAGTTTATTGGTTTGAAACTTGTTTATGTTTATGTTTGTGTTTTACTTGGGAAGAAAAGAAAAAAGTAAAGCATCAAAGAGTGAGAAAAATTGATGTTCTGCACCACCATCGAGCGAAGCGAGATGGTGTTGATGGTGTTGGTGTAGTCCACCATCGAGCGAAGCGAGATGGTGTTGATGGTGTTGTAGTGTTGGTGTAGTCCACCATCGAGCGAAGCGAGATGGTGTTGTAGTGTTGGTGTAGTCAGTGCAGCCCCACTGAGCTCTTCGCTCGATGATGGTGCTAGAGTTGCTAGTGTCGGTGTAGTCAGTGCTGCTCCACTATCTCGCTTCGCTCAATAGTAGAGGCTCGATAGTGTCGCTCGTACCGGTAGTCAGTGCAGCTCTACTATCTCGCTTCGCTCGCTAGTGGACACTCGATAGTGGAAACGCGACAAATATATTTTTCAAGAACAAAAAGAACAACTACTATTCAAGACAAGATAGTATACAATACAAGATAGAGTCGCCGCCAATAGTTCTTGCATTTGAAAGATGGCGGAAGTGGACAACAACAACAATAATAATAATGGTTGCTCCAGCAATAATATCTCTCCTGAAAAGCATCAGGAACAAACTCAATACGAAAAACTAATCACATCATTACCTCTGCGGTGGGAAATCGAATTAGAATTTGTCCAATCATTATCAAACATCCCCTACGTGAATTACCTTGCTCAGAATAACTATCTACAGGACACTCGGTTTATAAATTACTTGAAATATCTAGAATACTGGACCAAGCCAGAGTATTCCAAGTTTTTAGTATACCCCAACTGCTTACATATTTTGAAATTGTTACAACTGGAGAAATTCCGCAAGGATATTGTTAAACCTGAAGTTATGAATGTTTTAATGAATGATATGGTAAAATTATGGCAGGAGTAGCAAAAGTGTGGAGTATCCACTATCGAGCGTCCACTATCGAGCGTCCACTGACTACATCAGTACGAGCGACACTATTGAGCCTCTACTATTGAGCGAAGCGAGATAGTGGAGCAGCACTAGCTTGTTACAACACTTTCGAGCGAAGCGAGGTAGTGTTGATAATGGAGCAGCACTAGCTTGCTACAACACTTTCGAGCAGAGCGAGGTAGCGTTGATAGTGTCACTAGTCAGTGCTGGTCCACTATCTCGCTCTACTCGATAGTGGGTGGGCACTATCTCGCTCTGCTCGATAGTGTCGATAGTGTCGATAGTGTCACTAGTCAGTACTGGTCCATTATCTCGCTCTACTCGATAGTGTCGCTAGTGTCACTGGTGATTAGAGATAGCTCAATGAGGGTGCAAAAGATACGCTAACAGAGAGCTTTAGCTTTTGCTAGGTTTTTATCGAAATTTTTTTTTTCTGACATTGTTAATCGGATGTAATGGAATCATGATTGAAAATTATAAGACGTTTCACGCCTCTTTTCCTTTTTATTTTCTTCCAAATGGCTGGCTTCATGGTTGAACTAAAAGCGATCAAACGTTCTCTTCCTCCGCCCTTTCGCCGCTCACCTAAGCCTAAGGAGTATGCTTGTATATATTATTTGAAAAATTATGATTTTTTTTTTTTAACATCTTGTGCACCAAAACAGATAGTCTCGGAGTGAATGTGGCAGAAACAATATCAAGAAAAAAGGAGGAAAGAGTCAGAAAGGGAAGGGAAAAATAGAAAAAAAAAGAAAAATTGCAGTGGACCTTCTTGCCAATATCAATTAAGACCTATTGAGATTATCATTTCTTTTTCACCGATCATTCGGTTGATCCATCGGCTAACTCATCGGCCGTTTGACTAATTTTGTTTTTCTTGGCAAAAATTGTTAGCCGGTGAGGTAAAGCCAAAGAAAAGACTCCGACTCCTATTTTTCTCAAAAGTGGTAATTACAGAGCGCTTAAAGAGATAAGTGAAGTAACATCTTCGTGATCCCCTTGCCACAGTTTGTTTCAAACCCGTGAGTCGTTGATTCTTTGCCATATATTACCTGTATAGAGGTGTTTTTTTTTTTTTTGTCTTTTTTTTTTGTGGGGATCGACTAATAGAATAGATCAAATGTAAAAACTATTTTATTTGCTTTACTCAGGGATGGTGTTTAATCATTAGCTCAGTTATCAAGTTTTGGTATTAATGCATAGGAGATGTTCACATTCAGATCATTCTATTTTTAAATATCACGTTGATATAAGTCTCACTTATTAAACAATTTTCTATTAAGGAATTTTCTATTAAGGAACTTTCTAGTAAGCAATGTTCTAGTAAGGAATTTTCTAGTAAGCAATTTTCTCTTTTTCATTCTCCCTTTTCTTTTCATTCCTTCTTTCTTTCTTTTTTTCTTTATTTTTTTTACTTTTCACTTGCTTACTTGCTCACCTGACTGTTCTGCTGCGAGATCCAATTGCTTAAACCATAGAATAGAGTAGAGGTACGAAAAAGCGAGATCCAGTTTTTTGAAGAAGAGCTACGAAAAAGCGAGATCCAGTTTTCTGAAGAAGAGCTACGAAAAAGCACATCAAAATTATGCTGGCTTTATAAAGCAAAATGACGTGCTTTATTTGAGCATTTTTTTTTTGAGAGTGTCTTATTCTGTCATGTCTTACTCTAGTGTGTTCTAAGCCCGGTTTTTTTAAAAACAAACAAAAAAAATGAAATGCCGTTGTTCTGTTTACTTTATTAGTGGCAGTGTCGGCTTATTTTAAATATATACACGGATATTATATTCAAGAAAGATTATGGTGGGGGGGGGGGGGGTGGCGGATGATAGACTAAAAAACAACGTAATAAATCATTTCTTCATTTAAACTTGGTTTTTTTCTCTGTCATCCCACTTTGTCTCTGAGTCTGAGTCAGCTAGAAACTTATATATCTCCAGCCTTCAAAAATATAGGAGATATTATCATATTTCTATTACTCTTTTCTTTTCGCAAATTTGCAAATGACGAAAGGTTAACCACAGTCTTTCAAAGAGGACATTGAACGCAGCTTTTGGCTCATCCTTATTTTTTTTTTTTAATTTTTTTTTTGTTAATGATTTGTAAAAGAATATTGAAGAAGCGGAACAATAGACGTATCAACGATTTTGCACTGTCATGCCAAAACTAAGCATTTTTGTGCGATAAACATATATGTTATTTACCAACAAAAGAGTAACAAAAAACAGTGTAAATCCCACATCATGCGTATGATGTAAATAAATACAACTTTATAACAAAAGCAAATATTTCGTTTTGCTTACAACTTGTTGAGGAAAAAAAGAAATAGGACCTTCTCATGCCTTTTTGTATTATCTGCAATTTCAGGATATGTGTCTAAAAATGTTCTGAGGTAAATATATATATATATATTAAAAGTACCGGAATGGCAAAAATCTCAAAATAGCCATACCGACCTCTATTCATTTTGAAAGCGGTGGTTTTTACCAAGTTTTATTATTTTATCAATCCCCTTCACCATATACATCATCTTGTTTGATTTCCGCTACCTAAGAAATTTTTCAACAAATATTTTTTTGGAGTACTTTACAACGGAACTGATCCGAATTGATCCGAGAGATATCGGAAATAAATCCGGAATAATTACTTTTGCTTTTTCTTTATATCAAGAACCAATTTTGGGAGCGTAGGAGTAATCTGTCAAGGAGACTTGAACATATCAAAGGATTTTCTCAAAGCAGTTGGAAAGGACTTTGATATATAGAGTCCAGGTTTCAAAGTTGCCGGCATTACCTCTTTATAATTACAAACGTTTCATATTGATTTCACCCTATCTCCCTAGTCACACAAAAGCAAACTGAATATTTTCAAGATAACTAGTCAACAGTATACATTCCCACTACAGAGGATTGATTCCAGTTCCAGATCAGCCTCTTTTTTTGGCCAGAAACCTACCTATATACAAGCGAAACCGGTAGTAGCATCAGAACCACCGACAAATACTTTTGTTCCACTTTCACGACAACTGCTGCAGCAGATACTTTCTCAGCCGTCGTCACCTTTGCAAACACCGTTACTGCCACAGCATATGTTTTCAGATCACTCCAAATGGAAACTAAAACTAAATATAAAGCGACCCAATTTCTTTCGCAATCATCACCGATGGCCTAAACCAGAGATTGAATGGATTTACGATCCTTTGGCACTAGTCATATATGCTCTAACTTTCAATATCACCACCGCTATACTATATACCAAATTCACCAAGGATCTAAAGTATAAGAATTTCATTCCGCTTACATGCATTTGTATCAATTTTTGTATTTTTCTTATTGTAATTTACGAGAAACTTTACAAAAGAATTGTGCTACGATCAAAAGGTGCAAGAGTTTGTCATTGGATAGTGTCAAATATCCTAAAGAAATGTTTTTGGCTTTGTTTGTTCGTTATGTGCATTCTCACTGTTGTTCAACTATCTCTGGGAAAAGTTACGAACCCTTTAGACTTGAACCAGCAAGATCTATTATTGGTACATTTGAGTGACGGACAAAGAATCGGGTACTTGGTAATATCGCTAATCAACCTATTATGCAACTGTGCTGTTTTGAGTATATGGTGGAGCACTAGTATATCATCAGTTTATTTGTTGTTTGCAAGTATCAATGTCATTGAAATATTGATAAGTATAAGTATCATTCAAATCAATTTGGATCTTATCAATATCTCGTTTGATCGGCCGGCAAAGAAGATGCACAACTTATTTGTTTTGTGCGGTGCTTTTATGATTGGCCAGAGCATAATGGGTATCAGTATTGTTGTGTTGATCAATGAGAAAAACAGACTAAGCGAAATAATCGGAAGGCTAATTTTCACGTATGATGTTTTGTCCTTTTGTTTAGGATTGTTATACGTTGCATGTACTGCAGTGGCCAGCGTAAAGTTTGATTACAAGCCAATGGATGGGTTGAATGAAATACCAATAAGCTTACCTATTTTGTTTGGTATAACAGTTGGTATCTTAATGATTGAAATTGGCTGCTCGAGATATTTTAGAATTAGAACATTACAGACCTTGTATGAAGTTGAGGAATACGATTTATGTGGACTAACTGAACATCAAAAGCAAGGATGGAGTAAGTTGATCAACTTGAATAGGAAATATAATGCTGGAATCAGTGGCGAAAACGTTATTAGTTTAATGGAAAACTACCTTCATGCTGAATTACCAGGCATGAAATGTAAAGTTTTAAGGGTCTTTAACAAGAATGAGAAACATGAGAAAGTGGGTGAACAAAGTGAAAATCAAAGAGAGCAACAAAAACAGCAGCAGCAGCACAAACAGCAGAAACAGCAGCATAATAAAAAGGAAAAAGAGATTAATGAGAATCATTTGGAGAAGTTGCAAACAGAAAGTACATTAGCATCGAATCAACCAGGCAGTCACGAAAAGAAACAATCACATCACAAGAAAGCTATGCATACCGCTTTTGAACAATTGGATCAAGAGTCTTTTCTTTTTCTGAATGCACCCACCCTAAATGACGCAAATACATCAATACAGTATCTTGAAGATGAATATAAACCATTGAGTAAAAACCAATTAAAAAAATTAGCCAAAAAGAGCAAACAAGCTAAACAGCAAAAGGAATTAGCATCTTTAGAGAATAATACAGAAAAGTTTTATCAAGAATTGATGAATACTCAAGCCTTGGTTCTTTTGACCATAGTTGAAGAATTTGATTTGACTGAAAGAATACCTGGATGGGTTGGTAAAAAATTGAACAAGTTATTTGGACGTAATTCAAGATGGCCTATATTGTGTATAAAGTTTGGATTACTAGGATTTCATTGGCCTTTCAAAAGAAGTACGTTTTATTGCTCAGCGACAAAGAAACCTATTGCAAGAAGTGCTAGTATATTATATGCCATATCGCACTGGAACAAAGTACATGAAAAGTGTGCCGTATTATTAGACCCAGGGTATAAAGATGCTAGTTTTGAAGCAGGAGTAGATTATTCAGGATGGATAAAGATTAAGTTGCCAAATTCTCATATAATTGACTTGCGTCCATTCCATAACCAAACAAGCACCGAGTATTTCAAAGCAATTAAATACAGGAATCAAGACAATGCGTTTAAGCAAAGCCAGGGACAAGTTATTGAGCTGTATAATTTCAATTTTGAAAATTGTCAAGAAATCATTGCCATGAATGATAATATTGCACAAAACCGGCAACAAAATGGTCAATCATCACAACTACTTCATCCCGATTGGGAGTTTATTTATAATTTGGGGAATTTCGCAAATGATCAGAAATACAGATCGCTTTTGTTTCTCAAGGTTGGCGATAAAATAATTGCATCGTGTGTAATCTTTAGGCTTGGGGAAACAATGACATCAGATATCCAAGGCTTGGATCATGAGATAAGTAAGAAATATAAAGCATACTTTGTAATGATGCAAGAAGTAATCAAAATGGGTCTTCGGGAAAATGTCAGTTTTATTGATTTTGGACCAACTACCGAAGAAGCTAAAGTTGCTATTGGATGTAGCGTTGTGCCACTTATAGGGTCCATATACCCTAGACATAAGTTTATGGGTCCAATCATCAGATTTGCTGCTAGTAAAGTTGATGTATAGAAGAAAAAGAGGGAGGACCTTAATGTGACGATGATTTATGACCGATTTTGCATGTATAGAGAATTGAGAGACGAGATTATGAGAGAAAGTAATAGAATTGAAAAGTTATAGATTATTTTGCCAACACTATCTCCAACTCCACTATCTCGAACTCCACTAGGGAGCGAAGCGAGCTAGTGGAGCAGCATTAGCAACACTATCTCCAACCCGACTAGGGAGCGAAGCGAGCTAGTGGAGCAGCACTATCTCGAACCCGACTAGGGAGCGAAGCGAGCTAGTAGAGCAGTACTAGCAACACCATCTCTAACTCCACTGGCTTGCTTCGCTTCCTAGAAGAGCAACACTTTGTCGCTGTTACGACACTATCGAGCGAAGCGAGATGGTGGTGCCTTTAGCTTTGCTCGATAGTGGAGCAACACTTAGTCCTTGTTACGACACTATCTCGCTTCGCTCGATAGATGTACCTCTCGCTTCGCTCGATAGATGTACCTCTCGCTTCGCTCGATAGCAACAACGGAATTTCCAATTCTGGGCTGTCAAGAAGCGAGAATGGAAAAAAAAGAATAGTGCGTGGCAAATGAAAAATTCAACAAAAGGAATAGGGTCTTTTATTCTTTTACATAGAGTTATATTCGGAGCAGTGGACTAGGGACTAAGGACTAGGGTATCATCTGCTGGTTATATCTGCAGAGATTTCCAGATTTCAGTATGAGCTTTTCAGGAACATCGCGTGAACCAGACGCTATTTACGATACTCATTATGCCAAGTTTAAGTCGATATGTCATTCGCTATACACTAATTATCGTATAACGATGAATGAACTTTTGATAATCAGTTTGTATATTTTGAATTTTGTACTATCGAGACTAATTCATTTCGGTGCCCCCGAGGAAGAGGTATACAACTACTTCAACAACAAGGGGAACTTTTTGAATTATTTTTTTGTTAAACGTGGATGGGGGTGGACTACACTTGTCATTATGTTTTATTATTTCGGACATGTGTTTAGATATCTTATTGAGTCAAATAAGAAAAAGCTGAATGATAAGGAGGCCAAGATTGGCACTGTTATCGGAGGCGCGATATTGCGATATGGCTTAGCTACTATTTGGTGGTATCTATTCACACAATGGTGTTTTGGCTTACCTATAATGGATAAGGTGTTTATTTTTACAGGAGGCGCATGCCATCTTGAGCCGGTAAGTAGTAGTAGTAGTAGTGGCACAATACCTCCATTACGCGAAAAACATACGAATATAGCAAAACATTTTGTTCAGGATATCGAGACTATGATTTGGAAAAGTTCATCAGTTACATCGCGTAATTGTCGTCAAGTGAATGGATCTTGGATAGGCGGTCATGATCCTCTGGGTCACGTGTTCTTAATGATCCATTCGAGTTTATATTTGTACTTTGAATCTGCTAGATTTTTCAACTGGAAATCATTAGTTCAAACGGCATGTTATTTTGTTGATAAGATTAAAGCGAAGAACAATAAAAATAATAATAAGAGAATAGATGTCAGAGTAGAGGATACGGCACGTCTTATTGGAGATTTGGCGCAATTGAGTATTGTGTTTTTGATTGCCTTGTGGTGGTTTATGCTACTAATGACAAATGTCTATTTCCATTCGATTTTGGAGAAATTAGTTGGGTTGATGTTTGGATATGTGGGTATTTTTGTTATTTATTTCATACCACGGTGGATAAACATTGGTGTATAATATTTATTTTAATATATATATATATATATATATATATACCTCAAGAGTAATTAGTGTAGGATGTCTACTTTAGATAGATATGCGCAAATCAGTAGGCTTTAGATAGATATGCGCAAATCAGTAGGTCGTCAAATGTTCATTCACATTCTCTCTACTACTCTCACGACTAGAGTCCCCTTTCGGAGCTCCTCTATGTCATTATTATAAGAGAGAAAAAAAGTTTTTAGCTTATAGCGAAAGCTTATAGGTTATAACGAAACCTTATAGCTTATAGGTTAAACGGAAAGGAGACGAAATAAAAAAAAATGAGTTGCAAAGGGGAACAGTAAATTTGCCCCCCTTTGGGCTAAATACAAGAAGAAAAGGTATTTAAACCAATTTTTAGGAAGCCCTCAATTTATACATTTTTGGTGTTGTTTTGAAAACTTCCCTTTTAATGAATAGAGTAGAAAGAAAAAGGCCTTATAGGTAGTGCGATCAGAAACAATTAGATCCGTGTACATATTATTTTATCTGTAAAAACGAACTTTTGGATGTACGCGTGAAATAATATAACGCGTAAAAGAATTAAAAATCAATCTATGACAGAGGAAAGAAGAAGAAAGAAAAAAAAGAAAAGGAGAAAAAAAAGTTAGAGGTGTTAGACGATAGGTATTAGACGACACGTCAAGTGAAAAAAAAAAAAAAAGGAACCTACAGTAGGGAGTGAAGCGAGCTAATGGAGCAGTATGTAGAGAGCAGAGATGTGGAATGTGTTGTAGTAGCTTAATGACAGACAATCTTTTTTTACCTTTGGCGAATTCATTCCTTACAACAATCTCTCTTTTTCTCACCAACCGTAAAAATAAAATAAAATATAATAGAATGTTACACAAAAACACCGATTTTATCAATAGATTTCACAAAAGAGGAACCAACAACGAAAAAATATACAACAAGACGAGTTGGTACAACATAAAATCAATTGAACATCGTCCAAAATGGACTCACTAGAAGCAACAAAATATAAACAATTTACAAAAAAAAATCGTGAACGCAGCATATAGTCTTAACAGTATATAGTTGATGTCCCATCACACCTAAAAGTGCTAGCCCTTCCAAAGACCTCATAACCCATTTTCCTGTAACCAATTTATTTACTTTTTGAATTCTTTTGTTTACTCATCGTTTTTTTTTTTTTTTTTTTCTATTAGCATTGTTCTTATAATTTGAATGCATTACATAGTTACTCCTTTTTTTTTTTTTAACCTCATTAGCGCTAGGTATTTTAAACTTTTCCAAGCCTTTAGTAAAATCTGTATTTTGTGTTCATCATACCACCGTGTTGGTGCCTCTTCGTGTAAAATTTATCAATCTTGAAATTATTCATCTTCTGGAAAGCCATTCATTCAATTTTGTTTTTTTTTGTTCTTAATCCCCACCACTTCTTTACAACTTACTGCCTTGCCATACCCCCTTCTTCTCCTCCTGCTGCTGCTGCTGTCCTGTATCATCACCACTTGGAGCCTCTTCATTTGGTTTTTTTTTTTATGATGCTCTTTATACTAGTGCCCAAATACTGGCTACTACTGTTTCTACTATTTGTCAACCATGCTTATGCATCCATATACATGGGATTCCCATTTAATGAACAGTTACCCAATATTGCAAGAACAAATCAAGCTTATAGCTTCACCATTGCTAACACCACTTACAAATCCAATAGTCAAGGGGAAATCACATATCAAGCCACAAACTTACCAGCATGGCTCACATTTGACTCGGGGTCAAGAACCTTTTTAGGAACGCCCCAAGAAGTTGATGTAGGGGAATTTACAATTACTTTAACGGGAACGGATGAAAGCGATCAATCGCAAATGACTAACGACTATACAATGCTCGTATCAAATGACCCAGGAATAGAGATATCTTCACCAAATGTCATGTTCAACGAAATCGCTTCAATGGGTAGAACAGACGGAAATAATGGATTGGTTGTAAAACCAGGTGATGTGTTAAACTTGAAATTCACCAAGGATGTATTCACATTGAAAAGTGGTAGTAATCTTCCAATCATTGCTTATTACGGGAGATCAGCAGATCGTAGCTCTTTACCACCGTGGATCTCATTTGATGGTGAAACACTAGAATTCTCGGGAACTGTACCCAATGTAACCTCGGAAAATGCACCAAGTTTTGAATATGGTTTCAGCTTTATTGCAAGTGATTATTATGGATATGCTGGTGCCAGTGCTGATTTCAAAATCATCGTTGGAGGTCATCAATTGAACACTGATTTGAATGACACCATCAAGCTCAATGGTTCTTTTGCTCAATATATTAACCAACAGGTTCCAATTCTAACAGATGTCTATCTTGATGGAATGGAAATTGTCAAGGAAAATATATCCCTGGTTTACAGCGATGGTCTACCTGATTATTTGAAGTTTGACAGTGATAATTATACGATATCGGGAACTTTACCAAATGATCCGACTACCAGTGCTTTCGAAGTCATTGTGAAGGATATATATGGTAACACGGTTGATTTACAATACTCCATCAATGTGATTGGATCAGTATTTACCACCGATTCGTTACCTGACGTGAATGCAACAAAGGGAGAGTGGTTCCAATACCAAATTTTAAATTCCCTTTTTACGAATATTGCTGATACAAATGTTTCTATTGATTATGACAATTCAAGCTGGTTACAGTATCACGATTCGAATATGACATTAAGTGGGAAGACCCCAAACGATTTTACTCAACTAAAAGTATCGATTTCGGCAGAGATGGGCTCTGATAGTGAGTCGAGGAGTTTTAATATCAAAGGTGTTGAAAGAAATGTAGTCTCTTCCACATCAGCATCAGCATCAACATCCACATCGTCATTAACACCAACATCCTCATCAGCATCTTCATCTGCGACAACAACTAATCCTACTACTACTACTTCTACTACTACTACTACTACTGCTGCTGCTGCTGCCTCAAAAAGCAATAAAGATTTGGCCATCGGTTTAGGAGTAGGTATTCCCCTTGGTGCAATCCTTATTGCTGGTATCATCATTTTCTTCTGTTGCTGCTTCAAAAAGAGAAAGGATTCTAAACAACATGACAAAGAGAATAACTTGGGTGTCGTTATCAGAACAGAAACACCACCTTCACCTCAACAGATGGTGCCGCTTAGTGGAAAGACAATGGACTCTAAAATGGCGTCCCAGATCAACTTGATGAAACTTGATGGCTTGGCCTCAGGAAACTCATCATCTTCTTCCTTAACCCACGTTGACACTGATGACTATGCATTCCATGATGCTCGAGAACAACCAATGAAGAGTTGGCGTGCAAATACTGAACTGGATAATAAAACTTCATCTCCCACATTTGGAACATCCACGAAACCAAATTTACGAAATAGTGATGCGTCAATGTCAACAGTTAATACGGAGCAATTGTTCTCCGTTCGATTAGTTGACGATCCATCAGCAAGAAACTCGTCTTCATCCCAATTTGTGAGTAATAGTTCCATAAATGCTTTACTCAAGAGAGATAGCTCATCAAATATCCAAAAAATGGATTCAAATGGCAACATAGTAGAGTATAACACTTTTGCACCCAATACGTCTTCCGAGAAGCAACGGCAACAAGTATTATCGTCACAGTTGCATATGGTTCCAGAAGAAGAACATTCAAGATCAATAACTGCGCGTGAAGATACTTCAGGGACAATAAGTAATCTACTTCAAAAGGTTAATAAGTCTCCTTCATCAACTTACTCTGCCTCGATTATCAACTCATCATCATCATTATCATCATTATCACCACCATATGGTTCAACACAAATGCCTAATTTGGACACATCAACCTACAGTTATGAGTTCAAAACTACAGATGTTGAATCACCACAATCGGATAATTTCCTCTTGGGTGGAGAAAACAATTCAACTCCAGCAACAAGTGGTAATTATTCTTATTCAAAAACAAGGGGCAAAAACGAAAATGTTACAATAGCCTTAAACACCGTTTTAATGAACCACCCTAACATATCTACGCTTTCATGGAACTCAACACATTCAGAAAAACTCGTTTACGATTCTAGAATTAAAAACCAAAATTCTAAACAGGATCAGCTAAATGTCTCAAAGACACATAATGGTGGTACTGGCACTAGTGGAGTCCCTGAAGTATCCCTAGTGGAGTTTACACGAAAGGGAAGTTTAAGAGACTCGGCTTATGAGCCTGACTATTACCACAAAGAACAATCTGCGACAATTCACAATAGTGATAGCGATTAACGCAAATCAAAATGAAAAAAAAAAAAAAAAAAAGAAAAAAGAAAAATAGAAAAATAGAAAGAGGATATTCACTGAATGTGAACCTGCTATTTTTAATTAACTCCAAAATTGTCTACACAATACCACTTGCAGAACTTCAATTCTCAGTCATATATCTGGCTTTATTTTATTTTTGTTTTGATTCATACCTAGTAAACTTTTAAATGTAGATTTTTATTTTATTTTTTGTTTTCAATATATGGTATTAGTGATAACTACTTGTTACTCTTTGGCAAAGTTTCCACATATTGAGCAGTATCATATGCTCTTCTTCTTCCACTAATGTAGGTCATCATTTCGGAATATGTCTGGGGGATCACGGAACAATAGCGCAATTGTTGTTGTTGTTGTTGCTGCGCCTCTCCATAGCTCTCCTTGGGTACAAAAAATGAATAAATAAATGTACCAGCAGGTTTTCTTGTGTTAGCTCCTACTAAATGTTGTGTAAAAGTATCAACTTTAACTTGGATTAATGTACCCGGTTCAGACAAGAACGCCTCGGGGTTAGAACTAATCTTGTTCATTGCTGGTAATTTGAAATTAAAAGGTGAATGCACCTCATCTTCAGTATCATCGTTACTCCGTAAATGTTCAGTATATGAAACCGAGGCGTTCATGGATAACACCGAACCAACAGGTACGGGGTTCTTAAAAGTAGTTGAGTCCAAACTAACGAATCTTGGTCCCGCTTTCGCAAAACTTGCAGCTGTACAATAAGCTAGCTCAAATGATTGTCTCAATAAATATCCACCAAATATCATATACGAGTGACGATTACGATATTGGGGTTGCATGAATAATGTTGATTGTTGTAAAGTATCCTTCATGAATGCCAATCCATTGACATTGCTCTCTTTTATATCGTCTTCATTTTCAATCGATTTTGTTGATCTCCACATATCGTAAATCAACCGAGATTCTTCGGGAGTAGGTTCAATCATACGTGCATTTCTGGCCATCAATTTCTTCTTGGTGTTGTGGCTTTCTGCTCTTCTATAGTCTATCCAATCTTGTTCTGAAATGGGTAGTAATCGATTGATAGCAAATGGTTTATGAGTTATTGGATTGCGTGCAACAAAGGTGAAATTAGCAGTAAGAAATACGTTTTCATCGGCAAGGGCATCTTCTCCGTGTGACAAGTCCTCCTCACTTATATCGGTTTCAAAAGCATACCCTTTAACAGTTATCTCCATACTTGACCTTCCTGTCCATGTAACACTCCCTGCAAGCACGAAATTATAGTTCGTGATCTCATCGACCTTTTTGACCATGTATATCCTATCAACACTAGCCGTGACATTAACCGGTTCAGCGGGAGAGCAGTGCCTATAAGCTATCCTCCCTGCAAGGGCATCCAAATCTTGAAACAATTGGCCAGCACGTAATCTACCAAACGCATTGATATAAGCATCGCACAACCACAGATCCTTTTTGAAAGGTAATAACAAGTAAGTAAATGAGTCCTCGCGAGTTTTTTCACCAACTTCAGTAGTTATAGGGTTAACATAAGTAAAGCTATCGATAGTCTTGCCTTGGGCAGATAATTTTTCACGTTCTTTTAATGCATCTAGCCATAATGTTTTATTAGGATTGATTTGGGCATCTCTCAAATCAGCTAGAATTGTCGCTGCGGCGTCTGCAGCATCAGCTCTTTCATGAGACCCAGCACTATCAGGTCTGTGGAAATTCGGCTGCGTCAGGGAAGTTGCTGACGATGAAGTAGACTTTACCTTGGCTGGTTGAGTATTATATCTAAGTAATTGCAAGTTCCTGATTGGTCTAAATTTGACCTTCAGAAATCCACCAAAAGTTTTAATCATTATCGACTCAGATGAAGTAGAGTTACTATAGAGGTAGAGCCCTTAGACTTATCTTGTAAATAAACCTTGGTGTTTGGATTTCCCTTTTATTCTAGTCGACAATTCTTGGAACAAGGAAAAATAAACCGGGGTAATTCTTTGCGAGTCGCGATGAGGGAAGCTACTAATGCATGGAAGGATAACGGTTATTCTTTTATCCGCAAATTGAACACAGCTTTATTTGTTGAGAATCCATTTGGTTAAGCTCAATAGCATAAAAACATCAACTTGATTAAGCTCAATAGCATCAACACATCAATTTGGTTAAGCTCAATAGCATCAACACATTAATTTGGTCGAGCCCAACTCTGTTGATTAGTTTAAAGAGAATAAATGAGTTTATTAGTTTCCATTACAAGCTTATAGTACAATAGAAAAAATTTTTTTTTTTTTTTTGCATCTATTGAAACAATAGAGACCCTTGCAGAAGTTATCACATTTTGCAAGTATTCTGAGACTGTAGTAATAGAGGTTTATATGGTGATTGTTTTGTTTTCTACACAACTATCGAGCGAAGCAAGATAGTGTCATTAGTCAGTCAGCAATAAATTTACAAGTAAAAGCTAGTCAGTGCTGCTCCACTATCGAGCAGAGCGAGGTAGTGTTTCTAGCTTGTTACAACACTATCTCGCTCTGCTGGATAGTGTCATTAGTCAGTTAGCAATAAATTTACAAGTAGAAGCTGGCCAGTGCTGCTCCACTATCGAGCAGAGCGAGGTGGTGTTTCTAGCTCTGCTGGATAGTGTCATTAGTCAGTCAGCAACAAATTTACCAGTAGAAGCTGGTCAGTGCTACTCCACTATCTCGCTCTGCTCGATAGTGTTTCTAGCTCTGCTCGATAGTGTTTCTAGCTCTGCTCGATAGTGTTTCTAGCTCTGCCCAATAGTGTCATTAAAATGGCGGTCCATTTTCAAATGTGCATTCTTTTCCTCAGTCTCGGAGTTTAATTTCCTTTTTCCTACAATTTACCCCAAAAATTTCTCACCATGCTTGAACTAAATTTGACGGACTAGTGACGCCCACCACTGCGCGCGCGCTTTCTTTCTCTCTCTCTCTCTCTCTCTCGCTCTCGCTCTCGCTGGTCTCTCAAAACAAAACGATCAGAGGTTCGGCATCGAGAAAAATAGTGGACGGTTGGTAGCACATTCCATTTCAACGCTACCAAATGAAGAAATAAATTTTGCTCTGTCAAAGAAGGGAACCCCGAAAAGCCTGGGCGAAAGCATCATTATATTACTTGATAGCCCTTTTCACTAGAGGTACCAGTAAGATCCTTTTAGACAGACATATTCATATAGGAAAACAACCTCTATTAATAGCTGCTAGAATAATGGCTCCAATAACATCTTCAGTCGCCAAGACTGCCCAGTTGGCAGCACAAGCATTAAGAAAGCCAATCAGCAAAGTCGGGCAAACACAAGCTATGAGAATGAACTTTAACGTTAGTAATAATCTTGCATCTACCCGTTTGAATACCTCTAAAGCAGGGGCACAGGAAATGACAGTGAGAGATGCATTGAACTCCGGTTTGGCAGAGGAGTTGGATCGTGATGACGATGTGTTTTTAATGGGTGAAGAGGTTGGTCAGTATAATGGAGCTTATAAAGTTAGTAGAGGCTTGTTAGATAGATTCGGCGAGAGAAGAGTTATTGATACTCCCATCACCGAAATGGGATTTACCGGTTTGGCTGTAGGTGCAGCTTTGCATGGATTGAAACCAGTTTTGGAATTTATGACGTTTAATTTTGCTATGCAAGCTATTGATCAAATCATCAATTCAGCGGCAAAAACATACTATATGAGCGGTGGTACTCAACCGTGTAATATCACTTTTAGAGGTCCTAACGGTGCTGCAGCAGGTGTTGCTGCTCAGCACTCTCAGTGTTATGCTGCTTGGTACGGCTCAATTCCAGGTTTGAAGGTATTGTCGCCATATTCTGCTGAAGACTATAAAGGGTTAATCAAAGCTTCTATCAGAGACCCAAACCCCGTAGTGTTTTTGGAGAATGAAATTGCATATGGTGAATCCTTCCCAATGAGCGAGGAAGCACTTTCGTCAGATTTCCTCTTACCAATTGGTAAAGCCAAAATTGAAAGAGAAGGTAACGATTTGACTATTGTTGGTCACTCGAGAGCTGTTGAATTCTGCTTAAAAGCTGCTGAAAAATTGGAAAAAGATTATGGTGTAAAAGCCGAGGTTATCAATTTGAGGTCAATTAAGCCATTAGACGTACCAACTATTATTGACTCATTGAAAAAGACAAATCATTTGATCACCGTTGAGAGTGGGTTCCCCGCGTTTGGTGTTGGTTCTGAAATCTGTGCCCAAGTCATGGAATCTGAAGGATTTGATTACTTGGACGCTCCAGTTGAAAGAGTCACTGGTTGTGAAGTGCCAACTCCATATGCTAAGGAATTGGAGGACTTTGCTTTCCCAGATACCGAAGTTATCATGAGAGCCTCAAGAAAAGTTTTGGGCTTATAAAGAAAGAAAAAGAAGTGCCACCGGTTAAGCGCTAAAGAAGAAGAAGTGCCACCGGTTAAGCGCTATAGAAAGGAAGTGCCACAGGTTAAGTGCTAAAGAAAGAAAGTGCCACAGGTTAAGTGCTAAAGAAAGAAAGTGCCACAGGTCAAGCTTCATGCTGATTAGTTTATAGACATATATTATATATTGCAATAGGGAGAGGTAATGTAGAAAGCCATTGTAGATATAAAAGAGAAATGTAGTCATGTAAAATCTATCACTGTAAAACCTAATCAGGGCATTATCTCATCGAAATCATCTATTCGTTCCCTAGATTATGCATTAAGCTGAAAAATGCATAATCGAAATCGAGGAGAAAAAAATAAAAAGAAAAAAAAAGAATGGGGAAAAAGTTATTGAGAGGTCAAGGGTATAGAGGTTAGATACTTTGTTTGTTTACTGGTAAGATTGCTTATTTGTTTCAAATTGTGCTCTCTTCTTTCTAAGCCATGTCGGAAAAGCTGGTGGGGTACCCGGATATAGACTCCGGGGATAACAAACTAAATTATAGACATGCAGCGTTTGATGAAGAAAATGATGGATTATTACCAGTAACGAATCCCCAATTGAAGTTAAAAGTTGGTAGTGGTAGTAGCAACAGCAGCAGCAAAAGTGGTAAGGCAGGCCACAAAAATGAGAGTCTACTACCGCAAGACCGGAAATACTTTTTTATCTTGATTCTACTATATTTACTTCAAGGTGTTCCTGTCGGGTTAACTTTTGGATCGATTCCATTTATACTCAAGAGTAAGTTGACTTTTTCACAAGTTGGGGTTTTTTCGCTAGCTGCTTATCCATACTCATTAAAGCTCATATGGTCGCCGTTTGTTGACTCGGTATATTCCAAAAAAATAGGACGTCGAAGATCTTGGATTATCCCAATCCAAACAATCTCAGGGTTGATTTTGGTTTATTTGGGCTTTTTTATGGATGACTTGATGCGCGATCCACAAAAACACTTGCATTCAATCACCATCTATTTTTCTATACTCATATTGTGCTGTGCAACTCAGGATATAGCAGTTGATGGATGGGCATTGACTGTACTTTCACCTGAAAGTTTGTCTTTTGCCTCGACTGCACAAACAATAGGTATGAACTGTGGATATTTCATGAGCTTTACTATTTTCCTTGCTCTAAGCTCCCCCGAATTTGCCAACAAGTACTTAAGATCACAACCGTCAACTAATGGCTTGTTCTCTTTAGGGCAATATCTAACTTTTTGGGGAATGATGTATTTGTTCATTACTGCATTGGTGATTTTCATACCTGAAGACCCCAAACATTTGGTCAATGTGAATAGAGATAGAATGGCAAAACAAAAGCAATATTCCGATGTATTTAATGCCAAGAACCAATGGACACAAATAACTGACGTTTACAGTTCAATGTATAAAGTTTTGCAACTTTCCAATGTTCAAACATTTGTCGTCATTTTGTTACTAGCCAAGCTTGGATTCCAAGTCAACGAAGCAGGAACCAATTTGAAATTATTAGAGAAAGGATTGAGTAAAGAGGATTTGTCAATCACGGTGCTCATTGATTTCCCATTCGAAATGATCTTTGGGTATTATGCCGGAAGATGGTCTACTGGGAAAAAACCGCTTCGACCATGGCTTTGGGGGTTTATTGGTAGATTGGTTGCAGCAGCATTAGCACAGTTCATAGTTTATTTCTTCCCTAGCGACGGTCATGTAACAAAGAAATATTTTTTGATGGTTATCTTGCAGCACTTATTGGGCTCGTTCATGTCGACTATTCAGTTTGTTTCATTATGTGCATTTCACACGAAAATAGCCGACCCAACAATTGGCGGAACTTATATGACCACGCTTAATACTTTATCTAACTACGGAGGTACATGGCCTAGAATCTTTATATATTTCCTAATTGATAAAATCACATTGACCAAATGCTTATTGCCTCAGAGTGTTGGCAAAAGCAATACTGAAAAATTCTTTTGGATCAAATCGGAAAAGAACAAGGAACAATGCGAATATAGTGGCGGTAAAGTAGAAATCGTTAGAGACGGGTATTACTATACAAATGCAATTTGTATATTTTTGGGAGTTTTAATCTTGTTTTGGGTAAAGAAAAAAGCAGTTTATTTACAAAGCTTGCCGAATAGCGCTTGGAGGATGAAGAGGTAAGATCTAACCACTATCGAGCAGAGCGAGAAAGTGGAGCACACTAGCTGCCGACACTAGCAGCCACCGACTAGCTACTATCACACTGACTAGCTTTTATCGAGCAGAGCGAAATAGTGGAGCTTACTGACTAGCTACTATCACACTGAATAGCTTCTATCGAGCAGAGCGAAATAGTGGAGCTTACTGACTAGCTACTATCTCGCTCTGCTCGATAGTGTTGCTCGATAGTGGAGCACTGACTAGCTACTATCTCGCTCTGCTCGATAGTGTTGTTCGATAATGAAGCACTGACTAGCTACTTTCGAGTCAAATAAGGGTATTTGGCAAAAACACCGTCATCTTTTCTTTCCATTTTATGAATAAGTTTTTGCAAGCGCTCGTTTTAAGTCGCTCGTTTTAAGTCATTTTTTATCCACTCTTCTAAAGGTTACCATCTTTGCAAAAAAGAGTCACTTACATAGATGCTTCCCTTGAAGCGGTAGAAAAGGCAATCAAAGATCTCTACAAATACACTTTTCCTTCATCTATCACTCTTATCTATGATGCTCCACTATCGAGCAGAGCCAGATAGTGTAGATAGTGTCGATAGTCAACCTCACAGTCACTGCTCCACTATCTCGCTTCGCTCGATAGTGTCGATAGTGTCGATAGTCAACCTCACAGACACTGCTCCACTATCGAGCAGAGCCAGATAGTGTAGATAGTGTCGATAGTCAACCTCACAGTCACTGCTCCACTATCTCGCTTCGCTCGATAGTGTCGATAGTGTCGATAGTCAGCCTCACAGTCACTGCTCCACTATCTCGCTTCTCTCGATAGTGTCGATAGTGTCGATAGTGTCTAGTATCGAGTGTCCATAGAGAGGATGTATAAGAAGAGTAGAAAGGAAATGAAAAAAAAAGAAATTAAAAATTATTTCATAACGGCGCGTAAGATTTGTAGATTGATTTGCTTTAATATAAACTCTTAGTAAGGAAACGAGTTGAAGCAAGTTTCTTTTCTAAGGTGTTGTTGGTGTTTGCTTTGACCATGAAATGGTATTACTCAGAGATATAGTACGACAGCAGGAGTCATTTAGTCAAATAACCACGTCGGTACCAGGATTAGATGACTTACTTTTCCACTCATCAATAGTTAGGAATAGGATTTATGACTTTCAATCTTCACCAGGATGTCATGGGATGAAAATCGTTATATCGTCCCTTATTGTTTCTCACTTATCTAGAGGCAAAAAAGTGATCATTATTGATACTTTAAACAAGTTCCCATTCAATGTGTTGCGCAAACAACCAAATTTTAAACCAAATTTTAAAAAACATATAACGCACTATCATTGTGATACTTTTGCAAAGATGTTTTCTGTGCTAACAAGAACTGAGATTGGCTTGGATACAATGATTGTGATTAACGATTTTCACTTGTTGGTTGAGTTGTACAAGTTAGAAATGTCGTCAACTTATGAAGAGATGATATTGAAACACCATATTGAAGTAAACGCGGTATATCTCAACAACAAGCAGAAAAATATTAATGACGCGTTACCGCAACTACCGTTGAATTCAGACTTATTGAAAATAAGCCCTATTGCTAAATTTGGACATCATGTTGATGATTTGTTCCGAATATTGAACAAGATCTGCGTTTTGAAAAACTGCATGGTTTTTCTTCTTGGTTACTTGGAAACAAAGTATCGCCCATACAGAACCACCACCAACTCTATGGAAAATGACATGAATACATCTTTTTTATTTGCTGATAAGGGTAGAGTTGTTTTAACCCCACACGAGATACACAAGTCACTAATAGACAAATTTTTATTTTATAACGATTGGTATCACAAATCCCCTCATTTTTTCCAAAACTTTCCTATTGAAGATAATAAAAAGGTGATTTATGTGAACCAGTCTATGTTACGATTCGTTAATGCCGTGAAGTTGGAAACTCCAAGGGAATCGTTCTATCCGATATATTTTGATATCGATGATGAGTTTTATTATGAAAATGAGCAAGATTGTGAACCGGGCTATAGGGTTCGAAATCTATCAGAGAAGATCAATAATAATAACAGTCACAACAACAATATCAATATAAATGATAAATCTGCTATGGCCACGAGCATGACAGGACTTTATTATGGCGAGAGTAGTAGTAGCAGTATTTCGAACGCTAAAATTTTTTCATCGCAGGATGATATTGACTCAACAGTGATCAACGTCACCAATAACGATTTAGTTAATACAAGTTCAGTGTCTGAATCATTTCTAAGTGGCTCAGTCAACAAAGATGATGATGACGACGATGACGATGACGATGACGATGACGACAATGACAACAAAGATAATAATGACAAACCTCAGAACCCCCCCCCAGTAAAGATATTTTAAGAGTTTGGCGCTACCCGAAAAATTATTGATCTCATCGCTCTGCTCCATTTGTACCCTTTTTCATTTATTTCCACTCTTCTCCTTCTACCTTGGATCTTTTCTTTGAATGCCGAAGGAGCAATTATCTTGAACTTGTATATAACTTAGAGTACTATATTGGATACATAATGGCTACAGTAATACCTCCTCCATCTAAGAAACAGAAAAGAGAAGCGCAGAAAGTAAGGGAGGTGGATTTGGTACCGGAAGATGTTGGAAACGTGCTTATCAAGTTTCAGGCATCAGATAGTGGGGAGTCTATTGGAGGGTCAATAAGAGTACCTGGGGGTATTACAGAGAAGCAGTTAGAAGAGTTGCTCAATAATTTACAAGGTGAGTCAGATGAGCCTGTGCCGTATACATTTTCTCTTTTAGTTCAAGAAGACGAGGATAACAAATTAATAGATATTAGAAATACAATATACCACTCGGTGATAAAGCCCGGTATCAAGACAACAGAAGACTTTCTTACACTAGTTTACACACCGAGAGCAATTTTTAAAGTTAAGCCGGTAACAAGATCCAACGCGGCGATAGCAGGTCATGGCTCTACGATATTGTGCTGTTCTTTTGCACCCAACGATTCGGGAAGGATGGTTTCGGGAGCTGGTGATTCAACTGCTCGTGTATGGGATTGTAATACATCAACGCCAGTACAAACTTTATCTGGCCACACAAACTGGGTGTTATGTGTGGCATATTCACCAGACGGTACCATGATTGCAACGGGGTCCAAGGATAACACAATTAGAGTATGGGATGCCAATACCGGAGCTTTACTTGGCAAACCGCTAACTGGTCATTCCAAGTGGGTTAGTTCATTGAGTTGGGAACCATTACATCTTGTTGCACCAGGCGACAAGCCGAGATTAGCATCTAGTTCCAAAGATGGCACAGTGAAGATTTGGGACACGAGTTCACGAACATGTACATTAACAATGAGCGGGCATACTAATTCTGTTTCATGTGTCAAGTGGTCAGGATCAAACATAGTATATAGTGCATCACATGACACGACTATCAAGGCGTGGGACATAAGTGCCAATGGGAAATGTATACAAACGTTAAAGAGCCATGCGCACTGGGTCAACCACTTATCCTTATCCACCGATTACGTATTGAGGAAAGGTGCATTTGACCATACTTCAACCAGATTTTCGAAATATACTGCTCAAGAATTACGCTCCAGGGCCAAAGAACAATACGAAAAAGTTGCCAAATTGAATGGAGTTATTAGTGAACGATTAGTTACCGCCAGTGACGATTTCACCATGTATTTATGGGAACCGTTGAAGTCGTCGAAACCAGTAGTGAGAATGACTGGACATCAGAAATTAGTCAACCATGTGAGTTTTTCACCAGATGGAAGATTTGTAGTTTCGAGTTCATTTGATAACTCGATAAAACTATGGGATGGTATTAGAGGTACGTTTATTACGACTTTGCGAGGACACGTTGCGCCGGTATATCAAACAGCATGGTCGGCCGATAACAGATTACTAGTGAGTTGTTCAAAGGATACTACATTGAAAGTTTGGGATATAAGAACAAAGAAATTGAGTGTTGACTTACCGGGGCATGCTGACGAAGTATATGCAGTAGATTGGAGCTTGGATGGTAAGAGAGTTGCATCTGGAGGTAAGGATAAGATGATTAGATTATGGTCTCATTAACAGTGTCGACGACACTATTGAGCAGAGCGAGATAGTGTTGTAACAAGCTACTAAGCCAGTAAGCGTTGCTTCATTATTGAGCAGAGCGAGATAGTGTTGTAACAAGCTACTAAGCTACTAACGTTGCTCCACTATCTCGCTCTGCTCAATAGTGGAGCAGCACTGCCTATGATTAGAGAAACTCATTATAATTAGATAGGCTCTATAATTAGATAGGCTAATTAGAATTTAATAGCACTTGATTAAGTCGACCAACACTATTGAGCGAAGCGAGATAGTGTTGATAGTGTCGATGACACTAGGCGACACTATGGAGAGAAGCGAGCTAGTGGAAAAGTACTTTGTAGCAGCACAGACTGACTAGCGACACTATCTCGCTTCGCTCGATAGTATTATCGCTCGATAGTGGAGATTCATTGACTAGCAACACTATCTCACTTCGCTCGATAGTATTACCATATATTGTTTGGTCCTTTACTCCGCGCGATGGTGTCGTTGTGGGTAGTGGGCTCCACTATCTCGCTCTACTCGATAGTGTCGCCATTTCTCTCTTTTATTGGTAAGCAGAATGTGCGTGTAAATAAGCTCAAGCGAAAAACAAAAAGTGAAAAATTGTTTTAATAAAGACGAAAAGAGTAACCAATTTATCCGATAGCTCCTGTATTGTCAAGGAGTGATTTGCTGAGAGACAAGGACTGATAGGCTGAAAGACAAGGACTGATAGGCTGAGAGACAAGGACTGATAGGCTGAGAGACAAGGAGTGATAGACCGAGAAACAAGGATAAGTGGTGTTCTTTTTTTGGGATGGCTATAGTTAAACGAGGTGGCCGAAGCAAGGTTAAGCAACAACAGCAAGTTCCAGCTAGGCAGAATGGAGCAAATGGCGGTGGAGGTGCAGGTGCTCAAGGTATTCGTAAAGCGGAATTTGATATAAGCAAGAAAAAGGAGGTTGGTGTTTCGGACTTGACGCTTTTGTCCAAGATCACAGATGAGGCTATCAACGATAATTTACATAAACGGTTTATGAACGACACGATATATACATATATTGGACATGTGTTGATTTCCGTGAATCCGTTTAGAGATTTGGGCATTTACACCCAGGAAAATCTCAACAAGTACAAGGGCAGGAACCGGCTAGAAGTGCCCCCGCACGTTTTTGCCATAGCAGAGTCTATGTACTACCACTTGAAGTCATATGGAGAAAACCAGTGTGTTATTATTTCAGGAGAATCTGGTGCAGGTAAAACCGAGGCGGCTAAACAAATTATGCAGTATATTGCAAACGTCTCCGTAGACTCGGGTAACGCCGAGATTTCAAAGATCAAGGATATGGTATTGGCAACAAACCCTCTTTTGGAATCGTTTGGCTGTGCAAAGACCTTGAGAAATAATAACTCGAGTAGGCACGGTAAGTACTTGGAAATCATGTTTAGCGAGACAGCTTTTCAGCCAGTCGCAGCACACATCACAAACTATCTCTTGGAAAAACAACGAGTAGTATCTCAAATCACCAATGAAAGAAACTTTCACATTTTTTATCAATTTACAAAACATTGCCCACCTCAGTACCAGCAACAATTTGGAATACAAGGGCCTGAAACTTATGTTTACACTTCGGCCGCCAAATGTATATCCGTTGATGGAGTAGATGACGGCAAGGATTTCAAGGACACTTTGAATGCCATGAATATCATTGGTTTATCTCAACTGGAGCAAGATAATATTTTTAGAATGTTGGCATCGATCTTATGGATAGGAAACGTATCTTTTGTTGAAGACGAAAGTGGGAACGCTGCAATTCGTGATGATAGTGTCACTAATTTCGTTGCTTACCTTTTGGATGTCAATGCAGAGATTTTGAAAAAGGCTATAACAGAAAGGACAATTGAAACATCCCACGGTATGAAAAGGGGATCAACATACCATGTGCCCTTGAATATTGTCCAGGCTACAGCTGTGCGAGATGCGCTCGCGAAAGGTATATATAACAATCTTTTTGACTGGATTGTAGAAAGAGTTAACTTGTCGTTAAGTGGAAGGCAAGAACAATCCCAAAAAACTATTGGAATTCTTGATATTTACGGATTTGAGATTTTCGAGCATAACTCATTTGAACAAATATGTATAAACTATGTGAATGAGAAATTGCAACAAATTTTTATACAGTTAACGTTGAAAGCTGAACAGGACGAATATGTACAAGAACAAATTACATGGACACCTATTGAGTACTTTAACAACAAAGTTGTTTGTGATTTAATTGAGGCAACAAGACCACAACCAGGTTTGTTTGCCGCGCTAAATGACTCGATCAAAACCGCTCATGCAGATTCAGACGCTGCTGATCAAGTTTTTGCCCAAAGATTAAGTATGGTTGGTTCCAGTAATCGCCACTTTGAGGATCGTAGAGGGAAATTTATCATTAAACATTATGCCGGTGATGTTACCTACGATGTTGCTGGGATGACCGATAAGAACAAAGACGCTATGTTGCGTGATCTTTTGGAACTATTGAATACTTCTGCTAATACTTTTGTTAATCAAACTTTATTCCCATCCGAGTTGTTAGCAGCAGTAGCGGATTCAAAGAAAAAGCCAGAGACTGCGTCTGATAAAATTAAAAAGAGTGCAAACGCTTTAGTTGACACTTTGTCGCAATGTACTCCTTCATATATTAGAACTATTAAACCGAATCAAACAAAGAAACCGCGTGATTATGATAACCAGCAAGTTTTGCATCAGATCAAGTATTTGGGTCTTAAAGAAAATGTGAGGATTAGAAGAGCAGGATTTGCATACCGTTCTACCTTCCAGCGATTTGTTCAAAGATTTTATTTGTTGTCTTCAGCTACAAGTTATGCCGGAGACTATATATGGCAAGGAGACGACATTACTGCTGTAAAGGAAATATTAAGGGCATGTCATATTCCAGCATCGGAATATCAGCTAGGTACAACAAAGGTATTTATTAAGACTCCCGAGACGTTATTTTTATTGGAAGATATGAGAGATAAGTATTGGCACAACATGGCGGCTCGAATTCAAAGAGCATGGAGACGATATGTCAAAAGAAAAGAGGATGCTGCGAAAGTGATCCAACGTGCATGGAGAACCAAAACTCATGGAAATCAATTTGAACAGTTTCGTGATTACGGAAATAGCTTATTGCAAGGTAGGAAAGAGCGTAGGAGGTTTTCGATGTTGGGATCACGTGCCTTTATGGGAGACTATTTGGGATGCAACGATAGGAGTGGATTTGGTAGGTTTGTCGTTAATCAAGTTGGTATAAAAGAAAATGTAATTTTTTCAACGAAAGGAGAAATATTGTTATCAAAGTTTGGACGATCATCTAGGAGATTACCAAGGATTTTTGTTTTGACTAAAGCAAGTTTATATGTTATTGCAGAAGTTTTGGTTCAAAACAGGTTGCAGTTGCAAAAGGAGTTTGTACTTCCAGTGCATTCAATAAAAGGTGTTGCCTTGTCGATATACCAGGATAATTGGGTTGCTGTTTTGTTACAGAGTCCAACTCCAACCACTCCAGATGTGTTTATCAATATGGATTTAAAGACAGAATTTGTTGCTCAATTAAAGAAATTGAATCTGAGCTTGTCAATTACCATTGGTCCAACAGTGCTGTATCAGAAGAAACCAGGTAAACTTCATGCTGTTAAATTTCTGATTGGCTCTGGATCCCAGATACCACCAAGAGGAGATGTATATAAATCTGGAACAGTATTGGTGAACCAGGGTTTACCGGCTAATAGCCAGAATCCTAAACGACCAAGAGCAAAATCCAGTAAGGTTGACTATAATAAATATTATAACAGAGGAACGGCAAAGATAAATTCGGTTTCATCTTATCAACCGAAAGCAACGGCAGACTATCGTTTCGAGCCTAGCTATGCCCAGCAGCAGGAGACGCAACACCAAACACAACATCAACACCAGACACAACAGCCGCAGATACCACAGCGCATGCAACCAGGTGCCCAACATTTGCAGCAGCAACACCAGCAACACCAGCAACACCAACAACAACCCACGCGCTCGCCCACTCAAACACGTAAGGCACCTCCACCAGCGCCAAACATGCAAATTGCAGCAGCAAAAGCTGCTCTAGGAAAAGCACATACATCTTCACAATCTCACACTTTAAACAAACCTGCGGCTCCTGCTAGACCTGCTAAAAAAGTTGCTCCTCAACCTCCAGCAAAGAAAGCTGTTTCACCTCAACCCATAAAGAAGGCATCTGCATCTGCATCTGGTTCTACATCTGGATCTGCATATGGTTCTACATCTGGATCTGCATATGGATCTTCATCTTCTTCTCATCCTCCACCGCCACCACCGCCCCCGGCTTTGTCGAAACCCAAGTTTCCCACTTATAGGGCTATGTACGATTACGATGGTTCTGTTGCAGGCTCGTTGCCTCTTATTAAGGATACGATATACTATGTTGAACAAATCAATGGCAAGTGGGGGTTAGTCAAGACAATGGACGAATCAAAGGAAGGCTGGTCACCAATTGATTACCTTCAAGAGTGCAGTGCAACACAAGCAATAAATAACAATGCTGATTCAAGTAGAAGTACATTAACAACGTCTAACCCAGTTAGCACAACTACTGGCTCAAGTACATACACAACAACACAAACGCAAGCACAAGCACAAGCACAAGCACCAACGATGGCTACTCAAAATGGCAGTTTAGGTAATGGTTTGGCAGATGCCTTGAAGGCCAAAAGGAGCGAAGAAACAACTTTAGCCGGATCTCTTGCAGATGCTTTGAAAAAGAGACAGGACGCTACAAGAGACGATAGCGATGCAGAGGAGGAGGATGATGATGACTGGTAACTAGGTGAAGAGTAAATAGAATAATAACACATGGTATTAGCACTTATGCTAACTTATTGACCACCTAGTTTACTGGTGTTTTCTGTATATATATATACATGTATTTCTTTTTTATTGAGAGAGTAAATGAGATCTTTTTTTTTTCACTTGATTAACAGTATTAACTAGGGAGTTGGTATAAAGGGACTAAAGTTGTTTCAGGATCATTACAAGCTACTGAGGGATTACGAGGCAGGTTTGGTGGACATTAAGGGATTGAGGGAACTATGTCGAGCAAAACCAAGAGTCGAAATAAGTTGCTATCGTCTCATAAAAGCACGTCGCTTAGTAATTTCTCGACAAAAGATGAATTGTTAGCATTGAAGTATCTGATGGATAAGCCCGCGTTACCTATATATCCCTTGGAGGATTTATGCAGCGGCGGCAGTGGGAATGGGGGTGGGAGCGTTAGCAGTGGTAGTGGCAGTGGCATTAGTGGAGGAGGGGGAGGAGGAGGAGGAGGAGGAGGCGGCGGCGGCACCACCACCGTTAGTAGCACCCGCTCTCCTAAACCATCAAGAAGCTCGTATGAAGTAAAGTCTGTAAGCTCCAATGAGCTCACATACCCGGACTTTATACCGTGGAAGGACCATACTCAATTACCCAAAAATCAACAGGTTCTGGAGCACCAGAACTTGGATAATCCATCACATCTCACAAGAGGTTTTGTTGAAAATCCTCATGTTACAAACGAGTACTGTTCAGCTCGAAATTTGCTTCAAGCGACCCTTTTCTCATCGACTGAAAACTGCGCTACTGTGATAAACGAGTTGTCTCAACACCTTGCGAGCTCTTTCAAAGCAAGAAACGAGATTATCAACAAGATCAAATATGATTCAAATCATTTTCGAATACCGCAGAGAATTACATTAACGGCGTCTAAAAAGGAAAGTTGGTTTCGGGACTTGAGCAATCCTGGTATACCTTTGCAGAAAATCGGCGAGAAGATTCCCCATGGTATTAGAAACAAGGTTTTGTTGGACTCTTTGAGTTCGAAAAAAGTGCCCATCGATAGAGCTTTGTGGTTCACTAAATGCGTATTGCATGGAGAGTTGTTATCCTTAAAGAGAAAGTATTATTCACGTGCAAACACGAATTTAAACATGACTGACTCGTCGTTGACTTTTCCTCAATCATCTGAGATGACTAGTGTGGAAAAATACGAACTTCATTGGTTACAGGACTGGACGCAACAGGTTGCGGACTATATGTTTCGTTTTGCAAAAGAATTGAGCAAAATTTCCAACTTTGAAAAGAAAGAGTCTTGCATGAGAAAGCTAAATTATCTTTTAGATCTTTTTCGCTCATTTTACGTGGAATCACTTATAGATAAGCCATTTTTCCTTTCAATGCTTTTGAAACCTTTGAAAGAAGATTTGCCTCTGGATTCTCAATACATCAAAAAGCTTTTACGTAGAGGAAACAAAGACTATGTGGAAGAAGAGGATGATTACGAAGAAGATGGCGAAGAAGAAGAAGATGATGATGATGACGAAGAAGAAGAAGGTGAAGGTGAAGGTGAAGGTGAAGGTGAAAAAGAAAAAATTGATGTTGCAAATGATAGAGGAAAAGGTAATCAAAAAAGGAAACGAGTAAGGAAGAAAGACAAGCTAAAAATTGATCTACATTACGAGCAGCGTCTCCTTGCGCTAACCTTTGTTAAAATGTTTTGGAATGATCTTGTTCAGTATGATTATCTAGCCAAGGAGTTGAGTGAGTTGCTATTACTCAACCACTTTTTCCTAACAAAACTTTCCTATTTTGTAGCACTGGACTTGCCAGAACAGTTTCGGTCGAACTTGATCAACTTGATAAGTGATTCAACAGTCTATTTATTCAAGCTCAACACCAACTTTTTTGTGATACCAGAAACATGGTTGTTTACGGGGACGTCCTTGTCCAAAATATTATCGGAGCATATTGAACATTCAGATGAAACAACGAAAAATAAATTCAAAGATCAATTGGAATTGGTAAAGTATCGCAATGAGAGTTTAATATTGAATATGAAAAATTTGCAACCTACGCTACAAGACTCCAGGAATGGAAAACTTAATAGCGACAACAATGATAATGATAATAATAATAATAACAATAATAACAATACCAATAATAGTAATAAGCGTGTCCCAGTTCAACTGTTGGAGGATGTGAAAATTGGAAGGAAGTCCTCCAACAATGTGGTGTTTCAAATAGTGGAAAGTTTAGATCGTCTTCGGTTAAATGAGGACCTAGCGCGGTTGTTGAGACCTGATGGTTTCAATGCGAGTGATAACGATTGGAAGCTAAACTTACAACTTGTATTGACCTGGTGTGTATCCAGATGGAGGAAGAACTGGCCCGAACAAAATGTCAATATTTTAATTGTTTGTAAGTTTTTGAAAAAATGTGTTCTTCAACCTTGTTCTGACAAGTCATTGAGATCCGAACTTGAAAATGAAGTTTTGGAAATAATATACAGATTTGCTCAGGAAGATAATGGGTTAAAGTCAATTGATAAATGCAAATTGTTTGTCTTGATAAATGTAATGTACTCGTTGAAAATCATTACGATTTCATCTTACTTGAGAAAACTTATAGCATCAGGGGTGTTTTATCTCGCGCCAGAGGACGTGGCAGATTTTCTGCAGTTGCCATTGACAATAAAGACTCACTTGGACATTTTGCAAAACTTGCCCGTTATTAACAACAGGCAGTGCAACAACATTTTGAGGAAATGGAAATTACCAGGAGTTGGCTCTAATGAGAAATTGGACATTGCAAAAGCATGTTTGAAAGAGGAATTGCTCGATAAGATTATGAAAAACCAATTTGATTCGCTTTCCACTAATTGGAAGGATGTTACTAAGTTGTTAAACGTAGGATCAAGATTTTTTTTGGTCAGTTGGTTTACAAACGAATTAGAACTGGATATCAAATGTACTTCAAAATTGATACACTTTACTCCTGCTGTCTTGGTTGCCTTGTATCAATTCTATGCAATCTGTAACAATCTTGCTATGTTTTTTGAGGTTGTAGTCCAAATGATTCTTAGAAATGATAGTGGAATAATATTGGTTTACCTAGATGAACTATACTTTATATCTCGATTGGTCATGAAGCATTTCAAATTGATTAGACAGTTTGTCAATCCCGCAACCAACATCACAGCTTTGAACCTATTTAGATTGATAATCCAGAACTTCAAGGATTTGGAGAAAAGGGAATATAACTACTTTGACTTTAATCAAGTTTGGAAGTTTATTGATAGTGTTGTTGTCGATAAAGCAGATCATTCTCGAAAGAAAAGAAAGATTGATGATTATCCAGGGACTTTTAGGTTGTCTGTGTCGTCTTCGCGTGGAGAAAACCTAGAAACTCCTATGCAGATAAACACCGTTGATTTATCATCAGCTGAAAATAAGCAAAGGGAAAACTATAGCACATCAGACTTTTTAGAAGATTTGGCACTTTTACGTGATCATAAAGTCAAGGAGCTTCTGCTCGATGATCTTGATGAGTTTGAGTTAAAAGAGGATACAAGCTTGGGATTAATGGAGCTTCTTCAGACGTGGTACACGCAAATTGAAAAAAAGTTTTCTTCAAAAGAACAAAAAGAAGAGATAAAAAGGGTGAAGCTTTTGAAAAGTGTCATGGCAAAAGCAGATAATCTGATGGAAGTAAAGGAGAAGTTGAAACTGTTTTTGTTGGAATTAATTCAGCGATCTGGTACAGAAAGGGAAAAGACAGTTTTGATGATCAACAAACTAATTGTTTTTGACATAATTTCTGTTGGTGAAGTAGTTTCCATTATGAAGTCGTCTGTTGCTTGTGACATATTGTATGCAATGCTTTTCGACGATGGGTCATTCGCGTCCACATCCACGTTAACGGCGGCGCAGAAGGAATTGTTAAATATAAGTATTGGGTTGTTCAAACAAAGGAATAGAAAGACCTGCATGGAATTGATTCTGAGTAGTATTTTGTTAAAGGGTGACCTATGTATTATGAGGGGTGAAACGATAAGTCTCAAAAAGCCCGTTATAGAGTATCTTAGTCAGTGTGTTGCGATTGATGCCCCAAATATGTACAATTTACTTTTTGCAAGGTTGGAAAAGAAGAAGGAGTTTGTGCAAATTGTTAATCCTTTATTGGGGAAAACACAAGATGAATATATTTCGAACTTGGAGGATCTAGAAAAGGAATTTGAAAATGTGAATGTGTTTAATCTAAGAGTGTACCAAATATTACTTAGTAGGCTTTGTGATGAAACCTTGACTTTGGATGTCGACAAGAGAAAACGTTGGGAAGATTTTGTAATCAAGGTATTGAGCAGTGCACTGTCCAAGATTATTAAAACCAGAAAAATACACCTTCTTGATATATTTGAATTCTGTCCTTGGGAGTACAAAGCGATTGTGCTTGAAAAAATTGAGGATATATTCTTATCACAATCAAAATTTGACAATGAAGTTCCCAGTCTTGTTATCAACAAACATGAGTCGTTAGCAATAGTTGATCAATTGTTCACTACGTTTTTGTTCTACCCCATGGGAAATGTCGAGAGTTGCAAAGAATTTGTCCAAAACTTTTCAACGTACAGCAGGAAGGTACAATCTCTACTAAATTCGTCCTCACAACAATTGAATGGCCCACAAGAAAATGTTGATCATTCGTTGTCCATTTTGTTGAAGATACTTATCATCCACAAAACAACATTGTGCCGCTTTATAGGTTGTCACAGTACCGAGGAAAGTGTAATAACTCTAGTTGGGAGCTTGGTTGATATTTTGAAACTGAAATACTTGTCGAATTTCAAAGACAAATTGAGAGTACTTTTTTATGATTTGCTTTTATTGATGAAGTCTTTGGTGACAGAAGAGGCGACATCTAACCTTGACTTTGATGTGCAAACCTTACCCGAGCTTTCCAACCAAGATCATTTCGGTGATCTGCGAATGGTTCAAAGTGCTGTGGATAGTTCCACCAGCACCGTGCAAGTAAGACAACTATTTGACTTGCCTGAGTTTAGCGATAAAAGCGTGTTCAAGGACGAAATCAATGACAGTAGCTTGATTGCATGCTCGATAATGCTTGAACGCGACGAGCTCAATCATGGAGGCGATATACACGTGTGCAACAACAGTGGTATCAAAGTATGTTCCTCAAATACAAACTCATTTGGAATTCCATCATTTATGGGGAACATCTTAAGCACAGGCAAACTGAGAGGAGACCAAACAAAGAGTTGTTCTAATACTACAAAGCCGTTTAAAATGAAAAGTTATGAGCTTTTGGAAGACACTACAACCACTAGCATCAATGATGCGTGTGTGAATTTACTGCTTTTCGATTCATTCTTGACCAGGGAGAATCCTTTGTAGAGAATAGTTGACCGGGGAACTTGACCAGGGGGACTCTTTATAGAGAACACCTCGTCATGGGACGCTTTATGGAGAACACATGACCAGGGAGAACCCTTTCTAGAGAATACTTGGACCTTTTTTATTTTATAGCTTTTTGGTTTGTTCAACCATGTATAGTCTATTATATGCTTTCTTTTTGGTTTGTTCAACCATGGTTAGTCTATTACATGCCTTCTTTCTATATTGTTCAACCATGTATAGTCTATTACATGCTTTCTTTCTGTATTGTGTGAATAAAACATAGTATATCAATTTCGTTCTAGCGTGTTTTTTTTTTTCATCATCATCTCATTTTGGTATTTATTAAAGAAGGATTTATATAAAACAGACAGGGTCACAGGTCCTAGTTGCTAGCTTCAAGTTGAGGTCTTTATAAGGAGAGAAGGGATATGAATGGTGGTAATGATGATGCAGATGAAATGCTGGATAGTGGCTCGAGCATAAGCCTTGAGTTGAATGAAGAAGCTACTACCCAACCAAATGGAATATTAATCACGCTTGAACCATCTGCTTTTGATGAAAACGTTTCAATTGGTAATAAAACACAATGTGGGGTGACAGACAAGGATAAAAATGGCGGAATTGGGTTTCTAGCAAGTGCCAACTTCTCAACCGACTCAATTGCCAATTTCTCAACCGACTCAATTGCCGATGCTACAATATTGGATAATAATAATAATAATAATAATAACCTACAAACAATCAATGTACAAACGCCCAAAAGATTTAGCAACTCGCTATCAAATCTATCATCTTCACCTCAGTTGGCGCCGTCTTCACAATACTCTTCCCATTCCGGCCGCTCAAGACCATTGTCGGCATTTTTAATGGACTCTGCTAATTTCATAAAGGAGGATGGTTTAGAGAATAACGAAGCAGACACCACCGCTTCATATGCAAGAAACTCATTTCTGGGTACCGGTACCAGATTGGACTACTCACAATCTCAGCAGCAATACGCAATGATGAATCCAGAGCAGCTGAGTGGCCAAAACCACCGTTCACCGTCTTCTCCAACAAGATCAACCTCACCTGTACGAATCACTCGACAGTATAGGGCCAAATCACCAGTGCGAAGGAGTTCTTCGCCAAGGAAGTCGAAACCATTCAATTTCCAGCCACAGGAATTGCTGATTAACAGTAATAGCTCTAATCAGTCGCTACATGTAAAACCAGCTCACAGGAAAGGTCACAAGTACAAGCACTCGTCAATTTCAATGAATTTATTTCAGGAACCATCTCCAGCTTCCATCACTGATACTCAGCTAAAGGCTATACCCGACCTGTACCCAATTCCAAACTATAAAGAAGCTTTTTCCTCGATTACAAAAAATCAAAAGTTGAGGTTACTATGGGTTTCTATTCATTTTGTATCATCTATTATTGTTTTCATTACAGGGTACAAACTAGGACAAAGTTCCTTATCAACATTAGCACACTTGATTTTTTACGACTCCTTGGGGTCCTTATTTATTGTTCTTGTGGACGTGATGGCGAACTTTGAAGTGTGGGGCAATTCCTCGATTGCCTATCCTTTCGGTTTAGAGCGTCTCGAAGTATTGGTTGGATTTGGATTGAGTGCGTCATTGGTGATGCTTGGGTTTGATTTGCTCAGTCATTTTATGGAGGAGTTTGTTCTTTCTTGGGTTTCTCATGATAATCATACAGAACACGAACATTTGTCGCATCATGTGCATGAAGAAGATCTGGGCTCGATAACTAATGTTTTTGCTTATGAAACTGTTTTACTATTCACACTAGTGGTGTCGTTAATTTCTTCAAATTTGATATTGGCGTACGATCGGATTAATGAATTATTGAACTCACCCGAAAAGAAACCGTATTCAAATGGTATGACTCAGAATGTTTTACTAGAGCAGCAGCAGCAGAAACAACAACAACAACAACAAAAGGAGATGAAGGAATGGCGAATTTTCAAAGTTATTAGCGCCTGGAGAAATTATCCAACGCATTTGGTCACAATAACATATACCTTGTTTTTGGTAATTATACCATTAGTTCCCGAAACTTTAATCAAAGATTTAGCTTATGACATGAACAAGTGTGCAACTTTTCTAGTTGCCAGTCTACTATGCTACAATGGATGGAGTCTTGTCAAATCCCTAGGGGAGATTTTATTATGTGCTTTTCCTTATTCTGATTATCAGTATAGTATAATCAAGTCTAGAATAATTGAGCAAATTTTAGAATTGGACTATTTTAGAAAGGAGTACCATATTAAGAAATTGGTTGTGACAAAATTCAACTACAACTTATATGTTATTGGTGTATCAATCGAAATGAAAGGAGCCGATACTGATGAAGAAGCCAGAATGAGGTTTGCTGTTAATAAAGTGATTAGAAATGAAATCAAAGGATTAGAAAACGGACTCAGAGAGTTGAATCTAGAGACTACTATAACTATTGATAGATTCTAAAAATAAATCAAAAGAAAAGAAAATGGTTACTTGCTGTGATTTGTTCCTTCCCTTAATTTATACAAACCGCGAATTTTCATGCTGTGAAAAGGGTATTTGTTCTCAAAACGAGACTCATTTCAATGAGCTGTTATCAAACTAGTATAGCAAAACCCCAGATTTGTCCGAATCGAGTAAATGTTTATTTTTTTTTTTGGTATATGAGTCAAATTAGCCGCTTGGTACCAGTAGATTAAAAATATTCAATGGGAATGGTTTTTTTTTTTTCAAGAGATGCCTTCTATAATTTTTTTTTTTTTTTTTTCCATTTCAAATCTGACGATTCAAGATGATGAGGTTAGTATCGTATGGACAGGTAGTTGGCTCTATAAGGAATGCTTTAGCCAGCCATAGCAGCAGCAAATCAAGTTTTTTGTTTTTATCCACGTCTAGCAAATTGTCGCAGCGTGGTAATAAAGTCAATTTTCAAGAATTTCCCGATGCAGGTTCTGAGTCACATAGTGGACAATTTATTGAAAAAGTTTCTAAACCATATTCCGTTACCACATACTCACGCCCCAGTCTTATTTTGACTCACGGTAAGGGTTCACATATATTTGATTTGGAAAACCGTAGGTACATAGATTTTACAGCAGGTATAGCTGTTACATGTTTAGGTCATTCTCATGAAGAAGTCAGCAAGATAATCAAGGACCAAGCAGAGAAACTTTTGCACTGCTCTAATTTGTATTACAACTTACCAGCTGGTGAGCTAGCTAGAAAATTGGTTACAAAGACGCAAGAAATGGGCGGAATGTATGACGCAGCGAGGGTATTTTTATGTAACTCTGGAACCGAAGCTAATGAGGCTGCAATGAAATTCGCCAGAAAGTATGGGAAAATGGTTGGTGGTGATGAAAAAATTGAATTTATCACTTTTGAGAATTCCTTCCACGGTAGGTCTATGGGTGCATTATCTTTGACTTCCAATCCAAAGTACCAACACCCGTTTGCACCTTTGATTCCAGGAGTAAATGTTGCTAAACCGAATGATATAGAGAGTGTTAAAAGGGTGCTATCAAAGGAAAAGACTTGTGCAGTTATAATAGAGCCTATTCAAGGAGAAGGCGGAGTAAACACCATTGACAGCGACTTTTTGATCCAATTGAGACAATTGTGTAATGAGAACGATGTTGTATTGATATATGATGAAATACAATGTGGATTAGGCAGAACCGGTGCATTGTGGGCACATTCGCATTTACCTAAGGAGGCGCATCCTGATATCGTCACGATGGCGAAGGCTTTGGGAAATGGATTTCCTATTGGAGCAACCATGATTACCGAGAAGCTAGAAAAGGCATTGGCTGTTGGTGATCATGGCACCACATACGGAGGCAACCCCTTGGGTGCTAGAATTGGCGCTTTTGTTGTAGATGAAGTTTCCAAACCGGATTTTTTAAATAAAGTACAAGAAAAGTCAAATTTGTTTTTTGAAAAATTATCAAAGCTTGGTCAAGAGTTTCCTGAAAAGATTACCAAAGTTAAGGGCAAAGGTTTATTGATTGGTATACAGTTCAAAGATGATGTTGATATTAATGAGATTGTTAGAAAATGCAGAGAGTGCGGATTATTAATAATTACTGCTGGAATGAATACAATCAGATTGGTGCCTGCTTTGAATATACCAGACGATGTTATAAATGAAGGTCTTGCGATTTTAAAACACTGTATAGAGACAAGCTAACTTTTAGACACTCTCTAGACACTATCTAGACACTATCTAGACACTATCGAGCAAAGCGAGATAGTGGATCAGCACTTAATAGCAACAAGATCGACACTATCGAGCGACACTATTGACCGACAATATTCAGCGACACTATTGTGCGACACTATCTCGCTTTGCTCGATAGTGTCGTACTGCTTGATAGTGGAGAAAGATTGACTAGCAGAAAACTAAAGATGCACATGACCATAGCCCATATGTGTCATTAGGAACTGTGCTCTACTATTTTATCATATATATCGATCCTCCTTTTTTAGACCCCTTTTCTTTTTTCTTGGTCTATTGATTTCGCAGAAGTACCATTTTGTCGAGTACAATAATATCTTAATTTCCTTTAACTAACTCTATTCTTCAATTTCCTTCAACTAACTCTATTCTTCAATTTCTTTCAACTAAATTTATTCTTCAATTTCCTTCAACTAACTCTATTCTTCAATTTCCTTCAACCAACTCTATTCTTCAATGTCTTGTTATATTCAAAACGAATAGAAAAAGAATTAAATAAAAAGAAAAGAGAAAAAAAAATTTCCGCGCGGCTCGAAATGTCAATTGATACTAAATAGTAAAAGGGTACAGATTGGAAAAGGACAGCAGATTTCTGGTATATCTAAGTTTAGTGTAGGCTCTAAGCTCGAAGGTCAAGGAATAATAAAAGCGAGACTTCTGGTTGGTTAGTCTTTGCATCAGAGATAGTCGAATCGTGGTTGGCGAGTGTTTATTTGTTTTCTTTTTCTTTTCTTTTTCTTTCTTTTTTTTTTTGTTAGAACCCTTTAATCCTAAATTAGAGAAAAGAGGGAGGGACGACCCACAAGTTGAATCTGTATGTTCTTCCAAGAGGAGCCATGACAGTTCCATTTAGCATACCGACGTCTGATCTTGATTACTGTTTAGAGCAGTTGCTTGAGCATAAACCTCCTAAGATTTTGCCTCCGGAAACTATACATCAGCTATGTCATATTTTAAAAACCCAGCTTTTAGCAGTACCGAACATTATGTCGCTACAGTCACCCATTTCCGTTGTTGGTGATATACACGGACAGTACCATGACTTGTTGGAAATTTTCAGAATAGGTGGATCTCCGCCAAATACAAATTATTTATTCTTGGGGGACTATGTTGATCGCGGCTACTATTCGGTTGAAACGATATCCTTGTTACTAGTGTTGAAAATACGATATCCCAATAGGATCAGTTTGATTCGAGGGAATCATGAATCTAGGACTATCACCACAAACTATGGCTTCTACACGGAAGTGCTAAACAAGTATAATGGCTCATCGGATGTTTGGGCCAATATTACTGATTTATTTGACTATTTACCATTAGGTGCCACAATCGATGGCACCATATTTGCATGTCATGGTGGGTTATCCCCCAGCTGTCAACAGTTGGACCAAATACGGGCAATAGATCGATTTAGAGAGATTCCACATGACGGAATAATGGCTGATCTTGTATGGTCGGATCCCGATGTCGAAATAGTAGACTTTAAGCTAAGTCCAAGGGGTGCCGGGTATCTTTTTGGAAGCGATATTATGAACAAATTTTGTAACGATAACAATTTAGTGCAGATGATTAGAGCGCACCAGCTTTGCAATGAAGGATACACTAGCTACTGGAAAGGAAAGTGCTTGACTGTTTGGTCAGCGCCAAACTACTGCTATCGATGTGGCAATAAGGCCAGTGTATTGGAGATATTACATTCCAACTATACAGGTAAAGCAGAGACGCTGATTAGGCTGGAGGGGGAAGTTGAAGTTGATGGTATGCTGGAGTCTACTACCTCCTTGTATGATCAGCACAATTTCCGCTTTGACAAGCAGAAATCACAAGTAGACCAAGGAGTGTTGCCGGGACAATTTTTCAATATCTTTGAAGCTTCGAAAGAGAATGATGAGGATACAATCAATGGGAAAAGTGTCAATGGAATGAATTCCAGTGATGGTGGAGAGCTCAAGAGTGGTAAGAATAATGATTTTTTTGCTGCATATTTTTTGGAACGGCCTAGGAGACAGCATGTGGAGTATTTCTTGTGACACTGACACTATCTACACTATCTACACTATCGACACTATCGACACTATCGACACTATCGACACTATCGAGCGGAGCGAGATAGTGGAGCAGCATTTAATAGCAACACTATCGACACTATGGAGCGAGATAGTGGAGCATTGACTGCCACCAATACTGCGACACTATGGAGAGGAGCGAGATAGTGAAGCGGCACCTAATAGCAGCACTATCGACACTATGGAGAGGAGCGAGATAGTGGAGCAGCATTTAATAGCAACACTATCGTCAGTATCTTGCTCTGCTTGATAGTGGAGAAGCACTAGCTACTATCGACACTAGCTGCCACCGACACTCTTGACTTATACCACTTGTTGTTTTGAAAAGTCTTATTTCGATAGGTCTCGCTTCGCTCGCTAGTGTCCGTGGCAGCTAGTGTCCGTGGCAGCTAGTGTCCGTGGCAGCTAGTGTCTGTGGCAGCTAGTGTCCGTGGCAGCTAGTGTCGATAGTAGCTAGTGTCGATAGTAGCTAGTAGCTAGTGTTGCTCCACTATCTCGCTTCGCTCGATAGTGGAGATAGTGGCGATAGTGGTGTCGTGGTGTCGTTATAGATCTTTTTTCTTCAATGTAATGTATTATATAATCTTTCTATATAGAGTTTTTCTATGCTCATACATAATAAAGTTCAAAATTAAAACCATCATGAACTTCATAATCCTCTAAAGTAATATGGTCCTTATAAATTTGGTGACCCTTTTTCAACACAAGTTTGTCAAAAGAGGTTCCTATTTGTAAGGATAACACTTTTTTTAAATCTTCGATTGTATCTGTAGGTAAACATTTTACTTTTATTTTTTTACCCAATCTATCATTAACTTGTACTTGTATCATTGTGGTGGTGTTGGTGGTTGATGGTTGGTGGCGTAGATGGGTGAGCCACGGCGATGGCGATGATTCATTTGCTCAATTCTTTTTTTATCAAGAAAAAAAAAAATCGGTGCGAATGTTGATGCGCATATCGAGGGTGCACCAAAAAGGGTTGAGTGGGATTTTTATCGGAAAAAGTTGAGAAAGGGTAATGACTGGCTCGAGTGGAGAAGAGGATCTCAGTAAGGAGACACCGGTAGCGTCGGATACTCTTTATGAGCAAGCCAACCTGCAACAACAACAACTGGAACAACAACAGCAACATCTGCTGCTGCAATCATCAGTAGCGTCTTCCTCTTATAGCTCAAGGAAGAATAGCAATGCTTCGAACTCGAATAAGAACAGAAGTAGTACATCTTCATCGTCGTCAACAGCTCCAATTCGTCCACCTTCTTTGTTACGTGCTCAGACGGCTAACAATGTATTAGCAGTACTGACAAGTACGACACCCAAGTCACACCAAGGCCATAGATCATTGAGCAATAGCGATAACGAGTTTTCATCGCAATCGCAACAAAAGTCGGTCTTGTCCAACAAGAATTTCCACTCACCAAGAAGCCCGTCTTCGGCTCAAAATGCTTCTGGCAATGGCAATGGCAATACCAATACCAATACCAATACCAATACCAATACCGGCACGGTAGCAAATTTATTTACACATTCACATCCACTTCCACATTCATCAATTGGCCGCTCATCGAGTAGTTCTGTTATAAGGACAAGGTCTAAATCATCAGGACACCACGACTTGATTCAACAGAATGCACAATATTTGGCTCAGGAAAAGTCATACTTGAAAAAGTTGAAAAATCAAATGGCTGATGACTACTATACCAAGGGGATATCTGGAGCCTCTGGCAATGATGAAGATGGCGGCGAAAGCATCCCTGAGGAATACGAAGATGAAGATGAAGATTACGAGAACAACACGTTTTTTGACGGCGATAGTGCACAATTGTTAGCAACAATTGATGACGATAAGTACCAAATTGACTATAGTATAGCTTTATCCTTGATGAAAAACTCTAGTGTCAATTTGAAAAAGATTACTAATTTCCGCAACAAGGAATCAGATGACGACCCGGCAATAATTGAGAGATTGGACTGGCAATCAATGCTAACCTCAGTTTTAACTGGTGACGTTGTTCGCTCGGAAAAGACGAAAATAATCAATAATCGTAATCCAGATAATCCTCTTGAAGGATATTTTCATGCAACGTCGAAAGAAAACATTTGGTCTGGAATACGAGCCAAGATATTCAACAGAACCGAAGATGATCAAAGGAAAATAGTCGCTTATAGGCGAACCTTGGTGGAACAGTTAATTGAAGATATTATGCAATTCGAAGTTGATTATGATAATCACAATGGCAAAACGATACGAGATCAAGTGGAATCGATACTAAATCGTTATGACGAAGCGTGCAATTTGTGGAGAAATTTAGAGGAAATGCGTACCGATAAGCCAGCTTGTCGTAGTGAAGAATTTCAAAACAGAATAGATGCATTAACTGCATGGCTAACCATTACCGATGCTATCAACCGAGAAACACAGGCTTTGAGAATATGGATAGGAAATGACGAACTAGATATTTCCAAGTCTCCGGTTGAGATACCATTAGATACGTCGCAGTCCTTGACATCAAATAGCAAAATTGTCAAGAAAATATTTGGCGAGGATAACAAGTCATTGGCTGAACGATTAATGAAAGAAAAAGATGTTCACACAATTTTCCAAAAACGAATCTTTAAACCGATTTCTCCTTGGATGATAAAGTCGAAAGATACTTATATCAAATTGGGCCATATGTTTGAGATAATGAAATTACCAGATTACCTTCATGATTTAATTCAGATTTGTATTATTCCTATGAAATTGATAAAAGAAATAATTAATGTGCGATTAGGGTATGCCATGAAATTGCCAGACCCAACATTAATGATGATTGATCAGATGCTTGAAGACTTTAAATCCTATATTACCATTGCATTGGAAGTCAAGCTGGGTATACAAGAGTATAGAAAACCAGACTCAGAAAGGAAGTGGTTACTTGGTGATTTGTTTGATGCGGAGATTAGTGATTTCGATAAAGTCTTATTAAAGTCCATAAGGTACTACTTACTACTTTCAAATAAAAAGTTACTCGATAGCTCAAGATCCCCAACCAATTTTCGAACATTTAAAGAACCAGAAGAGTTGGAAGAGACATGGAACTTCTTAAAGTCATTGGGCTATTACATCGATGGTGGATCAGCTGTTGTTGCTGGGGAAATTGCCTCTTTAACACTGCGTTTGAACCTGAGGCTTTTGGCATATTTTAATCATGCAATTAGGAATCCAGCCTATAACGGTGAGCCTGGTGACTTGGTGAGATGGTATAGTGCCACATTAGACAATTTTGGTCAAACACGTCGAAAATTAGCTAGATTTACTGGTGACATATCCAGATCCTTCACAAATTCAATAGTATTGGAAATACCCTACCACCAACCACATAAAAACAATACAAAAATCTTGCTCGATATCTTAAGGGCCACAAATCATTTCTTGGTTTTTACAAATACCATTGAATCTCAGGGAACATATTTTTTTGCTAGCCCCGAACTTGCCGGAAATGAGCAAGAAATACTAAAGATTTTGAATGGAGCTTATGTTGGTTTGGAACCTAACAATAGAGAGTCGACTTTTTCGTCGTTGCTTAAAATGCTACAGATTAGTGAACTGTTTTCAGACTATAATCAATTAGAAGATTCCACTGAAGAAGCATACATTATAGCACTTTGTCCGATGAAACCAATTGTTTGGGAGGGTACCGTAGTCAATGTAAATATCGAGTCAGTTCCAATCATTGATTTGAAAAATGGACAATTATTGATAATTACGAAATTGCCACATTACCTGTTGCATTTGATACGAGACAAATTTTTGGATATTGCAAGTGAAGTGTTTCAGACTGAAAGCGAAACAAAACCTCTTGAGCAAAGGTGCTCGTTGGCAAAAGTGCACAAAGAGTTATCAAAGACAAATCGAGCATTTTTTCGCATGAGTTTAAGTGTTTTGGACTCGGTGAAGATTGTCCTGGCCCAATTCAAGGCTTTGGACACAAGAGGGGATAGCCAAGCAGTTATCAACAATTATTTTGTATTTGCTCGTGATTATGCAAAGAATGCAACCAAAAGCCTTAACGCGTACGGTAAATCGGCGGTTATCTCAAAGATGATCCAGCTAGCAATAGATTGGGTGAGTTTTATATGTGATGATTGTGTTCCCACGGATAGAAAGACATTTAGATGGTGTGTTTTGGCATTGGAATTTGCCATGGACATGACTCGTGGGGTCAACATCTTATTTTTGAACGATGAACAGTTTGGCAAGTTGAAAATCAAGGTTGCTAGATGCATGTCATTGTTGATATCTCACTTTGATATAATGGGAGCCAGATCTAACGAGGCTGAAAAGAATAAATTGTTGAAATGGTCATCTCAGCGACAAAATATAGAGAGTTCTCTGAATGATGAGTATGCGCATAAGCTTTATCACGAGGGAGTTATGCAGCAAATTGCAGAGATTGAAAAGTATAGAGAAGAATTACTGAATGAGTATCAGTCTACTGGAAAGGTTATTGACAATAGCGACATGGAGTACCAATTTGTTACTTTATTAGCGTCATCGTTCTCGAGTGTTTCGATCAGGTGGCAGAAAGGTAAATACATCGGAGGTGGAACATTTGGACAAGTATTCTCTGCTGTCAATTTGGATACTGGTGGAATTATGGCTGTCAAGGAAATTAGATTTCACGATAGTCAATCAATCAAGAGTTTGGTACCGCTGATAAGGGAAGAAATGACAGTTTTGGAAATGTTGAATCACCCTAATGTAGTACAATACTTTGGTGTTGAAGTGCATCGTGATAAAGTTTATATCTTTATGGAATTTTGTGAAGGAGGATCTTTGGCTAGTTTACTTACCCATGGTCGCATTGAAGATGAGATGGTGATACAAGTATACACATTACAAATGTTGGAAGGATTGGCGTATTTACATCAATCTGGTGTAGTCCATAGGGATATTAAACCCGAGAATATTTTACTTGATCGCAATGGAGTCATAAAGTTTGTTGATTTTGGAGCTGCAAAAGTTATTGCAAATAGTGGAAGAACAAGAGTATCCACTATGTCGATTCGTCCTGCTCCTCCTGAAGCTAACAAACCGAATGTAAACACAATGACTGGTACTCCAATGTACATGTCTCCAGAAGTGATTACTGGGGAAACGAATGATAGAACTGGTGTTGTTGATATTTGGTCTTTAGGATGTTGTGTTTTGGAAATGGCAACGGGAAGAAGACCATGGGCCAATCTTGATAATGAGTGGGCAATTATGTACCATATTGCTGCAGGTCACAAACCACAATTACCGTCACCGGACCAGTTGAGCGAGCAAGGAAGAAAATTCTTGTCGGCTTGTCTTGAACACGATCCTACAAAGAGACCAAGCGCAGTTGAACTTTTGAATACCCCCTGGATGGTTTCAATTAGACAATTGGCATTTGGTGGAGGGTCTGAATTTAGCACTCCTTCGTCAGAGAATGGGACCATGTAAAAGAGTACTACTTCCACTACTACTACTGCTGCTACTGCTGCTACTGCTACTGCTGCTGCTACTGCTACTGCTATTGCTGCTGCTGATACGATTAGTTTTTTTTTGTATTCTTTTCTTGATATGTATTTTTCAATGTATTTGTATATATAACAGTTACATACTAAAAACAAACAAAATCGGTGATTCATTTCTCTATCTACAACATGGGCTTCAAACCCGGTGATTCAACAACCAACACAAAAACTGTCAGTGTCGGTGGCAGTCAATGCTCCACTATCGAGCAGAGCGAGATAGTGTAGCAGTATCGGTGGCAGTATCGGTGGCAGTCAATGCTCCATTATCTCGCTCTGCTCGATAGTGTCGCAGTATTGGTGGCAGTCAATGCTCTACTATCTCGCTCTGCTCGATAATGTTGCAGTGTCAGTGGCAGTCAATACTCCATTATCTCGCTCTGCTCGATAATGTCGCAGTGTCAGTGGCAGTCAATATTCCATTATCTCGCTCTGCTCGATAATGTCGCAGTATTTGTGGCTCATTTCTTGGTTTCACTCTCCAAAAAGCTAGTAATATCTCGTACTACATCGCCTTTGATGTTAAGTATCCCAGCAGTTTGGTTCATTGTTATGCGCAAACCAGGCTGGAATTTCAACAAATCATCTCTAAGTTTGTGCAAATCTCCTTGTATACGCTTAATCTCCGTCGTTATCTTCGTATTCTGTACCTTCTTATAAACGGGCCAATGGTGGAACTTGGTTTGTGGAATATAGTAATTTTTTTTGCCAAATCCGTTATTAGGAAGGTCCTTGTGACTTATCGAGGAAATATCCTGAAATGTGTACCGCACTACTTCAGGTTTAGGGGTATTAATAGCAGCTTTGAGCACCGCACTTGTTGGTTTCATGGTGATTATAAGGGAGTCTGAAAAGGTATTGGTTATTGAAAAATTTTGATAATTGCAAACTCCATCATTTTTTTTTTTCTTTTTTTTATGTATGGGGGTGCTACCATATGTTTGATGTCTGTCTCCCTTCAACAAAGAGTCTTAGAGATGAGGTACAATATGAGTTATGGTAATGCAAAAGTTTCAATTTGTTTGGCTTATACAGTTTGTTACACGCTCTTTGGCTCAGATTTCAAGAGATTCATATTGATCTGTGGCCTATTTTGCTCTCGTGGATGATTTCTTTGAAGATGACGTTCAAGCTCATATTTTTTATCAAATAATGTACCGCATTCTTCGCAATCGAATTTCTTTGAATGTATCTTCATATGTTTTGTGAGATTGGAACTTTCACTGAAACTCTTGGTACACCCTGGCCATTTGCATTTCAAAGGCTTCTCTCCAGTATGGACTCGATTGTGGATGGATAATGAACTGCTTGTAGCAAACCTTTTACCACATACACTACAAATGAATGGTTTCTCACCTGAATGTATTCGTATATGTTGTTGTAACATTGTTTCCACTGCAAATGCGGAACCGCATATGTGGCACTTACAGGGCTTGTAATTTGTGTGCACATGGATATGTCTATATAGTTTTTGACGTTGAGTAAATATTTTACCATTATGTCTTTTGCAACCTATCCAACGACATCCATAGGTTGACTTTCCTGAACCAATGTGGTCATTAATAATGTGCTCTTGAAGGTCCCCTTGGGAGTTATGGCAGGTGTTACATGGTACTACTTTCCCATCCTCTCCCGTGTACACATTCCATTGGCAACGAAACTCGGGTGCCGAGGCGCAGCATCCGGAAGCAAATGAAACCGTGTTAGCACCAGGGCCTTTTCCCTTTTCCTTTCCCTTTCCCTTTTCCTTTCCCTTGGGCGATATTTTCATAGACGTGATATTTAACTCATTAGTTGATGGGCTCGTAGACAAAGACCTCACCTCAGCGGGCAGTTCATTGGCTAAATTTATGCTTGAAGAAGAATACGGACTCAACACATTTACATTCACATTCAGATTCAGATTCACATTTGCTTGCAGTGGCAATGTTTGCAAGTTTATATGAGGACGCTTATGAGTTTGCAAATGGCCCCATAAAGCATCAAGACTCTGGTCCGAATAGTTACAATTGGTCCATTCGCACTGATAAGATGTAGACTTTTCAGCACAAATAAAATCATGGCTTAGATGATTTCCCATATGATCCATGAAATCTTCATCGCTCACTTTTTTAAAACAATGCTCCCATTGGCAAGGGTACTGCAATGAAGAGGATGCAGCTATTTCAGAGTTTGATTGAGGATTTTGCCCTTTTGCGTTAGTGGTGTTGTTGTCGTTGTCATTGTCGTTGTCGATCATACTGTTAAAGTTATTGAACTGAACTATGAAATCAAAATCTGACATAAAGCGATCATTTTTAGAAGATAGATTTGTGCTATTTGGAATTGTTGTATGGAAACATGATTGATGGGTATGATGACGCTTACTCGACTTCTCCACATCCTCCGGGTGGCATGCATGAGGGAAATGTATTTTGAAATCATTCTGAAATTCTCGTTTCGCCTTTTTTAGTGAGCGCCCTGTATCTTCTTCTTCAAGGCTTGTAGTAGATTGCATTTGTAAATTTTGATTAACGTTGTTAATCAAGTTTTCAAAGATGGGACGCTTTGACATTTGAAAATCACAGAGGTTGTCCTTGCTGGAGTGCACTGGCGAGTTTGCTCCGTTAAGATTGCAGTTTAATTCAGTGCATGATGATCCGTTGCCGTTGCTGTTGGCGTCTATGTCTGGACAATTTGGATCATTGCAGCATTCTATTTTCTCATTCAAGCGGCACTCGTTTAGTACTCCGTTATTTTGAAAAGTGTAGTGGCGACCTAAACTCGTTTCGGCACTTCCAGGTAGTGCACATTCGATATTGTCACAGCAGATACTAGCAATTTCTCCAAGTGACAGCTCACTGCATTCGGGATGATGGCATTCAGCATTACATTCCTCTGAAGTTTTGTTATCGTTGCAATTCAAAAAGAAGCAATCATCCAAATCTTCACAAAACACATCATTGCAGCGAGCAATGTTGTCGAGTTCTGTACAAAACTCGTCCCTATTCAAATTTGACGCCTGAGGCTGCGTAAGTTGGACTTGATGTGTAGCGTCGGTATTGGTATTAGTATTGGTAGTTGTTGATGTTGTAGTTTCTTGTTGCTTTGTAGCGAATGATCCGTATGAGCTAAAATGGGGGTCGTGGTCATGATTATGGATATGACCGTGTATATGAGTATGGTTACGATGTAGATGTATATGTCCATGAACATACCCATGTGTCAAGACTTGAGACTCAAGCATAGGTGCAACTGTACCGGAAGCGGTGAATTCTGTACCGATATATGTATTTGCCGAGGACGATGCCTCGGATAAAGTGATTGAATCATTATCGGTCAGCGACAATTGGGATTCCGCCATTATTACAGTGGGTTTGTTTCTTTGCATTATTACAGTTGGCTTGTTTCTTTGCATTATTACAGTGGGTTTGTTTCTTTGCAGCGAAAGTAAACTATCATTTTCTTCAATAATACTCGGGTTTGACATAGTTTACTACACCACCAAGGAAAAAGAATCAAGAATGGGATGAATAATGGAAAAATGAATACCCCTTGAAAAAAAAAAAAAAAACAATATAAAAAAAGAAAATTCTCTTAAAATTCCAATAAAGAAGACCCCCCAAGTGAGTTGACCTTTTTTTAATACACTAGTCTTTCTCTCAATAAACCGAATCTACTTTAGCTATAAGGGAGTATTGTTGTAGAAAGAATGTAACTTGGGTAGCGATGTTCATGATGGAAAATCCAAAAAAAATTTGCAATCACCTTGGTGGTTATAAAATGCAGAGAAGGTCGCATTTTATAATTTGTGCAACATGTTACAAAGATCACGTGAAAGTGTACACGTGATAGTGTACACGTGACCTTTGTAGGAAAAAAGCAACCCAAAAAAAGAATAAAAGAAAAAAAAAGGAGGGGAAAGAAAAGGGGGAAAAAAAGAGAGAGAGAGAGAGAGAGGATCCAATTAGTGTAGGTAGGACAGAAAAAGAAAGGGGAGAAATAGAGTTATAATTAGCTAGCACACTGGCCGCCACCGATACTATCGACACTATCAAGAAGAGCGAGATAGTGGTGCACACTGGCCGCCACCGATACTATCGAGCAGAGCGACACTAATGAGCAGAGCGACACTATCGAGAAGAGCGAGATAGTAATGCACACTAGTTGCTACCGACACTCTTGACTTATACGTCTTGTTGTTTTGAAAAGTCTTATTTCGATAGGTCTCGCTTCGCTCGATAGTGTGCTCCAGTTCCCTTGGCACCAGATACAAAGTTATAGTATTGCATTTGATTTTCTTCCTTTTTTCTTCTTTTTCTTAGTTTAGTGCGTTTTATATCTCACCACCGTTTTTACATTTGTTATTAGATTCCCCTTTTAGGAAAGCTCGATAAAAGAAACAAACAAACAACGACAGCGAAAACAACTAAAAGCACCCAGTATCATAAACTAAATCAATTCAAGAGAAAAATATTTACAAGATCAAGACCTCAAGTAACAACCATCAACAAAAAGAACCTCATTATAGATTAGAGTGATATAATAGTAAGTAACTGTGTAAATAAGACTGATTAGTAAGTAGGTGTAAATAGGAAAGAATATAGATAAGAAACAATAAATAGTATGTATATATAAGAAACAATTAGTATATATATAAGAAACAATTAGTATGTATATATAACAATTAGTATGTATATATAACAATTAGTACGTATATATAACAATTAGTACGTATATATAAGAAACAATACCTAGCAGGTATATATAACAATTAGCACGTATAAGCAAGAAACAAATAGTATGTATAAACAAGAAACAAATAGTATGTATAAACAAGAAACAATAACTAATCAAGACGTATCTCCAAACTGTGGATTACTCTTTTCCTTTAAAAACGTGTTTATTAAAAAGATTGATAGGATACATAAACCGCCTCATGTAGTTTGCATTGCGTTGCTACCAACATATTTTTTCTTTTTTTGATGCTATTGTTATTCAACCTAAAACCCCTAGAATACTTTATGAGCTTTAGGTTTCAACTAACCAAAAAAAATAAAAATAAAAAAATAAAAGAGAGTTCAGGGTTGAAGAGGTGGGGTTTATTAGTTATGAGTTACCCTTGTTTAGTTTGGTAATAAATTAAGACTAGAGTAAAAAGGGTAATATCAAAATAGGTTGATTTGATAATATCTTTTCCCAAAATAGTATTTAGTGGACTTTACTGAGATATTTTTTCCCGCGGTTTTGGCTTATCTCTTTATTGTTGGCGCCAATTATAGATAATATTCATGGCTCTTTTTGACAGGCTTGTCTATTTATAGTCAAAAGACCGGTTACCAATGCAGGGGAATTACTTGACAAAAGAACCAACAACAAACAAGTATTAGAGTCAGAATGTGAATCAATCACTACACAAGTATTAGAGTCAGAATGTGGGTGTCAACACTATCAATCTGCCTAGCTACTTTTGTTTGTATAAGATTTACTGTGCGTATACAATTAAAACACAAAATAATTTTTTCAAATTTTTCAAATGTACAATCGGTTGTTTACTCAACCGGTCGTACATTTGATTTACTCTTGTTGAACAATATGCTTTTGAGTTTGGACTTTATCATATAAATACATTGTAATTTCTTCATGAGCTCTTTAGGAATTTCTTTGGCAAATAGCAGTAAGCTAACCTTTTTGTTGACATCTCTCTCTTCTATATATGATTTTTAAACGAAGGAGGAGATCCAAAACAACATTTGGCTCATTTCAAGAAGCCTCAATTAAACGTGTCGCAAGTGCCCGAAACTTGTTCAGTTTGAAAAAAACTACCCCAACCGTTGCTTCGTTAAAAGACTTGTCGACCCCAGAATCAAAAGGTGATGAAATAACTTTATTTAGTAAAAATGCTTTGGTAACGCCGCAGACAGCATCGTCATCATCAACAACAACTGCAACAACAACTGCAACAACTGCAACATCGGTATTCGCAACACCGGTATTCGCGCCTCCTTTTTCTTCTCCTCCTTCTTCTCCACCACCACCTTCTCCTCATTCTCCCCAACTGAATGATGTTCCAGACACTAAAACTTTCGAAGACGACTCGCTATTGGATTTTTATTCACCAAGAAAAGCTGTTAAAATCGATCAAACATTCACTCTTGATTCAATATGTGCTAGTCTAGATAGACTAGACGTGGTGGATGAACTAGACGTACCTGCATCTCCCATATCATGCCACTCAAACACTCTAAGCGTATCATTTAATGACATCTTGAGCTCTTCCACAACAAGGCAAAATTCACTCACAAAGGACACAGAAGCAATGTCAATTACAAATGCAAATATACAAATATACCAACATGCACACGATAAATCGAAAAGTAACAATTTACGGTTGGTTAAAGATCTCTATTCTAGAGAATCTCCAAAAAAACTGTCCAAAGTTTCCTATCCCAATATTCATACTTACCTTGAGGAAGAGAATGAAAATGCCGGTTTTGACGAACTACATAGACTTGAAATGTTACTACTAGACGAGAAACATAAATATGAATTGAAACAACATAAACGTGAAATTAATATACTTCACGAACAATTGCGCACTCAAAGAATGTTGATTCATCAACTATCAGACAAGTTGCGTTCTTACGAGTCAGACTCACAATGTCTACTTCCACCATTTAAGGTAGTACAGAATAATTCGAGATCATCCATCTCTACCTCTACCAGAGACTCAATAATGAGTGCCAGCCTTTTGAAAAACTATTAGCGTCATTTTTACATTAATATGGTTTAGTTTTTTTTTTTTTTTTTTATTTTATTTTTTTTTTTTCGACACTTTATACTCAAAAGAAAAGTGTTTTAATTATACATGGTTTAGTTATATTGTTTCTAATTAGATCTCTTTGATTTCGTTTTCATCAGCTACAAGACCCATAACAACAAGAAACATGTTCAAATTATTCAACAAGTTTTGTTTCTTGTATGAGTTGGCCAAATCTTGACTGTTGATTGCTTTTGCCCTATTCATAACACCAAATATTTCATCTCTCAATTCATCAACGATAATTCGTTGGTGGCTCAATTTACCTCCTAACGACAAAGTTGCAAGGAACTGCCAAATGTAGTTTTCTCTTGACGAACCATCATCAACCTCGACTGGATTGGGTGGGAATATTGCAGCTATTCTAGACTCCAAGGCGGTGAAAAGCTCATCGTAACATGATGACCATTCTGATAAGTCCATCGCTGATATATGCCCTTCTCCAATAATCAACTCGGCACGCGATAACAAGGTAGTCAAAATAGTTAATCCAATCTTTGTAGTGGAAACAAATGGAACATTATTGTGCTCAATCAAGATCACCAACAAACCAATAATTTCATTGAGTTTAAAATCTAATATTGCATTCATCAAGACTTTTGAGAATGTCAATGAATACGCTTCAACAAGCATGAGAACCAGTTTGGGTAGCTTTTTATCTGCATAGGTAGTATAGGATCCATTCTTTATGACAGATAAATTTTCCAAATTCGATATAACTAGGGCAGCAATAGTTAAAATTTGCTCTCTGTTTAAAAATTTAAAAAGACGTGGTAAAATCCTCAACATCTTGTTGTAATTTAAGCATTGAATAAACGGGTTAACCTCGCTCTCTTCGTCTCCAGAAGATGACGTTTGTTCCAAAACCTTCATGGATTCCCAAAGCTTTGTAGTATCAATGTTTGATTGTGTTCTTGACTCACTTTCAACATTCATCAACTCAGTGATAATATTTTCCAAAATCTCTAAAATATCATTCCTAGAGTATTTTTTGGTATCTTCTTTTCTCTCGGTCTTGTTCTCCTTCTTTTCCCTTTCAGCAGCTTTGCTGATAATCTCCAATTGTTGTCTTGGCTTTTTACCGCTAGCAAAAGAAATCTTGCCCAAAGCACCCTCTTTAGCATATTGCTTAGGCTTTGGTCTTTCTTTAGCAACGGTAACAGCTTTTTGAACTTGTTGCTGCATTCTTTGTAATGCAACGTCAGCCCTTTTATAACGGCCACCTAATCTGTGTCCACTGTGATCCAAATAAGCCTGAGCAATTGAGTTGTTCTGTTGTTCTGGTGGAACATGTTGCTGAATTCCATTTACTGACTTGGGGTGAATTACTTTGTAAACTTGAGCATAAAAGTCTTCATTATAAGGATCCTCAGTGACAATTTGAGACAATTGAAATCTCGTAACAAAATCTTTATCCTTGGGGTTCATAATACCAGAATACCTCATAATTCTCAGTACTTTCTCCTGTCTCTTTGCCGCCTTCTCTTGTTGCTGAGGTTGGAGCTCTTGCAGACGTTGATGTAATTGGCCATGTACTTGTTGACGATGATGATTCTGATGATGATGATGCTGCTGCTGCTGCTGCTGCTGTTGCAAAGCATCGTGTTGTTGTTGTTGTTGATGATGATGATGATGATCATTGTTATGATGATGCAGCTGTTGTTGCATAGCCTCTTTGGAACCAAGCACAGGAAATAATGATAAATCAACTTTTTGTGTCTTTACTGGAGCTTGTGACTGAGAAACTTTCTTCTCTTCTCGAAGTTCCTCACCGCGAGGGTATTGCTGATTCTCTTGCTCTGGCAAAGATTGTTGCTGCGGTTGCGGTTGTTGGGGGAGCGGTTGTTGCTGCAATTGCTGAGGTTGCTGTTGAGGTTGTTGTTGTTGTTGAGGTTGCTGTTGCTGTGGGTGAGAGAAGTGATGAGCTTGTGAGATGGGAGCTTGCATATAAGCCATTTGTTGAGAAGATACTACACTTGGAAATCCAGGTTGATTGGGCATATAGCCACCCATCATATACCCATTGAACTGGGGTGGAATTGGTGGTGGTGGTGGTGGTGGTGGCATCATTCCAGGAATAGCATAGCCCTGGGATTGAAACTGACCGGGATGCTGTGGAAATGATTGATCAACAGCAGTCAACTGGGCCTCGATTTCCTCCAAGGAAAGGATCTTCTTTTCGGGAACTCGTTCTTTATCATTTTTGGCTCCCTTACTTGGTGCATTGGAAGCGCCCCATAACTCCTGCATGAATTCCTCGTCATTGGCTGGTGCACTTTGTGCTGCCTGTGCATAGCTCACGGCACCACTATGGTCAACTGGTGCTGCTCCTGCTGCTCCTGCTGCTGTTGGTGCTGCTGCTGCTGCTGCTGCTCCTGGTGCTCCTGCTCCTGGATCAGTGCCAAACTCAAAGTCCTTCCTAATTTCACTAGTGCTAGTTCCAAATGTCTCAGCATTAAACGCATCCTCTTCCTCTTCTAAACCATCATAAGTATTTTCAAAATCATACACTCCATCATCGGCCTTAAAGTCCGCCGGACGCTGCCTAGGATCAAATCCAAAAAACGACATTTAAATAATACTTGATTTTATCAAGATTAAACCAGACTTTCAGCAAAAAAAAGTTCCAATCTTTGATAGCAATACCTTTATCCTTAACCTAATAAATTGGTTCCTTCTTATTGATCGCGAATTTTTCCTTCTGTTGTTGACGTTGAAGAAAAAAAAAAGAAAAAAAATTATATGCAGAGCATTATATGGAGAGGAGGTATAGGTCAAGATGTTTGTTGCAAAGCTATAGACTATCGAGCTATAGACTATCGAGCAAAGCGAGATAGTCTATCAACTACACTAGGACTATTGAGCCCAGCGTGATAGCATATATCTACACTCTATTTCTACTCTCTATCTACTCTATCTACTCTATCTACTCTCTATCTACTCTATCTACTCTCTTCCTACTCTCTATCTATCCTCTATCTACTCTATCTACTCTCTATCTGCTCTATCTTCTCTCTTCCTACTCTCTATCTATCCTCTATCTACTCTATCTACTCTCTATCTGCTCTATCTTCTCTCTTCCTACTCTCTATCTATCCTCTATCTACTCTATCTACTCTCTATCTGCTCTATCTTCTCTCTTCCTACTCTCTATCTATCCTCTATCTACTCTATCTACTCTCTATCTGCTCTATCTTCTCTCTTCCTACTCTCTATCTATCCTCTATCTACTCTATCTACTCTCTATCTGCTCTATCTTCTCTCTTCCTACTCTCTATCTATCCTCTATTCACTCTTTCTATCGACTAAACTCGTTTCATTCGTCTAGTCTTCTTTTTTGCATCAATTTGTCTCAAACTCAATAATACTCCAAGTATTACTACCAACAACTCTACTTCTACACTCTCGAGCAAAGGGAAATACTCCATATCTACTCTCACCATCTACACACCATCTATACCCTCTCTTTTAAGTAGACTAGTTTCACTCGTTTAGTATCTCCCCTCTCCTCTCTTTTAAGTAGACTAGTTTCACTCGTTTAGTATCTCCATCTCCTCTCTCTATAGACTATCTTGCTTTGCTCGCTAGTCTATCTACTTACACTCTATCGACTAGACTCGTTTCACTCGTCTAGTCTTTTTCCCAACCTCATAAACTACATTACATAACTAGCAATACCGGTCTCGCTAATTTGTTGGGTTCCGTAATAGAGAGTAGACTCATCCCACTCGTCTAGCCGATAGAGTGTAGATAGAGAGAGACCAGTTGATGAAAATCAACTGGTGGCTACAATAATCCTGGTCTTTAATTATTATGACAAGTGTTGCTCAACATATTGGTACAAATCCGTGTGTCCTTACGAGAATATCGAGCAAAGCGAGATAGTCTCTAGTCTACTCACCTCTCTAGTCTCTAGTCTACTCATTACTCTCTACTCTCTACTCACTCTCTACTCACTACTCACTACCCCCTACTCTCCACTCTCTACTCCACTCTCCACTCTCTACTCACTAGTCTCAACTCTATTCTCTAGTATATTCTCTTCTCTCTTTCGACTATCTCGCTTTGCTCGATAGTCTACCCCACTCTCTTCTCTCTTTCGACTATCTCTCTCTGCTCGATAGTGTATTAACAAGCTAGTCAGTGGTGCTCACTATCTCGCTTTGCTCGATAGTATATTAACAAGCTAGTCAGTGGTGCTCACTATCTCGCTCTGCTCGATAGTGTATTAACAAGCTAGTCGGTGCTGCTCGGTTTCTATAAAGTATGTAATTTGTGTATGTGTATGTATACATGTGTGGATGTGTGGATGTATATATGTGTATCTATGTATATGTATATATTGGGTTTAGTTAAAGGCTTGTAATGCACTAGTTAGTTTCAAGTTCATCTCGTCCCATTCATCCAAACAATCACTAAGCACAGTTATTGCACCACCAGCACCAATACGCCACAAGCTTAAATCGCGAGAATTCTCTAAATCATCTTTGTAATGGAAAACCGACCTAATAATGACACTCCAATCAGAGTCGTCTGTGACTGACCAATAACCTACAACGCCACTATAAATGCCTCTTCTTCCTCCCGCAGTGACATTGTTTTGCGCATCCTCTATATCTTGCAATAATTGCACCGATCTTCTCTTTGGTGCTCCAGTCATCGATCCTGGGGGCAATGATTTGTGGAGAATATCAATCCCATGGAACTTCTTGTTTTCTGCTAGCACTCCTTGGATTACACTAACTAACTGAAACACCGTCTTGTATTCCTCCACTGCCATTAATTGGGTAACTTTCACATCCTCAGTAAATTGATACAAATCGTGTCTGATCAAGTCAACAATCATTAAATTCTCGCCCATTTCCTTGGGCGTCTTGAGGATTTCTGTAGCTTTGGAAAAATCAATCTCGGGAGTGTTCTTCACTGTACCTTTAATTGGCCTCAATTGAACAACCTTTTGGAAACCTTCCTCTTTGCAAGACAAAAATCTTTCTGGAGATGAAGATATCAAACAGCAATCATCAAAATCCATAAAACATGAAAATGGCGAGGGGTTCTTGTGTAATGTGAGCACCTTGTAAATATCCCAAGACTCTATATATGACGGCAAATAGATCTTCAGCTGGGTTGTTAAACATAACTCATAGGAGTCACCTGAATGTAAGTACTCCTGACATTTCTCAAACTGCTTTTGATATATATCTTGCAAAGGTAACTCAAATTTAATCTTATTAGTATCCTCTTCACGTACAAAGTCTTTGACACTTGAAGCAATTTCTTGCAAGTCTATCGGAGTTACGTTGTTCAAGTCTTGACGCATTTCCAGAACCCATTCTTGAGTTCCTTTATTTAATGATACGAGAAACCAATCCTTGGTAATGTGATCATAAATGAGAAATCTCTCGATATATATCAACTTCAAATCTGGCGTGTTCCCATTACAAAACAGCTTGAGCTTTTCATATTTTATGTGCTGACCTTCCTCATACGAAATGAGTCCCATAAACCCACCAAAAAATGGTATTTCTCTAGTGTGGTATCTTTTTTCAACCTTGAGCTTCAACACATTTCGCGGAATGTACTTGCGACGCATTTCGCTGGCAACATACTTCCACATGCCTTCGTGCCCATCAACTGGGCGTTTTTCAATTTTCCCAGTTTTATACTTTGAAATAGTGATATGGTTCATGTCGTCTACGGAGTGTCCAATGACTAAACTTTCACCTTTAATTGGAAAGCCAATAATGGACCATTCTCCTGGATAAGATGCTGAGTTTAAAAGAACAAAGTTTGTTTCTTTATCTTTATGAAAGAAATAATCACAAATGTCGATTGGTGTGATGGCTTGAGAAATTTTGATATTTTCAAAAACCAAGTTACAATCAAAGCTTTGTGCATAACCATTAGATATTAACCCGTTTTCATGTATGGCGCGGGTTTCTAGCCATGTAAAGTCTCCCTCGACTTTGTCTGTGATCTTGGTGGTGGTATTTCTTCTATACTCTTCATTATACTTGCTTGCCATCTTTGTAAAGTTCAAAATTAAATTTTCTCCGTTTTCAGAACATATCGACTCTGGATGGTACTGTACACCATAGAGCGGGAGTTCCTTGATTCTCATAGCCATCAAGATTTTAGACTCCCGATCCAGTGAGCTTTCGTAACAATATGCAAGAGGCACAATATCTTTGGTCAAATTTCTTGAGTCAACATAGAGCGAATGGTATCGCACACTATCAAATGGGATAGTATCTGAAAACAACTCACTCTTGTCAACAGGATGGATCTTGAAAATTTGACCGTGTTTGATCTCCTTTAGTCGCTCAACCTTATTGCCATATTCGTAACAAAGACTTTGAAAACCTAGACAAATCCCTAGAATGGGAATTGCATTCTCAAAACCAGCTTTTTTGATTCTGTTTATCACCCAACTTATTATTCCCACATCCTTTGCCAATGCGGGGTGTCCCGGACCAGGGCCAATAACTATGTACTCGAAATGCAGCTTGACTTGTTGGAAAAATGATTCATACTCATCTGGTGAAAACGAATCATTATGTATAATAACAACCCTCTTTTTCGTTACATTCTTAATCAAGTGTGCAAGATTATTGGTGAACGAGTCATACGAGTCAATTAGCAAAATCATACTACTCAGTCAATGATAGCAAGACCTCTAGAGCACAGCACAGCACAGCAAACCAAACCAAACCAAAGCGTAGCTAGCCGGGCAGTACTTGATAGATTGTTATATTTCATCTTAACTTTATATGGAAAAGAAAAAAAGAAAAAAAAAAAAATCAAACAAGCAAAGAGATGAAGGTAAGGTTCAATAAGAAAAGAAGGGCATTCGAGGAAAGACATTGAATGTAAAGTCACTACTCTATATCGCTTTCTTCGTCATCGTCATCATCATCATCATCATCATCATCATCTTCGTCTTCACTGGACTCTTCATTCTCGCTAACTTCCTCGCCTAAATCTTTAAGTCTCTTGGCATACCTACTTTTCTTTTCGTCCAAATCAGACATCAATAGCATTAAATCGTCAAGCTCGGTTCTGGGGACAAAGTCATTGAGCTTTGCTTTTAATTTCCCAATCTCCTCCCTTAATGCAGCTTCTTTTGAATTTTTTTCCTTTTCTCCCACTTCCAGCTCCTTTTCTTCCTTTTTCAATCCATCTAATTGACTATTTGCCTTGAAAATTGAAAATTCCTTGTGCAACTTTGCCAATTCGGAGTTAAGATTGGTATTCAAATTTTGAAGAGTTTCAATCTCTTTGCTTGATTCTCGAGCTTTTGCACTATTTGATTGATTAGTTACTGTTATCTTTTCTTCAAGTTGTCCAACCTTTTCAATAAGTTCTTTCTTTTCAAAGGTGAGTTTTTGCATTTTTTCTTCAACTTCTTCACCAAGTTGACTTTGTGCTGATTTCTCATGGATGAGATCTTTTTCAAGCTGGGAGATTTTCTCAATAAGCTGCTCTTTATCCTTTTGTTGTAATTGTATTTTCTCATCCAACTTGTCGTGCTTATCTTGGATTGTCTTGCTTTCTTTGAGCTCCTTTTCAAGCACACTTACTTTGTCTATAAGATCTTGCTTTTGTTTTTCAACTTCTTTTATTTTTTCCACAAGAGAAGCATTATTTTCCTCTTGCTTCTCCAACATGTCAACTGTAGTATCTTTTTGGTGGCTCTCTTTGGTTTCAAAATCTTTTTTGACTTCTTCTACTTGTTTGGAAAGCTCGCTTATGTTCAGTTTGTACTCCAATATCTCATTGTTCAATTTTTGAATCTTTTCTTCATTGCCTAGAGTAGATTCTAGCTTCATTTCAAGTTCTGCTACTTTAACCTCTAATTCCAGTTTCTCTTTTTGATATGCTTTAAACTCCTTGTTTACGCTATTCAACTTTTCCTCGGCATCTGACTCTTGCTGAACCAAGTTTTCTCTCGTAGACTTGAGTTTATTAGTGATCTTCTCCACCTCTGCTTTTGCAGTCAGCTCTTGTACTCTCAAATCTTCTAAAGTAGACTCCAACTCTGCAATCCGGGCGTCTCTTGAGTTCAAGCTATTCAAAAGTGCCAATTTTTCCTTTTCAATAACTTCAAGCTTCTGTGTCAAAGAATATTTCTCACTACTCATATTCTTCACTTCCAGTAGTTTGGAAGCAATTTCCTTCTCCAATTCTGCACTCTTTGATCTGGCTATCCGATTCTCATTCTGCGTATCTGCAAGTGATTTCGACAACAAGTTTTTGTCTGACTTGAGTTGCAAAATTTGGTCCTCATAACTTTTCTTGTATTTTTCAGTTTCTGTTTTGACATTCTTCAACTCCTTTACAAGTTGCTTTATGCGATCTTCTCCTTCTGCATTCTGTTTCTTTAGCTGAAACAAGTCTTTAGTCATGGCGTTAACTCCATCCTCTAACTTCTTTTTGGATCGTTCAGTTGATTCCAATTGTGCTTCTAATTGCGTTTGCTGTGCTTGAAATGTCTCAATTGTGCGCAACGCCTCTTGAAGTTCTTTACTATATTTACTTGATGTTTGTTCAAGTTCTTGTTTTAGACTCGTTACATCGCTGAGCTTTTGAGAGGCGAAGGAAAACTTTTCACCCATTACCTTCAACTCTTCCAGTACCCTAACAAGATCTCTTTCAACTTGTTCAACTTGGACCTGGAGGTCCTTCTTCACAGTTTCTAATTCTTTTATTTTTTCTTTCAAAAAAGTCTCATTTTCCCTATTCTTTGTTCGTTCCTCTTGTAGCTCTTTTGCTAATTCTGAAGCTTTCATATCCACCTCTTCAAAAAGCTCATACGATATTTTTCCTCGAGGTTCCGAATTAGGGTCATGAAACAATGCTCTTTTGATCCGAGTGAAATGGTCCTTCACCAAATTAACATAACTCACGTCAAAATATACGTCAGGCAATCCATTTTCCTCTTGAACAGATAAAAAGTTCAGAGATTCATCAAAATTTTTAAACAATGGATTTGTGCTCAATTGCTTCACCTTATAAGAATAGTTGTTCATCCCGAGTCCTTTCACTAGTAATTTGTGAAGTTCAACTCTTGAGATAGGAGAATCTTTTGTGGAAAACTCATAAACTATTCCTAGTAAAATTGCAGCCATGCTATGTACAATTGAATTAGCTTCAGATGTGTTGCTTGACAAGAATGCCAAGATCGATTTAACAGTAGACTCGTCACTCAAGAAATCATTCACTGCAGCAAAATCTTCGTATAGCCATATTGACAAAAGCATCAAGTATCCAATTGCAACTCTTTGATCCATGTCATCAAATGTAGTAATTAGCAAGCCAGATATTGCCTCTATAGAGCTCATAATCTCCTCATTCGCTTCCTCATTTCCTGCATTTACAGCTCTTGCCGTTTCTTTGTTTTCTGGCTGGTCTTTGAAAATGTGTATTAGAGTTAATGCTGCAAACCACACTTTATACGGGTTGAGTTTCACATCAGCATCATAATCCATCAAAGTACGAAATATATTTCCGTAGGGTGCTGGCATACTATTATTATTATTATTATTATTGTTGTTGCTGTTGTTGTTGCTGTTGTTGTTGCTGTTGCTGTTGCTGTTGCTGTTGTTCCCATTTGTAATGGGCAAATCGTCACCTATTTCATAGTAATAAATGTCCAGCTTGTATGCCTCAATCTGGTCTTTCAAAAATGCCAGCTTTGCACCTTGATTGTCTTTGAAATATGCATCCAAACAAAATGCAGCACCGATTCTTACGTCAAACAGATGCACGGAATTGATAAATAAGCACCAATTAAGCAATGCGACGGGTACCGGGATAGGTTTTTGAAAAAACTGTATATGGGATGGTAAAGAAGGATCAATATAAGGAATATCAATTTTGGAAATTTCATATTGAATGTCTGGATTCCCACGAATGGCATCTGCCGCCGTCAAAAGGGCCACGGACCTTATAGTATTCCCTGTCAGTGGTGAAAAGATGAGTTTTAACACAACGTAGTGGATTCCCGCTTGATAGAGAATATTCTGATTTTGTACAACTAGCTCATTATCTTCTGACACCAATAGCCGACATATTTCTAGTGCGATAGTCATGTTTTGTAGTCTTTGTTCCGTCCACGCAATAGGTGGCTCTGAACCATTGATTGTTCCATTTTCGTGACCATTTAACGCCGCAGAGGCATATTCTTGCTCATCCATTACTTCTCCCTCCACGGGTTCTCCTAATAGCCTCGCTAGTCGCGGTACACATTGCGTTTCCAAGAAATATTTCTGGTTCGATTCATTAAATTGAAGCAAATTTGTAAGTAATGTTAAACAATCCTGCACTAGGATGGACCCCCTTATTCCGCCTTCTTCTTCAATTACATCGAACAATGTTTCAAATGTATTTTCAAAAGCAACCATTTTTTGGATATTGAAATTGTTATTCACGAGCGCCATAAGAAGTAGAATGGCTTCATTTCGTACTGGATCATGACTATCGTGCAACAAACTGCAAATTGTCGACATTGCTGTTGGGGTGTTTAATAGTGTTTCCTTGACCCTTGGCCCTCGACAAGAAACCAAAAATTCCAATAATTGGATGGTATATAGTTTCAAATGATAATCATTTTCAGCCAACTGTTCAATCATCAAGGCCAAAATCTCGGGATCTTGTAACAATGCGTCAGCAATCCACAAAGATAGCTGGTCCTCCATTGAAACTGCAAGGTTCCCCATTAGTAATGGTGAGGGATACTTTCCATTCTGCAGTCGCAGCTGTTGCGAAATCCAACCTTTAGTCAAATCGTCATTAGCGTCACCGCCATGAATCAGTAGGATAAGGAAGGACTCCAAGAGTGCTTTAACCATCGATACATTTTCGTGATCCTTCTTAAAAGCTGATATCAACGGACGCAACCCATTTTCAACAACGGTTTCCCTATATTGCCGACTAAAACTTTTCAACCCAAGAACAGCAGAACGCCTATCCAATACCATTGTCGAGTGCTGTAATCTGTTGCACAACGTGGGAATTGCTTCCCCAACCAGCTGCACTTGGGACTGATTTCCCAATATATTGTTGATATACTCCATTGAAAAGCTTACTAAAAAATTGCAAAGAAACTCAAACCTACCAAAACCTTGACTTTTATTCAATTACCTTCTGTCCAAAAGGTGGTCCTATCAACTCCTTGACTCCCTTTGCTACTGACACGGCAATGCTCTAATCACCAGCTACTTTTCTTCAGTTTCCTCTGTCCAAAAGGTGGTCCTATCAACTCCTTGACTTTCCTCCAAGTAAACTCCCCCTTTTCACTGACTTTCCTTCCAATAAACCCCCTTTTTCACTGACTTTCCTTCAAGTCAACCCCCTTTGTTAATAACACGGTAATACTTTTTCAATTGATTCTTTTTTTTCTTCTCTTTTGTTTACGCGATGAGATTGCATTATCGATAGCATCAAGAGAAAGGGTTGAAGACGGGGTTGAAAGGGCAGGTTTCAAGGCCCTTTTAGCATGTAGTGATGGTATTTCAAGATTGCAAATATAATGTGGATGAAGAAACTAAAAGACTACCTTCTTCGGTGAGTTATTTCCCTTGTATAGGCGATGCAGAAGAATTTTTTCGAGATGGAAACGATGATGAAGCAATATTCAATGATGATGATGAGGTTCCGGCTATTGACGATAAGACGCTCTCCAAGATTAGCACGTTGCAAGCCAAGTTAGAGCAGCTACAGCATTTAAGGGATACTAGGAATTACAGTGGCTCAAGCAATAAGTCGTTCAAATTCTCAAGATCTGTTTTGTACAACTTGGCTAATGAGGTGTTTGGCTTTAATGGGTGGTCAACGGAATTGGTGCTGTGTTGCATTCAAGAGATTGAAGAAAAAACCAGCGATACTGTTGAGCAACACTTTGTAGTGCCACCAGACCAAGGGGAAAAGGAAAATGAAAATGAAAAGGAAGAGGATAAGGAAAAGGAACTGGTGCTGTTCAAAAAGAGGCGGTTTTCTGCAAGGTGTGTGTGCATGGTGAGGATCATTCTACTCGATGGTACTTCAACTGAAGGTATCGGTATTGGAACAGCAACAAACTTGCCACACAAGTACCAATGCTATATCAAGTGCAAAAAGGAAGCAGTAACAGACGCAATGAAATGCGCAATCATTGGATTGCGAGATTTATATTTCGACTACGAACTGAGGCGACTATGCCGGGAAATTGATTTTTGAGCAGCACAACACTATCGAGAAGAGCGAGATAGTATTGATGCTAGCTACAAAGTGTTGCTCCACTATCGAGCAACACTATCGAGCAAAGCGAGATAGTGTTGTAACAAGCTAAAAAGTGTCTGTAGCAGCTAACCAGTGCTGCTCCACTATCGAGCAACACTATCGAGCAAAGCGAGATAGTGTTGTAACAAGCTAAAAAGTGTCTGTAGCAGCTAACCAGTGCTGCTCCACTATCTCGCTTCGCTCGATAGTGTCGGTATAGTCAGTGTAGTCAATGCTGCTCCACTATCTCGCTTCGCTCGATAGTGTCGGTGTAGTCAATGCTGCTCCACTATCTCGCTTCGCTCGATAGTGTCGGTATAGTCAGTGTCGCTTTACAAGTCTATTAATTTGGCCAATTAGCCTACAAGTCTATTAATCCCTCAATAATCCAAGATGCTAAATTTAGAAAACTCGCGAATAACCGGCTTTGGAATCTCTTCAATGAGGTAAATCTCTCCATTATCGTCAATTCTTTCACGGTCCTTTTCACTCATATTGTGTATCTCGTCGATATTCTCCTTGATAAAGGTGATCAATTCACACCAATTCTTTTGGATTTGGAAAGCCTGCTCCCTCAGTTGTCGTCTAATAAGCGCTTCTATCAATCTAACGGCATCTGGTTCGGTGGTATCAAGCCTCTCCAACAATCTACCAACTGATCTAATCAAGTACTCTTCTTCATAAATGGTACCTTTTCTACCCTTGGCTTTCTTTCTTTCTTCTCTCTTTCTATTCTTTGACGTTCGTCTAGAGGCTCCTGTTTTCGCAGTGCCCCCAGTTTTACCCGTGTATCTAGTGAAGAAAGATGCAGCTGTTGAAGTCTCTGAAGCAACTATCGACACATTGTCAGGCGTGTCCAAGTCATCGGGGTTCCCATAAAATGCAAGCGGATCTTCTTCCTTTTTGCTTCTTAATTCCCGAAGTCTTCGTAATTGTGAGTTCATTTGTCCCTTACAATCGGCTAATAGTTCCGCAATAACTCCAAATCCCTCGTTTATTTGATCATCAATAACCAGCTCAATTAGTTCCAGTTGTTGTGTCTTTTCGGCTAAAAGAATAGCCTCATCAAACCAGTACTGTTTACAATACAACTTGACTGCCTCGCGAACATTATTCAAAAACTGATATTCAATTTCTGCTGCATCACTATACTTATGATCAGCAGTAAGTGTTGCAACAAGAGAGTTTGCCGTATCAATAAGCTTGTCCTTGTACTCGGATTTTGCAACGATAGATAATGCCTGTCTCCACTTCTTTGCCAAAATATAATTTTCCAAAGCATCATCCAAGTCGCCCAAGTATTCATAGGCAATAGCAGATTCGCCAAACAGAGCGTTATTGTGTAGAAAAACTGCAAATAAGCTCATAATATCGTTAGTTCTCTTCTTGTTGTATGTGTAAATTTTCAACGCCGGCTTATACATTTGGTGTTTCACAACATAATCGTCAAACTCTTGGTATGCATCTTCACCTTTCTCATTCAACCAATGCAACGCCAAGTCATAATTCTTCAAATAGTCATCAATTAAAAACTTCTTCTGCAAATCTGGTTGAACGTGTAAGTTTTGCAAAAATGGCAAATATTCCTTTGGGTCCATTTGCGATTTTTGTGCTATAAGCAAAGCCAATTTGACATCATATAGTCCAAGAGATGTACTATATAGTTTGTTCACGTCTTGTAAAAAACATAAATGGGTTATAGCTGTTTCCTTTCGTTCTTGATCTTGATCGGTGAATTTACCAACCAATTGCAACGCGGCTCTCAAATTTGGAGGATTCTCGCATGCATAAGCGGTTAGCACTGTTTGCATATATTTATCGAAATACTCAGGTTTCAACAAAGTTGATAGTATAGCCTCACAAATTCTATTAACCTTGGAATCATGAAAATTCTTAAAGACTGGTTCTTTGGAAGCGTTATTAAACTTCTTTTTAAACGCTGGTTGCAAAGTTTCTCCATTTTGTTTGGTTTCTGATTCGTTTATAGCTGTATCATAAAGTGTTTCCTTGTATTTTGTTGTGGTAACGTCTTCTTCATGTAAACAAGAAACGAAAAGATCCAAATATTCAACTTTAGAAATCTGAGCAACGAATAGTTCCACATTGTTGAAGAATAGTTCCTTATCATAATCGTGAAGTATATCCAAATCGATTCTGTGTGTACGACAAACTGCAAAAGCGTCCTTATAATTTTTATTACTGATGAATTTTCTAATAGCCGAAAGAACCATTATTCTGGGACATATAGTTTCAAGATTACCTCTCGCTGCTTCCAACACAACAGAGTATTTCGTAGGCATTGCATTCACCAAAAACGAATTTCTTTCAATTTGCCGAATTCTCTCATCAACAATGTTTTGGTTAGTTAGATTCTGGAATACTTCGAAATTCTTATGTGGTGAGTTCAAATGAACAAAGCATAATTTTGATTGCACTGTGGTGAACAACAAATGAGATTCCGTGATCAACAATGAAGTGACTCCACCAACTATTGGCACATTATTGCAAAACAATTTCCCTGTACGCGAAATACCAAAGGCTTCAAATTCATCTGTATCCTTTTTATAGTTGACTTCAATTTCGCGACACAATTGGGGGAACTTTGTAACTTCTCGGGAATCTTGGGTCGAACTAAATTCTATTACTCTATTGTCAACGGTTTCAATTATAACCGTATTAAAATCAGCTCTTGATTTGATTAACACCACCTTCGATGGAATGTCTCTTGATTCATTTAGTTTAGGATTGTGGATATCATCAACTTCAAATAAAACAACCCGTGAAAACACTGGAGTGTCAACTACTACTGCAATAAAGTTATCATTAATAAAAGCGATTTGTCTTGCAACTTCATCTGGCACTTTTGTATAAGTTCTTCCATCAATGCGACTCAAAACTTGAGGATGCTTACCTTCTTTCATCTCTTTTAATGATAATTCACTAAAACAAAGGTCACCATTACTGGTTAAAACTGCGTATTTTTCATTAGATTTGCTTACTGCAAGATCAGTTATGTTCCCTTCAACCTCCAATTCTCTGAAACTAATTGGAGGCGGAACATTAGCAATAGAAAAAGGGGTTATTTTTGCTGTAGAGCCATCAACAACCAAAGTCATCCCTATATCATTTCCTTGCCTAGTTGGTCCAGTAACTATTTTGTGAGTTATATCAATAATCTGCATTCCTTTAACCGTACCAATCATAAAATTCGACGCCTTTTCTGGGTGAAATTTAACAAACAAAATTTCATCATCAGCAAAAAGCTCTTGTTTCAAGTACCAGTGGTAATTTTTGGTAGTCCATAGCTGCACTCTGTTGTTCAACTGCAAGAGCAAAATTTCACTATCAGAACTCCATAGAATATTCTTGACTACTTCCTCAGAAGGATTTAGTCTAGTGTTGAAATGTCCATGTCTAAGCCCATTTCTTTCATAGAATACTACATCTAGCACTTCTTCCTCATTTTCGTCATCTTCATCACCATTATTGTCATTGTTATGGCCATCATCATCATTATTATTATTATTGTTGTTATTATTATTATTATCATCATCATCATCATCCGTATGCCTTTGTGTAGAAGCAATTAAAGCTCCCTGTGGTTTCCAGCTTAGATTCTGTTCCAACCCATCAGTGGCCTCGTTAACACTCTCTAATTTTCCTTCTCTGGTAAACACCCTAATGACCCTCCTATTGTAAGTTTCACCAGTATCTTCAACAATAACCGGTTCAATAGTGTTAACGGCAAAAAATTCAGAGTCGCCTCTCCAACTTATTTTCACTGTTTGATCATCCATACGGGAAATTGTCCCCTTTTCTAGTTGATTAACCGTTGGATCACGTGTAATATTGGAGCTGGCATTCTCATCCAAAACGACCAAATTTTTCAAAATGTCCCGTTCCCTTTCCAAAGCTTTGAACCCCTTTCCCTTGAACTGAGTTTCCTTTTTACCCCACCCAACAGAAACGTGTTTTGAATCGGTTATTTTGATATCGGCCGAGTCAAGTTGTTTTTCCAGTATTGGTTCAAAAAACCGCGAAAGCAAGAGTAACTTATTTTCATTGGTGATCATTGCCAAAGTTTCTTCGTCATTTGACCATTGTGCCGCTTGGATCCCGACATCGATTGTTCCTACAATCTCGATGATTGTATTGTCGTAATCCTCGGGCAACTTTTGCTCGTATGTAGCAGTAACTATATCTCCATTACTGAATACAAATACCAACTGAAAAGAATCAAGGAAATGAATAGTATTAAGCAAGCGAGACTCGGTATGGAAACTGGCCAATACAGTTACATTACCATCCTTGTGGACTTTCTGTACTTCAATTTGTTGACTCTCCTCCGACGATAGGATGAATGTTATGGCATCACATACTGTATCGTAAACCGAATCAATTACATGTAGATCAGGATAAGTTCTTGACTCGGGCTTAATATACCCTCTATTGAGCACTACTAAGTTCTTCATTATAAAATTCTATTCAAAAAAAGGGTGATCTCCACCACTCTTACCTTCTTCTTCTATCTTGATAAGCAGTTAAAACCTAAAAGAGATTCTCTTTGAAGGGTCAAGAGCTCTTTGCAAGTTATGGGATGACAATTTGATTTTTTTTTCACTTCTGCGCTGCTCGGAATTGGGAAAAAGTCGGGTCGAAATTAGGGGGAGGTCGGGTCGAAATGGGGAGGAAGTTTGGTCGAAATTGGGAGGAAGTTTGGTCGGATTTGATCGACACTATCGACACTATCGAACTAAACGAGCGAAACGAGATAGTGTTGTGACAGGCTAGTAAGTATTGCTCGATAGTAGAGCAATACTACTTAGCTGCCACTGACAGCCGGTAGCGGCTACAGATAGAAGAATAGTAGTAGCTGAAAGGTGTTTGCTTTAGTGACTAGTAAAGCAATTGGTATAATGTTATAAATTGTTCCAGAGTCCTTGATTCAAATTTGAGACTCTTTATTTGATCTCTGTTTACTTGGAGAGTCTGCTCCACTATCGAACAGAGCGAGATAGTGGAGCAACACCAGCTGCCACCAACACTATCGAGCAGAGCGAGATAGTGGAGCAACACCAGCTGCCACCAACGCTATCGAGCAGAGCGAGATAGTGGAGCAACACCAGCTGCCACCGACACTATCGAGCAGAGCGAGATAGTGGAGCAACACCAGCTGCCACCGACACTATCGAGCAGAGCGAGATAGTGGAGCAACACCAGCTGCTCCGACACTTTGTAGCTTATTACAACACTACTTAGCTGCTACTGACACTTTGTAGCTTATAACAACACTACTTAGCTGCTACTGACACTTTGTAGCTTATTACAACACTATCTCGCTCTGCTCGATAGTGTTTTTCGATAGTGGAGCAACACTTTGTAGCTTGTTACACACTATTGAGCAACACTTTGTAGCTTGTTACAACACTATCTCGCTCTGCTCGATAGTGAGAGGAGAGAGGAGACAAGAGACAAGAGACACTAGACTACTGTTTATTGTATATTCTCCTAGCTTTATGAGTGAAGGCGCTACCATATCAATACCATAACAGATTCTCTTTCATCAGAAAGTAAACAACTTAGAGAGTAGAGACTAGAGGGTAGAGACTAGACAAGCAAAGCGAATCTAGTCGAGAGTGAGAATAGAGGGTCGCTCTCGAGTGTTGCTATTGAATGCTGCCTCACTACCTCGCTCCGCTCGATAGTAGAGAGTAGAGCAGAGACTACAATCCTCGCTCGCTCGTCTGGTCTAGAGAGTAGACTCGTTTGCGCTAGTAATATAGTAGTATATAGTTTATTCAACTATGTTAGCCCATAGAGGTAGGGCAACCTATAGGGGTAGATTAGCGAGCAAAGCGAGACGACACTATCGAGCAAAGCGAGATAGTGGAAAAACACTTGTAGTGATACTCTATTGACACTTTGTAGAGATACTCTATGACACTTGTAGCGACACTATCAACACTTTGTAGAGATACTCTATTACACTTTGTAGCGACACTATCAACACTTTGTAGAGATACTCTATTACACTTTGTAGCGACACTATCAACACTTTGTAGAGATACTCTATTACACTTTGTAGCGACACTATCAACACTTTGTAGAGATACTCTATTGACACTATCTCGCTTCGCTCGATAGTGTTTTTGCTCTATTTAATATTTTTCGACTGAGTCGCCTTGGGGTCCTCAGTGTTTCCTCAATATCTCGCTTCGCTCAATAATCCATAGAGGTAGATTAGCCCATAGAGGTAGGTTAGCCCATAGAGGTAGATTAGCCCATAGAGGTAGGTTAGCCCAAAGAGGTAGATTAGCCCATAGAGGTAGGGACTATTCACCATCGAGGAACGAGATAGTGAGTAGTCAGTAGTGAGTAGTCAGTAGGTTAGTCCATAGAGGCAAGGACTACTCACTATCTCGTACCTCGATGGTGAGTGAGTCGTCTATTTCAATGCTACCAAATACAAAAGTCGTGCACAACGACCCAAGGCATTTTTCATCTTCAATGGAACTTTGATTACTCAGGAAAGTATCATTAGCTTTTGATCATTTCATTAGCACCATCTCTTATTCTTGAGCCTAAACCTTAGACAAGATGTCGGATAGTGTGGAAAAAGAGGAGGCCGTTTTCCGTATGTAGTGATATCGAGGTAAAAAGACGCAGGAAATGTATGTTACTAACCCCAGTTTTTTTTTTATTTTTATTATAGGTTCTGCGGATATGTCCTTGGTCCAATTATACATCCCAACTGAAGTTGCTAGGGAGGTTATTTACAAAGTGGGACAGTTAAACACGGTTCAGTTTAGAGACTTGAACTCAAAAGTCACCGCATTTCAACGATCTTTTGTTAAGGAGTTGAGAAAATTAGATAATGTCGAGAGACAATATAGACTATTTAAAAAGGAGTTGGATTTAAGAAACATTTCCATAAAATTGTATCCCTATGAGTTCAGCATACCTCAGCAGTCAGATATCGATGAGTTGATTGAAAATAGCCAAATACTAGAGGATCGGGTATTGCAATTGCGTGATTCTGTCGAAACGTTATATAGCAATCAAAATTATCTAAAACAATTTAGGTACACGATATCCGCTGTTGACAAATTCTTTCATATTCAAGGGGACGTGGTGACTAGTGAAGAAAACGCTTTGTTGTTGGAGTTGGAAGAAGGACACCAAGGGAATGTTCATTCTTCTTCTTCTTCTTCTTCTTCATCTTTCATTGCAGGTACTATTAATACCGACAAAATTGGTGTTTTACAACAAATCCTTTGGAGAACTTTGAGAGGTAATATGTATTACCATAGCGAAGCATTGGAAGAAGACGAAATTTACGACGCTAAACATAACTCATTTGTAGCCAAAAGTTCATTCATCATTTTTGCCCACGGATCCTTAATTCATGAAAGGATAAAGAAAATTTGTGAATCGTTGGATGCTCAGGTGTTTAACGTTGAAGCATCGCGCGAGTTGAGAAAAGATCAGTTGGCTAAAGTGAACATTAAATTAACCGATTTATCAACAATTTTGACCGAGTCTCAAAATGCGCTTACATCAGAGTTGATTGCAATTGGTCAAGACCTTTACAAATGGTGGGAAACTATTGCAAGGGAAAAGGCAGTTTACACTACAATGAACTCATGTGACTATGACGGTTCCAGAAAAACATTGATTTGTGAAGGTTGGACACCAACTGATTCAATTCAAGATTTAAATCAAACTATTCTAAATGACGACCAGGAAGCAGCACGTGGACAATCAATCCCTACAATAATTAATGTTCTCACTACCAATAAAGTACCACCAACGTGTAATCGTACTAATAAGTTCACTTATGCTTTCCAAGCTATATGTGATGCATATGGTGTACCAAGATACAAAGAAATTAATCCCGGTTTGCCAACAATCATTACATTCCCATTTATGTTTGCCATTATGTTTGGTGACATGGGCCATGGGTTGATTGTGCTTCTTGCTGCACTAGCGATGGTTTTGAATGAGAAAAAGTTGAATGCGATGAAAAAAGATGAAATCTTTGATATGGCATACAGTGGACGTTATATCTTGTTGTTGATGGGTATTTTTTCAATGTATACAGGATTCATCTACAATGATGTGTTTTCAAGATCAATGTCATTTTTCTCCAGCGGTTGGAAATGGCCCCAACACTTTAAAGTAGGCGAAACCATTGTCGCGAAATCAGTGGGGACATATATTTTCGGTTTGGACTCGGCATGGCACGGCGCTGAAAATGCTTTGTTGTTTTCAAATTCATACAAGATGAAACTATCAATCCTCATGGGGTTCATTCATATGACTTATTCTTATTTCTTTGCCCTTGGCAATTTCATCTTTTTTGATAGTATGATTGATATTGTGGGCAACTTTATTCCTGGATTATTATTCATGCAAAGTATCTTTGGTTACTTGTCACTTTGCATTGTTTACAAATGGACAGTAAACTGGTTTGAAATACAGAAACAACCACCTGGATTATTAAACATGTTAATTTCAATGTTCTTATCGCCTGGTCAAGTTGATGAGCAATTGTTTCCTGGTCAATCTCAAGTTCAAGTTTTTTTACTCCTAGTTGCTCTAGTTTGTGTTCCGTGGTTGCTATTGGTAAAACCACTTTACCTTAAAAGGCAATTGGACAAGAAATCCAAAAATATAGCACTGTATTCACAATTGCCGAATGATGAAGAGTCTGGGGAAAGCAACGAGGAAACCGTTCACGACGATGATGAGGAAGAACACGAGGAGCACGGGTTTTCGGATATAATGATCCACCAAGTGATTCATACTATAGAGTTTTGTTTGAATTGTGTTTCCCATACAGCATCTTATTTGAGATTGTGGGCTTTATCCTTGGCCCATGCACAGTTATCTACGGTTTTGTGGTCCATGACAATAAGCAAGGCTTTTGGTCTTACTGGTATTACTGGGGTCATCGCTGTGGTTTTCTTATTTGCCATGTGGTTTGCATTGTCGATTTGTATATTGGTGGTTATGGAAGGCACTTCGGCAATGTTGCATTCATTGAGGTTGCACTGGGTTGAAAGTATGTCTAAATACTTTGAAGGCGGTGGCTCATTATATGAGCCTTTTGGGTTTTCTGGATTGCTTGATGCTGTTTTTTAGAAGCGCAGCAGTGGATAATAAGAGACAATCTAGTGTTTTAGGCGGAGCCAGAGGCGACTCTAGTAGAGAAGTAGCATTGAATCCCTACTCTACCTTTTACTCTCAGAATCGAGAAAAACCTGTAAAGTTACAGAGCTTGCAAACTTTACAAACTCTTTCAAGTGTACCTGCGACACTATCGAGCAGAGCGAGATTGTGGAGCAATACTTTGTACCTTGATCCCTTGGCAAGTAGCCTATAAAAGAAGGAAAAAAAGGTAAGAGAACAAGATGTCGATGCATTAGAAATGTTTGTAGATTATTCAATATTTTCAGCAATGACTATTGAGCAGAGCAATATAGTGGAGTACAAGCTAGTCAGTGGAGTACATGCTAGTCAGTGTTGCAACAAGGAGTGGTGAGAATAATATTGCGACTCTTGGTGCAGAAAAGAGGACAAGGGCAAGGTTTGTTGATAAGAAGCTCATGCTGAGAATAAATAAGGTCCAGTATAGTACGCTACGTACCTTCTATTAACTCATGTTTAACTAGCCTTTAGTTTGTCAATCAAACCCGTGTGTTTTAGAATACATTGGTATATAGTTTAGTCTCTGTCAAAAATTTACATGCCCTCTAATGTTTTATTTTTTCGCTCTTGGAAATGTCAATTTTGCGCTCGCTAGTAAAATAGTGGCATCGGTACTACTACCAGCGAGACTATCGAGCAATACTTTGTACCTTTTTCCATTGGCAAATAGATACTTTGTACCTTTTTCCATTGGCAAATGGATACCTAGTACCTTTTCCATTGGCAAATGGATACCTAGTACCTTTTCCATTGGCAAATGGATACCTAGTACCTTTTCCATTGGCAAATGGATACCTAGTACCTTTTCCATTGGCAAATGGATACCTAGTACCTTTTCCATTGGCAAATGGATACCTAGTACCTTTTCCATTGGCAAATGGATACTTTTTTTCAAGTATTGCTCCACTATCTCGCTCTGCTCGATAGTGGAGCCGAAAAGAATAACAAAAATAAAGAGGAGAAACCATTTTCCTGAATCAGGTGACTTGCTGCTGTTGATACTGGCGATTTTGTCAATATTATGAATTTACTGGTTATTGCTTTTTATTCCATAGGGCGACAAAGTCAAGTTTAATTCCGAGCAACTCTCCCCCAATTTTTTAATTTTTTTTTTTTTTTTTTTTATTTTAACGACGGGCGCAAATGTTGATTTTGCGTTCAAATAAGATCTTGAGTAATGATCTTGACTAATGATGTAAATGAAATCTCTTTGCAAAAAACTTTGTAAAATCATATGGAAAATGTAACCATATGAAAGTTGTCACTTTCACAAGGTAGATTGGGGGAAGGGTTATGAAGAGAGAGGTGAAAATGCCCAAAGTGGATTAAACACACCTAGAGTGGGATATCTACTTTACATTTTTGGTGAGACTTGGTAGCGGAGGTAAACAGAACTTCCTTTATTTAAAGGGGGGGTGGTTACGAAACATTTTTTCATATAGTATTACTAATTTCTACATTGATAATTTCAGAAGTCAAATTCGTACTACGAGGCCATTGGAGATGCGCATATCGGCATTATTGCTCAACGAGTAGTGCCCGATGTACGTGTATTTGTAGTGTCTCAAAGGTATGTACACCGCACCCCCCCCTCCTAACCAAGGAAAGAAATCGAAAGCTGAACGGCAATTGCCACGAATAGTAAACATTGAAAAACACGAAGAAGAAGCAACAAGTTTCCACAGAAAAGAAAGTCGGCTTAGGCTTGTTTACTGTATATCTTTTTGGATGGGGCTTTTTTCTTCGTGTTATTGTAGTCTTGTAGTTGTTTCCTAGATCAAAAAGCAGATACTTAAACAAAAAAGAAAGAACGAAAGCTAAAACTACAATGAGATTATTCAAGGAAGATTTCGGTTACGATTTGCAGCAACTGTAAGCTTTTTTTTAATTTTTAACTTTCTAGCTTTCTAACTTCTCATCGCATTCATGTGGGTTACTTGATGGAAAGTGCAGGATTACAACAGCAAGCGCTATTCCATTTAGCAAAATTTCAATTGTGGAAGGTTGTAAGGTGTTGACCCAGAAATGAAAGCAATCGTTTTTCCTTGGGCACATTTTGTTATCAACTACCAATTTGGATGATTATTTATTTTCTACAAAGCATTAGCAATTTGATTAATTATAGAACCATACATAAAAACAAAAACATAAAACCCTTGATTAAAAAAGAATGATAGAAATAAGAAAAAAAAAAATACTAGTGGGAGTAAAGTAGGCCGGTCTATAGGTGCCTAGTTTCCTATGTATAGAATTTGGTATCTTAATCTCAATACCATTTCAATAGAAAAATATCTGTTTAAAGTTTTTTAGGAGTAACAACAAGTAGAAAGGATTCAAGAATTCTCCCTTCAAGAAGCTAATCTTCTTTTCGAAAGTTGACAGATTTATTACAACTAAAACTCCTCTAGTAGTAACTGACGTAAAATCATGTAAGGAGAAGCCCTAACTCTACAGATTTATTGAGTCAAAGTAGACTAGAGTACTGTTTTTGCTTAAAATTGAATTTTTGGGAAAGACTTATATCGATCAAAAGGGGGGGGGGAACATTGACGGAATTAGACAAGAGCGTGAGTCTTTACTTGCGAGAATAAAAAAAAAGGGGTGTATGTGTGTGTAAGGTGGTGTTTACACTGTTTATTTATTTTCAACTTGACACAAGGACATGGCTGGATTGCATATGAACACACAATCCTTACTCTTTCTGCATTAATACATAATCATGCGGATAAATCTATTTGCACTTCACCTAAAATTCATTTACATTTAAAAAAAAAAAAATTACACCATGAGCACAAAGAAAAAAGCGCTAAGAGTATATGTTTTGGTGAATAGCAAGTTAATACTATATTTAGCTGGATGCTGGAATTACAATTGAGGTTTTTCTCATAGTTTCCTAGTTTTTTGTTTTTGTTTTTACTTGTTGACCCGAAAATCAACTGATAGTGATAGAGGTTTTGTATTGCACTTACCTTTTGATTGCCAAAAGATCTTCTTCTGCGTGCATACAAGTAAATTGTTGCAGATTTTATTTTTTATTTTTTATTATTTCTTTTTTTTTTGCAATTTTGATTTCAGAAATCAAATACAAAGCTGCAAAGGCTTCAACTTTCATTTATTTACCCATAAACTAAAGCATATAGAAATATGACTTTTACTTTGTAGAGAGAAATCTATGGTTATAAATATTTGAGTGATTCTCTCGAGTTTACCCTTGCCTTGTTTCTTTCTTTTCTCTTTTCTTCAAATCAACTTCATTCGCTATATAAAACTATTAATAAATTTTTTAATAATGCAATACTCAAAGCTTGCTATCTTGGCTGCCGTTTCAGGTTCTGCTTTAGCTCTGTATGGAGGATACTCAAACAAGACTGTGACTGATATCGCCACAACTGTTATCACCATTACTTCTTGTAAAGAAGACAAATGTACTACTAAACCAGTTACCACTGGTGTAACTACTGTGACTGAATGGGACACCACATACACCACTTACTGTCCATTGCCATCAACTGAATCTGAACCTGAACCAGAACCAGAAACTGAATCTATTTCAGAAACTGTTATTACCTCTGGAAAATCTACAATTACTACTGGTTTAACTACAGTTACTGAAGGTACAACAGAATACGTTACCTACTGTCCATTGCCATCGACTGAAGCTCCAGCTCCAGAGAAACCAGCTCCATCTCCAGAAGCTCCAGCTCCAGCTCCATCTCCAGAAGCTCCAGCTCCAGCTCCAGCTCCAGCTCCATCTCCAGAAGCACCAGCTCCAGCACCAGCTCCAGCACCTTCCCCAGCTCCAGCTCCAGCTCCAGCACCTTCCCCAGCTCCAGCTCCAGCTCCAGCTCCAGCACCTTCCCCAGCTCCAGCTCCAGAAAAACCAGCTCCAGCTCCAGCTCCAGCATCATCTCCAGCAGCTCCAGCTCCAGCTCCAGCTCCAACTACCCCAACTACTGTTGCAGCTGAATCCAAATCTGCTCCAGCTGAGAGTGTGCCAACTGTACCAGCCGTTGCAGCTGGAGCTGCTCAAAAAGCTGTTCCAGTTGTTGCTGGTTTATTGGCTTTGGGAGCTTTTATCTAAGCTGCCTATGTTAAACTTGCTTATGGTTTCTGTTTTACTACTTCTTTAAAAAAGACTAAAGTGGAATTAAAGGATTGGTTTGTTTTAGTTTTCTGTATTTATTGTTTGAAATGATGTTATTACCATTTCTGGTGGTTTCAACTTTAGGGAGAGAAAAAAGGATAGGATTTTCACTGGTATTGCTACTATTGGTGGTTCTTACCGACTTTGTTATATATTTATTGAGAGGATGGAGGAAACGGGTACGAGGCTTTACGGATGAAATGAGTCTTTTTTTAACATTTTTCACCATGGTTATTTTTTTTATTTTTCGCATATAGTTCCATCTTTGTCTAGGATTTTTTTTTTTCTTTTCTTGTAGTTTTGTTCAATTAACTTCGTTTTATCAATTGGAAATCTTTTATAATACATAATATTCGGTGCAACCTTATTTTTGTCGTTTGGATTGACAGTGTGTCAATATCTCATTGGTGATTATATATGTATATACATATAGCATTTTCTTTTGTATTATAAAAACGCTACCATGTGTGTGATGGTGCCTGATATTTTTCTAGTAGGTGAAGCTGACCCTTTAACTTAACCCTCTTGTCCTTGGGGTTGCATAGGGCCAAGTCGAATTGGTCTCCATTCTCAGTAATCAGGATGGCAAGTTCTTCATTTACAAAGCATGGCTCATAAGTACGATATGAGAAAAGATGTGGTGTAATTTTAGGATATTGTAATTGAAAATAATATAACAACAATGTCACTTGCAATGGACCGTGAACTATCAATGTCGGCAAGTTTTCAATCAGATGACAATAGTTGGTGTCAATATGGATCTTGTGAAGATTATACGTCAACATACTATATTTCAACAAATCAATTGATGACAACTGGATAGGGGGGGACACAAGCAAAACATTCTTTTCATTTAACAAGATTGGTTTAGTCTTTGCAGGAAAATATAGCTTATTGGTATACATCAAAGTCCTATTTTCAACCAACAACGGTGGCAGTAGTATGCGACTATAGAAGCTTCTCTCGATATTAACAAGCACATTTTCATCAATAAATCTAACTGACGTAACCTTTTCATCACAATGCAAAGACGAATTAAGCTCGGGAACACTTGAGATATTTATACTACCTCTAGCCCATAGCCTCCTTAGATACAATTGATGATTGCCATTTAGTACTGGTGCTTGGTAATTGTCGTATCCGTCGCTACCTATGTTCAAATTCGATTGATTGTTGAATAAAAAATGAGCTCCCAGAAGCCATGCATTAGGTAGTATACTCTTGGGTTTTTGATTTTGACTTTTTGATTTGCCCGCAAAAATATCACCCAATAGTTCCCAAAGATGAGTAATTGAACCTATAGAGTAAGTATCATTCGATTTAAATGTCTTTTGTTTAATTGTCGAGGCCCATCTATTGATACACTCTTTTGTAATCGCAGTCATGGCGATCAAAAAAAAAAAAAAAGAAAAAAAAAAATAACCTTTATACCTCATCTCTCTGATAAGAGTAGACCAGTAGACCACTTCAAAAGGGGTTCAAACAGGTTCAAACAATAAAACGGTGCTATAAGATGAGTACAAGCGAGGCCCTTAAGAAGATAAAAAACAAACAAAGAAGGCAGAAAGTGTATGGGGACATAAAACGACAAAAAGATAAAGAACGACACAAGTTAAGAGCTGAACGAGCTCGGGAAGAAAGACTGAATCCCGAGTTAAGAGAAGAAAGAATCGCGGCAAATGTACCAGATACGATAGATTCCAAGAGAATATATGATGAAACCATAGCCTCACAAGTTGAAGGGAACGATGAGTTTGCTCAATATTTTGAGAATCTCTCATCAGATCCCAAAATTTTGGTGACAACCAATATAAATGCCAAGAAAGCAGCTTATGAGTTTGCCGACATGTTGATGGATTTCTTACCCAATGCTACATTTATCAAGCGTAAAAGGGATTACAAAATTCCCGAGATTGCTCAATTTTGCTCGAATAGGAATTATACTTTGTTGGTGGTTATAAATGAAGATAAGAAGAAGGTTACGGGATTAACAATGATTAATTTACCTCAAGGACCTACTTTCTACTTTTCAATAAGCTCGATAGTGGACGGCAAAAGAATCCAAGGTCATGGTCGGGCAACTGATCATATACCGGAGCTTGTACTTAATAACTTTAATACCAGGCTTGGTAAAACTGTTGGTCGATTATTCCAATCCGTGTTTCCACATAAACCGGAATTGCAAGGACGCCAAGTGATAACTTTGCATAACCAAAGAGACTATATATTTTTGAGAAGACATCGGTATGTTTTTAGGAATGAAGAGAAGGTGGGGTTGCAGGAGTTGGGACCACAGTTTACTATGAAGTTGAGGAGAATGCAAAAGGGTATCAAAGGTGATATAGTTTGGGAGTTTAGGCCAGATATGGAGAGGGATAAAAAGAAGTTTTATCTTTAGAGAAAATGATGATATATTAGACACTAGGGAGCGAAGCGAGCTAGTGGAGCAGCAGAAGTAGAGACTTGTGAGTAGCAACACTAGAGAGCGAGGCTAGTGGAGCAGTAGAAGTAGAGACTTTTGAGTAGCAACGTTAGGGAGCGAAACGCCAAAATTAAGTACTTTAGTGGATCAGAATTAGCCCTATGGCTCTATTGACTACAAAACTCTCTATTGACTCTACAACATAAGGCCTCATAAACTTTAAAATTAGGCCCCATTGACTCTAAAAAACTAGGCTCTACTGACTTTAAAATCAGGCCCTGCTAATTTTACAAAATTCTTCATTGACTCTACAAGCTTTACTTTGTGTTTTATTAATTTCTTCTAGTGCAAACTCATTCAACTGAACTATTCTAGTAAACTTTACACTGACTATACCGACACTATCGAGCGAAGTGAGATAGTGGAGCAGCATTGACTACACTGACTATACCTACACTATCGAGCGAAGCGAGACAGTGGAGCAGCACAGACTACACTGACTATACCGACACTATCGAGCGAAGCGAGATAGTGGAGCAGCATTGACTACACTGACTATACCGACACTATCGAGCGAAGCGAGATAGTGGAACAGTGGAGCAGCACAGACTACACTGACTATACCGACACTATCGAGCGAAGCGAGATAGTGGAGCAGCATTGACTACACTGACTATACCGACACTTTGTAGCTTGTTACAACACTATCTCGCTCTGCTCGCTAGTGTTGTTCGACAGTGTAGCAGCACTGGTTACCTGCCACCGACACTTTGTTTTTGCTATTATGGGTTATACCCAAAGGTATAAACTACCATAGTCCTTCTCTACAATCTTCTACAACTGTTGACACTATCGAGCAAAGCGAGATAGTGTTGGTATAGTCAGTGTAGTCAATCTTCTACAACTGTTGACACTATCGAGCAAAGCGAGATAGTGTCGGTCAGTCAGTGTAGTCAATCTTCTACAACTGTTGACACTATCGAGCAAAGCGAGATAGTGTCGGTATAGTCAGTGCAATCAATCTTCTACAACTTTCTATTACCACTACTCTATTACCACTACTTTATTACCATTACCACTACTCTATTACTACTGTTCTATTACCACTACTCTTTCTCTTGTCTTTTCCTGCGCTCTTTCTCTTTTCTTTTTCCTACGCGGTTCTTAAAGGGTATTTTTTGAGTGAGAGAGGGTGCTTTATAGAGGAAGGATTTTTTATGAGTAGGTTTTTTTTTCTGACAAAGGGGGATTTGCGTGATTTATTAAGGGGAGCTAGGCCGATAGAAATACAAGGACTATCGAACAACACTATCGAGCAACACTATCGAGCAACACTATCGAGCAACACTATCGAGCAAAGCGAGATAGTGTTGTAACAAGCTAAAAAGTGTTTGTAGCAGCTAACCAGTGTCTGTAGCAGCTAACCAGTGCTGCTCCACTATCGAACAACACTATCGAACAACACTATCGAACAACACTATCGAACAACACTATCGAGCGAAGCGAGATAGTGTTGTAACAAGCTACAAAGTGTCGGTAGCAGCTAACCAGTGCTGCTATACTATCTCGCTTCGCTCGATAGTGTCGGTATAGTCAGTGTAGTCAGTGCTGCTCCACTATCTCGCTTCGCTCGATAGTGTCAACAGTTGTAGAAGATTGTAGAGAAAGACTATGGTAGATTATGGTAGAGAAAGACTATGGTAGATTATGGTAGATTATACTGTCAGGTATAAATCATAATAGCAATAAATTAGTCAATGCTCCACTATCTCGCTTCGCTCGATAGTGGAGCTCGATAGCGTAGTCAGTGTGCACCACTATCTCGCTTCGCTCGATAGTGGTGCTCGACGGAAAAAAAGTCGAGAATAAAGATTGTGGTCTTATTATATGGACCTTTTTAGTGACCTTCATCAGAAATCTGTTTTTCCTGCTTATATTATATATACATCTCTTTGAAGCTCCCCCCCCCTTTTTTTTTTGAGGCGAGTTATTGAACAAGATTCAAACACGTGAAAGGTTAAGTAGGATTTGCTTATAAGCGGGACCCCCCTCCTTCAATACCAAGCATTTTCAAAGGTGTGTTTTAACAGATTGAGGGTAAATTCCCGTTTCCCTTAACCTAACCTTATTTAATCTTTTTTCTTTTGGCTAGTGCATATACCAATTTATTACCATTGTTTTTTCAACTAGGGTCGATTAAGTCCACTGGGAGATACACCTTTTGTTTCTTTGGCTTTGCTTTCTGTTTGGCTTTGTATTTGTGTGTGTGTTTTGGTTTTGGTATTGCAAACTGTGTTGTTTTTTTTTGGCTTTTGTAGGTTAGGATAATGGATAGTGGGGGCGTGAGACAAATCATATCAGCCTTGGGTATTATTTATGAACCTAAATCGACCAATTTTGAACGAAGAGAAGCACAAAGTTTTCTCGAAACGGTTAAACTAAATGAAGAGTCGCCATATTGGGGATTCCAACTAGCCCTTCCGGAAAATAATCAATCCAACTATATTGTGAGGCATTTTGGTCTTTCCTTGTTACAGAGCTCAATAAGGTACAAGTTTCATACTTTTGACTCTACCAAAATATCGGCCATCAAGAATTGGATTATAGAATTGGCTAATAAAGTCGAGCCCAATGATCCGCATTATATAAAGGAGAAAATTGCATTCTTGTGGGTATCGCTAGCAAAGCGAATATGGGGCTATTATCTCGTTAAGCAGGAGCCGCTGCTGCGTGAGCGCGAGCGTGAGCGTGAGCTCTCACAGCTCTCACAGCTCCCACAGCAGCAGCTGCTGCTGCAACACCAACAACAGCGGGACCAGGTGCACAAGGCGGAGTCGCGAGACGAAGACAGGTTTGCTTTAGAGGAGGACGAGGATGTCGAGGATAAAGACGACTCAATTGAAAATGGCTCAAGGTCACCAGCAGTGACCGCCCAGGAAGCAGAGGACGGGTGGGTTTTGATGGATGCAAACTTATGGACTCTATGGAATAACAACATCACCTGTCGCGAATTGTCGTTGACTATACTTCGAACATTATTTGAAGACGTTTATCTTCTCGAAGATCCCATTGCTTCTAAAAATAGCGTGATACTAAACCAGCTATCGGTCTTGATTGTCACTCCTAATAGGATATTAGACTCTATTTATCAGAACAACCCAAGAATTTCCGTTTGTAAGTTTTCTACAGACGGCTGGTTCATAGAATGGTCAAGGTTCTTGTTAGAAATTATGTCAAACAATGAGTACCAGAATGGCACTTATTCAAAGTTTGTATCCAAAATCTTGTCTACTTTCAAGACGTGTTTGCATTGGATTCATCCAACCGTGTTGCGAGAAGAAAACATTATGCAAACATTGATCAACATTTTGAGTGTTGCGGATGTTAGAATCAAAACATTAGCGGTTGATTGCTTGCATATTCTCTTCACCAGAACATATGCAGAGGACGAGGATTTTGATTTCTTTATTGGATCAGTCTTCACAAGTGAGGGAATTGCCAAATTTTCCGAGTTTTATCAGTCATTGACATTGGACCCCGATGATATAGATGAGCAAGTTTACTCCTTGCTCAAGAAAACAGTGGAAATGATTGTTTCGCTTAGCGAGTACCTAAACATAACTTCAAAGTATAAAGTTTCGTGGGAGGGTAGTGATGTTAGCGGGTACCTTAGATTGGTTTTAAGCACAACCGATCATCCAAGTTTAATCATTAGTGGATTATCATTGCAAATGTGGGTCACTATATTACGGTTTGACGAATTGAGTGCAAAACAACAGATTATAGATATTATGATGTCCTTATTGAACATTTCAGCTGATAGAGTAATTAATTTCATTTGGGATGATGAAAATATATCCAAGAAATTCTTTGACGTTGATTTCGACTCAACCCCAGATGCTAATAGCTTTTTACAAAACTATCGAAAGTTCAATGAGGATATTATCCGAATCACGGTTTGTAAAAAACCTGAGGAAGGACTTTTATGGCTTGAGAATCGATTGCAGAATTTCTTTAGCTCCGAGCTTGGCAGAAAATGCATAAATGAATACAACTTGGGTGAAAAATCAAAAGCATTCAATTATGGCTCTTCTCAATTCAACATCATTGAAAATAGTATACGAGGGATTTCTCGTTGGAGAATATGGTACAACGGAGAAGACTTTGATACTATAAATGATCGATTGAATAAGCTAGTTATACAGCTTGGGGAGCGATTATTAGCAATGAGTTTAGCGTCGCCATTGATTATTAGGAAACAGGTGCAAACACTCGTTCAGTTTGCGCCTTTACTCAAAGATGTTGATAGTCCACTCATGTTCCAAATTTTGGAAAAAATCTTGACAACTGCAACGTTTCCTTATCCTCCAAATATAAACGATGAAGATAGAGAATTAATTAGGGATTTGAGAGCAAGTTGCGGGACTGAGTTGAATAGATTGGCCTATATTATGCCTGAAGCATTGAAAAAGATTTTTGATGATTTAGAAAATGTTGTTGCCAATATTTTATCCTCAAAGAAAGTAAGTGATCATGAGAATGTGGCCTTCAAATCTTTTTTATTAGTTATTGCCTCGAGGTCTTCAATTGATGATAAAAACGATCTTTTTGCCAAAATTGTTGATCCAGACCTTGCAGCTTGGTCGGCGCCAGAGACAGAAAAGGGATTAATGGATTTGCATTGGTTTATGGAGAGAATAGGTATTGTACAAATTGCGTCGTACTTTCAAAGCCGTGGCATCACGGCCACCACAAACTTGCTTGAAGCCAAAATGGATGATGAGGGCAAGTTATTAAAGACAAATTTAAAGGATCATTGGAGTTCAATTTTTCCTATTCGAGCCACGAGGATTTTCATTCAGTATAGTATTGAAAAATTGAGTCATGAGCTGCCAGAATATGTCAATTTGCTCAAATTGTGGAAACCCAGGGTGCAGCCTATTGTACCGCACATCTTGCAATTACTAACACAAATCCAAGCTTATCATAATCCTGAAAATTGGGTTGACTTACCTGCAGAAGTGCAAAGTTTTGTTAAGTACAGTTGCACCGAGAGATTTTGGCAGCAAGGAGTTTCCATTCAGTCAAAAGAAACTTTCATTGAGGAGAACGTGAAGGCTGCGTTAACTTTAAGAGATTTTGCAGACTCTGTTGGTCATTTAATCAGATATACTAGGGAATATGCATTCTTGACTGTAGGGTCACTTGCTCAACTTGAGGACACGCTTTATGAGATTCCAAATATAGCCACGATGCTATGGAAAGCAGTAGCAGGTGACACTGTTGGTGTTACTTTGCATTCATGGAAGCATATGATAAACAGCTGTCTCCGAGTTGTAATAAAGTTTTGCCCTGTGAAGTATGTTGAAGTTTTTATGTGTGAGCTTTTACCAAAGGCTTTAGTCGACATTGACAATCTTATTGTTTCCAAATGGGACAAAATTTATAAAAGCGGTCTTCAGTTGCAAGGTAACGAAGATGACGAGACTTTATCGGAAGAGATGATGGAAGAACACATGCTTCGACAATTGACTGCTACCGTTGTGAGATTATTGATGGATATTGTTGGTCAATATAACGCAAAGGCATTAACTGATACCCAGTTTGCATGTAGAAAACTAATCATTGAACACAAGGAAGTACTTGCTCCATTTTTGCAGATATGTTGTCACATTATCAACTTCAAAGACACAAAATGCTCTTTTAATACAATATTGGTGATACGGAATATTGTGAATGAGGTTACCTTAAAAGATGATGAGGTGGATACATTTTTGTGCGACTATTTGATCAAAGCGTTGTTGCGCGTGTTGCTTGATGATTACTTTGTTGAAACTCATGGTGAAGCAGCTTTGGCATTGACAACTTTATATTGTCAACTCCGTTCTAAAAACGATTATGCAGCTCGGGTATTAATGCAAAACCTTCCAAACATTAAGCCACAACATATATCGAATTTTGAGTCGCTATTAGTCTCGTCCAAATCATTACGACACCAAAGAGCCGCTTTGTTAGAGCTTGTTAGAATATCCAAGGATGATGTTGCTTATGAAGAAGAGGAATTAAATAAGAGGAAAAAGGAATTAGGTCAAATTGCAAGAAGGAAGAAAGTTGGTCCTAGTGGAGATGTCATGAATGACCCTTTTACAGAAAATGGGGCATTGAGTAATTTGTTTGGCGATGAATGAAATACAAAAAATTAACAGTCAATTTTTTATTTTTTTTTGAGCTTATGTATTATATTAATTACAGGCAACAAGTTTTCTGTGAGAAGAAGAAGAAGAAGAAGAAGGAGGAGGAGGAGGAGACGAGGGAGACGAGGGAGATGAAGAAGTAGGGAAATAAAACAAAGATAAAAATAAATTCATTTATAAACGTCGTTAATCTCTTTATTTGTGAATATGTCGCTATTGTGTAGCATCGGCTGGTTCTCGAAAAGTGCTGAACATGGACCTGAAATTTTGATGTAAATTGGTTTCTTTCTAATGAATTTGCCGTTGATTTGTGTATATAGTTTATACCACAAGTTGCCGAGTCCTTTACTGAGATAGGTGATATAAGGAACAAGAGGCTCGTAATACTGACGCAAGTATGTTTTAGCCTCCAGAAGTTTCGCCAAAGCGTCTTTTCTAAAATTGTGCACAGGGTCAACAATAAATTGTGGCCAACTAAAATGGGATATTTCCAATTGGTGTAATTCATAAGTTGGCACAGTTAATAGATCCTTCTTCAAGTCATTAGCTCCTAGACCAGCTACAGCTATCAATGCATTAGGATTGATGTAAGCCTCTTCATTTTCCTTCACATTCAACCTAGCCATCTCTGAGTTTCCTTTGAGTACTAAAGAACCCGCTCCTGATAATTTCAAAGATCTACGCTTCATAAGCAACTCAACCTTTTCAATTTCAATTTCTGTATCTACACCTGTCCATGCTACGACTCTGGAAACATCAAGAACTTGCCATTGTTCAGCCAAATCTAAAATGGTGTAGTTATTTCTTCTCCCGCCGACAAGTAAAGTAGACGGTGCTACTGCTGATGGTGCTACTGCTGATAATGATGATGATGTCAACTTGTGATAAGTGACTCCATGCAATAACTTTGACTCTCTGTGTACGAAATTTATGTCTCCGGTTATTCCCAAAATAGAACTCTGAGCAACAAAAATGTCTCCCGAGTCAGGCACCAGTATGGAAAGTAGAGTGGAAGGATTTCCAAAAGTACTGGAAAGAAATGGTCCACCACCATTATTAAGCTCGTGTACATCAGCGGTGAATACTCGCAAAGTCGACGTAAACAAGCGTCTACTAACTTTCAGTCGCCTAAGCCAAGACGCAATTAGCCATGGTCTTAAGACAGTAGAAGACATTCGGTGAAAACCTCGAGATTGAAAAACAGTACTAACCATATCTTATTGGGCGCAAAAAAAGATGTAGAAATGAAAAATGGTTGAAGGAATTTTTCAGTCTCTCTTACAGTATCTATTAAAGGATATTTCATCAAAGAGTATTTCTATACAAATTGGCTCAACAATGCATCTGCATCGGTGATGTTGTTGAGAAGTTGGGCACTGCATAACCCGTTGTCATACTCATTGACTATCTTCATAAAGTTAACAAATGTTTTCCACCACTGTACACCATCTTGTAAATCGGTTTCCAATTGAGCTTTTGTAACAGCATTCAGCCCTTGAATATTGATATTGTGATTTGGAGAATGAACAAGAAATATGTGGTTTGCGAGATAGTCTTTTGCAAATAGTATAGAATCTTGAATATTTGTTCCTGGCGTCTTTTGGTGCTTTAGTGCCACTTCAAAGTATATCTCTGCTACGATCCCCATCAAAGTGTTGCTTATACTTTGATAAAAGGGAATCTGAGAAACTAGTTTATACCAGTCATCTTTACTTTGGTAGCCTGCTTTGATATGGTTGTTTTCTTGTCGAACAATCAAGTCGATTAATAGGCACTCAATAGTGTGTAATAGATTAGATGTCACAAACTCAATGTGGCTTCTAAAACTTAAAAGGTTCCGTGATATAGGGCCTTGGTAATTGATTGGCGAGGCACTAAATCCCTTTAAGGAAAATATCCTAGAAATAAGAAGAATGCTTTTGGATTCAATCTCGGTTAAGCTATAAGGAGCCCCGCTCCCGGCCAAATGGATATTCTTGTACGATTTTGGAGTACCTGTGAACTCCTTTTCACTCAGGTCTAGCTTCAAACTGTTTGATTTCAAAAGTAATAAAATTGCTACTAGGTGTTCTAAATCTTTTTGCTTGAGCTTGTTTTTACTGCAAAAGCTTTGCAAAATCTTACCAATAGATGACAACGAACTCTGCAGTTGCTTCTCATCAATGATACCATACAATACAAGCGCTCTTAGTACGGCAGTAGATAAAACATCGCGAGGTGATTTGATTTCTTTAATCGTGGTGGTGGATTCGCTATTCAACCCATTAGTGAAAAAAGTTTGTAAATCAAACTTATCATCGAGACCACCATCAAGCACAGTATAGAGTTTTTCAACTCTTTTGCCCACAGAAGGTGTGATCCTGTTATTGAGCTCCTCTACACTATTTTTGAACCAGAATTTAACTTTTATCTTCTTTACCTGATAGTAGCGTGCCAATAGTTGAGTGATCAAATTGTACTGGTAGTCCAAGAGGTCAGTATAGAATTTGGAAGCCACTAGCTTTTGGTATGTGACACTATAACCCATTTCTAATGGGGGTCTCACATTGTGAGAGCCTCGCGCTATTGAACTCAACAATCCCAAGGGCAACAATCCAACAGATTGATAAAGATAAAGCTCGGGAGGTAACCTTTGCGAAATCACTTCATGCAAGCCGCTTGGGACTTTAACAATTCGTTTATCTTCAGCCATTTTGCCGCTGGCACTTTTGGTTTCTGTTTCATCTTCTTCGTCTGTTAAATAATCAACGTTTTTGTTCAATTTTAATTTTGCAATCTCCACATTATACAACTCGGTGTATCCTTCTTGTGTCATGATTGGAACATACTTCAAGGCCACATGGCCTGCTATGTACCAATCAATAAACTTTGGTTCATTAAAGTTTAGGATATAGCCATAAAGGTCATTGTTGTTCCCGCTAAATTGTATGTATTGGTACACCATATCCAAACCTTGCTTGAAATAGCTCACAGGAGGAAACTGTTGCTGCGGAGTTGGTCTATGCTGAGGCTGAAAGATTGGGAAAGTGTGGGGTTGTAAGCCGCAACCCACCATTAAACTGAGATCCATAAATTGCCGCTCATTCAATGCTAGTTCTTGCAACACTTTGCGCTTGTCAACAAACCGAAACTCCTTGGATTGGAACTCCATTCCCAAAATAAACTTATCTATACGTGTTAACATAATGTCGGTAGAAGCGTACACGGTATCGATAATTCTCTTTTGATACAAATACGACAATTGAAATGAGGCATCATAGGGAGTTATTAGATAGTCGATACCTAGTTCGATAAAGTTTATAACCAAATCGTTTATCATTGGCTCTAATGGGATCGTTTCCGTTAATGACCTAAAACTTTCCATTCCGGGGAAATGGTGTTGGTGTTGGTGTTGGTGAGCATTTTGCTTCTGGAAACTACTTATCTTGTTCCAAGTGTGCTCGACGCTTTGTTCGTAAGGCGACAACTCATCTGGTCTATAATTGGTCAACTGGGACTCTATTTTCAACCCCGATATCACAAATATCGGCTTAATGTTATATTGCTTGAACACCTCTAAATCAGATTGCAAGTACTCCTTCAAAGAAGATGGTACACCTCCAATTGCTGACAAATAATGCTCCTTTTTTTGAGTGTAGATTTTACTCAAGTAATGTTCTACATCAATCCCAATAGTGGAATTCGTCAAGATGTCGATTGAGCTCTGAAAGACAAGCTTTCTTTCAAACAAATAGGATTCTAATGACTTGATAGGCATGGTCTAAAAGTAATAGATAAAAGCTTTACCGTATCTTTGGCTCAATGAGATATTGTTATCAACAACTCCTACTGATCTGAAAATCTACTATATATATATACTAGTAATACACGATACAAATTTGTATCTGACTTTTCTTTATTTATGTTAGACGCTACCATGTGATATAGGTATCCCGTCGTTGATATTAGTTACGCTATATAGAGAAGAGTATAAGGAAGTATATAGAGAAGAGTATAAGGAAGGGTATAGAGAAGAGTATAAGGAAGGGTATAGAGAAGAGTATAAGGAAGGGTATAGAGAAGAGTATAAGGAAGGGTATAGAGAAGAGTATAAGGAAGGGTATAGAGAAGAGTATAAGGAAGGGTATAGAGAAGAATATAAGGAAGGATGTAAAAGGAGAGGGGGGGTGTTGTCAACGGGGGAGTGTTGTCAGCGAAACAGGAGGAGCATTATAACCAGTTTGTTATAATGCTCTTTTTTTTGTTCGATTTTAACTACAAACTTGTATATCTAATGTTTAATCTCCATCTTTCAAATATCAGATCTCTTATACTTACTTCAAAAAGAATGCTCTTTCCCATCTGTCCTCTTTCAACTAAACGTTGGGACTTAGCATATCTGACTTGACTAAAGTGTGAATCTATAATCAATTGAATGGTTAGTATTGATACCTAATACTTGTTTTCTTTTTTTTTTTTTCCTCTAATGTTATACATACATCTTGAATAGAAGCATTAATGAATTGTCTTACTTCTAATGCCAACCAGATTTTGAGCATGCTCAAACTGTTCTCATTTCTAAAAATATCCCTCCCTTCTTTCAGCATTCCCAATTTTCTCAAAACAGGCAAGGAACTAAAAAAAAAAATTAAAAAAATTAAGAAAAGAATCACACATGTTAGTCTAACTGGGTTCCCCTTTAGCCTAGGAATATATCAACGCTTTTAAAGATATATCCTCGGTAGGCAATCCAAATAATAAAGCATATACGAACCTTGCAAATAAATCCAATTCTGGATCTAGTTGCCTGCCTATTCCCTCCAAAAGCAAAATTGCCACTACAACAGTCACAAAATCTCCCTCCATCCGTACATGATGCGTACGGACCATGCCCAACACTTGTTCAAGTAAATCTCCTATACTCACGTTTCCCAAAGTAAACGTTCTATCTCTCATTTTGTCCACCAATTTTTCCACTTTTAATGCAAAAACTTCCTTATGAACTGCCGTCTCTGGTGTTCGCGACCTCTCCACCATCAACTCACCCGCTTTAAATCCATCAAATTCAGAGAGAGACTTGAATAGATCAATGAAGTTAACTCGGTCCTTGTGATTCAACTCAGTAATCAACCCAACATCTAAAAAGCATATCTCTGCATGGTAGCCTTCCTCATACAACCTTGCTAATCTCTCGCACCAAGCAGATTGGTTATTTCCAAGCTGCATGAGCTCCTTGGTTACTCTATTTGTGTCCTGGTCATTTGCTGTTTTCACAATTTTGTATTCTTTAGCATGCGGAAAAAGCTCGTTTCTGTAGAACCGCACCATCATGTTACCAGGGTGCAAATCCGCATGCACAAAATTATCTAAAATCAACATCTTAAGAAAAGCATCTAATCCTTTGTCGCTCACTTCTTTTGATAAATTCTTTCCGAAATTTTCAGACAAGTTCAAAAGTTTGCTCAATGGTATCGCATAAATATACTCTTCAACCAAAACATCTCTGGTGGTGAAGTTCAAATATGGTTTAGGAAAATGTATATCTGAACGACTTTCAAAGTTTTTTCTAAACTTTGCCAAATTCATTGCCTCTATTCTCAAATCCAACTGCAATCGCATCAATATTGAAAACTGCTCAACTTCATCTGGCAAAGACAACCACTCCATGGTAGGAATAATGTTTATAAAATCTGCAAAAAACTTCATCACTTTCAAGTCCCTATTGATTTTAACTTCTACATTTGGATGTAAAACTTTAATAGCAACAGCTTCATTAATGCTCAAATGCTCAGTTACCACTAACTTGTTGAAAAACTGCTTCTTGTTCTCCTTGGGTTCGTCGTCTACATTTTCTGTCTTTAACAAATTCTCAACCCTTTTTTCATCCTCTGCCGCCTTTTGCAACACTTTCTTTGACAACTTTGCAATGTAAACCTGTGCTATGGCGCCAACACCAACCGGCTTTTCATCAAACTCGTCAAAGATCTCGTTAAAGGGTAAGTTTTCAAAACTTTTTTCAACAATTTTCTTAGTTGCAGCAAAGCTATGCGCCAGAGCATTGCTATGTAAAGTAGCCAATTCATCACACATCTCTTGTGGAAAGATATCTGTTCGACTAGCAGCCCATTGTCCCAATTTGATGAATGAGGCTCCCGCTAGCTCAAGAGTCCATCGAAGATACCGATACCACAAAGTTGCACCAGTACGCACGAGCAATCCTTCATTGTTTCGATGCCTATTACCAAACCAGCATATTGGACTAATTAACAATACCGGCAAAAATATGCACGACAATTCTATAAATCTCCCAAACGTGAGCAAAGGGTCTGCAATATAGTCTTCAAACGCGAATAGCAAGCGGTAAATTATTCGAACAAATATGGAAGAGCTGCCGGTCTTACTTTCTCGAAACTCGTCAAACTGTTGGAGCTCTTCATTTTGAGATGCTTGATAAAGACCTTGTTCAAAAGTATCAGCGCTCTTCAAGGGAACAAGCTCATGTATTGAAGTGTCCAATGCACGTACATCATTAAGCAAACTATCTTTTAGCGAACTCCACGAATACAACACTACCCCGAGTCCTGTACTCGCACAAACAATTGCCCTTGTCTTGAAACTGTTATTGATGAATTGAGTAGATCTATGGAATTGCCTCACTGCTGGAGGCTTGAAAAGCAAACCAAAGCTGGTACTCCTGTTATAATTCTTCAACAGACGTACTATCATACTTCTCCCCACCACTATATGCCGATAATAGCTTCTTCGTCTATAATATATCCGTTAATGATACTTTTAATTGCTGCTAATAAAAAATCTCGATTGCTTTCAATCTTTTTTTGCAAGAGCGGCTTTGAGATTTCATTACCGAGCAATTGAAAAATTTAACGCCAATGTGAAAAGTATCACCGACACTATCGACCGACACTATCGACCGACACTATCGAGCAGAGCGAGATAGTGGAGCACACTAGCTGCCATTGACACTGTCGAGCGACACCGACACTAGCTGAGAAAATGGGTAGAGAATGAGTTAATGAATAAATAAATAAATATATATAAGAAAGTAGATGGCCTCATTTCTGTACTATCGACCGTAGCGAGATAGTATTAGTACTGGAGTACTGGGGTACTGTTTTCCACCATCTCGCTGCACTCAATAGTACCAGTACTAGAATACTGGAGTACACTTTTCCACCCTCTCGCTGCACTCAATAGTACCAGTACTAGAGTACTGGAGTACTATTTTCCACCCTCTCGCTACGCTCGATAGTAGTCTTTTCTTGCTGCATAAGAGCTCTCAAGAGAGATACCCACAAGCCAACTGTAGCAGCACCTTTGGGATTTGCCTTGGGGCCTCTTCGACTTACAATACCATCATGGGCATTCCATACATCAAGGAAAACCGGGACTTTGATCCAGTCAATTTTGTTCAAGTTATCCATAATGAATCTTTCCTTTTCACTAAGGGGTAGTTCGGTTTCGGATTTGAATAATGGGAACTGGTTATAACTTTTCAAAGTTGAAAGATGTCCCTTGACGATTTCATCAAGCGAGTCAAAATCCATATCTGGCTCAAACGCATCTACAGTGGTGCTGTTGTTGATATCGGTATCGTCATTGGTACCAGTAGTGTTTGAGTTTGTACTGCTTTCTATTGTATTATTTATAATCGGTTTGGAAAAACAATCTTCGTTATCTTCTTCTTCTTCTTCTTCTTCTTCTTCTTCTTCTTCTTTTCCTTTTCCTTCTATTTCGTTTTCTTCATCGTCATCGTCGTTGATCTCTGCACCACCGGAAGCTCTGCTTGCAAATCTTTCTTCAGCATAAAACATTCCCTCCATAGTGTTTTCCGCAATTTGGGAAGTATCACCTTTGAAGCTTTCATGATCTGCCAACTGTTTCCGCCTAATTCTCTGCTTTTGACTCGCTCTTGAGTCATGGGGATCTATTGGGAAATTTTCATACACGTAATGAGCAACTCGCGACCAATGTTCTTTGATGTTTGGATTCTTGTGTACTTTGGCTTTGATGTAACTGTAGAGCGATACTACTGAGCTCGTAGCGAGCACAAAGGGAATCCAAAAAGGCACAAATATGAATGACAACAACAAAACAAATAGCAATTTTGTCACTTTGCTTCTTCTAAGAAATGGGGTTTCTTCTTGTACGTTACCACCAAAGTGCTTTGAGTCTTCGTCGCGAAGAATGTGGGACCTGGTCAAATCTACAAATTTTGGTCTCACTACTTTATTAGCTATTTTGATATTTGGTAATCCTTTCAAGTACTTTATTTTCACTTTATCAAGCTCCTCAAATGGTGCATACAGGGTGATGAACGATGTGTAGAACGCCACGGTTCGGTCATTTTTGATGTTAGCCAAAAGAATATGTTTTTGAAACTTTGTCAAGCCTTTGAAAAACTTCTTCTCTGGATGTGCCATTTCTAAAAGAACCTTGTCGTTATCGGCTAAAAACAATTGACCGCCCGACTTTCCAAGTACATATGGCCCCATATTATTTGCAATTCCATCAAACACGTTTTTCTTGTAAAACTGAACTCCCAAGTGAGGAGTTGCAAAAGTTGAAAAAAACACCGGCTCAACAATATCGAAAAACCCGATTTCATCTAATAAACCTATGACATACCTAGATATGAGACCACCTAGTGAATAACCAACAAAACTAATTTTTTTCACTACAAGGTGATTTTTTTCCTTTAAAGATTCAATCTCATAAAAGATTTCTTGAATGATTTTCCTTGAATTAAGGTCTAGGCCATCATAAGTTTTCCAAAATCGAAAACATGCTGGTTTAATTGTAACTATTTCGTCGTCGGTTACATCTGACGAATTGGACTCTTTGATAAATTTTTCAATGGTCTGCATGTGATTGGGACTCCCCCAAAGTCCGTGGATCAACACAAACAAATGGGCACAAGTCTCTTGTGCCAGGTTGTTGGACAATTCGTCTCTAGGCGGCATAGATAGACACAACTACAGATACAAATACACACACACACACACACACACACACAAACAAACACACAGCTCTAAAATATACACCTAAATATACATATATAGTAAAATAGAGAGTTTTGTGTGTTTGCTATCTTAGTATATATATTTTTTTTCTTTATGATAAGAAACGTGCAATTGATCTTTTAACAAAGAGATGAGCAAGAGAGGAAGAGAGGAAGGGGGTGAAATATTAGCCGCCGAGACAAACCTGTCAAAACTTTGATTTCGCTTAAAGGTAAAATCTATTTTTAAGATGAGAAACGAGGGTAATTTAAAAGAAAGAAATAAGAGAAGAAAAGAGAAGAGAAAAAAAAGTCGAGGGTATATCACGTGATTGGAAGACGAGGGTATATCACGTGATATATACCATTGGAAGGTTTGACACCCCCGGAAATTTTTCAAGAAAAAATCTCATGAGAGATGTATTAGCAGGGCATATATTAGCAGGGTAGATATTATCAAGAGTAGCAAAAGACGCTAGTCATGGGATTTTGGAATAGTTCTTCCTCACTGTCCAAAGAGACAAATATACCAGCTCAGTCAGAGCAGGCACCTTCTGCGCAAGCTCAAAGGATAAAAGCAGATATTCAAAATCAGATTAGTCAGGAGCTTGCCGCTGCAAACGCTTCAGAATTGGTGAGGACTATAACGGAAAATTGTTTTGCAAAATGCATAGAGGCTCCCAAAAGTTTTCTTGACGCTGGTGAAAATACTTGCATTGCAGATTGTAGGGAGAAATATATGAGGTCCTGGAATGTTATATCTCGAGCGTATATAGGTCGAATTCAGGAAGAAAGACGGTTTTCATAGCCACATATCTAAACCTGAGAGAGATTGATACATATCCCTACAACTTGAAAAAGAAATTGAAAATGCTAAAAAAATGGCAAAAAAATGGCAAAAACAAACAGGGCAAAAGGATTCAAAAATAGATAGGTAAAGTGTCACTGGGTTTGAGTGTATAACCACATCTGCTGAGATCTGTCCTGGTCAAGATTTGTGAAAGGGGAAATGGGAAAGGGAAAATGATCCAATGGGGAATGAGGCATGGGAAAATGGCAAAGGAAAAATGAGCCAATGGGGAATGATGCAATGGGAAAATGAGGCAAATTGAAGATAACCCTTTGTTGAACCTTTGTTCAGCCATTCTTGACAAACTACAACATTTCGTACAGCCAAATATACCTCCACCTTTGCTCATCTGGACTTCCCCTTCCTTCTCTCCTCCTCCGCTCATCTGGACTTCCCCTTCCTTCTCTCCTCCTTTGCTCATCTGGACTTCCCCTTCCTTCTCTCCTCCTTTGCTCATCTGGACTTCCCCTTCCTTCTCTCCTCCTTTGCTCATCTGGACTTCCCCTTCCTTCTCTCCTCCTTTGCTCATCTGGACTTCCCCTTCCTTCTCTCCTCCTTTGCTCATCTGGACTTCCCCTTCCTTCTCTCCTCCTTTGCTCATCTGGACTTACCCTTCCTTCTCTCCTCCTTTGCTCATCTAGTAGCTTATATTGAAAAACTCTTTGTTTCTTTTTCCTGCATATAATAAATTTCAATCTTTTCTGCAAGTGGCGAAGGAAATTGTCATGAAAGAAAGTCACTAGTTCTAGTTCCAAAGGATAAGCCAATTGCATTTGACTATTGTGACAAGATTTATAAAGAATCCTTCCTCTTTTTATTGTTTGTGTGGGCCAAAGTAGAAAAAGGGTAAAAGATGTCAGGGCAAACGACGATGGCGTCTGAGTATTCCTCAGAAATACATTCTGTTCCTATAGAACATAGGTTCAACCCATATTCAGACAATGGTGGAACTGTTTTGGGAATTGCCGGCGAAGACTTTGCCGTGTTGGCCGGAGATACAAGGCAAGTAGAGGGATACTCGATACAATCGCGATATGAGCCAAGAGTGCATAATGTTGGAGATAATATATTAATGACAGCTAATGGTTTTGCTGCTGATGGAGTTGCATTGGTCGACAAGTTCAGGCAGTCGTTTACGTGGTACAAGTTTGATAATGAAAACAGGAAATTAGAAATCAAGAGTGCTGCAAGGTATATCCAGCATCTCTTGTATGGTAAGAGATTTTTCCCGTACTACGTGAGTACTTTGATCGCAGGTCTTGACGAGGAAGGCAAAGGTGCGATTTATTCTTACGATCCTGTTGGAAGCTATGAAAGGGAGCAATGTAGAGCAGGAGGCGCGGCAGCAAGTTTGATTATGCCCTTTTTAGACAATCAAGTCAATTTCAAAAACCAATATGTGCCCGAGAGTGATGGCAAGGAAAAGAAGCCCTTGAAGTATTTGTCATTAGAGGAAGTAATACACTTGGTTAGGGATGCGTTTACTTCCGCTGGGGAAAGACACATATACGTAGGTGATGCTCTTGAAATCATGGTTGTTACCAAGGACGGAGTCAGAACAGAGTATTATCCTTTGAAAAGAGACTGATCTTGCGCTCGACAAGAGGAGAGTAAAGAAGGAGAAGGAGGAGAAAACCAAGGGAAAATAATAGATGACAAAGGGGTAAAAAAAAAAAAAAATTTAAAACTAAATTGATCTTTCTTAGTCAATGTGCTCCACTATCGAGCAAAGCGAGATAGTGTTGGTCATTGTGCTCGATAGTGTTGGTCAATGTGCTCCACTATTTCGCTTCGCTCGATAGTGTCGTATGTCAATTTGATTATTCCCCATACATACAAACCAAGACTTCTCTTTTCTTTTTCTTTTCTCAAACTGGCAATTCGAATTTCTTTCCTTTCATAATCTTGTTGTAGTAGATGTAGAAAAAATCTGAATAGACTGCTGTTTGTAAAAGACCTGCCAATACCGAAACATAATCGAAATGACCTTCTGCGTAGTATCTATAAATCCAATTAGGGATATACAACGCACGGTATAAACCCAAGGCAAAGATATAATGAGTAGTAATGTTTTCCGCCTCACCAGTCCTTTGTAATATAAATAGTTGGGGTAAAATTGCAACCGCTTCAAGCCATAAACTGAAACTCCAAATGATTTCTCCGGGTGTATACTTGTGCGTGAAAATCAAACTAGCAAGTACTGCACCTCCCACCAAATATCTCACGGGGAATGTATCCACATGGTTTGTGATTGTCTTGTGGTACTTGTAAACCATTACATAAACCGTATATATCGAGCTTCCAATAAAAATTATCTTCAACAAGGTGTTATAAAGCGAATAATACTTGGTGAATAAATTGAGATACCTAGTGACAAACACTAGGACATATAACGCCTGTGTCTTTAGTGAAAGTCCATTTATTGATCTATTTGTTTCAATTGCATACAAAAGTATCAATATACTGGCCAAATGGGAGATATCACCAAGAAATCTGAAAATATTCATGATACCAGTATTCAATCAATGAAATTAGTTGTTCAGAAAGAGAGAGACAGAAGGAGAATGAAAAAAAGTCGCACTGGAACAAAAATTTTTCCTTCTCAACACGTCACTATCAGATTCCTTGATAAATGCGTGCAGAACAAAAACGTTCATTACTGGTTATTACTTGCCATTGGACATTAGACATTCTCTAAACTTGAGCAGTTGTACCTAGGGAAATGAACTTTTACAAAAGCGGGAAAGTAAAGTTACAAAAGTGGGAAAGTAAACTTACAAAAGTGGGAAAGTAAACTTACAAAAGTGGGAAAGTAAACTCGTTTTTTTAAACTAAAACGCTCCTGATAAGTTAGTATGTACTTGATAAGTTGCGTTACCTAGTATTCTCTTGACAAGCATCCAGCTATAGATTTTAGTCCCGATTTTTTTTACGCCATGTGTCAATATATCTAGTTTCCGCCTCTTTCCTTTAATCGTTTTGTAACGGGTAACGGTTTCTTGTGCAACAGCACTAAGTCACTTTAACTAACTTTAACCACTCTTGACTAATTTTTACAAACCGACATTAGCGACACTAGCGACACTATCGAGCAGAGCGAGATAGTGGAGCAACACTTGATAGCTTGTTACAACACTATCTCGCTCTGCTCGATATTGTCGATAGTGGAGCAAGACTCGGTAGCTTGTTACAACACTTTCTCGCTCTGCTCGATAGTGCAGTAAATCTGAGCCTTGCCTATTTTCTAAATAGGAAATTGAGCCAGAAGGCAACAATTTGTAATTTTTTGCATCCAAAATGCGTCGGTTTCCTTTTAATTTTTCTTTTCGCAGCCAGCCATTTCTACCCTATTCTTTTGGAACAAACCAAAAAAGAAATAGAATGAACGATTCAACCCAACTAAATGTATCATAGAATACACCCAATTCGAGTGATTCAGCAAGCACCATTTCCCAAAGTAAGTGTTTCAGTGATGGTTCTTGATGTTTCAGAGTTTCACTATAAAATGGTGAAACAGAGCTCCAATTTTTCTTTTAACTTTTTTTTAGACCATTAGACTGATCCAATTCACTCGCTTCTTATCCTCGAACCTTGAAAGTTTAAACTTAAAAATGAAAAATCTTATTGTTATCGGTGCTTTAATAGCCGCCGCCCAGGCTGCCTCGGATGATTTCACCATTAGATTAACCACAATTTCATCTTACTCATCATGTCCACCCTCATCAGCGCCAGTTTTGCCCGTTTCATCATTTGGGCACTATGCAAACTATTCCTCTACTTCAGTCCAAGACAATATTCCTACAACTTCAGCTCTAGAATCGTCCCTAGTGACAGAGTCGTCCATATCCTTAGCCGCAGGATTGTTACCATCATCTAGTCGATCTAGAGTTGTTTCATATGAATATGAAACTGAATATGAAACAGATATTAGTCTGGTGACACGCACAGTTTGTGATTTGCAAGGTGCATGTTATGTTACAACAGACTTGGAAAGCTTGACAACGCGCACAACTACCATTGACGGAATACTAACTGTCATTACTACTGCTGTTCCTATACAAACGCATGATGCTCTGCAAACGATTGCTGGCGCAAATCAAGCTAGTGTACCTTCAAGCCAAGATACTAGAGAATCATTGACAATGGCAACAGTAGAGACAGAGCTGAATGCAGAACCAGCACCCACTGAACCTATTGAATCTACTGAAACCACTGATTGCTATACATCGGTTGTTACAATTACAACATGCCACGAAAACTTGTGTTCATTAACTGCAGTTACAACTGCGGTTTCTGTCTACACTGTGGACTACACAGTTTATACCACCTGGATTCCATTAGTTACAGAAACAATTTCGAGCTCTCACAACTATGCTTCAACTATTGCTGCACAACCATCTAGCGTTGTTCACTCTTCAGAAGCTGCACAATTGGTAGACGATGAAAACTCCATTGTCACAAACTATTTGACAACACTAGTGACCATTACTTCTTGCAAAGACAACAAATGCTCAGAAGTGCCACAAACAACCGGTGTAAAAATTATCAGCTTGACTGATACAGTCTATACAACATACTGTCCCTTATCAGAGTTACCCGAATCAACAGCTGAGGCGGAAGCAGTGGCTACAACCTCTTCTTCACCAGTAACTGGCTCAGAATCTCATTCAGTCTTGGCTGAATCTTCTACAGTTGTAGAGGAGTCGAAATCGTTGGTCACAGTTAACGTGATTACAAACAACATTGTCACCGAATCTCCAACATCATCACCTTCATCATCATCATCATCATCATTGCTTCTTCAGACTGGCAACTTTACATCGGTATCGACAGGGGCCAACCCCCATACTATTTCTACTTACGAAGGTGCCGCAGCCATCAGTATCGACATTGCAGCAACTGGCTTTTTCGGTGCGGTTCTCTCCATTATTCTATTCTTAATATAAGCCTTGTAACCACCAATATTTATTAGAGCTCCGCTCATTGTTACGATTTTTTTAATAGAAATTTATTTTATATATTTTAGAAGTTTCCTTATATTTTACCAAAGTTTCAACCTATCTCTCTCTCGCTGCTATTTTCTATTTTTCCTTCTATCATAACGCTACCATATTCAACTATCGCTAAGTTGTTTCCATATAAGCAAATTTATTCTGGCTGAATGAACAGTTCTTCCCCCCCCTCCCCCTTCATATAAATGCCCTTATACTTGAAAATAAGACATACATTGTTTAACAAATAGTTTTCAAAACTCTCTAAAGAATACAATAAGCAGCTTTACAAAGTAAAGTAAAAAGAAATTTATAGTTGTGTATTAATGGTTTTGGCTTACCATATGAATTTTTGTTACACCTCCTAACCAAGTTACCCTTGCCGAAATTACCCGCTCTTATCCACATACACCTACAACACAAAAATTATTAACTAGTGCAGTATGCTGATCTACCATGTTTCAATGATTTTTTTCGATTTGGAACACAATTTTGGCTATATTCCAATCAGATAACGTTGTTCTCGCAAAAAAAAATTTGGGCATTGGAGGAGGAGAAGGAGGAGGAAGGAAAAGAGTTCAGGGGGTCGAGTGCTTCAAAAATAGGGCCGAGATATTTTCCCTAGCAATTTTCAACCAACAACTAAAGCTGGCTTTTCCGACGCCTCGGAAAGGTGTGTATTTGACGTTGTTTTGATTAGGTCCGATAGAGAATCGTCTATTATAAAGTGAGTTTACAGCCCCGGCTTCTATCAACTATTTTTCTACATCTATGCATGCATATGTATATATATATATACATATATACATATATACATATATGTCTATTTTCCAGAGCTCTTTTACAAATCCTCTAAAGAGTAATCGCATTCTATGATATCCTTCCAAAGATCCTGCGTTGCACCTTTCACGCTGACTTTGCTTGCGATTGTTCGTTGTTTATCAAGATTTAGCTTTGTGAACTTCTTAACCAAGTTGTAGTCTACTATTGGCTTTGCATTAGTTTCACTATCTCGGATATTCAAAGCACCACCGTACCTGTTCAAACGCGGATTGAGTCCACAATAGTGATATTCTTTATCAGATATCTGTTGTTGCACAATGTATAATCTTCTGTAAGTGGATTCATTGACCGGGAATATGTTATAAAAAATACCATCAACGGTTGCTCCTATTGTTTGATAATTTCCTAATTCTCCCTTAGGCAATGATCTTAGACAAGATGTCGTTGAATTAGTTTCAAAAGATGCCTTGTTTAGCAAGATTGTTCCGTTAATAGACTTTGGGTCATCGGGATCATAATGGAGTAGATGTAGACAATTGTTGCTGTCAGCAACGAGTATATATATCTCTTCATCCTTGACAATAAAGTCAGCACATTCAACATTCAAATGTTGGGTATCCTTACCCAACATCACCATTCGGAAAGGTTCCGCTTCAAACCCAACTAGCCAAATACTTTTCAAGGGATCACCCAAAATCAAAAGGTTTCCAAAGCTCTTGGACTCGGAAATATAAACTGATGTATCCAAAAATGCAACTGGGACAACTCCATCATCTTCTAAATCTCGAACAATAACTTTCTGTCCCTGAGCAACCATTAGTCGTCCACTTAAATCACAAACGCTAGTTACCGCACCCCTGGTGTCTTCTTGGAAAACCTCCTTAAACTTGTGATTTGTTTCCGGCTTATCTGGTTCAGGAATAATATTGATGACTTCATATATTTTAAACGAACCGTTTGCTGCCAAATCCTCCATTCTTAGTTTACCTGTTCCAACTACTATGTACTCCCGTTTCGATTTGAACTTTTTGAGAGATGATCCCACGTCAAGAATCATTGATTTTACAGTCATCCCAACTTCATTATCCTCCAAATCAAAAGAATCAATGACTTTCCAGTTATATGGTGATACCAATTTGATCGAACCTTTAAAAGATAATGCAGGTTCTTTGTCGTTATGTATTCCGGCAATTTTAGACCCTTCCTCATCAAGACCATCATAGGGAATTTCCTTGAAAGTGGATGCAACTACCGTGTCAGATTGTTCATGGTACGCCAACGACTTGATCAGCTCTCCAAAGTGAACACGTTTGATGGGCAAGTTGAATTCATATACATAGTCTAACGACAATTCACAAATACGGGCGTTTTTATCATTATCGAGAAATATTAGCCCATTCTTGATTCTTGAATCGGAAAATGCCGAGATAGATACCGCTGGCAATTTAGAAAATTGGAAAATCCGCGGTATCGAATGAGAACATTTCATTATTAAAAACGGTATAACACCAGTAACAAAAACACAAGTGTACCCATTCAAGTTTGGAAAATAAACCAATCTTCTCTCGATTGAAGTTCCTAGTGAAAATGCATTTTCTGGAGCCCCGGTGATTTTCAAATCTTTCTCCTTACTGAACGCATAGTTTTCTCCATCGTAAAATAATTTATACATAAACACTTCTCCTCCAATGGTCAAGATTGTCAAATACTCTTCTTTGTGATCCTTGTCTCCTAGATCATTGAGAATAACTTGTTTTATGAAAGGGTCTGGTGGCGACTGCTCAAGCTCAAAAAAGCCCAAACTCAACACATCACTGAATTTACTCACGTCATTTAGTTGATAACATTTTTCATTGTGGTGACGGTTGAACGCAACAATCCTATTATCACCAGTCACTAGCACAATTATTTTTTGCTTTGAAGATTTGGGGGGTTGTGCATCAACTGCTATTGCGGGGCTAATTGAATGATGATAATGATGATGCTTTCTTTTTCTCAGATTAATCAATAAATCCACATTTCTCAGAACCGCATTCAATAGATGTGAGCTGGTAATATATCCAGAAGTAATAATTGTATCTTCCAATATCTTTGGAATTCCCACGTTCTTGTACGACTCATTATACGTGTTCAAGGAAAAAATCCTCACGTCACCACTTGCTAAAAAGATCATCAATAACTCGTCACGAAGTGTACTACTCAATACTTCGTCACCTTTGATTTCATCGTTCAAAGACAACCTTTTTCTGAACTTCATATCATACAAAATTATTTGCTTTGGGGTTATTTGTAAAATGTATTTCCCATTATTCAACTCGTGAACGTTGATGGTGATCTCGTTATTAATGAAATCTTTCGACTTCATTCTAACGTATGATTTCTCAATCTGGAAGATTTCAGACTTTTCATTTACATCATCAGAGGTAATTAGATACTTTTGGTTCAAATTCCACATACGATTAACTTGAGAAAAAGTCAATGATGACGATATTATGGGTTGTATTGTTGGCGTAATAATGTTGATTTTGGTTTGGTCGTGAGTACCGGAATTGCAAATGATTGAAACTTCGTTATAGTTAGGGTTTGGTAAATTCGATTTAAACTGCTCCCGCGAGCACAATCCAAGAGTGAATGTCGAAATGGGACTATTATTTACAAGTTTATCCTGGAGAATAAACTCGATATGAGACTTGCTCAATACTTTTTGTTGTTCTTCCTCTTCTTCTTCCTTATACAAATCATCCTCATCGGATTCATCCTCTTCGATTTTCTCATCCTCTTCCTTCTGTGCGTCTTCCTCTTGCTCAATCACTTTCAGGGAATTTCTATACCTTACTTGTACCAAGGGACTGTCGCCATTAAAATTTGAAAAAAAGAGCATGTTTTTGTCCAAGACGGCCACTTCGCCAGGAAAAGTAAGTTTTATATTGTTGTACATTTGCTTATCAACAACTTCGATAAATAACTTCTTTATTGCTTTTCCGTCCAATTCAAAATTGACAAAGTAAAAGTCTCCCTTTTGTGATATTATCAAAACACGGTTATCGTCTGGAATTGGCACAACGCTACAGGCTTCTAATTTTAGATTTAAGTCGCTTTGATCTTGGTAACTCTTTACGGAAACGGTAGTTAAAGCAGTGAATTTATTCACAGAAATACGTTTAATTATACCACCATTATCCACATGCATAATTTCGTTACAGCCAAGCAACAAACATCCATTCAATGGCGACAATAACGGGATTATTCTATCCACGTCATAAGGCAAGTTCTCAAGCTTAAACACCGACGAGGACATTTTCAGCTGCAAGTCTAGAGCCATAACTTGAAACTGGATATTATCCTTGCTCTTTACCAAATTTCCTGCCCACACATGTGATTTCAGCGACAATATTGCAACTGTTGGTTCTCGATAATTGTGCAAAAATTGCATATCTACAACAGTCTCTATTGATGGATCTAACATCCCTGCATCTATAAGAAAACTAGAATCATAAAATTGTCGCGACTCCAATGAGATCCCATTTGTTATTGACTGTTTGCGGTTTACAGCCTCGCCTTTAATTTTATCCTCCTCCTTCTCTTGTTCCTCCTCTTGCTCCTCCTCCTCCTCCTCCTCCTCATCTTCGTCATCTTCATCATCCTCGATTCCTTCCATTGGCAAGAAACACAATAAATTCTTATACCGAAGACAGGCCACCGAGCTATATGTTGGTTCAACCAATAGTTCAGAAACGGCTAGTTTCTCAAATGTGGAATTCTGGAGACAGTTTTCATAAAAATGTAAGGAAACGGTTGTAATGGTATGTAACAGATGGTTCCATTTTATGATGGAGAATTTGGCATATTTGGTTGATACAATGAGATAATCGAGATTAGGTGTCTCTGAAGTCCTTATACTTTTCAAATCACTAATACTACCCTCTAGTTTAAACTGTTGCACTAAAACCAACCGAAATTGAGGTTTGTTAATAGTTGATTGTTTAAGAAAAATGACATCAAATATTTGAAGTAATGAACCTTTACCAATAACTAAGTTCTTCTGATTTGACAGTATAAAATTACACCCAATACAACTGTTGATTCTCGAAGGATCGATAAACTCATTATATGCGTCCATTGCCGTGGACCAGACCTCGACTCAATAAGACCTTACGTTTATTTATCACCTACCGTGCTTTTGATATAGACTGGAAAGTTTCAACTACAAATCTTTTTCATTGTTTTTTTTTCTGATGAGCAAAGCGAGCTTGAAGAGGATACAAGGCTACAAGAGGTATAAGAGGTATAAGAGGTATAAGAGGTATTGACAGGATACAAGAGGTATTGGATACAAGGCTAAGAGGTATTGACAGGATACAAGAGGTATTGGATACAAGAGGTATAAGAGGTATTGGCTACAAGAGGTATTAGATACAAGAGGTATAAGAGGTATTAGAGGTATTAGATACAAGAAGTAAAAGAGGTACTAATTCCTTCCAGGTCAAGAGAATGAAACGTGTGCTGCGTCATTCAGAGGGTAATGGAATGGCACGACCTAAGCATTCGAAAAAAGTGTCGTTTTGTAAAGAGGTAAATGGCTCGAGTTTGTTTCAACAAGTGGAAACGGTAACAACCGCTGGTAATGAAACAAGAACAACAACAGGTTCAGCAAGTCAAGCGATAAGCAAAGATCCGTTAGACCCGTTATCGGTGGTGCCGCAGATCAAAAACGGGTTGGCGGTATTGCCGCTTCACAATTTGTTGATACTTGTAGGCATGTTCTACTTTGGTATAACTGAGAATGTTGACGCGGTGATGCTGAAAAGTTTTGTAACAAGTATACCACTACATGCAATCTACAATTATATTGTAGCAAAGAATGTTAAGAAAAAATCAAAATCGAAATCGAAACATGAAAACATTCCATTGCTAGTAGCATCGAGTATACTAGTTAGTCTTGTTTTGGCTCTACCAATGTTTTTCGCGATAATCTTATTGGGTGCACCAGTTTACAATTTTTTGTTCAAGACGGCTCTTTTGTCGCTACATTTGTCTCAGCTTGTGTTTGGACCATTGGTTGTCTTGTACTCGTTAGATTTTGAGAAATTCAAGAAATTGTTTCTTATTGAAAATATTTACTATGTCATATTCAGCCACAATATATTATCTCAGGTCTTGTTGACTTTGAGCGGGTGTTGGCTCGGAGTGCTCCCTATCCCATTGGATTGGGACAGGCCGTGGCAACAATGGCCAATCACGTTACTAGTTGGAGCATATGTGGGTGGTGTTGTTGGTGGTTTAGTGTCTATAAGTATCTCGTTCTACCGTAAAGCATAGATCTACTCCACCACTATCGAGCGCCACTATCGAGCACCACTATCGAGCACCACTATTGAGCGAAGCGAGATAGTGGAGCACATTGATTAGTTACGACGCTATCGAGCGCTACTATCTCGCTTTGCTCGATAGTGGAACACATTGACTGGTTACGACACTATCTCGCTTTGCTCGATAGTGGAGCATTCGAATTCGCATATATAGTAACAATCTTTTAGCTTTTTTGGAAACTCCGATCTCGAAATTCACTAAAAACTGAGGAATGTTTCCAAAATTCACTAAAAACTAAGGAATATTTCCTTTTTGTAAGTCGATTAGGCCTGTGCCTATTCCCACAAGTACTTCTTCCTTTTGTAGAATGACAAATCACTCTGCAATGGAGACAACCCTTAGTCGTCAGTGATGCTCCACTAGGGAGCGAAGCGAGCTAGTGCTGAGCCGAAGGCGAAGCTAGTGAGGCTTGCGTCTCAGCTAGTGAGTGAATAATTACAACTAGTAACTAACTGGTAACTACTATTCACACACTAGCTGAGATGCAAGCCTCACTAGCTTCGCTTTCGGTTCAGCACTAACTATCTGGTGATTACTATTCACACACTAGCTGAGACGCAAGCCTCATTAGCTTCGCTTTCGGCTCAGCACTAGCTCGCTTCGCTCCCTAGTGTTGCTACTCTCTACTCTCTACATACTGCTCCACTAGCTCGCTTCGCTCCCTAGTGTCCCTATCCAAAATTATTTACGGCATTCTACACCTAAAGTTCATAACGCCTATAAAGCAAACCAAGTCTAGTTTTGTAACTCTCTAGATATATTTTTTTGTTTGCTATTCAAACTTAATGAACAGTTCCCGTATAACGTTAGCCGACTACTACCCATTCCCACTTGCTTCACCCCTTAAAATGGTATTTTATCCTTATATAAAACTAGATTAATCTCTACATTTACTCTCTTCATTTACTCTCTACATCTACTCTATTGTTGCCCCCTTTTTTTATTAGTTACAATGTCAAGTGAAAAGAAGTTCCCAACAGACGTTACACCCAAATACATCCCATTCGACAACGAGCACTCGGATATCTTGAAGAATGGTGAACCTAGACCACTTGATTTAGCTAAGGAGTTCAAGGATAGCACGGTAATTGTTACTGCTATCCCAGGCTCTTTCACCACAGTATGTTCAACTAAGCATATTCCAGCTTATATTGACCATATCAAGCAATTTAAAGAAAAGGGAGTCAAGAGAATTATTGTCTTTGCTACAAATGATCCTTTTGTCCAGGCTTCGTTTGGTAAAGCTCTAGGTTATAAAGATGCCGAAAATTTCATCATTTTCGCTACTGACCCTGAAGGTAAAATTTCACTGCAATTGGGTAAGGACTACCTTTTAGACATGAGCAAAGCCGGTATGGGTTTGAGGTTGGAGAGATATGCAGCCATTGTTGTGAATGGCAATATTACTTATATTGGTAATGAATCAGAAGGAAACTTTTCTGACATCTCAAGTCCTGAAAACTTACTTGAGAAATTAAATTGATTGAGCGACACTATCGACACTATCGAGCGAAGCGAGATAGTGGAGCACACTGTGTCCACCAGCACTATCTACACTATCTCCACCAATATACTACTCATGATACTGATACACCTCTACTCAAGTACACCTCTACACCTCTACACCTCTACTCAACTACACCTATACACCGCTACACTTAATACCTAATACTAGTACACCGTTACACCTCCCCTCTACACTACACCTCCCCTTCCCTCTACACTACACCTCCCCTTCCCTCTACACTACACCTCTCCTTCCCTCTACACTACACCTCCCCTTCCCTCTACACTACACCTCCCCTTCCCTCTACACTACACCTCCCCTTTTCTCTACACCACTTCTCGATACTCTTTACATGAGTCTCACTCTCCTAAAAAATGGTATTAAATGGTAATGAATGGGTTCGTTGCTCTTCACTGCTCTTTAACTCTTCAACTGTGAAGCATCTAAAACATGCAGATAATAGAAAGTAGTCAGTGCTGCACTAGCGAAGAAGTATGCAGATAATAGTAGAGCTAATCAGTGCTGCTCGATAGTGTCGGTGGCAGCTAGTGTACTTCACTAGCGAGAGAAGTATGCAGATAATAGTAGAGCTAGTCAGTGCTGCTCCACTATCTCGCTCTGCTCGATAGTGTCTGCTCGATAGTGTCTGCTCGATAGTGTCTGCTCGATAGTCGGACGCGTTGCATTTGGTGAAGATTTGATCCAAATTCTTTTATAGTGAAAAAAAATATAAACATACTTTGGAGATAAATGTATAGGATAAAGAGGTGATAGTGTCTTTCCAAATGGTGCCAAGGTATCTGGGTAGTACCGATGATGAAAATTCCATACATTTAAAGAATATGATTGGTAAAGCGCGTCCGCTACGATCTCCACCAAAGTACTCTTATACAAATATGGGAAATGGATCTACTAGAGCCCAACAATCAGTTCTAGACAAGGATGCCGCGCATATTAATTCTACTGATAAATTGTACCATAAGGATAAAGTGGATAAGGAGATATCGCTCACGATTGATGGGGACAATGCTAACTTAGACGAACGGGAATTAAACGAATCGTACATCAAATTTCTAAACCATATTGATGATGACAGTTATTTCGAAAAAGACGGAGATTCAGATTTCACAACCGATGAGGAAGAGGATACTTATAATGAGGAATATTCTGATGATGATGATGATGATGAATATATCTCAGAAAAGAGGAGCTTTAACGGAAAAGGCCTTTTCAACAAGGCAGCGGAAACGCAAGATTTTATTGAAAAACCTGCGTTGAGCAACACAAGCACAAACACGAGCCAAAGCTCAATTGATTCAAAAAGCCGTGAACCATCAATAAGGACATCAAAAAATAACAAAAGAAGGAATGGCCTGTTACTGTTATTATTTGTGGCACTTGCGTCCTTTCTTTTGACAGTGGCATGTGCTTTGGTATTAAATTTTGCAAAATCTTGGTTGGCACCGCTGATGCTGATGCTGATGCCTATCACAAACTATGATGAGGCCATAAATTCCGAATATTTGAATAGAAAAATTTGTCAACTAGAGGAACTAATACGAGAAACCCACTTGGACTCTCAAGATAAATTTAACAAATTACATTTGGAAATAAACCAGCTAGAAATACCACAAGACAACCAAGATAATCTAATCAAACTAAACAATGGACAAGTACAAATTGCTCCTGAGTTTCACCAATTCCTAAACAAGTTTCTTGAGGCATATCAAAACTCCTATATTGACCAAAAACTCAAAAGCTATGAAAGCTTGGAAGATTTGAATAAATTGAAGCAGCACGTGAATGAAGCTGTTGCCGAATCAGTAAACACCATTGAAAAAAAAGTGAAGACAAAGGTTGATAGGTTATTGGGTAACTTGACCATTGTCGATGATACACTATATCCCTCTACCAGCAATAAACTTTGGATGAACTCTATGCTTGAATTAATTTCCAAGAGTTCGAGATACAAAAACTATGCAGATTTCAATAATGGTGCTAGGATACTAGGGTTTTTAACATCGCTGCCTAAAAATGAAAAGGGCTTATTTAAAAAAGTGTTTCTGATCAGTGACTGGTTTGCTAATGACGTTCTAAGTCCATATGATGCTAATCATGTAATACTAGACGACGGTGTAACATGGAGAGGAGGCGATGAGGTAGGAATAAGATTAAACCCGTCGATCATACCCACGGATATCTTGATACAGTGCGATGAACACACTCGTACTCAAAATATAGAGGTCTCAATTGCAATCAAGCCCGATACAAAAGCAGGCTTTGACAGATTGAAATTTGATATAATTCACAGCTCAAACAAGTATACTTCAAAATACAAAGTGCTCAAGACCAACAAGCTCAAGCCAGGAATCAATCACATTAAATTGCCAATTAGATTTATAAACAGTCAAATTTCAGGAAGAAATTTGTATTTCAAATTCAACGGCCCAGTGAATATCTCCAGTATTAAAGTATACGGTATAACTGAGTTGGATGCTGTACAATTTAGGGGCCAACTAGAGTTATTAGTTGATAAATTCACTGAGGACGACACTGTACCACCAAGTCGAAACCAGGAGAGAAATAAGGAGAAAGAAGCTGATGAGAGGGTGTATGATATCAATGAGGATATATACTTGTAATAATAATAAGAATGTACTAATAAGAAGATAATAATAAGAAGGTAATAATAAGAATGTAAATAATAAGATGTACTACTTTTTCATAATCCCTCTAGGCATCACAATTAGTCGTCGCGCCCGCGTGGGGCTGGCAGTGGTCGACCCGCTTCCTTGACCACGAGCATGGTACGCTTTCTTTTTTTGGCTTACCAAAGTTTGTTGCGAGAGATGGGCAGAAAAAAAAAGGCATCTCCTTCTATATGGTTATATCTCCCTTCTCTATATGGTTATATCTCCCTTCTCTATATGGTTATCTTCTGTATCTATACATCTAGCGTAGCTCTAATTTTACCTATACAATAGTCTAAATATTCCTTTTTATACCATTCGTGGTTCAATTGTACTTCTCCGGCCAATTCACTAATGATTTCATCGTTTCCACCCACTAGCACCATCCCCTTTGGGACGTTTTTCAAATCAGCCATGGGCTCAACTAATTGACCGTTTTCAAAAATCATGCTTGTGATATTATTGGCAGTTTGTCTTCCCATGTACATTGCCCACCCAGCGGATTTTATTATTGGCAAATTAACCAAATCTCCCAAGACAAAAAAATTAGGAATTGTTGGTGAAGATGAGGATGATAACTGTAAATAATCATTTACGTCAATATCACCGTTTGTAACATATTTTGAAGCCAAATCTGACGATAAAAACGAAATGTTGTTGGTTTTGGAAGTGCACCAAAGATTCAAATCTGAATGTATAACTTTTTTTGTATCTTGTGTGACTAAATCTCCCTTATATGATGACAAAAATGTTGATGATTGTGATGATTCTGATGCCGATAATGACGTATTGATCCTTGTGTTGAGATAAACATTGACTCCGGATCTTTCTATTGAATCTTGAACCATTTGTTTGAACTCTGTACTCAACTGTGGTTCAGACGGGAAATGTTCATATGGGTGTATCAAATTAACTGTTTTTTCGGGAAATTTTGTCTTTATATCTGCAGCAAGTTCAATCCCTACTGCACCGGCTCCGATTACGGAACTGTTATTGGCATCACGGATCATGTTACAAATACGTTCCATATCCTCCATGTATTCACTCATTGTGTTTGCTCGCGGCGTTACGGGCCAGGCCCTATCTCTGCCGCTTGCTAAAATCACGTAATCAAATTCAATTGTACCCTCATGAGAACCCAGGTCAGCAACATTGTTTAGGACATATTGTGCTCTATACTGGTCCAAATGCGTTACTTTCCCTTGAACAAACCTCACGTTTACACCTTCAAACGTGTCGTTTTTTTTGTCATCATACCAAGATTCAGATTCCCCGTTATCATCAACCCTGCCTTCATTATAGATACTCTTGTCATCGTTGGATATGATAGTTGTGAATTTGACATGTTTCAACTGACAAAACGGGATATATTGAGTTTTGGCAAATTTAGGATCCACTACGGATTTGGGGATACCAATGATGTTCAATAGCCCATTCTTTGGCTCAACCAAGGTTATAGTTATTGGTGCCAGATTTTGTTTCTCTTTTGCTTGCAATTGTATGAAACGTTGAGATAATTTGGTTTGCAAGGATCGAAGTGCAGCAAGTCCCGAGTATGAGCCACCTACAATTAGTATATTTGAAGTAAATGAAGAAGCTACGTTTGAAAATCTAGGTAAATTTTCAGTTGCTGTTGTTGATCTCGATAGTTGAGAAAAAGTTTTGACTCTAGCTAGATCAGGCATGACCAATTTAGTTGTGTTTTTGAAATTGGTGAAACGGCCCTCCTGGGACGTTATATATATCTATCTATGTCTATATATGTTTCTATATAATCTACTATATTGCCATTTAGATGTTGTGATAGTTTCAAACAATTTTTTTTTTTGAACCCCTCCTCCACCTAACGGTTTAACGAACAAAAAAAAAAATTTTTATCTATTCCATCAATTTATATAAGTTTCTTTTTTTTTATTTTTTCAGTACTAACGACGACACTAGAGACACTAAAGACATTAGCGACACTAACGACACTATCGAGCGAAGCGAGATAGTGGAGCAGCGTTAACAACGCCGACAGTGGTTTCATAGTACGACACTAGCGACACTATCGCGACACTATTGCGACACTATTGCGACACTATTGCGACACTATTGCGACACTATATTGCTTCGCTCGATGATGGAGCAACAGTGACTACATCGACACTAGCGACAAAATTAATATGTAATGCGAAAAAGGGCATCTAAACTAGTATTATTGGTGGATTTAACTTTGAGGTTTATAGAAAGTGGAATTAAGATATTATATGATGACTCAAATTTATAGTGGATAGGAAAATGTTTCCAGCAGTAATAAAAGAAAAGTGGGGGATTGTGTCGCTAGTGTCGGTATAGTCAGTGCTATTCCACCATCTCGCTTCGCTCGATAGTGTCGCGGGACTGGGGGGGGGACTAAATAATGTTTAAATGTTCAATTACTTTTTTTGGAGTTATATTATTATGAATATGAGATCTATGCCCCTTAAATCTTACACAAGTTCAAGTATTTAGAAAGAATAGCAACTGTGATCTCTATATACTACACCCGTCTCCTTCTTGTTGATTTCTCTCTCTCTCTCTCTCTCTCTCTCTACCAATCATAATACTTAAAAACAAATGTGGCGAAAGTAGACAAAAACAAACAAGCACATATCATGTTTGGTCCAAATTTATCACCATACTGAACGGGGTTCTTTTCTCTAATCATCAAGACTCGCCATATATACGTATATGTAGCATATCCCAATACGAACAATGCAGTGAAAAAAAACCCAATACTTGCCGTGAGCGCGCTATTTGAGCCATAGTTCAATAAACTAGTTGCCGTGAATCCCAAGAGCATACCAATACTAATCCAGCTCAAGAAAGTACGCTCATTTGCAAAATAAACCTTTGGCTCGATTCTAACAGGAACACAAATCTTCTTACCTGGAGGAAGTTTGTCTTTGAAAGTAGCATTCAAGTCAAAATTTGTACCTGGTTTAACGGTGAATGTGCGGTCGTCATTGAAATAATAAAGGAATTTGCCATACAAATGGTAAAGACAATTTCTTACTGGTGAATTAGTATGACGCGATGAATAGTTATTAGGCAACAAAAGTGGAACTTGCTCGTCCAAGTCATCTTCTAAGGGATTGGTATCGTTGGAAAAATGTACACCACCGGTGTAGTATGAAGATCCAGTTAGTTCCTCATCATCCAAATCATTACCGCTGGTACTATCGCCCAATAACCTTTGCTGAGATTGGGGATTATGGTGACGTTGAATACCATACTCTTCAACGATTTTAGGCTTTCTAATATCAACATCCATTTGAGTATACCAGAATGGTAACAAATTAACCATATCTGTTAATAAAGTAGCCCCGCCATGGATGAATTTGGAGAATTTGGGTACAGCTTCAACCAAATGAGAATTAATCAATTCTCTTATCCACATTGGTGGCTCTTGGCCCAACTGAGTTTGCAATTTAACTTCCAAAACAGCATAAGGGAATCTGCAAACATCCTTTTCTGGTAATTGGCTAAATGGGTAGTCTATTCCAATATCCATTCTTCTCCAGTTTCCATGGGTTCTATCATACCCATCAAAATCATCTTCTCTAACCATAGTGAGTTCAGTGTCTAATGAAATACGCACTCTGGCATCTCCTGGTAACTGGAATGCAGTTCTATTATAAAACGATCTCATAACTGGACGATACTTCTCTTTCAAAATACGATATTGAACTTCTTTGGCTAATCTCTCCAAGTTTTCAATTTCTTGTAAAGATTTCTTTCCTTCTTTTCTCATTTTTTCAAAAACCTCACTAGCTTTAAGCTCACCACTAAGGAAACTATTGACTTTTTTCTCCTTAAGGCTAAATCTTGCCTTGACTGATTTCTCTCCGGTCCAATCTTCTCTATGAGTTTTCCTTTCAACGAAAATTTGATCAGATTTCATTCCACCGTACCATCTTAATCTAATAGCTTCGGCACCTTCATCTTTTCTCAATCTTCCATAGTACAAGTCCATATCCTTGTTATCGAAATAAATTGAGGTGATTGCACTATCCTCAGGCTCAAACTCCTTATCAGCATTGAAAACCAAGACTGGTAAATGTTTCAAAATAATCAATTTCAATTCAGTAATATTATCAGGATGAACCCAATATTTTGTAGTTTGTCTTACGAAATTCTGTTGCGATCCGCCAGCTGAAGAGTCTCCTTTGACTGGACTACCTCTAGTTCTAACCAAATCATATAATTTACTCAACTTAACAATCAAGTTGTCATAATTATCCTTGTAAAAGGGCTTTGAATTCAATCTAGCCTGGAAAACTGGTTTCAAATGATAGTGAGTAGACTTGTCGTGTTTCTTGATAATCTTTTGGAACCCGGTATAGTTTAACCTTGTAAACTTGGCCAAGTCATGAACATCTGCAATAATATCGGAAAGTTCTTCTTCTAAATCTTCAAAGTCCTGTTCCTGAGGAGGGTGGCTAACCAATGGGTCATGATTTTGATAACGCTGCAAGGTATTAACCACTTCGTGGACATATTTTTCACTTTCTTTAATTCTTCTGTTTACTTCAGTGTTCTTAACTTTTGTAAAGGAATAAACCTTATCCAACTCGGCTTCTAATGCATTTAGAAAATCTTCTTCTAACCGGTTGTTCCACTCATAGTCATTATCTTTCAAACTTTTTTTCAATTGGTGTTTCAAGTCATCGTACGAAATATAGTAGAATGAATAATTCTTAATTAATGCCTTTCTCAAATGCTCACCAAACTTCATTTAGGCAAAAAAGTTATAGGAAAAGGAAGAACAAGAAAAAAGACTGACAAAATATCAAAGCTATCAAAGCTCTAGGGGGGACCCGCGCGGTTGTAGGGAAGCGTTGCAAAGGACCTGGACCTACTCAATGGGCAGAATGAATTGAAAATAATAACAACTCAAACTATGAAGAAAAAAAAAGAACGGAAGAAAGGAAGAAGAAAAAATTAAACCTTGTTGAAATACAAGGCCAATGAGTTTATCCTGAAATACAAGGCTAATGAGTTTATGCTAAAATTGAATGAAAAATCAATTGGGCTTCTCATGCTGGAGATGGGTCTACGCAGTATGTGTTACTGTTGGCTAATGTCCAAAACAGGCATATAAATTATATGGCTTTCTCTATTTAAAGTAGTGGGCGGTTAGCTTTAAACTTGAAACTAAAATGAAAATGAAAGCACCATTAACAAAAAAGGCTTTTGTTATTGCGATTACATAATATTGTCCACTATAGTTATGTAATAAGAACTCGACCTTTCTATCAGCACAGTAAATATTATTATGTAACAAATTATGTAGAAGAAATAAATTCTTACTTAATATGTGCACCACGTGGACATTAATTATTTACTCTTGCTTACCAATGCACTAGTCCATCGAGCAAAGCGAAAGAGAGAAGAATAGAATATCGAGCAAAGCGAGATATTCGAAAGAGAAAAGAATAGAGACTGGTGAAAAGAATAGAGACCGGTGAAAAGAAAAGAGGCTGGAGACTATACAGGTAGACAAGACAGGAGTAGAAAAGACTCGAAAATTGATGAAATTTAGAGAAATCTACTGGTCTTCATTTAGATGTAAAATTAAGTCGTAGTTATAGTAACTTTGCTCCTATCTCAATTTGCTCGTAACTAGTCAATGTGCTCGATAGTCATAACTAGTCAATGTACTCGATAGTCATAACTAGTCAATGTGCTCGATAGTCATAACTAGTCAATGTGCTCGACTATCTCGCTTTGCTCGATAGTGTATATGTTCCTCTCTCCCTCCCTTCTCCCTCCAAGACTTGACTACCGGCTGCTTAGTCAGAATACACATCAAGTAGTTAGGTTCCCTTTTGTGATTTGCTTCTTCTTCTTCTTCTTTTTCTCAACCTGATCCTTCAAGGCTTCATTAAATTCTTTAAATGATTCTTGAGTCTTTCGAAAAACACCCAAAATTTGCAAAAAGTAAACTAATAAACCACCAAATACCTCCAGTTGTCCAAATACCGTCTTTTCGCCACCACTAGCTTCACCACCACCAGTTTCACTACTGTCTTCTGCCAGTTCAAGTAAACTTATATCAAATGAGTGAGTCCCATAGAATATCCAAGGATGTATCAAATTGCCCTGCCATACTAATTTATCATCACTTTTTTCTAGTATTTTGGGGTAAATAGTACTTGTGTGATTTGTTCCTTTCAATTTTAAATCAATTTGTAGTTCATCACCTACTTCCAACTCGGAAGTTTCTTGGTTAGTGAATTTTTGAAAATGCGTCATGAACGGATTCCATGAAAAAAAAGATTTGTAATCAAACAAGACTTGTCTTACTTCCTCTGGAGAGGCATTGATTATTATATGGGTCTGTATACTAGGCATTGTTGAAAATATGTATGAGCTTGTTACCAGAGTAAGAACGTATTTTTATAAAAAAAAAAAAAGGGGGGGTGGAAGAACTGTACTTTCACAAATATGGAGAAGCAGGGGAAGGTTATTACGATAATACTAAAGTTCAATCTAGTTTTTGATTCAACTGTTGATGAAAATAGGAAAGAAATAAAAAAGGTACTTCGAAAAAGGGCGTAGACATTCCACACAGGTTGGATAACCTTTTATCATGGTATAGCAATGCATACACTCCATATCAGGTTGAGTATATGTTGTTATTATCATCTCTACATTGCAACTTTGTAGAGGACAATGAACTCTTGTACACAAAATAATATATGTTATCTTTGTGTCTCTGTACAGTTTTTTTTTTTTCCTTATTTCTTTAGGGGGTTTGTATATCATCCCCTTAAGATGCTAAGACTATCGAGGAAAGTGAGATAGTCGAAAGAGAGAAGAAAAGAGACTGGAGACTAGACTAGACTCGCTTTGCTCGATATTCGAAAGAGAAAAGAAAAGAGACTGGAGACTATGCTAGACTCGCTTTGCTCGATAGTCGAAAGAGAAAAGAAAAGAGACTGGAGACTAGACTAGACTCGCTTTGCTCGTCTAGTCTCCTCTCCTCTCCTCATAGCTTTGACTTTGTAATTGCGCTATTTACTAATTCAAGAACTTTTAAACTTGATCCATAACTCAACTCGTATCCCATTCCACCAGCACCATAATTATTAACAACAAATTGTCCGTTATGTTTCTCAAGATCAACTTTTAATCCACCGCGCCTCATTGGTCTTAATCCAACATTAATTCGGATGATATCAAAATACTTTTCACCCAGTGGTGTGGCTTTCATCAAGTCTGGAAAGTATTTTTTGCCCAATTGAAGTAAATGTTTACTATCACTTTCACGAATTTTGAGGCAAGTGTCGCCTACTTGTTTTGTACCTCCTAGTATAATACCACCATTCAAGGGTCTAGGAATGACAAATATCCAAGACCCGTCAGCTAGCTGATACGTTATTGTTTTATCCATATATGGACACTCCTTTGGTGGATTGATTAGTAAAGTTTGGCCACGTACGGGTATATATTTGGGGTCGTTTCCACCATAGTAGTTTAATCCTGTACCACTGCAATTGACTATAATTGGTCTACCAAAAACAAACTTATTGATATCTTGCAAGGAATTCAATTCAGCGGTTATAAATTTAACACTGTGCTCAACAAGCAATTTTCTATAAAGGTATTGCAAATATATTGCAGAATTAACAATCCAAGTATCATATTTAACCCCCAAGAACCCTCTAGGATCACTAAATTGAGCAAAATTAGACATTTCTTCACAATACCCCGGTGCACAATTTTTATATAAATCGCTGGGGTTTTGCAAGTACTCTATACCTTGAACAAATCGTATTGAACTTTCGGGGTTTGTTTGAGATACTTTCTTGAAATACTTCATTGTTTCCCTCGTCATTTTCATCTCAAAGTAATCTTTTTGAGTAGCACTGGGGAATGGCCGGAAATGAGCGCCTGCCCAAGGCGATGTATATTCATTGGACATTGTTAATGAAGCGTCCATTGTCGGATTGTGAGGACCCCATCGTGCAATTACAGTGATTTGATAATCGGATGAAAGGCTTTCACATAATGTTAACGCCGTTGTTAAACCAAGTATGCCGGCTCCTACAACAACAATATGTTTACTCGACATGATAAATGGTGAAGAGATGGTAGTAAGAAGAAGAAGAAACAAAAGAAAAAAGCAAACTCCTTACACCTCAACCTCCTTTTCAATCTACTGTACTGTTTTCGTATCCCTTTACAAATCTCGAACGATTTTTCGTTATCGCCAAATGAATATTTTTTTCATTATCTGGCGTTTCCATATACCTGTTTGAGCCTACAATGCGGTGCTCTTGACTTATTGCTCGATTAGGCAATTTTTGTAAAGAAACGGCGTTCAGAGCCAAAAAAAAAAAAAGGTGAATTCTGGAACTTATTAGTGAACAATTAAAGGAAAACTTATACTGGAGGAAAACATTTGCTTTTCTTCGACTCTGGTTGTCACTGTTACACAATGGTTAGGTTAATGAAATACAAGGAGGTTGTGCCAATTGGTACCGCGTTGATTATTGCAGCGTCAACATTTGGTCTTGGTGCCGTTTATGGGAATTGGCCTTATGACGTGAATACATTATGGAGACATACAGATCCCAACGGGATAAGCAAATCTTTAGTTCATTATCAAACATGGGGAGAATCACCAAATTACATTCATCATACTTTACATTTTGTTGCATTTTTAGGTCTTGTTGGGCACTTTATTAAGTTGTATAAACCAGATGAAGAAGCTAAATATTTCGAGTATGGATCATTAGGATTATACATGGTTGCAGTTATTATTTATTTAACCAATTTACGTACTGGTGTTGTGTCATGTATCACTGGCAAATGGGGCGATGTTGATTTTGAAACAGGTATTAATGTAATGGCTGCTTCCCAAGTCATGATCGTTTTAGTTTTGGTGGGTGTATTGGTTTTGCAAGGTGGCTTGTATTATGCCCAATGGTATGATGAGCAGTTGAAATTGGAATTCTATGAAAACGAAGCTAGAGAAGCAGCTGCTGCTGCAGAAGCTCAGGCTATGGAAGAGGAAAAATTGGTCAAGAAGGGGAGAAAAAGTAAGAAAGAAAAGGAGAAAGAGAAGGAGAAAGAGAAAGAAGATGATGGTGAAAAGGATGATATTGATGGAATTGAATTAGTGGTTAATAAAGAAACAAGCGGTAGTCATGGTAAAAGAACAAGGAAATCAAGCGCTAAAAAAAGAAAATCGTGAGATGATAAATAACACACACGCATAATATATATGTATATGTATATATATATGTATAGTTGGATTTTATTTGAAGACTAAGTTGTGTGGATCATGCACATAACATATGTATACATTGTTGACACTATCGACACTACACTATCGAGCAGAGCGAGATAGTGGAGCACACTGACTACACCTATACACTATCGAGCAGAGCGAGATAGTATTGATAGCGTCTGTGGCAGATAGTGTCAGTATCGGTGGCAGGTAGTGTCAATGTCTGTGGCAGATAGTGTCAGTATCAGTGGCAGGTAGTGTCAATGTCTGTGGCAGATAGTGTCAGAATCGGTGGCAGCTAATGTGCTCCACTATCTCGCTCTGCTCGATAGTGTCGCTCGATAGTGTCGCATTACGACTCTCTCTTTTTTGCGACAAAACTTTTATTTTTCGTACTAACCAATTGAACTAAACAAAAAACTTGATTACCTCTCACACCTTTTTTGTATACCTTGGAGAAGTATTTCCAAAACAATAAGTGAATATTGCAACAACAAAAAATGGCGTCTGATAAAGTTTGGGGAGACAAACCAGTATATTTTAAACAGCCAATAAGGGTATGTTGATATTCGAATGGGTGTCGGTGTAGTCAGTACTGCTCCACTATCTCGCTTTGCTCGATAGTACTACTTACTAACTTTTTTCCATTTTAATCTTTAGTGGATGAGGTATCATGCACATGTAAATCCAGCAATATTTTTATCGGTTGTATTGGGATTGGCTGGTCCCACGCTATTATTTTTATCCCCATTAAGAAGAAAATACCTTTACCCTGATCATGAGCCTATTCCTTTTGTTTATCCAATACCTCAGAGACCAAGAGACTTGAATTTGAAAGGTTATGATGATTAGTTAAAGGATGAATGTGGTTAGAGAGAGACAATAAAGAAAATCTGACGAAATAAATGAGATAGGTGTTGCTGGCTTACAAGGACTCGGTGTATTTACTCAAATGTAAAGATATATTTAAATTTCAACATTTGGCTCTATTTCAATCCTCTTTCAAGTAGTCTTTCTTTTTCCCCCTTGAATAAAAAAAAAATTGGTATTGATTGAAAAATTCATTCAACTGGGTGGAAAAGAAAAAAAAAAAAAATTTTTCAGTGCAATAGAAACTCAAACACCGACATTAGTTGAAGAAGCTAGCGAAATATACCATGAACAGGTTGTCATTGGTAGCTAGGCCACTACTAAGAATAAGTAGAGTTTCTCCAATACAATATAGACACATCTTCACCACTCAAGTATGTTACAATAATCCATTTGGAAAGCTCACATCTTCACCGGTTCAGAAGAAACAATCCCCAGATATAAAGGAAAAAGAAGAAGAAGGAGGCACATCGCCGCCACCTGTGGTAAAGAACGAGGAAGGAGAAATTGATATCGACTCTATAACACCAGAGAATGATGCAAAGTTAATTGAATATTATGCCGATAAAGCTAAGGAAGAGGAATCAAAGACTAAAATAGAATCTTTAATCCATCCATTGAAGATAACTCTCTATAACAAAGTTGTTAAAGAGAATGGGTTTTTCAAGAATGATCAAATCGTCAAGCATGCAGATAAATTCCTCAAATTCCATTTAACTCCCGAGGAAATTGAAATATTAGAGCCAACGATTTTTCTTGAATCGTTACGTATTAAATCATCGATGAAAAAAGCCACTGTAGTAAATCGTTTTGTTCGTGGGATGAATGTTAAAACAGCTATTACTCAATTACACTTCAACCCGAAGAAGATGTCTACTGAATTAGAAAAACTTTTGAAGCAAGGATTGGAAAAAGCACAAAAATTGGGGTATAACGAAGATAAAATCTATATTGCTAGGTTATGGACCGGTAGTGATGGGGATTGGAAGAAAAGAATAGACATCAAAGGAAGAGGAAGACACGGTATTATTCAACATAAATATATTCACTTGAAATGTGTTATAAAAACTGAACAAACTAAACGTAGACTAGATTGGGAAAAAGCAGAGAAGGAGAGATTGAAAAAGCCAAGGATGTTTTTGAATAACGAGCCTTTGAATATTAAAGTCAGACCTTGGTATAAATGGTAGAAATGAGGTAAGAGGAGGTGTAGATTGTTTATTTGGTTGCTACCGCGAACCCGTGTATATATATGGTTATGTTTATGTATGTTTTATATAGTGACACTATCGAGTAGTACTCCACTATCTCGCTTCGCTCGATAGTGGAGCAGATATATATATATATATATCATGTAGTGACACTATCGAGCGACCGTCAGTGCTGCTCCACTATCTCGCTCTGCTCGATAGTGTTGCACTACACTGTAGTGATTAAAAGTCTGAAGGAACACCAACTAGAGCTGAAGAGAATGGCTCTTTTGTCGCCTCTACTTCGTGAGATGATTGAGGACGATAGGTAGCGATAATAAATCTAGGGCAACATTGTCGGTTGCAAAAAGAAAAAAAAAATCACGACACAGAGGTGAAATTATTGCTAATTTCATGGTTTGAGGATTTTTGAGAGGTTGGGAAAAGGAAAGCAAGATGAGAAGGGGTAGAGAAGAGTTGTTGAGGTGGAGATATGAATGAAACTTTGGGACGAAAAAGAGGTACTTTTCCAAAAAAAGATTGGTTCTGATTCTGTCAAGAAACATACTATTAACTTATTAGGAAGGGAATTTTTTGTCCAAGTCTATTTGCAACAATATGAAACGTACAAGAAATACTACTTGATTGATTTACAAACGGTTTCGAATGGAGAATGTCCAGAATCATATTACAGGTTAAATACATAATTGCAAGCTTGGAAAGTTTAGGCCGGGTATTTTTTTTTTTTTCTTCCTCTTCTTCTTCTTTATATTTTCTTCAAAGGATTACAGAAGACACATTAATACTGGAAGGAAATGCAAGAGAAATTACCAACGTAACAAAGGGTAATGTAGAAGCACAACATCTATTTTAGGAACAAAAGAAAAGGTGAGGAGAGAAGGAGGGGGAGAGAAGCGTAACGATATATTTGTCATGAGCAATAAGTTTTTGGAAAGACTTGATATAAAATAAAAATAACCAAAAAGTAAACTTTAAGAGTCTATTACACATATATAAAAAAAAGAAAGGAAAAGAAACAAAGAAGGATAGAAAAGGAAAAGAAACAAAGAAGGATAGAAAAGGAAAAGAAACAAAGAAGGATACAGGAAACGAATGAAAGAAGGTGATGTCAAGCTTTGATCTCTGACTTAGAGGAGAACTTTTACTTGTTATATAATAAGTGCAGGAAATTATGAATCCATGAGTTATAAATAATCATTTTTGTCTAGTTCTTGCCAAATTCTTGCAAAAAAAAACAAAAAAAAAAAAACGAATGAAGTTGACGACTTAAATGGTCATCACTTTTTTCCGTATACTCCTCTCTTCACCTCTTTCACTCATTTTTACAACACTGTTCAGACTATACTGCTTTTATCACACTACTTTTATCATGCTGCGGCTATATCTTTTTACAAGCGACTCTCACATAGTCATTCAGTTCCTGTTTTTTTTTTGGTGCAATTGAATGACTTTACCTAGTTTTCCCTCTTTATGTTAAAAATAAGGACAAAAAAAAAAGAATCGAAAAACTAACTAAACCTATTTTTTGCTTCAGAGGAATAAATAAGAAAATTCATTTAAATATAGCATACATTCATAGAAAGAGAAATACATGGATATGCAATATTAGTTTGCCACTACTTTTTTCCTTGGTGTTCCGATGTAGGTTGTGTTTGTTGTTGTAGGACAGAAGAAGTAACTTTTCTTTATTTTTTTCCCGCAACAGTAAGCCCACAGGGACGGGGAGAACCAGCCGGAGTACGCTACAAGGGTAAAAATAATGGAAATTCACGATATACTAATTGATACAAAATTTAGAAATGAAGTTTCCCGATTTTTGATAACTTTTTGATAAACTTATCTCTAGGTGCTCCCGACTCTGCTGGGATTGCTGCAACTGTACTACGGACTTTTACTGGCACTGTTTCTGCTCTACCCCAGTTACTGCTAGCTTCACTAGCACTGTGTCGGACATTTATTTTTTTGGTAATTGTAGGTATATTGCAATGCATCATGCATAGTTTCACATTTTTCTCATGACTTTTTGTTAAAGAAGGGGAGCCACTTTTCTTTTCGTTCATATAAGCTCAAGCTCGCAAGGTCATAGGCTAATGTTGCCTACATATAACGACTTCAGCGGGTTCAATTTGGTAGTTGATGCAAGATGTAGCAGACAGACAATTAAACAGACAGACAATTTAATAGACAATTGAATATATGGAGATAAACAGATTAAACAGACGGAGAGAGGTAGAGAAGAAGAGAAAGAGGAAAAAAAAAAAAAAAGAGGCGACAAGCTACTCTTGTTAAAATACGACCTTATAGTAGAGTAATTGTTTATCATTGTTCAGCAATTGATAAGCAATTGTAAGGCATTGTTAGGCAATATCGAGTAGGGAGAGTGTTTTGTTGCTGGTAGTGCGGTTATTATTGTAGATAAGGTTCTACATGGAGATATATGTATTTCTCATTCTTTTTTATTTTCTTTAGACTCTGGCGGTTAATTTTATGGAGGAAAAACAAAGACTAAAGTGAATAATATGTGTTAGAGTCACCAGCTTCAATCTGGTCACATAGTCAGACACACAAAAGACATATCATTACAATCACCACAGAGATCCGACACCCAATGCATTCATTATTAAATCCTCTTTTTCTTTTTTTTTTTTTTGGTTCAATTTAGACAAAATTGAACTCCTCAAAATTCAGACTCCACGGGAAAATGAACTTGGTGTGACGGGATAAGCAACTTGTTTATTCCCAACTTTTTTTTTCTTTGATTATATGCAACCTGAGGAAAAGATTAAGATGAGATATTTCTTCTACTTTTTATTTCTTTTCCATTCCTGTTCATTTCAATTGTGAATTTCATTGGTTTTAAGCTTTGAATTGTTTGTTTCATCCTTTGAAAGACTGATAGGTAAATAAAATTTAGTTATAAAAAAAGAAGTTATTATTTTAATTATGTACATACACACCACCACTGTGAGTTAGTAGTACCACTACTGCCAGTAGTAGTAGTAGTGGCAGTAGTACCAGTACTACTACTACTACTACTGGTACTACTGGTACTACTGGTATTAAAAGTAGATACATTACTAATAAATTATACACTGTATTACACTGTATAATTATAGAATAACTCTATAGTTACATACTATATAATATACTTACTCATATTTTAAATGTCCCTTATATACTACTTCTCTTATAGTCTCCATATATATATATATATATATATATATACATTTGCTATTCTTTTATTCTATACAATAATTTCTACTATATAAGTTACTCACTAGGAATATTGACCAAGTGACTTTACAACCCAGTGACCGTCTCATACTCAGCAGCTTCTAATCCAACCACACCTCACACCACCGCCCTACCACCCCCCCTTTTTTTTTCCCTTCTGGCTACCCCCTTCCCCCTTTCATCCTTAGTTGAAACCAGCCAACTATCACCATTTTTACATGCTTCTTTTGTTTCTGGTCTCTGCAACATCACATATAACGAAAATAAGAATCATTTTATCGATATAACAATATATTTTATATTCCTACGCCACACTCAATTTTTACTCCAAGAAACCAGTCAAGTGACAACCAAGGGGGTTTTTATCTGACTTTTATAAGAAGAAGAAGAAATTAGCATTACTTATAGCTAACTACATCCTTTTCTTTTTTTCTTTTTTTTGCCCTTATCATTGGTTTTGCAAAAATGGGGTTAAAGTGTACTGATTACTTTGAGAACTCAAAGTACGACTCCCCAGATATTCAAATTATAACATGTAGAGGATGCTCAAGCCATTTGTGCTTATCGGATTTGATATTGTCTGACAATTTCAACGGTTCTTCTGGTCCCGCTTATCTAGTAGACTTCCTCATTAATATCATAATCAGCCCAGTAACTGAAGATACTCAGATGAAGACTGGGTTATACAAGATTAACAAAATCAAATGCCACCAATGTTTAAACAATTTAGGCTGGTTTTATAAGAAATCATATTCATACTCGGAAACTTACAAAGAGGGCAAATTTGTTATTGAAAAGAGTTTTATCAGATTTAGTGATAATCTATCAACTACTCAAATACTCAAGGAAAAAGCCATGCAAAGTAGATATAGAAGATTTAGCAATAGCAATAGCAGCAGTAGCAGCAGTACCACAACTAGTAACAGCAACAGCAACAACAACAATAATAATAATCAATACGGATCTGCTTTGACAATTGGAAAAGAAGCCGCTGGTGATTCATTAATGGTAGTCGATGGAGAAATTATTGATGGGCTTAATGAAGATCAAGAAAAGAATGCTGCTCTATCTACACTTTCAAAAATGTATAAAAAGACGAGAAGAACTTCTTCCTCCTCGTCTTCATCTGGTTCGTTTGGTGAGGCAATTAATGGCAATTTACTAAATAGATTGAGGTTTCCTAATAGGAATTCAGAAACTGAAACCTTTGGCAACGCTGCAAATGCGTCTATCGCCGCCACCACTGCTGCTTCTACTACTGCTGGTGTTGGTGTAGGTACTGGTACACTTGAAAGCAATCAAATTATCTATGAGGATACAGGCAATAGCAATGTGTTTATCGACACGTGAATTTTGAAAAGAGTAAAAAGTCATGCCTAAAATTCTCAATGTGTTTGCGTCCACTTTAAGAGTTGAGAAAAGTGGAAACAACAGGAGTCGGTATAATTATCTCGCAAAGCCTCACTTTAGAACACACGCGCCAACAGAGAAAAAGAAAGAGAGCGAGAGAGAGAGAGAGAAAGAGAAAGAGAGAAAGAGAAAGAGAAAGAGAGAAAGAGAAAGAGAGAGAGAGAAAGAGAAAGAGAAAAAGAGAGAAAGAGAAAGAGAGAGAAAGTGTGTTTATTCTATTGATACAATAACAAGAGGTCCTTTGGTGGTTTTTATTTTTTTTAGTTTTTTGGTTTGGTTTTTGGTTTTTGGTTTTTGGTTTTTGGTTTTTGGTATTTTGGTATTTTGGTATTTTGGTATTGTGGTTTTTTTATTCTTGGTTTTTTGGTCTTTGGTTTTTCATTTGTTCACTTTTGATTTTCATTTTTGGATAATTTTGATGGTGACAATTTAATGATGGTGGATTGGTGAGAATGATATTCTCCTCGATTATTTTTTTTTTTTTTGATTACATTAATACCCTTTCCTCCCACCACCACACACTATACACACATCCTCTCATTGTTTTATATAGCCTTGTTTTTTTTTTTGTTTTTGTTTTTGTTGTCAGTTTTATGTTTGTTAATAAAATTAATCTTTATAAACTATTCTATTTTACTCGTCTCTTACTCATCTATCAATCATCGCTTTCAAGACTGCCCAGTGAGTAGTGATCCAAAAATAGGAGTGTTGACTTTGATTTATTGTGGTCTTTTTTTTTTTTTTATCTTGTCGGCGATAAGAATCTGCAACGGCTAACAACACCCGATAAGAAAAATAAATCGGCGTTAGTTTTTCTCCTCATTTTTAGTTAATCTTGGTGCTACCAAGCGTACTTTGCGATAAGGTAACATAAAATAGCACCCGAGGAAAACAAGGTTGAACCAGCTGTCGGGGGGCAGGGGGGGGGGGGGGGGTGTTTACTTGCCTCTACTAATACCAACGTATTCTCTTTTCTTTATTTTATCAGAAATAATTTATATATAAGCCTCCTAAATAACAAGTGAAAACAACAAAATTTTATGCTCTAATTTTTTTTTGGAGTCAATTTCGTATATACCAAAACATAAGCATTAGGATCCGACAATGCTTTTCTTTCCTCGATAGGATTTATATACTCATCATCATAAGTAGCCCAAGTATGTCCATTTGGCTGTAATACATGAATGATATAATGTCCCAGAGAAATCAGTCTTCCTTCATGAACAATCACTGCTATTAATCTATATCTGGCTGTATCATTCTCCCTATCCATGAAGCGTGACAAGTCAAGGTATTTTGAGTAGTTTATTGATTGTTTTACCTTAGATGATTGGTTACCATTGAATTTAAACCGTTTGAGATGAATAGTAAGCGTCTCTGGCGCAGTAATTATACTTGATATTTTGTTAGCATGAGTAAACCTCTTACATTTATCACAAAAATAACCTGATTTTTGATCAGATTCTGTCTTTTTCAATATTTCATTTGAGAAAAAATCATTTATTGATTTTTCAATTGAAAATTTATTATTATGAGCAGCAGCAGCAGCAGCAGTAGTAGTAGTAATGATGGCGGTGGCAGTGGTGCCGGGGTTGCTGTTGTTATTATTATTGTTGTTGTTGCTACTACTACTGCTGCTGCTGACGGCAATAGTTGATTCTGATTCTGAACCGTTTGCAATATTGACATGTTTCCGTCTATTTAACCCTAATGATAAATCGTAAAACTCTTGCTTTGTTGACGAGATATTACCACATCGTAAACATGTAATCTTTTGGTTCAATAATCCCCCAAATATATCATATATTATAGACTCATTCAACTTGTGACCTTTGGGTGTCGAATCCTCTTGTAATCGAGACATTAAACTCATGAAATATTCGTGGCTATCTTCCTGTTGCCATTCACTCATCATACAGTTAATCTCATCGAGTCTCAGAATAATCTTTTTAGGGTTGATGTACAATGCTTTGGAGTTTTTAGGTGCCCACAATTTACGTGACAATTCAGCAAGAACATGACTTATTGACCTCGGCTTGAGGTTCGCACACTTACCGGAATTTATCTCATCTAGATAATGTTGTACTGCAGGAATATGTATAAGACATTGGATCGCTGAGTTCATATAACATGTAACTCCTCTATTTAACAATCCTACTGGTGGTTTCTCTTTGGCTAGTTGTCTCCAATTTTTATAGATTCTAGAAGACCCATTAGAACCTCTATCCAGAGGATTCTCATTGATGTTGTAGTAAGCATATTTATCGAGGTTTTCAGTACTATCCTCGGGTGAAGTGGGTGGCGTAGAGCTGGCCTTTGTAATGGTGCAAGTTTCCTCTTCCTCCACTTCTTCCTCATTGGCTCTTTCATTTGCATTAGAAACACTGAAACTGCGGGTGTTGTCACCATTAATAAGTTCATCTACTTTCAAATCGTGTTTTAATTTATCAAGGTCCATATCCTCATCGTCGTCCTCGTCATCATTAACACTATCTCCATTGACTCGTATCTGAGCTCGTCCATTTGGTGTTTCCTCTTCTTCCTCTTCCTCCTCCTCCTCCTCCTCCTCCTCCTCCTCGTCATCATCATCATCGTCGCCTTCTTCGTACTCTGCATCTTCGTCATCATCACCGTCTACATCTTCATCTTCATCTTCCTCCATCTCTTCCTCCCTGTCTTTATTATCTTCACTTTTTTCCGCCTCACTAAACCCTGCAAATGGAGAATTCTCCTCAAACACTTCTCCCACTGACGACAGCTCTACATCGTCATTACCTTCAGGTAAAGCAAAGCCAAATTCAATTTTTGTCTTCTCCCCTTCTTTATTCTCATCTTTTGCAAATTCTTCTCCTATATCTTCCTCATCATTCTCTTGACTCTGTGGTGGTGTGCCCCGAAATAACGATTTGAATGAGCCCCATAACATTTCCTTGGCTCTTTTAAGCGGCGGTTCTTGAGTTGACGTTGAATCTGTTCCTTCTCCAAGTTCCCCATCTCTTGGAACCTTTTCCTCTAAACTCATTTCTTGTTTGTTTTGCTCCTTTTCCTCTAAACTCATTTCTTGTTTGTTTTGCTCCTTTTCCTTTAAACTGATTTCTTGTTTGTTTTGCTCCTCCCCCTCCTCGTTCTCCCTCATTTCGTCCAATTTCCTTTTCCGCTTCTTACTTTTCTTACTCTCATACTTATTCCCCTTATATAATGCAACTGCCTCCTGTAAAGATTTTGGTCTATCTAGACTCGCCTTCTTTCCTGTCTCTCCAACAGTCGGATGCTCATTCCTTAATAACCCATCATGATTTCTCAATTTCATACTAGTTTCCTCCCTATCTTTGGCTTTTTTCGACAACACAATATACGATGCAGGTAATTGCTTTTTATCCAAGATATTTTCTTGAAATTTTGCAGGTATGAAATTGACTGGCGTGTTAAGATATCTCTGTAATATGGGATTATTGATTCCTAATGATGATGTGCCTGTCTCTTTGGAAACAATCTTGCTTGCTTGCTTATTGTTTAATACTTGGTAAATCGCACTATTTGGTGTTTGCGATGATGATGATGATCCGTTCATCTCTCTATTTGGTACCGCGTAAAAGAAAGAAAAAAAAAAAAAAAAAAAAGAAAAAAAAAATGTATTAAGCTCAAACTTTTTAGTTGTGATGGAGGAGTGGATATCTAGGGGTGCTATGTATCCTCTGTTTAAATGTACTATAGTTAACCAGGTGAAGGGGGGAAAAAAAGTCCCTATATGAACTGAGGTCTTTTGTCTTTTTTGTCTGTCTGTGTATATGTATGTGTGTGTTTGTACAAAAATTTCTTCAAACAAAGAGTAGAATGGATTTGGGCTTGCAATCTCATCTCCATTCGCTGTCGTATTAACCCTGGCGTCCTAGTGACGCGGCATACCCTTTTCTTTTCCAACTCGACTTTTTTTTCAGCTCGACTACTTTTCTCGGCCACTTTTCTCTCCAGCTCGACCACTTTTTTCAGCCACTTTTCTCTCCAGCTCGACCACTTTTTTCAGCCACTTTTCTCTCCAGCTCGACCACTTTTTTCAGCCACTTTTCTCTCCAGCTCGACCACTTTTTTCAGCCACTTTTCTCTCCAGCTCGACTACTTTTCTCGGCCACTTTTCTCTCCAGCTCGACCACTTTTCTCTCCAGCTCGACCACTTTTCTCGGCCACTTTTCTCTCCAGCTCGATTACTTTTTTCAGCCTTTTTTTTTTTGTTACGAAAGCCTAAAAGATAAAAATTAAAACGTATCACGTGACTTTGCTCAAAAAAAAAGAAAAGAGGCATTCTATAGAATATGTATAGCCTTTAAGTATTTGCCATTAAGGTATTGCCATTAAGTGTCGCCATTAAAGCTATAGCCATCAAAGCTATAGCGATTATGTTGCTCCACTATCTCGCTTCGCTAGATAGTGTTTCCATTAAAGCTGTAGTCATTATGTTGCTCCACTATCTCGCTTCGCTAGATAGTGTCACACGTCTTTCTTCTTCTTATTCAGATCCTTTCCTTCTCCATGCACGAATTCTCTCCACCAAATAGCTGGTCTTGTGCATCCATATTAATTAAATCACATACATTCTTTGCAGTCAACTGTTTCACAGATGTCAAAATTTTCACATTCTTTGCTTTGGATTCCAAGGCTGAAGAAAATACTCCATATGTTGAAGAGTACCCGTCTTCTATTCCTGTGTATCCTTGGTTCTTTAACCCTCCCTGTATTCCCTCAGAATTGCCAAGAAACATAGCACTACCTCTCGCTCTTTGTCTTATACTTTTCTGTGCTTCAAAATCTTGGTCTGGTAAATACAATCCTGACGAAGAGCTCACAAATAACCCTTCAGAAAAAACTCCGCCAGCAGATTTCATTTTTCGATAAAGTTTTTGTTGTTGTTGAAGTTCTCGCTGTCTCTCTGTGCGCACTCTAGTTGCTAGCACTTTCTTGGGTAATTTAGTTTCTTGTGTTAGTTCACGACCGGGTTTACAATCATATCTTTTTAAATCATCGACTAGAAAACTATCAGCACCTTTTGTATCAATGAGTTTGTGACGGAGTCTCCGTTTCATCAAATCCTGTTCAACCATATTATATCCATCATTTTTTTGTTTTTTTTCTCTCTCCTCTTCAATCAGATTCTCATCCTCTCCTCCTCCTCCTCCTCCTCCTTCTTCTTCTTCTTCTTCTTCTTCTTCTTCTTCTTCTTCTTCTTTACCACCTTCTCTTCCTCTTCCCCTACAGAATGAGTTGTCCATCATGGACTCCTCACGCGTTTCATCATCAGACTCCACATCGTCTCGATCTGAAGCGGCTGAAAATTCATTCTTTCCATCCTGATCTCCCTTCTCCAAGTCACTTTCATCTAAAACATCCTCTTCCATAATTTCAACTTCTCTTCTTCGAACTTGTGTCATCAGTTGTTGCTGTTGCCTTGTATTTTGATTCATCAATTTCCGACTCATGATATCCTCAAAATCTGGTGCCGCTTGCTTTGACAAAGTAAAAATAGGAGCATTCTTATTATTAGATTTAGGTTTCAGTTGCAAACTTTTCACTATATCAACAATCAAGTCATCCTGATTATTTCCATCTTCAATAATTTGAAAATTATCCAAGTAATCAATCGTACAAAACTCTTTCTCCTTGATAGCTCCTACTTCTTGATTTGTATCTACCAATAATTTCTTCATCCATCCTGTGGAATCTTTGTTCTTCAATAATTCAAACATCTTTGCGTCATGCGGACCCTCAAAAATTTCCACATCCAAAGAATAGTACCTTGATGAATGACTCCCAAACTCCGATCTTTTCGATTTGGGTAAATTTTGCAACCGTGCCGATGTAGATAGGGAGGTAGATGTAGACGTAGACGTAGATGGTGCTGTGGATGCGGACGTAGCTTTGTTATCAATATACCCATCAGGTAATGTTCTAAACACACCAATATCAACCTTCCCCAGTTTCAATGTTCTCACAGGATCAACAACAATGGCCAAGTATGGGTCCTGAAAATTCTGATTCAACGCTTGAGTACTCACATCTATCCCACTCAACCAGCATCCATAGCCTGGATGTGAATGATACCATCCAACTATATTCTCATCTCTTTTCCCTTCGCCGCCGCCGCCACCATCCCCTCTATTGCCACCAGCTTTCTTATTCAAATCAAGATACTGAACCATATACTCATATGCCTCGCCTTGTGCATTCACTCGTGTCTCCGTGCCTTCCACTGGTAATCTATAAGTATCCATGACTATAATGCTATGGTTTGTGATCTTCCCTACTAGCATCCCCATAATCTCAATTGAACCTCCAGTTTGTGCATGAACACACATTTTCATCAATGCAAGAGACGATATCTTGCACTTATTGAAATATTTCGCATCAGTTTTCCATGGCTTTTGGCTGCTCAACAAGGGATCAATTGGTGGTAGATTGTATAGATATTGATTATTGTCTGATAAATGCGTCGATGATGATGAAGAATCAATATGACCTTGAGATAATGGTTTCATTAGCTGTTGTTTCGATTTAACTGGTGATTTAACCTTGAACACCTCATCGTCTGCCACTGCTTTTGCTAATTCATCGAAACACCCCATTACTTGTTGAAATAAATCTATATACTAGTGCTACTTTAAGTTAGCTAGCCGCGCACAAACATTGAAAAACTGAAAAAAAATAAAAATAAAAAAGGGCCCAGTATCAAAAATTGCATTCAATAACTAAAAAAACTTTTTGCAACTATTTTGCTTACTTACTTACTTACTGATATACTCTAGCAAAAGAAACATTTTAACCCATATATAGTTCACGCTTTCTTATTACTGTTGTTGTTGTTGTTGTTGTTGCTATTGTTGTTGTTAGTCGTAGTGGTGGGGGTGTTGATGGTGGTGTTACGTGTAGCAATTTCAGCTTCATTTGCATAGTAGATAAAATTAGGAACTCCGAAATTTGGTGGTGGGGGTGGTGGTGGCACACTATTCATTGATTTATAGTCATTGGTACCGCCGACATTAATGACATTTTCAAATTGAGATTGATGTGGGTAATATGGTGGATACACGCCATAAAAGGGAGCTTGTGTGCTATTTGCATTAGAACTAGCAAAATTGACATTTTCAGCAGGAACATAGTAAAACAATGGAAACCCACTATTTGGAGGAGCAACATAATTAGAATTCACCATGGGTACTCTATCATCAGGTAATGGTGATCCAACAATAAGCTCTTTCTCCTTTCTTGTTCTTTGTTGGGCATTATTCGGCTCATCTGATGATGACGCAAGGTTGTGTTGAACCATAGGTCTTATTTCCAGATCTAATTTCGATGGTGATGCAAATTGAGACCTTGTTGTCTCATCCTTCAAGTCCAATTTTGAAGCCAGCCAAGTATAATCAGATTTGACACTAGTTGCTCTGTCCTCCAAGTCAATTGCATTCTCTGATTCAGACCTGCCCCTAAAGAATCGACCTGTTTTACCTCTGAAACCAGTTGTTGTTGCTGCTGCTGCTGTTGTTGTTGTTGTTGAAGAAGAAGAAGAAGAAGTGTGATTGCTTAGCTTAGATTTGTTGTTCCCAAAGGGACGGAAATCCGTCTTGCTTCCCTCGTTATTCATTTTGATGGATGACCTTTTCCCCAAGTTAATAGGTGGAGGAGCTAAGGCAACACTAAAGTTTTTGGTGGTTTTCGTGCGCACTTGAACCTCGCGATACTGAACATGCATTGTTTTACCAGAAAGCATTGAATGATTTTCAGCCTCAACAGAACTAGCTGCACTTGACTCGTTTTTAAACAGAATGAAAGCAAAAGTGTTGTTGACTTTCTTCACCAAGTTCAAGTTAGTTATCTCCCCGTGTCTTTCAAATCTTTTTCTCAACTCTGCTTCGCTGACATCGGGACTCAATTGACCAACAAAAACCGAAAACTTGTCAAATTTTACCTTTATCTCGACTTTGGAATCTGCATCTGAGTTGTCACTTGCCTGGTTCGATTTGTCGATATTTTGTGCCCAGTCGATCTTGTATACGCCTTCTTCGGTCAAGCTGGCAAATGCTTTAATTGCATCATCGCGGTAAACAAATTTACAATACCAATTTTTATGACCTCGGCTAGTTGAAGAAAAGTCTGAAAAGATTTGTCCTCGACTGTTGCTTGGAACTAACTCTTCAATCTCGCCAAATCGGTCCAAAATCTTTCTTATATATTCCTCGCTAACAAAAGATTTTGCAGTGAAGAACAAAGTTCGATTAACTTTTGCAGCCTCACATCTAATGTTTCTACCATTCAATAAGGAGTTGTGCCCCATTTCAATAGCCAATTTTGAATCCTCTTCTTTTAGATACTGAACAAATGCATATGGACGATTGCTTGTGTCCCTTAATACTTTAACGGTTGCCAAAGGACCCCATTTTTGGAAATGATCAGTAACCGAGATACAAAGGTCATCATCGGTCATCGTAGAGCGTAAACTAGCAACAAAAACACAAGCAGAAGGACGGCCTCTAACGAAATCATTCTCATCCTCGTCCTCACCCTCATCCTCATTTTCATCCTCATTTTCATTTTCATCCTCGTCCTCTATAGGCAAATTTGGATTTGGCTTTTGGGGACTATTGGGTGCAGATGTTTTACAATTCTTATTTGCAGCAGCCGCCTCACTCGATAACGATGAAGATGTTGACGCTCTTTTCGTTTCCCAAGCGGTGGAGTATAACGAGTTCATATTATCCTTAGCAAACGCGTGTGACCCTCTATCGCTTATAGATTTAATATTGATGCTACTGTTTGTATCGCTAGAGCCTGAAGCTTCACTAGAATTTGAAATCTCCCTCAAGACACTATAGTCGACTCGTTTGGCCATTTCCACTCAAAGGGGGGGTAGGGGGGGAGTTTCTTTTTAACCTCTTGTCAGCGAAAATGCAAGCTTATACCTGAATCTTTGACCAACTCCTCTTTCAAACAAATATTGACAAGTTCAGTCCTACTTGTTTGATGAGAAGAATGTGTAGTTGTGTGAAAACTCCATGAATCGTATTTGGTTGCAAAAAAAAAAAAAAAAAAAAAAAAAATAAAAATAAAAAATAAAAAAAAAAGAGTTGGCATAAANAGATGAAAGAGTGTAGCTAGTCGGTGCTGCTCCACTATCGAGTGACACTATCGAGTGACACTATCGAGTGACACTATCGAGCAGAGCGAGATAGTGGAGCACAATGACTAATTACTATATTTAGCTGCCACCAACACTAGCAAGCGAAGCGAGATAGTGTCGATGGCAGTATAACTATACTCCGTTTCTCGATTAGTATCAGGATAGTAAGTGTGCTCCACTATCTCGCTCTGCTCGATAGTGTCACTCGATAGTGTCACTCGATAGTGTCACTCGATAGTGTCACTCGATAGTGTCGCATATTTATTTAAATAATTATTTTCTCAATTAAGAAATCAATAGAGTTTATTTAATATATAAATTTCAGACGGGTTTTATAAAACAGTATCAGTATAGTAAGTGTCACTAGTAAGTGTGCTCGATAGTGTCACTGGTAATCAGGATATCGGAGATAGATGTACTTGCCATACGATACACCGAAACGAGTGAAATAAAAATAAAGATTTTAGCTGTTATTTTTTTTTTTGTACTTAAAATAAGAATGTAATATTTTATGGAATATTTTAGTGAGGGTCATATCATAGTCAATAAAGGAAAAAAGATTTTAAACCGAAATAAGCAATGGGGTATAAAGAGCGAATTAACCATGGCTCAAGGAAAAGAAGAAAGAAATATAATTGATGTCTAAAAAACTTAGACGAATAATGCGGCAGCAACAATCAAAGCGGCACCAAAGGAGTATTTGTTGTTACCTGCACCCTCATAAGTAGAAACTGTAGCTGTTTCAGGTGTAGAAAGGGCAGATTCAGTTTCTGCTTCTACTAAAGCTGGTTCAAGAGTGCTTGTGATGAAGACAGCAGTGGTTAAGGTTGAATCCTGGTCCTCAACTGCAACAGCTGCAACTTCTGGTTCTGGTGCTTGTTCAACAGCTGCAGGTGCAACTTCTGGTTCTGGTGCTTGTTCAGCAGCGGCAACTTCTGGTTCTGGTGCTTGTTCAACAGGTGCAACTTCTGGTTCTGGTGCTTGTTCAGCAGCGGCAACTTCTGGTTCTGGTGCTTGTTCAAAGGTTTCGGCTGTATGTTCTGCTGATTCCTCACCTTCAGCTTCACTGACTGATGGAGCCGGTTCTTTATTGTGATTTGCAATTGGTGCTTTGGTTTTAGCTGGCTCGTTGGTTAATGGACAGTAAGTAGTGTAGATGGTAGTACCTTCGGTTATAACAGCTACTCCAGTAGTATGGGTTTCACTTGAGCATACGTTGTTTACACATGATGTGACTGTGACAACAGTAGTTGCGTGTGCGGTAACAGTTTCGGTTTCTGGTTCTTCTGCAACTGGCTCTTCAGTTTCAACTGGTTCTTCTGCAACTGGCTCTTCAGTTTCAACTGGTTCTTCTTCTTGTTCCTCTGATGATTCAGGAGCTACTGATTGTTCTGGTTCTGGTTCTTCAACAGCTGATTCTTCAGCAACTGGCTCTTCAGTTTCAACTGGCTCATCGGTTAATGGACAGTAAGTAGTGTAGATGGTAGTACCTTCGGTTATAACAGCTACTCCAGTAGTATGGGTTTCACTTGAGCATACGTTGTTTACACATGATGTGACTGTGACAACAGTAGTTGCGTGTGCAGTAACAGTTTCGGTTTCTGGTTCTTCTGCAACTGGCTCTTCGGTTTCAACTGGTTCTTCTGCAACTGGCTCTTCAGTTTCAACTGGTTCTTCTGCAACTGGTTCTTCGGTTTCAACTGGTTCTTCTTCTTGTTCCTCTGATGATTCAGGAGCTACTGATTGTTCTGGTTCTGGTTCTTCAACAGCTGATTCTTCAGCAACTGGCTCTTCAGTTTCAACTGGCTCATCGGTTAATGGACAGTAAGTAGTGTAGATGGTAGTACCTTCGGTTATAACAGTTACTCCGGTAGTACGGGTTACTCTTGAGCATACGTTCTTTGCGCATGATGTGATTGTGACAATAGTAGTTGAAGGAGATCCGGATCCTGGTGTAACTGACACTGGTAAAATTGACAGTTGTGATCCTGAGCCTGGTGATCCTGGTGATCCTGGTGATCCTGAGCCTGAGCCTGGTGATCCTGGTGATCCTGGTTTTCCTGAGCCTGAGCCTGAGCCTGATCCTGAGCCTGAGCCTGATCCCGAGCCTGATGATCCCGAGCCTGAGCCTGATCCACCAGTTGAAACACAATCACAATCCCAACAGTATTGATTCAACTCACCAAATTCTGCACCTCCTAGTACAGTGTCCAACAAGCCCAATACTAAACCAAATGTTCTCTTATCATATTTCGAGGCATCAACAACATTATCTCTCTTAAGAATGGACAAAAGAGTATTGAACAAACCACTTGCCAGAACAATTTCAAGACCTTTTTGAACAAGAGCAACTTTGTATTTAACGATTGGAAGTTCTAAAACTTGACCTAATATTCCCCATACGGGAGAAAGTTCATCATAAGCAGTAACAATTTCAAAACCTGATGGGAGACAACATTTACCTAATTTGCTTTCTGGTTTAACTTGGAAACTTGCAGACCATTTGTATGGATTTTGAACGGGGCTAACGGAGCCAGGGCCATACAATTGAACGTTGCCACATCCAGTACCTTCAAGTGACAAGTGTTTGATACCCGCTGCAAAGTTTGTCTTCAACTCGTCAGCTTTCTCACATTCAAAGTTACCAACAACGCTGAAAGTGCCATCAGCATTCTTTTGAGCTTCGGAAACAACAAAAGCGGATTTGAAATTGGTTTTACCAACAGTTCTTTTTCTCACGCTTGAAGAAGGATCATAGTATATTTGTTGAGTAGTACAAGTTGGTGCAACAGTAGTTGGTACAAAACTTTGGAATAAGCCATTTAATAAGCCGAATGTAGCTTCAGTTGAACAAGCCAACGAAGCGACGGCTACAAGAGACGCGGTGGAAAGCTTCATATCTTTAAAGCGAAAGACTAAAGGTTGGTAAGCTTGGTCGCTGTGTAATTACTTTTCTAATATTTTGTTTTCAAATTCATTTGGAAACTCGTGCAATTTTATAGTCTAGAAAAGTCCAATTCATCCATTCATTGATTAATTGTCCCTTTTGATTTCTATATGGAATACCCATTTTCTTGGTGTCTGTGTGCGTGTGTTTCTACCCAGAATGTTAGATGTCCCAATAAACCTGATACTAAAAATAAAATCTTGCGATGCAAAACACACTTATGTGATAAATTCCCCCACTAGATATATCGTTTGATCACTCCAACTTTAAGTACAATTAAACAAATGCTTTATTGTTCAAGTGTAAACTTTAAATGATTGCTCAAATTGAGACTATGCAAACACTAGAACCACTGGGCAATAACCTTTTTCTTCTTTCCCTGTCCTCCCCCACCCCCCCCTTCCCTGCTTTCCCTGCTTTCCCTGCTTTCCCTGCTTTCCCTGCTTTCCTTACTTTCTCTGTTCCTCCATTCCTCACCGTGTAGCCACACGACAAAGAATGCAATTTATTCTATAACTTGCATTATTTGTCGGCTATTCTTTATTTGTGCATAAATAAGGGTTCAATAAGCCGCAAGGGGGTCCAATATAGTCCAGCTCACGAGTGACATTGTTACAACCTCTTTCCATTTTTCAAATATGCACCTTTTTTGTGGCAACCTCCTAGTGCTCGTCAAAAGTTATTGTTCTAATTGCAATGAATACCATAATAGCAACCTCCATTACCACTTTTGGTTTTTTTTCTTTGGTTATGAGTTGTATTTTCTCACAACAATAGGAAATTTTCTAGACCACATTGGTGGTTTCATTTTTCTCTCCTTTTTCCATTGGGTTTTTTCTTCAAAACAAAGATGGATGTCGTCATTACATGAGACTCGATTGTAAAAATGAAAAAGCATACAATTTTGATACTCTTTTGATAAGCTATTTTTTTTTTCACCTGATGTGGTTGGCATACAACACATTCATATTTTTTTTTTACCTCGATATGTATATGAGCGAAACCTCATGTTCCTTTACCTCCATATCCATTTGTGTATACGGGGGGGGTCTCAAGTTCTATTAGGGAACAGACCATAAAAAGAAAAAAAAAAGGTTTCTCTATTGGTTTCCTATATAACTTATTACATACTATATTTAGCTGGCCTTGTTTAGTTTGTTCAAGTGAACATTTTTGCAATCTCTTTCAAACGTAGTTTCCACGTTTTAAGGTTATGTGTATGAATTCATCAATACTAGTCGCGCTTTCACGAGCCAAGCTAAGACAAGTATTTTCATTAGGAAGGGGCGAGGGCGGTAACGGTAGCGATAACGGTAACGGTAACTACAAATTAAAGTCCTTTCTCAGCTGAATAATACAATAAAGATAAAAATGGCATATTGTTCTGCCCTTTGGATGAAAAAGTATTGTTGAAAAAAAAAAAACCGGGCTTTTTTTGTATACCTTTTCTCCATTCCAATTCCATATACTTTCGTGGGTAAAAAAGGCTGGGTTTTTTTGTTTTGTTTACGAACCGTAAAAGGGATAAAAGGGGTAAGAAGAGTAGTAGACGCTACTCGAAATGAAATATGTTACAGAGAGCTTTCGAACAAAATAAATCAACTTTACCTGTTTCAACAACTTTTCTGTTTGGTTTCAATACGATTCCTTTCCAATGTAAAAAATATATACATGGCTTGAGCTTTTTTCACTTTATGTGACACCATTGTCCTGGGTATTTTTACTCACGTTATAGCTTATGTCATCAATCCCTTTCGTTGTTCTGCCTCCTCCTCTTCCTCCTCCTCCTCTTCTTCTTCTTCCTCCTCCTCTTCCTCTTCCTCCTCCTCCTCTTCCTCCTCTTCCTCCTCCTCTTCCTCCTCTTCCTCCTCTTCCTCACTTGATTCTTCGTCACTGCCAAAAAAATCGTCTAGACTTTGCAATTGATAGGTTTTGTCCTTTTGCTGTTCAAACTTTGCGCGATTAATCAAATCATGAAGCTGACGTGAGGAAATTGAGGTTTCAGTGATTGGAGACGGAGACTTGGCCCTATCATCGGATTTGAAAACCGCTGCATTGGATAATTTGTTATATTTGACAGGAACTTCTGTTCTTATTGATGAAGGCGGTAATGTGCTTCCATCCGTAGTCCAAGCATTCACAGAAAAATATAACTTAATACCCTTTTCATCTTCATCTACTGTCCCAGTTGTTTCCACCAATGGCACTGGTTTAGGAACTTGTAAAATCAAAGAAGCCAATTGAGCTCGTTCGATTCCAGAGTCCAACAAAACACTAAACATACGCGCGCGATCCCTCGTATCATAAGACAGATCGTATTTGGCTAATTGTAAGGTATACTGAAACATCTTAAACTCGATGGTATTGTGTAGATTAGCATTGATGCTCTCAATTTCTGATTCTCGCCTCGCGCCACCACCACCACCACCACCACTATTATTATTATTATTATTATTATTATTAGCCAGTCGTACCAACTCAAAAGCGTATATCTTACTTGCCAATACAAGCAATTGGTATCTTACTGTTTCACTTTCCCTAGCAAAAGATGGGAGTAACACGCGTAAAACATCAGGACCAATTGAGTTCTCTGCAAGTGCAGTATACTCACCTATTGTCCATATTATTGATGCTCTTGCTTCATCGTCTAACTCAAACTCTGTTTTTTGCAAAAGCATAGCTAACCTAGCCATGATCCTTAAAATACTGGTCTTCTCAGATGGTATTCTGGTTTCGTACTTTTGCTGGATTATATAACGCACTACAGTCAACAAATCATTTAGAATTTCACCTTTTAAAAATCCAATTTGGGATAAACACCAATTTAAAATATATTCGTTCCATTGTTGTGAAACCCGTGAACAGTTCTCCATTGCTTTTATCGCTCCTCTCGCAATCCTACTACTTGAAGTACATGAATAATACTTTAGTTCCTCCAATATGTACTTGAAATTGTCTTGATTAGAGATTGAGGATAAAATTTTGAGCTTCAAAACGGCAATCTCTGGGACATCGTCCGGTGATAAGTAAAACAGTTTAAAGCATGGTGCAAATATACACCTGTCTTCTTCGCTGATAAAAGCAATTACCTGCAAAGCAAACAAAGCAAAATCTGTATCTGCCACGCATGTTGCAATTCTTGTGAGCATGACATCAAGCTTATAATCGATAAATGTACTTGGAAATAGCAAATAGGTTGACTTTGCAACGCTGATTACTACCATTTCCGACATGGATTTCGTTAACGGTTTTAGTGAACCTAAAAACATTTGTAAATCGGGATCAAGAGTTTCCTCATCCGTGGGCTTCTCTAAAAATTTCCTGCAATATTCCGTTAAGATGTCAATTGCATATACTTGAGCCCACTCGTCAAATTTGGAAATTAAGGAGCAAAATCTCCTGAAATTACCATGAATATATTTCCATCTTTTGCTCTCGCTGCCCAAGCTATTTCTGATTCGAAAGTACGATTTCAAAGCTGCGGATACCACAGCTACATCGCTATCGGCCAACAAGTCTCCTAGAATCTCGTACATTTGTTTTTTCGACTTTCCAGCAATATTGTATATCTTGCCTATCGATATTGCTGCAGAAGCTCTAGTCAAGGAAGAAGGGTCTGTTGACGACCTGTTTAAACTCAAGACTAATATGGGAACAATAGAACTGATTTTAATCCCGGCCAACGATCTTATTGCGTCGGCTCTATTCGTCGGTGTTTTGTCATTTATTGACTTTTGTATTGAGTTGATCGAAAGCAATGCAGTATCGGCTTCGGCATCGGCATATTTTGTTAAATAGACAATCACTAGCTGTCGTATCTTGGTGTTGTCATTCGTAATGTTCTTCACGATATCGGCAAAGTAAGGGAGTCCATCTTCCCCCTTGGAAATAAGGGATATAACACATCTCATACCGTTCAAAACATCCCTGTTTGATCTCGAGTTTAATAGTTTGGAAATTTCGTGTGGTGCTGATGTAGTGCCATGAGTATCTATAAGGCGCGCAGACGCAGACATTGCTGCCTCAATTGACAAATCCTTGGCAGACTCTATGATAGAAGTGATTTTCGATAAAGAGTCTGTCATCTTGGACCTACCAGCGGCTAAAGAAAAAGCTCGGGAAAGTTGGTCTTCTCTAACTTTTATTCCACAACTCCTATAATGTGAACAATTGCAATTGTAAATTTTCAACTTGGTTATTGTTTTTTCTCGTGTCTTTCTCGCGCGAGCTTTATCGAAATCTTTGTCCCTAGGTCTCATCTCATCTCTAGATGAGAAAAGCGAGTCTGGGAGAGAGAAAGGGGGTCGGTGAAGGGAGTGAGTGAGAGAAGGGAGAGAGTGAGTGAGTGAGTGAGTGAAGGGAGAGAGGAGAGAAGATCTATTAGATACTAACCTACTATTGCAATATATACATTACAAAAACAAAAGGTAAACCTCTCTCTACGTTTAAAGTTTCTTCCTTTTATTCAATTTATTTGCTGCTGTTTTCATACGCTTACTCAAATTTAGCTCCTTCTTACTTTGAATAAACTCCTGGGGGAAAAACTCCCCAATTGTTGATTGCGTTCCCTCGGCATTTTTCTTATTCAAATCTCTCACTAATGGAATCATCACCTCGTCAACTCTCTCTTGACTCCAACCGACATTATACATCAAGAAAGATCTAATTTTGTCTAAATTCGGTACCCCCCACTTGAACTCACTTTTATCTGAATTCACTTGAGGAAGTTTGTATGCTTCAAAAACAACTTTATCGGGAAACGAATCCGGCAAGTATAACTTCCCATTCTTGATTTGTGCTAATAGTTTCTTCTCCAATGCAGACAAATTGGTCTTGGTCTTGTCTTCTGTCGTTTTAGTGTGTTTGTCAAACCATGCTTTAAAGTTTGTCAAATTGCCAAATTCAGCAAGAATCTCCATCGCCAAAACGGGCCCAATTCCTTTAATACCTTCTGTATAATCACTTCCTAAAAGCAAAGCAAGCTCTATCAAATTATCCTGCGTCAATCCTATATTTGCTTCAATATCTTTCTTAAAGTAACACTCAACAAAATGTTTTTGATTAAACATGTTCTTGTAAATCTTGTCACCACCAAATAAAAAACAATCACTATCATCGGTTATGATCCCATCCACCAAGCCAATCTTCATCAATTCTGCGCATTGAGCTTCTGCTTCCATGGGAGCTGTTATATACGGAATACCAAACCGCTTGAGTAACTCTTGGACATCACTTATCATGTTTTCGGTTACTTCATCTGAGTCTCGCTTTGCTTTCTGTAATTTTTCTTGAAGAAGCTGCTCGTCTGTAATTCTTGTTTTAATGGAAGATATGGGCAAACTATGAGAAGCCTTGATTTGCGATTTGAAAATTTCATGATCGTCTTCCTCTGTCTGTAATTGTCTGGCTAGTTCTTCTTCTTCTTCCTCTCCAAAATCATAGTCAATAACAGCAGGTTTCCTGTTGGATGTTGTTGACGCTGACTCTTCTGGTTCTGTCATTATATTTTTACCGTTTGTTTTTTGTACAGAAGCAGCCTCAGTATTAGTAGTAGTATTAGTAGTATTAGTAACAGGAGTAGCAATTTCCTCTACTGAGTCTTCTTCCTCTCCTCCTGAGTCATTTTCTTCAAGGTACTTGTTAACCTCGTACCATGGGATCAAGCCAAGGTTTTCATTTTCATTTTCCTTAGTCCTTAATTTTGCATCTTGAATTGCAGTATTGGAAACAAATTTCTCGTTATGGGGGTTTAACTTTTCGCTCACCTCGTCTTGAAACCAATCAGGAATTCTTCGTTGCCCCTCAATAACATTTTCCTTCTTGCTTGATTCAACTTCTTTATCCTCATCCTCCGAAAATGCCGTTGCTTTTGCTCTATTACTCTGCTTCAAAGAACTCTTCAGAGTCAAATGACTCTGCTCAAAAGGTTCAAGATCCTTTTTCTCGTTAGGAGGAAAAGCTACTTTTTCCACGTCTGATCTAACATCGTGTACTTTGTCGTTTTCGTTTGTTCTCTTTTTGAGCGCAATCTTTCCAGTCTGGTGACCATCTGCCGAGAAAAGAAACGATGCCCCTAATTCATTCTTAAAATTAGCTTCATCTTTCTGCAGAAACTCTTTTTTTGGAACCAATTCTGGTGTTTCTCCATATAGCAAACGATCTTCCAGGCTAAGAGCTGCTGTCTTCAAAGGAGAGTTCAGCAGCAAGAAGTTTTCAAAGCTGCAACTCTCCTTTGGAGCATTTTTCAAAAAATTATTGTCCTCTCGCATTATTTGAAAATTATCCCGTTTACTTTCCTCAACCGCTGTATCCGAGTTCATGACATTAGTTGAGTGATTATCAGTAGAAGATAGAGTCTCATACTGATCATATAGAGACTTGATAAGTGCCTCTTGAATTTGTTTTTCCTCTGGTGTCTCCTCTTGTTCATTCAAAGGCACATCCTCAAATTCGGAATCGTTATCGGATGACATTTCTTGCTCCAATTGCTCACTTTTCGTCTTGTCTTCTACAACTTTATCATTTTCGTTCTCGTTCTCGTTCTCGTTCTCGTTCTCGTGCTGCTCATCATCAGTCAAAACTATTGGGTCCTGGTAACTGGACCCTTCACTCTGTAAGGACAATGACCATCCATGGCTAGTCTTGATTAAAGCATATTTTCTATCCTTATCTCCAGCTATTCGTTTCTCTACATTAAACTCATCTCCCATTCCTGTCACATTCATTAATTTTTGAGTATAAAAGTTTCTTTTCTGAACTTGTTGAATTTGAAACTTTGAAAACTCCATCAGATTGGGAAACAATTCTTCCAATTGTTCTTTTTTATAACCCATTCTCAATCTCGACTTTAATCGAAGATGACTCAATATCATATACTGAGTAGCAATTGGCAATTGTGCAAACTCCTTTGATTTTGGATCTACTTCATTTATATTGATTCCATCCACATGATCAAAGTCGTCATTTTGCTGAATAAGTTCCTCATCAGTCATTATTCTTTGGTCGTTTTTTGAAACCGAAAATTCGTGAAGATCAGGTAAATGGTACTCATCGTGTTTACGAAACCTGATTGACTTGGGCTGCCGCAGCTGTTGCTGCTGCTGCTGCTTTGGTAAAGTATCCTGTGCAGGGTCCTGTATCGGGTTATTTCCTGGTAAATCTTCAAAATAAATTACATCTTCTTCTTCTTCGTCATCTTCTTCATCATCATCAAGAGCTGCTGATGCAGAATTGTTTTTCAGTTTCTGTCTGCTTGTCCTCACAAAGCTTTCTGCTTCTCTTTGTAGCTGAATTGCTAACAATTTCTGTGCAGTTTCCCTTCTAGACTCTGTTTTTTGTTGCCTTCGGGAACGTCGTTCTGTTATAGTTTGTCTTTTCAAAACAGGTACACCTCCATCAAAGACAAATACTGGAAGTATCCCAAAATACAACAATTTACATATCCGTCTGAAAAACCCAACTACATGAGACAGTTGCAACGCGTTTCCTTCTTTGTCCCTAACGGCTTTTAAAAACTGATACACCCATATAGACGCATCTACAGCGAGTTTTTTCCTAGATAATGCCTCTAATCGTACAGGTCTTGCTGACAGTCCAACTATTTCCCATAAAGATTGGACACCCATTTAAATTAAAAAAAGTTATGAGAAAAAAAAAAAAAGAAAAGACATAAATAAATCTACTTTAAAATAGAAAAACAAGGATTTTCTCGTATGAGAAATGCATCTCCTGCTTTTTGCAATCTCTCTTGCTCCTGTTTCAGTCTTTTTTGTATTCTTGTATTCTTGTCTCTTTGCTTCTTTTGCTCTGGTATACGCTTGGTAGCGTCGTGATGAGGTCGTGTTTGGGTACATCTCTATGCATGTAATTTCGTTTCCCAAATAGGAAACCATCTGTCAATATTATTTCCCCCACAAAAAGGGGTAAAAATAAAACGGTTTTTTTTTTTTTTTTTTTTTCATTTCATTTGAAGGAAAAATGTAAAATAGGTTGAAAACTTGATATCGAATTTGCAAAAAGCGTGTCTGTCCAGTACTATGTCTCAAGAGTTTATGAAATACCCGTCTCGCAGGTCGACCGTGTATTCCCACAAGGGAATGGTTGTTTCTACACAACCTTTGGCAACTTCGGCCGGGTTGAAAATCTTGAGTAAAGGTGGGAATTGTATTGATGCTGCTATCGCGGTGTCTGCAGCTTTATGTGTCACTGAACCCGCTTCAACTGGAATTGGTGGTGATTGTTTTGCATTATACTTTAAAGTGGACAATAAAGATTCGCCAACGTGCAAAGGAGGGAAAGTTCTTGGTTTGAATGGGTGTGGAAGAGCTGCGAAAAATGTTACTCCACAACACGTTTGGGATGAACACAATCTGGGGCAACCAATGCCTAGAATACCCTATACGTCGGTGTTTTCTGTAACTGTTCCGGGTGCAATTGCTGGTTGGTACGATGCTTTTGAAAAATGGGGGTCAAAAAATGTTTCTTTTGCCGATATCTTGGAACCCGCAGTGACTTTAGCTGAAAAGGGGTTCCCTGTTTCTGAATTGTCAAGCAGATCTTGGAGAAATTCTATAGCCAAGTTGAAAAGTCAAAATCCAGATGTGGCAAATAATCCATTTGTTTTGGAAGGGGAGAGAGGCCCGTTTGAAGGTGAATTTGTTCGGAATATTCCATTAGCAGAGTGTTTAAAATTGATTTCCCAAAATGGTAAGCAGGCATTTTATGAAGGTCCGATTGCAGAAGCTATCATTGATACCACCAGCAAGAGAAACCATAAACTCACCATTGATGATTTAAAGTTTCATACGTCTACTATTGTGGAGCCAATAAAATTGGATTTTCAAAATCACCATGTTTGGGAAATTCCACCAAATGGCCATGGTTTGGTAGCTTTGTTAGCTTTGGGTTTGGTGCAAGAATTGCATAAGGAAGGGAGAATTGATTTGTACAAGTTAAAGCATAATTCGGCAGAGTACTTGCATATCCTAATTGAAGCTTGTAAATTAGGGTTTCATGATTCTGATGAATACGTTACAGATCCTACTTTTCGGGAAATACCAGTAGAAGCATTATTACATTCCCATTATTTGAAAAGTAGAGCCAGTTTATTCGACTCATCAAAGATTATTGACGGCGAAAACATGACGCATGGAGTACCTGATCCTAAATACAAATCAGACACTGTTTATTTCTCGGTCACAGACTCCAATGGAGAAGCATGCTCGTTTATCAACTCAGTATACGAAGGTTTTGGCTCCGGCATCTTGGTTGAAAAATACGGTTTTTGTTTGCATAATAGAGGTTCAAATTTTAACTTGTCTCCAGGATTGTCAAATTGCTTGGAAGGGGGTAAAAGGCCTTACCATACAATTATTCCCGGTATGATCACAAACAAATCCGACGATTCACTATACTCTGCGTTTGGTAACATGGGTGGGTTTGCCCAGCCAGTATGTCATGTTCAACACGTGTTGAACATGATTGTTTTTGGCATGACGCCTCAACAGCTGCTCGACTCACCAAGATTTGTTTTAAATTCAAACAAAGACATTTTAAAAGATAGAGGAAGAGGCGCCGATGGACCAGTAAGTACGCCTATAACAATTGTTCAAATAGAGGAAGGCGTAGGCGAAGACGTTATTGAGCAATTAAAAACGTTAGGTCACACTATTGAAATCCTTAAAGATTACTCCAGACAAACAGTTGGTAGGGGCCAAATTATAAAAAATGAGTCTCGGAATGGACAATTGATTTATGCTGGTGGAAGTGATATGAGAGGCGATGGAGCAGCTGTTCCATTTGTTTGAATAAACGGCAAATTGTGCAACATGGAAGAAGAAGGAGTAAGAAGAGAAGAACTACCTTTGGTTGCAAGAGGAAGGAAATCATAGTTTAGGAAACAAATGGAGCAAGCTTTGATGCTAATCTAATTTTTAAAAAGATCTAAAGTCCAAAAAAGAAAAGGGAAAAAAAAAAAAAACGGTTTCTAAATCAACTCAATAATATATCTCTAACAATATATCTCTAACAATGTAGGAGGGAGCGGGAGTTAATTTACCATAATTTTGTCAACCCACCCCAGTCTTGTCTTTTTCTTCTATTCCAGTAGCTATTTTCACCTTGAATAAGTTCCCATCTTCCTTCGTCAACCGGTCCATCACCTTTGAATTTAAAAAACTGAGGAACATGTTTTTCACCAGCATCTTCTAATTGTTTTCTCCTTTCTCTTTGATCTTGTTCAAGTTTAACCTTCAAATTCTCAGCGGCAACTATATCACCTTTTTCGTAAGCTTGTAAGTCTGGCCTATGTCTTGAGTCTGTTGGTGGAATATTCCCCTTTTCAATCTCGGTGATCTTGTTCAAAGTTGCTGCAAATGTAGTAAATCCATACTTCTTTTGATAATCAGGTACTAGATCACCAACTTGCCAAATACTTTTTTCAGTCGAGTTGGTTTGCAATATAAGATCCTCAGTCCATTTACCTGTTACTGTGTATGGTAATTCATTCTTTTTATTGTCAAAAACTTTAATAGTAACTCCCTCAGATCTACCACTCCACATACCACCTTTTGCAAACTCAACTACTGCCTTATATCCATTTGATGACTTAATTGTCATAGTACCAGTGGGTTCAGCATACGTTTCACCAGCAATTATATTCTTTATCATCTGTGTAGCTTGAGTCCAAGTAAACTCTTCACCGGTATTCTTATCAGTTAAAACAACTAGCCCTTTAGTGGTTACTTCAGACTGTTTCCCCCAAAACTTTTGTGACGGGGATAATGCAAAGTTCATGATCCAATTTTCAGTATCAACATGAAAAGCAAAAACTGGTGGTCTATGACTAACTTTTTCTGAAATTAGTCTAAATGCTAAATCTTCACGTACCAATTCATAAGTCTCACCCAATAATGGAGTAAATGGTTTTCTTTTGTTTCTTTCCTTGGCACGTGTAGAAGAAAGAGGACTTAATGCAAATGCTGCAATCCTCAAAAGTTTCTCACCTGACTCGTCTCTAAATTCAGAGTCTAACGCGTTTGTCACAACATTTGGATACTCAAGCATCTCTGCAAATTTTTGCAATACGGTTGTTGGTTCATTGTAAGTAACGGGCATGGCTATAGTTGACAAATCTTTACCAACATTTTTACGAACAAAACTCAATAAAGATGGAGGAGAATGAGTACACACTGGGATATCGGTTGATCTTGCAACAGGCTCGTGTGGTAATGGATACAAGTTGTCCTCGTCCACAACTGTTGGTTTGGGTAATTGTTCTTCTGATTTCACATGTGCACCTGTGGTTTTACCTGGATACACCTCATCATCATCCTCTTCGCCCTCCGATGACTCGTCCTCAACTTGGTACTCTTCCTCTTCCTCTTCTTCATCACCTTGTGGCGTATGAGCTCCACCGTCATCAAAGAACATGACTCCCTCATCTTCAAAATGATCTTCAGCATCATGAAAATCACTAGAAAATATTGATTGTGTGTCTGCAGATAATGATACAAGGCTTTGCTCACTTCTACTTTTTGCTAATAATGTCACTACATCCTGATGTATATCGTCAACTATAGAAGATGGTTGTTCAACACGTAATTTATCCAATTTTTTAGCAATCGCTGATAATGCAGCAATGGAAGCTGCAGATGATGAAAAACCATTTTGCTGTTGTTGTTGTTGTTGCTGCTGCTGCTGTTGTTGTTGTTGTTGCTGTTGTTGTTGTTGAGTCTCTTCCTTCTTAATAGCGTTGAAAGCATTCACCCATGCATTAAAGTCGGCTTTGTTAATTGTCTTCAAATGCCAAACCTCCATTCCTGAATCAATGATAAGTTGACGTTTTGAAGGATTAGCCGAAATGATAGAATCCTTAATGAGCATTTGACCTCTCAACTTGTTATCATCAACTCTAAAGTACGATAATGTTCCTCTCTTGAAATTTAAAACAAAATAACGTTTAACAAAACCTTGCATTTTCTTTCTTCTCTTTTTCAACATGACACTCTGTAGAATATCGCCAGGACCAGGGGCATCATCACCGTTTTCAGTCCTTTCAAACACGTTTTGATCATTTTGCTGTAAAGCGAGACTTTCATGGTGATCTAAAGTGGGTTCCGAAACGACAATTTCGACTGAGAACTCGACTGACTTGGCAATGGTTTTGGAAAAAGAATTATCAAAGACGAATGCAAACTTCCCACCATGCGGAGCCTCGTATTTGCCGCGTACTAGTTCATTGGCAATCAATTTGTTGTAGTTTTTCACCAATTCCAAATTCGAATCTCCAATGGTTGACAATATTGAGGTTCTTGATTTTGATTTATACACGTCATTTGGCTTGGTAAACTGGTTTACTGAAGCGGTAGAGCCTGTTCTTAATCTATGGGGTATAGGAGGAGTATCTGAATTGGTATGATCGCCGCTATGAGAATTACTCAGAATTTCTGAAGAATATTGAGAATCGTCAAGGTCCTTCTTTTGGTAAAAAGCAAAGTTGATTGATTTCTTGAGGGGTTTGACTTGCCAATCTATAATGGAATTTTCAGGAACGTTGATCCATTTGATCAAAAAATCCTTGGAGTGTATTTCCACCGTTTCCATTTTGAAACAAACAGGGGTTGAAAACTCTCAGTAGCTGGTTATATGGATGCCTGAAGAACTCTCAGTAGCTGGTATGGAAGCCTATAGTTCTCTTTCGCAGCTTGACAAGCAGTACCTTCTTGGGGGAAAACTCTCTGCAGCTCGTTATATGGATGCCTATAGTTCTCTTTCGCAGCTTGACAAGCAGTACCTTCTTCTTAAAAAAAAAAATGAGGCGGGGGGATTCCTTCTATACAATTCAAATACGAGAACTCTCACCTGCAAAATTAAACCTCTACCGAAAATTGAATACGTTTACTAGAAATTGTTTCTTCTGTTGGAGATTGAGTCTATTTTAATACCTCTCCACCTTTTCATGTATATTCCTTCAAAATATCGTCTTTATCTCCTACAAGTATATGTCAATTTTAATTAATTCTAAATACGGTAAAAACGAAAATGAATTTCATTACTTAAAAAGTTACCGATCTTATTTTTTATGTATCTAACGGATTTAAGTTTTATTGTGAAAAAAAAGAAAGAAAAAGAAAGAAACAAAGAACGTTTTCTTACATTTTATTGCACGTTTTAATTAATCCAATAGGGGTTATGGTTTATTGGCTTATAAAAGTGGACTGGTTGGCTCTATGCTCGTTGTGGAAAGTTTTTCTGTCCAAGTATCAATAAATTGCAATCAAACACCCTGGGTGCTTTGTATTAATTGAACCCTAATCGTTCTCTCTCCTTTTGCTCTCGTTCTCGCTCTCGCCCTTTTTTTCACATGTACAAGTCCACACTAATTAGCCGCACTACCGACCCCCCCCCCCCCCCCCCCCCCCCGCGGTCGGGGTCGTCCCACACAGTGTCCACAAAGTGTCGGATATCATAACTTCAAATTTAAACGTTCTTCAGAAGTACTCCCTGAAATAGCATCATAAAACTCAGGCATCGCCATTTCATCATTAATATTGTGCATCATTAGAGGCCCACTATTGGTTAGTCCCATTTTTCGGTTCCTTGAAAAGAGCATAAACTGTAATTGTTTTCGTAAGCTACTAATCATCATTCTCTGCAAGTTCATGTCTTCTCTCATCATAAAATTGTCATTGATAAGATTTTTCATCATATTTTTATTGTTGTCTTGTTCGTTTCTAGTGGTAAAACTATCGTGTTTATTCATAAATGGGATTAGTTTCTCGTTAATCTCGTACTTCAAGCGATCTAATTCAAAGTTCAAGTAAATTAGTTTATCTTGATCCTCTATGTTGTCTTTAAATTTGTTGATCTCTTCAAGATTATCATTATAGCCGAGATTAGAGATTTTACCCTGAATTATTGAGTCAAGAATTTTGTGCAATTGTTTTTGCAAAAACCTATTCTCCAGCTCCAAAGAGGAAATGCGGTCACCCATATTTGAGTAAAAAGGCAAAAACTCATTCAATTGACAATTTCCATTTTGCAAGTGTATCTCTAATGCAGTTTCATTCGATCCTATCCACCTGCAACCAATTTCGTGAGCTGGACATTTGATTTTACCCATCTTTATACAATTTTCCTGATGTTTGGCAAAGTTCTTTTCAGGAATCGAGTCGTTACCACATAATTCACAAAGTTTGTAATTAAACAAACACGTTTTACTCAAATGCTCTTCCTGAGTTAATTTCGTAATCTCGTCATCGCAAAAGTGACATTTGAATATTCGATGTACACACTCCGAATCTTTGACATCCTTAAGAAACCTTCTCTCCACAAACAAGTCACATTTGCATTTCTCTTCTTCTCCTTCTTCTCCTTCTTCTCCTTCTTCTCCTTGTCCTTCTTCTTCTCCTTGTCCTTCTCCTTCTCCTCCTTCTCCTCCTCCTCCTCCTCCTTGTCCTTTTTCTCCATTTTTTTCTCCTCCTAGTCGAATCCCATTACAGCGCACTCCAGTATATAAGCAAGATTCCAAAACGTGATGTTCCACTTCCCACCGACTTCCAGTCCACTCACAGCCACGCTCATTATTCAAACAAGCGACCTTCAAATCGTCAATAAGATTTGTAATTATTAGTGGAGTAGGGAATAAGTCATTTATGTTAGCGGCGTCAATTGGAGTGCGATCAAGTGGACAAAACCCTAGATCGCCACTACTATTACCTCTTCCTCTTCCTCCTCCTCTGCCACTGCCACTGCCACTGTCACCATTACTATCATTTAGGGACTTCAAATACTCATGTATACAGTCTTTGCAAAAAGTATGGCCACATATTGTTGTGAGCGGATTTATAAAAGGTTGTTGACAAATAGGACAATTGAGATGATCAGTTGAAGTCAAGTATTTCAAATTTCGTAAATCTAATTTATCCTCCTTACTTGATAAGTTAAAAGAGGTTGGGTAATCTTTGATGTTTACCAAACTGTCATATCTAACCTTATATCCATTATCGGTCCCCATCATCTTCTCAAGTTTTATGTAAATAAGTCGGAAGCTAGTAGGTTACATCTATATCCTAACAAGAGCAAAAAATGATAAGACCTTTATTGCTTAGGTCGTCACGTGTTTATCGCGTGATATGAACCCCACTCACACAATTAATTTGATATTCATTAAAAACAAAACTATTACATATACTACTACATTAAACCAAACTATCATTAAACCAAACTATCATTAAACCAAATCATCATTATATTGTTAGTCGTAACTAAACCATCATTAAACCGTTAGTCGTAACTAAACCATCATTAAACCAAACCATCATTAAGCCGTTAGTCGTAACTAAACCAGCCATGTATCATTTACACTAGCCATGTATCATTTACACTACTCACCTAGCCTCCCCTCCTTCTTTTCTTTTTCCTTTTACTTTTGTTTACTTTCTGTAAATTGGTTTAATCTTGTAATTGCCAACAGTGCGTTCATGGTCTTTTATTTGATGATACTCGCAAAAGTCCTTATCGTCATAAAATTGGTAACAAAATGTACATTGATAAATAAATGCCATTTTTCTTTTATCTTATTGTTAAGAGGTGATGAATTAAAGAGTGTGTTGTGTCAAGAAAAGAGATTCTTTTAGAAAGAGAAGTTAAAGATGCGGAAAGTAGACATTATATATATATACGACAAGTTGTCATGGAGGCATACGAGTTTACGTCAATTTTTCACCCAATGATCCCTAGTGTCAACCCCCTCTCTCTTTCTCCCTTGAACATCCCCTCGTGGTCCCAAACATGTAAATTAAAAGACGCTTTATGTGAAAAATCCACCCTTTTTTTTTTGTTTTTTTTTTGGCACCACCCCACAATTACCTGTTTCAATCTCATCTCTTTCTCAAAACGCGCACTAGCCCAAATATTTTTAGGTACATTACTCAAAGTAAATCTCATTAGTTGCATAGACAACAAAGGGAAACAAACACTTTTAGGTCTAATTCGATATAATGATAAATGGTCCCTTCCCCTTTTCTTACCCTCTTTATTGACAAATTAGGATAAGTGGTTTCCTTATTTGATCTATTTGTCTACAATTTTATTCTTGACATTTGACAAATGAGTGAACAAAATTGGCTTCAATTTAAATCAAAAAAAAAGACACTATCGAGCAGAGCGAGATAGATAAAAAGCCTGTACTATACAACACTATCTCGCTCTGCCCAATTACTTGAAATTTAGTTTTCCTATCCCAAAAATATTACCTGAAATGTAGTTTTCCTATCCCAAAGTGATTACCTAAAATGTAGTTTTCCTATCCCAAAGTGATTACTCTTTACTCTTTTTTTTATGGACAAGCTTCACTATTGCACTAGTGTAAAATAAAATATTATCTATACCTTATTTTTTGTACCTTATCACCTTTACTTTATTACCTTTACTTTATTACCTTTACTTTATTACCTTTACTTTATCACCTTTACTTTATTACCTTTACCTTATTATATGTACCTTATTATCTGTACCTTATTAGAGGGAAAAATATTAGCGATAAAAAAAACAATAAAAAAAGGTCCTAACCAGATTCGAACTGATGTTGTTCGGATCAAAACCGAAAGTGATAACCGAGCTACACTATAGGACCTTTCCTGAAACCAACTACGCTATTGTAGTGATTTACATGCCCTCTTGTATTTGAACTAGTATCGGTCATGATAATACAGATCCTATAAGTTGCATCGTAAAAGAATAATAGTACTCTTTACAAAGCCATATAGAATAAGTCAATGACTCAACAATATATGGCCAACGACTCAACAATATATCGAGTCCCTAGAATAAGGCGATGGCGTGTGTGTCTGCAATTCTACTATCTGAACATAAGATCATGTCAATTATAATGCTAGTAATATGTATACAAAATAGAGTTTTCAAACTGTAATCCAATTAAATAACACGGGTTTGAAAGCTAGTAAACCTTATCTACTTTGATGTTTTATAATCATTAAAACGAATATATACATAAACACACACACATACACACACATACTTTGTAATTTGTAATTTGTAATTTGTAGTTTGTAGTTTGTGATTTGTTTGTGGTTTGTGGTTTGTAGTTGTATAAAGATATCAAGGTCCAAAATCAAGCTTGATCATTGTATCCATTGTGAAACAACATTCTAGTCAACCATCCACTATTCTTTTGTCTATCACCTTTAGGAACTCTGAATAACCAATAAAGGAAAATAGTGAAAACCATATTAAATGCAATGAACCCAATGAAAACTCCACAATCACGACCAAAGTTCTTTATTGAAATTCCCAAAGTTTGTAAATATTGGTTAGTTTCATTCATTCGACAATACTCGCAAATGCTCGTATCCTCAGGGTTTGTAAGGTATCCCCCAGCAATGGCGATATAAGCACCCATATAATCTTTACACTTTTGGACACCGGGATATTCAGGGGGGAAGTGCAAGTACTCATTTGGAGCACATTTGACATGGGAATTACCCACTCCAATGGATAACATTCCCGAAATCAAATAAGTAAACGGGTTGAAACGATACAAGAAAATCCAAAACTTGGGCATAAAGTCTTTTGTAGCAATAGCACCGCAAAATGTCATACATATTGTGATCAACAATGAAATACCATTAGCAGCATTATCGGCCAACTGGTTAAACGAAATACACAATTGGGCCAATGTCGAACTGTAAATGAACATTAGCGTCATGATGACCCACATCAATACCCCTCTTTGAGCTACGGCGTCCCCTGCGTTTCGATACATTCCCACTGGGTAATACCACGAGAAAAATGACAATGAAGCAGCAACAACCTGGTAAGGTATCTCAGCAGTGATTTGCGCCAAGATGAAAGCTAACCACGAAAACGTCTTTGCCGGCCTCTCTCTTGCTTCATACAAATCACGTTGGGTAACAAACATAGGAACATACTGCTGAGCTAAAGTAGTCATAACAACAAACAACATGAATATAGAAAGCATTTGATTTTGCAATCCTTGCATTGAATTCAGCGCCTTGAAAAACGTGAACCCATTGAATAACGAACAGAATACAGCCATTGCAAACTTAGAATAAATATAGGAGGGAGTACGCCAATATTGTTGGAACAATCGCTTTAAAACGTAAAAATATTGTTTCCATAATGGCGATGCATAAGACCTTTTGTCATCTGGATCACGAATCATTGTGTTTGCACCATGCTTAGCTTCTAACCTGTCCAATTCTCTTTGTACTGCTCTATACTCTTTAGAATTCTTCCAAACTTCAAAATAATCTTGATTTGCTTGAGAACCTGGCGCAGCTCCAATGACACGCAACATCCACTCTGCGGGATTGGCGTTTGGAGGACATTTGGGAGCACCATGAGATTCAAAATACTTGATTAATGTTTGGCATTTATAACCAAACTCTCCAAAATAAACAGTTTCTCCGCCTCTTCGAAGAAAGAGTAAACGATCAAATTCTTCAAGTAAAATGGCAGATGGTTGGTGAATGGTACATAATATAGCTTGGCCGTGGTTTGCCAATTTCCGAATCAATTTACAAATCGACCACGCAGTTTGTGAATCTAAGCCCGATGTAGGTTCATCTAAAAACACCAATAATTTGGGCTTTGCCACTAGTTCAACTGCAATGGTTAACCGTTTCCTTTGCTCCACATTTAATCCCTCACCGGAAACACCAACAACTGCATTTGCATACTGCTCCATTTCTAATAGTTCAATAATCGTTTCAACGTATGTATCTTTTTCCCTTCTAGGCACATCATTAGGTTGTCTCAAGTAAGCACTAAACCTCAAAGCTTCTCGAACCGTAGATGTCTCCAAATGTAAATCTTGTTGCTGAACATATCCAATCGATCTTTGAAACGAATTATCTAAAGCACCCCCATTCACCATTCTTGAACCAGAAGTAATGACACCAACAGTTAATCTCTCGCTCAATGCATTCAATAAAGTCGTCTTACCGGCACCAGAAGCACCCATTAACGCAGTGACTTCTCCCGGTTTGACCCAACCATCAATGCTATTCAATATAGTGCGATCTTTACCCTTGACATTTATCTTGTAAGATATATTTCTCCAATGAAAGACATTTGAAGTTTCTAAAATCTTATCACTCATTGACCCATCCGAATAATCAGAACATTCAGTAGATCCACTATATCCGTGCAGTTTCTCGTCATCGTAAAAGCTAGAACCTCTTCCACCACCAGAACAAGCTTCTTCATCTTCACTTTCCTTTCTCATTCTTCTAATATCTTTCCTTCTAAACACCAATATTTCCCCCTTGGACATTTGACTGTGGTTATACTCAACAAATACAACAGTTGTTAAGAATAGAAATATAACAAATGCCAATAATATACCAAAGTTCCTCCATGCGTGTCCCCAATCATAGCTGAACGCCGTTTTAATGTATGAATCTCCATCAACAAAAGTCGTACCAGGCTTGGAAGCCAATGAAGCACAAACCACGGAATCACCACTCGATGGATATCCAAACCCTGAAGGAACAAATGTGGCACAGTCAAAATTGCGATTATGGAACTCATTGACAATCAAAGCCTCATATGCATACGACAAGGGGTTAAGCCAATGGATCCATTTGCACCAACCAAGCATATAAGTTATTGGAATAGCAAAACCGGTAAATGTAGTCATTGCAAATAGTAACAATGACGACGGAGTCATCGCCCGAGCCAAGGTTTCAGTATATGCACCAATTGTTCTGAATAAATGAGACATCATCAACGTCGAAAGAAAGTTGATCAATAAATAGAAAAAGAAAGCTCCAGGCTCTCTTTTGAAATTGACCATAAAGTATAAGACCAAGTTGAAACAAACACTAGAGACAACTTTCAAAGGTAGGTCTGCAATAATTGATCCTATGGCATCTGCCATTGGTGGGTAAAGTGCATATTCACGATGTTTTTGAACAACAGGTCTGCTTTCATAAATTTGGTAAATCTCCAAAACCGATGAATAAGCATTGAACAATAGAGCATAGTACATGACTGCACCCCGATAATAAAAGGAATTCGTGTTGGGCTGTAAATTGTAAAAGACCGAGGCCAAGATCAAACTCATCACAACGTTACCAACAATGGTTAAAAGGGGGAATAGCGGATCACCCTTCATTCTGTTGAAATTCCGTTGAGTGACATAACGTACTTGCATAGGTAATGATACCGTGTATGGAGACTTGATATGAGTATGCTTGGCCTTCTTAGCATACATTGCTTCAAAGATTTCCTGTTTTTGGTCATAATTTTCAAAATTATCCAAATATTCATCAATTTCCTCCAACAAAGCTTGTCTTTCTGATGATCTTCTCCAATACCTATAAAACTCCTTTGGTGTTCGAGGTACTATTTTCTCAAATCCTGGCCTAACTATCCTTTCAGCAGGGTTTGTTATTGAAGTAAGAAAATCCGGGGTAGTTTGTCTTTCTTGGTATACAAATCCCATCTTTTGGAAATATGATGAAGCTCGACGGCTTGAACCAAAGAATATTTGGTATCCCTCATACATCACAATAACCTTATCAAACAAATCGTAAGCATCTTGAGAACACTGGTAAATAGCAATCAATGGTGTGTCATTCAAAATAGACGCCGAAGTTTTTAACGAGCTAATAAACTCCAACGCAGTAGCGGCATCTAAACCACGGGTTGAGTTATCCCAGCATTGAATTGATGCCTGCACCAAAGAAACTTCAGCAATTGATACCCTTTTACGCTCACCTCCCGATACTCCTCGAACGTAATCATTACCAACTTTGGTATCTTTTGTATGAGATAAGCCATAAGTGGCCATAACAACATCAACAATGTGTTTTGCGTACTGTTCACGAGACACACCAAGCGGTCTGTTTCTTGGTGTTTTCATTAATGCTGTAAATAGTAAAGTTTGTCCAACAGTCAAGTTTGGGAAAAGGGTTTCCGTTTCAGCACAGTAAACAACTTCGCCTCTTAGGTTTTGCTTAATTTCCTCGGGCGTTATACCATCGTAGGATATGATTGAGCCGTCAGCAACTTTGAACCCTTCTGTATGACAAGCAATTGTTTTCAAAAAAGTAGAGCATCCCGCGCCAGGCCTTCCAAGTACAACTGTAACTTCGCCTGGCTTTATCAACCCTTCCATGGGTTTCAAAATATCAAAAGTATAGTCATTTTGTTCCTTTTTAAACTTGTTTAGTAATTTCGCACCATACTTCAAAAACCCATTGGATACAGTAGTTTGGTAAGTTGACTCAATGGCGTCTCCATAGACTCGAAGATTCTTATATGCTACACCCAATTTACCTGGTTTATAATATTCCGAATCGCTTTGATATAGTCTCCACATATTTTGCACCCATCTTTTTGAGTTGAACAAAGGCGATTCTGGGTCAAGCGTGGGATCTGTCTTGTCAATGACTGGATTGACACCATATGTTGGTGATGTTGGTGATGTTGGTGATGTTGGCGATGATCCTGTGATTCTTGTTGGTGTTGCGGGGGTAGCACCATTACCAGCAGCAGGTGTCGCTGTCGTTCGATCTAAACGGGACACATTATTCTGTCTCATAAAGGACTCATCAAAATAAGATGGGGCACCTTGTGTTAGAGTTCTTGCCAAGTAATGAATCTGAGCTGAAGCACTCTTGTTGAAACCAGAGTAGTAACCATAATAAGGTTGTCCTCCATGTTTTCGTTCATTATAATAGCCATGGTACGGTTGCCCTTCTGTTTGCTTGTGTTGTCCTGTCATGATAGATGGTCAACTTTTTTTATATCTGTATAAGGAAGTGGGAAGGAGAAGAGAGAGATTCTGTTTGAGATCTCTCGAAATCTGGGTATAAGAAATAAGTAACGAAAAAGAAATGAAAATCTGAAAATCTGAAAATCTGAAAAAAAAACAAAAAACCAACTGGTACTTAGTCAATTAGCCACCTAATGTTGATATGCCAGTTTAGTAGCTACTTAACCTGGAACTGTATTATCTCTCTATTTGCAAATAACGAAAGGAATGGATTTGTTTCCCTATCTTTCTTCTATCTTTTTTTATTTATTTTGACTCTATTTTTTTGGATAAGGAAAGAATGGAAAAAAAAAAAAGAGAAGCTATTGAAGGAAGTTTGGTAAAAGAAGGAATTAGATAGTTTTTAAAACACTTTTTTTAATTTTTGAAAGAGATGTCTAAAAGAAACTTACTAATAGGGAGATATATACTACAATAAGCCAGGTACCAGAAAGTTTAACTGACAGTACCTAAATAATATTATGTCAAACAAAATCATTATTTTTAGTGATGTCTTAACTCTGTTAAGAGACGATTTTATAATTTTCCTTATACCTCATTTTGGTTATTGCAAAAAAGAAAAAAAAATAAATAAATTAAATTGGGTTATTCTAAAATTATTACGCATTTGTGCATAAATTGGCCGGCCAACATATATTCCCTAGAAAAAAGGTATAAAATTAAAAATATTATGACATAATGCGCACGACTTTGGATGGGGCTGGTATGATGGAGGGGCAGTGGGGCGGTGAGGCGCGGGGACGCGGGGACGCGGGGGTGGAGAATACGTCGATCCTGATACGTCAAACGTATGGCAAAATTGACGACGTCAAATAGTAAATAATAATATAACTATTAGCAACTACAACAAACATAAAAAAGGGGACACAACCCTAGAAAGCAGGTTATGAATATTTAATCATGCCAATGTAAGTTTCTCGGGCTAAGAGAAACTTCAACAACCTACCGGGATTGGCGGAGGGAAGAGTGGGGAGGATGAGGATGAGGATGAGGAAAGGAAGGGTTAGAGAAAAAGAAATGGTGAAAAAAGAAAAAAACGTTTGAAACTTCTTACGAGGGAGAGAATGAAAAGGAGAAGAATATATGGGTTTTTCACCTAATAATAGGAATAAGGAGGAGGTTTTGTAGATGGGAAAAAAAAAAAAAAAAAAAAGCTTTTCATTCTTGTTGGTTCCTTGAAAACAAAAAAAAAAAATATCATGGACAATTGATTATCTCTTGGAAGAGTTTCATCTTTGGGACAAGTCACCTCATTGAAAGAGTTGACTTCTTTTTCAACAAGTTGATCATCTCTTTTAACAAGCAGATGACTATTTTTTTTTTTTCAAAAAAAAATCCCCACCTGATTCTCCACTTCTGAGAGCTCTCTCTCTCTCTTTACTTTTACAGTAAACGAAATTTCATGTTTAAAAGAAGGGCACTCTGTTGTATGGCATTTTTCTTTTTCCTTATTTTTTCTTCTTTGCGATTTCAGTCTGATGATACTTTCCTGTTGTGGTAGTTATTATTGAAGTAATTACTATTGTTTGGAGTTTGTACTTATTAGAAGATATGCACAAATCACACTCCGTAAAAAACAAAGTGGGGCAACACAAACCTTTTTTGACTTTGACCTTAAATCTAAAGCAAATAGTGTAAAATTAAACTTCCTGATTTGGCAAAGAAAATAAATAGGAAAAAGAAACAAAGAAGAAAGAAAAAAAATAAAAAAAAAAACCCCCCTGTTAATCGGAAAATAATTACTTGCTACCATATGTAAGACTCTTGCTACCAACACAATCGCTCATTGCTACCACGATCGATTGCTAGCTGCTTTACCATTGCTTTTAAATTATTATTATTACTTCTACAAGTCAAAGTTTTTTATGTGTTTCTGCAAGATCCTGTTTGATTAAGTGAGTATTGATCTTACGATAGATAACATTGATTAAACTACCTTTAAGTTACGTGTAGATTATATAGTTACCGCATTCATTATCTTTTAACTATAAACTTTGAATTTTTGATTGTTTTCGAATACGAAAACAGTCCTGATGACTAGATCTATCAACAAAAGTGTACCTGAATGTTTCATAGGTAGTTTAAAGCTTATTTTTTTACACACTCTTTTTTAAGTGTAAAAAATAAATGAAAACTTTATATAAGGCAAGGTTAGTCTTTGATGTCATATCAAAAAACCTTGTTTCAATACTTTATTTAAAAAGAAAAGAGTGTTTGGTATCTTAAAACAAGAAACCTTATAAAGGTTAAAGCCGTTATAGTAAGAAACAATAAGATAAGAAAAAAAAATATGCGCAAACCCGGAATCGAACCGGGGGCCCAACGATGGCAACGTTGGATTTTACCACTAAACCATTTGCGCTTCTGATATGACTTTTGTTTGTCAATAAAGTTACTAGTCTACTTGTTCAATGGTATTGATCTACCAGTTAGCGATTGCTAATGCTTTACACTTGGTTGATATTACTGCTTTACAATTGGTTGATATTAATAATTTAAGAAAAGAAAAGTCAAGAAAACTTATAAAAGAATAGCAATAACATAATAGCAATAACCAGCATCAGGCATTCCGCATGATACGTTTATTTCTCAGCTAGCAGAATACACAGATTACTTTGTAGACAAGGCAATAAGAGTTGAGCATACTGTTAAAAATACTAACATACACCTTTTCGGTAAAGAGTAGAGAAACCTATACTTTACAATACTTTGTATTACAATTATACACCTTATTTATATCAAGATACTACCGAGAGAAGCAACACTTGGTAGCAACACCATATTATTAGTAGGCAATTGGTGATCAAGCTGATTAACATCGACACTATCGAGCGACACTAGCTGTCACTGACACTATTGAGCAGAGCGAGATAGTCTATATCTCTAGTCTGTGCTCTCTACTCTAGACTCGCTTTGCTCGTCTAGTCTCTTCTCCAGACTTGTCTCTCTTCTCTTTTCAACTAGACTCGCTTTGCTCGTCTAGTTTAAGTATTGTTATATTGCTACAACAGTGTAGCTTTGGTGTTTAACAACCTCGGTTCATCACATGGACCCAAACAATTTAAAAAGTTTGTTTACACCGTTGATGATTTTTACCTCTATAACATTGTCCAAATGCTACTTTCAAGAGTGAGATGGCGAGGGCACCTAAACTTGGCTTACTCGAGTATGATAGTAGAGTATGAGACTATGAGAGTATGACGCACCTCAGCAGCTACTCCATCTCGCTTCGCTCAATAACCTCAGCAGCTACTCCATCTCGCTTTGCTCGATAGTGTCAACCAGCCTATAAGTGGTAGCGTTCGATGAGCTATATGAAAAATTTAGAGAAGGAAGGAGGGGTATTAAGCTAGATAGCAAATTCAAACCAGATACTTTCAACAAAGATGTCAAAACGTTCTGTTCAAAGAGTAGTTAACGCTAGTACGTTTCTGAATATAGGGTCTTTTTTTTGCAAAGATCTTTTAAGAAATACTAACAAACCAAAGTCCAAAAATTCTACCCAATTGCATTAGCTGATAAAACATGGGATAATACTGGTTTATTGGTAGACTCTAGCTATGAAGACCAATTGCAGGAGTGCTCTCCCATTAAGGTGCTTTTAACAATTGACTTGACACAATCTGTTGCAGAGGAAGCTGTAAAAAATAATGTCAAGTTTATAATGGCGTATCATCCATTTATATTCCGCGGTTTAAAATCAATTACTCAGCAAGATCCTCAACAGAGATCTTTGATTAAGTTGATCAAGAATCAAATCAGTGTTTACTCGCCTCACACAGCTGTAGATAGCGCGAATGGCGGAGTCAATGATTTTTTAGTCGATGTCATTACCAAAAACTTGGCTATTGAATCTAGCAAGCCAATTGAGAAGGATCTAAACTTTCCAGAAAGCGGTATGGGGAGATTTGTTACATTGAAAACACCCTCCAAATTGAAGACGCTAGTAGGAAATGTGAAATCAGGATTGAATCTTCAACATGTACAAGTTGCCGAGTCAACAAAGGAGATCAAGACAATAGCAATATGCGCAGGTTCAGGAGGCAGTGTTTTTAAAAACTTTGAAGCTGACTTGTACTTTACTGGAGAATTATCTCATCATGAAGCTTTATATTTCAAAGAGTCTGGATCAAGTGTCATTTGCTGTAACCATTCAAACACCGAACGTGCATTTTTGGAAATTATCAAAATGCAACTACAAGAGGAGCTAAACTCCGAAATGGGCGATCAAGTGATTATAAGTGAAACAGATAGAGACCCTTTCGAAACATGGTAAACAAGAACCAAGAAAGAAGGAAGAGGGAAGAAGGAAGATGGAAGAGGGAAGAAGGAAGATGGAAGAGGGAAGAGGGAAGAAGGAAGAAGGAAGAAGGAAGAGGGAAGAAGGAAGAAGGAAGAGGGAAGAGAGAAGAAGCAAGAGAGAAGAAGCAAGAGAGAAGAAGCAAGAGAGAAGAAGCAAGAAGCAAGAAGCAAGAAGCAAGAAGCAAGAAGCAAGAAGCAAGAAGCAAGAGTTGCACCAATGTAACTCCCATCGACTTTGTAGCAATTGGTAGCACTTATTCTATTTCTTTTCAATTTTTCACTAAACTTTTGCTTTGCAATGAAGCAATGACCTTCTTCTTTGATACCATTGCCCTGAACAGCGACTCTTGATCTGTTCAACTAAGCCTGTATCACTATATTTTGTTAGGGCACTCCTGATCTATGACATTTGAGTCTTAAGAAAGAGAGGATGGTTGATGCACAGCCAAAAGACGTGGTTTTACCATGTTGCTCTACTGGTACATCTGGGAAACCACCATCGCCAATTAAGATCCATGTTTCCAAAGGTTCCGAAGTGCCAACCCATAATTTGAAATCGACGATTGTTGCGTGTACGGGCACGCCTTATATCTTCTTGTACGGTGGGTTTGACGAGAATGATGCATTGGATAGTAAAGTATACCTTTTGAATACAGATAGTATGGAATGGGAAGTTGATGATAAAGTGGACGGGCTATACCGAGAGGGACATCTGGCAGCGTTCATCAATAACGGAAACATCTTGATATTCGGAGGATTGCCATTTGATGACGAAATATCCAATGACACCAGAAATAATAGGAATTATAAGGAGTTTCGAAAAGACAGTTTAATGATGATTTATAATATTTTTGATAGAAAATGGATAGGTCCACCGGAATTTGCTTTGGAAAATGCACCAAGCTCTCGCTCAAGACACGCTTGTTGCTTGACCCCAGATAGATTGAAATTGTATATCAGTGGCGGGTTGGTGAAATCGTCACCTTTAAGTGATTTATATTGTTATGACCTCACAATGGGCACTTGGTCCGGCCCATTCAAGTTTGTTCCTCGATTCGATCATAAGATGATATATTACAATGACCGCATCTTTCTCTTTGGTGGTTTGGATGGAGACATGAACCATGTGAAAACTATTACTTATTATTCCTTGAAAAATAAAACCTTTGGAGAAGTATCGATTTCAAATTGTATAACTAGCAATTTGTCCTCCTTGTATTATGATTTACACATTTTGGAAAGTCAAATAGATCCAAGCTCGAGTATTTTTTTAAACTTACCAACTTGGAATTCAGATGGAGGCATTGATATTTCCAGAGTTAGTTTGTTGAATTTCGAGGTGGAGGTTCTATTTGAGCAGTTAAAAGTGTCGAAATTTTTAAGCCAGGAGGGGGAGGGAGAGGGGGAGGGAGAGGGAGAAAGAGGGGGGGAGAAGGAAAAGGAAAAGGAAAAGGGAAAAGCTTGTCATTATACGTGGATATGCGCTGTTACCAACGATAAAGGTAAGCTATACCTTTTGGGGAATAAAAAGAAACAGTTTACTCACTTGTTTGGTTCATTGATATCGGGGGAACAAGTAGGAGGTAACGACACCATTGTGGAAGAAGAACCTACCGAGGAAGAAGAAGAAACATTTGAGCAGACAATCAGATTGAGTTATGTGTTGGAAATGGATTTGGAAGCTTTGGGAATTCACGAGGTAAAGCAAGATCTGTTATCGGCAGATTTTATAAATTTATTCAACACAGGCCAATTTTCAGATTTCCAAATTGAAGCATTAGCAACTGAACAAGATCGACAACATTATGAAAATCAAACCACTTATGAGACAAAGATTATACCTGTACACAAGTCAATTTTAATTGCTCGATGGCCTCATTTTTGCCGTATGATTTCTTCTGGTATGAATGAAACCATAAATGATAAAGTATTGATACCTGATCCATATCCAGGCGTGAGAGCTATGTTGTATTACTTGTACCTGGGAGAACTTGAAGACAATGAACATTTGCTGATTCTTGATTATTCAGGGCTACTAATCTTGGCCAATTTATACGAACTACCCAAGCTCAAGAGTCTAGTATTGCAAAAGCTATATACACTATTCAATCAGTTCAAATTATCAAACGATATAAGTGAACATCTGATTTCGACCTTGTTACAACTTTGGAAAGATTTAAACTTGGCCAATGAATCGATTCTCCTTGCAAAAGTGATTGGTTGCATAAAAGAGAAATGGAGCGTTATCACTAGATCAAAGGCATTTGTTCATCAATTATCCAAGGAGGATATTGTTAAATTATGTCAGGATTCAACTGATGATTATCTGATTTGTCAAGGTGCCGGATCCGCATACCGCAATCTTTTCCTATCTCAATCATCCTCACTATTTGCTAATACTGAAGCTAAGATGAGTTCCAGTCGAAACTCATTGAATTCGTTGGACCTTACAGCTACTCCCGATACACCTGCTCGGAACACAAATTCCCCATTTATGGTTGATTCTCCAGCACATCACTCTTTACAGTTACAAGCACCAACATTCCCTGAGGAATTAGATTAAGAGAGAGAGAGAGAGAGAGAGAGAGAGAGAGAGAGAGAGAGAGAGAGAGAGAGAAAACAGGTTTGTATAAATCAGACACTTCAATTATTAAAATTATCTTCTATAAAATGATGTATTGCGTCTCCAATTGAATCAACACTATCCTCTATTTCTTCAATTATATCTCCAATGAAGCCACCAAATCCTTCATGAAGTGTTGTTGTTGCAGTAGCGGTGGTGGTGGTGATGACCGTATGAGTATCAGATGTAACGGTGACTTCAAAATCACTTGGCTTGGGTATTGATTGCAGTTCAAACAGAGTTAGTGATGACTCTTTTGATTTTATTGATTCACTAGGATTAGGGTTTTTTGAAACGTCTTCTGGTTTGCCTTTATTTCCCTTTCTCCAAAGCTGATCGTACGTTGCATTGTTGCGAACAATATGTTCTACTTCAAATGGCAAATCAGGGAAACTCAACTCATCGCTCCAATCGCTGGGCAATTCTTTACTGGCGATAATGTTTATGTTCATAGTACCGTTATTTGGAGAAGAAACCAAATTTAAAGTATCACAAATGATGTTATACACTTCAGTGTTGGCAAAAGGTTGGACCTTTTTAGAATGAAATTTTTCTTTAAAGTAAGGCCCATCGGCTAAAAATATGGCTCGCATCAACAAATGCGAGTTATCATACCCATGTACTCCTTTTGGCTTGTATTCGTATCCATCATCTTTCATTTTTTGATGTGTAGTTATAGCATAGCCCACATTAGGAAACAACCAAATTGGTGCCAACCTATAGTTATATCGATGGTCTTCCAAACTGCCACCAAATTGTAGTCTTTTTGGGATGTCTTCCACCTTGTATAACTGATAATTTTTTGTCACTTCTGGGTCAAGTTTACTAAAGTTTTGGACTAATTCGTTATAAGTTTCTTCCAGGTTTCCCTTTGGTCTTAAACCAAATAATGGCCATCCATCAATATGTTCGATCTTAGCCAAATCTATTAAATCATCAAGGTACAATACTCTATCTTTAGATGTAGGTGCCATCCCATGATCACTCACAATTATCAAGTTGACAATATCATCTAGATTTCTATTATGTAACTCTCCTTTTACCAAGTCGACAAAATTATCAACATATGTCAAGCTTTGAGTTAAATTGTCTCCTGATATACCGTATAAGTGACCATACTGGTCGACTGTAGGAACATAAGTCAAAATTAATTCTGGTCTATCTTCAATTTCACGATCGAGCCATTCCATGAGTCTATCAACTTTAGCAGATAAAAGTTCACCTTCAACAAATTTATCATAATCTTTGTCAGGTCCAATATGCGGTACTTCTGAACCAGGCCACATGTGCACTGCCGATTTCAAGCCTTGTAGCTTTGCAGTTTTCCATATTGGTTCACCGCCCCTCCAGAAATCAGGATCCAAGCCTCCCTTTTTTGGATCTGTATTGATAAATTGTTTTTTCAACTTTGGATCCCAAAAGGTGTTTCCAACAATTCCGTGTTCTGATGGATATAGCCCCGTGACCAAGGTCCAATGATTAGGGAACGTCAGAGAGGGGAAACTTGGCGTCATATATGGAGCCCCATAATCATTGATCATCATATTGTGTAATGTCGGCGTATCTTGGGGGTTTATATAGTGAGGATGGAAACCGTCCAACGATATCAAAATGGTTGTCGGGTAGAAATCATGAGTTGAGTTTGAAAAAGTTTTCTTTTGATAATTGCTCAGTTGTGCCTTCCCCCCGATAGCAAGGTTCAGCTTTGTTAGATATAGGACTAATATCACAATTGCAATTAAAAGTATCGTGACACCACCGATAATTGTTCTATTCTTTACTTGATTCTCCAAGAGCCTCAATCTGCGATCTCTCAAGTCTATAGGTGGTGGCTGATCCTCCTCATATTGGTGTTCGTAGTCATCATCCTCCTCGTCGTCGTTGTCATAATCACGATCAGGTGTTTCAACACTCGACTCTGAACGCTGTATCATCTCATAGTCATTACCCCTACCCCTACTATGATTATTAGTAAATAGCCGTTTGAACTTGGTTATAAAGCCGCCACCTTCATTCAAGTTATTCGAATAACTATTCTCATAATCGAGTCCCGTTAAGAAATTATCATGATCTAGTTCAAAGCTATTGTGTTTTCGATGATGTTCATGAAAGATAATGTCATCTTCGGGATCGTCCATGTCAGTTACTGGAATATCCGCCGCATGCGGTGTACTGTAGTTTATAGACATCTTTTGTTTTAAAGCTATTGAGTTGTAGAGAAGCTGTTGAAGGGAAGGTGGTGGTGGTGGATTTGATATTCGGTCAAGTTTGAAAGTAACAAAGTTGCCCATTTCCGAGGGTAAATTGTGAGCCACGTGACCGGTTTTTATACATTATCTTTTAAGGGGTAAGCAGATGTAGGATGGAAGAGAATTGGATATATAGAGATATAGAGGTGACAGGTGTAGACTGATAGATATGGAAGGTAATTGAGCAGTTTGCTTTTTAACTAGATTTTGAACATTATCACTATCGACACTATCGAGCAGAGCGAGATAGTGGAGCACACTAGCTGCCACGACACTATCGACACTATCGAGCAGAGCGAGATAGTGGAGCAACACCGACTAGTTTACACTCTATAATTTATTTTGAGTTGAACAAGAATTGAGTTTTGGTTCTTTGGAGTTAGTTTCTATAGCGACGATTAGTGATCTCTTTGCTGGCTCTTGCATTAAATCCCTGTGCTATCAAGAACTCGTGTGTACATGTATTCGAAGCCATCTTTTAAGGCCATCTCTTGAGGCCATTTTTTAAGACCATCAGACCATTTCCATTGAGCATACAACTATCAAAGCTTCTAATTCAACAACTTCTAACATTATCAGAGTAATTTTCAGTGATTTCCTGTCAAATATGGTGCTACCTTTGAATGGCTGCAAAATATTCAAATCTAATCAATTACACAAAAGGAAAACACTCTCTATAAGTTAACAAAGCGACGCTATCGAGCGACGCTATCGAGCAACACTATCGAGCAACACTATCGAGCAACACTATCGAGCAAAGCGAAATAGTGTTGTAACAAGCTACAAAGCAATGCTCCACCATCTCTTGAGAAGCAAGCTACAAAGCGTTGCTCCACTGTCTCGTTCTGCCCGATAGTGTCACTAGTCAGTGCTGTTCCACTATCGAGCAGCACTATCTTGCTTTGCTCGATAGTGTTGTAACAAGCTACAAAGCGTTGCACCACTGTCTTGCTTTGCCGATAGTGTCACTAGTCAGTGCTGCTCCAGTATCTCGCTTTGCTCGATAGTGTCTGTTCGAAAGTGTCTGTTCGAAAGTGTCTGTTCGAAAGTGTCTGTTCGAAAGTGTCTGCTCGACAGTGTCTGTTCAACAGTGTCTGTTCGATAGTGTCTGTTCAATAATGTCTGTTCAATAATGTCTGTTCAATAGTGTCAATAGTCAGTGTTGCTCCACTATCTCGCTCTGCTCGATAATGTCGGTTGATAGTGTCGGATTCTTAGGATAACTAAGAATTGTTATAGGTAACAAGATAAACAGAATGAGCTTAATTCCATCCCTGGAGCTTAGAATACCAGGATAAGAGTATATAAAGAGGTTGACATACCCTGGAAAGTGAACTTGAATATAAAAAACAAACCTTTCGTCTATCAACTTCCATAGAAAACACACCTCTCATTGATTCACCTTTTATTGAATCACCTTGCATCTCAACTATTAATCCCTTACCAATAGGCTTTTGGTTGAATCATTTTCGTGTTGACTTTCAGCAGAGCCCAATTTTTTTGAAAAATTGGCAACTTGTCCGAGTGGTTAAGGAGAAAGACTTGAATTGTTTTATCCATTCAAAGTTATCTTTTGGGCTCTGCCCGCGTAGGTTCGAGTCCTGCAGTTGTCGTTATGTATAATTATTTTTTTTGCACCTTTTTTTGAATAAAATTAATTTTTCACTTTAATAAGAAGGTCTAGACCCAAGCATCATCTTTGGTTTCTTCCTCCTCCTCCTCCTCCCCCCGCAACCAAAACAAGGGTTCTTTTGTTGTCAATGGTTGAGATTATCAAATACCAAGGATTTGATCATATCTGGCAATACTCAGGGCCATGGCTTTACTATTTGTTGGCTATATATGTCAGTTTGCCAGTACTAGCTTATAAGGTTCTTCCCTATTTATTTTTAAAGAAAAGACTGCACCATAATAGAAGAAAAAGTGTTTTAATATTTGTTTTGGGCGACTTGGGCCACTCTCCAAGGATGTGTTACCATGCTTTATCATTCAGTCAACTCGAGTACAATGTCAATCTTTGTGGCTATGTAGAGACGCGACCTTTGGACAAAATTGTCGATGATATCAATATTGAAATAACACCAATTGAAGTTGTCAAAAACTCCGAGAATTTACCCTTTGTCTTGTTTGCTGCAAAGAAGATTATCTTGCAAGTGAGTCAAGTTGCTCGTATCTTGTACAAGTATCGAGACGATACAGATTTCGTAATGATTCAAAACCCACCAAGTATACCGATACTCTTGGTTGTTATATTTTTCAAAATATTGGCAGATAGACAATTGAAGATAATTATTGACTGGCACAATTTGAACTATACAATATTGAACATGAGATTCCAAAACTTTAATAATTGGCTTGTTAGGTGGGCACGTGCATATGAGAAGTTTTTAGCAAGATTTGCAAGTTTAAACATTACTGTAACAAAGAAAATGAAGAGTTTCTTAGTCGAGGAGTTCCAATTGGATAAGGGTAAAGTGACTACACTTTATGATAAACCGGGTCCCCAGTTTCAGCCTGTCAATGACAAGAAAATCTTGTATAGCCATGAACTAGTCCAAGGCATAGACAATATCGAGCACTACAAAGTATTGGTTAGTGCTACGTCATTTACTCCAGACGAGGATTTTTCAATTTTGTTAAATGCATTGAAACTATATGAAAAGGAAACAAAATCCCCTCCAGTGTTATTGATTGTTACTGGGAAAGGTCCTTTGAAAACAGATTTTTTGCAAATGGTGGAAAATCTCAAATTTTCCCCATCAAAAGTAGTCGTTAGAACCGCGTGGTTGACTTCAGAGGAATACCCTAAAATACTAGCCAGTGCAGATTTGGGCATTTCATTACACACATCCTCCAGTGGAATTGATTTACCAATGAAAATTGTGGACTTCTTCGGTTGTGGCATACCAGTCGTTTCCTTGAACTTCCCGGCAATTGATGAATTAGTGAAGGATGGAGAAAATGGGCTCGTTGCAGAAAATTCAACATCTGATGAAGTTTGCTCTTTGTTAACCCAAGCTTTCACCGATGACAAACTTTTGAAACACTTGAAGATGGGGGCAATTGACGAGAGTAAGTCAAGATGGAATGAGAACTGGATTCGAGTTCTACAACCGAAATTTGAAAATAGTTAACTTTGTTCTCTATTGTTACCTTTTCATTTAATGCAAGTAGTAGCTTTAGAGGATGTACTGGCCTTCATTCGTCACCATTTTCTTTCTGAGATCGAGAGCAAGTAATCTCTCAATTGGTTCAAATAAGCTTGATCATTTTCATCTTTCATTTTCCCCTGAAAACTGTTCTCTTCAGTCCAAAATCTAAACCCGTCCTTTTCGTAATTATCCAATTGTTGGTGTTCGGGGATTTCGTCCCATAACTCAGGATCAAGTCCATGTCCATGTCCAATCAATTTCCCAGTTAAGAACGCCCAACACTTTGCCGTTTCAGTGAAGTTGTATCCGCCACCACCCAAAATGATCACAGGAACCTTGACCTTGCTCAAGATCCTACACAAGGCGCTTGTGTACCCCTTTATAGTCATGTTCCATTCCTTATGAGGATCTGTATTAAGCCCATCGCAACCAGCTTGTACTACCAAAAACTGAGGTTGACGTTTTGCGATTAATGGCAAAACGATATTTTCAATTATCCAACCCATCGACTTATCATTCAACCCTCGTTTTGTTGGTATATTATACATCCCATCCGTGGAAGCAGCCAAGCCCCCACTACCAGGAAAGAATCCTATATCGTATCTGTGTATCGAGCAAGTAACCACTTTTCTTGAAAACCGGAACGCTTCCGCAACACCGTCTCCATCGTGCAAGTCTAAATCAAGATAGAAAATCGTACCAGAAGTCAATTTCCTAAGAGCACTTATTCCCAATACAATGTCGTTAATGTAGCAAAAACCAGAACATCTCGCGCGATGACAATGGTGCCTTCCACCATACCAATTCAAACCAATAATACGCTCCTCTTCACCTTCTTCACCTTCTTCACCTTCACCTTCACCACCACCACCACCACCTTCTTCTTCTTCTTCTTTCTCTTTCTTCTCTTCCCATAACTTGAAAATGGCATTTACAAGACAAACAGTCGATGCAGCTGTTAACCTAATATAGTAACGCATAAATGGGAAAACATAACAATCATGAGCTAACCCAAACTGGTTGTCCTTTTCCTTGACTTGCTCTTCATTGAGCGTTATTTCTGCTTCTGTTTCAGATACCTCTTCGTGAAACACTCGTCTTATACTCTCTCTGATACTCTCATAGTTTTCAATTTGTTGGTCAATCTCAACCCGCAGTGTTAATAAATGGTGGACGAATTCAGAATCATGATATTGCGATAATTGCTTGCAAGAAACTGGTGATAATATCGGAACTATTTGACAATAATCGTGTAGGTCATACGCCTTGATTAGGCCATTGACTAGCGATTGTCGACCTCTATTGGATGGAACATTATCAGCTAAGATGGTTAGCAAACTAAGGTCGGTTATCAAAACTCGATTCATTGACAAAAACACATAACAACTATAAAAAGAAAAAGAGCTTCAAAAAGAGTCCACCAAATCTCGGGTAAATAACTTAAGAACAAGTTTTAAACTACAAATCAAGCTTTAAATTCTTCGTTTCACAATATGTCAACAAAAGCGGATATATTTCCATTTTCAATAGCCTGTTCCAGTCTTCATTAGCGTGTGTTTCGAGCTGTTTTTGCTGTAGACTAAACTCATTGCAATTGAGTATCGTTTCATGGTAGTTCAACCGCATCTTGATTTCTTTCAACAACAAAACTGCTCCGCCAATTTGGCCACGCTCTAGCATTGCGCTGATAAACGTGCCAAAATATATAACATCCTCTTCATGGGGACCACCCTGTTTCAAAGATGAGTCAACCCACTCAACAACCTTCTGCTGCAATTGTCGCAGAGTCACTTTTTCATTCAAAAACAATGGCAATTCATTGTAGCGAGGCTGTTTGTTTAACCACTCAGAAGTGATCACTTCAACGTTGACTCTGGCCTCTTCGATTCTTCTATTGATTTTCTCACGCAATGGAACCAAATCAAATTCTTTTATCTTCTTCTTGTATTCCATATCCTTAAGAACACCTTGCTTGATCTGGGTAGGTAATTCATTAACAATCATAGTATCATAAGACTGAGAATTTTCATCGTAAGCCACATTATTATTGTGTCTCTTCACTACAGGTGGGAAGGTTGTTTCCGACTTTTTGCGCTTCAATGGAGATTTTATGGGTGATTCAATTATCCTGACATACTTTGGTTTGCTTCCTGCTTGCGAGGGAATCAACTGCTGTAAATAGGACCTGCCCTTTACAGTGCTTCTACATTCCGGTAATAAACCTCGTGTTTTTAATTCAGTCTCTAATTCTCTCTGCATGTCAATGGGTAAAGATTCGAAAACCTGCCAATCAATGTTCTCGGCATTATTGAGTGGATCAGAAAAGGTGGTACTTTTAGGGCGATTTTTTCTTCTAGCAAGTGCCTCTTTGCTGAAAATCAAACGTTCTCCATATCTCGGTTTTGTTCTAGATGATAAAGGTGGAGGCGGGGTTTTCATAGTAGATTCGTTTTGCAAACGTTGATGTTCTAATGGAATGCTATCAGATAAAGAAGCCTTTTTTATCTTTTCGGACTTGCCAAATTGAAGCCTCGTCTGCTTAAATGATTTCACTGTTTCGGCATCTTTCAATTTTGACATACTAACAGAAATGCCTCTCAAGTCTCTCACTGGGATATTGATCATTCGGTACAAGACTTTGATTTCGTTTCCAATAACTCCCCAATCATTTGTTGCCACTCCCAATCTCGACGACTTGCTTACAAACTCCACTTTCCCCATTCCTAAAAACTTTGCTGGAACAACACTCGCTCCAGGAGCTCTTTTGGCTAACTTAAGGGTCAATGTAGAGCCACTTATTCCTAAATTGATCATGCGTCGATATAATTCACGAGCTAATCGCATAAAAAATTCGTCCAACTCTTCAACAGTGTCAAATCGAATTCCAAAATTGACATCAGCAGAAATTGATTTTCTTCCCAAAACGGCTTCAGGGTTTGAAGTGTCAACTTCAATACTTGTGTTATCAACTCCTCGTGCATACTCGTATAATTTAGAGCCTGTCTTCTCACCAAGAAGTTGAACTAGTTTAAGCTTGCTCAAAGATAAAATGTCCTCAACAGTGGCGTCCTTGTGCTGCTTTAATTCAGGCTCTAGCTTTTCTAAAATTCCCCTACCAAAACCTGGCAAAACTTTTATTGGTACAGTAGAAAGAATGTTGTTGATATCTTTAAAGATGGAAAATTGTCCATTAGGTTTAGCTTTTCTCAATGCCAACTTTGCTAGCAACACGTTCCAAGACGTTCCAACACTAACAGTGCATTTGGTCAACTGGTATACATGTTTCCTAATCAAACTAGACAACTCCTCAACAGTTTCTTCAATATTCTTGTTGGAATCACTGCAATATGAAGTTGCATCAACTAATGCCTCATCAATGGAAACGGGAAAGATTGTATCAAAGTACTTGCTCGTGACTAGGTAATTGTAAAACTCACTTGAACTTTTTTCATAGGTTTCAAATTCATAGTGCAATAACTTCAAACTGGGACATAACCGTTGCGCTTGTCCAAGCCACATTCCGTTTCTCACACCAAACTCACGTGCAACATAGTTACAACTGGCCACGTCTGATGTTTTACCACCATGACCCACTGCAATTGGGTCTTTTTCAATATTCAAATCTGGATGTTTTAAACAGGATGCCGCTACAAAAAAGCAATCAAAGTCAATATGCATAATAATCTTCTTGGTTGCCAAAGGTTTTGCACTCAAAGGGTCAAGCTTGGGTCTATGAAGATTCTCCTTAATTATCCGTCTCAAGAATTTCAACCTCAAATCAGCTTTCCACATGCTCAAATGATGTAGCCTCGAGTTTGCAAAGAATTCAGTTAAAAAATCCGGGTGTCGCGCATCAAGTACGTATTTCCCTTTTATGTTGTAAACTCCTTTACCAGAAGCTGGTGGAGCATTCTTACAAACGGTTGGTAGATCCTCCTCATTCTCCCAATCATCGCCACGCTGCATCTCTAGGTTTTGCAGTTGTTCGAGAACATCAGCTTCCTCGGGCAAAAGAGAGGAGAAAATTTCATCATCATCATCATCCTCCTCCTTCTCCTCCTCCTTCTCCTCCTCCTTCTCCTCCTCCTTCTCCTCCTCCTCTTGCTTATCTTTCGTCGTTGGCTCCCCACCCTTGCCCGGTTTATTGGGTTCGTTTTCTTTCTCCTTTTCCTCCCTCGCCTCAGCCATGGGGTCTTTCTTGTGAGGAAATTGTAGTCTTTTCTGATCATACTCAACTTCCAGAATCAACCTATAATTCTGCCAGTCAAGAAGGTTTCCACTTTCTATACAATCAACTATCCATTGTGCTTTAACAACTCGACAATTCTTGTAAATCACGCTTTTTCTCGGGGTCAACCGATCACAAATGATGTGAGTAGCAGCAGATTTGTTAGACATATAGCTTAGAAACTTTCCACCATGTAAGATCACCAATCTATGGATTTCGTTCATTGATGGTTTCGTGTGTCCATTGACAAAAATAGTACACCCGGTGAATATCAGTTTAGGTTGTGATGCGAGATTTTGCTGTTTTCTTCGTTGCTTATCCCAAGCGACGTGAGCCTCATCCTGACGCTGTTGTTTTTTGAGCTTGGAGGTGAAATAAGTACTGTAGTCGTTAAAGCTGTGGAGAGCACCGATGGCTGCTTCGTCTTTATCACTTTGAGACGCGTCATCAAAACCTAGCAAGTCTTGGTGCGGTACCTCCCCTAGCAAGTCTTTGTGCGGTACCTCCCCTAGCAAGTCTTGGTGCGGTACCTCCCCTAGCAAGTCTTGGTGCGGTACCTCCCCTAGCAAGTCTTGGTGCGGTACCTCCCCTAGCAAGTCTTTGTGAGGTACCTCCCCTAGCAAGTCTTTGTGAGGTACCTCCCCTAGCAAATCTTGGTGCGGTACCTCCCCTAGCAAGTCTTTGTGAGGTACCTCCCCTAGCAAATCTCTGTGCTTTCCTTTCTCATCTACTGGAGATTTCCCTAAAATATTCAAAATCTGATCATCAAGACCATCATTAAACGGATCAAAGCTTTCAGTTTCCACAACCGATAAACTCTTCTTTGGAGTAGAAATATCTTGAAATGGTGGCCGTTTCCCTTCACGAGTCTGACTAAAGGTATTAATATGAGATATCAAGCTTTGATTATCCAACGATCTCAAAAACGTCAGATACTGAGTATTATCATCAAAGGTGGACCATTCTAGCTCACCTATTTCTAGCCGTTTACCATCTTCCATAAAAGACAAAGCAAAGTGCTTAGAACCTTTGATAACCTTTTCCCTCTGCTCATTTTTCTACTTTTTGAAAGGAGCCCAGCCCAGCTTATTAGTCCAGAGATGGCGGTAGCAGTGGCGGTAGCTATGGTAGCAATGTCCACTTTTGGCGACAGATGACGGGCGGTGTTGGGCGCGAGCCAAAACCTCAGAAGAAGGAGAGCAAAAAAAAAAATAGCTCTGTTTCAAAAACTTTACAAAAAGTTACACTAGATACGTTTTCCATTATACTTTACAAGATTACAATGGTACGTTAGTAATAGGATGTGGGAGTTAGAAGGGGAGAGAGGGAGGGAAGGGGACTTCTTGATTTAGTCACTAACACATATGTGTATCATATAGGCTGAGAAATTATCAGAACAACAGATTGCAGAGTTTAAAGAAGCTTTCTCCTTATTCGACAAGGATAGTGATGGAAAGATAACTACTAAGGAATTAGGTACCGTGATGAGGTCGTTGGGACAAAATCCATCTGAAAGCGAGCTTACTGATATGATCAACGAGGTTGATGTCAATTCAGATGGTTCAATTGATTTCCCTGAATTTTTAACAATGATGGCTAGAAAAATGAAAGATACTGATTCAGAGGCAGAAATTGCAGAAGCTTTCAAGGTATTTGACAGAAACGGTGATGGTAAAATCAGTGCAGCTGAGTTGAGACACGTTTTAACTTCAATTGGCGAAAAATTGTCCGATGCCGATGTCGATCAAATGATAAAAGAAGCTGATACTAATAATGACGGCGAAATTGATATCCAAGAGTTTACTCAACTATTGGCCGCTAAGTAGTCGATCTAAGTAAGCCCCTCTATTGTAGCCCCTCCCTTCTTCCACCCCACTTTACACCCGCAGGTGATTATATATACTCGATTTCATTCTACTCTACATACTGCTCTACTGGCTCTACATACTGCTCTACTGGCTCTACATACCAGTCCACTATCTCGCTTTGCTTTCTAGTATCGCTACTCTCCACTAGCTCTACATACTGCTCCACTAGCTCGCTTTGCTTTCTAGTGTCATTACTCTCTACTAGCTCGCTTCGCCCTTAGTGTCTCTACTCCCTACTCTCTACATACTGCTCCACTATCTCTACATACCTCTCCACTAGCTCGCTTCGCCCTTAGTGTCTCTACTCCCTACTCTCTACATACTGCTCCACTATCTCTACATACCTCTCCACTAGCTCGCTTCGCCCTTAGTGTCTCTACTCCCTACTCTCTACATACTGCTCCACTATCTCTACATACCTCTCCACTAGCTCGCTTCGCCCTTAGTGTCTCTACTCCCTACTCTCTACATACTGCTCCACTATCTCTACATACCTCTCCACTAGCTCGCTTTGCTCACTAGTGTCGCTACTCTCTACTCTCTACATACTGCTCCACTAGCTCGCTTTGCTCACTAGTGTCGCTACTCTCTACTCTCTACATACTGCTCCACTATCTCTACATACCTCTCCACTAGCTCGCTTTGCTCACTAGTGTTGCTACTCTCTACTCTCTACATACTGCTCCACTAGCTCGCTTCGCTCGCTAGTGTCGCTACAAGCGTAGGAAAAAAAAAACCCACCATTGAGTAAATTAGCATTACAATAACCATGAAAAAACAGTAGCTCTTATGGATGATTGTTTAAAGTATATAATCAGCAACAGTTTGGATGATATAGATTTGGCACAATTTCCCAATCAACCGGTTGAGCTGAGCCAAGAGTTGTTGATTGCTTCATTTGAGCAAGTAATTGTCAATTCTGCTTCACCTTCTTGTGGAGGACACAATCGATTGGAAGCCATCGCAATGAGAAGCACCTCACAGGATACAGGATTAGCTGGCGCCAGGAAGAAACTGGCAAATAATAGAGTTACGTATAAGTCGCTGGAGGATGAAAAATTGGCGCGAAGGCGAGCAAGGTTCAATTCAGACTCGGACTCAAAACGGAATTTCAAAAACGATCATGGGTTTGTAAGTAGGGGCGAGGATACTAGGTTGCAGGACTCTGAAACGGAAAGAGAGGAGTATTTTCTCCATATATTGAGCCAGTTTATCCGCTTCACCTCCACGCGCTCATCGAAGGAGTTGCATGATACGTTTCAAAAAACTAGAGAAATGGACCCAGAAAATTTTGCAAGCGCACAATGCTCAGTAGAGGAGGAAGAGGAGGAGGAGGAGGAAGAGGAAAAGAAAGACGGGGAAAAGAAACAAGAGAAAGAAGCGGCAGCAGTCACCATTGACTCGATAACCATGTCACTTCGGAAACTACGCGAGAGTCTACTATACTTACCGCCAAGCCAGCTCCATAAAAAAGTGTTTTTATTTTCAATTCGAATATCGCATTATTTTAAGCATTATCAAACCTATATACCCAGCATCATGTATTTGCTAGAGCACAGTGAAGCTCTTGGGTTGAGCGACTTGGAAATTGAAGAAATAGTGGTTATCTTAGTGTTGCATATATGCCACATGAACAACGATGCGTCGTCTGCAATTGCCAATTTTTTCGAGTATATACCACAAAGAATGGATGTCTTAAAGATCATTCGGTGCTGGATAAGCAAGGACTACTATACTTGGATCAATATATATAACAATGTCGAGAGCTTTGCCATAAAATCGATGATGAAAATAGGAATGACGCGAATGATCAATTGCATGATTGAATCTCTAAGTAACAGCTACTATAATATGAGTAGAAGAGTGATTGAAAATGATCTTCTACCACATGACCTTACATACGAAACATTTGTACAAAATTTCGCGCCAGGGTGGAGTATCGCCGAGGAGAGCGACCTAGTAACGATAAGAGCTCGAAGTAAGAAAATAAAGAGTTGACCATTATTATGATGCTAGGCTACATATAAAGAAAATAACACCAATTTCCAATTCTTCTCTGTACCTTTGTTCCCATTCCACTCTTTACCTTTGTTCCCATTCCACTCTTTACCTTAGACTTGTTCCCATTCCACTCTTTACCTGTAGACTTAAGCAAGAGAGAGAAGCAAACTACCAAGTGCTGCTCCACTATCTCCTTCTGCTCGATAGTGTCGTTTGAGTTCTTCACCTCTTTTCAGTTTCTTCAAGGAAAAAAAAAACCCCGTGAGCTTCTCGTATTAAAAAAAAAAAGGTACAGCTTGACTCTAACTCATAGGGTCTTTGGATCTAAGGAGAAGGGCTTTTGAGAGATGTTTAGATTCTATGGCAATGACGACGGGGACAGTTCACGGCCTAAATTACCCAACCTGATCAAAATTGACGATATCACATCAGGTAGGATCGATCCCCAGCTAATTTACGATGAAATAGAACGGCTCAAGGCTGAGATAAATATTTTGAGGAACGAGATGTCAATGTTTCTCAAGGCGCTAGCTACTATCCCGGAAACTGGGTCTCAGCAGGAATATTACGAGACGATAATACGACGATTGCAAACAGTGCAACAAAGTATAGTGCAGTACTGTGAACGATATAACAAATTACTACCCATAATCAACTTGGCTCAGATCAAGTTGGGCCACGAAGTAGAAGCACCCCCCGCGGCTGCAGCCAAGGGAGGAACTCTATCAACTCCTTCAACAAGCAACAATACCCCAGTTATGGGTACAAAAACTACGCCTGCTCTAAACTCAGAAACAACTCCAAAAACAATAGCTAATGATGGGTCGGCCAGCATAATGAAAAATGGCAAGAAACCCATAAGAAAAACTACAACAACAACAACAACAACAACCCCAAAGTAGCAACTTAAGACACTAGACACCAAATACCTACTTCTTTATATAGACACCTAGGGGAATTTATCCATCAATGTACAATTTTGTAAAGACTCTTCAAAACAAAATTTTTTTTTAAAAAAAAACAAAAAAACAAAAACCCGTTTTTTCAGGAATAGTCCGAACACCCGTCATACCAGGAATCCATCGATTGCGACGAACAAAAAAAATTGAGCGGTAAAAAGAATGGAGCTTTCTTTTATAGTTGCTTAAGTTGAGGAAGGCAATTGGGCTGACTGATTGGCAGGAGAAGCTGGTTCTAGTGTAAGGAGAAGCTGCTCTGGTTTATTATAGAGGAATTGGGAAGCAAAAGAGGTGTAGGAAAAGAGCAATAGAGGTGTAGAAAAAGAGCAAAAAAGGCATAGAAATTAGCAAAAAAGGCATAGAAATTAGCAAGTAAAAGAGGTTTAAAAATCAGCTGGTGACGGGATATGTTTGAATCATTAGTTGCCAATTTGTTAAATCGGTTTTTAGGCGCTTACCTTGAGAATTTCGATTCGAAACAGTTGAATATTGGGATATGGGGCGGGGATGTTAAGCTAACCAATCTCAGGTTAAAGAAGGAGAGTTTGGACAAGTTCAAGTTACCAATAGATGTCAAATTTGGCCACCTTGGAGTATTGACTCTACAGATACCTTGGTCAAATTTGAAGGGAAAACCTGTTCAAATCATAATTGAAGATCTTTACTTACTCGCGGTGCCTATAATATTGCAGAATTACGATGCAGATGAAGACGAGAGGCGCAAACAAGCAGTGAAACAAGATAAACTAAAGGAATTAGAGTTTGTTTTGCAAACAAAGAGCCAAGAATTGGGTAAAGAAGATCTTGCAAATGAAACGTTTACAGAGTCATTAATGACCAAGATTGTTGACAATTTACAAGTGACTATCAAAAATATACACATTAGATATGAGGATAAATCGGTATTAACGGAGACGCCGTATACTTTTGGAGCCTCTCTAAAGGAATTATCGGCAGTTTCTACCGACGAAAATTGGCAACCTTCGTTCATTTCCATTACTCAAGCATTTACAAGAAAATTGTTGAAACTAGACAGCTTATCCTGCTATATGGACACTCAATCGCCAAATTTGTTTTCAGAGCTCAATAATGACCAATTGTTGGACTGTTTTAACAGTGCCACCACAAGCAGCGAGTATCTTGTGAAGCCAGTTACTGGTAATGGCAAGCTAACTGTCCATAAAGCAGGAACAACCAAAACCACACCGCATATCAACTCAGACTTGTGCTTTGATGAATTTGGACTAGAATTAAATACTCAACAGTATCAAAACATATTGTGGACAGCTTCGAAATTTCATTGGTATATCAAAACAGAAAAATTTCGAAGACTAAGACCGAAACAGCCACCAAGCGAAGCCCCTAGAGAGTGGTTCAAATACGCCGCTCAATGCATTTTGAATGAGATTCACGAAAATAATTACAAATGGAGTTGGGAGTACATGGAGAAAAGAAGAGATCAAAGATTATTGTACATAAAACTTTGGATGCTTAAGCTTTCTAAAAACTTGGGAGAACTAGAACAAAAGGAATTGGAGAAACTAGAATGGGATCTACCATTTGAGGATATTAAATTTTATAGAGCACTTGCACGGAATAAAATTCGAAAAGAAAATAGCCAAATTGCATTGTATGACACCAACAAGGCAGCACAAAAGAATGAGAATCAAAACAATAAGGGATGGCTTTCAGGATGGTGGAGCGGCAGCACCAGTTATGCGCAAGAGAGCGAAAAGAAGCAAACGTTAGAAGCTGATGGTAGTGATGCTGTTACCGAGTTGTCCCTCTCAGATGAGCAGAAAAAGGAACTCTACAACACAATTGACTATGACGAACAAGCACAAGTTTCAGTTATTGACTTACCCAAGGATTACGTGAAAGTGCGGGTCAGCACCTTTTTAAAAAGAGGTGGATTAGTTATTAGAAAAAACGACGCAAATGAATTAGCAGAGGTTATTTTTGAAGGATGCAAAACGCAATTTTTCCAAAGACCAGATTCTTTCCTTGCGGGGTTCCAAATGCAGGAGTTTAGAATTGAAGACGGAACTGGGTCAAGTATTTATAAACACATGGTGAGCGTTAAGCAAGCTGCCGAACTAAATCAACAAAATGAAAAGGATTCAAACAGTCCCTTTTTCCAAGCTCAATATGAACAAAACCCACTTGACGGTACCGCCGACTCCAGTCTTTCAGCACAGCTAAAGTCTATGACCATTTTTTATAATCCAAAGTTTATTGAAGAAATCATTGTCTTTTTCACGCCTCCAAAAATTCACTTGGATACTATTGGCGCGATAATGAATGCTGCTGAAGCATCGATTGAAGGATTGACCGCACGTACCAGAATGGGTTTGGAATACGTTTTGGAAGAACACAAGACAATAAATTTGAAGCTAGATTTACAAGCGCCCTTAATAATCGTGCCTCTTGATCCTTCGAGCTTTAAGTCACCGGTTGCGATATTGGATGCAGGTCATATCAGTGTTATTAGCAACTTGGTAGAAAGATCAAAAATCAAGGAATATAAAGAAAAGGAAAAGTATACAGATGAGGACTGGAAAAATTTACAGAACCTATTATACGACAAATTCAATGTGTATTTGAATGACATTGAATTTTACGTTGGCAATACCATTAAACTGACTATGGAGCAGTTGTATGCTGATGAGGATTCAAGACCAGCACGTATGTTGAATAATTTGAGTTTGCAGTTTAGTCTTGGTATTTCCATACTACCAGACGCTCAAAATCTTCCAAAAATAAAGGCAGGTGGAAACGTTCCTAAAGTGAGCATTGCCATGAACGATTTCCAGTATAAAACCATTTTGGAAATCATGGATGCCATGGTAGCGGTACTACCCGATGTTACTTCTGATATACCCGACGACAATTCCAGCGTTTTCAATGCTTATGGTAACTATCAACAGAATGACGGGGTTGATGTTGAAAAAACGACACAACTTACCAAGAAGGAGGATAATGATAATGATGTGGATAAAGACAAAGATAAGGGTAAGGGTAAGGGTAAAGATAAAGATAAAGATAAAGATAAAAACAAGGCTGAAGAACAGCGCTTATTTGAATCCGAATTTTGTATTGACACAATCGAGTTGGCTATTTCAAGGTGCATTGATGGTGTTTCACTAAAAGATGAGCCTTTGATTGGCTTGACCGGTGATGCATTACAATTGCACTTATTCAAGACAGAAACTGACCTACATTTGACATTGTCACTTTTAGATATGAGTGTTTTTGACAGAATGGAGACTTCTGGCGTTGAAGAGTTTAAGAAATTGATGTCATCTGATATTGAAGGGGAGAATGATCGAAAATTGTTAGCATTGAGTTTAGTGCGTAAGCAACGAGTGGTTGAGTTCAACAACAAACAAATTGAAGTTTTTGACCAGGAGATAGACCTCCAAATAGCAACTGTCAAGTTTGTACTTACAAGAAAGACTATTTTGGATTTCATAACTTTTTCAATGAATACCTTTACAGATCCTAATGCCAAACCAACACCCGCGGACGCATTGAATCATAATACTGGTGAAATTGAGGAGTTAACGCCACAAAAGATAAATATGAAGATAAAGTTGGATAGCATTATTATGATTTTGAATGAAGATGGTCTCAAACTAGCTACTTTGGAGTTGGACTCTGCAAACATAGATTTGTTTTTACTACCAGAATCAATTGATGTTCAAGGTAACTTAGGAGCGCTCACGTTGAAAGACGACATTATCGGTGATACATTGAAGAACTCAACGTGGCGTAACTTGATCCACATGGATGGAGACAATTTGGCAGAATTTAGTTATAAAACTTTCGATATTCAAAGCGGAAGACCATCTGAAGTTGAATTTAGAACAGGATCGCTATCGATAACTTTTATTGAAAGCTCGGTTAACAGAATACTAGAGTTTTTAAGTCAGTTTATGAAAATGAAGGCTATTTACGATAGTGCTAGAGAAGCTGCAATGAACCAAGCAACCCAACTACCAGCAAGAGTAAAATTTGATATTTTGGTACGCGCTCCTACAATTATATTTCCCTTTATTGACAAGGGAAATGATAAAATAGTTGCTAACTTAGGAGAGATTTATGCGCGCAATGAATACAAGGATGAAATCAATGCAATAACTTCAGGTATCAGGAAAGTCAGCTTGGTTTCCAGCTTTTACTTTGACAACGTGGAGCAGCATTTGAGTATTGTTGAGAATTTGGACATTGTATTCAATGCCGATTGGTCTGAAAATTATGTGCAAGGTGTACCTACATTTGAAATTCAAGGAAAGATGCCCGAGCTAGAAATAAGTTTGACTGAGATGCAAATCAAACTCTTGAGTGAACTCTCCACCTCCATTGGAGACGCGTTCACTTTTGACACTTCAGAGCAAGATTTGAAGGACATTCAAGAAGACGCTCAATTTGCAAATGAGGTTTTAAAGCACAACACAAACAAGGTGAACCCGCAACAAAAGCAAATTATTCAGACAACAAATTCAACTGGAAAACCACCTTTACTTTTACCTCCATCTTCATCTCCACCACCACCCCTGGAGGTGCAAATTCCCTCAGACCATATTATGGTGGACTTGAAGTTTACGGTTCCACTATTAGCGCTTACCCTATACAATAAAACACTTGGATCCAAAGATGTTAGCGAGCTTCTGCTATCCAAGTTCTCTTTGAATGGCCTAAATATCAACTTTGTGAGTGACCAAAGTACTCATTTCAAATCGGACCTAAAGATCACCTCCTTTGTTGTTGAAGACGTTCGAAAGCACACTCAGAGCAAATTTCTTACATTGATTCCTGCAGTAGAAGGTGTAAAAGACCAGTTTGTTTTGAGCGCCAACTCGTCCGGTGACCCTGAGGATAAGAATATAACCATATTGTTGACAGTTGAAAAACCAACCGCCGTTTTGGCTCTCGATTACTTGTTTGAGTTGCAAGCATTTTTTGAACACTCAATGCTGCCGCAAAGACCAGAGCTAACACCCAGAAATTCTAGAAAGTCAGTTGTTCTGATTTCGCAAGGATCAAAGAAACCTCTTGTGAACGAGGTGGCGTCTACTACTTCGAAAGTTGGGTTTTCTATAAACGTAACCAAGCCATCTGTTTTTTTGCTCGCGGATGATTCAAAAGAAGACACTGAAGCTGTTGTTTTCAAAATTGAACAAATATTGATCACAAAACAGAACATCATTTCTTTAGCTATGAGTAACATTGGAATGTACTTAACACGAATGGACGACCCTAGAAATGCCAGTTACAGAATCATTGACGATTTCTCAGTTTCGTTTGCTTATGACGATAGAGGGTCGACTCCAGCAAAATCACGTGCAAGAGTTCAAGCATCGGTCGAGGCTTTGATTTTAAGGGTATCACTAAGAGATATAAGATTGGGTTATGCAACTGTTCAAAGAGCAAATGACTTATTTGCAAAACATCAAGATTTGAAAACAAACAGAGATGGTACCTTTGTTGACAATTTCAAAAAGAAGGTTTCTGAATATGCGCCAAGCATAATTTCATCAATGTCAGAAGAGACAGATAATGTTGTTGCTACGGGCGACGGTGGTGGAGACGAAGAAGGAAAAAGTGTTGAAGTTGACAAAGGCGATGAGGAACTCACCGCCAGTGTTGGCGGGTTGAGATTCGTTCTTATTGGTGCTGTTTCGGAATTACCAGTACTTGATATGAACTTGGAGCCCTTTGAATTGAAAGCTCTCAACTGGTCTACAGATTTGAGCGCAGAATTACATATCGAGACTTTTGTCAACATTTTCAACTATGCCAACTCCTGTTGGCAGCCCTTGCTCGAACCTTGGCCAGTTTCTATTTATGCTTCAAAATTGCAAGATCCAGAATCAAAATTGCAAGTTGAAACCGTCTCGCGACAACTTGCGCAAATCACCATTACTTCAAGGTCAGTTGCACTATTATCTCAAACGCAAACATTGCTTAGCATGGATGAAAAATTGAAACCCAGAGGTCAAGATTACCCATTTGTGATTGTAAATGACACTGGCTTAGACCTTACAATTTGGACAAATGGTAATGAAGAAGCCACGAAAACAGAGATCAATGACCAAGAAAGAAAACCTTGGACTTTTGAAGACTGGAGAACGATTCGTGAAAACTTGGATGCAGATACTGCCAGTACGTTGGGTCTTGCCTTCAAAAACAATGATTATGAAAAAATTAGCGCCATATCTGCCGCTAGAGTGGGCGAGGAGTTGTATGTCCTTAACCCCCCTGTTAACGGTGTACACAACCGCTTAGCTGTAAATATCCAATTGCGTGATGATAATGTTAAAGTCATCAATATAAGGTCTACAGTTTTGATCGAGAATGACGCTGATATTCCAATTGCTGTAGCTACCTTTGATGAGAAAGATTCAATAATCCATATAGAGTCTAAAAAAAGCAGAGCTGTACCAATAAATTTAGTCTACGAAGGCAAATTGAGAATCAAACCGCAGTTACACACTTCATTTGGATGGTCAGAGGAATCGATTGGTTGGAAGGACTTGATGAAGAAACCAATGTCCTTGAGATGTCCTTCAAAAAGTAAGCAAGACTCTTCCGTGTATTATTTCCAAATAGAAGCTGCATTTGATCGAGACGAAACTTTGGCAAGAATATATCCTCATTTCAACTTGATTGTGTCTGCACCGTTGGAGATTGAGAATTTGTTACCATACGATTTCAAGTATCGTTTGTATGATAAAAACTCTAGGAAAGAATGGGCAGGAAGTGTCAAGAAGGGCGTTAATAGTTATGTCCATGTTGTAAGCTTGGATAATTTGTTGCTACTAAGCGTGGAGCCAGAGAATTGCGGGTACAACAAATCTGAGTTTGCAATAATAAACGGCACCAAGACGAGCGAATTTACTCGTGAACAAACAATGGTTCTTCGAGGCAAAAACTCAAATACACTTCGATTGAATATTCATTACCCCAAAAAGCAGGCGGATAGTACTAGTTTGAAAGTTGTTGTTTACAGTCCATATGTCATATTGAACAGATCCAATTTAAACATTTTCGCTAATGAACGTGGAAACATATTCGAGTCACCCAGTAGGGCGAGCGATGGCCGCGAGAATTATCCAACAATGTTTTCGTTTGATAAATTTGGAGATCGGAAGAATCGGGCAACGATAAAAGCAGATGATACGGTTTGGTCACTCCCTGTCAGTTTTGACGCGATCGGACAATCCAATCAAGTGAAATTACAACTTTTGGGACAACAAAAGGAGATCAACTTAGGTATTTCGATACTGGAGGGTGAAGGTAAATACAATTTGACCAAGACCGTGACGGTGGCTCCTAGATATGTACTAATTAACAGACTTGATATGGGCTTAGGTGTAGTTGAGGAAGGATCTACCCAGCTGATAAATGTCGATATGGGTGCTTTATTGCCACTTTACGGACTACGCTGCTTAGACAAGACAAACCTACTCCTCAGACTCAGAAATTCTTCAAAGTGGTGTCAACCATTTTGTATTGACGATGTTGGCCAACTATTTGTGAAGGTTCAAAACAGCGATGAAAGACAGATATTACTCAAAGTTACTATGCTACTAGAGGAAGCTACAATGTTCATACATGTTGAAAATGCCAATAACCAATGGCCTTTTGCGATTAAAAATTATACTAACGAGGAGTTTTACGTCTACCAGAATGACCCAAACATCAATGCCGATGGTGAAGTTGTGAAGAATGATACTCCATATAAACCCATATACTACCAAGTACCGCCAAAGAGTATTATGCCGTATGCCTATGACTATCCCAATGCTATAGTAAAAGAGTTGATCGTGAGGTCCCATGGAAGGGAGAGGTCCGTAAACTTATCTGAAATTGGAAATTTAAGACCATTTAGACTCCCACCAGCCAGTGGCAAAAGTCAAGTTGTTATTGACTTGAATGTTTGTGCTGATGGACCTACTCAAACTTTGGTTATCACAGACTATGATCCATCCAAAAGCATATATAGCATTGCGGAAGAGACTGCTTCTGGTGCCTCTTTGTCAAAAAGTCAAAGTCATTTTGAAGCTGCCAAAATTGAGGAAAATTACACCACTAAGATAGTGACAAAATTTGATGGTATTGGTATCTCTTTGATCAATACGAATGAGGAAGAGTTGTGCTACATTACCATTAAGGGACTTGAGTTTCGATACAATGAATCAAACATTTATCAGACCTACAGTATGAAGTTGAAATGGATTCAAATAGACAACCAACTACATGGGGCTATGTTTCCTATTGTTCTTTACCCGTCAGTGGTGCCCAAGACAGGCGAGGAATTAAACGAGCATCCAGCGCTTTCGGCATCGGTATGTCGAGTAAAAGATGACACCCATGGGGTGCTTTTTATAAAGTACGCAACAATTTTACTTCAAGAGATGACTTTTGACATTGGGGAAGATTTCTTGTACGCCTTAATTGATTTTGCTAAATTCCCTGGAGCTTCTTGGAATAAGCAACAAATTGATAGACTTTGTGAGGACAGTTTGGATATTCCTGAGCCATTGAAACTTAATGATACAAGAGATATCTACTTTGAAGCCTTGCATTTGCAACCAATACAAGCAAATATTTCATTTGTACGTACTGATACAACTGAAGTTGAAGATAAAACCACAGCACAGAATGCTCTAATGTTTTGCTTTAATGTTTTGACCATGGCTATGGGGAACATCTCGGATGCCCCTATTAAATTGAATGCGTTGTTTATTGAAAACATTAGGGTGCCCACGCCGATATTGGTAGATTCAATACAAACTCATTACAAGCAAGCATTCTTTTACCAGCTTCATAATATTGTTGGCTCTGCAGACTTTTTGGGAAACCCGGTTGGCTTGTTCAACTTACTCTCCTCGGGGGTTATAGACATCTTTTATGAGCCATATCAAGGCTTTGTTTTGAATGATAGGCCACAAGAGCTAGGAATAGGTCTAGCCAAAGGAGGACTCAGTTTTGTTAAGAAAACAGTGTTTGGTTTCTCAGACTCCTTTTCTAAGATTACAGGATCGCTTGCTAAGGGATTATCAGTTGCAACCATGGATCCCAAGTTTCAAGAGCGTAGACGATTACAAATGAAAAGAAATAGGGTGAATCACTTTGCTGGAGGAGCCAATTCCTTCTTCGAGTCACTTACTTCCGGAATTGGAGGTATTGCAGTTGACCCCATCGAAGGTGCTAGTGTGGGCGGTACTGCAGGTTTTTTTAAGGGACTTGGTAAAGGTATGATTGGATTGCCTACCAAAACTGCTATTGGTCTTTTTGATTTTGCTTCTAATGTGAGTGAAGGAATTAGAAATAGTGCCACAGTTTTTGATGGCGAAGCTTTAGATAGAGCGAGACTTCCTAGATATATAAACCCCGATGGTGTTATCAAGCCTTATTCAGAGCGGGAAGCACAAGGTCAATATTGGCTATATACTATTGATGAAGGAGCGTTTTACAAGGAGAGATATTTGGCACACTTGCTTCTTCCAGGAGACGAAATGGTGGTTCTTGTAACTTACAGGCAAATCATTCTATTTGATATTAGATCATTAAGGTCGAGATGGATTATCAACTTTGATCAGATAAAATCCATTTCGGTGGCGTCAGCGGGCTTAACGATAGAGTTGAAAAATAGGAATGGCCCATTCATCCCGATTCCCGATAGAAATAATAGAACTTTCTTGTATCAAAAGATAGGCATTGCTGTGAAAGAATACAATAAAAAGTGCCGAGTTGCTCTTTAATTTGCATTAGCCAGCTCAGATATATATATATATATATATATATGTACATAAAAAAAGAGATTCAGAGCAGAACTCACTTTGGTAAAAAATGTTGACGCGTAGACCCATTTGACTTACGGCACGTTCCTATGAAAGCCTCTGGAGTATCCTCTGCTTTTGTTTGCATTTGCACTCTCTTGGCAAGCACGTAGCCTTCTTTTGCTTTTATACACAACCCATCTTTAACTAGTGAAAAATCTCCACATTCCTTTAACTCATCAAGATTAAGGGCAAGGTCGAGCTCATTTGTGTCCTTTAATTCACTGATTTCATTCAAAATTATTCGCTGCTTCTCAGTTATGCGTTTACCCTTTCGCTTCACATTCACATCCATAAAGGTAAAAAGGGGACCCAATGCATCGTATCTTCTCTTGAGTTGCCTTGCCGAGTAATGCGACCATAATGCCTGGCGTTCTTGTTTATCAATTTTTGGGGCAAAACACCTAGTATAAGAATTAGTCAATGGTTTGATATCAACAAAGGAACCATCCTCAATAACTTTTGCCAAAATCTCTCCTCCAATATCCCCTAGTTTAGAAGCTAAACTACTGTAATTATCCGAATCCAAGATCGGTACCGCGCTTGATTGAGCTATAATACTACCATGGTCAAATTTAGTCGGATGCAATGTTTGTACTGTTACGCCGGTTTCAAGATCATCATTCAACAATGCATATTGCAAGGGGGAAGATCCCGAGTACCTGGGCAATAAGGATGGGTGCACATTTATACCGCCATACTTACACCTTGTGATGAACTCAGCGGGGATTAGCTTTCCATAAGAAACAGCAATTACCAAATTGAACGTATTTGAGCTCAACAAGTCCACAATATCACTCGATACTTCTGCTCTAAGGATATCAACATTGTTCGTTTTGGCGTATTCTCCCACAGGAAGTTCAGTATAATTTTTCATATAACGACCTGTTGGTTTGATCAGCCTTGTTATCAACTTGATACTTTCAATAGTTTCCGGATTGTCTTTTTGCAAACCCTGGAGTTTACGTAAACATCGAACACTAAACAGATCGCTTCCAAAGAATGCTATCTTTAATAGGTCATACTTACGGTGTACGTGTACACGTCGTACAAATACTGAATACACTTGAAAAGCTAACCTCATCTCATCTCATCTCATCTCATCTCATCTCATCTCATCTCATTGGTGCAATAGAAAAATTGAAAAACAAAAAACAAAACTGAAAAACCGGAGACGGGATAGGACTTGAGATATCAAAAGGTGGATTTGATAACGATATTGAGGTAACGTAGGACCATGCTGCAGGATACAAGTACAAATGCGCTATTGCATAGTTTAGCAAAGCTTTTAAATGTGACTGAAATGGACGAATCCACTATGAACTTGTGTTTTAAATTGCTAGATGAAGGTGTAGATCCTCAAACATTGGCAAAGAAAATTTTGGAAATTAAGAAAGAGACGCAATTAGTTTAGCTAAACTTTACAGCAGCTGAAGCTCATTCAAATGCGAAGCATGAATGAAGAGACCAACTTTGCTCATTCAAATGCGGAGCATGAATGAAGAGACAAATGCGGAGCATACCATGAATGAAGAGACCAACATTCCTCATTCAAATGCGGAGCATGAATGAAGAGACAAATGCGGAGCATACCATGAATGAAGAGACCAACATTCCTCATTCAAATGCGGAGCATACCATGAATGAAGAGACCAACATTCCTCATTCAAATGCTCCGCTTTCGAATGAGGAATGTTCGAATGAGGTTTAAAAACCGCTCCTTTTCTTTTTCTTCCGTTTGAGCTGGCTTCCACTTTGGGAATTGCCTTGCGATTCTCGGAGCATGCTACTAGTGGTTCGGTTACCGGATTCGAGTTGCTGGGAAAAGGATAAGGCGGTGGTGTTGGAGGAGGAAGGGAACCCAATGTGTGACTGTGAAGGATTCAATTGGCTTGCTTGCGAGTTGGTAATGTTTGATGTCTTTTGTTTTTGTGATCCCGGGTTTAGTGTTTGACTGGAAGCTCCCAAGTATAAAGTAGGTTCTTTTGTACGCATTTTGGATTTGTGGCGCTTAACAACGCCAGTGGCATCGATTGGCGTGTTGGAGTTGGAGTTGGAGTAGTCATCCCAGCTATCAAGCAATTGTTGAACAGAAGATGAAGATTGTGCCTTTGCCACTTTGAACCTATCCTCAAAATTGGCAGAGTTTCTTAAACATTTAATCAAGGATAACCCAAGAACAATTGCCGTGTTTGTTATCGATACTTTTGAGCTGGAATGGGAGTAGTTTGTCTCAAGTAGATGGAATAGACTGATTATGTGATTTTCAGGTGGTGTTGATGCATTTTTTGACTGCAATGGTCGTATTAATGAATTGTATACAAGGTTCTTAATTTGAACGTTATTTGTGATTGAGCTAGAATGCAAGTCGGAGATCATATCGTCCAAGTCGTGTATATCCAGAAGTCCAAGAGGTATACATTCGTCGAGATAATATAAGGAAAAATAGCCACAAGAATTGTCCATATCGGTGGATTTATGGATTTGGTTGAATTTCTTGTTGAGCTCCAAAGCATATTTGTGAATCAGCTCAATCAGCTGCTCTTCAGATGCATGGTCTTGATTCGAAATCGAAATTTTGTGATGGATATTTTGCATTCGCCGTCGTCCTCGAAAAGATAGGTGGAGATGTTCTGGCTCTCTGACAAAGGCATGTCGAGTAATTTCACTGTCGTGAGCTTCTTTGGTGCCCCTTGTAAGGAAACACGTTTTTAGTAACAAGTTTGGAGTTGAATGTAACAATAGTATCGTTTCTTTTTTCTCATCGTTCCACATTGTTGCTAGCTGCTTAGTAGAGTCAACAAACTCGTTGATCAAATAGGGATCTCGTAGACTGCATGGTCTGCCATCTTTATATCCGAAAGTGAGTGTTATGATTAAAGGACTCACTTGACTGTAAATATATATAAGGTAATAGTCCTCCCTATGCAAAACATCAAACTTGAGGGACGGGTCATTCTCATTGAGGAAATGTTTCCAAGAAAGTACTCTTTGCAAGTTATTTTTCTCAAAGTTAAGCCATATAAACTCTTTAGATGTCAAAAGAAACGCTTCATTTTCTTGAGTACAAAAATGTCTGATTCTTGACCAAGTGTTCGACGTAATTAACAATTTGGGCGATGTCATCGTCACATCCCCACGTAGGTAAAGTTTCAGAATTTTGGTTCGAGTCAATAGCAAAATCGTGTCGTTATCACATGGCCAGCAAATATTTATCCAATTGGAGAACTCGTCAGCGTCACAACTTGACAAGTTCAAATCCATTTCATTTGAGTTGAGCTTCCGCACCTTTGTAAGCCCCTTACTCAATTGCCAAGTAGTTAGTCTGCCATTGACATCCACCAAGGCCAATTTTCTATAATTTTGTTGGCAAAAGCACCCATGAGCAAATATGGATCCTGTTCTTGCAGATTCTTCAAAGTTTATTTTTTTTACAATTTTAACCTTGAGCCTTGTACTGCAATCTGAAAGCTTACACGTAATAATAGTAACATTAGTGTCTGTTCTCACAAGAAGAACAACCTTGCTTGTAATGATTTTTGAAGCAGAAACTTCAATTTGTTGAATTCTTTCCAAAAAGTCCACCTGGAACGGATCGATAAGCTGGATTGATTTTGATTCATTTTCCTGTGATATCAAGGAGACACACATAACTGATCGTGACTCACCATAAACATAAGCCAATGCATTCAGCAGCTTGACTGATTTGTTTTCGTTGTTGCTGTTGCTGTTGCTGTTGCTGTTGCTGCAGACCTTGAACAATTTAAACAAGTCTCCACAATTGGGATCATAAGCCATACTTGAGGTAATAGCTCTTGTTTCAACTTTGAAAGAAGACGCTATTCGATTTGGAATGTACTCTTTTGACAAAATACTATCCAAACTATTCCCAAACCTCACAATTTGTTCATCAACCGAGTTTGTACTGGTAAGCACCTTTATGGTTTTTTTATCCACCGTGAATGTATCAGCAAACTCTCTGTGCCTTGGAAAGACCAGTTCAAGCTCTAAATTGCTCATTTGAAATCCATCTCCTTCATTCAAGCACAGAATAACATTGCCATCAACACCATAACTTAGTCGAGTCCCCAAACCTCTCTTATGGGGCCACATTCCCTTACAAAATTCCCATCCAAAGCCCCAATGAGATGAGATGAGATGAGATGAGATGAGATGAGCTTCTTCAATTTTACAATTGGTAGCTCAATTTTTCAATTTTTCAACATTTTCAACATTCAGCTTGGGCTTTTACCTTTGTAGATAACAAAGTTGAACAAGATACCCAATTGGTAGGTATGAGATGGTTAGTCTGTCAATTTCTTATTGTTGTTGGTTGTATTGCTCAGCAAGTGGCGTTTGATCTATACGATGAAGGTGTAAATTTAGAAGAAAGTTTGATAACGCGTTACTATAAAAAGGCCAATGATTCATTGCTTTGGGGACCCTATAGATCGGCATTATATTTTGGTATAAGACCCCGATATCCGAAATCTTTGCTTTCTGGGTTGATGTGGTTTTCAGTGAACGATTACCAGTCAATTGGGTCTATGAGACATTTTTATGAACAAAGCGATAACATGGGAAGGGCTAATTGGGTGGCTTATGACCCACGAATTGGAGGTAGGCAGATAATTGAGGATAATGACTGTCATGTAACCATTACTATTGACTTTGTTAAGAGTACGGATGGCTTATCATGGGGAACTAAAGTAAAAGCAGAACCACATGCTGGTTACGAAGAAACAAAGATATCGTTTGTTTGGTACAGTGGGCTAGAAGGTGAGAAACAGTCTGATAATGGTGTTGACGAAACTGAAATCGAGAGAACTGGTTACTTCAAATTGAGTAACCAGAAAAATATATTGGGTTATGAGGATAATCTCCAATTCGCAGGGATTTCGGAAGAGTTGGGCGCATTTGAATTGGAAATCAATGATGGTCCCAAAAAAAACAGGCATCCCAGTGGTAGTGAAGTAGATGCGGATTTAGGATTGGATCCTAGTCTTGCTCACCATTATAGTTTGAGAGTACCCGACGATAATACATGGAAAGCTAGAGATATATTCATAACAATGTTGCAAGAGTCAGTAAAAGACCTTGAAACAAACATTGGCACTATTGGTCAATTGGCTCCCGAGAATTTGTTTATTATACGAGACTTGCATAACTTTGAAGGAAACTTGCATTTTGTTCAAAAAGTGTATCAGGGTTCTTGTGAATTTGATGTTATATACACCAACGCATTGACACCCACCCCAGAAAGAATAACGTTTCAAAACATTGATAAACGAATAAAAGCCAATGCTGAAAGGTTTGACGCAAATTTTGCAGAGCATTTTCAGTTGCAAAAACCATTCCAGTCTGAGAAATATATGGGCTTTGCTAAGGAAATTTTATCAGGTTTGCTTGGTGGATTGTCTTATATGTATGGCAACCATTTGGTTGACAGAGAAACTGTATTTGATGAGGATACATTTGAATCTCACGAGCTTAAAGGATCATTTGAAGGGCCACATGAGCTATTCACGCTTGTACCGTCAAGACCATTTTTCCCTCGTGGGTTTTACTGGGACGAGGGATTCCATTTAATGCCGCTAATTGGTTACGATTCAGACCTCGTTTTGGATATTATTAAGTCATGGTTTAATCTTATTGACGACGAAGGTTGGATTGCAAGAGAACAAATTTTGGGACCGGAAGCAAGGTCGAGAGTGCCATCTCAGTTTCAGGTCCAAAGTCCCCACATTGTAAATCCACCTACTTTGACCTTAGTGTTGACTAGCTTGCTAGAAACTATATCAGAGACTAATAAATTCGGTGATATAGCGGAACCAAACAATCTTGACACCGATGATAAGACCGAGGAACCTGAATTGGGCAATTTCCTTATGAAGAATCCTGAAGTGCTTTTCAACTACACGAGGGAGATATATCCCAAGTTGAAGTCCCATCTTGATATGTTTCGCAAAACGCAGCAAGGGTATATTGAAGAATTTGATAGAAGTATAGAAAACAACGAGGTATTCAGATGGAGAGGACGAACGAAAACTCATTGTCTTGCGAGCGGTCTTGATGATTATCCTCGTGCTCAACCTGTGGATGTTGCTGAGTTGAATGTTGATTTGATTTCGTGGATTGGAATAATGACGAGATCTTTACGCCTTATGGCAGAGATTTTGAATCAGAAAGATGACATTGCTGATTTGGAAGATATAGAAAAGAACATCAAAAATAACATTGAGAAGATTCACTGGTCGGACCAGAATAACGCATACTGTGATGTCTCAGTAGACGACGATGATGAAGACGTATTTGTTTGTCATAAAGGCTATGTTTCGTTACTCCCATTTCTCACAAGATTAATTCCGGAAAGCGATGTTCAAAAATTGGAGCATGTAATTGATATGATCACAAATCCAGAAGAGTTGTGGTCGCCCTTTGGTGTTCGCTCATTATCTAAGTCCGATTCCAATTACAAAACCGGCGAAGACTACTGGAGGTCCCCAATTTGGATAAATATGAATTACTTGATCTTGAAAAGTATACAAGAGTATTATAACACTAGTATAAATCTTATGTCATCTGGATTACGTAGCAAGTTTGAAGACGCGTATCATGATTTGAGGTTGAATGTGGTGAACAATGTTTTTAAACAATGGGAGAAGACTGGATTTGTTTGGGAGCAATACAATGATGAAACAGGTGAAGCAAAGGGGGCCAAGAATTTCTTGGGGTGGACCTCTGCAGTGCTATTGATGATGGCTATGCCAGAGAGAATTATAAACTAGAATATAAGATACAAATAAAAGTAAAGAATAGTCCCTCTAAGATAAAAATAAAATCTCTCTTTTCTATTCTATATATATATATAAAAAAAAACCGGGTATCATACTACATTTTTCTTAGATGGGTCTTCATCAAATCTTAAATCCCATCCAATTTGTTTTCCTAATTTAGGCAAGACCTCTGCAACAGATTGAACGTCCTTGTCCCCTCTACCTGAAACATTGATGACAATATGTTGATCCTTGGGCAATTTCTTGGCCAACTCTACACCACCATAAATAGCATGCGATGATTCCAAAGCAGGTATGATACCTTCCAACTGTGACAAAAGTTTAAACCCTTCTAAAGCTTGAGCATCAGTTGCAGCAATAAAAGTGGCTCTTCCTGTGCTTTTCCAAAATGCTAATTCTGGTCCTACACCTGGATAGTCCAATCCAGCAGAAACAGAGTGGGTATCATGAACTTGACCGTCACTATCTTGTAAAACATAAGTTCTCACACCATGGAAAACACCAGGAATACCTGCAGACAATGTAGCAGAATGACGTTCTGTGTCAAGCCCGTCACCACCAGCTTCGACTCCCAACAAAGTCACGTCCAAGTCCTTTTCGAATGGTGAAAACATCCCGGTAGAATTTGAACCACCTCCAACACAAGCAACCACGGCGTTTGGTAATTTACCGTCATTCAATTGTTTAAATTGTTCTTTTGTTTCTTGTCCAATGACACTTTGGAAGGTTCTCACCATGACTGGGTACGGATGTGGACCAATAGCTGACCCAACAACATAATGAGTGGTTTCCAAGTTCGAGACCCAGTATCTGAAAGCTTCTGATGTAGCATCTCTCAAAGTTTGAGTACCATTCTTGACTGGAATGACATTGGCGCCCAAGATTTTCATTCTGAAAACATTCAAGGCTTGACGTCTAGTATCTTCAGCACCCATAAAAACAGTACACTCCAAACCAAATTTGGCACATGCCGTAGCTGTAGCAACACCATGCTGACCGGCACCGGTCTCGGCAATAATCTTCTTTTTGCCTAGTCTTTTTGCAACTAGAACCTGAGCTAATGCATTATTTATCTTGTGGGATCCCGTATGGTTCAAATCTTCCCTCTTTAACCAAATGGTAGCACCACCAGCATATTCTGATAACCTTTCTGCTTTATGTAATGAAGATGGTCTTCCAATGTATGAATACAAGTCTCTAAATTCCTTCCAAAATTCCGGATCTTCTACTGCATCCTCAAATCCTTTCTCTAGTTCTGCTAAACAAGTATGTAATGCTTCTGGAACATATTGACCACCAAAATCACCAAAATGAGAATTGTATTTGTGTGGCTCCTTGAGGACAGGTTTTGATTCTTGCTGCTCCAATTTGCTAGCACCACCACCACCACCTCCTCTGCTGAACGTGGATGGCGCGCTCGATTTATAATCTTCTCCTAGTATAGATCTGACATAGTTGTAAGCAGTTTTACCTCTATCACCTGGTTTGGATTCACCAATTAAAGTAACTATTCTGGATCCAATAACAACACCATCAGCGACTTTACCCACTGCCAAAAAGTGGTCTCTAGTAGATACACCAAATCCAACAGCTATAGGAGTATCATTAACGGCAAATTTTCTTACACGTGCACATAATTCTTCGATACCTGCAGAAACTTTGGTTGATGCACCAGTTGTACCCATCTTGGAAACAACGTAGATAAAAGAATCGGCAATTTTGCCCAAAACTTTTAATCTTTCATCGGTTGTGGCTGGTGCAACTAATGGAACGTATGACAATCCAAACTTGGCACATGAACTTCTGAATTTGACTGCTTCTTCAGGAGGCAAATCCACAACAATGAAACCGTTTGCGCCAGCTTTTTCAGCATCTTGTAAAAATCTACTTTCCCCGTACTTTAAAATCGGGTTATAATAGCCCATTAGGATAAGAGGAACAGTGACGCCCTCTGCTCGCGCTTGCTTAACCAAGTCTAAACATTTTGCAACAGTGATTCCGTTTTCCAAAGCTTTGATGTTAGCTGTTTGAATCGTTGGACCATCTGCAATTGGGTCTGAAAAGGGAATACCCAACTCTATGATATCGACACCTGCTTCTTGCATACTTTGCAAAATCGGTACTGTATCCTCAATAGTAGGATATCCTGCTGTAATGAAATTAACAAGTGCATTACGACCTTCTTTTTTACACCTATCAAATGTTTCTCTGATTAACGCCGACATGGTTTAGAAATGAGGAAGAAGAGAAGATTGATGGGGAGGGGTGCTTCTACTCTATATTGTCAAAAGTGAAAAATGAAAAATTCATGAGTCAACTTTGTATGCAGGACGACATCGGCAATGAGAGTGGTCACGTGCCCCACTATCACCAGCACTAGCTGCCAATATATCACATCACTATCGAGCAGAGTGAGATAGTGGTGCAATCAATCTTGTTCTGCTCAATAGTGGAACACACGGGTTTGATTGTACTACTATCAAGCAGACCGAGATTACCTAATACACCTCACCTCTACACCTCTACACCTCTACATCTCTACACCTCTACACCTCTACATCTCTACATCTCATTGCCTAATACATCTCACTGCCTAAAACACCTCTACAACTAATACGTAATATTTAATACACCTCTACTCAAGTATACCTAATTCTAATACACTTTTACACTATAACAATACATCTCACTACCTAACACCTAATACTAATACATCTCCGATACATCTAATAGCAATATTGTAATACTTGATACTAATACACCTCACTACTCAATTCCTGTTACTAATACACCTCCTCCCCTCTACACCTCCTCCCCTCTACACCTCCTCCCCTCTACACCTCCTCCCCTCTACACCTCCTCCCCTCTACACCTCCTCCCCTCTACACCTCCTCCCCTCTACACCTCTTCCCCTCTACACCTCCCCTCCCCTCCCACTGTAGATTCCTTCTCGATACTCTACATGAGTCTCATTTCTCTTACAAGTTGTTTTAGTCATAGCTTGTTGCAAGATACTGATCACTGCTCTTCACTACTCTTCACTGCTCTTCACTGCTCTTTACTGCTCTTCATTTCTTGTCACTGCTCTTGTCTATTTCTCTTTCCACGAAATGTTGCAATACATACAAATACAAATATGAGACTATCTCGCTTTGCTCGATAGTCGAGAGGAAGAAGAGAGAAGATACTAGTCTTGTGTCTTTCTAGTGTCTTTTCTTTTTCGTTTATGTTATTCAATGCACAATACGACTACTGCAATACATACAAATACAATATTTAAATAAAGATAACTATCGACACTATCGACACTATCGAGCAGAGCGAGATAGTGGGGCACACTGACTAACGATTTAACGTATGGTATTGTTAACTTTGGGGACTTTTTTCTTGGTAAAGGTAGTCCTTCTCTCACAACTGTCCTTCTCTCACAATTGTTGTATTATAAACATAAAGCTTTTGAGTCAGGGAATTGTAGTTGACTTTATATTAGATTTTTCTCGAAACCACATTAAAACTGAATCAAAATATTTATAACTTGTACTGACAATGATATAATGTTGAGTCCAGTGTAGGGTGTTTTTCTACCCTTTCTATCACCACCTTTTTATCAATATAATTTGTATTTACCCATTAGAACCTTTCTATTAGAACCTTTTTATCAATATGATTTTTCATTCAATTAACCACACACAATAGTCTACAGAAAGAGTAGGTATAGATCGAACAAAGCGAGATACTCTATAGAGAGAGTAGATGTAGACTATCGAGCAAGGCGAGATACTTTATGCTCGATAGTCTATAGAAAGAGTAGATGTAGACTATCGAGCAAGGCGAGATACTTTATGCTCGATAGTCTATGCTCAATAGTCTAAATGTTTTTTGCTGTATATTATATGAGAATCACTGATTATATGCTGATGACAGATTACCAGGAAAGAATGTCTTGCGCTCTTTAGAATGTATTTATCTAGACTTTTACTCAGTTGTTTACTTTATATATCCATCCACCCAACATTAAAGAGGAAAAAATGATAATAATGGTGGTGGCAGCTAGTCAGTGTGCTCCACTATTGCTCTGCTCGATAGTGTCGGTGGCAGATAGTGTCAGTAGCAGATAGTGTCGGTAGCAGAAAGTGTCAGTAGCAGAAAGTGTCGGTGGCAGATAGTGTCAGTAGCAGATAGTGTCGGTCAGTGTGCTGTACTATCGCTCTGCTCGATAGTGTCAGTCAGTATGCTCTACTATCTCTCTGCTCAATAGCGTCGGCCAGTGTGCTCCACTATCTCGCTCTGCTCGATAGTGTTGCTCTGCTCGATAGTGTTGCTCTGCTCGATAGTGTTGCTCTGCTCGATAGTGTCGCTCGATAGTGTCGGTTGCAATCAAGTTCATTTTTCCTCTTAAAATTTGGCTGCGAAAAACAAATGCAATAACAAAATCTTATAATCTATTAATTTTTCTTAAGGAGTTGAAAACAGCTACTCTTTTGAACAAACATAGTTCTACTGTAAGCGTGTCAAACCCGTGTGTCAACAGGGAGTTTAAGAAAAAACAGCTTGAAATTGTTATTAATCAAATGCTGTCAATAGACAATTTACACTATGACTACAAAAAGCTCACGAAAACATATATGGATTTTTTCAATTCTGACAAATTTACAAATTTCTTAAATACTACACAAACAGGTTCAGCACATTCGTCTCATGGTATTGACTTTCCCATCTTTATGCAAACATTGTTCACCTCAATATGTTTTTGCACAATTCAATTAACTTTATTTTGTTTATTAAGATCGATATTCAACTACCTTTACCAACCACGATGTTTTTGTGTACCAATCAATGAAAGGATGGAAATTTTGCCTCGTGGGTTTATCAAGTGGATCATCCCAACTTTGCAAAGTAGTATCAATACATACCTCTCTTTGGGATTGGATGCCTATTTCTTTGTTCGGTTTATATCAGTATTGTCATTGTTTTTTTTGTTGATTGGATCCTTGAATATGATTATATTGATCCCTATCAATTTCACAGGCAATTCCATAGAGTTTACAGCAGCAGGATTGGACAAGTTAAGTCTTTCCAATATTGCAAATTCAAATGTGTCTAGACTAAATGCACATTTCATCATGGGATTATTAACAATCGGCGTATTCCACTGGTTAATAATTTACGAATTTCAAAGTTTTGTAATAATTAAACAATCCTATCTTTTATCAGAGTCACATAAAAACTCAATCATGGCTAGAACATTATTGATTTTCAATGTTCCCCATTATTTACAAGATGAGCAGGTCTTGAGAGATTTGTTCCAGTTTGTACCGGGTGGTGTGACTCATATATGGCATGTTTGTGATTTTGAAAAAATCGATCATCAAGTTGAAAAAGCAAAGGATGCATTGAACCTTTTGGAAAAGTCTCAAATCTTAGCATTGAAAGGGTACTATTGTTCAATCCTGTTATTATGGCAAAAGAAAGAACAACAAAATGATGCCCTCTACCGAGTGAAAAAAGACATCAAGTTTTTCCCTCCAATATATTGCCGTATGATCAAGTTCCCGCAAATTGATCGCAGTCTCAGGCTAAAACTTCCAGGATGGCTAAGGCTCTTTGCTTTGCAAAAACGAGTATCAATGTTGAACTGGGCATTGGAAACCTTGCAAGAATGCCACCTAAAAATTGATGAGGAAAAGCTTAAATTGGCCAATGGCCAATTAAGCAAACACAACAAGATATTTATTGAGTTTCAAGATCACAAGGGTGCGTGTATTGCAAACCAATGCCTTCTCTCTCAAAGTCAAGGTTGTTTCGACAAGACCTTAATTGAAGTGCACCCACAGGATATAATATGGAGAAACATATCAAGAACAGATGGAATAGGTTGCAAATTTGAAAAGTACATTGTCACCATTCTATTCATCAGCATAATAGTACTATATGTTATACCCGTATCGTTGATCCACTCGCTTTCGCAAATACCACTACTTATTCATTTGATGCCGTTTCTAAAATGGATATATCAATTCCCCGAGGAAGCCAGGCAAACTATATCAGGTTTCCTTCCTTCCATCCTACTTACCATTTTAACCGAATTTGTCATGATAACATTTCGGTTCTTGACTTATTTCAAGGGAAAAGCCACTGGAAGCGAAGTGGAACTTGATTTGCAGAAATGGTTTTTTGCATTTCTTTTTGTTCAGCAGTTTCTTGTGGTGACTATATCATCTAGTGTTACCGTTATTTGTAAACAGATTATTGACCAGCCAACATCAATTCCTGTATTGTTAGCTACAAATTTGCCAAAGTCTGCAACTTTCTTCTTCCAGTACATTTGTCTTCGGGCATTTGCATTCTGTGGTAACAATTTCCTTAGAATAACCCAATTAGCATTAACAAACTCATACTACAAGATAGTGGACATCACACCGAGACAAAAATTTAACCGAATAACTGCATTACCTCAGATTCAATGGGGCACTACATTTGCCGTATACTCAATATACGCATGTATCGGTATTTCCTACTCAATCGTTTCTCCACTTATATCCATATTTATCATTTTTTTTTTAAACCTATCCATCTTGTATTACAAATATGCGTTGAAGTATGTTTACAGTCATATCAATACTTCAGAAACAATGGGGAGACTATACCCTATTGCATTGCTTCATTTGTTCACAGGGATATACTGTCTTGAATGTTGTCTTATTGGAGTTTTTTTCCTCCTGAAAGATTCATCGGGTAAATATGTTATGAGAATTCAAGGCTGGATAATGACTGGGGTTTTGTTTTTCACAATTTTTGCAAACACATTGATTTATAACAGGTATTTACCATATTTCTCAGATTTGCCCATTTTATCAGATAAATTATATAAAGACGAAAAGAAATGTGAATCTTCATCAACTCCAGTTAATAGTACCATCAATAGTAGTACAAACCACGAATTTCTTTATCTTCATCCAGCTTTCAAATATGAAAAGCCCAAAATCTGGCTTCCCAAAGATCCTAAAGGGTTCTCCAATTTGCAAATTGAAGAGATACAATCAAGATCAGCTGCAATAAAGGGTGCAACTAGTGGTGCAGAAGTTCAAGTTGGAAAATTTTTAAAGACTTTAAAAATGCACATTTCGGAGGCGCCACCAGATTACAAATGACCGTGACATTTGTTTAATCGATCTTTGATCCTTAACCTTTTAAGTAAAAAACTCCATGTATTAAGATTCTCAAGTCGCTTAAAATCTCTTAGTTTGTGGTACTCTTTGATCTTTTCCGAAAGCCAAAACTTTTTAATTAAAATTTCATCCTTTTTCAAAACAATCACGCCGTTTTTCACGGGAAATGCCTGGCCACATTTGAAAGCAAAACCAACAACTACAGGAACAAACTGGAATCGTTTAGTATTGTGCTGCAGCAAGACCTGCTCTATATTTGACAATTTCAACCATTCACAAGCATCAGGAACCATATTGGGCCTGAAAATTTCTATATTTCCGTACTCGTTTTTTGGAATCTCTCCAGATTCGGATACCTTTAACTTAATATACGGACAAGTCTGGGCAAAACAATACAACCTTACGTCATTCAACTCAGGATTATATATCTGATTTTGATTGAATACTCTCTTGTTATATATTGTTCGAGGTGTTGCTTTTGTTAGCTTGATTGGTTTGTCCACTTCTTCCAATTTAATTGATCTACCAAAAAACTTCCATTGTTTGTCGGATTTCCCAACCATTACATATTTTTTGAAATATACCGGTTCTTTCGTTCTACCGTTACCATCCAACTTTATCCTCTTCACAGGCTCAATTCCCGGAGTAATCACCTCATTATATCTCAAAGTAGATGGAGTTACAAAATTCGGGCTTTTTTTCATTGCTGAAAACGTCTTTGGTATGATGTAGTTATGCATAGCTAAAGCGCGAAGACCATCCAACTCGAGATTATCATACCTAGTATAAGTTTTATCTTTATTCATAATCCGCAATACAGACTGCATCAATAATGCCAATCTGCCACTTTCTGTCCTTAAATCCAATTTTCCAAACCATCGGTAAGATATATCTTTCATGTACCGCGAGCTTACATCAATTATCGCATTGTTATTGCTCAAAGCTAGCACGTAATGCATTGACATTTGACACAACTGGCTTTGAGCTGGATAGTATTGACCAGTGTAGGAATTTTCTATTTTACCGTCAAAACGGTTGAGCCTTATTAATTGCCTTTCTTCTTCCAAGAAACATTGTGTTTCAATCACAATAACCTCCGACTGATTGAGTGGGTTTACTAATTCTGTCCAGAAATAAGGGTATAGCAAATCATTATCTTTATTCACCCTGATTATGTCTTTATTTAGTTTTGGTTGAAACTTGATTGGTTTCCCAGTACTTAAAAGAGGCACCGAATAAACCAACCGGGCTTCCAAGCCCAAGGATCTAAGTAATGCTGTAAACAATTGTGCACCAGTATCTCGATTATGCTGAAATCTTTTAATGATTTTGCACAATTCGTTTGCATTGGTTATTGGTTTGGCATTGTTGACAAAGTAGTCTTCCAATTTAGCTGCACTGCCGTTACTACTGCCACGTTTAGGAAGATATCCTAATACTCGTAATCCGTTAGAATCATGTTTAAAGTTTTTTCGAAACCACTTGATTAGATATTTGAGGATATAAATAAGTAACTTATCTTGATCTTGTTCTCGCTCCGTGGCAGCGGCAGCGGCAGTGGCAGTGGCAGTGGTGCTCCTGTTGAAGTTTCGGTAATATTTTATCAATTGTTTTGGTAGGAGATGCTTCAAAGTTTTGAGAACCTTTTTATGCGATAGTAGTTTATTTCGGTGCTGAGCATTTAGTATATATGAAACAATGCTCAAGTTCTGAAGGCTTATCCTTTGACGCTTTTGGAGAATAAGCTCTTTCAATTTCTTCTTCTTCTTCCTTTCTTCTTCGTCATCGTCATCCAGCCTCAAAGTGATGTTGAAACTTTCATGCCATTCTTGTTGTATTGGCGTAACGGGCTGAAACACGACATTTTCCCAATCTGAATCCAGAAACGAATCTGAGTCTGAATCTGAATCGATAGCAGCAAGACCTTTATTAGCAAACTCTTTGGTCTCTGAATTTGCAGCACCAAAATCTCTATCAGCAAACTGTTTAATCTTTCGCTTCTTCAAAACAGGCTCTTTGACTTGTTGAAGTTCGTCTTGAAGTTCGTCACCGCAATCTTCTGTAAGAAATAACCCACCCATCGCATTTACTTTCAAGAGACACTATCAAGCAGAGCGAGATAGTGGAGCAGCACTGAGTCACTGCAGCAACTTTTTTTTTCCCCCACTAGATAAAGCGCGACTTCAAAAGTTACTTGGTAAACAAGTGGAACATATAAAGATACGATCCAAGGGAGATTTGATCGAGAACACGATAATTGTGCGAGTATCATGGCCTTTGTTGGTTGGCAGTAAAAAATACTATTTTATCAAAGTCCTAGACTTGGTTTTAGAGCAAGAAAAATCAACAAATTGATAGCATTGGAAAATTGATAAAACTTTCAACAAAAATATATTGAAATCTATATAATGTAGAGTAATTGAATCCTTGTATCTTTCTTACCACCCAAAACCTGCACTATAGAGCAACACCTGCACTATAGAGCAACACCTGCACTATCGAGCAATACCTGCACTATAGAGCAGAGCGAGATAGTGCAGCAATCCCTGGTAGACTCCCTAGCGGAGCAATATGTATTGCTCCGCTAGGGAGCGAAGCGAGCTAAAAACCTTTAATAAAAATAGTAAAAAGTAACTTATAAGAATAGGTGATAGAATGTACAAACAAGTCTATTCACTTGTGTTGGAAAGTATACTTGTAGTCAGTAGTAGCAGCTAGCGGTGACAGCTGGTGGTGACAGCTAGTAGTAGCAGCTAGCGGTGACAGCTGGTGGTGACAGCTAGTAGTAGCAGCTAGCGGTGACAGCTGGTGGTGACAGCTAGTAGTAGCAGCTAGCGGTGACACCTAGTGGTGACAGCTAGTAGTAGCAGCTGGTGGTGACACCTAGTGGTGACAGCTGGTGTGCTCGATAGTGATGGTGTCGGCAGCTGGTGTGCTCCACTATCTCGCTCTGCTCGATAGTGATAGTGGTGGTGATAGTGATAGTGATAGTGTCGTTGCCGTATTATTCATGTAGTATCTTGCTCACTTGTAGAAATTCAGGTATCATTGCCCACTGTTTATTCAGCTCAGCTTCTTCATCATGTCCATATAGAGTAAAAGAATCAAAGCTCGCTGTGGCTTGAAAGCTTTTCACGGTTTTGATTACCTCACTGCCGTCAGCTTCGTTTTCTTCTCGTACTAAATTTTCTACGCTATTTACAATAAAGCCCTCAACCCCAAGTTTTTCAAGATTTAATTGTTTCCCTACTACAAGCCTTCGACCTCTAAAGTATACCGTATCAACTTGTGACCCATCGTTTTGCTTTTCCGTTGTATGGGATGGCGTAAAATAATCTGCAGTATTTGCAGAGCCACTGTACTTTATATGCATTGGCAATAACGAAGCACTCACTCTTGGTGTACTTTCACCATGACTTATCTTTATCGTTGACATTTTATAACAACACAAGGTTAAAAGACTCGTTTTTTTTTGTTTTTTTTTTTGTTTACTTAAGAGACGCGATTTATCACCAAAACTGAACCAAGACCATCAAAATTGCAAGAACAAATTCAGATAGTATAGAAAATACCACAGGGTCGTTCCACGTCGTGGTAGAAAGACCCTGTTGTATTGATACTTTATTAAAAATAATACAAAACTAATTACATTACATATTTAGTGGCCGCTGTAATAATTATGCTTATAAGGGTCATCTAGTACCCCCCCTCTCTCTCTCTTCCCTTCCTTCCCCCTATTTGATATCCAGAACCAATCAGTTTCAATCATTGATCCAAGATTTGTATCTTATTTTTTTTTCTTTTCATTCTTTTGTTCTCACTTTTTTTTTTTTTTGGCTTAAGAAAGAGCCACACCTTTTTGAAGATTGCACTTGGGAATAAGATTAATCTTTGATAGATTAAGCCAGTTGTTGATAAGAGAGAAAAGTGGGGGTGGTACGTTAGCAATGTCAGGAGAAGGAGCGACGGAAGATACGAACCAAACTCGGTTCCCGCACTTGGCTCCTAACATAATACATGACCCATCAGCAGAAACTTCAGGTCTTATAGCAGGGGAATTAGCTGCTGAGGACGGTTCGATGATTTCTCGCGATAATTTAATATCCCACACTTATGGATCAGTTAGTCACGGTGAACTACCAAAGAACTATGCAATAGATGATCCTCACGGAGGGTATGCATTACCAAAGGCACAACTATATACAGTTGTATCAAGTTTGTTTATGGCCTCCTATTTAGCTGCATTGGATGCAACTGTAGTAACTACTTTGCTTTCGTTTATTGCTTCGGAACTACACGCAGTTCAAAATATCTCATGGATAGCTACTGCCTATTTGTTATCATCGGCAGCATTTCAGCCGATATTTGGCAAGATATCAGATATTTTTGGCAGAAAGTTATTATTGATTGGATGCTGTTTCCTTTTTGGATTAGGATGTTTGATATGTGTAACTGATTCGTTAGTTTGGTTGGTTATAGGAAGATTTGTTACCGGTATTGGTGGATCCGGTTTGACTTCGATTGGAACCATGGCCATGTCCGACTTGATCCCACTAAGAGACCGTGGATTGTACCAGGGACTAGCTAATATTTTCTTTGGCTTGGGCTCGGCATCAGGCGGTATCATTGGTGGTATTATTGCAGATACTTTGGGTTGGAAATACGTTTTTGCTTTGCAAGTGCCGTTAGCGGTAATTGTTGGGGTTGCAATTCAATTCAACTTGAATTTGCCACAAGGATCTCCAGGTTTGGGAGCTCATGGACAAGATATTTGGCAAAAATTGAAAAGGGTTGATTTTTTGGGAAGTATTTTTTTGATTAGCTCATTGATGATGTTTTTGACTGCTGCGTCGTTGGGCGGTAAGGAAATCTCATATACTTCGAATTCGTTCCTATTAATGACTGGTGGAAGTGGTTTATTTTTTGCTGCTTTTGTTTTTACTGAAATATACATTAGTGAGGAGCCAATTATACCAATTGAGCTACTAGGCAATAGAACTGTTTTGGCATCATCGTTGACGAACTGGTTCTACACAATGGGTGTATTTACCACCTTGTTCTATGTTCCAGTGTTTTACACCTCAGTGAAAAACCTCACTGCGAGTCAAAATGGGTGGAGACTAGTTCCAAATTTCCTTGGTGTCTCATTTGGCTCTGTAGGAGCTGGCTACTATATGAAGAAAACCGGTCGTTACTATAAGCTCGCAATTGGAGCAGGTATATTATCTGTTGCGGGTGTTTTCAAAATAACCCTTTTAAACACCTCGACACCAACATGGCAACAATACCTTTTATTGATACCACTGGGTTTGGGGTACTCTTGTATGCTAACTGTAACATTACTTGCGTTGATTGCAGCAACGCCAAAAAAATTCCAAGCATGCACAACATCTATACAGTATACTTTTAGATCTACAGGATCTACGTTGGGTGTATCAATAGCCTCAGCAATCTTCATGAATGTATTGCTGCAACAATTGACCAAAAATGTAAGTGCAATAATTTCAGACCCAAAATTAGCAAAAAGGGTTATTTCCCGAGCACTTGATAGTACCAGTTATGTCAATGAAGCTCCTAAATACGTAAGAGGTGCTATTCGAGACTCATACGAAGCTGGATGTAAAGGTACATTTTATTTTGCTTTATTGACTATTTTCTTGGGTTTCGTTTCTTCGTTGTTTATGAGGGAACACAGATTGCACACCAGTATTAACAGAGACTAAAAAAGGAACTGGTCTTTCTTTCTATTGCCCCTTTTCCTTTCCCCTTTTTTTATTTATTTATTTATTTATTTATATTGTTGTTTTGATAGAAATAATCAATTTATATATTATCTATACATCTATGAAATCATCATCTTCTTCAATTGGTGCATGGTCAATCAGATAAGTATGGTTTGGACCAGCAGTGATAATGAGATTGGGTAACCTTGCAGAAGAATCCTTCAGTGAAACACCATATAATTCTGGATGATGGTTAAGATTATGTGTGGGAGGACTTTCATCGTTTTCGTTCAAGTTATACATTGGCACAAAAGGGATTTGAAACTTCATACTTAAATTAGGTGATACGGTTTGTTTTTGTTTCAAAGGAGATTTGATCGACAATGCCTTACTTGATAATGATGGTCTAACCAATAATGGCGATAATACAGGTGATAACATTTGATCATGAATTACTGCGTTTTCCAAGGTATTTTCAATCACATCGTCGATCAACTCCTTATCCACTTCTCCACTAAAATTGATCAGTATAACAGCGCCTATAGTACACACCAACCCCAAGACGTAACCATAACTTACATTATGGATTGGTTCATTTGCCCATAACAATATCATATAGTCGACAAATATAGTTATTGGAACAGCACACGTCAACGTTAATGATACAACAAGTGGGCTAGTTAACAACATGGCCAAGATTGCTGTAAAGTCAGAAATGGCCGAAAACACAGCATTGACAAAGACGTTAAAGAATACTGCTCTATTTCCCTTTGGTGGGAGTTCAAACTTTTCGATATCGAAAAAGTCAACAATGTACAACAAAGGGACACTCAAAATCAAAGTGATTAGTCCCACGTATCCAAATAATCGTCTTTCATTGGTTGTCTTGCCCCCACTACTGCCACATTTCAATCTCATAAGCAATAAGTAACATGCATATAAAAATGCGCCTGCAAGAGCAAAAGTGTTGCCCAACTTTGGGTTCTTGGGCTCGAATTTTCCGCCACCACCACCATCACCACTCTTTTGGTCACTACCGAAATTGACCAAGAACACACCAATACAACTCAACATAACACAAACAACCTTTTTCAAAGAGAGTTTCTCAATATTAAGGAAATACCCCATTATAAGGGTGAAAACCGTAGTAGTTGATCCTATGATTGTTTGATTTGACGCTGAAGTATATTTTAATGCCTCCATAAGGAACAAGTTGTACAAGTAATAGATTATTGCAACTTGTAAAGCGAGTTTCGAAACTTCGCCTTTTGTCATTTCCACCGCCAACACACCTTCATCCTTCTCTACTTGTATATCATCTCTATCACTCATCAAGGGCTGATTTACCCCCTCGATTTCATTCTTGACAAATACCTTTTTCGCCAAGAATAGGAATAGATCCGGTATAAAGTTCACCATATAACAAGACCCACTGATAGCAGCAAAAAACCACTGTTTCTTATACTCGCTAGTTTTCAATACGCCACTCACCAACTCTAACCCGGTAATCCATGTAACAATAGATACAACTAGTAATGCTATCCCAATTCTATAATTGCGCTTCTCCTTTTGAGTGATGAAATCAATAATTTCCGTAGGATCGTGAGATACGACTGATGACAAGTACGGTGTTAGTCTCAGTGACTTTACTTTGGGAGAATACCCAATATTTGGCATGCTTGGTGCCATACAATCAACTAAACCTCAAGTAATTCGCCCGTGGTGTAGCTTCCTACAAACGTTGTAGATTTGGTTTTCGATGATCAAATTGGCGGAGATAAGAGATTAGAAAGATAAGAAGTTCTATGCGGCGCATTCTCGCGACATTTTTTTTTTTGTTCTATATATATAGCTTGCACCTCTCTTACATGGATAAGAGACAGGAGTTGGGCGCTTAACAGTTGTAACTGAGGGAAATTTATAAATGTTATAGTACATAGCTTCAAACATCATAGGTGCTTGCTAACTTTCGGTGTAGATGCTGTAATGCTGTGATATATTTCGTGTCCTTGGCGACTCCACTCTTGCTGCGACTTTTGATTAAGTCACTAGGTACTGGTTCTAGCAAAGTCTCATCATTAGGATGGCTAAAGAAAACAATTGAGTAGCGATCTTCACTTTGCTTTTCATCCTGGGATTCAAATCTAACTCTATGTATAGTTGATTTTAGTAACCCTGCAGTCCAATAGCTTGCCAAATCGCCAATATTCATCACTATTGGTGGAGCCATACCCGGGAACTTGCCTGTTTCAATATACGGGACTTTTTCCCATTTCCCGCTTATTTGTGAGAAAATTTCCAAACCTTCTTGATTTTGTTTTTGGAAAAGTAGCGTCATTGACCCATAATCGGTATGGGCACCTGCTCTAACCTCTCCCACTGGATTGCTGTCAAAGTTGAGTTTGGGATAATGTAAAAACCGCAACGTAGAACCCGACTTTGCATCTGGCCTGTACCTTGAAACAAACCAGTCGCGACCCTTTAAAGTTTCAGTATCATCAATATTCAATCCTATTGCCAATAATTCAAGTAATTTCAACGTCAAAATGTTGAATTTTCTTATTACAGATGTGACCAACTCATACCGTTCAGCTTCTTTAATCCAATCGGGAACAGGAGCTTCACTGCTTGGCTCACCAGTAACCAAGTTCAAATCACTGATATTCAACCCTTCTTTAAAATCATTCTTTCTTGTAGGGTCCAAGTTCTCGCGGTTAAAGCTAATATACCCAGTATTTCCCTCTGTTTTGGCAAATTGTTCTTTGTATGACATAGGAAGTTCAAAGAAAGCCTTGGATAGTTGGAAAAGAGTGTTAACTTCTTTGCTTGTAAAGTCATGTCCATCTATAAAAACAAAACCCTGAGTTGTTAACGCATTTAAAAACTCTTTTGGAGTCTCATTTGAATTCAGCTTTATATCCACAATTTTCAATGGATTCGGTTTACACATTGCCATAAGTGGGACGAAAAATGTACCTTCTCCCTAATGAACACTTAAACCTAGGTGTCAAACTTGTATTCGTTTCTTTATCTTTTTTTTTTTTTTATTTAAAATCAGGAAAAAAGTATATCCGAAAGCGCAAAAAGCCTACATTAGGAAAGGAGATTAAAATGGGAAGAACTCTGACTAATTGAATCGAATCGATTGGACTGTTTTGAGGCCCCAGGGCTTGCTTATGGAAACAACATCATTTTTATAAATTTTCCTTATGAGTTGTTTCTATTAGTTATTTCTATGAGTTGTTTCTATTAGTTATTTCCATAGATTGTTTTGGTATGTTTATACACTTTATCTACACTCTATCGAATCCAGAGACTGGCTATTCTCTTTCTGTATTTACATGCATTATTTACAATTTCTTTCTAAATGCCACTTCTTCAGGCAATTTGAATGAAACACAAAACATGGGTTTTGTAGGACTAACCATTCTGACCTGATGAAACTCTACTTTAGTAATATCCAATTGATAATCAATTAATTTACAAATCTTTTTCCATATTCGACGACTCAACTCTTCAGTAGTTGGCTCCTCGCCGTTTTCAAACTTTTCAAAACAATGTACATGAATCCAAGGGAGTTCAAAATTTGGTTCATTGACAATTTGGGGGTTTTCTGTGTATAGTCCAATATATGCATCAAGAAAAGTTAATGCGGAATCGGGCAAGTTCATTACAAAATGATGATAAAATTTTGGAATCTCAATGATTTCTGTGGTTGTTGATTTATTACGTTTGGCACGTTTGATAGTTTTCTTTTCTATTGGTCCCGATTTCATGGCAAATTCGTTGAGTAATCTCGCAGCATTTGCAATAAATTCTCTTCCGTCCAAATTAAAAGGCTTGACAAATGGATCAACTTTGTTTATGGAAATGTTTTCTTGTAAATACTTGTAACTATCGGGATTCAAGTCATTAGCAAGAACAATGACATCTTTTTTGCCACTTGGTATAGAAAAAGGTCCAACACCAGCCATAACATCGCCGACAACTTGTCCCTTTTTAAATTTACTAATCAAACGTTCATGCTCAGTGCTTAATCTAGAATTCCAATAAACTTTACTAAAATCGAATTTGAAGCGACATCCACTCTCCAATTGCTCAACAATGTAGTTCTCTTCACCAGATAAAAGCTCCAAGGGGAAGGTGCGAAACTGGTTCGCTATAGTGGTTTTCTTATCCACAACTGTTTTCAAACTAGGATTCTTGTCCAAAATGACTTGGCCTATAAGTTTACCATACGGCTTAAATTCATCACGTAAGTTGAGATGAGCTAAATGGCCAGCTTGGCTAAAGCCAGTGGGCACTTCGTTGATTAGCTCCTCTGGCAATATAGCCGCTAAGATTTCATCGCTTCTCCAAAATGAATAATCGAGATGTAGCGTATACGGTTTTAGCTCAATCTCGAATTTCTTGACGTTTTCCTGACATTTTGGTGATAAATCCTCAATTGTTTCTACACCTTCTTTCAACAACACTGCTTTTGAATTTTCCAAATCTACCACATGCTTAATACCGGGCAAGTAAAAAATATCCAGTTGACAAGATTTGCTAAACTGAGATAAAAATTGGGGTTTCGCGAACCAGGCAGTCATTAAGGGAATATCCCGCTGAAAAAATGACCGGTCCAACACTGTCATCCCACGATTCACCGGCGGTTTATATTTCGACATTATCGTTTCTCGAGCTACACTTTTGCTTAGTCTCAAAAGTAATTTGTAGTTCATACCAAGTCATTGAATGTTTTTCCATCGCAGGGGGTTGAAAAAAAAAATCCATCACCAAAAAAAAAAAATAGAGAGGAGATGAGATGAGATGAGATAACGGTGTGCCACAATATTCTACTCATTTTTGCGGGGGTAAGCTCAGATATATACACATAATGGATGTTGCTGATGTAATAAGCATAACAAGACCAATTCCAAGGACGGAAGAGGAGGAGGAGGAGGAGGAGGAGGAGGAAACGGAAAATTTGGAGGTTTCTGATGTTGAGATGGACAACACTAATGGAGATATATTGAGAAATCCCAACCAAGGGTCAATAGTGACACCAGGTGAGTTGATAACCGAAGATCCTGTATGGATGAAAGGTCATGGCACATACTTTATCAACGACAAAACCTACTCGTCTGTTGTGGGCAATATATCACGAGTTAACCGTCTTTTAAGTGTTAATCCTATACGAGGCAAATATTCTCCCGAGACAGGTGATCATGTTGTTGGGCGCATAACAGAAGTAGCCAACAAGAGGTGGAAAGTAGATATTGGCACAAAGCAGGATGCGATTTTGATGTTGGGGTCAGTGAATCTTCCAGGCGGGATATTGCGCCGTAAATCTGAATCTGATGAATTACAAATGCGCAACTTTTTGAAAGAAGGTGACTTGTTGAATTGCGAGGTTCAAACTATATTCAATAATGGAATTGCATCGTTGCATACTAGATCTCTCAAGTATGGGAAACTAAGAAACGGGATATTTTTGAAGATCCCCAGTTCCTTAGTTATCAAATCCAAGAATCATAGCTTAGATTTACCCGGGAATGTTTCTGTAATACTTGGGGTCAATGGATACGTTTGGCTTTACAAGACAAAGAAAAATTTAAATAAGCTGGCATTGGCAACGACCAGCATAGTGAGTGGCGGCTCCAAATTGCAACAAGCAGGAAAAGAATACTCGCCGGGACAAGGTTCCATTTCAATAACAAGACTAGAAGAAGAAAGTTCCTGGGAAATATATAGTGATAAAAATGAAGAAATAAATTCCCTGATTAGGAACAATATTGCGAGGTACTATAATGTTATCAAGGCCTTGACATTTGGTGAGTTGGGAATTACGGAACAGAGAATAATAATGGGTTATGAGGCCAGTTTGTCGTATTCCAATGTTGGTAGTTTGAACGACCGTGAGTCTATGGAACAATTGTGTCGTGAAGTGTTGAATAGTGAAAAAATGAGAGGTTGAAAATGGGAGGTTGAAAATGAGAGGTTGAAAGTGAGAGGTTGAAAATGAGAGGGTGTTTATTACTTGGTTGCATGATGGTTGTTGTGTTTGGAGGTGTCTGTGTCAATCAATACAATAGCTGGAAACTGAATCCTGGTTCCCATAAATATATTTAGAGCTCGATTCAATGGAGCTTAATTGTACTTTTTGGGGGAGTACTGGTTTGGGTTCTCTAATCCAAGATTCTTTACGCCTGCTCCCACCCTACATTTGTGTATTGTTTTTTTGAATTATAAGTAAAGTCAAAAGTAAATCATTTTAGTTTATAGTTGTGTTGAATGATATCTTTAGCTCATAGTGAATGTTATTTGTTAGATATATTAGATGCTATATTGAATATTCAAAGAGTTATAAGTGATCTGATTACTTGTTGATGCAAACTAGGATACCTGATGTATTGATATAGCTGATTGGGCTACCAATTGCTCCAAGGTAAAGACTAGACGAGTGAAACAAGATGGAGACTAGACGAGTGAAACGAGTCTAGTCGAAGAAGAGTAAAGAAAAGTGTTGTAACAAGCTAGTAAATAGACGAGTGAAACAAGATGGAGACTAGACGAGTGAAACGAGTCTAGTCGAAGAAGAGTAAAGAAAAGTGTTGTAACAAGCTAGTAAATAGACGAGTGAAACAAGATGGAGACTAGACGAGTGAAACGAGTCTAGTCGAAGAAGAGTAAAGAAAAGTGTTGTAACAAGCTAGTCAGTAATGCTCCACTATCTTGCTTCGTTCGATAGTGGAGCTTACTCCTTCTCTGTAAAAATAGATTTGTTAAACTTTCTGTTTGTAGGTATTGGTGAGAGAACTAGTGGAGCAGTATGTAGAGACCAGAGACTAATTAGCCGCTTGTTACAACACTAGCCTGTTACAACACTAGCCTGTTGCAACACTAGCTGGCCTGTTGCAACACTAACTGGCCTTTTACAATACTAACTAACCTGTTACAACGGTTCTCTTTACTCTCCTCGTTTCACTCGTCAAGTCTCTATCTCGCTCTGCTCGATAGTGTCTACATTTATTCAGGCTTATGGACAAGATTCTATTTCAACTCAATTGGATGCAAAAAAAAAGTCCTCTTTCCAAATACAGTTAAATATCATCTACAAGAGACAACTATCAATGTAAATTTGCGTAATATATTCGTATCTCAGTGTTGCTAGATGCTGCTCTAGTATCTCGCTCTGCTCAATAGTGTTTGGACAAGAAAACTTAGGCTTTCTTTTTCCATTACTAAGAGATCCACCGCTTATTGGAGAGCCCATACCCAATTCAAGGACATGGTATCCCTTAATAGGTTTTTTTTTATATAGTGATTATTGACGCGTCAATCATTAAACAACTTCTATTGTTCTATATCTGCAATATATCTAATATTTTAGTAGAAACTCGAATAAAGAAAAGGGCTAATCGATACTAACGAGCGACACTAACGAGCGACACTATCGAGCAGAGCGAGATAGTGGAGCAGCACTGACTATCGACACTATCGATAGTGTAGGTGTAGTAAGTGTCGCTCGATAGTGTCATAAAAAGCTACTAGATGTTGCTCCACTATCTCGCTCTGCTCGATAGTGTCGCTCGTATTGTCATGCAGAGGCTACAACTTTTTCAGTCATTAATAAAATGCAAAGTTCTATATGCCTTTCAAGGATCGTCAAATTAATTAAACAATCTTTTTACGCTTCAAGTATGACTTGAAATATATCAATTGTATCAATCCACAAATGAAAATAGTCGAGCACAATACAATAATAATGAAAGTATACCCGCTAAAGATTTCCTCATTAGCATCTCTTAGTTTAAATTCTTGTTCTAATAGTTCTTTTAATGTTTCTTCCAGTTGTTGCAATTTTTCAACTACATTTTCCAAATCCAATTGAACCATATTCATCTTGGTATCAAACCCTATTGCACTTATTGCGTCCCCCTCTTCCAGCTCCTCTACCTCTTTTTCATTTCCATTAACAACTCTTTCTTTACCTTCTTCCAAGTATGTGAAGAACTGTCGATATATTGCATAATCTGTCTTTTTGATATCATTTTTGATATTGACTTGCATATTAAGGTCGAAATACTTTGGTTGGAAACTCCACGATAAGTCATTATATATGTTGTCAAAACACACATGAATCAACTTACTCCTTTTTATCTTCTGCTGCTGCTGCTGCTCATCATCATCACCATCTCGCTGTTCAAGAACAAAACTATTTACATCATCGGAATTTGCAATAATCAACTCCAAAGTGCGATGGAACTTACCTAGATTCTGGTGACTTCTCAAGGTATTACCCAGATCATCCAATATCAACAAATTCAAACTCTGGGAAATCAAGTTGTCTACTGAACTTATAGTGATGAATACAATGTCCTTGCCTGATACTTCATAGGAAATACAATTTTGTAAATTTGTTAAGGATGACTTTGATTTTTCGTTACTCCCATGGTTTTTGATTGGTGGGACCAGTATTCCTATACCTGCGATTTCCGTCGGTAGTATTAGAAATACAAGTGAATATACAAAAATTGGCGAATACGGGAAATGTTTTATTCGTAGTAATGGTGAATTGAATATAATGTAGCGCATAATAAAAAACAATGTATTTAAACGAATGAAGAAGTAAAAAAACAAGTAAGCAACAGCTGAAAAACAACCGAGCAACAAACTGAGCAACAAAAACACCTCCTTTACAACTATCTCTCAACCACTTTTCAACTACAATCTCTTACGCCAATGTAATCTTAACAAGTAATGTATTTTCTTTTTTTTTTTTTTTTTCCCGCTTAGTGAATGAAAAATTTTTCACTAAGAAATAATTTTGTTTTAGACTAAGATGAGTTTAAAATAGTTGGAAAGATTACAATGGATGGCAATGGGTTGCACTTGGTTTGAAAGAGGCATAGTTTAGCCGGTTTTAGAGGAGAGAAATAACGAGAAAGGAAAGGAAAAAGAGAGAGTATGAGTAAGTACAGTTTGGTTGGAATCTTTGTATTGTTTTGAAAAATATACCCGCATTACTTGAAGTGTTTTAGTTTTTTATGCATTTGGGAACCTCATAACCATTCTCCACATCTCCAAATCTCCACTATCGAGCAGAGCGAGATGGTGGAGATAGTATTGGTCGATAGTGTCTGTGGCAGCTAGTGGAGATAGTGTTAGTTGATAGTGTTGGTCGATAGTGTCTGTGGCAGTTACTGTGACCAACCACCTCTCTCTTTGCTCGATAGTGGAGATAGTGGAGATGGTGTCACTAGTGGAGATGGTGTCACTAGTGGAGATGGTGTCACTAGTGGAGATGGTGTCACTAGTGGAGATGTTGTCACTAGTCAGTGCTGCTCCACTATCCCGCCCTGCTCGATAGTGTCGATAGTGTCGATAATCAATGCTGCTCCACTATCTCGCTCTGCTCGATAGTGGAGATAGTGTTGGTCGATAGTGTCGTTAGTGTCACTAGTCAGCGCTGCTCCACTATCTCGCTCTGCTCGATAGTGGAGATAGTGTTGGTCGATAGTGTCGATAGTGTCACTAGTCAGCGCTGCTCCACTATCCCGCCCTGCTCGATAGTGTCGATAGTGTCGATAATCAATGCTGCTCCACTATCTCGCTCTGCTCGATAGTGGAGATAGTGTTGGTCGATAGTGTCGTTAGTGTCACTAGTCAGCGCTGCTCCACTATCTCGCTCTGCTCGATAGTGGAGATAGTGTTGGTCGATAGTGTCTGTGGCAGTTAGTGTGCTCCACTATCTCGCTCTGCTCGATAGTGGAGACAGTGTCGATAGTGTCGATGTCAGGTTTTCCAACATATCTTGTAATCTCTCATTATATTCAACTTCTTTCACCTTTTCAATAAGATCCATCAATTTCCCCCCCTTCATACACCCATCTATATCATGTAAACTGTAACCACATCTGTGATCGGTGATTCTGTTTTGGGGATAATTATATGTACGAATCTTATCACTACGGTCAGTGGTACTCACTTGCAGTTGTCTCAACAGCTTTTGTCTTTCCAACTCTTCGATCCTTTCACGTTCAGCTAATCGACTTCGTAAAATGGCAAATGCCTTGGCTTTGTTTTGTGGCTGTGATCTTTCATCTTGTTGCATAACTGTAATCCCCGTGGGGATGTGAACTAGTCTCACTGCAGAATCTGTAGTATTAACATGTTGTCCGCCTTTACCACTTGATCTCATCGTATCGATTCTAACTTCTCCAGGTGCAAATTGCATTTCATCCTGTTTCAAAGACTGTTCGTTTCCATCGCTGATTTTGGGCAAAATGACTACTGCTGCAGTCGAAGTATGGATTCGCCCTTTCGACTCTGTCTCGGGAATTCTTTGAACTCGGTGAACACCGCTTTCATGACGTAAGATATCAAATGAGCCAGGTTCGTCAATCCTCAATATGGCCTCATTTAAGAAACCCAGCGAGTTTGTGTTTCTTGAAACAACTTGAAACTTCCAATTTCGATGCAAACAAAAATTTATATACATGTGCATCAAATCATCGGTGAACAAACTAGCTTCGCCGCCACCAACGCCGGGTCTCATCTCAATAATACACCCTTTATCGGAGTACTTCATTGGAGGCAAAAGCCTATTCTTCAATTCCGCAATAATCTTTTCATACCGGGGGATTAAACATTTCAATTCAGCTTGTGCATCTTTATAGAGTTCAGGATCTTTAATACTCGAAAGCTCCTCGATTTCAGATATTAGTTGATTGGATTTAGTGTATTTATCTAGAATATGGGATAATCGGTCATATTTCGTTTGAATTTCTAAATTATAGCTTTCTAATTGAGTACCAAGCTGTTTATGCTCGTCTTGTAATAACTTAGCGCGTTGGATTAAAAGCGGATGAAGCTGGGTAAGGTTTTGAACATTGACACTAGTAGCCTCTGGTTTGATTGCTGAAAATAGTCGCAATGCTCTTGAAAATAGCCGAATATGTCGTATCATCAATCAATCTCTATACTCTTGTCAACAAATCCAACTAAACCTCTAATGGTGGTGTTAGTGATGAATGAAAAATCGATGAGATGAGATGAGATGAGAAAGGCGTGCCATTTGGCACAATTTGCTTTCTATTGGTATCAACGATATATGAAGCATTTAGTCGTTAACAAGGTCACTTTCAACAGGTAGGTGTACGTTGGAAAGGTCATAGTTAACGTTGGAAAGGTTGCAGTTGAGCTGGAATTTTTTGACAAGTCGTTGTTGCGTTACTTTGGTACAGTTTGACAGGTTGTTGAGTGTTGAGTGTTGAGGTGACAATTTTCAATCTTGTGGTTCAAGTGAACAAGTTTGAGATGAACTAAAAAGGAGTCGTACATAATTTGAGTCATGGTAATGTATCCGAGCTTATCTTCCCAGCAATTCAGGGAGGCACTAAAAGATATATCACAATTTGAGCTTGAATTCAAGAAGAAACAACAATTGACATTTATATTCAAATTGATAGATACAAATAATGAATTGCATCAAGAGTTGTTGAAGTCTGAATCTGGGCATAATTCTTCCGGGACAGTAGAGCTATCACCGGAGGATGCTAAACTATATAAAGAGACAATTGATGAGAACAAAGTTGCTTTGTTGGAACAGATTGAGCGTGTTCAGAGTATTAATGATGAGTTGGTGCAACGTGGTTTTTTGAGCCCGCTGCAGAAGGGGAAGGAGGAAAAGAAGTTAATGGAGGATATCAAAGAGAAAGAGAAGGGGGTGGAGGTGGATAAAGACCAAGGGGTTGTGTTGTAAAAAGCTCCACTATCTACACTATCGAGCAGAGCGAGATAGTGGAGCAGCACTGATTAGTGACACTATTTCCACTAACTCTCTCTGCTCCATAGTGGAGAGAGTTCTTTAAACTAGGTTTCTATTTACAAGTCTTTTCTTGATTTTTCTTTTTTCATTTTTCAATTGGCTTATGTGTTTTGCCAAACAATTTATCCAAAAATGGTTTTTCATCTTGATGGATAGGATCTTCAGGTTTTTTCAACACTAACATCCAAGTTGTACTCAAATGTGCTCTTTTCTCCTTTGTAATATCCAACCCTGCTTCATCAACCAATTCGCCAATTTCTAAATTCCATCTACATTTCCAAGTTTCCCATCTCTTGGCACTTCTGAAATCTAGATGATTATTTACAAATTGCCATTTAGATCTACCGTGCTCCAAAAGGATAATTCTTCCACCAGGTTTCAACAATTTAGCCATATTTTGTAATGCCTTTACAGGATCCTCATGGCAGCACAAACCAAAAGCTTCCACGATTGTATCATATTTAAGATTTTCATTGTCGCCAGCCAATTCTAGCAAATCCTCGGCTTTGCCCTTTGTAAATGCAACTTTTTTGAACTTGGGAAATGCATCGTGAAATTTTTGTCTAGTTATTTCAACCATTTGTGGTGCAGAGTCAAGAAAGGTTATAGACTTGACTTTATCAATATAGGATGACAAGTAAGGGATGTTTCTTCCAGTACCACACGATACTTCCAACACGTCACCTCGTATGTGTGACATTAACCACCTTCTTTTCCCACCCATCAATATCCCGCGCTCTTCCCATTTTACGGCATCGTCATACTCCTTAGCTTTAGCATTATAAAAATCAGTAGTATCTTCGGCCTTAATTATAGACTGATTACCTTCATTTGTCTTGTCCTCCTTGTCCACGTTTGTTAAGAGGGGAGCTTTTTGTTTACTGTTCTTGAATCTAGCTTGTTTCAGGTACCATTCTTCCAATTCCTCGGGGGTAGGATTGAACATCTCTCCATTTAGGAGATTCTTTCTTCTAAACTCCTTTCTCATCAATTGGTAAATCTTGTATTTTTTGTGTTCCAAGGGTCTCAATTTATCATGGGGATTCAATGATTTCATTGCAAGATATTCATATTCACTCAAAGATGATGGATCCTTATCGTATTTCTCGTGAATGACCTTCAATTGCTTATCCTCATAAAACCGGTCCCTCATGTAAAAGTATAACGGTATAAGCGATATCACCATGGCGCTTAGATATATCTTGGGCATCGTCTTAGTCTGGAAATACTGCGATTGAACGTGTTGCACTAGCCTTCCAAACCTCGTCTTGGCCGGCTTGGGCGCCTTCGAGTAGAACCGAACCCCATTAAACCGGAGAACTTGTGTTCTTGTATTAATCAATAGTCTCGAGCTCAACATGGAAAAAATAACAAACCCGTGTGCCTTCTAGCCTGTTCCTTCTTACAAGTCTTCTAGCCTGTTCCTTCTTACAAGTCTTCTAACCCGTTCCTTCTTACAAGTCTTCTAACCTGTTCCTTCTTACAAGTCTTCTAGCCTGTTCCTTGTTGGATGATATTTAAAACACATGGTAGCACCTATTTTTCAAATTTTTCAAAGCGGCGAAAGAAGAAGTTGAAAAAGTTAGATGGCGAAATTGAAGTGGATTAGAATATCAAGTTGAGGATATATAGGTTAAAAAGGTGAGGAAATATGGAGGTATTGGTTACGGAGGCCAGGAAACTTGTAAGCGGTAAACAGTATGACGATGCTATAGCTAAATATAAGCAAGTTATTGCCGATGCTAGGGAGAAACAGAGCTCTTTGGTGACAGCTACCTTGAAAGATCTTCAACTTCAAGAGAGTGCCATATTGGAATTGGGTCAAGTATACAAGTTGCTAGATGATTCGACGCAGCTTGCGCAGTTGATAGCCGCTTCTAAGGACCTTTTGGGTAAATTCGCCAAGTCTAAAACTGCAAAGATTGTTAAAACTTTGATTGAATATTTCGATAATTTGACTAATGCCTTGGATTTGCAGATTGAGGTCACCAAAGAATCGATCAATTGGGCGGTTGAGTCAAAGCTTTCCTTTTTGAGGCAAAACTTACAGTTGAAATTGAGCGACTTGTTGTATCAGAAGCACCAATATCTCGAAGCATTGAAGCAAATAAACGAATTGCTCAGAGAGTACAAGAAACTAGATGACAAGTCTTCTTTGGTTGAAGTGCAATTGCTAGAAAGTAAGATATATCACGCCTTGAGAAATATCGCAAAGGCAAAAGCAGCTTTGACGAGCGCAAGGACCTCGGCAAATTCGATTTATTGTCCAACTATTTTACAAGCCGAACTAGATTGTCAAAGCGGCGTGTTGAACATGGAAGAGAAAGATTACAAAACGGCTTTTTCCTATTTTTACGAAAGTTTTGAAGGCTTCAACTCGCAACTGCTGGAAGAAAGCTCTAAAACTTCAATTAAAGTATTGAAATATATGCTTTTATCTAAAATAATGTTAAACTTGATTGACGACGTCAACAATATTTTGAAGAACAAAAACGTTGTACAATATCAGTCTAAGGAAATCGACGCCATGAAAGCAATTGCCGTGGCCTATTCAAATAGATCACTTAAGGAATTCGAACATAGCTTAATTACTTACCTGAAGGAGTTGAAAAGCGATGAAATTATCAAGAACCATTTCAATTCCTTGTATGACCAACTATTGCAAGTAAACTTGTTGAAGATAATCGAGTCTTATGAGTGTGTTGAATTGGACCATATTGCCAAAGTCATTGGTCTTAATGTCAGACAAGTTGAAGGAAAATTATCGCAAATGATATTGGATAAAATATTTTACGGTGTTTTAGATCAAGGTAATGGCTGGCTCATAATTTATGATGAACCAAAGAAGGACGCATCTTATGAAGCAGCATTAGACTTGGTTAAAAACTTATCGGGCGTGGTTGACTTGTTGTACGAAAAAGCTGGTGCTCTAAATTGATGAAACTACACTAGCGAGCAAAACGAGCTAGTGGAGCAGCACTGACGGGGTTTGTTTGATTGCTGAAATAGAAAGAAGTCAAAAGAAAATAATAATAATAAAAAAAAAAAATTAAGATAAAAGGAAGCTCTATAAACAGTATAGACCATCAATTCCCTTCTCACAAGCAACGATTGCTAATTCTCCAACTTTGGCTAGAAATTCTTGTAATCTCCCTGTTACAGTGAAGCAGTGTAAAAAGTCATTGGCTGATTCATCAGCAACAGAATTAATCAAATCGTAGGCCATTTTAACATACTTCCAATCCAGAACTCTAGCATTTTGATAAATTGAAATTAACTCAATAATGATGTATGGTACATACATTGCTCTAAACTCCTTCAACAATGGATCTATTCTTTGTAAATCTATTAACCAATTGCTTAAAAGATTGTTCAAGACTTGAGTTGTTTTCCTTAACGAGGCCTCTACATTGGGACCCTTATATGGATTTCCACCAATTTCAAGGTTGAATTTTTTCCAATCACTAATCAATTCTAATCCTTCAATGAGATTTTGATAGCTGAGAAGCTCACTTTTTTGATCCTCACTTATTTCAATATCGCCTTCTTTCTTACCAAGACTTTTCAAATTATACTCAGAAATCAAGTTTTTGAAATTTTTACCTTGTGCAAATTTTTTCAAACTCTGTAACTTTCCCACCATTAAGAACCGGCGAAGCACAACCAAGGTGGCACTTATGGCATCTTCAAACATAAGATTCTCGTAAAACCATTCAACTGCACTGCATAGTTTGAAATCTACATCATCAATTTTTGCCAGCTCATCGTCAAACAAAGTAATTGGACCATTTTCCTGTTTGTAATATGGCTCGGTTTCATTCATGACCCGTTCTACCGTTCGTCTTAGTACATTTACAAGCTTGTCACGCTCTACATCGTCAACCGCAATCAAGTCTTCATCGTCCACCACCGCGGGTTGTGCTATCCTCTTTGCAATTTCCAACTGTTTTACTCTTTCGTCCTTATCGGTTATTTTCGAGAGTATTAATGAATAAGTTTCTCGAGCGTCTTTTTCGTCGGGAATAAAAGATAGGTATAGTGGTATTAGATCTGATTCATTATTCTCAGCTAATTTGGAAACATAAAGTGTGATCAAGGAGCTAAACTGCATGGGGTTTTCAATAGGTTTCAACAATGCTGAAATTATTGCCAAGTGTGTTACTATTCTTAGTATATTGTCGTCCGTAGACTCATTGAGAGTGCTTATAATAGAGTTTAGTTCTTCAATCATAACAGAACCTGCAATTATCCGTAGTGGATGACGGCTTTGCTCAGATGCTCCGGTACCCGACGAGTTGGCGACCACATTCAAAATATCCTTCATCGATTGAGCTTGAGGTCTTGGTAAAGTGATTTCCGAAAACGCATTGGATTTGCTCGTTTTGGTCAATTTGCAACACAATAGCTGATGAACCAAGATGTTCATATAGTAGTCGTACGAATTGGATGCTAATTTCAAATTCTCACTAATATCACCCCCACTCAAGTAAGTGTAAATCAATCTCTCATAATATTGCAATTGACTGTTATTCGATAATTTGTAAACTAATTTAGTCCAAAGTGCTCTATCAAATTTTGATCCTTTATCTGTTGCACCTGTTAAAATGATGGCCAATTCATGGTTCCCAGTTTCATTCGCAGTCGCAATGGCAAGATCGTAATCTCCTAAAAGAATCCGTTTATAAATAGCTTCAAAATTCCTCTCGTCAACCTTCAAATCTTCCTTGTCTATTTTCTTTTTGTTTCGAAGAGGAGCATCTATATCGATTTCGTTAACCAAATCGTCGTCGACTGCATCTTTTTCGTTTTCGTTTTCGTTTTCGTTTCCCCTCCTCGCTAACAATCTCCCCAACCTCGACCTCTCGGCAAAACTCCTAGTTTTCTCCCATTTACTGCTATACATTGAATTGTCCTCTTCACAGTCATCCAAGTAGCTATCTGAATCTACTTTTGAGTTCATCCGCAACCATTGTAAGATAATAGACAATTCCTCTATTTCCTTATTCATGCCAATAAGTTCCTCATCGCATTCACACACGTTGAAGTAGTAAAGATCATCTACTAGCCTCCAAAGTTTAGCCTCTAAATCCCAGTCATTGCCAAATGACAGAGCCTGAGACGATTGCCAGGTAATTATCTTTATAAATTTTTTAATAATTTCAAGTTGTTTAGGGTAATCACAATCGCTATCTAGAGGCTTAGAATTGCTACTACCGTTCAAAGACCACTTGTATTCCTCTAGGGGTCTAGCAAACTGGGCATATATACTCGTCATCTGAGTATACAGCTCCTTCATATCCATTGTTTATCCCCAAACCTCAACAACCATCCTACAATAATTAATCAAGTTGATTTGAAAAACCAAAATTTTTATGAAATTTTTCAAATGCGCTACCAAATGTGAAGAGATGCCTCTACAGACTCTATTATCATCTCCTCTGCTCCACTATCGAGCGAAGCGAGATAGTGTCATTGACTAATGTCGTTATTCAGTACTATCGAGCAGAGCGAGATAGTGTCATTAGTTAGTGTAGTCATTCAGTACTGCTTATCAGTGCTACTAGTCAATTAGACCACTCTAGTCTCTCTACTATCATCTCCTGTGCTCCGCTATCGAGCAGAGCGAGATATAGTCATTAGCTAGTGTTGTTATTCAGTACTATCGAGCAGAGCGAGATATAGTCATTAGCCAGTGTTGTTATTCAGTACTATCGAGCAGAGCGAGATATAGTCATTAGCCAGTGTCGTTATTCAGTGCTGCTCATCAGTGCTACTAGTCAATTAGCTCACTCCAGGCTTTCTACTATCATCTCCTGTGCTCCACTATCGAGCAGAGCGAGATAGTGTCATTAGCTAGTGTCGTTATTCAGTGTTGCTTGTCAGTGCTACTAATCAATGTGTTCCAAGAGTTCACTCCAGGCTCTCATCTCCTGCTCTATTTAGCTCACTCCAGGCTCGATCTCAACTAGTCAAAGTGCTTCACTATCTCGGTTTGCTCGATAATGTTATAACAGGCTACTGAGTGCTGCTCCACTATCTCGCTCTGCTCGATAGTGTTATAGCAAGCTAGTAAGTGCCGCTCCACTATCTCGCTCTGCTCGATAGTGTCGCTCGATAGTGTCGCTCGATAGTGTTATAGCAAGCTAGTAAGTGCCGCTCCACTATCTCGGTTTGCTCGATAGTGTCGCTCCGCTATGGAGTCAATTCCATGCTTCTGTGAATCAAGTTTTGCGTCAGGGCCTCGCTGGGAGACCAATCTTGATTTCTTTGCACCAACAGGAACGTCAGGCCGTTTATGAGCATTGGGGTTCCATAGAGGTAGGTAGGTTGTGCAATCTGTTCGTTTTGATGCCTCCTTGGAGGCGTTCGAGGTGGTGTAAGTGTTGGAGATGGAGGTGACATCTGGATGTGTTCATCAAACGATGGTTTCAACTGGAAACTAGTATTTTCTTCCTCTTCGTCTTCTTGACTCTTTGGACCATTGTCAAGATTTCCCTTGGATAAACATTCTTGTTCGTTTAATCGGCCAAGTAAATCGTTGTAATCGGCTTCAAGTACTTGTTTTGCCCTTGCGATAGCTTCATACTTGGTTTCAAGTGCTTGTTTTGCCTTGACAATGGAGTAATAGTTAGTTTCAAGTGCTTGTTTTTCCTTGACAATGGAGTAATAGTCAGTTTCAAGTGCTTGTTTTTCCTTGACAATGGAGTAATAGTCAGTTTCAAATGCTTGTTTTTCCTTGACAATGGAGTAATAGTCAGTTTCAAGTGCTTGTTTTGCCTTTACAATAGCATCATAATCTTGCTCTATCAAAACTTGTTTCCTCGACATCTCCTCTTGCTTTAATTTCATCAGGCTCTTATCAATATTTATCTTTGCAATAATCTGATCCTTCACCTTACTCTCTTCTTCAAGCAGCTGAAATTTATTTAATAGTTGTTTGTACTTTTCGTTTATCTCATTTGTTTGACTCAATTGTGCTTTTAACTTGCTAATCTTGTACCCATACTCCTTTTCCACCAGCCTTAGTTTTCGTTGATACTTGTTATACTCATTAAGCTGCTGATCTCGGAAATCCTCTACTAGATCCTTCCACTGGTTATCTTTTGCTTCAATTAATTTTTCCAACTCATCAACTCTATTTTGGAGCTGCTGCTGCTGTTGCTGCTGCTGCTGATTCGTGGATTGTCCAGCTGCCATCTTTTCTTCTTTCACCACCCGAGGTGCATGTGCACGTGCATGAGATCCCTTATAATCAACTTGAACTTTTGGCCGGTTCAATTGGCTCAACTCCATTAATTTCTTTCGAAATGCTTCATATTTAAGACGCTGATGTTCAGAAAGAACTGGTTCCTCTTCAAAATCCGTTTCTTCCCTTAAACCGTCACCCTGTAAGTACCCGCTCACTCGACTCATCTTAGCAACCTCCATTCAACAATACAGCCAGCTAGATAGTCCCTTCAAACCCGTTTAGAAAACCTTCAACAAATGCAATAACAACAATCAAGGCTTTGATTTTGGCGATGAGGTTGAAAAAAAAAATCCTTAAGCGCGCGGTTAAATAAAATTAAACGCCAACTGTTGAACCACGGGTTTGAATTGCTTTGTTATTGAGGGAGAGAGAGAGAGATAGAGAGAGAGAGCCAGAGCCAGAGCCAGTAGGTGTCTTTTGTTATTGTCTAGCGCTTATACTCTTTTCATGTCTTCTAAACGGCTTGTGAGGAAACAATCTTTAATTTCAAAAGTTCAATCGTTTCCAATAGATACATTTTTATATTTCAATGAGATACGGTTATCGATAGATTGGGATGAACATGCGCCAACTTTGGCGTTACCTTTGGGTGTCATATCATGTATCCTCTCCATAGTTATCCAGTCAATATTGTCATATTACAGTTCAATCAACAGCCGCTCGAGAAATATTCTTTTTGACTCGAATTATTACCAATACGAAAATATCAAAAGCTCGCTACGTTCAGGTAAACGATTTGTTGATGTTGATGTTGAAGCTTCTAGAACCAACACTATTATATGGATCTTGAATCTCGTACAAACCGCTATAACTGTGCTTTCAATAATCAATTTGTTACGGATCTTTCTTGCAAAGAAAAACTATCAGCTTTTATACTCCAAAACTAAGCCCAAATACAAGTCGGCGGTTCATCCAGCTAGTCAGGACTCCTACTTTGTCATGATCTTATATTTTTTGTTTAAATATCTCTCAAAGGATTCCGAGGAAGAGTCAGAAGAGCTGGAGAACCAAGAAAATGGAACTACTACGGAAATTGCCGATGAGGAATTTTGGGTGCTTCGTGTATGGCATCCGTCAAAATTTGGCTTGTATCTATATGTCGGAATGAATCCTATCAACAACTACATTATTTACAACTTTACGCCAAAATGTTCAAGTTTAAGCATAATCATTCTTGTCACATTGATATCGGCTTTGAATTTCAAGTTGATTAGCAACTTTCTAAATTTAGTACAAGATAAACAGATTATATATCAAGAAATGTTTGCCGAATTCAATAACAAGTATGTCAAGCCTAAAACGACTACATTGAAAAAGGATGCCATGGTCGATGCGACCATGGGACCTTACAAGTCATCCGTTTTGGTAAACAACGCACCATACTCATTCATTAAACTGAAGGTTTTCACCACTCATGATGCAAGAGGGAAGCCAGTGACTGAATATGTTAAACCATTTTCAGATGAAATTCCCAACAACAACAACAACAACAACAACAATAACAATCATAATAATAACGTACCAATGTTCAGTCGTTCTGGTAGTCGTTTTGCAAGCCGTGCGCCAAGTGTAGTACTGAGCAGCAGACGTCCAAGTGTTGTATATGAACGTCAAGGCCACCATCATCCTTCACCGTACGCTTTCCAACGTGAAAATCAGTACTATTCCTCAACCCCCTTCCAAGGCCCAAATCTACATTCATATGATGAACATATGGCGAATTCTGGGTTTCCCAAGTTTTCTAGGTCTCCTGAAGTATCCAATCCCTTCATTTATAATCGATCCCCAAGTCCATCTCATAGATCGCACTATGATCCAAGACAAAAGAGCCCTCAAAGACTTTCTACTGTGCCACCACCAAACCTAGATTACGTTCGAAGAGGTAGTATTGATCAATTTGACCAGAATAGTTATCATAATAGCCCTCTACTATATAGATCACCCTCGCCACGAGGTGGCGCTGGAGGTGGTGGAACCCCCGTATATTATCCAAGCCCATCACCAAAACGATATCCAGATCTCAACCAACAAAACCAAGAGTGGCAATAGAAAGAAAGAAAGCAATAAAGCAATAAAGAAAAACTTAAAAAAAAAACAAAAAAATACACACAACATCTTCTATAGATCGTGGAAACCAAATATATACTTAGACAATGACCTCATTAAACCTAATTTTGGTTTATTTGCATTATTCTCTTTCCCTTCTGTCTTTGCGTCCTCGGGGTTTATAAAAAAATGCTTTCCTTCTTTCACTTCAACGTAGGATGTCTTGTTTGCTGCAGAAGTGGATGAGGAGGAAGAGGAAGAGGAGGGTGGAGTAATTATGTCACTGGCCTTGCCTCGTTTTGTTTGACTACTCTCACTGTACGCTGTTGCCAAAGAAGTCGACAAGTTTCCGTCTCCAATATCTTCATTTGCAAATACTTTTTTCTTTTCCAATTTTTCAATAACGCTCTTGTGATAAGGTACAACTCCTAACAAGTTACCATTGAATATAGATCCATTTTCTTGCAATGCATTCATTGCCGAGTTTGGATTGTCATAAGTAAATTTTATCCAGCCCTTCCCAGTGAATATTGGTGTATTCTGTTGTTGCTTCTCGAGATTTTTCAAAAAATCGGCTCCCTTTTTAGCTCCTTCTGTGCAAGAATAATCGGTGAAATTCTCAAGCACAGTGCCAAATTGTCTGAAAAACTGGATGATTTGACTAACGAGATTTTCAGGGTACCCGAAAACAATAATAGAGGTTTCAGATTCATTCAACAGTCCATTCTTAATCTTGTCATCTGAATTCTCTTTATCTAAAGCATCTCCTGATCCTCCCGAATCAAATCTTTTAAATAGATTATTAAACTCCTTTGGGTTTTTCTTCATCAGATTAGACTGCTCGCGCAATGGCTTGCTTGTGCCAAAAGAATCCTCATTCAAATCGTATATGGATCTCAATGGGGGCGCATCGGTGAGAATATTGGTACCGTTGGTCAAACTAGCAGCGTCATCTTGTTGAAAGCTATCGTTTAAGGTTTCGTCAAAACGAGTAAGGTCTCCACCAACTGAGTCAAACAACGCGCTTAAGCTAGTATTGTTCCTATCCAACAAATTGCCGTGTCCCAATTCGTTTTTCTTGTTGTTCCCAAAAGAAACTATATTGAATTGATCGTCAGACACTAATAACGAAGGGTGACCCAATTTCTTGTTACTTTTATTGGAATTGGGGGCACTGATTTGGAAGGCAGTCTTTTTGTGAGGTACAAGGTGATTGGGGATAACGCGTTTCTTGTGGTTGTGTTGAGATTGTAGCCATGTATGTTGTTGTTGTTGTTGTTGTTGTTGTTGCTGCTGCTGCTGCTGCTGCACTTGCTGCCGCTGTTGTTGCTGCTGTTGCTGCTGTTGTTGCTGCTGGTGAACATACAGCTGATCCGGGATTTGGGACGTATTCCCATTTGAAATGAAAAACTGACCTTGCGGCTGACGGTTGAATAACGTTGACATGACACTATTGGGCGAGACTATCGGGCGAGACTATCGAGCGAAGTGAGATAGTGGAGCAACACTAGCTGTATTATATCGCTCTGCTTGATACCAATGGAGTCTCAGCAGTAACAATCCTCAGCAACCGAGTCTCAGCAATCGAGTCTCAGCTATACCAATCGAGTCTCAGCAATCGAGTATCAGCTATACCAATCGAGTCTTAGCAATCGAGTCTCAGCAATCGAGTATCAGCTATACCAGTCGAGTATCAGCTATAACAATCGAGTCTCAGCAATAACAATCGAGTCTCAGCAATAACAATCGAGTCTCAGCTATACCAATCGAGTCTCAGCAATCGAGTCTCAGCAATCGAGTCTCAGCAATAACAATCGAGTCTCAGCAATAACAGTCGAGTCTCAGCAATAACAGTCGAGTCTCAGCAATAACAATCGAGTCTCAGCAATAACGGTCGAGTCTCAGCAATAACAATCGAGTCTCAGCAATAACAGTCGAGTCTCAGCAATAACAGTCGAGTCTCAGCAATAACAATCGAGTCTCAGCAATCGAGTCTCAGCAATCGAGTCTCGGCAATACCACTCTTGTCTCTCTTAGCAACACCACTCTTGTCTCTCTTAGCAACACCACTCTTGTCTCTCTTAGCAATACCACTCTAGTATCTCTCAGCAATACCACTTTAGTATCTCTCAGCAATACCACTTTAGTCTCTGGTATACCAATGGCTTTCAGTGAAGAAGGAAATTTTTTGAAACTCCTCGGCGGGTACACATGGTAGCGTAAATTTTTCACTTTTTTCAATCCAACGGGCGATGAGGTCTTTGGGATGAAGGATGGAGATGAGGTGATGTCATTTGCTTGATGAAGTTGGGATTTGTTGAAGCTGGAACTTGTTGAAGCCTGGGTAATTTTTGTTTTGGGTAGATTATATTCAAGAATTGTGCTAATAGGAGTATTGTGGTGAGTTGTTTAACGTGTTTATCAGTGCCAAAGAACCAAGGTCTTTTAATAGGATAAAAAGATTTATTTTATTTATTATGTTGTTATCTCCAGCTGAAAGGCAATACTTGTATGACTCGCTAAGTCAGTCGCCTATCATTAGACCCGACTCGAGGTCTGAACATCAGTTTCGTCCTTTAGAGGCCACAACGTCCTTTTTGCTAGGATCGAATGGGTCTGCACGAATAAGGTTATCCGACGGAAGCGAAAGTATAATCAGTATCAAGTCGAAAGTGATTTCGTTTGATACCAAAACAATGCCTCCTCATTTGATAGAGATAGACATTGACATTATAGGGTATAGAGACGATTCAAACTATGTGGCAAACTTGAAGTTTCAACTTTGTAATTTGCTAGAGCAAAACTTCCCCATTGAAGTATTGAAGTTGACGTCACGTTATACGTTTAAATTGTTTATTGACTGTATTGTTATTAGTCACCTGTCATATCCATTGAGCCTAATTAGTTTTGGCACCTATCTAGCTTTGAAAACTATGAGGCTACCTTTATTAGTGAGCGATGTACATGACGAAAAAGTGGCTGAACTACCAACATTTTCAGACGATTGGGGTAACGCAAGATTGCTAGAGGACATTCTAGAGGAAAAGGGCGTATCGCATGATTTCCAGCCGCCTATTTTGATTACTGTTGGTGTTATTGGTAACAACTTAATATTCGACCCATCTGTGGAAGAAGAACAAGTTTTGGAAAATGGTTTGATTGTGAGTTTCTCTAATGGGAAAGTAATTACACCAATTGTCAATGCCAATTTCTCAAGCAATAACAATTTGAAAGGCTTGAATAAAGCATTGATTGTAAGGTCATTGTCGATGTGCAATAAGTATTGCCCCGCGATTATCAAAGCATTGGATACTTTAGTAGAGCAAGATGGTGACAATAATGAGGAGTCTATATTTTAAATTATATAAAAAGAAGAAGAAGAAGGAGAAGAACAAGAAGAAGGAGAAGAAGAAGGAGAAGAAGAAGAAACAGGAGGGGGAAGCAAGGATTCTTTCCCTTCAGCAATGTTGGCAGGAATAAGCATGAACAATAATAGCAGTAGCTGTTTGAATATTCATCGATCTTATAACACCAACCTGTTTGATCTCAACGCAAAAATCAAGCTCGCTAAGTAGTTTACCAGGAATGCCTTCTTTTTCTCTGCCCAATAAAATAAGCGATTTCTTGGGGAAAACGAGATCACTATTCAATTCTACTGATTTATCAGTTTGCTCTAATCCAATTAAAGTGTATCCCTCTCTCTTTTTGGCTTTCAAATACTCTCCAATATTCTCCAACTTCACTTCAATCATTGGCATCCAGCGATCTGCTGTCACTGCAACATTTTTGAACTGCGGATGTTTCACTATTTCTGCATCGTGAATTGTAAGCAATCCTGCGCCTAACACATCGCTCAATCGACAGATACCACCCAAATTAGGTGGTTTATCCACTAAAGAAGCAGCAACAATTAACTCACTTCTTTTCAACTCTTTGTTCGTGCTGCTATCATCAATATTCGTAATTGAGTTCCAAGCTCCACTTTTCGTTTGCAACGGTAATTGTTCGTCTAGTTCAAAGGGAGGAGTTATTATATCTTTCTTTGGTGTAGAGTGATGATGATGATGATGATGATGATGATGGTGTTGTTGTTGTTGCTCTCGTGCCCAAAGTTCCTTTTGATCCTCTCCAATAGGGTGCCTTAAAGCTTTGATTTGAGCAGCGCTCAAATATTTCTCAAACTGAGACTTGGTGATAAAGTCAATGTCATCACGATCTGTTACTTTAAGAATGATTCCACCAGCAATAGAGGTCAAATTCAAATCATCAATGATGTTCCAAATTAGTGAGTCCCCACTTCGATATTGACTAAAAGAATCAGATGTGACTGCACCTTGACTCAAGTTGTCAATTATGTGTTTGACATTAATGGGTACCTGCAAGCTCTTTTTGTCAATCTCGTTTTTTATCGAGATTATCATGGATAATGAGAAATGCCTAATCATGCGTTTCTGCGATGTAGCTCCAACAACAACAACATCATTGATAAGTTTTGTCATTTGTTCAACTTCCTCATCTCTTGGTAAATGAACAATCGAAAGAAACAATATTCTCTGGTAAGAGGTAATCACCGAAGGCTTGAGATCTTGGAATCTCTTTTCCAACGGATCGAATATCTTCAGCGCCAACTCAAACTTTTGAAGAATGTTATATGCAATGATCCATTCAATGTACATTCTAACCAATGGACTTGGGTCAGCATCTATCCTAGCCAAGAACAAATCAAAATCAATTTCCAACTTGTCAACTATTGAGACTAAGATAGAGTATACTTGCAATCTGTTCCATTCCTCATAACTGTCTGTACGCTTTACAACATCAAACAAGCCGTACTCCTTTGCATTGCCAATTACATAGTTGTAGATTTGTTGCGAAAAGCTTTCACTTTTGATCAAGTTGAAAATCGCCATTAATTGTGCTCGAGAACTTTCCTCATCAACGCCGAAATTCTCTTCATATATATTCGAATCTTTATTCAAGGCAACCTCTTTATCATACATTTCAGCTAAAATGTTGGTCAATTTAAAGTACAGATTTCTAGGTTGAAAGACCAAATTTGCTCTTACAAGAACCTCTGGTAACCATGTCAATCTCTCAAATTGTTCTGAATTGTACAACTGGAAATTAGCTAAACATGAGACTAAAGCAGGAAATAAACTCCGCCTAGCTGTTGAATTCAATAGCACCGATTTGCAAAACTCTTTCAATACATCTCCTGCCACTGCTTCTGATGAAAGAACAGCCGTATGGAGAAGAGCTTTGATAATAAGAATGTGTAATTCTCTATCAATCAAATTCAACCTTTCGCAAGACAAATAGGACCACATTTCATTCAAAAAGTCAACAATATAGGCAATGTTGTTTCTTGATTGAGGTTCTGTTGAGTCTAAGTAGCATAAGATAAGTTTCGTTATTGCGATACGACCCTTGATGCTGGCAGCTGTTGGGTCGAGAAGGAATGTAATGTCATTAAATTGAACTCCATCTTTGCAATAAGTTGTGAATAAAGTAACAAAATACTCTCCTTCAAGATCATCCTTTACTTTATAAAAGAACTTGTCAGTCTTTGTTACTTCCTCGGCATTAACCAACATCTTCTTTTTCAATTTCAAAATCTCCTTCCAATTCTCAAACTTGAATTTGGAACTGGCATATAATTTGTTAAATAAAACGTATTTCTTCAATGCACTGGTTAATGTGACAATATCTGCGGATTGCAAATCAAAGATTACCTCATTCCATAATTGCTTCATTGCATCATTTGAGATTGAAAGGTCATCATTAAACTTTGCTCTTGATAGCACTTCAATTATTTGTGAATCTTTTGATGAAAAAAGATGGGTCAACTTTGGGGACATCTCTAGAAACCCGGCTTCTAATAACTTTGCTAGTAAAAGTGGCTTATTGGTTTCTGTATTCACAGCTCTTCCTGTAAGACCAATTAACAATACCTCCTCATCTTCATTCCACTCTCCTTTCTCATTTGTAATCGCATGATCCATCAAGTCTTCTTCTCTCACTGCACTCCTAATAATAGATAAGTTTTGATGCAAAATAGCATATCCATTAAACTTAACAAACCTGGATAATGCTTTTAAAAAGTTTGGTAAATCATGCTCAAAATTCAATAGTAGTCTTAAATTCAAAGTTTGAATATATGTCTTGTGGAAGTTGCTATCTGATTCCTTTTCAATAAGTTCCAACAAAGGAATATCGTGTATTCCATATAGCAAAACTTTTCTTTTCAGTAATCCCTCCAACATTCCTTGCAAGACCAATATCCGTGCTGGGGCAAACCCATCTCTTGTTTCTGCCAAAACTTTCAAAATCGAATAAGCGACATTTTGACAATCAGTATCATCATTTAGATACTTTATCATATTGAAAATGAAATTCCTTAATTTCTGCACATATCCACATTCTGGTATACCATCAACCGTCCTCACATTCAAGTGAGACGCCATCATTAAGTTTGGTAAAAGATCCTTCTCCAACGTCGACAATGCCGACCTGATCAAGTACAAATTTTCTGGTGGAATTGAAAGCAATAATCTCATGGTGAATTTTCTCACGGATTCAATTGTTGCCTTGAATCCAATCGCTAATAATCCCCAGCCCCACGATGGTGGTATGGCTGATTTAGTTGATATCAAATTTGATATATCCTTAATACCTGCCTCTGCTTGATGTAGAGATGTGTCAATAGCCAATATTTCATACAATGTAATGAACCGCGCCCATTCATCTAGATAAAATTGTTTCTCATCTGTATTCCATCTAAAGTACCGATTTTGCAAATTTACATTGATTGATTTGATCGTCAATGTCAATATCGAAAGAGCAAATTTCCTAATCTCGCGTGAGTCACTTGAAAGACCCGTTTGAATACCAGCCCAATAATATTCCTCTTGGAATAGTTGTTGCATTTTAGCATTTTTTGTAAAAGATAAATATCGGAGCCACATACGATACGAGTGGTGGATACAATGTGCTGGTTTACTCAAGCTCTTTAACGTAAACACAACTTTCCAAAAGAGATTGAAATCTCCTTCTTTGTCGTTAGCCAACGAACCTATTCTCCAACGTAAAAGGGAAGAAACTTTATCAGAAATCTGTTTCTCATCAATTCCCAAAAGTAACAAAAGTAAATGATCAAGATTGGTTGCCTTGATATAAGCAGTTTCTCCTTCATCTTCACTTTCACTTTTGAACACCACCTCCATTAACTCCAATAAACGCAATAGCTCGTCATCATCAGATAACTCTAATAAACGTAATAGCTCGTCATCAAAAGAGGAGGTTTCTTGACTCTTTGAAAACTCAAATATTTGGAGATATGCAGGATCAAAATGGCTCTTACACTGGCTGATGTACAGTAAAAGCAACCGCGTCACACGAGCGATAAAGCCTTGTTGCAAAACTGGTATAGCATGAACAAGCCTTGCTATTGCCTCATTGTGCGTCCCTTGTAAAAGATACTTTTGAATATACTGTTCAATTGCATTTAACGAGTTACAAGACGAAGATGTTTTTTCAAAGCTATTGTTATTGTCACCTACGCTTAAAAGCTCAATTAACAATTCAACATTCTCCTCGTTTTCATCCAATAGCTTTGCAACACTTTCAATCAACTCGCTCCGTCTCTCATCATCAAGATACTTACTAATTAAACCAGCTATTGCTGTTTTCATGGCTCTTTACTGACAGTTTGCACCCAAAGATCATCGCTGGAAAAAGAAAAAAAATAAAAAAAATTGCGATGAGATGATCACGTGAGAGCGACACTATCGAGCGACACTATCGAGCGAAGCGAGATAGTGGAGCAGCACTTACTAGCTTGCTATAGCACTATCGAGCAGAGCGAGATAGTGGAGCGGCACTTACTAGCTTGCTATAGCACTATCGAGCAGAGCGAGATAGTGGAGCAGCACTTAGTAGCTTGCTATAGCACTATCGAGCAGAGCGAGATAGTGGAGTGGCACTGACTGTATTTTATAGCTCTGCTAGGTAGTGGAGCAGCACTATCTGTGCTTTATAGCTCTGCTAGATAGTGAAGTATCACTAGCTGTGTTTTATAGCTCTGCTAGATAGTAAAGCAGCACCACTGTATTTCATAGCTCTGCTAGATAGTAAAGCAGCACCACTGTATTTCATAGCTCTGCTAGATAGTAAAGCAGCACCACTGTATTTCATAGCTCTGCTAGATAGTAAAGCAGCACCACTGTATTTCATAGCTCTGCTAGATAGTTAGGAAGCACTGACTGTATTTTATACCTCTTCTAGATAGTGGAGCAGCACTAACTGTATTTTATACCTCTTCTAGATAGTGAAGTATCACTAGCTGTGTTTTATAGCTCTGCTAGATAGTAAAGCAGCACCACTGTATTTCATAGCTCTGCTAGATAGTTAGGAAGCACTGACTGTATTTTATACCTCTTCTAGATAGTGGAGCAGCACTAACTGTATTTTATACCTCTTCTAGATAGTGAAGTATCACTAGCTGTGTTTTATAGCTCTGCTAGATAGTAAAGCAGCACTAGCTGTATTGTTATAGTGAAGCAACACTAGCTGTATTGTTATAGTGAAGCAACACTAGCTGTATTGCTCGATAGTAAAGCAGCACTGGTTGTATTTTAGAGCTCTGCGCGATAGTGAAGCAGCACTAGCTATATTTTATAGCTCCGCTCGATAGTGCACTAGTGTCTACAAAGTGAGGCTCGATAGTGTCGCTAGATAGTGTACTAGTGTCTACAAAGTGTTGCACCACTATCTCGCTCTGCTCGATAGTGTCGCTCGATAGTGTCGCTCGATATCATACAATACAATACAGTGCTGTTCAATACTGTTGCATATTACTAGTCCTCTCTTTAATTTCCACAATTTATTGATATTGTGAAAGTTGGTCTCAAGAGTAAAGTCGGTTAGCATCTTCCGCAGGAAGGTGGTCCCAACAGCAAAGACGGTTATAACCATATTGAAGAAAGATTACTAATCACTTTACTTTTTATTTTTTCGACACTATCGAGCGAAGCGAGATAGTGGAGCACACTGGCTGCCACCACTAGCTGCTGAGACTAGCTGCTGAGACTAGCTGCTGAGACTAGCTGTCGCCACTGACTATAAGTATACTTCCTAACACTAGTGAATAGACTTGTTTGTACATCCTGTCCCCTTTCTTAAAAGTGTTTACTTTTTACTATTTTTATTAAATGTTTTTGACTAGTAAGATACACACCACGCCCGACTATTTCTATACAAAATTTTCGTATTTTGTTAACGCTATGGAGCGACACACACACACTCATACAAACACGTATGCACTCACACAAACACTGTCTCCTTCCCACCCACTCTCTTCCACACCCACTCTCTTCCACACCCACTCTCTTCCACTCTCTTCCACACCCTCTTTCACTGCCGCAGGTGGGTAGATCCGCTTTACTCTTGAGACCAACTTTGCACCCTCGGGTTTAACTTTTTTTGTCATTGCAAAAATACGAAAACAGAGGGAGTGAAAGAGACAGTATTTGTGTGAGTGTATACATGTGTTTGAGTCTCTCTCTCTTGTTTCTAGAGACTAGACGAGGGAAACAAGTCTAGTTTTATTCGATAGTGTCGCTCGACACTATCGAGCGAACCTATTCTCCAACGTAAAAGGGAAGAAACTTTATCAGAAATCTGTTTCTCAAGAGAGTGACAAAAAGTGTGTGAGAGAAAGAGAGAGGGAGAGAAAGAGAAGGTATATGTGTGAGAGAAAGAGAGAGGGAGAGAAAGAGAAGGTATATGTGTGAGAGAAAGAGAGAGGGAGAGAAAGAGAAGGTATATGTGTGAGAGAAAGAGAGAGGGAGAGAAAGAGAAGGTATATGTGTGAGAGAAAGAGAGAGGGAGAGAAAGAGAAGGTATATGTGTGAGAGAAAGAGAAGGTATATGTGGGAGAGAAAGAGAGTGTTTGTGTGAGTGTATATATGAGAGAGAAAGAGGGTGAGGGTGAAAGAGAGAGGGTGAGGGTGAAAGGGTGTGAAAGAGACAGTGTTTGTGTGAGTATGTATATATGTTTGTGTAAGATTGACCGTTTTCGTCTCTTTCAGTCAATGCTGCACCACTATCTCGCTTCGCTCGATAGTATCGCTCGATAGTGTCGCTCGATAGTGTCGCTCAATGGTATCGCTCGATAGTGTCGCTCGATAGTGTCAATAGTGTCGGTGGCAGCTAGTGTGCACCACTATCTCGCTCGATAGTGTTGCTTGATAGCGTTGCTCAATAGTGTTGCATTTGCTTTTGCACATTTTGCAGTTTTAAAATTTCGCAATCGTTTTTTCTATTTCGGAAATCGAGGTCCGATATGATAAAATTGCAAAAGTAATTGTCATAGGAGTCTAGTTGAGGACACTATCAAGGAGAGCGAGATAGTGGGGTAGCACTTAGTAGACACTAGGGAGCGAGACAATTAGTTATTGAGTTGTTCTTGGTGAAAAAAACGGTCAAGATTACAAGATTACAAGAGTACAAAGTAGAGTCTACTTTTTTCTGGTAGATAAGGAATCTCATGTTGAATAATTATCAGTTGGTTAGTATTATCTTGGCTTCGGTGCTAGTAGTATACTTATTCAACTACAAACAGCAAAAGCCAAAGGCTATCAAGCAAAAGCTTGATAGCCGTACTGGGTTGGTTACCCCAATTAAGGACTTTGAATGGAATCGTGCTGAACCCTTAAAGTCGCTACCTTTTAAAAAGGGTCCATATAAGTTGACTATGGGGATCAAGAGGCTTGATTTGCAAGACTGGTTGTTGATAGAGCCAGGGTATCTCCAGCGTTTGACAGATAAAAAAAATATTATCAACAACAGCCATCCCGATTACCCACAAGGCAAGGATTTGAGAGGCTCGACTTTTTTTGTGACTCAAGAGGCACATAGTGCCATTTGTGAGCTTTATGATATAGTGATGGATTATATGTCAACAAAATACCCCACTTGTTTTGAGATAGATGACAAGAGACTCAATGTGAAAAACCTCATTACGCAAAAAACATATCCTTTGCATAGCAAGGCACTCAATGATCCAGTCGTTCTTCAGGAATATCTAGCAGAAACGATAGAGGAAGACTTTATCATTTTGTTGAAAGACCCTAAAAGAGAAAATGAAGAAAACGGTAAAGAGTATTTCTTTAAAGCAGGCGTATTTGCGTTTGCAGCGGGATTCAATCCAAAAGAAAGGTTCAATAAACCATTGACTTACATCCATCATCCCGTGCCACAATATGAAACAAAGTTGAAAACATCAATGAACCGTTATTTTTCAAGAATGGTTCCTGGGCAGTTTATAACTAGATCAAATTGGTCAATACAAACTCATAACAAACTCTATACTGACGACTCAAATAAGGGCCATAACCTTCCAAAGGGCTATACTCAGCACGCTATCGATTACAACAGCGTGGATTTCAGCCAAGTTCACTATAGAAGTGAACGACAGGTATTGACCAAACTACCAAAAACGCAAGCCATTGTCTTTACCATTAGAACGTACCTTCTTCCCTTAGCTGAGATCAAAAAGGAAAGTAGAGAAGTTAGAGAAAGATTGATCGGTGCAATTGAAGGGTTTACCCCAGATATATCCGCCTATAAACGCGCTGATGAATGGGGCTCCGCAGTATGCCAGTATTTGAGAGAATGAATCATGGTGATTTTTTTCATTTTTTTTCATTTTTTTTTTTAACCACAGGTTTCCAACCGTATATTTATTTCCAGAACTGAATTGAATTGAAAAAATTGAATTAAACAAACTGAACTGAATTGAACTGAATTGAACTGAATTGTCATCAATACTTTACAATATCATCTCTCACCTCTTCCCAAATTTCGATATTTTTCTTTGCCCAATTGATCATGAATCGATTGTAATACAATAATATTTCATAGATCATTTTCAATTGCCTTGTATGAAATTTCTTTAGATTCTTATCAATTTCATCAAATATAAACGATAAATCGGCCAACATTATACCTTGACATTTTTCAAAAATCTCAATCTTATCAGTTAATTCATGGATTTTTGTTTTGCGTGTTTGTTGAGGATTTTGATCAATGATTTCAGTCACGTATTGTGTTATCTTTTTGAAGCTTGGGAATTTGAACTTTGATCCATTATTTTGACTCGCCGGTGGTGTGTTTGAGTTTGTTTTTGTGTTTGTATTACCGTTTGACGCTGATGTTGATGAGGTGGAAGCTTTGCCATTCAAGTTGTACTTTGTAGTAGACTTGCCATTATGCTGTGTTGCTATTGCATGCTCCACTTTACCTGCTTCTGCCTCTACTTTTAACAAATTATTCAACTCTTTTCGTTTGCTTTTTAGTTCATTATCTAACATTTGTTTCTGTTTTAGTTTTTTGGACTGGTATTTCGTCACATATTGAAGGATACTGGTATATTGCACTGCTTCACCTAAAGGCTCTGAAAATCTTGTTTCTAAATCTCCAATCAATGAATTTATGGTGATATACGATCGATCAAATGCTTGACCTATTTTATCAAATATGAAATTTAACTCATCATCATTTTCATTTGTCTTTAATTTGTTATCATCACTCCGCAGCAGTAATGTTTCAGAAAACATCAATGAAAAGGAATTAAAAACACTTCCCAATTCAGCATAGTCATTTGATAACCCCATGAAATTGGCCATAATTTTTTTATTAACTTCATCAAGGCCCGATGTGTCCACAATAAATTCTTCTTGTTTTTGTCTTTGCATAGTCTCGGGATCAGGTTCACTTACTGGGTAGTTGCCACTAGTAGTATTGTTGTTGTTGTTGTTGTTGCTGCTGCTGTTGTTGTTATTGTTGTTGTTGATATTATTGGTGTTGTTGATATTATTGGTGTTGTTGATATTATTATTGATATTATTATTGTTATCTTGCATTCCGATAGTAACACCACTACTAATCAATTGGTTTGTCTTTTTAGTTATTCTCTTTTTATTGTCTTTGAAAAAACTCATTGTCTTTTTATTTGAAGGATTTGGTAAATATCGATAAATTGGATCAGTTTTGAGTCCATTTTCAGGATTCAACAAATAGACACTTTTAGGTAATTGGTTTTGGATTAACGAAATCTCATCAGTCCAATTTGCATTTGGATCTAGGAATTTAGCGAAAAACTCAAGATTTCGAATCTGCTTGATTTGAAGACAGTTGTTCAAGAAATTGGTCAATAATCGCTTCCTATGCTCGATTAATCTAATCTTTCCCAAGTGATTCGAATTTATATACGCGTAGGGAGTTGACGATATGGGATTTGCAACGGATGCAGCAGCAGATGCAGCAGAGGCGGCAGATGGCGGTCCGTTATTAACGGTTTCTTTATTGGTAGAAATTGGCATCGGTACACCGTTTGATACCCCGCTTGTTCCTTGTCCAACTAATCCATTAAATACAGAAAAATCAAAATAATTTTTTGGTGGTATTGGCGGTATAATAACCAAGGGGAAGATCTTGGTCAATATCTCTCTTAAGCTTTCGAAATCGCTATACCTCCTCCTGGTTAATATTTCATCATTTTTTTTATCCAAATTCATTAGTCTTATTGTATAAACAACGTATTTCTTCAGGGCGTTATTCATTCCTTCATTTGAGTTTCCTGCCTCGGTGATTTGTATTCTGACATTGACATTGGGCTTGAGTAGTTTCGTTACTCGGCTTTCAAAATTCATATTCACGGTATTAAATGACTCGCTTCTTATTTGAGATTGAGACGTTCTGTTCAAAGTATCAGTCTTGTATAATAACATCGACTCGTCCTCGTAATCCTCGTTGGTCAAACTCGGTCTCCTTTCCGATTGGCTTTCTTGCGGATTTGGCAAATGGCTTTGATGAATGAGGCTTGTTAGACCCAGATGATGCAGGAACGGATTGTTGTCTTCTTCATCTTCAAATGGAACGCACTCCGTGTGCGATAATTGGTTTGTGGGCGAGGAGCTTTTTGGTGAGGGCTTCAACATGACCTATAAGGTGATAGCAACTCCAAACTCCACTTGTAAGTAGCTCTTGTAAGTAGCTCCTGTAAGTAGCTCCTGTAAGTAGCTCTTGTAAGTAGCTCCTGTAAGTAGCTCTTGTAAGTAGCTCCTGTAAGTAGCTCTTGTAAGTAGCTCCTGTAAGTAGCTCTTGTAAGTAGCTCTCTCTGGTTTCAACAGCTCTCTTTGGTTTCAACAGCTCTCTTTGGTTTCAACAGCTCTCTTTGGTTTCAACAGCTCTCTTTGGTTTCAACAGCTCTCTTTGGTTTCAACAGCTCTCTTTGGTTTCAACGGCTCTCTTTGGTTTCAACGGCTCTGGTTTCAATGGCTCTCTCTGATTTCAGCACTCCCCGCTCAGGCAATGCTTTTCCTATAAACAACACCGTCTTTGATACTAAAGTTAATTAAAGGCGGAGATTTAGTTTCACGGCTCAAAATACAAATGTTTGTATGTGTGTTTGGATGCAGATGAGAAAAATGATGGTTATCGTTGAATCGCGGAGACGCGGAGGCGCCCGAGCCGCGTTGGAGCTATTACGGCGGGGGGGGGGGGCGCGCGGCGACAACTATAGCGACGACTACAGCGACCAATACAGCGAGATATATGAAGAACAAGGTGAGGAATGGTGAGGTGTAGATAAGCGCATAAAAGTAGAAAGTATAGGTTGAAACGAGTTATAGAGTGCCAATTTCAGCAGGTGTATCTTGATCAAGAAAATGACAAAGACTGCTCTTAATCAAGAGAATAAGAAAGACTTTTCCTAATCAAGAGTAATAACAAAGACTACTTTTTATAGAGACTGCTCTTTGAGACTGCTCTTAATCTAGCCGGGATCTCCTAGAGAATGGTTTACTTGGAATTACAATGGCTACAATATACAATTGCAATAGCTATTATAAAAGCATCTATAATTTACAATACCTACCAAGGGTCTCTATGATTTACAATACCAAGGGTCTCTGATATTTCTAAATGATATCGACAGAGTATAAAGACAATAAGCTGCTTTTGTGTAAAGTAATCAAGTAAAACACACCCTGTGTGTCAAGATGATCTATATAGTAGCTCTTAAACAAACAGTATATCAAGCAAGAGAGAATAAATTTATGACAATTGCATCTGAGACAAAATGTGAAACTCTGAGTTTCTGAAACCAATGTCTAAAATTGATTTCTTTGAGAGTGGGGGGTGCTAGGAGAGTGGGGGTGCTAGGAGAGTAGTGCTAGGAGAGTGGTGCTAGAGTAGTGCTAGGATAGTGGTGCTAGAGTAGTGCTAGGATAGTGGTGCTAGAGTAGTGCTAGGATAGTGGGGGTGTTTGAATCTCTAAACTTGTCCTCGTCACATTAAACATTTAGACAATTTTTAATAAATGTCTCCTAAATTGTACCTACACCTCAACAAAAGATAAGTAGCTTAATTTCTCTTACTATGAGGGTTATGACACATGAGTTTTGCTGTAATGATAAAAGAGGTTACAATCTATAAATAAACTCTCCTTTTGAAGCGGTTCCCCTTTTGAGGCGCCACGTCCTTTTGTAGCGCCACCTCCTTTTAGAGCACCTCCTTTTGGAGCACTTCCCCCTTTGAGGCACCTTCCTTTCAATCACCTGTACTTTATAAACAGATATACCTTTTGATGATTAAGGTAATGGCTGGTTCAAAAAGGTTCTAGATTTACTTTATAAAAGAACATCAAGAAAATTTCAAATGACGTCATAAAACGTTCTCTGTTTGACAGAAACGAATTAAATTGTAAGGGTTAAGACAGCATTAGACAAAATAATAGATTATAGGAATATAAGTTAACAAGACCGTGGGTTAACAAGACCGTGGGTTTATAAGACCATGGGGCTATAGGTTATAAGACCATGGGGCTATAGGATTACAAGACCATCGTACTATAATCTTATAGCACCACGGCGTGACCTTTCTTCCAATCAAACCCTGTTGTCCATCAAATCCAGCGGCTAGCAAAATGTAAATTGAGTGCAACAAATTGCAATAAAATAAATAAAAAAATTGATGCAACAAAAGTTAATACTAATGCAATGTCTATTAATTGATTTGAGTTTACTTGGATTCATTTATTGTCTTGTCTACGTAGTCAAAATGTGACAGCTACCCACGTCAGCATGCAGTGAAATGCAGTGGGACACAGTATCGCGCAGTATCACACAGTGATTGTAGAATATTAGTACTGGTAAACTCAAACAAAAGTTACACCCCCCCCCCAAATTCTATTGACTTTTTTATTCTTTCTAAACGCATATTACAAACCATTACAAATACTGTTTTCCTATAATAAAATGACTCTCCCATCCTAAAGTAACTTCTACTATATTTAATCAACTCTACTATTTTTAAGCAACTCTACCATATCCAATCAAACTCTACCATATCTAACCTCATCCCTTATTGATTTCCCTTTCAAGAAAAATGAAATATTGAGAGTATCATTTGACATTTGGTAGCGTATTTATCTCAGCGACTATATCGCAAGTGATGTTTCTCCCCTTCTCTCGCTCTTCTCGGTCTTCTCTTTCCTCTTCTCTCTCTCTCTCTCTCTCTCTTCTCTATTTGGCCTAGTTTTAGTTACTAAGTTTAGTAGTGTTGAAAACTCATAGTTTGTAAACTAGTAAAGTAAATTGTGCGTAGCTTATATTACTATTAATAGGAACTAAGTTCCCGCTGAAAATTAAAGCCCGTTTATTCAAAGGTCATTTGCTCTAGAAGGACTCAGCACCTTTTTTTTTTTTCATAGAGTAACACTATTCTTGTTATACTGTTATTATTATATATATGTCGGTTTGCTAGGCTTGAGTTGAACGGTACATTTTTGAATTAAGAAAGTCGTTACATCTGGAACAAGGAAGTACAAGGAAGTAGACCTACAGAACAAGGGAAGTCCATCTGAACTACAAGGGTAGACCTACACTACAAGAGTAGAAATACACTACAAGAGTAGAAATACACTACAAGGGAAGTCCATCTGAACTACAAGGGTAGACCTACACTACAGAGCAAGTAGAGTAGACCTACAGAACAAGGGTAGACCTACACTACAGAGCAAGTAAAGTAGACCTACAGAACAAGGGAAGTATATCTGAACTGAAAGGCTAGACCTACACTACAAGAGTAGACCTACAGAGCAAGTAAAGTAGACCTACAGAGCAAGTAAAGTAGACCTACAGAGCAAGTAAAGTAGACCTACAGAACAAGGGTAGACCTACACTACAAGAGTAGACCTACAGAACAAGGGTAGACCTACAGAGCAAGTAAAGTACATCTGCACTACAAGGGCAGGCTTACACTTCAAGGGCAGACCTACAGAGCAAGTAAAGTAGACCTACAGAACAAGGGTAGACCTACACTACAAGAGTAAACCTACACTTTAAGAGTAGACCTGCACTACAGAGTAAGTAGAGTAGACCTACAGAACAAGGGTAGACCTACAGACCAAGTAAAGTAGACCTACACTTCAAGGGTAGACCTACAGAGCAAGTAAAGTAGACCTACACTTCAAGAGTAGACCTGCAAAATAAGGGCAGACCTACACTTCAAGGGCAGACCTACACTTCAAGGGCAGACCTACACTACAAGACTAGACCTACACTTCAAGAGTAGACCTACACTACAAGGCTAGACCTACAGAACAAGGGTAGACCTACAGAGCAAGTAAAGTACATCTGCACTACAAGGGCAGGCTTACACTACAAGAGTAGACCTACACTACAGGTAAACCACATTCAACTACAGGTAAACCACATTCAACTACAGGTAAACCACATTCAACTACAGGTAAACCACATTCAACTACAGGTAAACCACATTCAACTACAGGTAAACCACATTCAACTACAGGTAAACCACATTCAACCAAGGTGATGACCTCGGTACCAAATACACCTACTCATAACAAAGTAGTATCGCACCAGGACTTTAAAGAACTCACATTGTCGCCACAAGCAGAAGAACAACCAAACTTGGACTCATATTTTGACTGTAATAGTATCTCCAAAAAGCGAGGATTACAACAGCTTCTGAAACCATATCCAATACCCAAAACGCTATTGCCCTTGCCACCAACATCCATATCCTCCTTATCCTCCTTGCCACAACCCAAAACACCTATATTCAAGTCAGGCTCAATCTCAGGTACATCTTATGCATATCCATTAAGCTCCCCCTCTCCAACATCTACAACTTTTGCCACAAGTCTTTCCAGCAATATCAAATCTCAAGACACGTTTAACTTAAACCCAACAAAGTTTGATTTCATCTTTGATGTACGGCCATTTAACTTGTATTCAAAGAGCAGAATACAAACTTCGGTTAACCTAAGTTTGCCTACAACGCTATTGAAGCGTAACTCTATGAACTTGAGCGAGTTGATTATCAATATGGTGGAAATGGACTCAAGCTCAAAGCAAATCATACTAGATCAGCTCAAGGAGGGCCAATTGGAAAGAAGCTTGCAAATCCTCATTTATGACCAAACTTCTACAAATGAGGCTATCACTTTTGCCTTGTATCAAACTGTAGCCAAGTTTGAAAAGTATCATGATAAATTTGACATTTATTACTTGAATGGCGGGTTTGCAAAGACATTACTGGATAATGCCAACATAGTAGAGCATATAACTATAAACCCAAACGCTGCTGCTAACACCAATAATAAAAATAGCCCAGATGAACAAAAGAGAACAAAGTGTTTATCGGGGTTCACTTTACCTTCTGCAACTAATTTCAAAACCAAATTTGTTCACTCTATCAAAAAGAATAATGACTACTCAGAACTAAATATCAGTACCAATAACAACAATGGCAATGGCAATGGCAACCACGATAACAGCTATTTCAACGGCCAGGCTGCAAGTAATGAGCATACAATGGAAGGGAAGAAGGAGGTTGGCCCCTCATATCAATACAAAATAGCCCCTATTTCAAAAGACGTATCCTTGTGTAAATGGCTACATTTCATGAAAACGTGTACAAATGAAGATATTGTTAGGCAGCTACATCAAAAATTTAACAGGGTTGAAGAAATTGAAAAAAGACGATTAAATAAAATGTGCTCAAAGTCTAAAGATTCAGATACAACGACAAACACCAATTCTTCTAACCAGGAGACAACAATTGCATCACCATGTTGTCAACAATGTACACTAATTGATTTTAAACTACCTCAGGGAATCGAATTTGGCTACAAGAATAGATATAATAACGTATGGCCATATGAACATTCTCGAGTAAAACTAGATCACGGCCATTTTCGGAGTCCTGGTGATGATTACTTTAATGGCAATTACATTGCTATCAACACAATAGTTGATGGTGACTGTACATATATTGCAACACAAAACCCTCTCTCGTCAACAATTGATGACTTTTGGGCACTTGTTCAGCAAGAAAATGTTCAAATTATAATTAATCTAGATCCAAAACCAGTATTATACTTTAACCACCCGCAAGTTCGATCTATTGAGACTATAGGCACACCTTTTTCTGACTTTAAATTACGCAAAATTAACAATTCAATCTATCATTTTCATTACCTTGGATGGCCCGATTTCGGTGTGCCTCAATATTTTCAATCATTAATTGAATTGATAGAATTGAAAAACAAAATGGCCGAATCTCAGCATCTTTCGAAAAAAGTGATTGTTCATTGTTCTGCAGGGTGTGGAAGAACAGGGGTGTTTATAACTATAGATGCATTGATTCAAGGATACTCGAGAAACCCTCAACGAATGGATACACTGGAGGTGGATTTGGTATATAAATTAGTTCAACATCAACGACGCCAACGAATTTCAATGGTTCAGACTTTGGACCAGTTTATAGTATGTTATGAAGTTTTTGCTACTTATTTGGAATTGAAACAACAACAAGAACAACAACACCAAGAGAAAGAAAAAGAAGGAAAGGAAGAAAAAAAAGGAAATGAAGGAAATGAAGCACAACCCTCTTCATCCATGGAGTTGAACTTGAACCCTGATTCGGGAAACTCATCGCAATGTTTAAAAATGGCAAATATTTTAGAAATTATAAACAACAATATGGAGGAGTTTACCAGGCGATCTACAAGCTCCCCTAATAACAATAATAACTTTATAGGTTCTTCGGGACAACCAGTTAGAAGCCCGATTGTTAGGGAAAGCTCCGTTTCTACACCATCTTGCACCACGGCTACCGCTGCAGCTGCCGTTGAGCGCGGTGATTATTTCCAATTTCAAAATACATCCATGTCGGTGAGTTCGAGATAATGAAAAGAAAGAAAAAGAGATAGAGATAGAATGTTCTATAGAGAGGTGTATCCAAAAAAAGAAAAAAACAATTCAAAAAAACTGCATGTAAATTGAATCTTTCCCTAATAAGACTAAGATTTATGATGAGTCTTGCTTTTATTAAAGATGAAATTGTATTGTTTGTGTGTCTTGATCAGTAAATGTAAATGTGAATTGACTTGTTTCTTCATTTACAAGCGAATTGACATAATCCCCCTCCCTCCCCCCTTTGGACTTTCCACCTACACCCTATTTTTTGAAATGATTTTGACAATCCATAAGAAACTTTATGGGAACTCCGAAAACGGGATTTATTGAATGAGTATATTGACCAATCTCGTCATCGTCATCGTCATCGTCATTATCATTATCACCTCTGTTGCATTCAAATCTAAATGCCAACTTCTCAAACTCGTCGCTCTCCTTTAACAAATATTCATGCTCAAATAAACTTAATCCACATAGACTATAATTTGTATGATAAAAATCGGCATTTGTACCTGGTTTATCTCTAAATCCACCTTTACCATCTTCAACCTGGGCAACTCTTAACAAATAGTTCATCATTGCTTCTTTATCAAAAACATCACGAGCGGCAGCGACAGCAACGCCATTCTTTGAATCTTTCTGTAATATATCAATCATTGGAAATAAAGCACCAATCCAAAAACAATAGCATGCATCTACCAATTTATTGCTTCTCCCGTTAAATCCACCTTCTATAGTTTGGCGATGTACACACCAATGGACAAATTTGTCAAATTCAATCTTTCTTTTGATTTCGTCACCACTGGTATTAAGCAACATCAATGAGGCCATAGCACAAAATGTGTATCCACCATGGGCTTCGGTATACGGGGTACCACCAAAGCCACCTTCATATGTTTGACACAGTAGAATCCATTCTTCGACACCTTCGATGAGCTCATCTGTCAAAATATTCAATAAAGATGCTATTACAAGAACACAATATGTTGATCTTGTATCGAATTCTCCATTTTCATGCATTATAAATGAAAACCCATTCAATTGTCGAGTTTTTAAACTTAAAAGCCAAGAGTATATTCCATCTTTGATTTCTTCGAGTAGTTTATAATTCTTAGTAAGCACTAGTGTCAATATAGCAGCATACGATGAAGCCACATGACCTATTTGATTAGCACCACCAGCTATACCACCATTCCCGTTATCAACTATACATCTTTGTATTTTGTCATTCACCAAATCAAGAATCTCATCAGTGATGGAAAATTTTTTGGTCTTTTGTTTGATAACACAATTAGAATTTAGTAGCCAATACATCATCCATGGATGATTTGCATCCAATGACTTGTAAGCTGCCATCATGGGACTAGTTAGTTTTTTAATCACGTATTTCAAATGATCCATTCTGCGGAAACTCAATGAAGGCACCATTGAGTACGTTTCCAAAATTTCCTCTGTTGTTCCCTTTTGGGTCTCTGTAGTTAGCGAAGTATAAGGCGAGAAAGAGATGACATTCTCGTTGTAAGCCATATTCCAAGATGAGACTTGCATTATATCTATATCTTGATTTTCCAACTCACTATTGCTATTATCGAGTTCTTGTTCAATAATAGTTCGTTTTCGACCGAGAAGAGTTAATAAATACTCAATCTGAGATTTCGTCCTCCTCTTGTATTTCATACTAAGCGCGAAAACAGGCACGTTTGTATAGAAACTTGGCTTGTTTTTAAAGAATAGAGAGGTTTTGAAAATATAAAAACTGTTGAAGTGGGTTTGGTTTCATTGGTTTATACTGAATATGGCAACGACAATCGAGTGAAGCTCCTCTATCGAGCAGAGTGAAGCTCCTCTATCGAGCAGAGTGAAGCTCCTCTATCGAGCAGAGTGAAGCTCCTCTATCGAGCAGAGCGAGATAGTGGAGCACACTAGTTCTGCAACACCTCGTCTTTTAAACACTAGCTCTGAAACATCCCGTCTTTTAAGTGCTGCTCCACTATCTCGCTTCGCTCGATAGTGATAGTGTCGATGGTGGAGTTTTTTTCCCACACAAGTGAATAGGCAGACTAACGCGCCATTTACAACCACCATTATCTTTTTTCTTCTGAAAGGTAATGGTGCAATCTTGTATACTACTTGGTGCAATATACTACTTGGTGCAATATACTACTTGGTGCAATCTTGTATACTACTTGGTGCCATTTTTGATACTACTTCACCATGGCCCCAACCTCTGTTAAGATGCATTGAAATAGCTGACACGTTCACCATTTTCGCCAGCAAGTCTGGCAAAAGCGAGCAACACTCTGCCACTCGCACCATTTTCTCACACACCATTCTCTCACCTACCAGTCTCTCACCTACCATACTCTTACGCACCAGTCTCTCACCTACCATTTCTCGCTTCGCTCGATAGTGGATCTCACTAACTCTCAGCAACGCCCCATGTTTCAAGTGCTACTCCACTATCTCGCTCCGCTCGATAGTGTTCGCACCATTCCCTCACTAGCTCTTCAGCCCATACCAATTTTTTAATGGTGGATCATGCTTTTCTAATCCCACACTTTCAACACACACGCAAAAAAAAATAGTGAGCATTGAATTAAAGGTTGGTTATATCCTTTGCAGTTTTTATATCACCACCACCACCATTACCAATGCCTTGGAGTAGCCGCTTAAGAGCAATATTTGGAGACCGCAACCGTCACCGGTTGGGTACAAACGATAACAGCAATAACAACACTAATGAGTTTCCTGGCTCATTCCCAGGAAGAGAAGAAGACGAAGAGGAAGAAGGTATAGAGCAAGTTTCTAGGAACTCCACCAACTCACATGCTTTCAGAGAATCTATGCACAAGATTGGTGGATGGGTGACTTATCTTCTCATCCAACCTATAATCATCATAGTTTTAATACTATTTCGACTACTTTCGAAATTAATCAGCATAATCTACCTTGACCCATCAAAGTTGAACCGCGATGAACTAACGGATCCAATAGATAAAGTTTGTAAATTTGTTCGAAACTTGGAGGATAATATCCCGCCACTGATAAACAGTTTCCATCACAACCAACTTCCTCCGTTTTTTGAAGGAAGCTATACACAGGCATTATACATGGCGACTCAGCGTGGTAAATTCTTATTCATCTACTTGACAAATTCCCACAATGAAAGCGCTTCATTCATCTTTAATGAGATTGTGATAAACCCCGAGTTTATCAGGATATTTACCCTGCTGAATAACAATGTGATTATATGGGGTGGTGATTTGACAAACCCGGAAGCTTATCAATTAGCTAATAGTTTGAATGTAACTAAGTTCCCCTTTTTAGGTTTGCTTTGTTTAACTAGAATTACAAAGATGACTCCCGAGGGGCCTCAAAAGGAGCCATCAAAGATGTCCTTAGTAGCCAAGTTACAAGGTGGTGGAAATATCACCAGTTCAATGCATAATGGAGCTGACTTGATTAAAAGCAAATTCGTTAGCAAAATCAACAAGTATGAACCTGAATTGATACTCATACGCCGAGAATTAAAAGACAAGTTTATGACAGAGGTCTTGAAAAAACAACAAGAGTACAACTACCTACAATCCTTACAAAAGGATATGTTGAAAAAGGCTGAAAAGCTAAACGAAGCAAAAACAAAGGAATACTTGGAATATAGAGCGCCAGATTTCCTCAATTTGACTGTACAGGCCCCTGACACTGCTAAAATTGCATTAAAGTTCCCCAATTCTACACGACAAACCGTATACTTCCCAAAAACTATGAAGGTTGAAGATATATACATTTATGTTGAACTATACAAACAAAAAATGTTGAATGGCAAGCTGAGAAGCCGATTGTCGACAGCAGAAGCAGAATCCAAGTTCAGCAATTTTCAGATGAAGTTCAATTTCAAATTACTGTCTCCATTACCACCAAGAACTGATCTTTCCACAAAACGCTCCGATTTAATTGAAAATATCGACTTGATCTATCCCAACGGTTTATTATTAATTGAAGATGAATAAAAACAAGAACAAAAAAAGAACAAATATATCAAAAAAGAATATACCTTTGTTTTATTTGCCGACATAATCGACACTATCAACACTATCGAGACTATCGAGCAGAGCGAGATAGTGGAGAAACACTAGCTGCCACCGTCACTATTGTCACTATCGACACTGTCTCGCTCTGCTCGCTCTGCTTGACAGTATATTCTCTAGTGGAGAACGCTAGCTGCCACCGTCACTATTGTCACTATCGACCCTATCTCGCTCTGCTCGACAGTCTAGTCTCTAGTGAAGAACACTAGCTGCCACCATCACTATCGACACTATCAACACTATCTCGCTCTGCTCGCTCTGCTTGACAGTATATTCTCTAGTGGAGAACGCTAGCTGCCACCGTCACTATTGTCACTATCGACCCTATCTCGCTCTGCTTGCTCTGCTCGACAGTCTAGTCTCTAGTGAAGAACACTAGCTGCAACCGTCACTATCGACATAATCGACACTATCTCGCTCTGCTCGATAGTGTCTGCTTGATAGTGGATCAACACTAGCTGCCACCGTCACTATCGACACTATCTCGCTCTGCTCGATAGTGTTTTATTTGCCGATTTTATTTTTTTTACTTTTACTCTTCTTCTCCTTCTTCTTTAATCCAACAAATCCAATTTTAATGACTTGAATATAATCTTGCCAAAATTGATTCAATTGTTCAGTTTCTACTACTGTTGATATTTTCACTTTTTTCCCACCCTCTCCATCTCTATTATTGGAACTGTTCATACTCACACGAATCAATATAGGATATTTTTGTTCGTTTCTTGGTAACAGCTTGTCCATATCAATGACATTTGTTGGAAAATCAGTTGACAATGATTCTCCATGTGGTTTTTCGGTAGATAACCGTTTCTGAGTAAGGTATACAGATGATTTGCCCTGATTCTTCAAGACAAGATCCTTGAGTTGGCTCAAAAACTGGGAATTGTCTAACCGCGTCATATCTCAACACCTATTGCACAAATCTCTCTAGCTAAAAGCCAAAATTTCTCTCTAGCTAATAGCCCAATGATGAATTTTTCAGTGCATTTTTCACTTTTATTTTTTTTTTTCTCTCTTTTCTTTCACGCCATAAAAAGATCTTGCTCAAGTTACAAAGGATCAGAATCACTGGGAAGGTGAAGAAAGCTGCTTATCAATGGGGGGGGAAGCTTATGTCGAAGCGGTATAAGATAGCATCACTAGGTAATAGCTGCTGGCTCTCAACATGAGTTAGAATAGAGCTCCTGACCCAGCCATCTCATCTGCAACTACAATTGCAAACTGCAAAAAGAGTAAGCTGTTGTGCGCTACCACATGATTCGGATATGTGGAAGCTTTATCTCACACTTGGTATTTCGGGACTTCGGATCGACGGCTCGGCATTTCGGGTACTGAAAAATTTCTTAAAAGCGACGAAATTAAAGAAGAAGGAAATAAAGATCAACTAAAATGGGAGACGAGTTGAAAGATATTAGAAAGAAGAGAAAAGTAGTAAGTAGGAAAAAAGATACTAAAAAAGAAGACAAGAGTAGTAGAGAAAGCAGTAAACTTTCCCATCTACTTTGGTTATTGTCTAAATATCATCGACTAGCCACCAAACCTTTTCCTCTTGTGTAGCTACACACAAACACACACCCTCCCCTTACTCCCGCTTGCTCCCTGCATCTTTGAAAGGTGGACATTTTTGTTGGTGAATTTGACTAAAAGAGTCCCCTTTTTAGTCCCCTTTTTTCTAGTGCGAAAAGTAACGAGCTAAAACGTTTAGAGGGGAACAAAGGTAATCGAGATAGAGGGGAACAAAGGTAATTGAGATAGACGGGAACAAGGGTAATTGAGATAGACGAGAATAAGGGTAATTGAGATTGAGTAAATAAGGTTATTGAGATTGAGTAAATAAGGTTTTTGAGACAGAGTAAAGGTTATTGAGACAGAGTAAAGGTTATTGAGACAGAGTAAAGGTTATTGAGACAGAGTAAAGGTTATTGAGGTAAATGGAGTAGAGATAACAATGCTGGTGAGTTTGCTTTTACAATCCATGAAATTTGGAGACAATGCCCATAAGAAATCATCGTCACATCTTCCCCAAAGATTATTAGCTTTATTTGTTTCCATATTGATAGCCTTAGCGTCAGGGACTCCCTATCTCTATGGTGTTTATTCTCCACAACTAGTGAAAAGGATTGGTCTTACTACATCTGATTCGGCTACTATTTCATTGGCAACCAATTTGGGCTCAAGTGTAGGTGGCTTGCCGGGCGGACTCTTGATTGATCATTTTGGACCGCAATTCAGTATATTTGTAGGGTCAATATGTATATTTGTTGGTTATTTCTCAGTGTTCAAGATTTACCAACATCGGTTCAATCATTTGTCGGTTATTTGCATAGCTATGGTTTTTGCTGGCTTTGGGTCAATCACAAGTTATTTCGCAACTTTAAAAGCCGCCCAGGCCAATTTTACCAAACATAAAGGTGTTGCCGGTGCTTTCCCAGTGAGTTGTTATGGATTTGCCGCAACTATTTTTTCAATAATATCTGCTACTTACTTCAATGACAATGCTGGTGGACTATTGGAATTCTTGGCCTTTTTCTGTGGTGCTGTTACCTTTTTTGGATCGTTTTTTATTCATATTTATGTTAATGATGAAGATGATGATGATGATGTGGAGGAGGCATTGGCCTCGTTGCCACTGGTTAATAATTACCAGCAAGTTTTACAGGGACCTTCTCAAAGAACACCCCAACTACCACCGCCACCGCCATCATCAGCATCGGCATCGGCATCAATAATCGAGGAACAAACATCATTGTTAGCCGATATTCAACCGCCCGCACAATCAATGACAAAGACAGATTCATTGACTGGGTCTTTAGCCGTTTGGGGGATTGGAGAAAGAACCCCAAGATCTTCAATAAGCTTACAAGAGTCAGAAGCAAGTAGCATTGTTCAGAATCTAAGAAATGGCGAACCCAACAAGATCAAACTGAAAGCAAAATTGCAAAACCCCTATCATACAATAAAGGAACGTCTCACACATAAAATATTTTTGATTCACTATTTTATTGTTTCAGTGGCCTCTGGAATTGGACAAATGTACATTTTTAGTGTTGGATTTATTGTTACAGCACAATATTACTACAACAAAAAGAATAATGATGAAGCTCACGTAGGTGGTCATCTACAACCACGAGTTTCCATGACGTCACATGATCCTGAAGCAGCATCGCTTCAAGCTCTTCAAGTATCTATCATATCCATAGCATCATTTCTGGGTCGTCTATTAGCCGGGTTTCTTAGCGACTTTATCCATAAGAAATGGCACGTTCAAAGGCTTTGGATTGTTTTATTCACATTGGTTTTATTAGCCGTGAGTCTATACCTTACCATAATTAATGTTTCTTCATTCGAATTAACTTCAGTAGTCTCGGCTATGATTGGAGGTAGCTATGGCCTTATTTTTGGAACATACCCTGCAATAATTGCAGATTCGTTTGGTACAATGACTTTTTCAACCAATTGGGGTTTAGTTTGCACTGGACCTCTATTCATTCTTTACATTTTGAACAAATACTTTGGATGGATCTATGATTCGAATACTGATAAGGACACGGGAACGTGTTTTCTTGGGAATCGATGCTATATGGGTGCATTTGAACTTAGTTTGGGGTTGTGTATTGTTTGCTTTTTCGTTACGCTTTTGTTGCTTTACATGCTGAGGCGAAAGTAGATTTGAATTAGATGCGACACTATCGACACTATCGACACTATCGAGCAGAGCGAGATAGTGGAGCAACACTTTGTAGCTGCCACCGACTAGCGTGTGTAAAATATATTCTTTTCAGCTATTTCTGCTTCTATATTCTTGGTATAAAAACGGTTGCAAATTGAGACACAAAATTGAAATTAGATAAAAATGAGGATGTAAGGGCAACAGTACAAATACGCCCAATTTGTAAACCAGCAAGTCTAAACTTGCAAAGTTTTTAAAATCAGTGCACGAAGATGTTGTTATTGAGATTTGAATGCAGGGTCTGAATTAGCACTTGTAAGTAAGAGCAGTAATTTAAACTGCAACTCTTGAAAACATTATAGTTATTCTACCAAAATGGGAAATGATGCTTTATAGGAGGGCGCAATTGGACTCAAACTTCTAGACATGCGGTTCAAAGAGAAAGAAAAAGCTTTTCCCAAAATGGAGATTGTGCGGCGTTAAACAAATTTCTTTTTCAAAGATTATCTTAGTTAAAGTTATTAAGGCAATTAGGATCTGGCTTTAATTTAAGAATTAGTATTCACAATTAACATATACTTTTGATTGACCATATTTTGATTGACCATATTCTGATTCACCATATTCTGATTCACCACATTCTGATTGACCATATTCTGATTGACCATACTTTTCATTATTGAAGGGTTACCAATAGCACAATAACCAAAGAACTCTTTTGTTTTGTGTTGAAATATGTCAAGATGGGAAAAAGTGCTTGTTTTTTCACGTGTAGCAAAATGAAGAATGAAATTTTTTTCTTTTGTATGATGTAATGGAAAAGCAATTATGAAACATCCATCGCAAGATTCTGCAAGATCTGACACGTTTTACTTTTTTCTAGTAGGTACTCTTTGCAAGTAAAGTACTAAAGGATGTACAAGTCACAAGAAACGCTGAATGGTTTTAATAAATTGTCACAAGAGAATGCTGTTCAGCAACCTCTAGATCAAGAAAACGCCAATCTGCCGGAAAAAACTGTTCCACAAGAGAATGCTGTTCCACAAGAGAATGCTGTTTTGCAAGAAAAGTCTGTTCCACAAGAGCATGCTGTTCCACAAGAGAACTGTATCCGACCATTCTCAGAGGGAGAGAAAAAGCAAACAATAAGCGAGGAACCCAAACCGATTAAAGAGATGCGTTTTCATCGCCAAGAAGAAACCCAATTTAAAAAATCGGACCACCTGCTATTACATCGCAAAAAGTCGAATGAATCGATTTCATCTTCCTCGTCAAGTTCAACTGGGAATAGCGATATATCAGAAATGTCTTTGACAAGTGGATATCATAGAGAACATAATGAATGTACAGAATTTTGTATAGAATTTTTCACCTGTTTTGGAGTTGTTAACTGCTATCCAAAAGATGGCGCTGGATGTCTAACCACCGTTGCTACGTTTATTGGAAATTTAATATTTTCCTGCTGTAAGTGTTAGCTCATTGTGGAAAAATATCAATCAAGAGAAAAATCAAAAACGGTTATTGATTAGCTAATAAATAACCGTTAATGATTAGCTAATATATAACGGTTATTTAAAGTTAATGAATAACGGTTATTTATAGCTAATGGATAACGGTTATTTATAGCTAATACAGAATAGATTATAGTAACTAGTCAATAACTAGCTGCTACAGACGAGTCAATGCTCCACTATCGAGCAGAGCGAGATAGTGTCATTAGTCAGTGCTGCTCCCCTATCGAGCGAAGCTAAATAGTGTCATTAGTCAGTGCTGCTCCCCTATCGAGCGAAGCGAGATAGTGTCATTAGTCAGTGCTGCTCCCCTATCGAGCGAAGCGAAATAGTGTCATTAGTCAGTGCTGCTCCACTATCTCGCTTTGCTTGATAGTGTCATTAGTCAGTGCTGCTCCACTATCTCGCTTTGCTCGATAGTGTCGCCTTTAAAGGAGTTTGGTTCCCCTCAGTTGAGAAAATGTTTTGTTGTCAAGGCAATAGGTTGTTTTTAGAATATGCAATACTGTTTTACTATTGTGATAAGATTATACTATACCAAAAGCAACGAATAAGAAGTTGTAAAGATAAACTTGAGATGCAGTATAAGAAACAATTAGATGCAGTATAAGAAGAATTAGATGCAGTATAAGAAAGAATTTAGATACAGCCTAAGCAAAGCTTGAGGGGTATATCTCAAGAGGGAATTAAGAGATAGAACATTATACGGCATAACATACAGCATAAGATATAGAATAACGATACCTTATCAAGCCAACAGATCCCCAATAGATCCCCAATAGATTACCCCTAAATCAATCCTAAATCAATTTCAAGGTATGTACATACATGTATGTATATATCAAACCCGCGTGTATACATTAATTTCTTATCAATTTGGCTGCCACATTTTTTTTTGCAACCAAATTTGAATTTGGGGGGTTTTCTCATAGAAAAAAAAGGATGTCATTTTTTTCCCAACCAGAAAGTTTTACAACCAAATTGTTAAACGTTACTTGTTTTTGGATGACATATTTTTTTACAACCAAATTGTTAAACGTTACTTGTTCTTTTTGTTTTTGGTGCTAAGGAGTATAAGAATATGAGGAGATCGCGTCCTATATCCAAGAGGGCAGCTACTATGTCCAATGTATATGCATCAGACGCCATAGAACCGAGTGACAAGGCTGGTAAGGATGAGAGAAAGTCTCTGGCTGCGGAAACAGAAAAGAGTAACAACCCTTATAAACTAACTAGATCAAACTCGGTGCATGTTTTTATGGAGTATGGCAGCGGTGGTGCAAAAGATGAAAATGAAGGGAATGACAAAGAAAGAGAAGAAGGAGTTACACCTCCTCCGTTGGACTATTCTCGTCAACGAAATACGTCTCGTGCTCAAGGTGGAAACGACCGGCAAAATCTGGCACAAGATGGAAACCATCGGCAAAATCTGGCACAAAACCTCCCTTCTTCAAAGAAAAGTTATGATGATGAGAGTTCTGCAAAAAGAGGCACTGGCATTATCAAAGAAAGACCATTGTCTAGGAGGTCAAACCGACTATCGTCTCGGGGTGATCAAGCCACCACCAATTCAAGAGACGAATTGGTACGCACTACATCTCATCCATCAATTGAGCGAATTAGTACTCCGCGAAGCTATAGACAATCGATCAAACAAATCATAATCCCAAGCACAATTGACAATGAAAACGTCCAAACTCCAGACTCGCGGGAGATGAAAGAAAACGCCTCAGAAAACTCCTTGAGTCCTGGTGCATTATTGCCATTTAACACTAATAATGATTTTGAACATGATCTCAAGTTTACCGACGAAGACTGCAAAACAGGTGGTAGTAGAAGAGATGCTACTGTAATTTTTAAAAAGAAGGAAACTTCTGGATCGGAAGGTACAGCTCGAAACTCTAACTATAACAAGGAGCCTGTTAAACCGGGAAAGATTATACGTATCAACAACAACAACAATGATAGCGACAATAATAATAACAACAACGACAACAACGACAACAACAACAACAACAACAACAACGACAACAACAACAACAACAACAACAACGACAACAACAATAAGATATTTAACAACTACAAAGATTCAACGGATTACAATATAATAGATGACGTACAAGGATGGGGAGATGCAACGACTGAAAAGATCACTACAGATCACTCTACTGAAGGAGAACAAGAAAAAATAGGTTATGACATTTATGATTCTGGTCATCGAACTCCATTAGAATACCATGATTATGGATCGTTCACTTCACCCACGCCTCGTAGAAAGTGCTTTGATTTGTGTTCGCGAAAATCATTCATTATTACTATTGTAACATTGATTATGGTGGTTGTTTTATTGCTAGGAAGTTCTGTACCCGTTATGTATATATTATCCAAGGGCACTCAAGAATCAGTTGACAAGTACTTCCAAGATCCAAAACATAAGTCGTTTTTGAACGAATTGTATCACAAGTATATTGTTCAAAAGAATGCAAAAGAATCGGTTTTTGGCGCACTGACAAACTCGGTAGAAGGATTGAGTGCAGAAACAAAAGGTGACACGGAAGTGGTTGAGTTGATGAGCGTTGTTTCAAATGTATTATTCAATGGTATTGCATACTCGCCGATGAATGCTATGGAACCGTTTTGTGGCTTTTCAAGACGAGATGCCATGCTTGATCTAGCCAAACTATCAACAGTAACAACAAAAATAAGAACTTATGGAATGCAATGTAAACAAGTTGAGCTAATTTTAGACGCAATTGACCATATGAATCTTAACATGACTGTGGCCATGGGGGTATGGATAGGTCCAAATAACACAGTTAACAAGCAGCAAATGGATATGATGAAAAAGGTAATTGCGGCGCATCCGGATCCTCTGAGAGTGATCAATTCGATATACATTGGCAATGAAGTGCTTTTCCGCGAGGATAAATCCAAGGAAGAATTGATTGCTTACATACGTGATGCCAAAAGCTTTTTGGAGCTAATGCATGTAAGTAATATACCAGTTGGAACATCAGAAATTGGGTCACTAATTGATCTGAAATTACTAGAAGCTTGTGACATTATTGGTGCCAACATCCATCCATTTTTTGGTGGTGTTTCGGTTGAAGAAGCTACAAGTTGGACTTTGCAATTTTTGGATTATCAAATCCAACCATATAATGAGAAATTTGCCACTCCAATTGTGATTACCGAAATTGGTTGGCCCAGCGGTGGCGGTCGTTATAAACAAGCAATTGCAAATGTTGACAATGTCAAATACTTTATTCGTGACTTTTTGTGCACTTTGAGGGAAACAGCAATTGATTATTATTTCTTTGAAGGGTTCGATGAGCCGTGGAAGGAGATATTTTGGGAAGCAAATCAAAAGTGGGAAACACAATGGGGAATTTTCAATAAAGATAGGCTGAATAAATTCCCACTACAGTATATGGGCTGTACATAAAGGGTAAATATGTTGTAGATTTCAAAAAATAATTGGATTATTAAAAGTTAAAAGGAACCTTTTTTGTTTTTTGTTTTTTGTTTCCATTTCTTTTTTTTTAATATTATTGTTTTGCTCTTGCAAAACAAGACAACTCTTTTTCCACTCTGACATCAAAAGTATCAGGAGAAGGATAAATGGTTGAAATAGTAAAAAGTGCGATATTTCAAAACACACCTTGATCCTTCAACTGTGGTTGATCCCAGCTCATTATCCATTAAGCGGCTATCACACAAAAGTATTTTCTTTTTTTTTTTCCGACTAAAGAGGAAAAGAGATGAGAAAAAAATGGAACCATCTGTATTTGGCATAAACTGATTATTTTTTCTTGGACCTACTTTTGTACTATTCACTGATGGAGGTACCAGATAACCAACGAATCCTAGATGAGCTATCTTTAGCCCACTATGGTATTGATATAGCGGAATTCATTTCAAGGAGACGTTGGCTTTACTATGAGGCAGAGACAGTGCTGTTGCTTCTACTTTGCTCGTGGTCTATAACAATTTTTGAATTTAGTGACTTGTTATTGGAATTATTATCCCACTATAAAACCCTATTACCATATATAGGAGCAATACTTTTTCCGTTCATTTTGACGATTGTATTAAAAGGCTTGATGATATTTGGTTTTATGGAGAAACGAAAATACAAACTAGTAATATGTTGGATCCTACTTTTAATATCATTCTTGATTCCTTTTGCTGTCAAACAATTAGCTTTCAATTCACCTATTAAAAATTATATTTTGCTTTCTGTTTCTTGTGTGCAAGCTACCGTGGATTTAGAAATATATCTGTTTATTGAACTATTAGTGACCAATAAGCGCAATTCTGAAAAGAAAGAGAATAGGGAATATGGATGGTTAGCTGTATTGTGCGGTTTTTCTTGTATTGCATCCCGCCTTCTCTATCTAAGGCAACCATTGATCAGCCCCATTTTAAATTTAGTCTTGTTAATCATATTACCTGTTTAATTTAAATGATATTTAAGGACACTTCAATTCAGTTACCAGAAAAAGTTTAAACAAATATTGTTAAAGAGGACTTTAAGAGCCTTTGACTTATTAATCGAGAGGGACACCTCCCGACTATTTAGTAAGTTGGGTACAAGTATTATTACTATGGCTTTATGGATTACCCGAGACTATTGAGACTAGCAGTTTATTGGCAATTTTTACCGCCAAACTTTAACGTCTACAGGATTGTATAAAGCACTAAAACACACTGGTTGGCAACTAGTACTTATTTCTGGTCACATCAATTCATTTCTCTACTAGTGGAGCTCTACTAGTGGAGCACCACACGGTTTTTTTTTTTGGTTTTTTTTTTAGGTTCTTTTCCCCTGCTCCTCGGTCTTAGGCTCATCACCACCCTCATTTAAATTTTCCTGCCGACTTCCTGTAGCTTGTAAATTGTACTCTGCGTTCCTCACATAACTTTCCCACATATTGGCCAACATCTCATTATCTAAATTATTCTTATTTGCTTGATGTATCATCTTATTCATATCAACAATAGATTCGTTCAAGTGTTCCTATAAAAAAATAAAATAAAGATTAGTACATAACCTGTTGAAGAAATAAGTTATTCGTATTGAAATCAAACATACCATATTATTGATAATTCTCGCTAAAAGCGTGTTATGGGTTTGTTCATGGGGATTCTGCATTGTAGTTTGAATTCAAGTTGATAAGATGAGAACATCTGTTGATACTATTTTTTTTTTCACCTTTGCGCGTTTTCAAGTGCGACACTTTGACACTAGCGAGCGAAGACACTGGCTCTCATCGACACTATCGAGCGAAGCGAGCTAGTGGAGCACACTGGCCGACACTACCTCTTATCGACACTATCGAGCGAAGCGAGCTAGTGGAGCACACTGGCCGACACTACCTCTTATCGACACTATCGAGCGAAGCGAGCTAGTGGAGCACACTGACCGACACTGCCTCTTATCGACACTACCTCTCATCGACACTACCTCTCGTCGACACTAGCTCTCATCTAGCTCCCATCGACACTAGCCACCGACACTGACTACTGAATCTCAATTAATGAAAGCGTTATTGAATCATCAAGTTTAAATGCTTTTCCCCCCACCTATATATTTAGATTTTCATAGATCTACTACAGATATCTACTAGGTTGAAAAGTATTACAATTGCATCGTGCTCTTTTTCAAAATGTCTATTTCTATTTTCTTTTTTTTTTCTTTTTTAAACAAAGTTTCTACTTATAAATGATTAACAACCGCCTCTATAATCTTCTTGACATCCTCGGAAGCCTCATCTGCAGTCTTTAAAACTTCGGCATGACTGGCGATTCCATCCTCTAAAGCTTTTGGATTTTTACTAAACGCACTAGGAGGTTTTTCTCCAACTGCGTCATTTGTAATTAGTGATAATGCAAGCACCTTCATCCCACAATGGCGAGCTACAATAACTTCAGGAACTGTTGACATCCCAACGGCATCACCCCCCAATGCTCTAATAGCCCTAACTTCTGCCCTACTTTCAAAAGTTGGCCCCGCGGCAAAAAAATAAGTGCCTTCATTAATTTTCCTAGTCAAGCCCAATTCTCTTTGTGCAGTTTCAACAAATAAACTTCTCAACGAGTGGTCATATGCATCTGAGAGTGGTAAAAAACGAGGTCCAAAGTTGTCTAAATTTGGACCGCGTAAAGGATGCCATCCTGCTAATCCTGGTAAATTTACATGATCTTCAATCAACATCAATTCACCGGCATTGTAGCTTGGATTTATACCACCCGCGGCATTGGTCACAATGACTATGGATATACCCAATTTACAAGCTACTCTAACAGGAAATGTGGTTTCTTGGAAACTGTATCCTTCGTAAAAGTGCAAACGTCCAACCATGCACATTACTGGCACCTTATTCGTGCCCATTAACCCAAAAACCAATTTCCCCGCATGTCCTTGAACCGTGGATATCTTAAAACCAGGTATATCCGAATATGGGATTTCAATTATTGTATTGGCATCCAAGGTACTAGCAATACCTCCTAATCCCGAACCACATATAATCATCACCCGCGAATCTTGAGAGGGCGTACCCTTGATTTTACTATTTACTATAGCCGTAGCATGTTCTAACTGTCGCGAGTACTCTTCTAAAGGGATACTTTCTGCCATTATTGGGCTTTGATATTTATCAACTTTATAGAGATGTCAATCTCATTGGTATAAAATTTTTTTTTTCTCTCTCTCCACCAGCTCTTAGATGCGTATATCGAAAGTATGCTTGAGGATTAAGAACAAGAGAATGAATAAATAAAAGAATAACTTTTTCTATATGGGCCACCAATCTGGTGTAACAACTTTCAATCCAATTGGCTCACTGGGAACTTCTGGTGACGGTGGTTCTAACTTGAAAAATTTGCATTTGTTAACGTCACTTATTGTAAGTAGAGCAAGCCCCAAATCTTCCCTTACTGCTAATATTTTCCCACTAGAATTTTTCCTTTTCCGCACGGGTCTTGAGGAGGGGAAGGAGGAAGAAGAAGAAGAAGAAGAAGAAGAAGAAGTAGAAATAGAAGAAGTAGAAACAGATGCAAACGGTGATGGTGTTAACTCGGGAAATGGCGGTGTCTTTTCTGATTCTGTAGTATTGTTTAATGGTGTGATTTTAAACTTGGATAACGATGAAATTGGTATATTATTGAGCTCTATTGGTGTTCCTGCTGATGCCACCTCGATCTCCTTTTTATGATCAAGTTCATTAGTTAGTTTGAAAAATTTCACCGGGTATATCCGTTTCCTAATGATTCCGTTGTTATAAGTTCTAATAGTTAGCTCTTGTCCCACATAACACCCTTTATCAAGCGACAACCCATTGACATAGTCCAAATTACATTCAAATGGAAGAAGACTCTCGTCTTTAGCTGCATCATTAGTCTCAAACAATCCATTTTCGAATCTTCTTTTGGTAACTTCAGCCTCGGTTATTACATTGATATTGAACTGCTTTTTAAAAGACGCTGAGAATAACTCATCTATATTAATGCTACTGCTTCCATCCTCATTCTTAATGCTACTGCTTCCATCCTCATTCTTAATGCTACTGCTTCCATCCTCATTCTTAATGCTACTGCTTCCATCCTCATTCTTAATGCTACTGCTTCCATCCTCATTCTTCAGTGTAACCAACTTATTAGTAACAAATTTAAATCCTAAATTAGGGATCCTATTATCCACGGCAAAACCTAGTATATTCTTTGCATAATGTCTATTAAAGATAACCTGGTTTTGTATAAATGAATTGGCACTTTGTAGAGCATTAACGGGATCCAGGCATTGGAAATATTGCAGTTGCACATTCTCTAGCCATCTATCAAACGTATCAAAATCATTATAGTAATAATACGAATGCAATTGCAAGTCAGGTAGTACCTTGACTTTAGCACTCAATTTGTGTAATTTCAACATCATCATCACTCTACTCAAATTATCCTCATCTATCTCCAATAAATACCCCGGCTCCTTCATCGTCTCAAGAAACATTTCTCGAAAATTATGAAAGGGGAACGCATACAAATATAAATCAGTGAAAACCCTTCCCTTGGAGTTTAGAATCATCGAATATATCCCATCTCTACCAATATTAATACTATGGTCAGGATCATATATATCCTCATGCATTAGTCCATAGTTAGTATTGATATCTATTATATCTTGAAGATCCGCAAGCCTCATTTCATCCGAATCCGATATTGTATGTTGTTTTTTTTTGACTACATTGGGTAACAATCGGGAAGTTAGTAAACCATTGAGAAACTTGGTAGCATCCGGTCCTCGTATCAGTATTAGACTCTTCAGTAATCGAGCAAATCCTGCTTGCGGAAACCCCATTTTGCTACAAGAGAGATATGCAATCAAGAAAACTATAGCATGTATATCTTTAGTAAGCAATAAAAAAAAAATTGCGAAATGAAAAATTTCAGAGATGAGTTGAGAAGTTAGGGGGTAGAGAAAAAAAGGGGTAAAGTTAAGGGGCTTTTTTCGACTGCATAACGAAAACCTATTGGGGACCAAGTTAAAAGTCATATTGATATATATATGTAAATAAATAAAAAGGATAAATAAGTAAATAAAAAGGATAAATAAGTAAATAAATAAGTAAATAAATAAACTGGAAGGGGGGGGAGCTTTGTTGTACACATTGTCTAATGATAGTTAGTTATATCGAGTCTTCTTCCAATCGAGCTTTTACCAATAAATGGCAGGATGTTTAACACTTCTTGTTGTTCTTGAACAAGAGTTTCTTCTGGTGTGGTAGTCCAAGAACAAGGTGGGGTTTGTATATGAATGTTATCCTCGCCGTGTAACAACTTGTCTCTAATACGTTCATTCAAGGATAATTTATGTTTGATATCATTCATCTTTGGCAAGTTTGTTAATGATTGACGTCTTGAACTAAGGACACTTGACACTTGGGAATGGTGCTGACTATTGATGTGTGATGATACGTTACTTCTTGCTAATTCCTCAGCAAATCTCAAATCTACATTACCATATTCAAAGTATCCATAACCACCCATCAATTCATAATCATCTTCTTCAGCTTCATCATCGTTTTCACTACTACTAGAATTCTTTCTTTTGGTGGTGCTGCTGCCACCATCAACTTTAATATCACCACCATTAACATTATTAGCGCCACCACTACCATTTTGTTTGACTTCAATCATAGAGTCGGTTTTCGCTCCGAGTGCTAATTGAATTGGATGTTTGGTGGTTGGTGTATCCAAAGAAGTAGTACTTAATTCATGCTCTATTCTCAATTTCTGAACCTCTAATTTTCTTTGTTGAGAATCACTAACAAATAAACCAATACTTGAAGATCTTGACCTCATATTGATTTTCAAATCATGTACCACACGATGGAAAGTATCCAAAAACCGGTCGTTTTGCCTATGCTTTGAACAAATAGTCATCTTGACTTTATCATTATGGATTATATAAGCAATACCAAAGCCTCGGTCAATTGCAGGAGGAATCCCAAATAATCTCAACGCAGGGTTACCACAATTTGAAATTAATAGCTCTGGCCTCGATAATGTTTCAACACAATAACTAAACAACAAGGGTAAGCTTATACTATTGCCAGCAAAATCAGGAATTGGTTGCAAGTGAGGATTGATTGCGTTCAACCTTCTGGCTGCCTCGGGTTTATTCAATATTTGGATAATAGACATAAAGTGTCTCTCAAACCCTTTTCCAATCATTGCATCACGATACTGTTTGCAATGAAGTTCACAACACTTTCTGAACAAATCAAACTTTTCATTTGCATCGGCACTCGTAATATACAATTTACACAATGTTGCAATCGCCTCATTTTGTACTGGGATCAACTCAGTTCTGGCATCTTTAAATTTTCTAGTTGTGATAGGTTCCAAAGTATTAACCATTCTACCATATAATGAATAATTTGTAATTTGAAGACATATTTGCAAAATGGAGTCAACAGATAATCCGAATTTCTTGGCAAGACTAGTTTGCAATTTAATAGTGTGAGTTTTGTAATCGTGTTGATTAATAAGATCGGCCAAGTGGGTTTCAGAAAGATGAATAATATGTTGCAACTCCTTGGTGATGGTAAATGGAATCAAAAATGGTTCCGGTTTGTAGTCTCCCACGGGTGCATAAGTAACATTTGTATCAAACGAAGTATATTCGGAGCCATTTATGTTTTTGGCAAGCTTCAAAACAGAATCAGTGTAAATATCGCTAATGAATCTCAAGATGGCTGTACTATCCATAGTCAAAGATTCCCAAACGATACCAGTTACGGAGTTCTTAGCAACCACCAACTGCAATTTATCATACCATCTCGAAGTACAGGTACCAATTTGGACATTCATATCTGATAACACAGAAGTACCATGAGATATTACCGAAGTTTTCTCTTGATCAGTTTGTGGTGAATTTGAATCGAAAATCAACACAAACAATGCATCATCAATCATTTTCATTTGTTGACTATTTGAGTTTTCCAATTCAAATCTTGCAGCTTTCCAGCCTTTTAAATTTTGACTTGTAATTGAACCTACAGCATTATTGATGGATTCAACTGCATCAACAAGCTCTGCTTCTTCAATGATTCTCTCGAAAATATCAGCCAACTCGTGATCATGGAAAAGAATCTTGTGTTTTGATTTGGTTTCTTGATATTCTTCTTGAGTATACTTGGTGATAACTTCCAATTTGTAAAATTGGTTATTAGCAATAATAATGATATGTCTTGATTCATTTATATCGCTGTATTTTCTCATAGTAACATCTGAGCTATTACCTTTGAAATCGGGAACTCTAGAAGTTCCAAATAAGTTCCGATAACAGGACATAGTCAAGGGAACTTTATTTTTTGGCGTAAAATCGGGTCTTAAAGTTCCATTTCTCAAGGTAACGATAAATTTCAACGAAGAGTTGACCAAGTTAGCAGCTCTTTCAGCTTGGTTGGGTGGATGGATAGTCTTTGAATAAGGGTCATCTTCTAGGATAAGATACGGGTTTTTCGGCAAAATATCAGATTTACTAACACTGTAAATAGCTGGGGTCATGTGGTTATTAACGACATGAAGATAATTATTGTGTTCCATATGGTTTTCGGCAATAGCAACAAGATGCAGTTGAATTAGCTGGATCAACTTGTTATCCAAAAATTCACTAGCCTCTCTTAATAGCTCCTCATACTCTTCACCACTAATGATTGGTTTTAAAGCAGCTAGAGTTTGCTGAACAGTTGAAGCTAAGGATGGTACTGGCAAATTTGGTAAAAATGTTTCATTTTCAAACGTACAATACCTTTGCAAACTACTCATCTTATACAAAAGCTACTTACTACTTGTTCTTCTTGTCTTATTAGGTTACTACTTAACTATCTTGTCTTGTTAGGTTACTACTTATCTGACTTAACTGTCTTGTTTTATTAGGTCACTACTTGACCTTCTCTTCTTACTAGGTTACTACTCCACTATCTCTTCTTCTTATTAGGGTATTCTTCACCCATTTATATGACGCTTTTGTCCCTTTTTATATGCAAGTTTTTTTTTGTGGGGTTAATTAATAAATCTCGCAGGATATATGGTAGCGTTTACCCGTGGGTGACACAAATGAGATCATCTCTTAAAAAAAACTCCGAGCTTAAACGGCAGGGCTGAGGGATGATTTGGTCACGTGATTGAAATAGGGAGTTATTTTTTTATTTTTTTTTATTTTATTTTATTTTTTGGTGAGACTTGTTGTAGAGGGTTGAGTAAGAGAGTAGCAACAACCCCATGACTCTGAAATAGTAGGCTACAAGGATTTAGGCTACAAGGGGGTTTAGTATTGTAATGTAGGCTACAAGGGTTAGTGTTGTAATGTGGGCTACAAGGGTTAGTGTTGTAATGTGGGCTACAAGGGTTAGTGTTGTAATGTGGGCTACAAGGGGGTTTAGTATTGTAATGTAGGCTACAAGGGTTAGTGTTGTAATGTGGGCTACAAGGGTTAGTGTTGTAATGTAGACTACAAGGCGGTTTAGTGTTGTAATGTAAGCTACAAGGGTTTCAGTGTTGTAGTGGTGGTGGAGCTATAATAGCTTACTTCTGTAATACTTTATACTATAATAACAAGGTTTACCAAATTTTGATTATTATTATTATTATTCTGTCGTGACACTTCCGCCTGTCAATTATCATGTAATCGCTTATGTAATCGCGTGCGTGATATGCACGTGCCTTCGATTGAGAGTAAAATAAGGAAATAGTTTCCGCATCTTTGTCACACAAAAAAAAAAGGTTTAGTATTTATAGTACCGGTTATATCGACAGATATATTATTTAGTATATTGAAATTAACCAGATCTTGGCACTAATTTCTTTGATGGTTTGAGAATCAATAGTTGGCTTATGCGTAGGGTGGTTTTATCCAATAAAAAGATTACCAAACAATCACCATGCAAAAACTGAAAACATACCTTTCTGCTTGTACATCCTTTTGAAATCTTCTCTTTTAGAAGCAAAATCAAAAAAAAAACTCTCCTCTGTTAAGCCTTGGAGCAAGCAAACCCGTGTGTTGTCACGATTATTCAAGATGGAAAAAAATCAGTCTATAAAGAAACAAGATAATCAGTAAAGAAACAAGATAATCAGTAAAGTAACAAGATAACCAGTAAAGAAACAAGCTAGTCTGTAAAGTAACAAGCTAGTCTGTAAATAAGCTAGTCTGTAAATAAGCTAGTCAGTGTGCTCCACTATCTCGCTCTGCTCGATAGTGTCGCTCGCTAGTCTCGCTTTGCTTCGGGTAATTGAAATTATATCAAGTCACCCGTCGTTTAAAGCGCGGAAAAAAAATCAAATTTGATGCCATTGACAAACAAATTTCAATATTTCTTATTGTCATCAAAAACAAAAAGCTTATCTTAAAAAGCAATTTATTGCATTGATATTTGTCTTTTTAAATTAGATCCACCATTTTTAGTTTACTCTTTGCATCTAATATTATAAATTGTTCAAAATGTAAATACCAATCTTCTCTTACTTGTTTTGGATTCATCCTAAATTCTTGAAAGGAAAATGTTATCTACAATGGTTTCCCCCATTGTTTTCCTATTTTCCTTCTTTTTCCTCCTCCTCCTCCCCCTGCCAGTCTTTTCCAAAAAAGTGTTTATCGACAATGATGGTCTTACAGCACCAACGGTGCTTTTCCTATTGAAATCAGGTTGGGAAATCGTAGGCATCTCAGGAAGTTTCGGCTCATCCTCATTAGTTGATTCTATGGGCACCATACATGATGTATTAACAACCTATAATCTCACATCGTGTATTCCCCTTTATAAAGGGGCAGCACAACCATTACTACGTACCAAGGAGACTTTTCAAATTTGGCAAGACTTATTCGGCTCCTTAGTTTGGCAAGGCGCATTTACACAAGGATACGAAGATATTTATTCTTGGTCAAATTTCACTTATGACGAGTCGAAAATGGCTGCTGTGGCATTGATAGATGCCGTGAAGGCAAACAAGGATACAGATCCAATTTACATATACGCAGCAGGAATGATGACTACTATAGCACAAGCACTCTCCCTATATCCCAGTTTAGTTAATGAAACTAGTGGATTATATGTCATGGGGGGTTATTTCGACACCCAGTATGCAGCAGCCACTGGCACGCCTATTGTCAACGATATAAACACAGATATCAACTTGATACAAGATCCAGAAGCTGCACAAATTGTGTTTACTTCAAAGTGGAAGAAATTGGTGTTTGGAGCAAATGTAACCAATTATTTGGTACCGAGTCAGCACTTGTACAATAGAATCTTGGAAAAAGCCGGCAATAGATCAGTTTCTGAGATATCCAAGATCCCATATTTCAAGCAGTTGAGTAATTTACTAGTTACTGGCAATTATTCACAAAATACTGAACAAGAAACATTACCATTTTGGGATGATGTTGTATCCGCCTTTTTGGCATATCCCGATTTGATTCAAAGTGAAACCAGTCTCAATGTTGCTGTTGATACTCAATTCTATTCCCCATTCTATGGTTCTTTGAGAATATGGGGCGAAGAATATGCTCCTCGTGGCGTGAGAACCGGTAATGCCACAGTTGTCAACAAGATCAATGACTCTTTTTTCTATGATTTATTGATTGATGTATACTTTGAGGATTTTACCCAATATTGTCATAATGGGGTAATTTCTCCATATTACTTTTAGCTTGACATTATTAGACTATTAGACTATCGAGCAGAGCGATATCGACACTATCGAGCAGAGCGAGATAGTGGAGCACACTGACTAGCTTGTTCCCTTAGTGTAGCCTATCGAACTATCGAGCAAAGCGAGATAGTCTATATCTATAGACTGTTCCCTTAGTGTAACAAGCTAGTCAGTAAAGTAACAAGCTAGTAAGTGTGCTCCACTATCTCGCTCTGCTCTATAGTGTCAATCTCGCTTTGCTCGATAGTCTATAGAGAGAAGAGAGAGTTGATATAGACTATCTCGCTTTGCTCGATAGTCTATTGCTCGATAGTCTATGAGTTTTTCTCCGCTTTATAAATTTGTAATCAGTAAATTTCAAGTCGCGCGAATTACTCGCCACAAGAGATGAGCATGTTGACTTGAAGACTCGCACAACTCGGACTCGCGGTAAAGTTGAACAAATATTCATTTCTTTAGATTGTATCAAAGGTACGAAGCACTCTACAGGACGAGACTTAAATGAGTGGAATAGCTCTCAAGATAACGTCTCTTGTAATACGAACCGTTTCCAAGCCGATATCTAAGGCGATAACCGAAAGAGCCAGAGCAAACGAATCCTTTCGAAGGCATTGTATTTCCTTTGCCAATGCTCTACATAGAACAGATGTTAAGTTGCGAATGAACTTATTGGGCGAAAAGAAAATACGTGTTAGACCATTAAACGACCATAAAGCAATTGAACAAGGTGCTACATTCATTTCGGAATTTTTCCTCTTTAGTGTTGCAGGATCGTTGATTTTTTATGAGGCATATAGGAGTAGGAAGAAAGCTGCAGATCAAAGAGAAGCATTGGCTGATGATATTGCTGTTTTGCAAAGCGAAATCGAGTATATCAAGGCAAAGTTGGGTAGTATCAATATAAAATTGGATGATTATAAGGTACCTCAAGAGTATAAGCCGAAATATATCAAAATCAATACCAATGAAGATACACATAAGGAGAAGTCAACTGCGCCAACCGAACAAACTGCGCCAACAGCGCCAACGCAAACTGCACAAACCGGGGAAAATGCGCAAGCTACACCAACAGCGCCAACGCAAACTGCACAAACCGGGGGAAACGCGCAAGCTACACCAACAGCGCCAACCCTGTAAACAGCCAACCCTGTAAATAGACAACTAGAAAAAAAAAACAGTTTGAAATACCAAAATTTATTTATATAATACAGATTATAAAGAATTCCATCACCCCATTACACCACAACAACACAACACCAACACCACAGCAACACAACAACAACAACAACAACACCAACGGCTTAGGACAGCACTTTTTACCCACCTACTTTTTCACTATTTCTGATTTTTCTTCTTTTCAACCTTCAACAACAAGGCCTTGTTAATATGTGGCAAAACACCACCATATGCAATAGTAGCCTTGATCAAATTATCCAACTCCTCGTCTCCTCGAATAGCCAATTGCAAATGTCTCGGAGTTATTCTCTTTACTTTCAAGTCCTTGGCTGCATTTCCTGCTAATTCCAATACCTCTGCTGTCAAATATTCCAATACTGCAGTCAAATAAATTGCTGCTTTAGATCCAACTCTAATCTTGTTCTGAGCACTCTTTTTTAAATATCTCTTGACTCTTCCTACGGGGAATTGTAAGCCTGCTCTCGCAGAATGCGATGTCGATGACTTGGCTATCTCCGAGGACTTACCCTTACCCCCATGTACTTTTCCTTTTCCTGACATTCTTTTTTCAATTTAGTTTTCCTCTGTTGTGGTTATGAAAAAAGGAAAAACAAAATATAAACAAAAAGGAAAAAAATCAAAATCATTTTTTCAAATTTCTTTCACCAGAAAAAATGACAATGTTTGGATAATTTACACGACCAGTAACAGACCCCAGACAGCCCTCCCCCCTAAGATGGAGAGCTCTTCTAATGTGGTGTTTGTTGTTTTAATAGTTCAGCTGTTGATAATGCTAAACGACCCTAAGCTTGAAATCATTTCCTCTACTTCGGATCTTGATTTTTGCAACTCCGTACAGATAGAGTCAAAGTGCTGAAATCCCAACAACATCTTTATCAAAAAAATCATTTCTTCTTCTTTTTCAGTCATTTCTACCTCATTTTCGCTTCCTTGTCGTTGAGTCTCTTCAATTTCATAGTTTCTCTGTGACAATGAAATTTTTGCTTGCTGCGGCTTATTTTTATTTTCCTTCTTCTTCTTCTTCTTCTTCTTCTCCTCCTCCAACTCCTCCTCGTCGTCTTCCTCGTCGTCTTCCTCGTCGTCTTCCTCTTCCTCTGAGTCTTCACTTTCATCTTCAATAATAACATCATCAAGCATCCTCGTTGACTCGTATTTCGGTTCTTCTTCGTTGGGATAAGTAAAACTGACTCTTCTTCTTACAATGTCGTTCTTTGACATGTGCTCATGAACCGTGGATTTCAATGGTCTGTCATTTGTTGCACTAGCCATTTTTTTCTCTGCCTTTTTCCTCTTTAGATTATCCAAAAATTGCTGGGATTGTAAAACTTCACCGCTTTCAATTGCTCGTGTTATTGAGTTTAGTATAGGGTATGAATAAACTCGATAAATGATCCCTCTTAAAATACCGAAATTTATAAATCGTCGAATATCAATATTTGTCAATAAATTCTTATGCTGTAGATACCATTCTTTTATAGTTTGACCTTGGTTCAATGAACGGTAAAGAAAAAATAAATTGGTCTTTGCGGGCACTTTGACATTGGGATATTGAATGGCAAATGCATAAGGGAAATTGGACAAGGAAGTGCTTTGTTCGGAATAGGGGGACATAGACGATGATCCTAGTCTTTTATGGAAAAAGCTTGGTGAGGAGTTCTTAGAGTCCGCCATCGGGTTTGGTGATGATGATGAAAACATGAATGATGACCTCATACTAGAATCGACTTTCTCATCAGTTACAACATACGCCTGGCACTGCTCCGCCATCTTACCATCTGCTTTTAAGAAATCCCCAATAGTGTTTGTGGGTGCATAAATGTTGCTAAATTGGAAAATATCAATAATCTTAATACATTTATAGTGCATCAAATGCTGAATACACTGTTTAGTAATCAAATAGTCGGCATCAGCCAACTCACTTATTCTCTTTACAGAATTGAGTCCGTCGATAAACGGCAATATCTTAACCATCGTAGGATCCCAATTGACATCAACTAACGATCGAAGTTTAACGGTGGCGATGGGAACTTGGTAAGCTTTAAGATTAACTGGAGGAGGCAAGATCGGGAACAATTTAATATCAACAGAGTTTGAACTGTCCAAGGGTATACAGCATTCAGAATAATTGTTCAAGTCTTGATAAATCTGTTGAATCAAGGATTCAATAGATGATAATGAGATCTGCTTTGTCCTTGCATGACCCGGAACGTTCACAGTCACATTGCCTCGAAGAATTTGCTCTCCTATACAATCATCATCTTTATACATTCGCAAAAAGTCAATATTCTGATTCAATGTGTTTTCCTCAACTCCAAGTTGGCCGTTTTTGAAAAATGAGTTCTTTTTATCCAATTTGCTCAATACAAAGTTTTGTTCCTCTAAAACTTGAAACATTTGTCCTAATCTTTTGATAGCAGGTTCATAAGGCTTGACATCTCCAATATCATACGAAAAAACAAAACAAAAATTAAAACTAAATGAGTTTCTAGCATATTTCTCATTACTCATGTGAACAGGATAGCCAACAAGTTTCAATTTATCAATCTTGAAAGATATTAGCTGATTGCATAATTGAGCTTTTGGAATAACAAAGTTTTTCACAGTATCGAATTTGAATAATCCTTGAAAATTATTTTCACCATTTCCTTCACCATCACCACCAAATTCACAATCACCTTCTCCATCTTCTTGGCTTGTTGTTGAAGTTGTTGAGATTAAATCTTTTGGAAATTGATGTACTATTTTTGTCCCCTCGGTAGGATGAAACACCGCATAGAATATGCTGATGATGGGAATAAATCCATCTGACATCCCATACTTCTTAGTATAAGAGAATAAAGTGCTCTAAAAGAAATAAGGAGAGAGAGAAAAAAGTCATTGAAAATTTATTGCAACATTTGGTAGCAGTAGAATGTCTCTTGACCATCTCAATGTGGACAAAGCCACTGGCGAAGAATTAGTTGGTGACAACTGCTCAATTTGCAATAGAAACTAATAGTATACACCTTATTCTCTAAAACTCAAATTGAACAATGTTATAGTTTTCAGTCTTTTAACACATTTTCCAAGAGCTTGGAGCAACAAAGCTAATGAGAAAAGCAAAAAAAAAAAAGATTCGTTACAGGAACATTAATCTTGGTTTAGTTCATGCATACCTTGTCTTAAACAACTATTTAGTTAGTTCTAGGTATTTTTGATAGTCTTTGCTTTCTAAATTGCGCAATCGAGCGAAGCGAGGTAGTGGAGCAGCACTTACTAGCTTGCTATAACACTATCGAGCCACACTATCGAGCCACACTATCGAGCGAAGCGAGATAGTGGAGCGGTACTTACTAGCTTGCTATAACACTATCGAGCGAAGCGAGATAGTGGAGCGGTACTTACTAGCTTGCTATAACCCTATCGAGCGAAGCGAGATATTGGAGCAGCACTGACTTTATTATTATGTGACACTATCTCGCTTTCCTCGATAGTGGGGCAGCACTGACTTTATTATTATGTGACACTATCTCGCTTTGCTCGATAGTGGAGCAGCACTGACAAGTGACACTATCTCGCTCTGCTCGATAGTTCACAAAACCTATTGGTTTTAGCCAAATCTGCTTCTATCGATTTCACTGTAATTTTCTTAGTTGCAGTATAATTTTCCCTAGCTGCTACAATAATAATTTTACCTACTGATACTAAATCACCGTTGAAACAAAAAAAAGTATCCAAAGCAAGTAGCTCAAATGAGCTGTTATGTTTCCATCAAGCCAGTTTTGAATCAACAAAAATCATCTGCCATGTTAATAGGTTGTATCACTTTGCGAAAATCTTTGTTCCCATTTTACTCTTTGTTTTAACTTGATTATTAGCCAATTTATCACCAAAAAACTTGAGATCAACCGCAAATCTTATTTCCATTCCAATCATGTTGAAAACAATGATTACCGCAATATCATTGTTGTGAATGTATTTTTTATCACTCTGTGGCATAAATATTAACATATTCTTGATTTTCTAACTACAACGTTTAAAAACAACATACAACATGATTATAAATGCGGGTTTGTGTAATCGCCCCTGTCAACCAAAAATATGAATTGTGGCTAATTAACTAAACACCTTTAATTTCAGTTCCCACAACACTATTGACACTATCGAGTAAAGCGAGATAGTGGAGCAGTATTGACTACACTGACTACACCGACGCTAGCGAGTAAAGCGAGATAGTGGAGCAGCACTGACTAGCTTGTTACAACACAGCACTGACTAGCTCGTACGACACTGACTAGCTTGTTACACTGACTAGCTTTTTAAAACATTTAGTAGTTTGTTACAACACTGTCTCGCCCTGCTCGACAGTGTTGGTCAGACTTAATAAGAAACGTGAAATAAACTAAAGAATTGAGCTGAGTTTTTTGTAATTACCTATAAGTTCTATCATCAAGAGAAGAATACATGGTTGTTACACCAATCATGTTACACCCTCCAGCTTCTTCTTTTCGTTTTTTTTTGTGGAATCTGATAAGATGCAATAGTGTTATTGTGCGAATACTACATTCTCCTTTAGTAACAAACAGAATATTGTTTTAATTTGCGTACTCGTCGTCGTCGTCGTCATACGATTCAAACTTGTAACACAATCACAAAAGAATCAGTTTTTTTTTGCAACAACTGATTGTTCCTAAACAAAAGTACCAATATCAAAGTCACGGGTTTTACACACGGGTTTGATTGCTAGTTCATATTAGTGTCAGTGTAGCCAGTGTCACTCCGCTCGATAGTGTAGTCAGTGTAGTCAGTGTAGCCAGTGTCACTCCGCTCGATAGTGTAGACATAGAAAACAAAGGAAAGCTTTCAGATAAATTGGTAATACACCAAATAGCACAAAATCTACCGATTCAAATCATTTCTCAACAAATTGTATTTGGGAGTTGCATGCACCAATACTGGACGCATGAAGAAACATTTTTACCTGCATTGCCCTGCATGATAATGTCAGATTTGAGATTCGCGAAGTAAGACGTTGCAGATACAGAAAAGAGGATACAAGAGCAGTAAGAGAGAGAGAGAGAGAGGGGGGGGGGGGGGGGGGGGAAAAAAAAAAGGAAAAAAAAGGAAGTAGGTAGAGAGTAAAGGGGGGGGGGGGGGGAAGGAGGATTACATAATGGAAAAGAAAAAGGAAAAGAGTGTGTTTATTAATCCTTTGCTTTCTTTTAGTTTCTTAGTGGTCCTTTCCGTGCGAAGGCCAAGATGGTGTGTTGAAACATTTATACATTTTGGGAAATCAAAAACAGACAACCAAAAGACTGTCTTCTTCTTTTGGCTTTGATTTGAATGCAACTTGGAAATGTCAAAAAGAAACTGTAATCAAACTAGGCGCACTATTAAGGCGGGCTTTCATTGAAAAAAAAAAAATTCAAGAAAAAATAAAAGTTAAAAGTTAAGATTTTATATGATGAGATTTAAAATTTAATATAATGAGATTTTGAGAAAGATGAGGATGAATCCGTAGTAAAGAGAAAAAGTTGTTTCCATGACATTCTATTTATGAAAGCAAAGTATAAGAACAGTATTAAAGGATATACCCTTCTATAGTAGTTCTAGTTGGATAGTCAAAGAAGATGTTTTGTTAACAAAACTAAATTGTCGTAATTTCATATAATTTCTTATCCCCTACAATAATTACTAAACTTAAAAAAAAAAAAAGAAAAAAGTTGTTTGTTAACTTCAATACAATGGAACACAACAGGAGGTGAGCTCAGCCCGTATATCTAGTCTCTTTTTCACGTCGCCGCCCCACCTCCCCCACCTCTTCCACCACCATCATGTCCCCCACCTCTTCCACCACCATCACCTTTTTTTTTTACAACTCTCTCTATCTGCTCATATCATTTTCCCTTTTCTGAATAAAAAATAGCGAAATGGGATTTTTTTCCCATCTTTTATTAAGCTTTTGAGTTTTTAATCACTCATTGAAACTCCTGATACTACATGGTACAAGAGTATCTATTGCTTACTGGTTACCACCTTGATCTAATTTCAAAGGCTTATTCTAGTACAAACGATCGTTACTCATCCTAGTAGTATAGATCCTCACTCATCCAGTTCTCTGGATGAGTAAAAAAACTGATGGATTCTTTTCAATTTTATTTTCTTTTCCAAAACTATAGCGCAGATTTATTTTTTAGTGATCTTTTCTTTTGTTCTTATTGTTCTCCTCGCGATAAGGAACCAAGCTTTAGAGGGGGAGCTTTATTCACAACTTTAGTTTCTTCTAATTTTTGACCATTCTTTTTCTTTTCCCCTTTGATTTTCAAGGGAAAAAGATTATTTGATTTTATTAAGTTGGTATTTAAATGGCATATTGTCTATCAAAACTGTTTGCGATAGTAGTAGTAGTAGTAGTAGTGTTTTATTAGGCGGGAAAGATAAAGACTTTTTAGTAAATTTTCCAAGTTTATTGAAAAAAAAGCATGGTATCGTTGACAAAAAATGTGATGTCTGATGTAGAACCTCAAGTGTCATTGGCTTTATCTAATATCTCGTCATATGAGAATAGAAACAGCGGAGATGGTGGTGGAGATGGTGGAGGTGGTTGTGGAGATGGTGATGACTGTGATGGAGATGGTTATAATGGCCAACACCCCCTATTCAATACAAGAGGCATCTTTTATAGATTTATCGACTCATTCAAGCCGTTTGACTATTCAACATTGCCACCAGTTTACCTCGCACACTTTAATGAACAACAAAAATTAAGACGCGAACTGGATTCTAGAAACAATGGTGAAGACATGACTTCACTGCATTTCGATAAGGACAGTTATCAAGGTTTATTACACCCTGCCCATCCCGATTTCGACTATTCCAAGTTTTCTCAATTAGAAAGAGACTCACTCATCACAGCAATGAGTCCGTTGAGAAAAAGACTTCAAACAAGACATTTGACTTGGATCTCCCTTGGTGCATGTATAGGTACAGGTCTCTTTATTACTAGCGGCAAATCGCTTCATCATGCAGGACCATTAGGACTATTGCTAGTATGGATTTTCATTGGAAGCTTGGTATTCACAACAATGTCGAGCTTGTCTGAACTAGCTACTGCTTTTCCTGTAAGTGGTGCATTTGTTACTTTCCCATCACTATTTATTGATAGAGCTGTTGGATTTGCCATAGCTTGGAATTATGCATTACAGTGGCTAGTCACTTTGCCATTAGAATTGGTTGCTGCATCAATGTTGATTCAATACTGGAACGCTCTGATTAACCCAGGAGTCTTTGTAACTATATTTTATTGTGTAATTGTGCTTATCAACTTGTTTGGTGTAAAAGGATATGGAGAAATTGAATCGTTGATGAGTATTGCAAAAGTAATTGGTGTTATTGGCTTTAACATATTGGCAATCGTTATTGTAACTGGCGGTGTTCCTAATCAGCCATATATTGGGGGTGCAAATTGGCACCTGCCGAGAGGTGGGTTATTCAACACTGTTGAGCCATTTAAGCAAATGTGTTATATTATATCAAGTGCATCTTTTGCATATGCTGGGATAGAGTTGTTCGCGTTAGGAGCAGTGGAGTCCTCAACGCCAAAGATATCCATCAACAAATCGCGGAAACAAATCTTTTATCGAATTGTTTGTTTTTATTTAGTACTGATTGTTATGATTGGATTACTCGTTTCCTACAAGAGTGAGGAACTTGACGTTTCAGCAGCTGGATTGACTAGTTTTGGGATCAGTGTCAACACATCGCCATTTGTTATTGCTATCAAAAATGCCAATATTCATGTCTTGCCATCGATAATGAATGCAGTAGTAATAATAACTGTTTTGTCAGTAGGCAATGCATCGGTGTTTGCATCGACCCGAGTGCTTAATGCAATTGGAGCATTGAGTCAAGGTCCTAAATTTTTATGCTTTATTGATAAAAAAGGACGACCCATGGGGTGTCTAATTGTACAATTTGCATTTGGTTTACTTGCTTATCTTGTTTGCATTCCTGGTAGGACCACTGAAGTGACTATATTCGAGTGGATGTTGAGCTTAAGTGGACTCAGTGCATTATTCACATATTTGCTGATAAACATATGTCAGTTGCGTTTCCATAGTGCATTGGATTATCAAGCAAGGTCACCCAAGCTAGAGTTGTTATACGTTTCGTCTCCTTGGTGTTCGTGGTATGCGATTATTGCAATATGTATTACACTAGTGTTACAGTTTTGGGCCGCTTTATCACCGCCTGGAGACGATGGTAAAATTGACGTTGTATCGTTTTTCAAGATATATCTTGGATTGCCTGTGTTGATATTGAGTTATCTTGGATATAAGATCTATGACTATAAATATAATCAGGTTCCCTTTACCAAGCTTTGGCTTTCTGCAAATGAAATAGATGTTGACTCTGGAAGAAGACAGGTTGATTTGGAAGTTGTTAAGCAGGAGATTGCTGAACGAAGCAACACATTGGATAGTAAACCCTGGTGGTTTAAACTATATCATTTTTTTTGTTAGACTTTATATTATGTAGAAAAATGTACGATATAGAATACAACTTTACAAGGGCATTAGTAGTGATGTAAGAGAGACTACTACAAAAAGGAGATCGACTTACATCAACTTGGCAAGGGACCAGAGGGGGCGGCATAAAATAAAATGTTTTGCTTTGTGAGCCGCAAGCTTTACATTAATGCCCCTTCCATTATAATTATATGATTATTGAAACGTTTGAAGCTGGTCAATTTTACCAACATCTCTTAAACTACATTTTTTCATGTCTGTCTGTCTAGACTCTCTGTTTTTGGTTCTTATCAAGCTCACGTGACTAATTTATTTGATTTCTTAGGTTCCCCCACAAATCAGTATCGACACTATCGAGCAGACAACATAACACTATCGAGCAGAGCAAGATAGTGTTGTAATGGAGAGAAGAGAGGGTAAATATAGCTCTGCTCGATAGTGGAGAGAAGAGAGGGTAAATATAGCTCTGCTCGATAGTGGAGAGAAGAGAGGGTAAATATAGCTCTGCTCGATAGTGGAGAGAAGAGAGGGTAAATATAGCTCTGCTCGATAGTGGAGAGAAGAGAGGGTAAATATAGCTCTGCTCGATAGTGGAGAGAAGAGAGGGTAGATATAGCACTATTGAGTAGCACTGACCGACACTAGCTCTCTAGTAGAGTAGAGTAGACCGACACTAGTTCGCTTTGCTCGCTACTGCTTTTTCTTCCTATTTGCTTACTGCATTTTAATTATTTGTCAGTAAAGGAAAACAAAATATGCAACACACACACAAAACCTCTTACTCCTAAATAATATCAATATATAGGAGTAGGTCAACCAACAAAAACTCTTGATTGCGTTGAGAGGAGGGGAAGGAGGGGAGAAGGGGAGAAAGGGAGAGGGGGAGATTAAAGTGAGACGGATATTCATATTTGGTCTAGGAAAACCAAATACAACTGGTAGCACTTGATGAAATCAGATTAGTTACCGCTTGGCCGTGACAAAATGAGGGGCTTTTTCCTTTTTTTTTTTTTTTTTGTTGTTATTATTGTTGTTGTAACAAGACCGAATTTAGGGAAAGGTATTTGTTTAAATGTGAGCGCAGATCTATTTCCGATAGTAGCAATTGTACAAACAGGTAAGGTATAGCCCATCTCAGGTATGACTCATTTTAGGTATTGCCCGTCTCAGGTATAGCCTATCTCAGGTATAGCCTATCTCAGGTATAGCCCATCTCAAAATACCCCATCGCAAAATACCCCATCTCAAAATACCCCATCTCAAAATACCCCATCTCAAATATTTTCTCTATTCGCAGTAGTCGTGTTGAGTTCCTAAAGATTAACTTGTGTCGGTTCTACAAAATATTCAACAATGCTGTCATTATCTACGAGATTCTTCAAGACTCTCCAAGATTCTATTTTAATTTAATAAGAAGAAGGAAAAAAAAAAAACACGAATATTATGTGACCCAGTTTTCGCATGACACTATCGTGCGAAGCGAGATAGTGGAGCACACTGACTAATTACTATTACTACACAATGATGTTGAGCTCTGGGTTTAAGGGTAGTTCTGGATATAGCCTTAATACTAAATGATAAAAGTCGAATATTTTAGTGTCAACCGAGTAGACAGAGCGATAGCTTTGTTTCACCTCGTTTATCACCCAGTTTAGACGTATTTCAGATGGCACAGTTGAAAAAAAAGAGATAAAGAGATAAAGAGATACGCAATATGCAGGTATATAATTCGTATTCGGAGTTACGAATTTTGTATTTTATTTTATTTTATATTATATTATATTATATTATATTATATTATATTATATTATTTATTTTTTTTCACTCCACTCTACAGCTACTGAACAAAACACACTATCAAATCAATAGAGAAATGACACTTTTACTGTTTAAAGTCAAAATTACAGTGTTATTCGAAATGTATATTCGGTAAAGCTATATAGATTATAACAAATACAGCAAATAGCATTTGTTTGTAAACTCACAATAAAAAAAAAAACCCAAAAAAAAGCAAGCTGTAAAGCAAAAAAAAAAAGACCCCACTAAATTATAGCGACACTATCGAGCACACTAGCTGTCACCGACACTATCTCCACTATCGAGCAGAGCGAGATAGTGCTATATCTACCCTCTCTTCTCTCCACTATCGAGCAGAGCTATATCTACCCTCTCTTCTCTCCATTACAACACTATCTCGCTCTCCTCGATAGTGTTGTCTCGCTCTCCTCAATAGTGTCGCCGACAGACAAAACAAAATGTGTGCTTTCCTCTGTAAAATATTATGCGGACATAACTAACCATTTTCTATAGTTATTCAATATCGACTGATTGCCACTTTTGATTATTGTTTCGTTACAGTTACTTTCCAGATTCAGATTCGGATTCAAATTCCTTTTGGTATAAGCAGTAAGAGCATTATTTTCATCCTCTTTATACAAGTTTACGCTGCAATTATGTTTCAGCAGTAGACTTGTCTTTTGCTTGCAAATGACGCATTCGTATAATAAGTGATCATCGTCTTTGTTTTCTTCATCATCTTCGTATTGTAGTTGGTAAGTATATGGTAAGACCAATGGTGATGCTATTGGGGAGAATATCGAATCTGTAATGGATTTTTTAGACTCTAGTGACGAAATCGACGAGTTACGAGTATAGGTTACTGGTGTAGAAGTTAAATCTCGTACATCTAATGCATAGTTATTTATTGATGTTGTAGCTGTAGTTGTCGACATAGATGTAGATTCCTCGATATTCAATTCAAAAATGTTTTCGTCGTCATTATTGTCAAAGTCGTCGATATGTTGCACTTCCTCATCCTGTTGGTGAAATGGTACAGAAGGATTTAGTTTATCAAACTGGAATCCATTTGCCGTTTTGGTTCTGGTATTATATGCCATTGTAAGTATAAGTATAAGTATAAGTGTAAGTGTAAGAATAAGTGTAAGTGTAAGTGTAAGTGTAAGTGTAGTGGGGTCCCCGTCAATGTTATATATATATATAGAGATATATCTATATCCAAACGCTTTACTCTTTTTTCAAAAAAGTGTGTTGCTTCTTTATATGTGATAGTTTGATATTTAATCTTAGTTTTTCACCTTGATCTGCAAATTCGGCTTTACTTAAATACTCTTGAAAAATAACCTAGTGTCTCTGTGTACAAACAAAAAGAAAAATATAGAGTGTGTAAGTGAAAAATATAGAGTGTGTAAGTGAAAAATATAGTGTGTAAGTGTAATAAAAAGTGTGGTGGTTATAAATTTGTTGTTTAAACCATGTTAAGGTTTAACTATGGGTATAGTAGTTATGTATGTGGGTTTTGTTACATATGTATGCGTGGGGGCTTGTTTACTATAATTAGTCATAGAAAATAGCTGTAACCTTTTTTTTTTTGGGTTGTGCTTTAACTGTGTGTAAGAAAGAGAAAGAGAGAAAGAGAGAGAGAAAGAGTATGTGAGGGAGAGTATGTGTTTGTGTTTGTGTGTGTGTGTGTGTGTGTGTGTGCGTGTGTGTGTGCGTGTGTGTGTGTGTGTGTGTGTGTGTGTGTGGTGTTAGTGTCTATAATTAGACTCGAGTTTCAAACCTGAGACAGAGCTTGACAATGCTTGACTAAGCCCTGGAGCTTGACTGTGGACTGTGTGAACTGTGTAATATGAGCAACTGTGTACAGTTCAACTGTGGTACACGTTGTTGTGTCTGTCATATACTGCATAGAGACTCTTAAAATCAGACACTGCAAAAAAAAAAATTAAAAAAAAATGTCTTTGGGTGACAAAGTGTGGGGTGATCAGTCACGTGACCGAAAAACCCAAATGAATAGATGCGCTAAAGGATTTGTTGAATTGTGGTGGTTCAATACCACATCTACCAAATATTAAGGTAATAATCAATAGTGGCAATAGTGGTAATAGTCAACAGTGGCAACAGTAGCAATAACAGTGGTTGTAGATACTACTCTTGCTACCACAAAGAGAATAAACGATAGAATGACTCAAACGCACTTTGTAAAAACAATATTGCTTATTAGCAACTACTGAGGAAGGAAGAAACTTATTGGCAATACGACCCAATCAGCTTCCTTCTTCCTGCCAATCCATCCTTGTTGTCGTTAACCTTTTCTTTAAGAAAAAGCTCACTCTATCTCCTCATATTTCTCTTCCTCATAGTCCTCTTCCTCATAGTCCTCTTCCTCATAGTCCTCTTCCTCATAGTCCTCTTCCTCATAGTCCTCTTCCTCATAGTCCTCTTCCTCATAGTCCTCTTCCTCATAGTCCTCTCCCTCCTCCTATATCTCTTTCTCCTCCTCTTCCTCTATCTCCTCCTCCTCCTCTTCCTCCTCTTCCTCTTCTACACCACTACCCCGATCTTTGTCTCCTCACATAAAAACCCCCTATCTGCAACTACCTCATAATATTTCTTACTCACTTTCTCCTATTCAACTTTGTAACTTTGACTCGTAAAGGAAACATATATTTTTTTGTAGTTTACTTTGTTTGACAAAAAGCTTGAATCCTTTTCTTTTTTTTTCTTTTTTTTTTTTTTTTTTCATTCGTTTATTATTTACTGTCATTTATTGTCATTAAACGAACATGCGAAAAGAGGAGCGAGATGGAAATAATAAGAGGGAAACCTTGAGCGGAGAAGACAGCAAGAGGGGGAGGAAGACGAGTGGGAAGAAATAAGCAAGAAGATACAATTGATCTAATTCTGATTCAGGCTTGAATTGGGGGTTGTTTTTTTTTGGTTCTCTGCCTGGTTCTGCCTAGTTCTGCTTGATTCTGCTTGATTCAGAATTAGGATAATGTTAAATCCGAGTTCGGATCCAACTTTGCTACTAGAATAAAGGCGTTTTCTCCTCTTTCTAAGTAATGAATGATCCTGACAACCCCCCCCACCCTCCTAACCCGCACCCTGTAGTGTTTTTTTTTTCTCATTTTGTCTTTCAACATCAGAACACAGTTAAATTGAATGTCAACTTTAATACAAAAATAAAAAAAATTGTCATAGTACAATTAACAATTGAGTTTATCTCTAGTCCATTTTAGATAAAGCATAATGTCTGATTTGTGTTTTGCTCCTTGGGTTGACTATCCAAAAATGATTAGCCCAACATCCTTTTTTCTTAATAGTGTGTTGGGCTAGTCAATTCCTGTACTTTAGTTCCAGATTTAACTAGATTAAACCAAACACACAATTAATAATCCAGAAAACGCAAGTTAACACGTAGTTTAATGAAATGGGCCACTGAGATGGCACAGAATATAGTAATTCAATTATAAACCAAACTCTTACTAAAAAAAAAATGACGTTTAATTAAGTTTCGGCTTAATCAATATTGGCTGGATTATTTAGAGAAAAGAAGTGATTCCAACTAAAAAAGAACCAAAAAAAAATAGAAAGAAGGAAAGAAGGAAAGAAGGAAAGAAGGAAAGAAGGAAAAGGGGAGGGATGAGGCAATTAATTATTTCATCTTCACACGCACAGTCTCAACTCATGCAACGTATATAGTCATTTCTTCAATTTAGTTGAGCATGAAAAAATCATTATGAATTGGTAGGTGGCACAGTAAGATTTATCATACTTGAAAGCTATGAAATCCGATTCGTACTTGAAAAAAGGGTAGGGGTAAGGGTGGGGGTAAGGGGGGGGAGGGGTCTCATACTAAACGACACGTTTTCTTCTTTTTTCTAATTATATCATAGAAAACGCATCATTTAAATTTTTAGACTCCTCTTAGGTGGCTATTTTAATAAGCCACGTAAGTTTTGTTGGTTCCACCATTTTCTATCCTTTCTTCTCTTTTTGTCTGTCTCTTTAACCTAGTCTTCCACTCACGGAGTTTAATTTTTTTCTATAAAAAATTCACTCATGCGAAATAAAAATCGCAACAACTGGGAATTATGTCGGCCTTCAGTAATATAGTGTCTGCTTTAGAAGACAAATTTTTTTACAGTAAGAAACCTACTCTACTTTATGTTTTGTGAAGGGATAGAAAAAAGAAAGTCAGGTTCGATTGAAAGGTTAAAGAACTAATGAAAGGGGTAAGAACTAATGAAAGGGGTAAGAACTTCTTTATTAGGAACACTCGGAATTCTGCTAGAGGAAAAAGAGTTTGTTTTTTTTTGTCTTTTTTTTTTTTTGAAACTACACTTTGTTTCTAACACCTAAGGGTGAAAAACGTTTTGATTCTAATACCATCAACCTACAAACTCATTTAAGGTATGATTCAAAAATGTCAACCATTTTCAAATTTCCTTTTCCCTGAAAAGGGTATTTTCTTATCTCATACTAGTTATACTAATATGGCAAAATAGAGCAAAACCCAAATTCAGCTCAGAACGTTTACAGTCATTGAGGAGGTTGAAGAAAAGAAATGTTCAAACATTTTTTGCTCTTTTGTTAAAGATCCATTCAATTCTGGAAAACAACTCTTGAATAATCCATTTGGGGTTCAATAAATTACCCACCACCTATTTTCGGTCCATATAAAGATATAGTGTTTGCTGTTACAAATCAATATATGGGACACTCAACAGTACTCATTGCAGAGTAAAACGTTTTTAAACTCTCAGTGCCACTTAGTCAGTGTACTCGATACACTGACTAGTTTTAATCTTGGAAATTTTGTTTGCAACTTGGTAGTCCTCATAATTATCTCGTAGATCCTTTAGATAAGAAAAAAAAAAAATAAGTGAAAAAAGACGACTATGGAATAATCATACAACAAGTAGGTAGAGTAGAGTGTAACTTGGATAGACAAAGAGCACTATGAGTCTTTCTCTGGTATCAAAGAGTCAACGCGATTCTGATAGCGACATATCCAAGACCACTTATAAGATTCTGTTGGACTTGTATCCACAGGAGATTCTTGATGAGATTGTGAAACTTGCTGGACTTGAAAATCTCATTCAATTGATAAGCTCTATTCAATTCCTAGAAGATAACACTCGTCTACAGAACTCCATAGATAAATTGATATTACAATACGATGGAAGAATCCAATACAACAATAGAATAAAAAGACCCTCATTTATGCACATGTATTTGAGAACACCGAGTTTCATAGAAAAGAAGAATCTTTTGCTATTGCGAAATTATCTACACTTTATCAGTTTGCAGGATTATTGCATATATAGGAAAATAAAAACTACATTGACCATTGCCTATTACTTCTGGACATTTGCCGAAGTGGTTAATTTGTTTGACTTGATGGATAAATTGAGCAGTAGCGGTATTGTTCATTATCAAGTGGATTTTGAATTTGGACAAGAGTTTTTATACCTTATTGATTTTCAGCAGATTATAGATCAACTTGAATGGAAATGTGGCCAAACGGTAAAAACAATGATTTTGACTAATTGTCAAAAGCAATCAAATATGTGTCGACTTGATTTGCAAAATTTATGGTTGACCGATTGTGCGGTTATGAAGTTTCGAAAGGAGTGTCTTGTTAAACTACATCTAAGTCCATCTTTTAGAAGCGGAAAGGATACTTTCAGTTTAAAATTTATACCCCCATCAATGGAGTATTTATATTTGAACAATAATGTTACAATTTTAGGTGGAGACGATAATATCGTATATTCGTTACCAAGTTTAAAATCCATGAATTTAGATGATGGTCTACTTGAACATTGGAGTGTTACTGATATTGTCAAACTTTTCAAAGGAACATTATCAGCGGGCCATCTCGAAAGAATACTGTATACTCCTTCCCCCCATTCTCTGACTAGGGAGACTAAAGCTTATTCAGTTGAGCATGAAGTTATTGAACTCCTCAATCAGCATCAGCAGTTGAAAATTCTACATTCATTACATTTAACGCTATTTAGTGGTCGATCCATTCCTCATTTGTGGAACCTCCCCAATTTGACTGAATTGTCTATATCAGTTGTTAACAACGAGTCAAAAATAATCAATAGATTAGAGTTCCCCCAGACGGTGCGAGATTTGAATTTAAACTACTGCAACATAGAGGATTTATCGATTTTGTTTGACAAGTTCCCATTGGGCTTGCAAAAATTGAACTTGGCAGATAATCTGATAAATTGGAGTTTGATCACCCCAAATTTTGCCAAGTTTGAAAAATTAAAATATCTTCGACTATTCAATACTCACATTGGATCAAACATTATCAATTTTACATTCCCAGACTCCCTCGAACAATTGTCCCTTGAAGTCAATCAAATAGAATCAATTGATGAAGTGAAATTTCCAAAAAATTTAATCAACTTAGGTATAGGATCAAATAAATTGAAAACAATTTACAAACCTCGTTTTCCACAAACTATCAAAACTGTCCATTTGACCGAAAATCTACTAAAGAAAGTTGATCTTTCAACTAATGACCGAGGTCAACCGTTACAAATTGAGATTTTATACTTAAATTACAATCGATTGAATGATATCAAGAGTTTGAAACTACCAACAACTTTGAAGATTTTGAATTTAAATAGTTGTTTTATTAGAACAATCGAGGATTACGAATTTGCCCCGTCAATTGAAGAGTTGAGCATTATGGGCTGCAACTTGCTTCTGATAGACAAGGTAACATTTGGCGCTGGCTCCAAATTGAAATATTGTTGCTTATCACAAAACGAAATTTCAAAGCTCAACGGAATTAGTTTTCCGCAGTCAGTAGAAAATATCAATTTATCAAGAAATCGGTTAACCCAGATTCCACAGTGTTTGCAATGCCTACAAAATGTAAAGTATCTCAATTTGTCAACCAATAAAATCCGGTCAGCAGCCTATAAGTTTCAAACCTCTAGTATCGAAACTTTGGATTTGTCTTACAATTCGATCAAGAAGCTTCGATTGAGATTTCCTAGGCATCCCCCATATTCCAACCTAGTATCCTTAAATCTTTCCTGGAACGAGTTATCTCATTTCGACAATTTTTCAATAGATGGCAATGTACATGTACACATTTTGGAAATCGACTTAAGTTGTAACAAGAACCTAAGTATTCAATCAATAAAAGAGTATGAAAAATTCGCACCTCCAACACTACAATATCTCATGTTTGAAACTATAAATAATAAAAATATCTATGGCGGGCCAATAGGTTACAAGTATGCTTATACTTGTATAAAAAAAGAAGCTGAGTTCAAAATCATACAGGGTACTCCCAAACAGTATAAAAGTAGAGTTGATCAATTTCGTCCTTTATTAATTCGGAAAAAAATTGACTACCCCAGTGTTTCATAACTTGTTGCATAGCAAAAGGCAATTACTGAGCTAGTTTAGAGAGAGAGAGAGAGAGAGAGAGAGAGACCATTCTCACTCTTTTTCTTGTATAGTAAAAGTTCATCTTACACCTCGAGTCAATAGGAATACTTACAGATTTCCATTTTTGCCATATTGTTTGGCGCAATTACACTACCATCCATCTCGAGGCAAAAAGTGAAAAATCCATAAAACCGGAGATAAAATAGGACTTTAAAAAGTGTCCCTCTTAGTATTGGATCTATTTACATTTCCCTGGGTTGTACAGTCATACCGGGATTCACTCATGTATATACAATCTCCATATCCAACTCCATATTTAAGCTCTATAAATAAACATCCTTCTCGTTCCCTTTCATACGTATTTCTCTCCCCTGCCTCCTGCCTCTACACTCATTCGGCTAATTGAAATCTTTATTCTGCAAATTCCTAGTCATCGCTGGTAAAGCAACTCTTAATCCATCCAACTCCTTAGTCATCTTAACTTGACACCCCAATCGACTAGTTTCAGTCAATCCAAATGCCAAGTCCAACATATCATTCTCATCGTCGTCAGGTTCTGGTATCTCGTCATAGTATTCTGGGTCAACAATAATATGACATGTCGAGCAAGCACACGATCCGCCACATGCACCTTCCATATCAAGATTATTCGCCTGTGCTATATCCAAGATGTTATCTCCCTCGGCTACTTCATAACTATGCTGCTTACCGTCTTTTGTAATAAACGTTATATGAAGCTCCTCCCCTGGCTTTGGTTTGTGAATATGGCCATGCTTTAGTATTGATGAACTATGAAATTCCTTACTATAACAATACTTGATTATAGATGACTGAACATTGTTAAAACGGACTGAAAACAAATTCCTCTTAGATATTCGCAATACACTACTCCTTATCATAACCTTACTAGACTTGAATGATACCTTGAAATAGTTTTCCCACCAAAAGATGGAAACTTGATTTTACCCAATCTTCTTAAATCAAAGAGATGCGAAAGATAAATTTTTTTTTTTTTTTTTTTTTTTTCGGCTGCGCTTGGCTTGACTCATGCGGGTGCTGATAAAGCCAATTCAATCGACCTATTCTTGTATGTTTGAAGCCGTTCCCGTGGGCGTGGGCGTGCGCGTTTGGAGTCGTCGACCTATAGATTCTACGGAATTACCAATTACAATCAGCTTAGTGATGATATAAACAACAAAGTCGTATACATATCCTCTCTACGAAAATTTACTCAATAGAACTAAAAATATCAATAAAATCAACACCCCGATTATAGCATAGCTTATAAACTTGTTGGCAAGTAATCTCCTCCCCATGCTTTTCAATGTTTGAACACTCTTATCGATATAAGTGTCTGCTTGTTGTAGAGTGTTTCGAGCCCCCGTTATTTGTTCTCTTTGCGAACGCAAATCGTTAAGGATATTACCACCAATATGCTCTGTTTCAAGAGCAATTCGTTGACTCTCTTGTAATCTTTGAGAAGACCTGTCCAAAGACGAATGGTTATTCAATAACTGTTTCCTTTGCGAGTCTGCAACTGCTTCTTCACCGTCCCTATATCTGCCTCCAAACAAATCACGTTTATCCTGAGAGTCAGCCAATTGCTTATACTTGTTTTTAGTTTCGTCTATTTGCAATTTATATTGACGAATTTTCGCATTATAGGAAGATCGTTGGTTCAGGGGCAAACTTTGAATCTCTATGCCCATTTGGTCAAGTACTTCCAATGCCTCATCTGTAGCTGCTTCAATTGCCTTGAGATATTGTTTGCGTTGTTCTAAATAATCACAATGTTAATATCTCTGTCCTCCTCCCCCCCCCACCCCCCCCCCCCCCCCCCCCCCTCTTCTCTTCTTTTCACAAAACGGAAAAAAAATCAAAAAAAAAACGTACCTCCTTCAACAGAATCTATTTGCGATATTTTAGTCTTTGCCTCTTGTAGAGCCAATTGGAAATCGCTTTCGTAAGCAGTAAACAGATCCGACATTATGGGATTACAAACGGTAACTAATATACTCTCGACTATCAAAAGAGAATACTTGCTCAGATTGAATCACGCAAAAGGAACAAAAGAAACAAAAGTATTAAAGTCTCTAGTCGTGCAATTATGTACCAAAAAAAAACGTTTTACTAATATATATATATACATGTAATGAATACATAATATAATTGATTATCTTCTCTTTCCTTCCCTTTTAGCACCTCGTTTCAAATTCATCACCTGAAACGTCACCCTCCTCTTCAGTTCTTGTCTTGTACTTTTTGAAAGCGGCCTTGACTTGGTCTAAGAAATCTTCGTCGTCTTCATACTCCGAGTCAATTGAAGCTCCTGATTGCATCTTGTGCAACTCTTTCAATTCTTGCTTAATTATTTCATCAGTAACATTGACACCATGGTCTAAACCTACCAACTCTCTTGCAGCATTGATGTTTGAATGAGATTCTTTCTCATCGTCGTTCAAGTCTAATGCATTCACTGTTAAAGTTAACAAAGATTTACCGGATTTTCTTCTTTCTAATTTTCCTGAAAATGGACCTGGTTTCGGTCTATACTTTTGAATCTCTTCTTTGGTTTTCTCCTCACTATCATGAAGATAACATGAGGATTTCTTCCTATGAAGTGGAGTTCTTGGTGTTTTGGGTATTCTACTTGAAACACCGTTATCATGGATCCATTTAGCAACAACCGCCGTCCATCCACACTGGTGAGATGCTCCCAATCCTCTACCAGTGTCGCCGTCAAAGTATTCATAAAATGGAACATAGTCCTTGAAAAATGTATCTTTGTTAGCCAACTCATTGTCTCCATTACACGCCCTGTTACCTTCCTCGTCAGGCAAAAACAAATGAATCATACGATGCTGAATCTCCTGTGCACATTGTGCTAAATTCAAAAACTCTCCTGAACCAACTGGACACTCAACTTTCAATTCAGGTCCATAGTACAAGTAAAATCTCTGTAATGCTTCAACTAGCAAGAAATTGGTAGGAAACCAAATCGGACCTCTCCAGTTCGAATTACCTCCAAACATCCCCGAATCTGATTCCCCTGGCAAATATTCAACTTTGAATTTTTCTCCATTAACTTCCATTTCAAATGGATGGTCTTTGTGATACTTAGATAAGGATCTAATTCCGTATGGTGACAAAAACTCATTCTCGTCAAACATCCGTTGCAATATTGCAACAAGTCTCTCTTTAGACACCAAGGCTAATAACAATCTCTCACCAACACCCCTGGTATCCATCGAAGCAATATTCCTACTAGCTATATCCCTTCTATGCTCAAGAAACCAGTTCAATCTTTTCCTAAAAGATGGATATCTATTCAACAATTCAGGCTCCAAAGTCAATGACGCATAAAGCGGAATCAACCCAACCAATGATCTAACAGGTAATGTCTGCGTGTGATGGTCACCATGTCTAATAGCATCATAATAAAATTGGTCCTGCTCATCCCATAAGGAATTCTTGGTGGATTCATCATCGCCACCCCTGAATGTCATTGCATCAGCAATGATAACAAAATGCTCAAAGAATTTGGAAGCAATATTTTCATAAACTGGTCTCGTTTTGGCCAACTCCAAAGCGATATTCAACATTTGTAGTGAGAAAAATGCCATCCAACCTGTTGAGTCCGCTTGTTCCAAATTACCACCCGTTGGTAAAGCCTCGGATCTGTTAAAAACGCCAATATTATCCAATCCCAAAAACCCACCTTCAAAAATATTGTGTCCTTCTGCATCCTTTCTATTCACCCACCATGCAAAATTCAACATCAATTTTTGAAACACTTTTTCCAAAAAATCAATATCTTCACGTCCATACATTTTTCTTTCAATTTTGAAAATCCTGTAAGCAGCCCATGCATGAACTGGTGGATTAACATCACTGAAATTCCACTCGTATGCGGGAATTTGCCCATTTGGGTGCATGTACCATTCTCTTGTAAGCAAATCAATTTGATTCTTGGCAAACCATGGATCAATCATTGCAAGTGGTACACAGTGAAATGCAGTGTCCCAAGCTGCAAAAAATGGATACTCCCATTTATCGGGAAGCGATAATACATCTTCAATGTACAAGTGGCTCCATTCCTTGTTTCTACCATTGGCCCTATTAACAGGTGGTTTGACAGTATTTGGATCACCATAGGCCCAGTAATTGTGTACAAAATGATAAAATTGTTTTGACCACAATAAACCGGCAAATGCATACCTTTGGATCTGTCTCAACTCATCGCTGATTGGTATGGGACTAACTTTCCAGTAAAACTGATCTGCTTCATTTTGCCTCTTGCTCAAGATTTGGTCCAATTTGTACTCGTCGACATCAGATTTCTCCTTGGTGAATTGGTAACGAATGGTGATGTAATCTCCTGGTGGTACACCCCCATCTTGGTCAAATATATACCAGGCTGCAGCTTGAGTACCTTCTTTATCCGGATTGACAGCCTCTTGCTTGTCATGAACCACCAATTCGTGAAATGCATCTTTGGTGTATTTGTGTTTATTCACTTGTCCATACAACTTCTGAGTATTTGTTTCATTGTCTGAAAATATCAATTGTGGCTCAACATCGGGTGACTCATCAGTTACACCGGGAGATGGTGCAAACGACAAGTACCTCTTGCCAAACTTGGTAGTTTCAACCTCAATTGTATAATCGTCGACTTGCTTCACATGTGGTTTTTCTTTGGCACTGTCCTCGGTACCCCAAATCCACGTGTTTCTCAAGACAACATGGGGCAAAATATGTAATGGAGCAGGCTTATCGCTCCTGTTATATGCTGTAATTCTGAAATGCAAATCATCACAAGAACTTTTGGCACATTCAAAAACAACATCAAAGTACTCATTATTGTCAAATAGCCCAGTATCAACAAGTTCATACTCTGGATCCAATCTTGTCCTTTTGGCATTTTCTTGCTTCAATTGCTCATAAGGGAATTTATTCTGAGGATATTTGTATAAATACTTCATATAAGAATGAGAAGGGGTGTTATCAAGATAATAGTACAACTCCTTGACATCTTCGCCGTGATTTCCTTGATTATTGGTCAACCCAAACAATTTCTCTTTTAAAATATCATCTTTACCGTTCCACAACGCCATTGTCAAATTGACCAATTGGCGTCTATCTGAAACACCAGCTAACCCATCCTGTGACCAACGTGATACTCTTGCGTAATCTTCGAATTTGAACGAGTCCCATGCATTTCCGTCAGCACTATAATCCTCACGGACTGTACCCCAGGACCTTTCAGACACATAGGGTCCCCATTGTCTATACTTGACATCTTTTAACCTCTCCTCTTCAGCTGTTAATCCCGTCATTGATACACAGTAAAAAGAGGAAGAAAAAAAACAACTTATCGATATGAAAAATAGAACGACAGAATCAAGGAGATGAAGTACAGAATCAAGGAGATGAAGTACAGAATCAAGGGGGGGGGGAAGGGGGAAAGAAAAAAATTGGAACAATGAATTTAAAAGCCTGAAGAGCAGAGCAAGAGTGGAACTTGCCCCTTTTCAGTTTAAAAGCAAGATTTGTTATTTCGTAATCAAAAACTCGGTTATATTGTAATATAGAGGTCTTACTACTTTTTGCAAGCTAAAGACAAACATTGTGGGTAGCACCTTCTAACATACTGTCATTTATGACCGACCCACTGAAAAAAAAAAATGAAAAATAAGACTCAGGTTGATAAACTCGTTGCTCGAGAAGAGCGAGATAGTGTTGTAACAAGCTACTAGACACTATCGAGCAGAGCGAGATAGTGTCGCTTTATAGATAGGCACATCTTTCTATTTGTGTGAGCAATCTTAAAAGGGTTAGTAGCTTTGCTTATACTATTTATTTTCTTTTGTGTGACTTTACACGTTTCATTAAGATAACAACGACACTATCGAGCACAGCGAGATAGTGGAACAACACTCAGTGGCTTGTTACAACACTATCGAGCAGAGCGAGATAGTGTCGCTCGATAGTGGAGCAACACTCAGTAGCTTGTTACAACACTATCTCGCTATACTCGATAGTGTCGCTCGATAGTGGAGCAACACTCAGTAGCTTCTTGCAACACTATTTCGCTCTGCTCGATAGTGTCATTAGTCAGTATGCTCCACTCTTTGCTCCATAGTCTATAGAGAGAGTAGGTATAGACTATCTCGCTTTGCTCGATAGTCGATAGAGACCTTTAGGTTCCATCATTTTTTGTGTGAAATTGAGCAAAAATAATAATTGGACTAAACGAAAAGAGATAATCTGAAAACAAAGAGTTAAAAAACCTTAATAGAAGCTAACTATCGAAGCTAACTATCGAATCTAGTTTACACCGAATCTAGTCTTTTCTCTAACTACACTTTACACCGAATCTAATTTGTGTCGATAGTGTTGAGAGTGTTGATAGTGTCACTAGTCAGTGTGCTCCACTCTCTCGCTCTGCTCAATAGTGTCGATGTAATGATGGCTTACTAAAATTCAGTAACTGCCACAGACACTATCTCCACTTTCTCGCTCTACTCAACAGTGAAGCCCATTTTGCTCTGCTCAACAGTGTACCATATCATCTTGCAAAGTATTTCTTTTCAAATGGTCTTACTAGGTTATATCCGATAAAGGAGAATATTATATTCAACTCAAATGAAATATCACCACCATTATCACCTATTTTTCTCGCTATGACTCCTTGATACCATGTTTGGTTCATTGCTAGTACAGTTGAGCAAACACCAAACGCAAATCCAACTACACCGGCAATTCCAACAGGAAATGTTTTTCGGTCATTGAAATTTGAAATATCATAATGTTCAAAATCTTTGCGATAGATGAAATGCTCGGCTAAAGAAATGCCAATGTAAATGGATACATTATAGCTGATGATCGATAAAAAGTTGGACATGGCCTCAAAAAACACATAGTACGCCGGAATGGCAAATCCCAAGCACACTAAGTTGCCCAATATACACCATGCTATGCGGGGAATTTTGGCAAGTCTCGACCAAACGCATTGAATAGCCAAGGATAAACAGTAGCCACCGCTGAGATTGTTTTGTACTGCTGATAGCGCTAGTACAACAATGAGAAATCTGTATCCCTGATTATGATTATCTCCACATAATATTTCATAGATTAGCCCACCAAATGAATTTGAATCGTACGCATCTTTAAATCTCCCTGGTTTGTTTGTACTGGTGGCTAATGCAGCTCCCAAAACACATGATCCAATAGCCGGTATAACTAATCCTAAAATCATCGCCATTGCAACTTTCCAAGATTTGGCTCTATTATCGAAATAAACCAAAAAATCACTAGCACTAGGTGACCAACCAGCAGTGAAACCAAACATAACAACAATGAAGCTTAAAATATTTCCGGCTTCCGTTTGCGCCAGCTGTTTCTCGTGACCCCATTCGAATCCACGTATTATCGTAAATCTTGCTATTATAACAATATAAACAACAAATGTGGGTATCCAGGCATATCTCTCGTATAAATGGACCGCTTTGTACCCAAAAACAGCAAGGATACAAGTACACAACACTAAGATTAAGCAACCAATCCACGGTTTGAAATTATGGTTCACCGAGTTGAGTAGCTGGGCACATGGTATTACATTAATTGCATTCCATCCAATACACGATACCACATTGAAAAACGCAAAAACTCGACCCATTATGTTACCGGTTAAGTGTCTTGACATGATCTGTTGTCTCAATCCAAATTTCATGCCGAATAAACAAAATAACCCCACAGGTATGCTTCCAATTATTGAGAATAGAACAATTACAACAACAGTACTGGTGAAACTTAGGCCCATTCCAATACCAACAGATCCCGTACTCAATGCCGATACTGCTAGTTGTGGCGTGAAGAAAATCGTAAATGGATTCAAATACGAATGGTCAAACTTGTCCTCTGGCTCGACTTTTTCAATCCCCCTAGTTTCGGCATTTAGAAAATGTCCAATTTTATCAACCCAGTTAGTTTTCGTGTTTCCAGATGATGAAAACTGTTCTTCCTCTGTAAATGTAGTTTCAGACTTTTTTACATAGAGGTTAATTGCATTTTCTTTATATGACTCAGTATTCGTTATGGGCGACCCATTTTTTTCAGTTTCCATAATTGACGCTATACTCATTTCCGTATCCAAACATTTCAGCATTGTTGAAAAACCAACTGTGCTTTCACCCCCCCGCCTCGCAAACTCGCAATAACGGTCCTGTTATTGCTGGGGTTGCTGTTATATAAAATTAGTCAATTCTTGAACCAGATCTTTGTTCAACAAACCTTTTATCTCAAATTAATTCTCCCATTATCATTTCGTTGATAATCAATTTTTCAGATATTTTAAAAAGAAAAAAAAGAAATTTCAATTGATCATATCGCGATGATCTTCTCGTATCGGGTACGATTAAAAGAGAGAGAGAGAGAGAGAGAGAGAGAGAAAAATGAAGCCTCGCCTCGTACGGCATTGAGAACAATCAAAGGAAAGGAAATTGATTATCCGTAGCGCGAATCTGTCACTCGAACATAAGTAGATACAACCCATTAATCCCATTCAAATGAAAGGTATCAATGTTTTATTTATATCATCTTTAATAGAATTCAATCTCTATAAGAATTCAATCTCTTTAAAATCATTGTTCATAATGTCTATAAATTAAATACTGTATAAAGCGGTTTTAGTTAATATTCTAAAACTATTCCCCAATTGCCTTTTTTGGATTGTTTTTCTTGTAACGTCTTTCTTGTAATGTCTTTCTTGTAATGTCTTTCTTGTAACGTCTTCCCTGTAACGTCTTTCTTGTTATCTTCCTTGTATTGTTCCCTCCTCCTTTTGCTTTTCTGCAAACATTTCTGCTTGAGCTTTAGCAGCTGCCTGTGCCTTTTTAGCCATAGTCTTTCCAAAGTAAACTACCACAACTGGAAAAACTGCAGTGAGGAGAGCCCACCAAGCAACTAATATTCCAAAATTACGTCCTAAATCTCCCTTGTAAACATCAAAAAACACAGTCTTTGCAGCTTGAAAACTATTATAAATAGGCATACCATAACCATAACGATAAAATCTATTCATTAAAGCCATTGGTCCGAATGTTGGGGAAATATTCAAAACAACCCAAGACAACATCCAAAACCCTAATAATGGAGGTCGCACCGAAATTATAAGCATAGCTACTATTTCATTAGCCAAACCAACAGCACACATAGTCAAAAATGCAATTGACCAGTACACCAAAAAACCCGGTTTGCCATAATTGACTGTGAAATCAACTTGAAATGCCAAGGTGACTAGCCCAAAAAACAAGGAAATTATGATATATGTAACTATTGATGAAAAATATCTCCAAATCAAAAACTGGAATTTGTTTAAGCCAGACTTTGCTACTTTTTGATGCACTTCACTGAAAAAACTAAACCCAAAGAAGGTTATTATTATCATATAAATAAATCCAACCTGACATGGTGCCACTAGTACTGTATCAGTCCAAGGTACTCTATCAATCATCAAAAACTGTAGAGGCAGACTTAAAACTTGGATTTGCAATGACAGGTTAATTTCAATATTTTGTGATAAGGCCAGAGTCATAATTGGCTGATATTGAAACCAAATTTTTTCAATTGCTTGCACTTGTGGAACAATATACAGCCCCATATTAAGAAAGTCTCTTCCTGTTTCATAATCACATACCACGGTGTTTGCTGTGATATTATAGCTTGTATCTCCTTGGCTTAAAGCATTGTGATAATTGTATGATGCATTTGCACGAACATGCAATGAAAGCCAGTATTCCTGGCGATTAATTACCCTTATAATCTCCTTGTCGATGGAATTATTTTGCTTATCCGCTCGTTTTTGAAACTCAGTTGTATTATAAATATGCCACTGGCCGTGCTTTTTACCTACTTCACTTTGTAAAATGGACTTCAAGGTATTCCCGAATACCGGTTCTATTCCTTCAATGACTTGATCGTCTTCAATCACCACCAACATTTTCAAATGATCAAATTTCCGATTTCTCAAATAAAATGAGCCCCAATAGACGGAAAATGCACATAATATGAATAGACACAATGCAATATTGATAAACAAAAATTTTTTAAGCATATCCCTTCGCTGAGATTGGTATTCTCGACTGAAGAACGAGTAGCCATTATGACGACCCAGAGGCAGTCGACTCGAATCGGGCTCTAATTGTTTACTCAAGTCAGTATAGCGCGGAATTCCTGTTCCTTCCTTTGGTTCATTTTGCACTCTAGCTTCTGGGTCATTTTGCACTCTAGCTTCTGGGTCATTTTGCACTCTAGCTTCTGGGTCATTTTGCACTCTAGCTTCTGGGTCATTTTGCACACTAGATTCTACTTTATTTTGCACACTAGATTCTTGTTCTCCGTCTTCATTTTCCTCATTGTTATCTTTTACTTTTTCCTCGCCACGATTTAAAATTGAGTCATCATGTTCAGTGCTACTACTGGAATAGTTTATTTCTCGATGATTGCTCATTTTTCTTTATACAAGAGGCTTTCCTCATCAAAAGAAAAATCAAGAGGCTTTCTATATCAACAGAGAAAAAAAAAATTAAAAGAGTTTGCTGGTTTCTTTGACCTTGTTTTATATGATATGATATGCGATGAGGCTAGAAGACTTTTACAAAAAAGATGAATGTTAGTCCCACACAGACGCACAGGCACAGGCACACCACATATACATGTCTATTGTATTTGTAATTGAACATTATTTTTGTGCATTAGCTTCCCTCTTTAGTTATTTTCTTTTACTCTTTTGGGGTTTGCCTTTTATTTTGCTACATTTCCGAGATATTTTGTAGATGGATCTATGTTTTGGCGGCCCTTACTATAAATTTAGTGGGTTTTGATTATTTTTAATCTACTGATGAAATTAATGTTTTTCCGTTGAAATGCGGAGATTATTCCATTTTGGGGACACTATTGGACACTATTGGACACTATTGGACACTATCGAGCAGAGCGAGATAGTGTTAACAAGCTACTAGGTGTGGACACTATCGAGCTACTAGGTGTGGACACTATCGAGCTACTAGGTGTGGACACTATCGAGCTACTAGGTGTGGACACTATCGAGCTACTAGGTGTGGACACTATCGAGCTACTAGGTGTGGACACTATCGAGCTACTAGGTGTTGGTCCACTATTTCACACGGGTTTGATTCGACACTAACACGGGTTTGACTTGAAACCAACACAGGTTTGATATGGACTTTAATTTTTTTTCTCTACTCTAGAGCTTATTATCTCCGTACTTTTTAAATATGTCTTTAGTAGAAGGAGAGATTAGCAACTATGCTCTACTCTACATTTGCGCTCCCAAGTTACTACTCTATATTTGTCACTACTCGCTTCGCTCTATAGTGTCGCTCCCAAGTTACTACTCTATATTTGTTACTACTCTATATTTGTCACTACTCGCTTCGCTCTATAGTGTCGCTCCCAAGTTACTACTCTATATTTGTTACTACTCTATATTTGTCACTACTCGCTTCGCTCTATAGTGTCGCTCCCAAGTTACTACTCTATATTTGTTACTACTCTATATTTGTCACTACTCGCTTCGCTCTATAGTGTCGCTCCCAAGTTACTACTCTATATTTGTTACTACTCTATATTTGTCACTACTCGCTTCGCTCTATAGTGTCGCTCCCAAGTTACTACTCTATATTTGTTACTACTCTATATTTGTCACTACTCGCTTCGCTCACTAGTCTTTTGCGCCCAAATGGATGCAAAAAAATAAATTACATGTCTATAACGCAAGTGTAAAACTACACACACAAGAGATTCATTTTTGACACTATGAGATTTGATAAAGAGACTATCGAGCAGAGCGAGATAGTCTCGAGAGTGGAGATTAGATATAGAGAGAAGTTTCTAGACTACCGAGCACCGCGAGGTAGTCTTGAGAATAGAGAGTGATTACAACACTACCTCGCTCTGCTTGGTAGTGTTACTCAGCTATGCTCTCAGATTTTTTCTACTCAACTATCTACTCAACTGCTCAAATTACTCTACTCAACTGCTCAAATTACTCTACTCAAATATGCTCCACTCAGCTATGCTCTACTCACTACTTACTGCTCACTACTTACTACTCTCTACATTTGTTACTACTCGCTTCGCTCTATAGTTTTTACTGCCATTTTTTTACTGCCATGATTTTTGCTATTATAGTGATAAAGTCAGTGCTGCTCTACTATCGAGTGAAGAGATACGGGTAAGTGCTGCCCCAATATCGAGCGAAGCGATACGGGCAAGTGCTGCTCCACTATCGAGCGAAGAGATACGGGTAAGTGCTGCTCCACTATCGAGCGAAGCGATACAAGTAAGTGTTGCTCTACTATCGAGCGAAGCGATACAAGTAAGTGTTGCTCTACTATCGAGCGAAGCGATACAAGTAAGTGTTGCTCTACTATCGAGCGAAGCGATACAAGTAAGTGTTGCTCTACTATCGAGCGAAGCGATACAAGTAAGTGTTGCTCTACTATCGAGCGAAGCGATACAAGTAAGTACCGCTCCACTATCTTGCTTCGCTCGATAGTGTTATTGCAAGCTAGTCAGTGCTGCCCCACTATCTCGCTTTGCTCGATAGTGTCGCTCGATAGTGTCGCTAGTTGTGTCGCATCCCCACGTGACTCTGCGACACACCTTTCTTGACAAAAAAGCTTACAAGAGAAATTAAAAGATTACTTTACATGGATGACTTTAAATGTATATGGAAATAGTGAGAATTTGAAATTGAATCAATCGATAGCTAGCTGGTAACCCATAGATCAAGTATACACGGCGTCCGTATCGTCCCTATTTAGTTGGTATTCACAGCCGCACACCCCCTTTTTCCTTCTTAGCCCAGGCTTATTACGGGCTTTCGCACTCGTTGTATTATATCCACCCATACAAATTTCCAACCTGCCGCTCGATATCTTTGTCGCTTTGGAAATCTTTTTTTCCCCCCCCCCCCATCAAGATTAATCCATTCTTTATATTAACTAGGGAACCTTTTTTTGCAATCATTTAAATCATAGGTAGTAGTTACTCATATACTCATAGCTCATGACTACAAAAGTGGCAACTACAACTACGTCACAACCTTGTTCGATCCACAATACCACCTCAAATGGCGTCAATAAGAATACAATTCATGTCACCCCTAAGACGATAGGGGTAGGGCCGACAACAGCAACACCTATTGTTGCAACAACTGCCACTAATGGACCCGTTCTTCTTCAGCAGCACCAGCAGCACCAGCAGCACCAGCAGCACCAACTGCACCAACAGCAGAATAAGGGGAAAACCGGTAAGCGACTAGAATTGGAAAAGCTAATAAGAGAGTTTCAAAGTAAACTAGGGAAAAACTGGGAAAAATACCATGAAACATTGAGTTTATTCCTCGTGGGAAAACTATCAAGGCCAGAGCTTGTGTCAACCATAACACCTTTGCTAAAAGAGCAAAAACTATTTCGCTATCACAATAAGTTACTCATGCTCAATTTCGCAAACGCACTAAAAGACGGCGGCCCTTTGGATTTCACAAATGAGTTTGCATCTTTTTGGAACAAAAAGTTGTCAAAAGCAACTAAAAATGTGAAAAGCACTCAATATGAAAAGTTTAAGCAAAACATAATGGGATTACCAATAAAGGAGCGGAGAAGAATAAAGAATATCACTAGAGATAGCGGTAAGCGTAATAAGCTAAATGCTGGTATCACCTTGACCAGACATACCTTACTACCCAAGATCCCAATGATACAGGATAAAGAACAACAACAATTACAGGTTAACAATTTGGTGCAATGGCAGCAAGATGTGTTGAATGGTATAAATACCCCCATTGCTACTGAAAGCTACGAATTGCCTGATACGGACAATTTATCAAAGATTATGTTGATGATAATGAGAGAACATGGATTGACGGGTGGATTGAACTCCGGTGTGTTGGAGGTTCTTTTATTAGGGTTGAAATCGCATATGAAAAACGTTGTAGAAAGTGCAATCGATGTTGCAAAGTATCGGGAAAATAAGTACACTGCTAATGACTACGTGCCTTATGAAAGCAGGACAAGTGCATTTACCAGCAACGGTGATGCTACTACTACTACTACTACTCCTACTCCCGCCACCACCACTAATAAATTAAGCCCAAGAAAAAGGAAATTGAACGAAAAAGACAGTAACGGAATGAGTAACAATGGAATGAATAGTGGTGAGAGCAGTAATAAAGATATAATTCTATCAGTGGAGGATTTATACGATACATTTGAAATGTTTCCTCATTTGATTGAACCGGGTGGACCAAGATTAAGACTAGCAAATGTATTACTTGAAAACGATGATTGTATTCAAAGCAAGCAGGAGAATAATTATACATTACCACCAAAGCCAACAAGCTTGATGTTTAATCATAATAATGAAAAGGGACCATCAGGTAGTCAGTTGAGCCACAATACGACTGCAGGAATTAGCAGTACTGCTTCGGTAACATCAAATAATTCGACAACCCCAGCAACTTCTAGTTCAGGTTCAGGTGACACTATTGTTAAATTGGAGAATGGTGCTAGTTCAGGGACTCAAGCTCAGCAACAACAACAACAACAACAACAACAACAACAGCAACAGCAACAACAACAGCAACAGCAGCAGCATCACCAACAGCAGCAACATATGTCGAGACCGCCATCCCAACCAGCAATGCCTAGACCCGATGCTCATATAGGAACAACAGATGAATTAAAGTGGGTGTTGCATGATTTGGTATCAACCATGTAAAAGGAAGATTACAATTGCACATATATATATGCAAAATCTATCTATATACGTATATATATATATATATGAAAAATCTCTCTCTTTATATATACATATGTTTACATTTAAATCATTTCTTGAGACTAGTTGAGTTGAGAGTTCTTAGTACATTAGCCATTTTGGAATTTTGACATTCCGCAAGGATCAAGATTTTACAGTTTGTATAGACCCAATCTAATAATCTCACAAGGTCATCGTCCTTCCTCTTTTGTGTTTTGGCAATGTTTACTAATTGCTCTAACATGTAAACCTGAGATGAAGGGCTTGTTTTGCATACATCCAATACAAGTAATCGGGACTCAAAATTGGTTTTCCCTTTTACTCCAGATATACTTACCACATGAAGCATATTTGTATCCAGTTCATGTCTATTCTCTAGGCCATTCACTATATGAGCAAATTGATCTAAATCGTCAATAATCATCTTTTGACTTCGAAACAAACTCGAAGTTGAGTTGATTACTGTGTTTGTTAGTAAATCAACCAAGGCTCCATTTGCTAGAGAAGTACATTGATAATCAAAACCGATATCCCAATTTTCCATCTTTTGTTTGGTATATTGCAATAGATCAGTCATTGCATTAATGATTATTGTGCTCCCTGCAAGGTATTGCGATATTAGTGCCACATTTGTACCTCGAATTGCACCTTTGATCAAATGCGAAAACTCATCCATTATATGAGAAGGTGGTGAATTGGGAGTAAATATTTTGTTGAATTGATTTGGATTTATTATGTCCTGCGAAATAGCATAAACACGTATCCTTCTTTGATAGTCCATAATCGAATTCTCCAAAATTCTTCTATGCTCATCGTGTTTTTTTATTTTTGCAGAAATAGTATTATACTCAGCTTTAACTTTATCAAATTCGCTTTGTTCGATTTCTCCTTTGAAAATCTTATCCCGAACCTCTTGGCTCACCATACGTAGTTTCAGATCTAGAGTTTTTCTCACTTGTTGGAAATTATTCATCTTTCTCTCTATTTCTTGAATTCTAGCCTTTTCCGACTCAACAGAAATAATATAGGTATTCACTGTGTTCAAAGCCGTCAGATGGTTCTCGCGAACAGTTTCTAATTCCTTTTGCTTAGTAACAAGGCGAGTTTGGGACTCATTTTCCTCTTTCTTCAAGTTAGCTAATTTCTCTCTAGTTGCTTCCTCACTCTTTTTGATCTCTTCCTTAAGCTTAATCTCAGCCAATTCGGTCAGTTTACGTATTTCTTCATTAATTTCAGTTTTTTCTCTTTTCAAACACTCTATTTTCTCGATCAATTCACTATAATCAAAATTTTTCACCTCATTCAACTCCTGAAGCATTTCAAACTCCAATTCTCTAAATTGATTGTTCAATTTCATTTGATTTTCTTCGAGTTTGATGTCAATGAGTTTTTCCTCGTTTGCCACATTTTGTAATACTGTTTCTTCCATATATTCAAATGTCTCTTGGTTCTGACTTATTTCATCCTTGATCGATTCCAACTTTTGACTATAATTGCGATTTATACGACGTAGTTTGTAAAGCTCCTCTGTCAAATTATCTACTCGTTGTTGCTTTTCTCTATACTGCTCATTTAGTGAGAAATATGCCTCATTTAGTTCATTGGACCTTGTAACATTTGTATTGGCAGAAAAATTGCGCAGTAATCGTGGTGGTGCAATGGAGGTAGGTTTTCGTGATAGCCTGCTTTGTATAGACAAAATCCTGCCACGTTGATCCTGAGACAACTGGGTATCCTCGTAATTTAACGATTTTTCATGTGTACTCATGGGCATGGGCAATTTAGACTCAAATATTGAAATATTTGGTGATGAATTCTTCTTCACCAGTGGTTTGATCATTTCTGAACCTGAAAAAGCACGCCGTTTTGGTGACAATGAACGCATTATATTCAAATCCGTTTCCTCAAGCGGCCTTTTATGACCATTGCTCAGCTTAATCTGTGACATCTTTACTCTAAAAGAAAACCTATTTGAATCTTTATCTACAAGACAAGTGTTTCTGTTACTTGAAACAATTTGTAAACATTGCACAAAGATAATCAAGACACATTTGGTAGCGAATACCAGAATCACTAGCCAGTTTATTAATAGTCCAGTAAGGGCTAGTCTCTGGGTAAGGGCTAGTCTCTGGGTAAGGGCTAGTCTCTGGGTAAGGGCTAGTCTCTGGAGTAAGGGCTAGTCTCTGGGTAAGGGCTAGTCTCTGGGTAAGGGCTAGTCTCTGGGTAAGGGCTAGTCTCTGGAGTAAGGGCTAGTCTCTGGGTAAGGGCTAGTCTCTGGGTAAGGGCTAGTCTCTGGGTAAGGGCTAGTCTCTGGAGTAAGGGCTAGTCTCTGGGTAAGGGCTAGTCTCTGGGTAAGGGCTAGTCTCTGGGTAAGGGCTAGTCTCTGGAGTAAGGGCTAGTCTCTGGGTAAGGGCTAGTCTCTGGGTAAGGGCTAGTCTCTGGGTAAGGGCTAGTCTCTGGGTAAGGGCTAGTCTCTGGGTAAGGGCTAGTCTCTGGAGTAAGGGCTAGTCTCTGGGTAAGGGCTAGTCTCTGGGTAAGGGCTAGTCTCTGGGTAAGGGCTAGTCTCTGGGTAAGGGCTAGTCTCTGGGTAAGGGCTAGTCTCTGGAGTAAGGGTTGGCTCCTAGAGTAAAGGCTAGTCAGTAGAGTAGGCTAGCTCCTAGAGTATGCTAGCTTCTAGAGTAGATTAGTCTCTAGAATAGATTAGTCTCTAGAATAGGCTAGTCTCTAGTTGTAGGACAAAGAAGAGGACAAAGAAGAGGACAATGACAATGAATCTCGCTCTTCTCTATAGTGTCGGTCAGAAGCGACACTATCTCGCTCTACTCGATAGTGTCGCTTCGCTCTACTCGATAGTGTCGCTTCGCTCTACTCGATAGTGTCGCTTCGCTCTACTCGATAGTGTCGCTTCGCTCTACTCGATAGTGTCGCTTCGCTCTACTCGATAGTGTCGCTTCGCTCTACTCGATAGTGTCGCTTCGCTCTACTCGATAGTGTCGCTTTGCTCGATAGTGTCGCTTTGCTCGATACGACGAAGCCAAACCTAATTTATTAGTAGCTACAAAGTATTGTTACAAGCTAGTCAATACTGCTCCACAAGCTCGCTTCGCTCCCTAGTGTCGCTTGACTACTTTCTTCTCTACTACATGTCCATCATCTACTAATAAACCCTTTCCCAAAGTCAAAATAAATCTCAACGCAAACCAATGAGATTCATCCCATAAGAATGTGATATACTTATTTCTCAAGCTTGCTAATAAAAATTGCTTCAATGTCTTGCTGTAATCAATTACATTGTAGTAGTCGTATAAAGTACTAGGGACACAAGCGGCATTAACAAACAGCCACAAAAACAACCAAACTACAACAACTGATATGAAACAAGGCCTTGCAACTGGGTTGACAATAGTGAGTTTTTTGAGGGTCTGGCGTATTGCATGTATAATGACAAATATTTTCAATAATTTTGCAAAACCAAATAACAACGCCACGGGCCCACTATATTCATTGATTCTCAAGTTTTTAGCTACTCTCTCGACTGAACTCAAGCCGTCAAATTTATCTGACCCAAGAATGCCTTGAACAACATTGTAATGCTGCATGTTTATGTAAAGAAGATTGATATCTTCTTTGAAATCAAAATAGCGCGATGCAAATGAGGGTATCACAGTTAACATCGATAATAGTAAAATCTTCTTGACACTTGGATCATTATAGTTGGAGTAACTAAATCCGTAACCCATGAGGAATAAAACGGTGAAAATATCGTCGAGACTAGCTACAACATACTCTGCATATTCAATAATTGGGAAATCGAAAAAAGCCAATACAGCCGTTATTGCAAAAATCGCCACTTTTGCAAGCTGGAGCATTATTACTGCTTGGAATATAATGGGTCTCTTTGTCCTTATATAGTAAAACAACTGTATTACCACAAAGGAAGTTACGATATTTACAATGGAAAACCAAATGTCATCATAATTTCCATAGTAACTCTTTTCCTCGATTTCTACCCTATACTCGTACTGATCAATCTTAGGCGAGTAGATACACCAAAGCCCAGGAATTTCAATATTGTAGGATAAGAACTCTTTTAAAACATCACTCTTTTTGTATTGCGTATTATCTGTGTTTGCAAATGTAAACTCTCCAAATTGGAAATACTCATCCAATTTCCCATCTGTGACTAAGAAATCGAAATTTGGTAAATCTTCAATAGTTTTGCGATGCTCGTATTCAAATAGAAGAATGGGCAATGGTAATTGGCCCAAGGTCTTGGTGATTGCAATTGTTGTTGGTGATTCAATGTTGAAGCATGCTGCGTTTCGCAATTGGTCTAAATGAAATTGTCTACTATAACACAAGGAAAAAATGGATAGCAACGGAATCAACAGTTTGGTCCACATTATCTAGCAAAAGACTACAGTCCTTCTTCCCTTCCTTTCTATTGTTGGAATAGCCCTAGGGCGTTTAATCGGTTAAATGATGAAAAATCTTGGAGAATTTCATGGGGTTATAATTTGGTAGCGAAGGGGTCGAGAAACGGCGCTTTAAAGGAAACCCACACGACAAGGAGGATCCCCCGCCTTTGTCGTTACATATTAGCAACACTATCGAGCAGAGCGAGATAGTGTTGTAACAAGCTTCAAAGTGCTCCACTATTCAGCGAAGCGAGATAGCTTTATAGCAAGGTAGTCAGTGTTGCTCCACTATTGAGAAAAGCGAGATAGTCTATATCTACTCTCTCTTCTCTCTATTGCCACGCTATCGAGCAACGCTATCGAGCAACGCTATCGAGCAGAGCGAGATATTGTTGCATTAAACTAATCAGTATTACAACACTATCCAGCAAAGCGAGATAGTGTTTTAGAAAGCTACTGAGAGTGACTATCGAGCAAAGCGAGATAGCTTTATAGCAAGGTAGTCAGTGTTGCTTCCTAGTGCCGCTCACTATCGCTACTCTCTACTCTTTATATCCACTCTACTCTTTATATCCACTCTACTCTTTATATCCACTCTACTCTTTATATCTACTCTACTCTTTATATCTACTCTACTCTTTATATCCTGCTCCACTAGCTCGCTTCGCCCCCCAGTGTCGCTCCCTAATGTTGCTTCCCAGTGCCGCTCACTATCGCTACTCTCTACTCTTTATATCCACTCTACTCTTTATATCCACTCTACTCTTTATATCCACTCTACTCTTTATATCTACTCTACTCTTTATATCTACTCTACTCTTTATATCCTGCTCCACTAGCTCGCTTCGCCCCCCAGTGTCGCTCCCTAATGTTGCTTCCCAGTGCCGCTCACTATCGCTACTCTCTACTCTTTATATCCACTCTACTCTTTATATCTACTCTACTCTTTATAACCTGCTCCACTAGCTCGCTTCGCTCCCTAGTGTTGCTTCCTAGTGCTGTTCACTATCTCGCTTCGCTCGATAGTGTCGATAGTGTCGATAGTGTCGCTCCCTAGTGTTTTCCCAAAAGGGAAATCAACCGTTTTCTTTCATTTGGTTGCGAAAAAAAGCACAAAAATACCCCCCCAAAAAAAAGGTAATCCATTACCTAATCACACAAGCCATGTATTATATAAGCAAAAATAAAGCGTGCCAAATCTCATCGCTCTTTATGGAAATTTCCAATCCCTTTCAACCTTACCTCTTTACTTGTTGTCTCTTTGAAGGGTATTGCATAGGGCTCTGGCTATTGGTTGATTGTTTGAGAGTGGAAGAGACAGGAAGCTAAGAGGTTGTGGAAGAGACAGGAAGCTAAAAGGTTTGGTTTTTTTTTCAGTGTGAGCTGCTGCTGCTGATCATGAACAGCGTTTACGCAAGTGCGCCTCGAGAAAGTTCAGTAGTTGGAGTTAAACATCATGAAAAGGGCGGCCCACCTTCTTCCTCCTTGACTACAACAAATCCCCACTTCAACTCCAACTCGAATTCGATTTCCAATTCGTCTAGTGGTACTAGTCGCTTTGTTAATGGCAATGATTTCATAACATATATAATACCCGATTTCAACGCTGTCAAGTATTTCCAAAAAGATTTTGTTACTTCAAATGAATTTTATATTATTGAGGAATCGGAGGTGAATGGGTTTGAGTTGTATTTGGTGGAACAGTGGGTTATAAACCGTAATATTGCTACCGTTGTTACCACTTATACCGGAAATGAGCAGTCAAAAATAAGCGTGGTAAGGTTTACAATCATTAAAAAACCCACAAAGTACTATCCCATCCGATTCCAAGAATACTTGAATGAAATAGTTTTGAATCACTCCAAAATGAAAACCGTAGACAAGGCAGATAAGGAAAAGGCAGATAAGGAAAAGTTAGGTACAGAAAAGCCAGGCACGGAAAGCCGATCAGATAGCGCTAATGAGCTTCTCACTATATCGAAATTATCAACCGAGCTGTCAACTTTAGCGCCAACGGTAAAGAAAAACAAGTCCTCTTCAGACTATGTCAACGAAGTTTGTTTTGTCACAAATTTGGCATCATTGCCGTCAAACTTGAACTTGATTCCAGTGCCGCATGGAGATACTAGGAAACTTGAAGCTCCATTTATAATAAACTACGATTTGAAAAAATTGCAATGCACAGGACGTTCAGCGTCTTTGGCCACGGACAGGATCTCTGACGCCAACGAAGCTAAATTTCGTCAAGTATACAAAATCTACAACATTAAAGTACCTATCAAATTTGCCGTGCGTGAGCTTGTGAATTTGATTCAAACATGTTTGTTTTATTTTGATTTGTTAGATGGAAGATACTGCACAGGCTTGCTCTGCGTTAAAACCGAGGAGGCAATAGTTAATTGGTGGAATTTGATAGGGCTCCCCCATTTCAACACTAAACCTGATCCTAGAAATGGGATTTTACCTTCGCAGACAGTGGCGGCAATAATAAGTTTAATTCTTAGTATTAGATTGAGATTACTAATAGTTGGTGTATCTGATACTCCCAAAGACCCCTTTGATTTTGAAACTTTTATGCTAGCAATAGGCCTATTTCAGAGACAGAACAAGATGGACAAGACTAGAAAATTGGATATGGAAACTTTGAATAAACTATTCACAATCACAAACTCAAAGTTGATGCCAGAAAAAGGGTCCAACTATTTTTATAACTCGACTTTTGTTCCAGGTGAGGCAGGCACTCACCATGAGTATGACCTTATGACATCATCATCATCATCATCACCACAGCAAAATTTCGGTTACAGTTCACTGTCCCATTTTTCACCCGGGGCCGGGGCCACATCAAAGCGTTTATATGGGAAAAAAGAGTTGAAAAAAATGGCCAATGTCATGAAAACCACGGTCCAAGATCATATTAATGCTGCGAGTACTCGGGATTCTGACGAGATGCAAATGCCAAAGAAGCCCTCTGGAGGCCGAATACGAAGTAAAATTGCCAAGTTGGCCGATAACGTTAGTCCATTGGATGTTGAGAATCTTGATTTGGAGGTGTTGGTGAAGCATTATTTGGTAGGTAAAACATTGATACGGTTATTTTGGGGTGCACAAACAAACAATGCATTGATAATGAATGATGATGGTGGTGGCCTAAGTGGTGGTGGTGGTGGGTTAGGTGGTGGTGGTTTAGGTAGTAGTAGTAGTAGTGGAGGAGATCCTAATGGACGATTAAGAGTCAGCGAAATTTCGCATCATAGACGTGGGGGGAAACAACTTGATGAAAGCCCTTCTCCCTTGTATGCATTTGAAAGTCTCAGGGATAAAATTATATCAAATCACAATATCCAATTAAGTGGTGATAATTCAAAATATTCACTAGGTTTGTCTCGAAGGTTTGGTTTGCCAAGCAGCAAAAAAAGCATGAGTGACGGAAAGCCAGCTTCGTTTTCGTCTTCTTCTCATTTGGAAGTAAATGGTGGACCCGACAATTACAGGTCTTTGAATACGTCGTCCGTTGTTGACTCCTTTTTACAGCTAGCTAATGATAACTCATCATGTGCAGAAAGTGAATGTTCTATTACCAAGAAACCATTTGATGCCAATTCTGCTCAAAACTTGTTAAAAGTCAATCACCCCTTGTTCCAATTTAAGCGCAATTTGAACAGAAGAAACTCGTGGCCATTTGTATTAAACAAGTATGAAGAGAATTTGAACACTTTGGTACAGTTTAAAGACAAGAATGCGGTTAATCCAGAATTGGTACAATATTGTGTAACGAGACCTAGAAGTGCCAGTACTTCATTACTTCAAAATAAACTTCTTTCTTCACTGGACGTCTCGGTAGCAACTATGGCCAAATTCTCACAAAAGTATTTAGATAATATTGACTCATTGATGAAGTATGAGAATTTAAGGAACCACTATTTTTATGGAACGAGCGACAATGAACAAGTTATTTCTAATGTTCAACTTGGAAAATCTTTCTGTTCGTTGAATGTCGATTTGATGAAGTTGAAAAATTTGAAAAATCAAATGAATGCAAATAAAGTGCGTATCATGGAGGAAGGAGTAGTTGAACATCTTCAATACAACTTGCGTACGTTGTTTAGTACTGTTGATCGTTTAAATTACGAAACTAGAATTGTTACGAAAAAAATGAATGAGTTGGAAGAAAACTTTAAAGTTTTTGAGCTAAAGTTGAAAGATGGTTGTCAGAATAAGATGAATAAGATGATTAATTTGTTATTGGTACTGAAGGACTTTAAGGAAGTATATCCCGATTTGTCTGAGCGCAAAAAGATTGCCTTTCAACTAACTGGCGATGAAACCTATTCAAGATTCAATGAAGAGGCTGAGACGATGAGTTTCATTAGACACGTTGTGGTTTTTTTTTATGATATACTTGTGGCCATTTTGCAGTGGTTTAAGTTTGAGAGGACTCATATGAATCTTGAGAGAATCAGAGAGAGCTGGATCCAGTTGGATCCTTCAAAATCGCTCATCAAGAAGACTTATACGTATCTTGGAAGAGAGCCTTCTAGTGATAGTATTGCCTCTGTTGAATGAAAAACCATCACTTAAATATCGGTTAAATACCACTTAAATACCAGCTGAATATGAGTTGATATCAGCTAATATCAATTTTCCTGGTGAAAGTATACTATTTTCGTGCTTGAGTAGATAACAAGCTACTGAGTGTTGCTCCACTATCGAGCGGAGCGAGATAGTGTTGTAACAAGCTACTGAGCGTTGCTTCACTATCTCGCTCCGCTCGATAGTGTTTTTACAAGCTACTGAGCGTTGCTTCACTATCTCGCTCCGCTCGATAGTGTCGCATTTTTTGGTGAAAGCATACTATTTTCATGGTTGAGTAGATATCAACTTTTTAGGTGCTCGAGCGTAGGCTGTATGCTATTCTCGATATAGCTCTTCAACCTATACCTTGCTTCTTGCAATTCCTCTTGTTGGCTCTTATCATGCAGAATCAAAAATTCCTTTATAGTTTCTAAAACTTCTTGATTCTGCAAAATTAGATTTTCCAATTTTTCAGTAATAAAGTCTTGCTTCTGCAACTCCATAATCAACTGCAACTGTTCCCGTTGTAAATTTCTCAATATTTCGTCCTCGTTGCCCAAACTCAGCGTCAGCGTCGCCAATTCCATTTTCGCCAATTCCATTTTCGCCGAACCCAACCCAGCGGATCGCGACTCAATAAATTGTTCATAAACCTCCTGGGGTACCAATGATTTAACAGTTTCATGCAATTTCAACAAAGTTTCATTTGAGTCGTTGATCTTCTGGTTCAACATCGCAACTAGCTTTGAGATAGCCTGGAAATCATTACATACCGTTTCATTCATATTCCTAATTATCCTTTGCTCATCTCTTTCATATAATAAGAATGCCATTCCCTTTAATTACTTTTCTTCTCTTTTGAGTATGAGCCGCACAAGCACCACTATCGAGCTACTATCGAGCGACACTATCGAGCAGAGCGAGATAGTGGAGCGGTACTGAGCAGTACTGACCAGCTTGTTGCAACACTATCGACCAGAGCGAGATAATGTTGTAATAGAGAAGAGAGAGTGGACATAGACTATCTCGCTTTGCTCGATAGTCACCCTTAATAGCTTGTTACAACACTTTCTCGCTCTGCTTGACAATGTTGCTTGATAGTGTTGCTTGACAGTGTTGCTTGATAGTGTTGCGAGAGTAGACATAGACTATCTCGCTTTGCTCGATAGTGGAACATTACTGATTAGTTTGATACAACACCATCTCGCTCTGCTCGATAGTGTTGCGAGAGTAGACATAGACTATCTCACTTTGCTCGATTGACACACTTAGTAGTGTTTCACAACACTATCTCTCGATAGTCTATCGCTCTGCTCGATAGTGTCGGATAGTCACTCTTAGTAGCTTGTTGCAACGCTATCTCGCTCTGCTCGATAATATTGCTCGATAGTGTTGCGATAGTGCTCCTCAATAGTGGAGCAACACTTTGTAGCTTGTAACAACACTATCGAGCAGAGCGAGACTTTGTAGCTTGTAACAACACTATCTCGCTCTGCTCGATAGTGTTGCTTGATAGTGTTGTAATAGAAAAAAGAGAGAGTAGATGTAGGCTATCTCGCTCTGCTTGATAGTATACACTTGATAGCATACAACGCCCTGCTCGATAGTATACAACACTACAGCACTTAATAGTATACAACACTACAACACTCGATAGTTTACAACACTACAACACTCGATAGTATACAACACTATCTCCCTCTGGTCGATAGTGCTCGCTCTGGTCGATAGCAACACCTTGTAGCTTGTTACAACACTATCTCGCTCTGCTCGATAGTGTTGTCGTGGCCTTACCAATTGACACGTTTGAAAAATTTCGCTTAAAGCTTCTAACAAAATTACAAGAGAGAGTATCTTATTGAATAGTAGTACTGGTAATTGTTTTATACAAGTGGGGATTCTTTTTTAAGAGCAGGTGATCTTTTTTAAGAGCAGGTAATCTTTTTTCAAGGCAGGTAATTCTTTTCAAAGGGCAGGTAATTGTTTTTTCCGCTGGGTTGAGATGGTTACTATAGGTAATGTACATGAAGATTTGATTCATGACGCAGTTTTAGACTATTATGGTAAGCGTTTAGCTACATGTTCATCAGATAAGACTATCAAGATATTAGATGTCGATGCAAGTGACAATTATAAATTGGTGACTACTTTATCAGGACACGAAGGTCCTGTTTGGCAAGTAGCATGGGCGCATCCTAAATTCGGCCCCATATTGGCTTCATGCTCTTATGATGGTAAGGTTTTGATTTGGAAGGAACAAGCAGAAACGCAACAATGGTCGATAATCGCCGAGCACACAATTCATCAGGCTAGTATTAACTCGGTGAGTTGGGCTCCGCACGAGTTGGGCGCAGTGTTGTTGTGTACTTCTTCCGATGGAAAAGTCTCAGTTTTGGACTTCAACGACGACGGAACCACATCTCATGTAATATTCGAAGCACATGCAATTGGTGTTAATTCCGCATCGTGGGCTCCAATCACTAATTCCTCATCGAATAAAGATGCAAATTCCTTAAAGCAACAACGCAGGTTTGTATCGTGTGGGTCTGATAATTTGGCTAAAATTTGGAAGTTTGATCCAGCTTCAGACTCATATGTCGAAGAGGCAAAATTGGAAGGGCACACCGATTGGGTGAGAGATGTAGCTTGGTCACCTTCAAACCTAATACGCCCCTATATCGCTACAGCATCACAGGACAGTACAGTGTTGATTTGGACTCAGGACAAAGATGGAAAATGGCAGAAGCAAAGCTTGACAGAGGAAAAGTTTCCTGACGTTTGTTGGAGATGCTCTTGGTCGTTATCTGGGAATATATTAGCTGTCTCAGGCGGCGACAACAAGGTCACCTTGTGGAAAGAAAATTTACAAGGAAAATGGGAGTCTGCAGGAGAAGTAGAGCAATAGAAACTCCACTATCAAACACTATCACTATCGAGCAAAGCTTGATAGTGTTGTAACAAGCTACAAAGCGTTGCTCCATTATCGAGCAACACTATCGAGCAACACTATCTCGCTCTGCTCGATAGTGTCAATAGTGTCAATAGTGTCGATAGTGTCATGTATAAATCTAGACAATACTTGTTGTACCACCTAGAATCATAATCTTTATTCTTGTAGTGCTTCCTTTAAGCTTATTTGACCAGTTCCTCTTTCCAATGGCTGCGGCTGTGCGTCGCTCTTTTTCCAACCAATCATGAATATGACGTTGAACGTAGCGGGAAGCAATATACTTCCATCCAGTTGAATTTGGCCATGCAAACTCTTGTAAATCTCGTTCGCAGCCACAAGCACATCTCGAGGCAAATGATTTGCTCTAGATAACACTGCGTTCTGCTCTCCCATAACTTGCAAGTCTTCACACAAAGCAAGGATACTAGGGAATCCTTCAACTATGATGTCCTCTGCATCAATAGTAAGCATCGTGAATCCTGCCTTGTTTAGCAACGATCCAACGTCGTTGAGATGCACGAGTGGGGAAACTCTTGGTGAAATTCCTCCTTTTCGCTCTAGCTCTGCCAATTGTAAAGATGTTCTCAACTCATATAGTGTATCTCCTCCAAATAGCGTGCCCATGAACAAACCATCAGGTTTCAAAACTCGATTGATGTTTGCAAGAGCTTGAGGAAGGTCGTTGATCCAATGTAAGCTGAGATTGGATAATACAACATCATAGTGATTTGACTCCTGAAGAATAGTATGATCAAACTGTTCTTCGTCACCTACAAACTGGCTGATTCGGCCTGGAAAGTCGAAATCGTATTTCTGCCCCTTATCCCTATCCATGAGCTCCTGTGAGGAGTCAAATAAAACTAATTCCTTTATCTTGTCTCTTACTAATTTCTTATCCTCGTTCAATTGCTTAATAATCTTTTGTTCTATTTCGTCATTGGCCAACTCCTTGGGTAAACGACTTTCAGTACATAGATTCTTAACGAAATTCCCGCTATGACTACCAAAGTCCAATGTCTTATCAAATGGCCTTGTTATAAAAGCTAATCGCTCTATTGTTTTGATAGCCACCTCGTCCCTCAAATAGTCCTTCTTTCTCGATAGTAGAGGATCAAGTTTGGCTAGCTTTGATTTATGAATAAGCTTAGCCGCTCTGTCGAAAACATTGAATTGAGGATTGCTGGTGGTTTTCGCAACAGTTGCAAGTCTACGCAACATAACAACCTCCTTAATAAAAGCTTAAGGTCCAATTATTATCTAGCCTATACAATATAGCTGTTCTTTTCCCCCCTTTTTATCAACAGCGTCGTGATATTTTGATGGTATTTTGGGATGAGATGAGATGAGATGCGATGCGATGCGATGCGATGCGATGCGATGAGATGAGATGGCCTGTTTCGCGCTCTCTTTTCAATTGCAAGATGAAAAATACAACTCTGGGGTTGATAAGAAAGACTCCAAGGTCGATAGGCGAAATGTTCCAAAAGACGGTTAGGCTACGACTACTGGGCTTGGCACTATATCCACGACTTAGTCAATGTCTACGTTTACGTTGTGTAAGCTTTGTTCGACACAATACTATAGATAGATTTTCTACAGTCTCTATCGGTAAGGACAATAATAGCAAGGAAAACAAGAAGCTTTGCTGGACAAAGAGTGGAGATAGTTTGCTGCCGCTGGAACTATATGGATCTGTGAATGCTCCTAAGTTGGTGACGAGTATATCTACAGCTGAAGAGAAAATTGTGGAAAACATTTTGCGAATATATGACACAAGCGAATTGAGAAGAACCATTTCGGAATTGGAAGCAATGTCTTGTCTTGATGAACTGCCATGTATTGAGTTTTTGATCAAGTCACAAAGTGTTGACTTTAAGATTACCAATAATATTTGGATGCGGTATAGGAAAAGCTGCAAAAGTCAGCAAGAGATTGACAAAGTTGATTGGTTGTACTTGTACTTATTTAGATTCAATGCGAGCATGAACACTGTTCCAAACTTTTCCCACCAATGGATGAAAATAAGTCAAAACAATACTAGTCTTTTCCCGCTTTATATGCTGAGTTATATCTGCACGCTTATCAATACTAAGCAAAGCGAACTTGCCATTCAGTACTTTATGCAATTGTTGAATGATGAAACGATCAACGATATTGAATATCTACCAATAGCGAAAATGATACAAGTTTTGATTGAAGAAGATGACCATAAAAACTTGCTTCGAGTTTTGGAAGTCGTAGCGTCTCGCCAACTCGCCTTGATTTCCGATAGTTTATGGGTGAATATATTAGAGTATGGGTTGAAAATGAACAACTACGATATTGTGCTACATACCTATCGAAATTTCATAATGAGACAGTTTCCATTGGCAAAAATCACTATTGATGATGTAATTCTACAGCGTGAAAAGCCCAATGATTTACTTTTCATCTCTTTTACCAACAGCCTATTAATGCAAATCTTGCGGTGTTTTTCCTCGCATGGAGATGTTGATCTGACAATAGATCTCATTGAAAGTCATTTTTTCCACAAAGTTGTTGCTGGAAGAGAAACCATGAGCGCAGAGCTCTGTGTACAAATTATAGAAAGTCATTGCTATAGAAAGTCACAAGGTACTGAAACTGAAACTGAAACCGAAACTGAAATTGGAAATTCCATCCAGTCTATTGTTGAGTTGATTGATGTTTTTATAAGACAAAGCTTTGCTTCGCGGTCGGAGCAAATTGAGGCTGAGGATTTGTTTTTACCCGTGAGTCTGAAACTTGCTTCCTTAGGTATAGGCAGCGAGGATTGTATTGTCACCGAATTTGAGATGAACCAGGTGTTGAAAAGCATTAGAGAAAATGACTTTCATGACAGAACAGTGAAAATATTCAATGCTTGTTTATTAAATTATATCTTAAACTACGAGGTGCATAGGGAGACATTACAGATGGTATGTTTTTGCGAATTTAGCCCCGCCTAGACATTTAATGTAGGGTAATAATAAACTGCTTGCTTTGCATAAAGTCCAAGTTTCTAATGTGATTGGTGCCATATTTAAATTTTTTTTTCTTTTTCTTGATTTTTTTTTAAAGTATCACAAACCATTAAGGTACTTGTTGGAAAAAGTACATTAACCATCGATTGCTGCTCTTAGGTCTTCTTCATTGATCTCTATTGTTTGCGAGCTTCCCAAATCTTTCTTACGTTGGTTTTGCGATTTTCTCAAGCCACAGATACTGTCATCGTTCAGATCAAAGTCATCCTGGAAATCACTATTATTTAAGGTCAAGTGCGGTAGTGTAGTTGAGTCAAGTGAACTCAACATTGTTGAGTCGATGGCCATGCGAAGGATGTTATTTGCATGACAAGCTAACTCATCTTCTTTTCCCACCTCTTTTTCCACTTTCTGTTTTACCATTTCCCTTTTGGTTTCCTTGAACGGAGAAATTGTTAGTCGAGTAGCTTTTCTTTGTGGTGTAGATTGCACTTTCTTTGGAGTAGAGTCATCTGATTCTTCGTTATGAGACAGTACTCTCTTGTTTGTGGCACTGACCTGGGGGGACACAACATACTGCTCTACTGGCTCGCTTTGCTTCATAATGGTCTTGGTCTGGGGGGACCCTAAATACTGCTCTACTAGCTCGTTTCGCTCCCTAGTAGTCTTGGTGCCATCTTGAAAGATTTTGATATTGCTACTTGGATATACCATACTATCATAGTAAAGGGTATATTGAGAATTAACTTTTGGAAGCTGCTGATACTCTGAATCACAATGAGGTAGTTCGATCTTGTACTTGCTAATAATTTCCCGACTCTTTTGTAGCAACAGTTGTAAGGGGTCTTCACCGGGCAAATTGTCACAGAAACTCTTGCTTATTGGCTGATCAATATATTTATACTCGTTTTGATGCTTTAATGGTTTATATTCGTCTATTATATTAATTGACTGTTTGACATGATTATTGATAACGTCTTGCATTTTGCTTAAACCCTGTGATGACTTGCTGAGTTACACAAGAAAGAAAGAAAGCTTTTTACTACCCTCTTGACGTTCTTTTAGATTATAAGATCTTGAAGTATACATGAGTTTCTTGACATGTATTGTTTACTTCATTTCCCAATTGGGATTGACCGATTTGGCAATTAATTTTGCAGCAAAAAAAAAAAAAAAAAAAAGAAAAAAAAAGAAAAAAAAAAACGGTCAATCTGAACGTTTGTACGAAATGTAACACCGATTGGGAAATGCAACATCAGCAATTTTTTTTGATGTTTCATCTAATCATCAAGATGGTGGAGCACACTAGCTGCTACCGACACAATCGACACTATCGACACTATCGACACTATCGAGCGAAGCGAGATAGTAGAGCACACTAGCTGCTACCGACACTATCGAGCGAAGCGAGATAGTAGAGCACACTAGCTGCTACCGACACTATCGAGCGAAGCGAGATAGTAGAGCACACTAGCTGCTACCGACACTATCGAGCGAAGCGAGATAGTAGAGCACACTAGCTGCTACCGACACTATCGAGCGAAGCGAGATAGTAGAGCACACTAGCTGCTACCGACACTATCGACACTATCGAGTGATACTATCACGCTCCACTCGATATACTCAAATTTGTATACTCTTTTCACTTTCATTATTCTTTCCACTTTACCATGGATGTGTCTCCTTTGATCTTCCCAGGATGGGGTTAAATTTACTCCCCCTCTGCACCAGTGTCGTTTTCAGTGTCGCCAGCAGCTAGTCAGTGTCGGTAGCATCTAGTCAGTGTCGGTAGCAGCTAGTCAGTGTCAGTAGCAGCTAGTCAGTGTGTTCCACTATCTCGCTCTGCTCGATAGTGTCGCTCTGCTCGATAGTGTCGCTCTGCTCGATAGTGTCGCTCTGCTCAATAGTTTTGTACAAACTTTCCAAAGCAATTGGCTGCAAAATTTGTACATTTTGCACTACCAATGGGATGATTTTTGTAAGAAAAAAATGACAATGTATGATTGGTCAGAAACCACCTCAATGAGAGAATAGACTGATAAAAGTAAACATTGAATAGATAAGCCATTGGTATAACTATATACAGCCTGCAAACATTACGGTTCTCCGCTTCCCCCTACCCCCCCCCTTTGGAAGCGCCAAAGAGTTAATTTCCAACTGTAAATGGGTCCAATTGCAAAATGCTCTCTTGTAGATGCTTTATCGTTGGTAATGTCATTGCGTCACAGGTCTCTGGTGAAAGCTGTCTTTCAATTTGGTTTTGGCAACTTTGTATTCCTCTGTTTTCACGTTGGTTTGGCCAACCTTGTATTCCTTTGTTTCTTCATATATTCTTCTTGTTGTTTGAATTTCTCGTTGGTGTCATTACCATGTAGACTATCCACGGGACATGGCAATACCGAATTAGCACCTACTAGCATAACACATATCACAAAAGTCGAGCTGAATAATGAATGAGTAAACCTATTCCTTTGAGTTGCCTTTATATATTGAAACATTGAAAAATCTTTTGGAGAAAATAGTATGGGGGAAAAAAAAATGTATTTGATGTACACTAATATATAAGCCGTGTGTGGGAGTTTATGAATATATAGAAATCTCGTAGTAATGAATAGATAATAGTGTCACTAGTCAGTGCTGCTCTATAGTGTCTTGAACCTTGACGTTTGATGGGTATTGAATTTTCATTCATGGCATTAATGTTTGTTACTAGGAAAATACATCACCCTATATGCAGGTCATCGTAAGAAATTTTCATCCAATCAACGAACTGGCGATGGTAGTAGACATTATCAACACTATCAACACTATCAACACTATCGACACTATCGACACTATCGAGCGGAGCGAGATAGTGGAGCAGTACGTAATAGTAGCACTATTGACACTATCGAGCGGAGAGAGATAGTGGAGTAGCCTGTAATAGCAACACTATCGACACTATCGAGCGGAGCGAGATAGTGGAGTAGCCTGTAATAGCAGTACGTAATAGCAGCACTTAATAGCAGCACTTAATAGCAGCACGTAATAGCAGCACGTAATAGCAGCACGTAATAGCAGCACGTAATAGCAGCACGTAATAGCAGCACGTAATAGCAGTACTATCGAGCGAATAGCAGCACGTAATAGCAGCATGTAGTAGCAGCACTATCAAGACTAGATAAGGGCGACACTAGCGAGCAAAGCGAGTCAGTAGAGCGAGACCAGTTGAAAGAGAGAAGAGAGTAGAGACATGGACTATTTAATAACTACTCACTACTTTGAGTTTTGCTCCACAACCATCTCATTAATCATCCTGCTCCTATAAGATCTTGCTCCAGCACCATCTCACAACAACACCCTACTCCTCTAACATCTTGCTCCAGCACCATCTCACCACAAGATCCTACTCCTCTAACATCTTGCTCCAGCACCATCTCACCACAAGATCCTACTCCTCTAACATCTTGCTCCAGCACCATCTCACCACAAGATCCTACTCCTCTAACATCTTGCTCCAGCACCATCTCACCACAAGATCCTACTCCTCTAACATCTTGCTCCAGCACCATCTCACCACAAGATCCTACTCCTCTAACATCTTGCTCCAGCACCATCTCACCACAAGATCCTGCTCCTCTAACACCCTGCTCCTCTAACATCCTAGTCTTTTGATTTTCTACTCCTCTAGTTTTCTGCTCCTCTAACATCCTGCTCCTCTGGTTCCTCACATTGAAGTTTGTCAACCGAGTTGTGGAGAAGGTGCATACAAATAGAGAAAAGAGAGATGAAAAGGGTAGTTTCAGGTATAGCCCGTGTGCTCCACTATCTCGCTCTGCTCGATAGTGGAGGCGATAGTGTTGTAATAAGCTACAAAGTATTGCTTGATAGTCGCTTGTTGCTCAACAGTGGGCAGTTAATCAGTATTGCTCGATAGTGGGCAGTTAATCAGTTTTGCTCGATAGTGGGCAGTTAATCAGTATTGCTCGATAGTGGGCAGTTAGTTAGTGAGTAAGCTATATTGACTATATAGTATTAATGTCTAATTGTGCTCCACTATCTCGCTCTGCTCGATAGTGGAGCTCGATAGTGTTGCTATCTACTCATACACCTTTTGAGTACCATTCTTAATCAAATCAAATCCAGTCAGCCATTTTCTTTCACTATTAACCTCTTGCTTTGTTTTCTTCACATCTGTCACTTCAACTTTAACCAATTCCTTCACCTGTGCCAAAGAGTCTGCAGAAGTTGTACAACACTTGACATATGCTACTTGGTTCCTTCGTTTCAACCCTAATGCCTTGAGCGTGTTACGGGTCCTTAATGGCATCCCTATACCCGAACGGATCTGGGTCACCCTATAATATAGCGTCCTAGCCGCTGGTGTCAGTATCATAGCCATCTGTAACAAACCAAAAAAGCCTATAACCAAAAGAGCCTATACCAAACTGTGCCAGCTACAACCTATACCAAACCTAAAGCCAAATCTGTTAATCTCTGACTTGTTCAATCAACTCTTTATAAAGATCTTTCTTCAAGAGATTTTTTTTTTTCACCTTGAGATGACTTGTTTTACACTACTGGTTATGATTTTTCAATGGATGAGGATTTGCAGTATGTTGAAATCTATAGAAATAATGACAGGTTACAAGAGGAAATAGACAAGCTGTTGAGAGATGTTGGTTTGATATTGAATAATGCGTTATTAGAAGGTGATAAGAGGATTTTGTGTCATGGCATTTTGACAAGATTCAATAATTTTATTGAGGAATACGAGCCTCAACCTCAGCTTTTAGAAAGTCGGTTACTTGGTTATATTGAGAGGCTACTGAGCTTTTTTTTGCAAAATGACATTGTTGCCGAGTCTATTGGGTCTAGCGTATATACGCTTGCTAGAATCTGTGGTTTCAAAACTGTTATTTTGAAATTCCCGACAAATGTATACCTTGTCAATACTTTGATTACAAAGTGCCAAAATACAAACATTGACTCGGCAAAATTTGTTTGCCTTTTATGGCTATGCAACTTGGTGCTTGTTCCGTTCCCATTGAATACAATTGACGTGGTTATGCCCCAAAAGATTTATGCCATTGGAATGGAAAATTTGCAAAAATACACAAATTGTTCCAAAGTCCAAATCGTATCGCTGATGCTCCTTTCAAGATTGTTGACTAGGGCGGACTGTGTGCTGAAGTTGGACCAGTACATAGATGACGTTGATGCAAACTGGTTCACTACAACCTCAAACAACTCAAAATTGGGGCATTTACTAGTGATAAACAAGATTTTGAAAAGAACACAATTGAAGCAGTTGCAGTTGAACAATGTTTACAATTGTATCATTGTTGATATCCTAGAGTTTAATGTATCAAATTTGAATGTGTTGTACATGATCAAAATTCTAAGCAAATTGGGCAGCACTTGCATCCAACAAAATAACTACAACATGGCTAGTCAAATTATAAACAACTTGATCAATGATATTTTGCTTGGTGATGTAATCACATTTGATACCAATTTAAGATACGCCATGGCCAAGGCCATAACTTGCATAATAACGCAATTATCAAATCAAGCAATCAATTACCAAGAACAATTGATCCAATTTCTCATCAAACTAGTAGATACAGAGATGAGTGACGACGAAGTAAATATACCAAAAACGCATACAATGTTGCTAACTTTAGGGTATATCTCATTGCTGAAGAAAAATTTGCAAACATATGAAAAAGATTGTCTTAAAATCGCAACTAGATTTCTATTTTTCAATGTTAAAAGAGGAACGTTGCGCTTGGGAAGCCAAATTCGTGACTCCTCGTGTTTTCTAATCTGGGCCATTGTTCGAAATAAAAAAACGGGGATAGAAGGAATAAGAAGGGCATTTGTTGATCTACTAAAAGTTTTAGTGTTTGACTCCGAATTGATTTTGAAAAAATGCAGTCTTGCTGTGATTCAGGAAATCTTGGGGAGGTTTGGTAGTGAATTGGTACCTATAGAGAATAGTGAATTGAAAGGTGAGTTTATTGTCAAATTTATAGAGACCCTTGGGTCTTTACATTTAAACCAAAGAATATGTTATATGTTTATTGACCAGTTTTACGATAAAATTGATTTAAGCTTTTTAATTTTGCCATTGGTCAACATTATTTGTGAAGAAAATGGTGATGGTCTGTACTTGAACAAATTGATTGAACAGCCAAAAGATGATAGAGTACGTTTAGTGCCGATTCAAGAAATTGAATTGAGCTTGATTGAGACGCGATTGATTAAAGCCCACAGATGGCATATCTTTCATGATATTGAAAAGCTTCAATATTGTGTTGCGGAGTTATTTGACAAGTTTGAAATGAATGCTTCAAACAGTAATTTGATCAAGGGATATTTGATTTATTTAAAGGATAGAAAATTGGATGATAATGATTGGCATAATCTTTTCAAAATATTGAAATCTGATAAATTTGTCGAGGAATTTCGACAAGTAATTTCAACTCAAACAGAGTTACCATTTGAAGAGATCTTGTATCATTTACCGTACAGCTCGGTTTTGTCGCACACATTATTCAACTTCAAATACTTTGATGTGACTGAATATGAGAAAATTATCAATTTATTAAAGAGCCCTCAAGTAAATGCCTATATCAGGGCCAATCTAATCGAAAATCTTGCTTCCAATATACCCGCTCATTTCAAGATTGAAAAGCTTTACGATTTATTTGACGATTATACCATCACTGAGCAAGGCGACGTTGGGTCGAGAATTAGAATGAATATGATCAAACTAGTGCGTGATAATAGAATAATGGATGATCAAGTGAAGCTCAAATTGGCTCGTTTGAGTGGTGAAATCATGGATAATCTTAGATATGCAGCGTTTGAAACACTAACTGGAGAAACGAAATTTTCTTGGAAAAGTTTGTTTGCCTTGATGGAAAAGAATGCTGACGCTGATTTCGAAATGAAAGTGGAACTTTGGCGAGGTGTAGTGTTTACTGCGGGGTCATCAATTGGAAATACCAAAGAGATTAACCAATCAATTAAAGAACTTTTGCTTTATGCACCTAAACTCAAAGATGTTCAAATCTTGATATCGTTTTTGCAAAAGCCGGTTTCTCGTCGTCAAATGTCAAGTAGAGAGAACAAATGTATACAAGTTACTTTACAGTTGATATTGAAATTGTTCCAGTGTAACTACCAGTTTCCCGAGGGGATAAACTACATGGAGATATTTATAAAGTGTTACAATTTGCACATCAATACCAGGAATTTAACTCGAATAAAAACGGTTTTACAAATATTTTATCAGCTCACCTTCAAATCACCTTCTTTGCAACTGAAGGTGTATTCTAGATTTTCGTGGATCATAAACAGTTGTCCCTTGAATGAGATTAGAGTATTTCTTGGTGAAGTTATTCTTTTCCATATAGTGAATGATTTGAATAATGAGACCATTTTTGCACGATATGAGGAAATTGACTGGTTCAAAATTGATGACTCGGTTAAAGAGTTTGTAAATGATATTCTCACTATGAAAACGGGCTCACTATGAAAACGGGCTCACTATCGGGGAACGGGCTCACTATCGGGGAACGGGCTCACTATCGGGGAACGGGCTCACTATCGAGGACCGGGCTCACTATCGAGGACCGAGATAGTGATTAGTCACCTACCTCCAAACACTGAGACCAACCCCTAAACCCCTAAATCCCCAATTCCCTTACCATTCCCTTACCATTCCACCTACAAATCCCCCTACAAATCCCCCTACAAATCCCCCTACAAATCCCCTTACCATTCCCTTACCATTCCCTTACCATTCCCTTACCATTCCCTTACCATTCCCTTACCATTCCCTTACCATTCCCTTACCATTCCCTTACCATTCCCCCTTCCATCCCACCATTGTCATCGTTGTTGTTCTTGAAAATTGGCCTCGGTAGCGCAACTATTTTTGTTTAATTTTTTTTTCAATGAGATGAGATGAGATGAGATGAGATGAGATGATCATCTCAATTCAGCTTTGAATTAGCATTCAGTAGTCTGCTATCGTGGTATTTCTATTAGTTGAAGATGGCTAGAAAGAAGTCAGCGGCCAAGAAAGCAAGAGAAGCGGCACTCCAAAATGAAATCGGATCAGTCACTACTAAGAACAATAATAGTACTGGTGTTTCCAAGGCCCAAAAAAGCTTTATAAATGATGAAAGGAAACAATTAATCGAGTCAACTAAATCCAAATCGAAACAAGAACCAGATAACTTAAACTCTAATGACAATGATAAGGAAGAGGAAGAAGAGGGTGAGGATGAAGAAGAGGAAGAAGAAGACGAGTATGGTGACTTAATTACAGATGAGGTGGACTTGCAAATTAATAAAGTTCTTGAAACAATTAAAACTGATCCTGCAAAACTTTTAGATCCTCAAGTTGAATTTTTCAAAGATCCCGAAACTTTGGATGTGGCATTGGTTAAAAAACGTAGTGAAAAGCCAATGTATTTGAAAGATTATCATAGACAAAATTTGTTAGATGGAACGTATAAAGAATTTGATGAGAGTGAAACTGTTGATGGAGGAAAATCATTTGCTGTTGAGCAGAGGGAAGAGCGAAATAAATTATTGGATGATATTAAAAACGCCTTTAATGGTGAAAACAACCAGGAGGGTGAAGGAGATGATGATGACGATGATGATGGATTTGTCAAGAAGAAGAGCATCACGGATGTCGACAACCAAGAGAGTAAGAGTTTACGAAATTTACCTGATCCCGAAAAAGACCAACAAGCATTTTTATCAGCTTTTCTCGATCAAAAAGCATGGATTCCTCAAAAGGGCGATAAAGTTATCAATTTGGACAAGATTGATCAGGAAGATGATGAAGAATTTGACGATGCAGCTGAGAAATTTGAGACTGCATTTAATTTTCGATATGAAGATCCCAATTCGACTGAAATCATTTCTTATGCAAGAAATCAAGCAACTTTGAGAAGATCAAAAACCAATGCACGAAAACGGAATAGAGATAAACTAAGTGAGGTGAAGCGCAAAGAAGAAGAAGAAAAAGAGAGGTTATTGAAGAAGAAGAAAACCGCTAAATTAAATAAGGTCATTGATAGATTGGTGCAGATTAAGGAAGCAGTAGGTGCTGATGTACCTGATGAGGTTATCGAGAAAGTTTTTGGTGACTCTTTGTTGAATGATGATTTTGATGATACTGATTGGGATAATAAAATGGCACAGATATTTAATGAGCAGTATTATGATGCTGAAGTGGAAAAACCTACATGGGATGATGATATAATGGAGGAAGAGGAAGAGGAAGAGGAAGATGGAGAGGAAAAGGAAGACGGAGAGGAAAAGGAGGTAGAAGAAGAAGAGAATGAAGAAGACGGAGAGGAAAAGGAGGTAGAGTTGGAGGTAAACTTAGAAGACGAACTTAATGAGGAACCACTGAAAAGGAAATCAAAAAAGGAACAGTTGAAAGAAAAGAAAGCTGCCGAGAAACAAAGAGAAGCCCTCAAGAATAAAGCACAAGAGATTATCGACAAGAACATACTTCAACTAAAGGACGAAGTTGAAGATGAAGTTAAAAATCGTGGACGAACAAAAAATAGAGACACAGAGGTAAAATTCAAATATAGAGAGGTGTCACCTGAAACATTTGGATTAACAACACGAGATATCTTACTAGCCGATGATAAGCAATTGAATAGTTTTATTGGAATCAAGAAATTCGCACCATACAGACCAAAAGAATTGAGAATAAAGGATAAGCGGAAATATACCAAGAAGAAACATCTACAAGAGTGGAGAAAAGAAACGTTTGGAGGAATACAGATGCCTGAGGGGGCAAAAGATGATGAAATTTGGATTCCTGGAGAAGAAATTCCGCTGGAGAAAAATAATAAGCATAAGAAGAAGAAGCACCATGGTAAAGCTAAAGTATAACATGTTTATAATGTCCTACTAATATATATATATATATATATATATATATATATTTCATTTTTATTTTATTTTTTAATCCTTTATGGTTCTAAAGATGGGTTCATTTTTTGGGTCATCATAAGGAAATTTTTCAACATCAAAAATATCGGGTCCTAATTCGATTAATCCAGTTTCTGCAGCATATACGGCCCAATGGTTTGTTAACTCTTGTAAAATATCAGCTTTGGTTTCAGCTAAATCGTTGGTTTCCCCAGGATCTTCAATGATGTTGAACAATTGCCATTTTTCAGGTCCAAATGGTTTTGGAATATACACTGCTTTGAAATGACCTTTTCTGATAGCTTGTTGTCCAAATAACTCCCAGCCAGTAACTGTATTTTCATCATGAACAAGAGGAGATTCCCCACTTAGATAATTTTTCCAAGATTTGCCTCTTGGTATAGCAACTTTTCTTCCTTGGTACTCTTGGCCAGGATGGTCAACACCAGCGATATCCAAAACAGTAGGCAAAATATCCATAACTGTGGTGAATTCTTTTAATATCTTACCCTGCTGATTCTGTGACTTTAGTAAAGGTGGGTAATGAACGATCAAAGGACATACAATAGCGCCTTCTGTAGCCCAAAATTTGTACATTGAATGTGGAGCAGTAGCGGCTTGGGCCCATTGGTCACCGTAAAATGTAAAGGAATTGAAATTGCCAATATTCTCTAGTGAATTGTCATAAAACTCATCAACGAACGAAGTTATTCGTTGATTTGACAAAGGTAATGCCTCCATAATCATTCCCTCGGCACCATTATCCGACATGAACAAGATAAAAGTATTATCTAATTCATCCTTTGCTTTCAAGTGGTCAATGATGCGACCTATATTTTCATCCAAGATTTCCACCATTGCTGCATAAGTTTGAACAATTTTCAACTCGATTTCCTTTTCTTCTGGCGTCAAATCTTTCCAATCTTTACGAAGAGTGGTTATTGGGTGTGGTTTTACATTCTCACCAATAATACCCAAGTCCAAAGCTCTTTGTAATCTTTTTTTACGCAAATCCTCGGGACCCAAGTCGTATATTCCTTTATACTTTGCAATTCTTTCCTGTGGTGCTTGGTATGGCCAATGGGGAGCAGTATAAGTTAGCAAACCAAAAAACGGTTGCTCTTTCGGAGTAGAATCAATAAACTCGATAGCCTTGTCAGTAAAAGTAACCGTTGAATAAAAATCATCAGGTAAATCCTCATCGGCGTTCAATTGTTTGTCATCTTCAACGTATAGATTTGGCAAAAATGGTATTTGATTGCCATTAGAATCTTTTACAACATACTTAAAATGATTACCGGCCCCAGGAAGTAAGCACCAGGATCTCGCAAACCCCCGTCTTATCGGCCAATAAGGTCTCTTCAACCCCAAATGCCATTTCCCTGAAATAAATGTAAAGTAGCCATCATCTTGCAAAATTTCAGGTAGCGCCACAACCTTATCATTCAAGTAACCTTCGTAACCGGGTTGATCTCTTAGCTTGTTATGACGTATTGCAAACTCGGCCATTTGTCCCAAGCCCGCGATATGGTTATCGGTACCGCTCAAGAGCATTGACCTTGTTGGAGAGCACGCTGACGCTGTATGAAAATCAGTTAATCTTACACCATTTTGAGTAGCCAATTTATCCAAATTCGGGGTATGGATTTCTCCGCCAAATGGGGATAAATCGGTGTATCCTAGATCATCAGCAACAATGATTAAAAAGTTTGGTCTTTTATTTGGTACAGCCATATCGACACTATCGACACTGTCGAGGGGCAACAAGTAATAACAGCACTAGCAGCACTATCGAGCGGATATCAGCACTATTGAGCAGACGATACGGGAAGAGGAAGAGGACCAAATGGGAAGAGGAAGAGGACCAAATGGGAAGAAGAAGAGGACCAAATGGGAAGGGAAAGAGAGAAAGATGAGCTATATATAATGTATTAAATTAGTGGGGGCGCTCTATGAGTCTTGGTCTCATAGATTGCAAAGATCAATGGCATACAAATGAGAGCCACAATTTTATAATCTCTACAATTTTCTTAGTTGATTGTCCTACAAGTTTCTTTTATTTAGTTTTCTAGTTGGTAAATTAAACTATTAATTTTTCTTCGTGATAATTGTGAAATATGATGAATCGTGATGGCTACTGAGATACACTATCGAGCAGAACGAGATAACAGATATACCCTATAGAGCAGAGCGAGATAAGTTATTCAACCCCGTGTGAATGGAGAAGCAGAGAATAATAAATAAAAATATACTATACCTGCCGGCAATAGACGGCATGAATAGTATTCACGTGATTATGTTTGTTACACAGTATTTATATTATGCGACTCAATGTTAACGACACTATCGAGCAAAGCGAGATAGTGGAGGACACTGCTCGATAGTGAAGCAACACTATCGAGCAGAGCGAGATAGTGTTGAAATAGAGAAGAGAGAGTAGACATAGACTATCGAGCAGAGCGAGATAGTGTTGTAATAGAGAAGAGAGAGTAGACATAGTCTATCTCGCTCTGCTCGATAGTGCTAGATGCCAACAACACAATGTCGCACTGCCGCTGCTGCCGCTGTTTAAACCACTTGTGGGTTAACAGTTTCAAGAAAAATGCTTAAACGAAATTAAAAAGGATAAAGAGAAGAAGAAAAAGAGTAGTCCTTTTAACCCGTCCTTTTAACCCTTTCTTCTAAATCCGATGATATGTATAGACTATAGAGCAAAGCGAGATATGTATAGACTATCTCGCTTTGTTCGATAGTCTATATCTATTCATAGATATTGTTATTGTTATTGTTATTGTAGAATTGTTTTGTTATTGTAGAATTGTTATTGTTTTTGTAGATATTATTGTAGATATAATTGTAGATATTATTGTAGATGTTGTTATTGTAGATATTGCGTTTTTTATGTTATTATTTTGGTAGTTACCATAAAACTTTATTGTCCGACAATTTTAGACTAGAGAATGATGTGAATATTCAAGACTATCGAGCAGAGCGAGACAGTGGAGCATACTGACTAGCTGGCCCGACACTATCGAGCAGAGCGAGATAGTAGAGCACACTGCTCGATAGTGTTGCTTGATAGTAAAGCAACACTTTGTAGCTTGTTACGACACTATCTCGCTTGCTCGCTATTGTCCTTCTATTTGAACATATAATTAGCGACGAAAACAATAAGCGAATAATCTGATGTTTTTTTCATTTCTTTTCCAAGAACCATTTTACCTTTTAGTTTAAACTTTATGTAACTAATAAAAAGAGGATAATTTGGAGTGGTTTAAAAATATGTAGGGTTTGTAGTGTACGGTTTGTAGTGTACGGTTTGTAGTGTACGGTTTGTAGAGCAAGCCGTGTAACTAGAATAGAACTATACACGAACCCTAATATCCTCACTATATCTTGTTTAATATAAATAGTTATATGTATAACATTATTTCGATATGAAATATTAAGAATAATACGAATAATAAAATATACAACTAGTGTCAATATATAATGAATTGATCTCCGGGGATTATAGATTTGAATATACTTATTATTTAATAGTCTATAGAGGATATTCAATAGTCTATAGAGGATATTCAATAGTCTATAGAGGATATTTTATATTTAAAGATTGTGAACTGAGCATATAATAATAATTAGTCTTATATCTCTTGTAGTTATTATTCTATATTTAGTGATACCCTATTGAGCAGAGCGAGATAGTGGAGCACACTGTCTCCACCGGCATAGTGACATAGACTTTAGGATACCGGGTATAGGACATGGACTTTAGGATACCGGATATAGGACATAGACTTTAGCATACCGACCACAGTTTACTCGAGAGTTGAGCACTTAATTAACTAGCTGTCACCGACAGGGAATAGGAGTCTGAACAAAACATACAACATCTAGTAATACTCAAAGGTAGTATTAGCCGAAAAAATAGGACGATTTACATTTAATTTTCTGCATCACTTGTAAAAATTGAAACCTTAATAAAAAAGGTTAGATGTCGCTTATATAAGTATGTAGTTGCATTGTATAATATTATTTGCAAAGTAAAATCGATGTTGCATAAAACGACATTTTCAATAAGTCCGATACTTTAAAGGAGTAAAAGAGTTACAAGGGAAGGAAGGAATCCGATAGAGAGCAGAGCAATAGACTATGAAGCAGAGCAATAGACTATGAAGCAGAGCAATAGACTATGAAGCAGAGCAATAGACTATGAAGCAGAGCAATAGACTATGAAGCAGAGCAATAGACTATCTCGCTCTGCTCGATAGTCTACATCTACTTTCCATAGACTATCGAGAAAAGCAAGATCCACTTTCCATAGAATATCGAGAAAAGCGAAATCTACTTTTACACAACTATAATAACATATAGCTATAATAACATATAGCTACAATCCCATACCTATTGTGACCTTTTGGTCATTGTAATCAATAGCGATTCTAACCTTTTGGCCATTGTAATCAATAGCGATTCTAACCTTTTGGCCATTGTAATCAATAGCTATTCTAACCTTTTAGGTATTTTTTATCTAACGTTTGTGTTTGTTACAAATCGGCTATATCATCATATCTTTTCCCTATCCAACACTTTATGTTGGATTACTTTTTTTTAATGCCCGCCGAAAAAAGCAATAAATACAATCGCGATTGGCTATCAAGCAGAACGCAATAAATTATCAAGCAGAGCGCGATAGTCTATATCTATTCTCTATAGACTATCAAGAAAAGCGAGATATTCTACATCTATTCATGGACTATTGACCAGAGCGAGATGGTCTATTCTAGTTGCCTATTCTACTGTAATTCTCTACTCTAGAATACCTTCTACTTTGATACCATATATTTTAAATAACCTTTTATACTGCATTTTATTGCACACTCTGCATTTCATTACCTTTTCTGCATTTCATTGCCTTTTCTGCATTCTATTGCCTTTTCTGCGCACTATTGCCTACTCTACTGCATTCTACTGCCTATTCAAAACACCTTCTACACTGCATTCTATTGCCTACTAGAGACTACCAAGCAGAGCTTTCATAGACTACCAAGCAGGGCTTTCATAGACTATCGACCAAGGCTTTCATAAACTATCGAGCAAGGCTTTTATAGACTATCGAGCAGAGCTTTTATAGACTATCGAGCAAGGCTTTCATAGACTATCGAGCAAGGCTTTTATAGACTATATCTACTCTACCTATACTGCATTCTATAGACTATATCTACTCTACCTATACTGCATTCTATAGACTATCTCGCTCTGCTCGATAGTCTATATCTACATTCTTGACCTCGCTTCAACACAAGTAAATTATTGCAGACACATTCTACAAATTTTCTTCTACAAGCTATAAATCCTTCCCTAAAAGCTATAAATCCTTCCCTAAAAGCCTTCCCTAAAAGCTATAAATCCTTCCCTAAAAGCCTTCCCTAAAAAGCTATAAATCCTTCCCTATAAAGCCAAAAGTGTTGTGACACTATCTCGCTCTGCTCGATAGTGTCACTGCAGTATCTGTCCACTTGTTCCATCATAATCCAAACCCAAATAAACCCGTGGATCAAAAAACTCATCAACCGATTTTCTTTTTTCCGTTAAAGTGAAAAAAAAAAAATACTACAAGGAACATCTTTTAATTATACAATAGTTGTATGAATTGTATTGGATCTATATATATATATAGGTATAGATTTAAGTACAAGCAAGTGGTGGAAATTCAAACTCGTGTAGAGACAAGTTAATTGTATCCTCATCACGAGGTCGCTAAAAAAAAGAAAGGTTGGTACAAGGTCATTAAGCTAACAAAGGTCATTAAGCTAAGAAACTAAGCACATCTTGTTTTGGGAAAATTTATTATTTATGGTTAAATGTCATTACCAAGAATAAGCATAGATTTTCAAGACTATAATTATGTTCCCGGGCCTCTGTCTGTTGGGAATTCCAACCAGCAACAAATACCGGCTCTAACAAAACCAGCTCATCTCCAAAATAGACCAGTGATTGCATTACCAAGTATTGACCAGCTAAATACTGAAACCCAGTTGCTTCCGCTGCAACTGCAACTGCAACTGCACCTGCCCCAGCACCTGCACCTGCAATTGCACCTGCCCCAGCACCAGCACCAGCACCTGCACCTGCAATTGCACCTGCCCCAGCACCAGCACCAGCACCAGCACCTGCACCTGCATTTCATAGAATACCCCCCCAATATGAACAAGGGCTCCGCGACAAACACCTTTCACGAAGACACTCATATCTTACACAAACCCAAGAGACAAAGAAGAAGCTATAGTTGCGGGCCTTGCAAACTACTAAAAATCAAGTGTGACTTGCAAATACCTTGTGCTTCATGTAAGAAGTTCAAAAGAGTCGGTAGATGTCTAATGCAGCCTCCGCAGCCTCCGTCTCAAGAAGAAATAAACAAGATTAAAGAACGGAAAAAGAGGTCGTTGAACAAGAAATTGAAAAGCACCGGTAACAGCATTAATGAGCTTGTTTCTTTGAACGAAAGCGAAACCGCCACAATAGGCATGCCTGGAATTATTGCATCGTCATCGTCGTCCATAATGCAAACACGGTTGGATGAAACGGAACTTAATAATAACAATGACAATGAAAATGACAACAGCAGTAGCTGTAGTGTCGATCAAGCAAGCTGTCTACACTTGACTGAAATGAATTCAAATTCTCCTAGTTTCCAGCCAGAACCATCGAGTAAAATTTCAAACCACCCAATTTCCCACATTAGTTCACAGATTGAAGATTTCTCAGGCGTGTCGTCAAAGGAATCACTACGACAGCAATTTGCCTCGTCTTCAAATGGCGACTTACTTGGTGCACTATTAGAATTGGATAGACAGCGGTTTACTGATCTCAGCATGGTTGATATCAAAAGAATTAAAAGATTATTTCCAAACAAGTTTGAAATAATTGACCATTTCTTCAACTTGTACTTGAACTCACTAAATATCATTTTGCTAGACGTACAAGACCATGATATGATGAAACGAGAAGCCAGACTGGCGTATGATAAATTGTTACTGATTGACGACGACAACGATGTTCGAAATATTAGTAAAAAATTCCAATTCAGTATTATTGAATTAAGGAGCTTATCCCTAATGTTTCTTATACTAGCCAATGGCTACTTGTTTGATAGAGGAGAAGTGGATAACTTTTTGCTTGATTTTAGACACATTTTTCAGAAACAGGACTTGTTAGATGATTGGATAAATATTGCTAAATTCATCAAGGCCAAAATACTATCCTATGAAACCTTGACTGATATCAGATACTTGTTGGATTGGTACTTGATTATAAAAAATTACTACTCATTCACCGATATGCTTGTTGAAAACTATCTCGAGTTCAACAATCTCCTCAACTATATTGTCTTGAATAATGAGTTCATTGCATTGATGGAGGAACCCAAAGATTCTAAAAGAGAGACTTCTTCTCTGGTACCGCCATCACCACCTGAAAAAAACGGATCAGCAACAATACCAGCATCAACACCAGCATCAGCATCAACACCAGCGTCAGCACCAGCATCGGCACCAGAATCGGCACCAGCATCGGCACCAGCATCAGTGCCAGTGCAAGCATCATCATCATCAACAACGACGAGCGTCGCTGCCACCACCACCACCACCACCACCACCACGGGCACTACTACTATCGACTACCCTGAATACTCCCGATCTAAAGAGTTTATTATATTGGCTAAATACTGGATCCAAATAAGAATAACTGAATTTGAATTTATGTTTTTCCAATTTAAGGGCTCAATGCTTGTATCAAATCAAATAAAGAACACCGTGGTACCACACAAACAACTCATTTCCATTTTATATGGTGCAAGTTCAAACTCAAAACCAATCATATATAATCCATTAAGTCAATTTCTGATAAAGATATGGGGAATGTATTACAGAAGTTCAGGATATGCCGTAACTATAAGAGGTATAATAAAGAACTATCTTAAATTCTATAGTAATGTTTTATCTTTGTTAAGGGATGAGCTTGAACAGACCTATCTCACATTATCACAACAACAACAACGAGGAATCATTAGAGAAGTTACTATTCCAGATATCGAAATATTAGTTCAAAATCAACGAGTTTTGCTATTGTTTGTGCAATGGTTGTCCTTCATTCGAATCGAGGCTAATTACTTCCCCAGCTTAAGGTATGCTTCATATCTCACTCTGATGATGAATCTTTTCAACCATTTCAATTTATTAGATGATATATCTGGTGGGAAACTAATTGATTACTTGCTAAACCAATTACCATGTCATTGTTTCAAGATATTTTTGCAATCACTAGTATACCAAGGAATCTTTTTAATTTTAATGAAGTATTCTACAATTGGTAAATCAGGCACGGAAAAAGTCAGAATCAACTTACTTCGAATTTATCATGAAACAGTTCAATCATTTCAAATTACTGCGACCAAATTTTCAACTAACGCTCAAGTCAACACTAAATTCGTGCCAATTCCCATATTCAATAAAACTTTGGGATTAATATCTGATTTCAACAATATTTTAAATAACGTTCCTCCATTGAGACCAAATCCAACGTTAGCCACGCTCCCATTATCCTTCACCGACTTATCCGATCTATTAAACAATTTTGAACAACTCATTCCTTCTGCTCATTGGGAATGCTTAACAAACACGTACCTTGGATCAAGGGATAATTTGTTTAGATATGCGGAAAAAATATGGGATTTATTCAGTTATGTCCAATCAGGGTTCGAACCAATTTATATTACTCCACTGATTCAATTTGATGATAATTTTATTGATGCAAACCGCGGTCTCCTTTTTGGATTTGTTTTTGATTCAAAGGTTGTTGAACAGTATGTTGAACTTAATGTAGATCCAAATATAAAGGATTGAAAATAAGAAGAAGAAAAAGGAAGAGAGTGTAATGGTACTGGTAAAGACAATTTATGAACTTTGTAAAATATGCATGGACGAAGCAATAGACAATACAACAACAAATGAACCTATACAAAAAAATAAAATGTTCCTCCAAAAGTCTATCAATTTGTATAAAATATATATGTATATACTTCCCTTAGGGCAAAACCTCATAATTGGAAACTTTTTCCCAATGCTTAACTGTTAATCCATCACTTAACTTTTCCTCCTCAACAACCAATGTATATTTCCCCCAATATGGCAATAATCTAAACATGACAAACCAGTAGGCAATACAAATCAAAACACAAATCAATCCAACCAACCCATAGTTTGGCCATGACTCTAGTCCCTTAGGATTGGGAGACTCCTTTGAAATGAATGGTCCAATAATAAGATATATGCTAATTAATAGCACTAAAATTGTTCCCACATACCCTGCTCTTATCGGAGCATGTAACAAAGGATATCTTCTCCTTATGATGAATATGCCAATTGCAATTAGTGCAATGGCTATTTGTTGGGGGTACCCTTCTAGCGAAACCATGTAACTGTATATGTCACCCTGTGGGAATCCAATAATGACCAAAGTGGTCAAGGTACAGCTGAGAATGAGTGTACGTAAAGGTGCACCGCATGGCCAATTCGACGACATGAATCTGGAAAATGGTAGATATCCCTCTCGAAATACTTCTTGATCAACACGAGATATAGTATATATGACAACAAATATATTTCCACCAGCACATAATGCAATTGAAAAAGTTAAAAAATGACGTCCCAAATTCTGCCCAAGAATTCTTTCAAAAAGTATTGACCCGACTAGTATTGAGTTATTGACTATATCTTCACTTGGTATCACTTTTAGGTATGCTAGGTTTATAATGAAATAAGTTATAGCCATGATTACTAGTGACACGGGGCCTGCAATTTTAAAAGTTTGTGTAGGATTCTTGATCTCATTAGAAACGGTATGGACTGAATTCCACCCGCTAAATGCAAAACTCGCCTTGATTACAGCACTTGAAAATGTTGAAATGGAAGCTGTAGCATTAGGTTTTGTCTCAAAGAATGTATGGTCAAATTTTAGTTGGCTTTCGATTCCAGTAATACTTTGAGGAAAAACCATTACGTACACCCCTGTGATTACCATTATCCCCACGAGAATTAATTTCAATCCACCTAGGAAGTTCTGCACACGAACTCCGTGGTTGACACTTAGGCCATGGATCAAAGCTGCAACATAAAGGAAAACCAACCCAGTGATTCTAATTCTCCAAGGTGTTGTTGTGACCCCAATAGCATGAACCAAATACTCACCAAAAACCAAAACATTGCTAATGGTAAATCCAAACATTACTGAATATATCAGAAATGCAACAGTGGCCAATAAAGTGGGCTTGACATAAATGAACTCAAGGAACACTTTTGCACCTCCACTTCTCGGGACTAATGAACCCATTTCCAAAAACACATAAAGCCCGCCAAACGAAGCAACACATGCCAAGGCCCAAGCAGCAAAGAACAAAAATGGGCTTTGACCACAATCGATATATATCCCGCTGGTGATGCTGAAAATGCCGCTGCCTAATATCCTGCTGATGAATAATATTATTGTAGAAAATAGTCCCAAATGACGGCCCTGGGGTACATCTTCAAGGTCTTGTAGATGTGAAGAGAATGCAACTTCCTGTTGTTGTTGTGGTGGTGGTGGTGGTAGCGGCAGCAGCAGCAGCGGCAGCAGCGGCAGTGGTGGCAGTAACAGTAATTGCAGCAGCAGCTCCTCTGTTTCTCGTGCCACTATTGAATTCATATCATCCTGCTTCTTAATTACCGTTTCTGGTATTTCACAGTATTCTGTTTTATCGATATTTTCCATTTCTATAGACTCTTGCGGATCCCGATCCCGATCCCGATCCCGAGCCAGAGCCAGAGCCAGCACCAGCACCAGTACCAGCAGCAGCAGCAACAGCAGTACCAACAGCAGCAGCGGTTTCAAGTTAAACCTCTCAGATGGCCTTTCGGCTATTTCTTGGATAGATGACCTATCAAATAGCTTACCAGCTGTTTCCTCTACAAATGAAGTCTCCTTAGACCTACTATTGGTATCGTCACTCGACAATGAATAGGAACCAATCTTTGTCATTATTGAATGATTATTACTTAATCAATGCATCTCATTAAGCAAAATGATTTTTGTAACTGTGGAGTCTCGGCTATTGAAGGCAGTGAAAGAGGGGAATATATGCAGGACAACACAACAAGCAACACTATCGAGCAGAGCGAGATAGTGTTGCAACAAGCTGCTAAGAGTGACTATCGAGCAAAGCGAGATAGTCCATATCTGCTCTCTTTTCTGTATTTCAACACTATATAGCAACACTATCGAGCAACGTTATCGAGCAGAGCGAGATAGTGTTGCAACAAGCTGCTAAGAGTGACTATCGAGCAAAGCGCGATAGTCTATGTCTACTCTCTCTTCTGTATTTCAACACTATCGAGCAATAGACTATCGAGCAGAGCGAGATAGTGTTGCAACAAGCTGCTAAAAGTGACTATTGAGCAAAGCAAGATAGTCTATATCTGCTCTCTCTTCTCTATTACAAGACTATCTCACTCTTCTCGATAGTGTTGCATCAAGCTAGTCTGTACTGCTCCACTATCGAGTGAAGTAATACTTGGTAACACATAGTAGCAACACTATCGAGCAAAGAGTAAAGAGTAGAGGGAGGAGAGTAGGGGAAAAGAGACTAGAGTAGAGTAGAGCAGTTATATAGAGAGTAACTCAATCACAAAGAAGATATAAAAATAGTCTAGAGTAAAGAGATAAAGTGTAAAGAGTATATAAAATAGAGACGAGTAGAGAGTGACCAAAAGAGTAGTGAGTGACTAAAAGAGTAGTGAGTGAATAGAGGGTACTCGATAGTGTCACTAATCAGTGGTGCTCCACTATCTCGCTCTGCTCGATAGTGTCGTTAGAGGAGCAAAGACATCGCTGGCGTCGCCTCTGACACCACTAGTGGCTCCGCTAATGGATGGAATATATTACATCATTTCTAGTCTATAACAATAGATTATCAAAACAAACCAATCTACCTTCATCTTCTATCTTCTATCATCTATAAATAAAAATGTATTCTAAAACACACGGGAGGATAAAACAAGCAAAGTGCTCAGTGTCGGTGGCAGTCAGTGCTGCTAGGCAGTGCTGCTGAGCTATGCTGTTCCACTATCTCGCTCTGCTCTATAGTGTTGTAACAAGCTATCAAGTGTTGCTCCACTATCTCGCTCTGCTCTATAGTGTTGTAACAAGCTATCAAGTGTTGCTCCACTATCTCGCTCTGCTCGATAGTGTCGATAGTGTTGTAACAAGCTATCAAGTGTTGCTCCACTATCTCGCTCTGCTCGATAGCGGCGTTCTGCTCGATAGTGGGCAGCTTCATCTTGCTTTATTCTTCTTCTCAATATAGGCCTCCTTTGCCAATTTAATCAAACTATCCAACTCTCCACTATTCTCACACATACTGTAAAACAAACTTTCCTTATTAATTATCAACACATATGGATTATCGTATTCGACAACCTGTCCAGCATCCATTACCAAAATCTTATCGTAATCAATAATCGTTCTTAATCTATGAGCTATAGTCAATATAGTGCTTTCACCAAATTGTTCTCTAATAGTTTGTTGAATCATCGAGTCCGATTTGTAATCAATCGATGATGTTGCTTCATCCAAGAGAATGATTTTAGGGTTCTTCAACAATGATCTTGCCAAACACACAAGTTGTCGTTCACCTTGTGACAAGTTACCGCCACCTTCTGTAATGGCATTTTCCAAGTTATGGAATTTGTTCTGATTCTCGTCCATTACAGCAACAGCATCAACATCAATGGTGGTGGCGGCTGTGACTGTGCTGGTCTCTAGTGAGCTCGTTTCATCGCTAATCAAATTAACTCTCTTTAGAGCTTCAAAGATTTGGCCATCTGTGTACTCATCAAATGGGTCCAAATTGGATCTAATAGTACCTACAAATAATGTAGGATCTTGTGGAATTATAGTGATTGCTTGACGCAAGTTGCGTAATCCAATAGTGGTAATATCTACCCCATCAATCTTAATTGTACCATTTTCGGGGTCCAAGAATCGGAAAAATGCTGTAATGATTGTTGATTTACCAGCACCAGTACGACCAACAATACCAACCTTGTTATGTGGCTGAATATCAAATGATACATTCTTAATTACCCTAGGCAACTCAGGTGAATACCTTAAACTGACATCTTTAACTGAAATATGACCCTGATCTGGCCAGTTCTTTGGTGGCTCGGTTTCTTTAATCTCATAAGGTGGTTCTTGCTCAACTTCAAGATATTCCTGCAATCTTTCAACTGAATTCATGTTCATTTCAACATTGGCATAAAGACGAACAATCCATAATGCACTTTCACTAAAGGCTATAGCGTATGATAATGATAAACCAGCTAAACCGGCGTCAATTTTACCAACTGAAAGCAACACAAAAACACCAGCAAAAAACATCACTAATGATCCAACTGCATCAATTCTGAATGAAAGCCATCGATTAGCAACCCACAAGTAAAAAAATGGTCGATTGTTGTTATCAATAGCCTGTAAATTTTGTTTCATAAATCTAGATTCAATACCATATGCTCTGATAGTAGCCACACCGTTCAACGATTCTGAAAAATGTTGATGGATTGGTGATTTGGTAATGGACTCGTATCTTTTCAATTCTCTTGATAAGGTCAAATAGAAATATCCCACAAGGTAGTACAAAAGGGATATGATCAATGCAAATATAAGGAACCCAGGGGTAATAAAGGAGATTAAAATCAATGTAGAAAAACACTGAACAAAACAAATAAAAACTCCTTCTGCAAATGGTGTAACCTCTTGATCAACAGATTCAATATCTTTAGAAAATCTATTCATAATACGTCCAATTGGTGTCTTGTCAAAAAACCTCAATTTCGCCCTAAGAATAGTGGTAAGTACACTTTTGAAAATACGATTCGATGCTTCAATACCCGAAAAGAAGGTAACAAATACTCTAAAACTTGCAGTGAATGAATAAGCAAATCCAATTATAGCATAGACTGTGATGTAGTATAATGTTGAATGCTCCTCCTTAAACGCACTAACCTGATCAATACCAGAGCTAATAAATTTGATCCCATTAACCACGTAGCGCACACCAAATTGCAAACTTTCAATCACATTGTTATTGGATTGGCTTAGTAGTACTGATGGTGTTGAAGTCAATAAAGAATTGATAGCTTGAGTCGCTTTTTCGCTGTTTAATGACCAGATTCTCAACCAAAATGATTGCAACATGTAAACACTTTGTGACAAAACAAATGCAAGTAAAATGGTTGTCCAAACAGGCCAGCCGCCAAAGACTTTGGCATAAGCAATGTAAACCTTTAATCCAACAACTCCTTCGGCTTTGCCTTCTTCTTCAATTAGTTTTCCATCACTTTTTTTGGCGTGTGACTCATCATTATCATTCTCCCCTCCTTCCCCTTCCTCATCGTTGTCGTCATTTTGTTTCAAATTCTTCAACTTTTGTTCAATAATAGCTGCTCTTGTCTTCATCTCGTTATTCTTGTCATTCAAAGATTGCAAATTTGCACTCGATGAAGTTCTTGAATTCAAAACTGAAGTCTTGATCAATTCATCATCTCCCAAATCCCCCAATGTCAATAACTCTTCTGTTGTACCTTGATTTTTAACTCTTCCGTTTTCCATAACTACAATCCATTCTGCATTTTGTGCTGTTAATGCAACATTGTGGCTCACCAAAATACACGTTCTATTTTCCATTAAGGGACCAGTGATGCAGTTTTCATATATCCATAATGCAGTATGAGAATCCACCGCTGACAAACAATCATCAAGCAACAAATGTTTGGAGTTTGAGTATAATGCCCTTGCTAGAGACACACGTTGCTTTTGACCTCCTGATAAAGCAATACCCTTTTCTCCAATTTCCGTTTGGTCACCAGCACCTAATATCTGCAAATCACGAACCAATCCACAAGCTTCAATAACTTTGTCGTAACGTTCTTGATTAAAATGAGCTCCAAATATAATGTTTCCTCGAATCGTGTCATTTAATAACCAAGCCGATTGGGAGCAATAAGCCACTGATTCGGTCAATCCAAACTCATCCAAAACCAACTCTTCTCTAGGGATAATACCAGGCAAAAATACTTTACCACTAATCAAGTCCATCTCTCCCAATAAACCTAAAAGTAAGGAAGTCTTACCAGAACCAGTGGGACCAATGATAACGTTTAATTTTCCTGTTTTAAAAGCAATGTTTATATCCCTTAATTTGAAATCAGCTTTAGATGCCGAATTCCATGACAAGTTGGCATTTTGAAATCCAATCTCTGGAGAATTAATATCCTTCTCCATGGCCAACTGGTCGTATTTCGAAGTTTCAGCTTCGTCTAAAAAATCGGCAACTCTATCAAGAGAAACTTTTGACTGAATAACAAACGAAGTCATATCAGCCAACTGGTCCAACGGGGATCTCAACAATGTGAACAAAGATAATGCAGTAAATGCAACTGGGGCAGTTAAAGTGTTTTTCTCAATAATTGTGTAGCAGTAAAATGAAAGCAAGGTAATCAAAGTTGGAGTGATAAACCAAACAAAAGCTGCAACACACCAAACAGCACACCTTTTTTTCAAATAACGTAACTCCTCCTCTCTTATATCCATTGCACTTTCAAAAAACTTATCTTCCCAAGCAAAAAACTTGATTATTCTAATACTTTGAAAAGTCTCATTTAGTTTTTGAATTCTTTTATCTGTAACACCCAACATTTGCTTTTGTAAACGACCCATCCATTGTGCTAAACTATAGTTGATTGGTAATAATACAACAATGGTCAATGAACCAACAAGGGCGCTCCATCCTAACAAGTTGTACAATAATACAGTACAAATAAGAATCATCAATATTGCTCCAACAAAATAGTGCAAATAACCACAAATTTCAGAAACCTTGAACGCATCAATGGCCATCAAATTGATAATTGCACCCAATTCTGCGGTTTTCTTTATTTCTTTTTCTTCTTTCTTGTCTTCCACATCGGTATTTTCCTCTTCTTCATTATATTGTTGTTGTTGTTGTTGTTTGCTGGTCTTTTTGTCATTACCATTGGGCAATGTGTCCTTCTTCTTCTCTTTGGTTGCGCCCGTTTCGGTAACAGTGATTTTCCTCCTCAACGCTTTGGCATAAACCTCTCCTATAATAACGGCCTTCATTCTACAGCAGACTCTTCTTCCCAAAAACAACGAACACCCAGAAGCAATGGTATCAGCCATTTTTGTGATTGGCATCATAAACACAAACGTCCAAGCCAAATTGGTAGATGTCAAAGATGGATCAGCTACATATTCCAAAACCTTTTTCAACAAAACAGATGGGCCGAAAACAAGCACTGAATCAACAATAGCCCAAAATGCTTGGATTGCGAAAAGGAATTTGAAATGCATGAAAATCTTGAAGGTAAATCTCAAAGTTGATTTTGAAGCTTCAAACCCTTTCAAGACGTATAAAGCATAGTCATCTTCTCTTAACCCCCAAATATCATTTTTTTGTAGTGGCAGTTTGTAAGCTCTCCATACCATTGGGTCTAGCCAGCTATACGAAATAAATGATGCGATACTAGACACGTTTTCAGGAGATGGTGTTACACCTGGAGTCACATATAGCTCAGATGGCTTATCGCCAATTTTTGCTGTAAAGTTCAAAGTCAACAAAGCCGAATTGATGATGAATTCGGAAATATAATATACACGTAATGACCAGTCCATTTGAGAAGTGATTAAAGCTGACCGAAACGTGAGCAATGAAGGAAAGAAATTGCAAAAGTATAAAGCTGTAGTGTGAACCCAAAGGTTAGGCAAACGAATTAAGACTTTTCTCAAGTTTGCTACTCTAATGGAAACAATGAAAAAGACATAAATCCAAAAACAAGTTTGCACTAGTGGGATATAGGTGTTTTTGAATTCCATTTGCAATGCTCTCACTACAAAGGGTGCAAAATGCAAAAACAAGGATAGTAGCACCAAGATGTACTCAGCAGATACTCTAACTCTTTCCCCAATATCCTTATAAACATGTTTGACGTACCCGTGCGGTGTTCCGTCGATATTGGTATTGGGCAATCTTGAGAGATCAAAATGCAACGCTTTTAAATCTTCTTTAGACATGTTGGAAGTCGCCCCATACCGATTGTCGCTATTGGAGGCCAATGGCAAAGGAGATTCCCCATTAGAGGCCAATAGGGGACGAGATTCCACATCAGTGTCCAATTGTATTTCTCCTCCATTAGCACGTTTCTGTTTCACAAACAAAACAAGCGACTTTGTCACTAAAATAAATAAGGAAACACCACCAAATATAACTGGAGGGTAAAGATCTAATTTGGATCTTGCACATTTTGTTATATCGTCGAAATCCCAAAACGGGCACTCATGGCCAATACTTGAATTTGAAGAAATTGAAATTTCTTGATAAGACATGATAAAAAATGGAAAAAAAAAATGTATTGTTAACAGCTATAGCACCCTCTGTATCCCTTACCTCTTACCTCTTACCTCTTACCTCTTACCTCTTGCCTCTTATCTCTTATCTCTTATATCTCTTTCTTGCCTCTTCTTTCTTACCTCTTACCTCCTATCTCTCAGCTCTCTTGTCTCTCTTTTAACCTTGCTTGAATTTATCCAGTTAAAGAAAGAAGATTGAAATATTCAGTATAGAGGTGAAAAAAAAAATTGATAACCTTACTAATAAGATGCGATGGAGAGAAAAGTGAGAAGCAAGGAAAGCAATATAATACTATCGAGCGACACTATCGAGCGACACTATCGAGCGAAGCGAGATAGTGGAGCACTAATATCGAGCGAAGCGAGATAGTCTTTGTCTACTCTCTTTAGATTATCTACTCTCTTCAGACTATCGAGTAAAGCTATAGTCTATTTCTGATCTCTCTGTCTTCTCTTGCTAAAGACTATCTTGCTTTGCTTGATAGTCTACATCTACTCTTGCTAAAGACTATCTTGCTTTGCTCGATAGTCTACATCTACTCTTGCTAAAGACTATCTCGCTTTGCTTGATAAACTACATCTACTCTTGCTAAAGACTATCTTGCTTTGCTCGGTAGTCTATCTCTAGAAGAAGGGAACATGAATATTGAATAGCGGGTTTTAATTTAGACTCAGGTTTCATTTTGATTAAGAGGTAAGAATAAAAAGTGGAATAAATTATTAACTATTGAGCAAGCGACACTATCGAGCGGGGCGAGATAGTGGAGCACACTAGCTGCCACTAACTAGCTGCCACCTCTAGCTGCCACTAACTAGCTGCCACCTCTAGCTGCCACTAGCTAGCTGCCACCTCTAGCTGCCACCTCTAGCTGCTATAGTCTATATCCAACCCCCCTGTCTACTCTTTCTATACAGAAGTGGGAAGGGGAAACATGAATATTGAATAGCGGGTTATAGTTGTTTGTAATTTAGACTGGGGGTTCATTTTAATCGCAAGGTAAAAATAAAAGGCACCAAGCCTCGTATTTCCAGTATTAAACTAAAATAAAATCCCAAGCAATTTAAAGACTATTGAGCAATAACTATTGAGCAATAACTATTGAGCAATAACTATTGAGCAATAACTATCGAGTAATAACTATCGAGCAATAACTATCGAGCAAAGCGAGATAGTCTTTATCTGCTTTCTCTTCTCTCTGTAGACTATCGAGCAATAGAATATCGAGCAAAGCGAGATAGTATATCTCTACTCACACGGGTTTAGCTGAATACTGGAAATGCGAGGCTTGGTGGTGGGATTTAGAAAAAAGCTATTGACTACCAAGCAAACCTATAGACTATCGAGCAGAATTATAGACTATCGAGCAGAGCGAGATAGTCTACACCTACTCTCTCTTTAGAGTATTGAGCAGAGCTATAGACTATCGAGCAGAGCGAGATAGTCTACACCTACTCTCTCTTTAGAGTATTGAGCAGCGAGGTAGTTTACATCTACTCTTTCTATAGACTATCTCGCTTTGCTCGATAGTACACATTTTACATTTACTCTTTCTATAGACTATCTCGCTTTGCTCGATAGTCTATTGCTCGATAGTCCACATTTTACATCTTTTCTTCAACATTTATATATTTACAGCCGGCAAAGCACAGAAAAAGATATTCAATCAAGAACTCCCAATCTGTAAAAATTGGCAAAAATAAAAAAACGATAATCTCCTTCCCTAAAACAACAGTGGGAGAACGTAATAACCACTATTTTGTTCTTTTCTTATTCAACTAGTTAGTAGTAGACTCTTTGCCATTTTGCTCAACCTTCTCTTCACCTTCACCTCCTTCTTCATGACCCTCTTCTTCTATTTCTACTTCTCCTTCTCCTTCTCCTTCTCCTTCTTCTTCTCCTTCATTTTCCCCATCCTTATCAGGGACTTTTGAGTTAACAGCATAATCAATAATCATTTTTCTGCCTCTAACTTCTTTACCGTTAAATTCGGCAACAGCCTTTTTCTGAGTTTCTTCGTCAGAAAACTTAACAAATGCAATACCTCTATTCAATGGTCTTCTAGGAGCATCAAATGTTTCCCTCTTCTTATAAAACTTTCTTATTGGCACATGGATCCATTTTGGTTTCAATTCTTCAAAAACTTTGGAAAGCACTTTAACATTGACTTTATAGTCCAAATTAGTAACAAAAATAGTATCTGTTGATTTTTCACCTTCTGGCGCATGGTTGCCATTTACCAATTTGGACTTGGATTTGGCACCACCACCAGAAATTCCATTTTCATCGTTTCCTTCAGCAAAACCCTCTTTTCCCCTTTTCGCATCCTTCTTCTTCAATTTTTTGGCATTTTGGTATTCTTCCCTTTTGGCCTTATAAGCTTCAATCTTGATCAACTTCTCTTCCTCGGTTGGTGGAGGAACTGCCTTTTTGATGAAAATAATTCTTCTTTGTAATTTTTGACCATTATAGTTGGCAATTGCCTTATCAGCTTCCTCTTTATTCTCAAATTGAACAAAAGCAAATCCCAAATGCAATTTGAAAGTTTGATCGTCTCTTGTTCTCTCCTTAAAAGGAATCTCTACATCAGTGCTGAATAAATAAAAAAAAAAAATTTGTTAGTAAAAAATCAATCACACAGAAAAAAGAAAAAAGTCTCCAGTTGTTTTTTTTTTTCAACATACACTTTCAAGTCCAGAAACAATTGTCTCAATTCTTCTTCGGTTGCCTTATAGTCGAGATTTCCAACGTAAATTCTATCTTCAATTACAGGTTTAGCAGCGGTAATGTTAACGGCTTCTTCAGTTACTTCAGTCATGACTCAATAAGATATTTTTCCAACTCACACACGGGTTTTGGTTGTAAAAAAAAATATATATATATATATATTTGGCGAGCTTAAATAAAAAAAATTTCTCTTTCTTCTTTAACGTGTTCTCTTTTCTCTCGCCTTGAAACTGTTAGTTGGTGTTTACCGTTGGCCCTATTTTTACTAGGATTAACCTTCTTAGTTCAAGTGATGGATTGATTCTTGTAATGGAATAAACTCTATCCTTTAATAGAAGAAGATACAAATCACAAAGTTTTTTTTTCTTTCATTTTTGCTTCAATATTTTTTTCGCTCGTCTTCTTTCATTTGGTAGCGTTTGGTATAGTCAGCAAATAAAACTAGCAATACTAGCAACACTAGCGACACTAGCGAGCAGCGACACTAGCGAGCGAAGCGAGCTAGTGGAGCGGTAGAAGTAAGCAACGACACTAGCGAGTGAAGCGAGCTAGTGGAGCAGTAGAAGTAAGCAACGAAACTAGCGAGCGAAGCGAGCTAGTGGAGCAGTAGAAGTAAGCAGCGACACTACGGAGCGAAGCGAGCTAGTGGAGCAGTAGAAGTAAGCAACGACACTAGCGAGTGAAGCGAGCTAGTGGAGCGGTAAAAGTAGAGACTCGTAAGCAGCAACACTACGGAGCGAAGCAACCTAGTGGAGCGGTAAAAGTAGAGACTCGTAAGCAGCAACACTACGGAGTGAAGCAACCTAGTGGAGCAGTAAAAGTAGAGGCTTGTAAGCAACGACACTACGGAGCGAAGCGAGTTAGTGGAGCAGTAAAAGTAGAGGCTTCTCTCCTGGAGCTGGTGAGAGTTGGTAAAGTTAGAGACTAAACTCTTTTTTCTCGTCTAGTCTAGTCTCCTATCTGTTTGCAGAGGACCATTTTCACCCATTACAAATGCATCATATCAAAACTATTAAGGATATGAAACCTTTATATAAGAAATCTCTAGAGGTCATCTTTGATGGTGCTTACTTTTTTGCAACTTGGTAGCTCTACAAATCATCCCACCAAACTGCTGGAACTTTCATAAAGCATTCACAGATCATTCACAGCTTTCACAGCTTTCACAGCTCCATAGAGCTGGCTGCGAAGCATTCACAGCTTTCACAGCTTCATAGAGCTGTCTTCAAAGCATTCACAGCATGTACAGCTTCATAGAGCTGGCTCACAAATCATTCTCTTTCCCTTTAAGCTAATTTAATTATTGAGATTAAAATCTACCATTTCTTATACCTGAAACTCGAGTTATAAATCGCTTCTAAATTCTACCTAAACAATTCAAACATGGATTCACCGCGTTGACACCCACTTGAAATACACAATTAACACAAAAGAGTCGCCATCGCACTAAAAATGGTCTAGCCCACACGGGGTTTGATTATCACAAAAAAGTCGCCATCTCACTAGTGTTGGTGACAGCTAGTGTTGCTGACAGCTAGTGTTGCTGACAGCTAGTGTTAATGACAGCTAGTGTTAATGACAGCTAGTGTTGATGACAGCTAGTGTTGCTGACAGCTAGTGTTGATTACAGCTAGTGTTGCTGACAGCTAGTGTTGCTGACAGCTAGTGTTGATGACAGCTAGTGTTTATAACAGCTAGTGTTGATGACAGCTAGTGTTGATGACAGCTAGTGTTAATTACAGCTAGTGTTTATAACAGCTAGTGTGCTCCACTATCTCGCTCTGCTCGATAGTGGAGGTGTAGCCCATTTTACAAAGAGGCAAAAATAAATACGTAAATTTTTGCATTCTATTTAACTCTGCATATGCCGTTGTCTTGAAGGCGATACCAATGCAATTACCAACAATATATTTTCTCCACAACAAGCTTTTGAAAGTGGAATTGGACTTGCATTGATAATCAGGAGAAAATGGTGATTAAAAGTGATTAATTAAAGGGTGATCGACTCTTATGAGTAGTAAGTGGTTCTCCACTATCTCGCTTCGCTCGATGGTGATTCATGGGGGGGAGGGGGGTAGGGGGGTGTCATTGCGCTTTTCTCACTTCAATTTGCTAAACAACCTTGGTGCAACACAATCATTGATACAATGCTGTAAATGGAAAAACTCCTCTACACAGTCCTCCTTATAGTGTTTGTGTGCGTAATCTGGCTCTTCCATTTCTTTCTTAACTCTCTCAACACATTCTTCGAAATGGTGGTCAAATGGCTTACAAGCAGCTGTATTCTTACACTCTTCACTCAACTTCTCCAATGGGTCCTGAGATTCTTCTTCATCGTCTTCATCCTCATCGTCGTCGTCGTCTTCATCCTCATCTGCTGCATCCTCCTTTTCAGCTTCTGGAGCCTCAGAGTTAGCTACCTCGTCTTGGGTATCATCTCCCTTCTACAAAATTCCCATCAAGGTTAGTACTGTACCAATTAAAAAAAAAAAAAGTCTCAATCTACTCTTGTCACTCGTCTAGTCTCTTTCAAAACGTACTTCGTCAGCATATGCTACTGGTAAGACATTCTCTAACAAATCCTTAAAAAACGACATCTTTGGGTCCCTGAATATCTCAAAACTCTTTAATCCAAGTTTGGGTTCTTTTAACTCTACTCCTTCTTTCAACTGTTCATTTTTCAATTTCAATAGCTGGATTTTTTTTCAATGAAAAGAGTTGGTAGCGTTCTCCTTCTAGTGTCATTTTGGGCCTAGCATTGGTAAATTGCGTAATATGGAAAAATCGCTTGTTTAATTGGCTGGGAGCAGAAGAAAAAATGCTATATAGAGTGGTGTGCTACCATATGGAGACACACTGAAGCTCACAGAGACTCGCAGAGACTCACTAAGACTCACTATCGAGGAACGAGATAGTGAGTAGGCACCTGCCTTTCAACACTGAGACTCACTGAGACTCACTATCGAGGAACGAGATAGTGAGTAGGCACCTGCCTTTCAACACTGAGACTCACTGAGACGCACTATCGAGGAACGAGATAGTGAGTAGGCACCTGCCTTTCAGTACTGAGACGCACTATCTCTTTCCTCGATAGTGAGTAGGCAACATAGTTAAATATTACTAAACTTTCTATAAATTAATTAGTAGCTATCTCTCTTTTCCTTCGTGGCTATCTCTTGTGACCATCTCTTTTTCCTTGGTAACTAGTCTCTCTCTCCATCTACAATCTATCGACTGCTCTCTTTCTCTTGCTACTTTTTTTCTATTGACTGCTGTCTTTATCTTTCGACTAGACTCGTTTCACTCTTCTAGTCTTTAGTCTAGTTTTTTTTGCACCAATTTGGCTCAAACTCAGTAATATTACTACAAACAAATCTACTTCTACATTATTGAACAAATCGAGATAACATTGTCTACACACACACACACTCTATCTACATTCTATGGACTAGACTCGTTTCACTCGTCTAGTCTCTCTCTTTCGACTGGTCTCTTTCTTTTTCGACTGGTCTCTTTCTCTTTCGACTAGACTCGTTTCACTCGTCTAGTCTTTAGTCTCTAGTCTCCTCCTTCATGGCTATCTCGTATATTTTCCTATTAGTGTCAAAAGGATTATCAATATACAAATTGTGTCCGCCTTCGGCAATCTCATCGTATACAAAGTGTTGTTGCAGCTGTCGAGTTTTTAATTTTGCAATCAATTTCTCTCCTGCCTCAGAATTCATAAAATCATATTCTCCATAGAATAAATAAAAATTAAACTTGAATCTCTCAGGGTTAAAGTCAAATGCTGTGACAAATTTATCGTACAAGGGCCATTTGCTCACAGTTGCAGGAGTCAACAAGTATCTAACGTAAATGTCACTATGACTTCCATTTGATATCGAGTTGTACAAATATTCCACAATTAGTTCAATCTCCTTTTTAGAGCCATACACCAAATCATTCCCGCTGGTGAAAATCTCCTCTGCACCCCCGTGCTTAACAATCAACTTGTTGATCTTGGCAAGTTTGGGAAGCCACATTTTGAAATACATTTTCACTCCAAATGGGCCTAAATAAGGTAAAAATCTAGGTAAATATGGAATCTTGTAGTACCATTGCAAAATGTGACTTTGCGATAGTATCGGGAGCCGACTAAGAAATTTATATGTTGTTGGGTCCAAATTGGGTTTCTCTATAGCATTCGTAATCTTATCATCGTTTGTAATCGCCATAACGTGTCTCTCTAAACCAACTGGGGACAATAAAATGAGGTTCCGGATCTTATTTGGGTTTCTTAATGCATATGACCCACACCAGTACGCTCCAAAGGAATGTCCTATTAAGAAATCAATTTGTGGAATCTTACTAGCTTCTCTCCATTGATCAATTGCCGTACAGTAAAATGACTCCATATCCTCCAAAATCGGCTTGAAATAAGACTGGTAACGTGCAAAGTTCTCTGGACACAATTGATACCCATCAATTAGCTTATAATACTTTTTGTATAACCTCTTTGGCTTATCGGGATCTTCATTATCGAAAAGCTTTATTTCTGCACATGGCGGGATCTTCCATGAAACTGCCTTATTCTCCAATTTGGGGTTAGATGAAAGTCCAAATGTGATATTATCTAGAAAATGTACATGGTAGTTGAACTTGGTGCTTGTTTTAAACTGATTTATGATTTGGAAATTTCGCGCAAAACAACCTAATGATGCACCATATCCATGTATGAAAACCAAATGTTTGGTTGGTAAATTCTCGCCATTAATAACCTTGAACCCTACTTCGTTGATGTAATTGCCATTTTGGTCTGTTACTACCTGTTTTGCAACTTTCATTACTCCAGTATTCTCCAATGACTCAGGGACCATCAAATCGATCAACTCGTTTTGTATGGTAGCAAGTCTATTTGCAGATAACGAATTCCACCATATCTTGATACACTTTTTAAACGGTAGAGTCTTGGAAAATATTTTATTTACTTGATAACTCTTGGGTAGTATAAATTTTGAGCCATTCTTTGTAGAAAAACACCGTACAAATCTGCATTTCCACCCGGTTTGAATCATTGAATCGCACCTTAATCTTTTAAATCTCATCTCTATTCCCCAGAATGAAAAATACTATATATAGTTAAAAAAATAAAAAGAAATAAAATAAATAAATAATAAAGCGCTTTATGTGTTTTTCCGAACAAGCAATCGGATAAATCTTTTCGCAGCCAAAAAAAACTAAAACAAACAAACAGACAAACAAACACACACGGGTGTTGCTAGTCGGTGACAGCTACAAAGTGTTCCTCCACTATCTTGCTCTGCTCAATAGTGTTGGGTGTTGCTATAGACTATCTCGTTCTTCTCGATAGTGTCCTCTTGCTATAGACTATCTCGCTTTGATCGATAGTCTACGGATTTTACTGATAACTCAATATTTCATTGGCAAGCTTTGAGCGGGCGATTTTGAGAATGCCAAGCTCACATCATTTTCGTCGTCCTCGTATCCCTCTACTCCCTCTACTGCTTCAACATCATGATTCAACAACTCCTCTTCAAATAGTTCAACATCAATCAGCTCCTGTTCATACCACCCTGTTTCAAATGGCTTAGTTTTTGGAATTCCAGTTTCAATGGGGAAGTAATAGCATAGGCCAGCGTAAATGATAAATGCCGAACAAAATCCCATAAAGAAATTGATCCTATAAACTTGGATTGCGCCAAGGGGTACATTATGTGTACCTGTTTGACCAACAAATCCAACAATATTCGGCAAGATACCACAGATATAAGCAACATATGCTCTCCAATTAAGACCAATCTTGTTGTATGCGTACATTGATCTTTGACATGGATTATTTGGCACGTTTGGCGAATACAATTGCGCAAGCTTCAAATATCCTCTTCTTACATAGTAATAATCACAAGCAACAACTCCAGCAATAGAAGAAAGGAAAACCGAATAAGCTGACAAGTATGTGGTAAATCTAGATGACGTCGAGATCAATTTCCATGGACAAATAGCCAAGGCAAGAAAAGCACAAATGTATCCACCCCTTCTAATATTTACAAATCTTGGTAAGATAGCTGTGCAATCAGTACCGAATGACAAGGAATTTGCAGAAATATTGGTCCCCAATTGAGCCAATGCAAATGCCGCCGAAATGAAAAATACACCAGCACGATTACCTGGAGTGTAATTATCCAAGAATCTTCCCAAGACATCCAAAGGAGACCAATAAGTTTCACCATACTTGTGCTCTGCTGCCGATGTCACCAATATACCAATTAACGATGTGATTGAAAAGCAAACTGGAATCGAGATTGTATAAACCAAATACTTCATTGCAAATGAAGGCTTATCTGCAAAACGTGAAAAATCGGGAGAATTCACTATTAAAGTAGCAAAATTTGCCAAGGCGTTCATTGAAGATTCAACAAATGCCCATGCCAAAGCTGATCCTTGTAAGCCTGACTTTTGATTCAAAGTAGGGCCTAACCCTTTACAATTAATTAGTGTCCAAATTAAAAACCCAAACCCGGCAACTGGAGCAACATAAGCCTTTACAGTAAACAAGTGTCTAATTTTGTGTGGCGGGAACCAGATAAATGGCAATTGAAACAACCAAAACAAGAATATCCCCAAAAATTGAAAAGTAGTTAAATCTGCATCAGATATGGTATCTGGGATCTTTTTTGGAAGATCTTTACCAAAGATTGCATGTAGCATCAATTGAAAAGTTGGACCAGCAACTGCAGTTTGCACAGCAAACCAAATGCATGACATAAACACTCTATTGATAATCGGCCATAGAGAGCCATAGATTCCAAAAGATGACCGAACTGCTACCGGGAAAGAAATGTGGTATTGTATACCGACTCGGGCACCGATACTAACAAAGATACCACAAAGGAAATAGCCTAGCCAAACTGATAGCCATGTCATCCACCAGTTCATGTTCAGTGGAGCTTGCATTCCAGTTGCCGCGATTTGCCAAGTATTGATATTAAAAGAATCGGCGATCCAAAAAAAGACATAATTGTACCAAGACCATTGTCTTCGTGAGCTCTCGACAGGTTTCAAATCATGGTTATATAAGAACATCTGTGCCGTGGTTAAATGTCCTTTTGGCTGAACTTCAAGAAACTTGATAATCTTTTGCCATAGCGTCATTTGGGAGCTAACGTCTTCTATTGAAGCCTGAAAACTGTCAATATCAACATTGCTAATTATTGATTTTTCAGCAAACCCATACCCTTTAATATCAGCACCAGCATCAGCACCCGCATCAGCACCCGCATCAGCACCCGCATCAGCACTCTTCATTATTGGCAAGGAGGTGAAAAAACTTTGAAAACTCAAGTTAGTTGACACATTTCAGTACTTTTATATAATTCTTCCCCCTTCGTGCCCCCCCCCCCCCACACACCTTTTTAACACCTTTGGCCTTTTCCTATCAATCAATTTTTAATCTTTCATTATCAACCTGATAAACATTGCTGCATTTTATCAATTGTATACAGGATCTCATCTCTAAAATACTTGTTTTCTCGCTATCAAAAATTTCATTGTGTTTTTATTGAAGGATTATTTATTACGTTGTAGCACATATCGATACAGAGGGAAGCATAGAAAGTGAAGAAATAATTAGAAGCATCTTGCCTCCTTAGTAAATTTACAGATATTGTCCAACTCCTAGTTACACCAAATCACTAATATGTACTTGCTAATATGTACTTGCTAATATGTACCTACTAATATGTAATTTAGTAGAGCAGATCGTTTATCAAGCACCTCATGCTACTCTGATAACTCTTGTTTAATCTTTGTTGAAAAATGTGTAATCAATATCCATACTAAATTTTATTGGATTAATTGGCACGGCAATATCCGAACTTTTTTCTATGCAGTATATTATCGAGCAGACACTATCGAGCAAACACTATCGAGCAGAGCGAGATAGTGTCGTAACAAGCTACAAAGTGTTGCTCCACTATCGAGCAACACTGTCTAGCATTGTGCTCCACTTTTATTGAGCAGCACTGACTAGCAGCACTGACTAGCGGTGTCGAATAGTCACGTGAGGAGGTGTCGAGTAGTCACATAATAGAGGTGTTGCATAATCATATAATAGAGCAGAGCGAGATAGTGGAGCAACACTGCCTAGCAGCACTGACCGCCACCGACACTGAGCACTCTGCTTGTTTCATCGTCCCGGCGGGATCCACTATCTCGCTCTGCTCGACAGTGGAACAACACTGATTAGCTGCCCACTAGTGGTTTCTATTATTGCTCTACCTTCTTTTCTCTTTGTGAGCTGAAACCGCGAAAGTTGCAAAAAAAGCTCCACTATCAAGCAAAGCGAGATAGTGCCATCTGTTTGTAATAGCTTACAATAAGAGTCCAAGGGATAAATTGGTCAATGCTCCACTACCAAGCAAAGCAAATAGCTTCATTAGTCAATACTCCACTATCAAGCAAAGCAAATAGCTTCATTAGTCAATACTCCACTATCAAGCAAAGCAAATAGGGTCATTAGCCAATGTATTCTATCTCGCTTAGCTCGATAACGTCGCGATAGTGTCGCGGATTTTTTTCAAGAATTCCTAAAAGAGATTTTCAAAACGACTTTTTATCAAGAATTAAAATAGTACAATTCTCGGAATAGATGATAGAGTGTAGATAGAGAAAGAGTAGATAGAGAGACTAGCGATAGAGTGTAGATAGGGAAAGAGTAGATAGAGAGACTAGCGATAGAGTGTAGCTAGATAAAGAGTAGATAGAGAGACTAGCGATAGAGTGTAGATAGGGAAAGAGTAGATAGAGAGACTAGTGATAGAGTGTAGCTAGTCGGTGTTGCTCCACTATCTCGCTTTGCTCGATAGTGAGATTATGATGTCATGCATCCACCAACTAGTTGCAGCTAATTGCAAGAGACTTATTTGGTAAATGGAACTTTAATTGCATAAAGTTTATTGTTTATTTTTAAGGGGGAATGATTGTCATCTTAAAGGGTAGCAATTATAACTTCAATAGCAATTACACCAGACCAATATATAAGAATCTATTGAGTTGTTGCTTTTTGCACTCTTTTTATTTAGAGAAAAAGGGTAGGTAGAAAATGGTCAAGGTTTTAATTGCACTTACTTCGTACAACGAACCATTCTATCCTGATGGACAAAAGACTGGTGTTTTCGTTACAGAAGCAATAGTGCCATACTTGGAATTCGTTCAGAAAAGGTATGACGTTACCTTTGCATCAGAAACAGGTACTTTTGGCTATGACGAAAAGAGTACTGTTTCTGAATTTTTGAGTGGTAAAGAAAAGGATGTTTTTGATGATGCAAATTCAACTTTTAACGTTGCACTTAAAAATATCAAAAAGGCCTCAGATTTGGAAGACGAGGATTTTGATGTCTTTTTCGCAAGTGCTGGTCATGGTACATTGTTTGATTATCCGCATGCTAAAAGCTTGCAAAAGATTGCTGCCAAGACATGGGCCAATGGTAAAGTTGTTAGCGCCATTTGTCATGGTCCAGCAATCTTTTTGAACTTGATTGATCCAAAGACTCATGAACCGTTGATCAAGGGTAAGAAAATCACCGGGTTCACTGATGAAGGTGAGGATATTTTGAAGATTACTGATATATTGAAGAAGAAGGATTTGTTGACAGTTTCCCAGATTGCCAAAAAGGAAGGAGCTGAGTATGTAGCGCCAAATGGTCCTTGGGACCTGTTTACTGTTGCTGATGGTAAATTGATTACAGGCGTCAATCCACAATCGGCAATGGATACTGCTAGAAAGATTATTGCTGCTGTTGAATCGGTGAGCAATAGCTTGGGAAAGTAGACACTATCGACACTATCGAGCGAAGCGAGATAGTGGAGGAACACTTTGTAGCTGCTACTGACTAGCAACTATCGAGCGAAGCGAGATAGTGAAGGAACACTTTGTAGCTGCTACTGACTAGCAACACCCGAGACTATCTCGCTCTGCTCGACAGTGGAGGAACACTTTGTAGCTGCTACTTACTAGCAACACCCAACATTATCTCGCTCTGCTCGATAGTGGAGGAACACTTTCTACACTATCTAGTTAGAATTATCCTCAATAGTAATTGAGTTGAAGAGTAGATTTGGAAATGAGTCTCTATGCAACATTAGCAATACCATCGACACTTTGTAGCTTGTTACAACTCTTTATAGCTCGTTGCAACATTATCGAGCAAGGGAGATAGTGGAGCACACTAGTTGCCACCAGCTAGTGTCGATAGCGGGGCACATTGACTAGTTGTCACTAGCGAAAAGGATCTATGATCTAGATCCTATCGAGCAGCGCGAGATAGTAGAGCACATTTACCTCATTCGAATACAAAGCATTTGAATGATGAGAGATAGTGGAGTCAGACTCTTTTGATTGAGTTGAATCAGTGGAGCTAAGATTTAGGATCCTTTTCTATCGAGCACAGCAAGCGGGATGGTAGGGGATGGTAAGGAGGTAATGTAGAGAGGTAATGTAGAGAGGTAATGTAGAGAGGTAATGTAGAGGTACAGAGGTAATGTAGAGGTACAGAGGTAATGTAGAGGTACAGAGGTAATGTAGTGGTACAGAGGTAATGTAGAGGTAGAGAGGTAATGTAGTGGTAAGGATGCAATGTAATGTTAGAGGGGTTTGATTTCAAAATCTTTAAAACTATAGAATAGTTTCTTACAATTTGGAAGAGTCTCGGGTCCCTTGCAATTTGGAGAATCTCTATAGCCAAAGGATAGGGTTCTTTACAATTTGGAGAATCTCTATAGGCAAAGAATAGTCCATTGAGACCACTATCTCGCTCTGCTCGATAGTGGTGACAGTAGAGCTCGCTAAGTAAACGTTTGTGCCCAAGTACGAAAACAGAATCAAAAAAAACAAGCTGAAAATTTCACTTTAATTATTTTTCAAGTTTGATTGATATCAAGGTGATTGGTGAAAAGACTTGCAACTTTATTTTTTGGTAGAGTTTATACCTTTGGGATTTGGTATTGTGGATATCTATAAGCATCTTTCTATCGGTATCTATCTACAAGGTGAGTTATTTCTCTTTCTTTTACCCCCTTTATAGCTTTTTCAAGGAAATGACTAGTTCAATTTTAAGTAAGGTAAAGTTTTATTTCAAATGCACAGTTTGTGCTTTAATTATTGCAGCAAGTGCTTTGTATGGTGTTATTTGCTCGATATTATTAAGGATTGTTGGTAAAATCGAGTATGCTCAGTATTCAGTTGCTAGAACCTTTTTTTACACTTGTAGGTTTCTTCTAGGAATCAACATCAAGATTAAAAATGAACATCTCCTTACAGAGTTGCCAGCTATTGTTATTTCAAATCACCAGTCTGCTCTTGATATTCATGTGTTGGGCAGAATCTTCCAACCTGGTTATACAGTTACAAGCAAGGATTCATTAAAGTATACTCCATTTTTGGGCTGGTTTATGCTTCTCAGTGGTACTTTCTTTTTAAACAGAAGTAAATCGAGTCAAGCTAGAAAAGTATTGAATGGCGCATTGCAGGATTTGAAAAACCAGAAAAGAGCATTGTTTATGTTCCCTGAAGGAACAAGATCGGCTTCGCGGTCTTTAGATATGTTGCCCTTTAAGAAAGGAGCGTTCCATTTGGCAAAGGAGGCAGGAATACCCATTATCCCTGTAGTTGTTAGCAACACCTCAACAATATTCGATGCAAAGAACAAGATTTTCAACACTGGGGAAATCAATATCGAAGTTTTGCCTCCTGTGTCAACAGCTTGCTTAGAGACTAACGAAGACGTTACAAAATTATGTGCCGATGTCAGAAAATCAATGATTGACAAATTGAAGAGCATAGGTTATTCAAAAGTTCCCGGCGTGAAACCAAACCAAGATGATTACTCAACAGAAGATGAAGATGAAGATGAAAATGACACTAATTCTGAGATCGAGGTGATTAGCGAGGGAACTCCGTTAGTATCTGGTGACTAAAGGAAAAGAAGAAGAAAAACAACTTGTCAAGACAACACTGGTGGTGTAGCTAACGCTGCTCCACTATCAAGACAACACTGGTGGTGTAGTTTACGCTGCTCCACTATCAAGACAACACTGGTGGTGTAGCTAACGCTGCTCCACTATCTCGCTTTGCTCGATAGTGTCGCACGATGAGAAGGAGTTTTTCAACTAGAAGAAACGGAATAAAGCACGCATCTAGATAGTTGTATATCCAGATACTTTAGAATGTAATTAAACTAATTTGTATAAAGTGAAACAACCTTCTCTCTCTTGTATTAGTCAGTAATCACTAGTCAATGATTACGGCTTTCTTTTTTGCCTTCTTTTTCTTGGATTTTACTGCAATAATCGGAGCCTCTGTATCATTGGTGATGGGAACTGAAGTCGAAACTGAATCATTACCAGGTTCTTTTTCTGTTTCTTTTTCTTTCTTTTCCTTAGACTCTCCCTGTTTAGCCTTCTTGCTCTTTTTACGTTCTTTGATCTTTTCGGGTTTTGCGATTGAAGTAGCTGCTAATTTCTCTCTTAGAACGTCTAAATCGATATCATATTCATCCCCATTACTTGATGCTTCGGGAATGAAATTTGAATCAAAGTCAAGATTGGCCAAGTTCGATGAATCAATACGTAATATATTATTCTTTGCTTTTGGTTTTCTCTGTCGAGGAGTATCAATATCTATTAGGTTATTGTCTATCTTCTTCTTCTTCTTCTTATTATTGTTATTACTATTGTTATTGTTATCACTGCCTTCAACTGTTTCGTCACCAAGAATAATTACTTTTTCCTTTTTCACTTTCAGTGATTTCTTTTTATTCAGAAAACTATAGTCTTTTTGTGATAAAGACAATAAACCACTATTCAGACTTTCGGAAACAATATTGTCATCGGATTCTGGTGTTTTTTTCTTTGTTGTTTTCCTCTTGGGCTTTTTTTCATCAATACTAAGATAAAACGGATCCTCTTTTAAACGCACTACTCGCTCTGCTTTCTCAGCTTGCATCTCTTCGGTCATCCCTTCGCTCGACAATTGAATCAAGGACATATCACTTTCTTCATCAGTTTCCGACAAGTATAAATTATACGATTGATCGATATTAATGACTTCCTGTTCGCAGTTTGTCATCAAAGGGTGGATTACCAAATCTAAGTCAAGGTCTTCTGGTACAACAATATTGCTTTGCGCATTTTTGGATACCGGATTTAATGGGTATGCCTTGAAGAAAGAAGGCAAAACATGACTGACTAACATCGGTAGTTTGTAAGACTTTAATAGTAAATTTGATACACCATTCTCCGTAGATTCTTTGTCGTTGAGATCTTTAAAGGGGTTTGCTTCAAAAGACTCTGGTATAGTTTTTTTCAAATCTTTATCATCTCCTGAACAAACCAAATTCTCGTACTCACCATCACTAGAGTCCAAACCTGAATCCGAATATGAATCCAGTTCATCATCATCATCATCATCTTCTTCATCTTCTTCATCTTCCTCTTCTCTTTGAGATTGCTTCTCCTTGTTTCTATAAAATTCCAAGTCTCTTGCTAAAAGAGCTTTGATTCCCTTCAAATCATCTCCTGTCATTGCCTCTTGGCATAATTTCAAAAATTCTAGCCATGATAATGCTCGCTCTTGAACTTCATAGTTCAGATGGTTCTCCCAGTTTTTCAAAAACCCAATTAGTCGATACAAGTGATAGCTCAACTCGTCAAATTTTTCCCGCGAAAATTCACCCTCGTTGGAATATACCCTAGTATAATCAGCAGCGATTCCATTGTATATCTTAACCAATGCTTGAATCAAAACTGAAAGTACTCCTGGATCTTGTAACGATAACAACTTAGTTGAAATGATCAAATTTCCATTTCTCGTTGATGTTGAAGCTGCTGATGTTGCTGATGTTGCTGAAGTTGCTGAAGTTGTCATTGTCGTTGTCGTTGACAAATTCAATTTCTGAGCAAGATCATGGTTGATCAAAGAGTTGAATATTTGTAGCTTTTTACCCATGCCTACCACCAAGTCTTCGTCCTCAATCTCAACTTCGTCATAATTACTGACGCCGCTTTTCAACTCTCCTATGTATTCCCCCAAGATCCAGTAGACATACTTGAGAATTACAGGTGAAACTTCCAATATGTTTACATCCAATACTATTTCAACAATAACATTTTGCAACAAATATGCTCTAACAGAGGGGACCTTTGTAGCTAATATAACAAACTCCTTTCCCAACACATTTGCTATCCTATTGGCAATAGCGGGAGATACTGAATTCAAACTTGAGCTTGAGCTTGAGCTTGAGCTTGAATTTGAATTTGGCAAAAGTGTCAAATTCAAAATATCTTTCAAAACTGCAATATACCACTTGAAATTGGGAATATTCTCGTAGTTACCAACAGACGCTATTTCCAAAATCTTCAAGGTAACGTCCAACTTCAAAGTATCATCTACAACCGTTCCCACTGGAACCAACTGCAAAATCATAACCTTAACAACTTCAACGATATTGTCCTCATTAACTAGATAATGCGATACCTCTAATGCTTTTTTTTTGATGATAATGTCTGAGTCGTTCAAACAGTCCATAACAACATCAGAGACTCCCTCCACAGTGTGCATAAACACAGGAAAGATTTTTAAAATATTGATCAATGCAATCAACCCGACAAATTTCAAGTTGGAATCCTTAGTCTTGAAAAAATTCATCAATTGGTCGATGCAAATCTTTGCAGTCTCTTTGTCCTTGTATGACTCTGTGGATAACATCTGCCCATTTACTATACAATTGATACATTCATAGATCAAGGACGATGCTTGTGTTCTCAACATGAGTTCCATTATCGTTGGCAAAATTTTCTTTTTCATTCGGGGTTCGATTTTGGATAAACTTTTGAACAATTTGAGTATTCTAATGATCAACCAGTTATTTTTTGTTTCTTCTAATATGGAAAAGAGCTTTGGCAAGTAATTGAGAAAGATCTTGGGGTTGCTTTTGGAGATCTCGCAAATAACGCTAACGGTGGCACTAACAACAGATATATCCGAATCGTCCAATTTTTCTATAACTCGATGGAAATTCATTTTCAAACTTTCGGGATACTGCAAAAAGATCTTGTACATTGCCAAGATTGTCTTTTTACGAATGTAGGGCTTTGAATGGTTCAATTTCATCAAAACATCGTCATTTATATCTCTAGCCAAATTGCAAGTGACAATAGTAGCTATCCCGCTCAATGCAAGTCCAACTTCGACATGATTTGCCGAATTCAAGTCCTTCTTGAACTGGTTTGTCGCTAGTATTAGCAAATCTTGTTCGTTTTTGAAGCTTTGTGTCGCTGCTAAATAACCAATGCGTTTTTGCTGAAATTTGGATGAGGACATTACTTCCAAAATCTGGAAATTGCACCAGGACATGTCAAAGCCGTACATTTCCAAATATGTCAATTTCAATATCGCCATTGCCTTTGTCTCCAAGTCGGTCGTATGTAGCTCCGTCTTACATTCTTGTATAGCAACATCTAGAAATTTAGCCAAGCTCTCGGGCGATTCCTTAGAATGCAAGCGTATTCCCTTGATAAGATCATTAAGCGACTTCTCAAACAGAATCCCAAATGGTTTAAGTCGTGCTAGCACATCAGAGTTTGGCAATTGAAACGACATACCCTTCCCCCCTTAGCACCCTTGAAACCAGTCACCTATAACCTATTACCTATAACCTACTACCTCCGTTTGAAGAAACACCAGCGTAAACAAAAGCAAGAAGGAAGCAAAGAGCATCGCCTAAAGGTTTTTTTTTCAACCTTGTTGATTCGCACATCTTGAAAATCAAACATTCTTATGGAAGGGATGGAGGATTGAGATACAGAATAGATCTGGGGACTGGATAGACGGTTGTTGTTGCTTAGGGATGGTCAATTTACTGCAAGAGGATCTTGTTGCTTATCATGGGAGTTTGGAAGAAAGGGCAGATGAGCTAGAGGGTGATGAGCTAGAGGGTGATGAGCTAGAGGAAGATGTGCTAGAGGGTGATGTGCTAGAGAGAGATCAGCTAGAGGGTGATGTGCTAGAGAGAGATCAGCTAGAGAGAGATGTGCTAGAGGGAGCACCAACACGGTTGATGAATTTTAATGATGATCTGTTTGTTTCCTCATGTACAGAGGAACATAGTGATGACGATGACGATAGTGGCTCGGATATCGTGAGAGACTTGCTTGACGGTTTATCTACATTTGAGTTGTCCGATTTGTGCAATCTCGGAGAAAATGCAAAGTATTTTATAAACACCCTTTTACAGTCGCTTGACTCAAGCGACCTTGACGAGTCATTGGTCACTGAAGCTCAATTAAGTGGGCATTTGAACAATGAGAATCAGAAACTAATTGAGAAAAGAGAGTTGCTAGCGCAAAAACTCGCCAGGATTCTGCATTTGTTTGAAATCAACTTTTCTTCAACATCAGGAGGTGCCGAAGTAGGTGGTGGGGCAAGAGCAAGGGCTAAAATATCCCGATTGGAGCATTTAAAGAATGAAATTGAGACAATAGAAAACCGATTAGCTCAAATTGTACATGGGAAGAAACCCACATTTGCATTACCATTTGCAAAAGCTAAAAAAAAGACGGGGGTGCTTGAGAAATACCCCATAGAGTACAATCAGGCAAGAGATAAGGTACTTGAAAGAATTGTAGATGATGACACGAGAAACAAGTAGCTTTTACCAAGTCTATCCTCCTATATGGTTACATTTTTGAATAAACAATCCCTAATCCGTCAATCCAACTGCCCATATAAAAATACATTCCAACAATTTGTGTATCTGATGTTGGGGCTTCAAGGGATGACATATGTCCCCCATTTGCATTCCCAAACATTGGTGATGTTCTGTTTTGGTTTGTAACAAATTGGATCGCATCAACCCATGCTCCGTTCCGTACATTGAACTTTACAATTTGTTCGTTCCCTTGTAAGCTAAATTCGGCGTACGAGTTAGTTTCCTTACCAACCAACGCGGTAACATCATCTGAGTTTTGCGTTTTTTCCTTCATTGAATGCTCTTCTTTGCCATGTTTCTTAAAGAGTTTGTGCAAATAGTTTCTATTTGGCACGATTGGTGGTGCTCCTTCTCCTCCTCCTCCTCCTCCTCTTGGTGCAGCTGCTGTTGGGGTTTGATCAATTCTGGTTTTACAATAAAATTTAACACCATCCAAAGCAGCACCTGAGTATATACGAACTTTGTAAACAGATGGTAAAAAAAACTCAGTGATGTGCATTTCACCTGAAGCTTTTCCCAATAATGCGCTTTTAGCTCCTACGAGCTGGCCTTTGCCCAAACCAAAATTGTTTTTAATCAATTCTTGCTGTTGCTGAGAGCAGTGCTTCTTAAAGTCGTCAATAAACAAATCGCCACCTAATGATAACACTCTTATTTTAAATTGATCACTAGCGTCACCCTTAGCATCCCTCAACTTTTTAAGTAAATCTCGGTAGTCCAACTTGAGTTCGTGCTGAACATTAGGTCCCCCGTAACTGCGAGGTAAAAATGCAATGTGCGACCTAGCGAGATCTTTGTCAATAAGTTCCATCAAATATATGCCACATTCAGATTTGACAATACTATTGTCCTGTGATAAGCCATACACACTTGGCGCTGAGTTATTGTAGTAAGACGAGTCTGGTTTTCTAGTCGTTGCATACACTTTTTCAAACTGATCAACCGGTAATGAAAACAGATCATGATAAAGAAACCGGATCAAATCCAATTTATTCCAGTGACATGCACTCGACCACAATCCATTAAATCCAATTTCTTCTCCTCTTGAATGGGTTCTCAAGCATTCAAATTCTCGTGTCATGAAAGAGCGATTAAACCGCTGATAGTCTCTCAACATTACCCCATCAACTTGATGTGGACACCCCAATGAGTGACCTATTTCATGCATGAAAGCACCAAGACAAATGTTCAAACATTCCCAACTCGTGCCACATTCGTTGCAATCATTAGCCACCTCATTTGTAGTTAGTCTCGTGGTATCTAAGAACGAGGGAGTTACTAACGGAAAGTTCTGGGGATACGAATGTAGTCCGTGTGAGCCAAATATAGCCATTTTCACATCAGACCCTCCTCCTCCCAAGGCCGCATGGGTAAGGATTAAGTTTTTGCTCTTGTCATAAGTTGAATCGAGATACATAACGGCACACTGCACTGCTGTCCCCAGAGCACGATCAAAAATCTCGGGCGTCTTTTTCACAAGATCTATTGCGTGACTGAATAAACCCCCAGAGTCCTTGGCATGGGGATTTTGTTGCGCTAAATCGGGGCTGCGCAACTCCGCTACAGTCTTGGGGCTTGTCAAAACGTGTATTTTCACTTCTTGATGCGGAGTAGGCGATTGGACTTTGTATCCAAATATCGTTTGGTCGTGTTTCGTTTCCTCGACAAACTGGAAAGACCTATTACTAAACCCAACAGCTCGCATTTCGTCTTGGGTATATGCTTGCATGAGCCGACCAGCAACTTTTAATTTATTAATTGCATTTTCCAAGGTTGGTCTTTCGCCTCGGTTTAAGCGATAGCTCGGCATATCGTACACGTTTGGTGAATCTCTTGCCCTTATTATACACAAATGAACGGGTTTATTCTGGGGTAAGGGATAGAACTGAAGGTCCAAACTAGCCGTATCAACGATATTTGGCTTTCCATGTTTAAACTCTGGGAATCCCAACGCGGAGATCAAGTCCCCTTCCATAATCTCAACTTTGAACCTGTTTACTTCGTTGGGTGAAACATGAACAATTGCTTTGAAATGACCATTGTTGACCTCAAAATACTGCGGTGGGAACACCTTGTTCTCGTTATTCGTAAAGCCCACAATCCCTCGTTGAATGTTTTTTGAGCTTGATCCAGATACTATCACCGTGGGGGAAGAAACAATCTCATTATTCTGATAATTAAATGATATCGTCATGATGAATATGAATCTTGTATAGATTGCTCTAAGCGGCTCTAAGCGACTCTAAACAACTCTAGACAATTGTGAACAACTCTAGACAACTCCAAAAGTGGTCTTGATCGACTATAATGACCAGCGAATTGGGTGTTCTCAATCGACTATAATGACCAGCGAATTGGGTATTCTCAATCAAGTGCAACCTTGTTGGAAAAAAAGTTGCGAGATGAGATGAACCAATCGTTAAATAGCTTTGCAGTAGCAATAATTAGTAACCAGATTGTTTAGTGCGAGAGTTGAGCAAAAGGTAAACTTTTTGCGGGTAGCGATAAGCGATGCCATCTTTGTTTTCTTTACCAAGTTAGAAGCAGAGAAATCCGCATTGGGCCAATGCTATTGACCACGGAGTTGTTAGATTTGCAAGTGGTTTCGGTTTTTTGATTAGAAATACCCGCTAGTACACAAGTGATGAGTGGTAAGAGGAAATCCGAGGCGTTCTCGGCAGCTGCTAATCACTGGAGGAAGAAAAAGGTGCAAAGAATCCAAGAGGGTGATGATATTGGCGCAACCAGAGTACAGCAGAAGGTGCAGGACCAGGAGAAAGAGGAGCAGGAGAAAGAGGAGCAGGAGGAGGGTAGGGGTGACGGTAAGGGTGACGGTGAGGAAACAGGAATTAGCTATGCTTCGCCAATAAAGTTACTATATAATCCGAGTTACCCAGAGCAAGACTTGTTGCGAGTCAACAAAGATACAGTGAGATTTGCCGAATTGGTAGGGTCACCAGATCTTGAAGAGACTTTCCAGTTCAACTTCAGTGTTGATCTACCATTCTTTCTTACTTTTCTTGACCCTAGCTTTATAACTAAGCGAAAGAAGATAGTTTTTATTACTGGGAGTCGTTTGTTGGATCCCGATGATTTTGAAGAAACTGAACAAATCAAGCTGCACTTTAACATATCTGAGGTGATTGCACATCTACCAACAAGGTTTGGATGTCATCATACGAAAATGATGGTGAATTTTTTTTCAAATGATACTGTTGAAATAGTTATTATGTCCTGTAATATTACAAGGCTAGATCTCGGTGGGCTAACTCAAATGATCTGGAGATCTGGAAGGCTAATGAAGGGCAATACTGAGAGTTTAGACACCAACTCTCTAAATTTTCGTACTGGTTTCCTTGACTATCTTTACAAATATAAGAAAGCTCAAGTGGATGAACTTGCTCGTCGATTAGCGATGTACAACTTTCTGGGAATTGATGTGGAATTGGTTGCTTCTGCACCTGGTGAATACAACTTGAATGATGATATTGCTTATGGGTATGGTAGTTTAATGAAGGCATTGGCACGTAATGATTTATTGTTGGACAACCTGGAAGGAGGAGGAGAGGATGGAGAGGGAGGAGAGGGAGGAGAGGGAGGAGAGGGAGGAGAAAGAATTCACTACAACTTACTAGCACAGGTCTCTTCGATTTCGTATCCTTTCTCCACCGAAAAATGGAAGACAGCAGGAATTTTTAGTCATTTGCTCTGTCCTATGGTATTTTCCAAGAACAAGAAGTTCACATTGTTGAGTCCAGGCAAAGATAGCATTTTAGAGCATCAAAAGCAACATAACTATACTCCGCATATCATATTTCCAACAGTGGATGAGGTTGCTGCTAGCACTGTTGGATTTGCGTCTGGAGGCGCCATTCATTTTGATTATACAAAATCGTTTGTGCATGAAAACTATTTCAATCAAGCAGTCAAACCCTACTTGAGAAAATGGAATTCTAGCCACGGAGAGCTAGTAACAGGTAGAGAACAAGTTATGCCCCACGTTAAAATTTACATGTGTGACAATGGTGACGAATGGAAATCCATCAAATGGTGCTACATGGGAAGCCACAATCTCTCAAAACAAGCTTGGGGAAGCAAAAAGCTGTATAAATTTATTGATAATAATCCTGATCATTACGAAGTGAATAGCTATGAACTAGGTGTTCTTATTACACCAAAAAGGGGCACTTCTTTGGTCCCGTGCTATTTGCAAGACCAAACAACGCCGAAGAAGAGATGTACTTTTATAAGATGTCCTTTCAAATTGCCACCTGTGTCTTATTCACGTTATGATTTACCTTGGAGCTTGCATGTGGGGTATGGCAACAAAAAAGATCTGAAGGGGCTTATTTACAACATCTGAAAATGAAAGTGCAATGTGGGATGTGGGATAAGAAATCTTTATTCCTAGATGTGTGACTTAAAAAATTGACTTGGCTTTATCGCCAACCTGAGTAGGACCGTAAGTTTCTTCGTTGTCATTTATTAATCTCCTCTTAAGTGGAGGCTCATTAAGCTCTTCTTCGGAATCGCTGTACTCTGTATCTTGATTATCCGCATCACGAGGAGTTTGGTTATATGTTATAACATCATCGATTTGATCTGCTAGTGATACTTGGTCACTGTCTTGGCGACTGGCCAATCTTGTCTTGTTCAACTTCTTATGCGCCTTCTCCTCGGGCAATCTGCCAAATGCAAATCGTCGCATCGACAGAGATGGAGAAGTCAATGCAGATTGAACTTCCTCATTATCCTCATTCTCATTGTCATCATCATCATCATCATCATCATCATCATCATCAGACGTACCTTCATTCCTTGTAAACCCTCCTCTTTCCTGGTTTTCCACGCGATGAACAATTGGTGCTTCTAAAACGAGTCGGTTTCTAATGACACTTGGATCAACTTCTTGTCCTTGGGAAATATTTTTATCTTCTGCCGTTATTTGAATAAATTGAACCTCTATATGTTGGCTAATGTGGAAATCAAGCAAGATCGGATCACCCGGTTCTCTAAAATAGATATGAAAGTAATCATTCTTATGCCCTAGAGTAGTGTACTCTTCATCGAACTGGTCAACATTAGACGAGGCTAAGGAAGCAAAAAAACCTACTAAGTTTAAGAAATTCTTGAAATCACGCATGCCAAAATTGATCATCTTTCGCATTGGTTCTTGCTCTGGGTTTGTCAGCAAAAGATTACTATCTGCTAGTTCATTCAGATTTATGGTAATGGTCACAGACATGGGTTGTTTGATGTAGTCTCGATCTTTAACAATTTGCTTCGTGTAACCGCCAAACAGTACTTTTTCATTTTTGATTTCTATTTTGAAATCTTCTGCTGTTGCTGGGACCATTTCCAAGAATTGTCTTGGTACAACAAGATCAAGCATAATGTGGCTTATTCGATTCTTGTCGTTGAAATCATCACCCACTTGTGTGCTCAAAGTCTTCTTATAAGTTGAGGCAATGTGTGTTTCCTTTCTTGTTATCGGTAGATATCCAGCTTGATACTTTTTGATAATCATTTTAATATTCTTAATCTCTATAAGAAGTTTGTACTTTACAGAGGCACTTGCATATTTATTCCAATTAACTTGTAGAATAATATATTTCATGCTGCTGGAATCCAAGTTCCTAAATAGTGTTGACAAGTGCTTCGAATTGATCAAGAATGAATAAGTAGCACCATTCTGGTCATCTTTTCCCGATTCTCCAGATTCATACCCTTCCAGCAAAACATTCTCAAAGCTTACCTCGAATTTGCTGAAAAATGAACTTTTGAAAACGATTTCACCATGTGATGTCCTGCTAATATTTATTGCTGAAAGCAATATCTCGTCTTTCTTTATAGTAAAATGGATAGCATCGGATATCGATGATAGGATCCCTATCGATCTACACCACAATAACTTGTGTCCATTGTCGTCTATCTCGGCTAGAAAGGTCATAGAATTAAAATATGATCCCCAGGTAATGCAGCAGTATTGAACAGTATTGAATAGTACTGTACAATATTAGACAATATTAAACTGTCTAGTAGTGGGTGTCAGCAGCAAGTGTTGGTGACAGCTAGTGTTGGTGACAGCAGGTGTTAATGACAGCTAGTGTTTATGACAGCTAGTGTTAATGACAGCTGTCTCGCTTCGCTCCACTATCTCGCTTTGCTCGATAGTGTTGCTCGATAGTGTTGCTCGATAGTGTTGCTCGATAGTGTCGCGTCCCAAAAGGTTTGGTTCCTACGCAAAAAAAATGAAAAAGAATAAACAATAAGAACAAGAGAAGAGATTTTGTTTGCCCCTTATCTCGCACAAGACCGAGTTTCAAGATGGTTTGGTTTTTCCAATCAATTGGTGAAACTTATTTATCATCACTTGCAAAAATTTCACCAAGTCTTTTGCACCTTTTCTTTTCTTTTTCTTTTGCTTTTTCTTGCCCCATTTTTATCTTCTTCTAGTGTAGAGTGACTCTTTAAGGAATGGCGATTTCACTACTAATCATCAATCCAAATTGCTCAGAAAAAGTTACTGATAATCTCCAAAAAGTGTTATCTTTTGTTTCCACAAATGATGCATTTTTGAGCTTTTATACAGCACCAATAACTGCACCCAAGGAAATAACTAACGAACAGACATCTTTAGAATCTGAAGCAGTTGTGTTGGCAGATTTCAAAAAAAGACAAGAATTCTTTAGTAAATTTGACGGTTTCATGGTTTGTTGTTACTCGAACCACCCGTTGATCAAGTCCTTGACTGAGTTGACAGGGAAACCTGTGCTTGGTATCATGCAAGCTACCTTGATCTATGCGCTACTGAACCCTAAAGTATCTAAACTGTTTATACTCACTAGCACACGCGAATGGGAGCCTTTGCTCGATCAGAGTATCATTGACTTTGTAGGTGCATCAGATTTCCCCAAAACAAAATTTCAAAAAACAAAAGGTTTAGATGTGAGTGTGTTAAACTTGGCAGATATAGAGGAGTATGAAAGGATTAGAGAAAGAGTAAAGGAAATACTAGAAAACGAATATAGCCAGGAAAATATCAATTGCGTATTGTTGGGATGTGCCGGTATGGCAGGCTTGGATCTGAAGTTATCAACTGATTTTCCAAGCATTACTTTTGTAGATTGTGTAAAGCTGGCAACTGAGTTGCTTTGCAGTTTGGTGAGATTTGAAAAACAAAATTTAATAGATTATTGAGCGACACTATCGAGCAAAGCGACACTATCGAGCAAAGCGACACTATCGAGCGGAGAGACACTATCGAGCGGAGCGACACTATCGAGCGGAGCGACACTATCGAGCAGAGCGACACTATCGAGCAGAGCGACACTATCGAGCGGAGCGACACTATCGAGCAGAGCGAGATAGAGCATACTAGCTGCCACCGACACTATCGAGCAGAGCGAGATAGTGGAGCAGCACGGCCTACTCTCAACCCTCGACACAATCGAGCGAAATAGTGGAGCATACTAGCTACCACCACACTCAATTGGCTCAAGATTTTACACTATCGAGCAGAGCGAGATAGTGCATCATACTAGCTGCCACCGACACTATCGAGCGAGATAGTGCATCATACTAGCTGCCACCGACACTATCGAGCGAGATAGTGCATCATACTAGCTGCCACCGACACTATCGAGCGAGATAGTGCATCATACTAGCTGCCGCCACACTCATTTGATTCAAAATCTTACTCTCAATTGGCTCAAAATCATTCGCTGGTACAGCTCAAGATTTTATTCTCAATTGATTCCAAATCATTGGCTGAATGGTTAACAGTATCAAGCAGAGCTCGATAGTGTTGATGACAGCTAGTGTCAATGAGAGCTAGTGTTAATGACAGCTAGTGTTGGTGACAGCTAGTGTTGGTGACAGCTAGTGTTAATGACAGCTAGTGTTAATGACAGCTAGTGTTAATGACAGCTAGTGTGCTCCACTATCTCGCTCTGCTCGATAGAGTCACACGATAGTGTTGGTGACAGTTCGTATGCTCCACTATCTCGCTCCGCTCGATAGTGTCGCTCGATAGTGTCGTTCGATAGTGTCGCTTGATAGTGTCGCTTGATAGTGCCGATAGTATTGATCTATCTACTATCGACTAGACTCGTTTCACTCGTCTAGTCTCTCTCCACTATCTCGCTTCGCTCGATAGAGTCGCTCGATAGTGTCGGCTAGTGTGCTACTAATATGCACGTAATTACGATGCATATAATTACTATTCCATTTTAGGTTAATTTTTTTCTCCTTGTCTCTTGTATTGCTTCTTCAAGGTAATGAACAAAGATCAATTGAATTGAAAACAATACCAAGTAAGCAAAGCAAACCCTGTCTTTATTTAGTCCTGTGGCCCCCAATTTAAAGAGTAGCTTCCTTCTCTCCAAGCATCGATACTAGAATCACCAACAAATTACATGTCCTTTTTGTTTGGAAGATTCCAGGCACCTGAAAAGAATGAAAAAACGGACAAGGTAGATCAAGAGTTGAACGAGCAAGAGCAGCAAGAGCAGCAAGAGCAGCAACAACAACAGCAACAGCAACAACAGAAAATTCAAGAGGAAAAACCTTGCGATTTAGAAAACAAGCCAATTCGAAAGCGAACAACTTTTCTTAAAAATCTAATGGGCAATTCAAGTAGAAACAATTCCTCATCTTCATTGCTTTCAACAACCTCTAGCTCATCTGATCAAGTGAACACACTACCCCCCTTGCAGCCACTAACACTATCGGGCTACAAAATCAACACCAAGCACAAATTACTACTTGATCTCGAGCTAGCAAGCAACATTCGAAACTTGCTACCAGCAAGACTTCAGTTATTTGATACGTGGGAACTAGTGTACTCCTTGAGTCAGCACGGAATGTCCTTGAACACCTTGTATCGAAATTCAAGGCCCGAGCACCAATTGCAAGAGATGAAGAAACGGAAAAAAGCGGAAAAGGGGTATGCAGAAGCGGTGGTGACAAGGATGATTTCTTCTGACCCAAGCAACTCGGGGTTCACCATAGAGCAAAAGCGACCGCACGGGTATATTCTCGTGATTAAAGATGAGAAGAATTGTAAATTTGGAGCGTATCTAAATGAGTATTTGAAACCAGTAGAACATAAAAGGTATTATGGCAATGGAGAGTGCTTCTTGTGGAAAGTCGAAAAGTACGACCCATCGAAATTGAACTATAACAAAGATTCGGAATCATCGAAATTGAACTATAACAAAGATTCAGCATCATCGTCATCGTCATCCAACTCGCGAACAGCTACTCGATTCAAAGCGTTTTTGTATACTGGCATCAATGATAATATCATATACTCGAATCGTGATTTTATTGCCATTGGCTCTTCTCATGGAGAGAACGGACTATATATTGACCAGTCTTTATCTAAAGGTGTAAGTTATCCGTGTGAAACTTTTGGAAACGAAGTCTTAAATCTGAAGGGGCTCGAGGGGGCAAAATATGGAACTTTTAAAATTATGGGGCTAGAGATCTGGAGAGTAGGATCCTTGGAGTAAATGGAGCTCCAGTGGTGCTTGAGATCTGGAGGAAAAAATCCTTAGCGTAAATAGTGCTCTAATGGTGCTTTACTTGAAGCTCATTGGAGGAAATTGGCTGCGGGATGGCTTTGTAATGCAAAAAAACCCATTCTTTCTCTCGTAAGATTGGAAGGGAACTATGGTCAAACTGCCCTTTTAACTGTTAGAGATGCCGCAGTCAGAGAAGGCAACTGAAAACAGTGTTTCAACTAAACTGGAAATACTTTTGGATATAGTCTTTCACAATACAAGATGTATCATCATCTCTCGTACACAAATGATGGAGCTGCTTGAAAATCAACCAGTATGTAATCCTAGCAAAAGATTGAAGCTACCATTTACTTGAAACAAATATAACCAAAAGTCCTTATGTCAAGTTTCGTATTAATCCTCTTAGTGTCCCGATTTGGTATACGTTGAAAAGTATGAACTCGCCCTATTATACAGAAATTTGTGGTATTACTTACAGTAGCATAGGTATGCCTCTTTAGAGTAGCTCTGCTTTCAGACTTTTACCTTTAAGCGGGATTTTATATCTAACAAAAAAAACTAAGATCTAGATTGAGTCTCTTTATTTATCAAAAAAGAGCTCCTCCCCTCCTCCAACTTACAAATAATACTAACCATTCTCTGCCCCAACCATTGTCCCAAATAAAGATGACATATCCATACAAACATAAGGGTTGAATCTGATTGATTTTTTTTTTTGCACCCATTTTCACTTAAATTGTGAAACACAAAAAAATAAAGAATAAGGAAAAACCCCAAAAGAATTAGCCAACAAAAGGTTTCCTTTGATTGCCAGATATGGTAATTGACATGGAGTTTCAACTGGTCTTGAAATGAGATGCTATTGAAGTTGGTTTTATGGGTATTGGGAGTCGGGTGTATGGGTCGAGGGTTTATGTTGACGGATTTTTTAACAAGATTTTCTAACTTGTTGTTTTAAACTAAATTTTTCAGAGCAGATATGGTTTGGTGGAACTTTAGAGGTTAACACACGGGTTTGATGTGGTTTTGATATCCAATTCATGTTTTTTGCTTAGAGATTAGCAGCTTATAAAGTGCTGGGAAAATCCTCAAGGTTTTATCCCTTGCTTGCGGGAAAGTGATATATTTGTCAACTTTTAAATTCATCGTTTGGCTATCATGAAGATTGCAAACAGTTTTGCATTTGCTATACTATTTTTGCTTGTTCCAATTTTCGCAGGGCTTGTTGGCGATAAAAGTGATGCTTTTGAAGCCTCACAAACTCTTTCATCAACTACTTTGGTCAAGGACTCTTTGTTTTCAACCATCATACCAAGAAATGGTGCATCAACCATATCTGCGGATTCTTTATTTAATTCAAGTACAAGTTATTTCACCGGTAATGCATCATCATCACCATCATTGTCGTTATACTTGAATGGTACCGAGTCCACAGTAGTAGTCTCGTCCAGCTACGTTACGCATACTTCTGATTATAGTACAACCATTGTTACTACTACAACATGCGACGAAGCTGCTTGTAACGAAATTATATACACTACATTTTGCCCCCTTAGTTCAACGGAAACTACCGTGTATACAGCAACTATTACAGGTGATGATATAACAGCGGCTACCAACACCAACGAGGATTCAGCTTTAGAAAGTGTTTCTCTTTCAACTTTGAACGTTTTTGCAACGTTGGTGAATACTAAAACTGTTGCAACTACAACAAATGTGCCTCATATTTCATGTGGAAAGTATGGCTGCGAACTAACTCAGATTGCAACAGGAGTTACAACTTATATGGTTAATGTTACCGTGGATAATGTCGTGCAATTCAGTCCCTATACAACGTTTTGCCCACTTTCATCAGTGGAAAGCGTTGTTCACACAATCACAGAGGTCTTAACTTTGGTTAATAACCCCAATACGCCACATCAGAATACTCTTTTTAAGGCCCCAGCTTCTGCAACAGTGATAACAGCTAGTTCCTGCGAATGTGTCCTTTCGACATACACTGCTGGAGTTGATGTGTTTACGGTCTTGACAACAATTGAAGGAAGTGTTCAAACTGCATTAGCCACTGCTTTTTATCCCTTGACAGATACAACTGAAGCTGTTAGCCTTGTTTCAACTACAACTACAAAACCATTTGTTCCTGTAAACAATGATGTTCCCTTATCCGATATTGTTGCTACTACATCTTGCAGTGATAACAAATGTGATACATTTACTAATCTCACAAAAGTAATTACAATTGGTACAGTTACAGTAACCGAAGGTGGTGAAACAAACACAAACTACTTGGTTTCGTCGGAACCTTCTACAAGTAGCACCCAATCTGCTACTACTACCACGCGTGCAAACACCCAAATAATGAACCTGTCCTCAAGATCTGATAAAGAATTGACTGACTCGACAGACTCATCATTATCTAGTAAAACGTCCCTTGGTATACCGCCATTCTCAATATTGCTTCCAACAACCACGCCTAGCTCTGGTACAGTGTTATCCGAGGCTTTCACATCTTCTTCACCGTCACCATCTTCATCCTTGATCACAACGTACCCGACTTCTATTGGTGAGCCAGTACACTCCCGCGCTTCATCAACTTCTTTGGAAGAATTGGTCACAACTTATGTAACATATACTGCAGAGACCAGAATAAAAATCACAATTACATCTTGCAATCACAATGCTTGCAGCTCGAGTCAAATTACTACTGGTGTTACGGCCATTACAACAACAATATCCAACGTTGAGGTTGTTTATACAACGTATTGTCCATTAAGTTCAACGCAAACAATAGTATTGACTGCAGACCATACTGATTCATCCGCTATCACAAAGTCTACGCTGGAAGTTACAAGTACAATTGAATCTTCATTGATCTCCTCAGAAACACCGGCTAGTAGTAGTGGTAGCAGTACTGTGAATGTTAGTTCAACACGCGAAAGCAAGGTATCATTATTAAGTTTGACAGAGGAGACTGAGGGGCATTTATCAACATCTTATATTACAAGCACTGCTGAATCCATTGAAATCATTACGACTACTTATTGTGATATTCATGGATGTACCGAAAGTAAAGTTACTACTACAGGAGTTTCAACTTTTACTACTAGTAGTTTGAGCTCACACACTTTGTCGACCACTTCCATTCCATTGACCTCAAGTGCGGTCTCAATTTTTAGCGTTTCGACGTCTGCTGATACTACCTACCTGTCAGGACCACAAACAAGCTCAAAAATAATTATTAATACTTTGCCGTCAATCTCCCCAATTTCATCAGAGACCATTTCCACCTTGCTGAGTTTGTTTACATCAAGTGTGCCTTTGAGTCTGTCTTCTTCACCGCATGTCGCAAGCACCACTCATACAACTAGCTCATTAGAATACCTGACCTCCCTCCCTTCGTCATATATATTGGACACCTCAATTACTTTTTCGAATTCCTTCACAAGCTCGCTTACAACTCATTCATCGTCAGAGACTAGCATTTTCAGTGGAAGTAGTAGTGGTACAGACAATGAATACGTCACCGAATGGTCAACTTCTATGGTGACATGTTCAGATGAAAAATGCAGCACTACAGCAAAATCGGTTGCTTCAACTTGCAGTGATAGTGATGACAATAGTGTAGTTTACGTACAGGTGACATCCATGGTGACATCGACGGCCCAACACACTGCAGTGGTTACAGTCACATCGTGTTCAGATGAAAAATGCACTTCCCAAACTTCAACTTGCAGTGATAGTGATGACAATAGTGTAGTTTACGTACAGGTGACATCCATGGTGACATCGACGGCCCAACACACTGCAGTGGTTACAGTCACATCGTGTTCAGATGAAAAATGTACTCCCCAAACCCTCAATGTCAAGGTGGCCGATGTCGCGTTACCAGACCTAAACACAGAAAGTGCCTTGCTGCTATCTTCAAGTAAAGACAAGGAAGATGAAAAGGTGTACAAGTCTGAAACACTGTCTACACATACAGAAAATACAATGGCATTAAACAAAAGACAAATGCCATTGGATTACCCAACAACATCAACAACAACAACATCAAAAGCTATTCCGACATTGCTAGAAACAATTGTCTCTACTGAATCCCAAGGACTCGAGTCTATAGTCGAGTCTACAGTTGAGTCTCCAGTTGAGCCTCCAGTTGAATCTACAGAGCCTCCAATTGAGTCTACAGTTAAGCCTCTAGTCGAGCCTCCAGTTTCACAAGGATTTGAGTCTACAGTTATACCTTCCTTTACCTCACTTTTCTTAATTTTGGGACTCATATTCATATTCATTAGCGTATAGAGATGATTACAATCCAAAAAAATATACACCCTTTGGGTATAAAAGATACACCCCTTTGGTATACACCTCTTTGAGTATACACCCCTTTGGTATACACCTCTTTGGTATAAACCCTTTGGTATAAACCTCTTTGGGTACACACCCCTTTGGTATACACCCCTTTGGGTATAACTTTTCCCCTTTTCTACATCCAAGTTCTTTCTCATATATCCAACACCACCAGAAGCCAAAGTGTCGACCTATACTCGACACAACTCCTATCATCCACGGCAAGGTTCCATCAGGTTTGATAAGGACCCTTGTAATCTTTTTTCTGTTGTTGGCTACACGACCTGAAGCGCGATAAGATAAACAATTTCCAAATATAAATCCGATAATGATGATGAACGGTATTATAAAGAAAGAGAGATTGAGTAAAAGTGATTAGATTCTTGTTGTACGAGGCCCAATTGATAGAGAAGTTGATTAACTGTTACCCTGTGACAGTTAATACAAACTAGCCGTTTTACTCCTCTCTTGTGAGGTGTTTCAATTCTTTTTTTCTTCCTTAGTTGTAATATGGCGGAGACAGAAATGAAGGTTAAGAAAGCAGTAGAGATTAATAAGACGTGTGTTATTCTTATAGCTTCAATCTAGGTATAAGAAAAGATTTACTAACTGAGAATTTTAGACATTCAACACTGAAAAATGGACACAGGGGGGGGAAAGCTACTGCGTTTGCTGCTTGGAGAAAGCTAAAGGCTACAACAAGTTCATATGTAGCACTAGAGAAAACTCACGAGAACTCGAATGAAGCTAAAAGTATCGAGAATGGGGGTGAGCTGGATGAAAAGATTATTGAAAATGGGGTAGATGGTGAGCTATTTGTCTTGCATACGGCATCAAGGATTCTTGAAGTTTGGGATTGGGATAACCAAGAATTAGATCCAGATCGAGACACTTTACATTTGAAGTTTCAAGTTCAATTTAGTAGAGACTGCAATATAAGATGCTTCAAGATTTTGCAGAAAAAAACCCGTGTCAACAGCAGCGGCGCTGGCGGTGGCGCTGGCGGCAGCACCAGCACCAGCAATAGCAAAAGCAGCACCAGCACCAGCAATAGCGTTCATTTTATGGTTGCCATAACATCTAATCAGACATGTGCAAATATTGAGGTACTAGAGTTGGAACCAGGTTCTGTGACCCAGACTAGCAGCTTGCAATTGGGATATACTTCTGAACATTACAAGTTGCTTGTCAGTGAAACGTTTGCTTGTGTAGGCACAAGTGATGGGTATATACATATTTTCCATATCAGTCAACAATTGAAGTTGGAAATGGGGATCCAAGATCTGAAAACATCGACTATTAGAAAACACCATCGGCAATATTCCAAGATAAACACTCATCTAGAGGATGGCTATGTTGCATTCCAGAGTAGCAAAAGTGATGGGTTACCGATTTTTGACCTTGTTGATAATTGGCTCGTTTATTCACCTGTACAAGCAGAATATCGATACCTAAAGACTGTGAATCAAAGTGATCAAGACGATCATTATCATCGACAGCGAAACTTGAGTGACCGGTTGGACCCAGTGATTGTAAATTACAACCAAGAAGTTACTCCCGATAAAATTTCCATATATACCCCAATGAAGCTTCCTGCGTCTGCTCCATTATATAATAAGATACTTGAGACATTATCGAAAACCGCAGTAGACGGTTTACTCAAATTGTCGGAATTCTCATCAGCAAAGTATAAGGACTATATGGCTAATAATTTAGAGTTGAACAAAATCAGTAAATCGGTTGGTAAGAGCTTGTACGAAAGCTTGCAAAAAGGCTCTGAGATTATGAAACCAAGCGATAATCAAGTTTTAACGATATTGGATTTGAAAAATGACAAATTTTTGGGAACTTTCAAAGCTCCTGGCGGAGTCTCTTGTGTGTCTATGTCACCATACGACTTGCAATTGGTCACTGTCAATTACCGTGGAGACTCGTTATATATGTGGGATTTATTTCGACTACCCTTGGATGTGTCCTTGGTTGGAAAGTTTACAAGAGGTCAAACTTCTGCCATTATCAAAGACATTTATTGGTTCAACACTGAAGAGTGGGGTGGTTCTCATTTGGGATTTGGGTGTGTTTCGAAATCTACAGGCTCGGTGCATTGGTTTTGTTTAAACTATCTGAAGGACGGCAATTCTTCGAAAGCTAGGCGCAAGTTGTCACTGCGAAAATACAATAAGCTGAACAGCAAAAGAGTATTAAATCTGTGGACGTTATCGTCCTTTGGAGCAGAGAAATTTGTTAATGTTTCCACAACGCAACTAGGAGTTGTTGATAAAAATGGTCTTTTGAAGCTTGTTGATACTTTGAGTGGTGACAATTTTTACGAGTATAAGATACCTGCTTCGGCAGTAGAGGAGTTTGAGTCACCAGAAATTGTGCTGAATGCAAATGTCGATAAGACATTAAAAAAGAAGGAAAAGAAGAAGAGAAAGGAGGAAGAGGAGGAGGAGAAGGAAGAGGAGGAGGAGGAGGCGGAAGAGGAGGCGGAAGTAGTCATGACGAAGGTTGTTAATCCGATATCTCAAGCCGAGATTGAGACTTGTCCTCCGTTCCTAAATTTCATAAACCGTGAGAACATTGAGTTTGCAACTTACAAGTATCGTAAAGAGGACTTTTATGAATTTGGTAAGGAGATACATACGGAAACTATAGATTTTAAAAAGAGTAAGGGAAACAAGTTGTTGGTCAAGCATTCAAATGCAAAAAGCACTCCTAATGATAAAGAGGAACAGTTGCCGAATCTATACCAGCTACATATAGATCAAGAAGATAACGACGAGGATGAGACTTTGCTTTAAGACGCAATGTTGATTACTCCACGAATCGGCTCTTCTTCTTCTTCTTTTTTTTTCAAATAAATTTTTTTTTTGCTACAACTAGATGTATAGAGAATTTTGGTTTACAATACCGTTCTGAAGTAACTCATCTCATCTTAAAGCAATCCACCTTGTCTTTTTCTAACCATTTCTCAAGAGAATCGCCTCCCCTTTCCTCCCTTCCAGATCATAAAGACGGCTCGTTTTTACTTCCGCGAAAATCTCATGATGTAAAGTGAAAAAAAAAAAAATACACCGAAAAAACTCGTACTGTAGAATGTAAAGAGAAGAGAGCTAAGCTATACATGACGGTAGACGTAGCCAAAAGACAGGGTTTCAACGCTTTTCGATGATTGTAAATAGAAGGATACATGTTTACTGCCGACGAAGAGAAATCCAAAAGATTGTAGAGAGAATACGATGCAACCAAGCTGGGTCATGTTCAATACCGAGACGATCATTTAAAACAAGTTTATGCGTTTGTCAAGATTCCTCCTCCTCGTCAAGGTCATCGGGGGTTTTGGTTAATTGGATTTCGAACCCGATTAGAAGCATTGAGAAATCTTCCGGTAATTTGCGAGTAAAGAAAGCAGGCAATACATCTAATTCAAAGAATGCCAAAATTTATCAAGAGTTGGATATACTAGTTGCGAGGCGAGACTATGCACAAATTCTCGCTAGGAGTAGTGAGTTGAATTTCGATTTGGTAAACTTTATAATTAGCAAGGTTAGAGACTCAATTGGAAGCAATAAAGAGGAGATCTTAGTCGAGAAAGTACCATATAGTTTAAACATGGTGACGACACCAGATCTAACACGTGAGGCTATAGATTTTCTACTGAAACTTGTAGCCATGACCACTCCTACTACTGCTACTGCAAACTATGTGTGGGTCTATTATCACCTCAACAATGTTGAGAAACTAGTCGAGTCATTTACCTCTATAAAAAATCCAGATAAACAAACCATTGCATACGTTCTCAACTCGTTGATGGTCAACTATGAATTCGAGATGTTCAAGAGGGTTTACCACAACCTAATAATAAATACAAACACGCGATTATCGGCTGATTTATTTCTGCTAATAACCACCCAGTTGATTGCTAATGATTGCTTGTTTGAAACTTTATTTTACTGTTATCAATTATGGATAAACTTACCCAACTGTGATCCTCCAGAAGCTGAACTGGTTAGTATGATATTGAACGAGTTTTACAAGTATGGTACTATTCACGAAATTAGAGATTTCAAAAGGCTTATTAGTAAGCAATTTGGTCAAGATTATTTGATCCAGAGTGTCATTTTTCAACATGAAATAATCAATAGGGAGTACTTGTTATTTAAAAAGAATTTGTGCGACTCTGACTACGATATGATTGAAGCTTTAATGCCTCCAGAAGGAGAAAAAGCTGCAAAGTTTTGTCAATTATGGGTCAAGTTTATGATACGATATTCAAATTTGGAAAATTTAAAATATATCATTAGACTTTACAAGGACAAGACTGGCGAAGAGGAATCACTAAACTTCTTTAGATCTTTTTTGGAATATTACATGAGACATAAGCAGCTTTTACTGCTTTTGAAACTAATAGAGGCTAGTACAAAAACAGTGCCGTATAAAGAAGAGTACTTGAAGTTATTGGTGGAAACTTTTACTGTTTGTTACTCTAGGTTTGCCCCAATTTTAGTTGAGGCCGTTAATCGATGGTTGCAGAAACCCGATTTTTTCAAGTTGCAAAAAGTCGAGTCGCAATTCTTTCCCTTTCGGTTGCTTGAGCCTCTAAATACTCGAAAATATAAAGATTGGTCAAATATGAAGTTTCGTTCGCGACTACTGCAAGCGCAAAGAGAGCAAAACAAGTTGGAGGTTCGGTTTCGGATTGATCAGGGGTTTCCTGTACTTTTAAATAAAGGTGCTCGGCCAGATATTCAGGTTGTTTTTGATACATTTACCGAGGCCGATTTGAGCGACAAATTGATTATCAAAAAGATTTTAACCAGAACGAGGCAACATAACTGGAAGAACCAAAAGATTTTAGAATTGAGATCTTTACAGCATCCCACATTAACTCAGGAGCATTTACTCAAGTATTTTCGATATAACAAGGACCAGCTAAATGATAGTCATAAATTTCTATTCATTAGAATGTTGCTCAATTTCAATTTAACACAAGAGGCGAGCTACCTTTTGGAGACTATTGATGTATTGAACATGAATGATAAGAATAAGATGATTAAATTAGTGCTAGAGTTGAGGATGTATTTGGCTCAGAATAATTTCCAAGCAATGATTGAGGTTATAAACAATTTCTCACTAAATGGCCTTTACCTCAGCCCGTATTTACAAACTCAGTGCTTCTACATTGAGAGCATGCTCCGCACAAAACTCAGAAAAGCCCAATTTGGAGGAACAACAAATATTGAATTGTCTGAGAAGGAGTTGGCTCTTGGCAAAAGATGTTTATTAACCATTAAGGACTTTATTGCCGATATCAAAGCACATTTGCAGAAGAGCGAAGAGGAAGTACCTGTCCTTATAGAGCGCATAATAAAGGTTCTTGACGAGTGGAAGAGTAATGGTCAGCACTACGTCGCACCTCTCTGAGAAAGGGAGACATTACCACACTACGTCGCACCTCTCCAATACCTTGCAAAGTTTTCCTTCTCCAATAGAAGGAGGCATTAGCTGACAAGGTTTTCCCTCTCCAATAGAAGGAGGCATTAGCTGACAAGATTTTCCCTCTCCAATAGAAGGAGGCATTACCACGGGCTCATCTCCAGGGAGTATTGTACCCACAGTTGATAATGTAAATTTTAATGATATCGGTAGCGATGTTTCATTTTGATCTCTCTCTTTTTTTTTTGTTTCTTTAATTTTACATTATGCCTTAAACGGAAAGTTCTTATTGATTAACCACCAGTTTCAGTGTTAGACATGGATGTCCACGTACAGTCTACGGTGGTATGGGACCAGTTAGTAAGTATTGCTTTTCCATTATCTTTCTTTTATGGTCCAAAGCCATTTTTAAGGGACCCAAACTGATTATATCTTGTACTAACCCTTTAAACCCAAGGATCATGCATTATCAACCAGTATACTACTGAAGATCACCAACGCTTTGGAATGCTCGATATGCTCTGAGATTATGATAGTACCAATGACAAGCGAGTGTGGGCATTCGTTTTGTTACGACTGTATCCACCAATGGTTTAAAAATAGAATCAATTGTCCCACATGTCGACATGAGATAGCTGTAATGCCGCTGCTAAATTTGAAGTTGAGTGAGATTTGCAAGACTTTACTAGATATGGTAATTGAGTCGAAACTAGAATCCAATATAGAAGCGCTTAAACTGAGAAAAGAAGAATGTTTATCACGATATAACCAACACTTTAAACAAAAAAAACTATTTGGTGACTTATTTGCTACTACAACGCTCACGCCTATAGATACGTCCGATGGAGTGCCTAGGTGCGGCAATTGTCATTGGGAAGCACATGGGTCGGTATGCCTTCATTGTGGTACGAGGTTCAGAATGCCACGATATAGTGACGATGAAGAAGAGGAGGATGATGATTATGAGGATGTTCGCACGAGCCGCGGGGTTGCCATTGGTGTCAATGAGGGTGAATTACTGGATGCATACGACTCAAACGATAGCTTTATTGATAGTCGGCCTGTGGAAGAGATTGAAGGGGAGTTTAGCACCAGTCATAATATAACGTTTAGTGATGATGATTTGGATGTGCTATCTTCAGAAGACGAAGCGACAAGAGCAGGATTGACCGATTGGAATGGGTTTGAAAGTGCTTCGTCTAGTGTTGTTGGTAGCAGGACAGATCGTAGGCGACCGTATTTGGTGCATATGTCAGACGATGAGGGGGAAGAAGGGGAAGAGGGGGAAGGGGGGGAAGGGGGGGGAGAGGAGGATGAGGAAGATCAGGATGATTTAGTTAATTCGCGTCGCAATATGATGAGTGGAGGGCGTGGCGCACATAGGATTGCAAGATTACGTATAATGTCAGATGATCTGGATTTCGATATAGCAGGAGATATTCAGTTGGATGGAGTTGATGAAAGTGTTGAATGGACCGACTCGGTGACTGGTCTAATTGATAGCCATAGTAGCGAGGACGGCTCTGACGCATTTGTTGAGAACGAAGAAGAAGAAGAAGAAGATGATGATGATGATGGAGGGAGCGAATTCGAAGTGAGTGCAGGAGGCAATGACAGTGAAGAGAGCAATAGTTATTATGACAATTACGACGACGAAGATGATGATGACGGTCGCTATTATTTGAGTGAGTGAGAAAATCAATTAGTATGAGTAGTGGGAAACACTTGTTGCTAATCTCTGAGATATTTGTAAAGAGTAACACGCTGTCAACTGTCAACTGTCAACACTGTCAGCACTGTCAACACTGTCAACACTGTCAACACTGTTGTGTTGGTAGACGTTGAAAAAGAGTTTTTATCAACCACTTTTTACTGTTTGAAATCGTTTTTATCAACCACTTTTTACTGTTTGAAATCGTTTTTATCAACCACTTTTTACTGTTTGAAATCGTTTTTATCAACCACTTTTTACTGTTTGAAATCGTTTTTATCAACCACTTTTTACTGTTTGAAATCGTTTTTATCAACCACTTTTTACTGTTTGAAATCGTTTTTATTTGTTAGATTAATAAAGAGAACATCAACCTCAATGTCAATGTCAAACATTGTACTCTAACCATGAACCTTGAGATTTTTGCAATCCGAGCGCTACCGACTTTTAAGGAGGAAGTAGTCTATACGGCTCCTACTTATAAGGCCTCTGGCTGTTTCAAAGCGTGTAACCTAGTTTGTTGACGAGCTTGGGATGAGAATACGGCTCGTAAAATCCAAAATGAGAATACTACTCAAGCTACTTGAAGCTCTAGAGAATGGCTTTAGGGTCATTCTTGAAGCATTACTAAAGCAATCTTGGAGATATGTTATGAGCTAGCAAGAGCTATGTTTAGAGTGTTCAAAGCTATGCTCAGAGTGTTTCATGCTACACGAAGCTCTAGAACTATTCTCAGGCTATTACTAAAGCTATGCATTGAGCTGTGCTTAGAGTTGTGAGAGTACGGCTCATTAAGTCAAGATGAGGCTGCAGCTTATATAAGGCCCTGGAGACGTTCTCGAGCCATTACTAAAGCTATGCTTAGAGCTATGAGAATACTGCTTAGAGCTATGAGAATACGGCTCATATAGAACTCGAAATGAGACTGAGGCATGGAGCCATTGTTAAAGCTGTTTAAAGCTATGCTTACATGTTTAGAGCTATGCTTACCTACTTAGAGCTATGCTTACCTGCTTAGAGCTATGTTTAGAGCTATGCTTAGAGCTATGCTTACCTGCTTAGAGCTATGTTTAGAGCTATGCTTACCTGTTTGAAGCTATGCTTATAGCTATGCTTACCTGTTTAGAGCTGTTTTTCTTTTTTTGTTTTGTTTTTTTTCATCACGTGACCCATCACGTGACTATTTACTTACCAATGAGAAGGGCGCTAAAAAAAAGTCATGCGATTAGAATTGGAACATCATTTTCTTTATAGAAGAGAAGAATAAACCCAGGTTCAGTTTGAAGCTTTTTCACTACCAGTGTATACTCAAGAGGTAAGAAATATATTTATCTTTGTACTATTGAAATCAAAAAGGTTTTTACCAAAAAAGTTGGCCCCACAATTTCCAAGCACAAGGAACTATTTCATCGATTATCGATTTGTTATCAGAAACAGACAAGTGTACGATTGCACCCAAACTCATTTCAATTAACAGTTTGTTCTCCAACTACTTTACAAACGTTTTACAATGGACCCAAAAAGAATAATTCAACTTCAACAACGTTACCAAACTACACCACTCCCTCTTTGGTTGAGAGGAAGATACGGTAAGATGATGGTTTACCCATTTTATGGATTGTTTGCAGTGGCTACAGCATTGCCATTGTTCTACGCAGGCAGAGCAATATGTGGTCTCAAGGAGGAGAAATAGGTTACTATATATCAGTATATATTCAATGAATGACTATCGAGCAGCATCACTATCGAGCAGCATCAATATCGAGCGGAGCGAGATAGTGTCATTAGTCAATGTGCTTTACTATCGAGCAGCGACGCAACAACACTATCGAGCAGCAACGCAACAACACTATCGAGCAGCGACGCAACAACACTATCGAGCAGCGACGCAGCAATACTATCTCGCTCTGCTCGATAGTGTCACTAGTCAATGTGCTCTACTTTCTCACTTTTTGCTCGTCGTTATTGTATTTATCCAATAAAACAGCTCCAGTGGCTAGAAAATCCCAGTCAAATAAAGTGGCACCAGCTCGACTCTGAATCTCTAAAAGGCATCGGCCTTGACCTCGCCCTCTTTACTCTTTACTCACCCAAAGGCTTCATCCCACTCATAACGGGGTGCCTCATTACAATGGTTGGAGTTTTCAGTTTTATTGTCGCGACACTGAATAAAGAAAACGACACTTTGAAATTTCTGAAACAGATTTTTCCAAAAGGCCAACTAAGAGACTAGCAGGAGGTAATCAGCATTATCCCCCCCCTTGTAACAGCCTTGTTGGATAGGGAGATGTTGAATAAGGAGTCTTTGAATAAGAATTTTTACAAGGTCAATAGTATAGTTGAGAGGAAGCTTCGCAAGTTTTTATCTGGACCAAAGAAGGGCGAGACATTTGAGTTAAAGAATGGGTTGGTTTCACAGTATAAGCATGAACGTAAGGATGCTATACAACGGGTTATACAAGCAATGACTGTGGGAAAGGACGTGTCCTCCTTGTTCCCCGATGTCTTGAAGAACATTGCCACCTACGATTTAGAGCAGAAGAAGTTGGTTTACTTGTATTTGATGAACTATGCCAAAACACACCCCGAGTTGTGTATACTAGCAGTAAACACATTTGTTCAGGATACAGAGGATCCAAATCCCTTGATTCGTGCTTTGGCAATTAGAACAATGGGATGCATCCGTGTCGCAAAGATGGTCGACTATATGGAGGTTCCACTAACAAGAACATTGAAAGATGAAAATCCATATGTTCGGAAAACGGCCGCTATTTGCATTGCTAAATTGTTTGACCTAAACCCAGAGATGTGCGTTGGATTTGGATTTTTGAATGATTTGGAGAAATTGTTGTCGGATGCTAATCCTATGGTTGTTGCAAATGCGATAAATGCTTTATACGAGATTAGAGATATGAATGAGGATCCTAGCTTGAATATTCTCGTTATCAATGGAGATGTCATTAGAAACTTGTTGTTGTGCTTGAACGAGTGTACTGAATGGGGTAGAATCACAATCTTGACAACTTTAACCGAATACGATACAAGGGGGAAAGTCGAAGAGGCAAATCATATCATTGAAAGAGTAATACCGCAGTTGCAACACGTGAATCCCTCAGTGGTCCTAAGCTCAATCAAGGCGATCTTGTGTCATATTGAGAGTATACCAGTGGCTACTCAAAGACAATCGATATTGAGGAAATTGTCAGCGCCTTTAGTCTCGTTGGTAAGCTCTTCGATTCACGAGGCTCAGTATGTTGGATTGAAAAATATTAGAATTATATTGGAAAAATATCCAAATATTTTGTCAAAAGAATTGAGGGTGTTTTTCATCAAATACTCCGATCCGTTGTACTTGAAATTGGAAAAATTGGAAATCATGATTAGGTTGGCCAATGAAAGTAATAGTGAATTATTGTTGGGGGAGTTGAGGGAGTATGCAATGGAATTTGAACCTGCATTGGTGACAAAGGCTATCAAATCTATAGGAGCAGTTGCAATAAAGTTGAGCGGTTCGGTTATTAAAGCTGTCAACTTGCTCAACGATATCATTGATCAAAGAGGCGGCGAGTTGATCATTAACGAGGCGACTATTCAGTTAACTAATGTGTTGAGAAGATACCCAAACAAGAGTGATATTGCGTCCTTAGTCATACCTATGATTTCTAACCATGTTGCCGAACTAAATTCCAATGAAGCATTAGCAGGATATGTATGGATTTTAGGTCTGCATCCAAAGTATTTTACAGACTTGCATGAGAAACTACAATCACTAATTGATGGTTTCTTGGATTATGATTCACTTTTGCAGTTGAACATTTTGACTACAGTTGTCAAGATCAATTTGGAATCGCTGAATAAAAAGTATTCGCCTTTGTTGCAAAAGATTTTGGAACTTGCCACCAAGGAGTGTGAGAATGCAGATGTTAGAGATAAAGCATACATATACTGGAGGTTATTGTCATCCTCTACTTCTGAATCATTGCAAAAGAAGATTATTTTGACCAAGTTACCTCCCATTCACTCAACAATTTCCGCATTCAACCCGCAGCTTCTAGAGACCTTGATGCGAGAATTGTCGACATTATCGTCGGTATACTACAAACCTGCCGAATCGTTTATAGATCCAAAAGCTTATTCAAGAGTGCCTATCGGCAAGAAGACAGATGGAAACATTGACGACTTGAAAGAAGTTGCAAAACAAGAAATTATTAATAGTTCGAGAAACGAAGATTTGTTGAATTTCGATGACGATGATGACAACAACAACAACGAGGAAGGAGAAGACGGAGTAGACAATAATGGGTTCACCATCGATAGCTTAAAGAGTGACGGTGTCAATGATTTACTCAAGGACTTGAGCGATTTATTTAGTGCACCAGTTGGCAATAATAATAACAATAATAATAATAATAATCGCCCTCCATCAACAAATATTGATATCTTGGAACTTTTCAATGCGGCTCCCAAAACAAAGCCTGATTCAAATACAGAGCCAAAAACAGAGCCAAAAACAGAGCTGAATCCAAAAAGTAACTCGTCGGGACTCAATAATGATCTATTAGACTTATTTTGAATACATTATTTTTTTAGGTTTTTTTTTTTTTTAATTTGTTTTCAAGAATTCAGTAGAAACTTGGCTACAATGTCTGTTCTTTTTATTTCTGTAATCTCTTCCTCTTCAGCATCGGACGTCATGTCTATATCCAGATCCTCGACCAAATTTTTAATCTTCTCCTTTACACTGTGGCACACTCGGTCGATCTCCTCGATTTCACCATTTTTATGGTCAATTTGGTTTTTCAACAACATGATCAAGCTTTCCCTACTTTGATGTGGACGATAAGTGTTTAACAAATGATTAAAATTGATCAATAATAGACTAATATCCTTCAACTTTGGTTCGAATTGTTGAGGGTCTATACTTAGTATACCAATAAGTTCCAAAAAATTGATCAATAATGAATCCATGATCTTGTGTAGTTCAGCGATTTTGGTCTTTGAGGTTAAATTCTCATCATTATATAGCTGTTTCCACTCGGTATCTTTCAAGTCGGGTAATTTGTCTTGAAAAGACCATATATTTCCATAGCCTCTATACTGTGTGCCTGGAGGCAACTCTGGAGGGATCAAAAACCGTAGCTCTCCAGGAGCACCTTCACCACCTTCACCACCACCTCCTTCTTCCCCTTCAGCGCCTCCTTTAGCACCACCTCCTTCTTCCTCTTCACCACCTTCACCACCACCTCCTTCTTCCCCTTTAGCACCTCCTTTAGCACCTCCTCCTTCTTTCCCTTCAGCGTCACCTCCTTCTTCCTCTTCAGCGCCTCCTTTAGCACCACCTCCCTCTTCCCCTTCAGCGCCTCCTTTAGCACCACCTCCCTCTTCCCCTTCAGCGCCTCCTTCTTTAGCTTCTTCTCCTTTAGCTTCTTCTCCTTTAGCTTCTTTTCCTTCAGCTTCTCCACCTTTAGCTTCTCCTTTCCTTTTTTGTTTCACCTTCCATTCTTCAAGTTTCGACAAGTTTTCCACAGTGAAAAATTTGAAAAACGGCGGAGGCGGAGGATACAACGACGATATCAAATCTTCTCCACTAGACATTTTCTCACCGACAAAGAAGCGCCACTACTAATCAATCTACAATAGTCTGTTCTTTCCAAACCCAACGTCAAAACATATTGATTTCGGCGCTTACCAAATGCCTCTCATATTCCTTCTTCCTTTTTTTCTTTGCTGATATAAAAAAAAGGCCATGAAAAAAAATGTGAATCATATTAAGAAGAACCACTAGGTTATAAAAGAGAAGAAGCTTTACAATTTGGGCCTAGTTTTGATTGGCAAGATGGCTGAAGAGGATCAAATGGATATAGACGGTACGTTTGCTCCAACACTATCGACACTATTGACACTATCGAGCAGAGCGAGATAGTGGAGAAACACTTTGTAGACACTATCGAGCAGAAAGAGATAGTCTCGGTGGCAGCTAGTATGCTTCACTATCGAGCAGAAAGAGATAGTGTCGGTCGATAGTGGGTAGTGCTTCATGTTGAATTACTAACATTTTATTACAAGTAGATGAGCTGAAGAAAATAACAAAGTCAAGTAAGCCAAAGTTTGAAGTGAAAAAATGGACAGCAGTTGCGTTTTGGTCCTGGGGTATGTAATCGAATAAAAAGCAGAGCGAGATCCACTATCGAGCAGAGCGAAATCCACTATCGAGCAGAGCGAAATCCACTATCGAGCAGAGCGAAATCCACTATCGAGCAGAGCGAAATCCACTATCGAGCAGAGCGAAATCCACTATCGAGCAGAGCGAAATCCACTATCGAGCAGAGCGAGATAGTGGAGCACACTGACTAGCTTGTTACAACACTATCTCGCTTTGCTCGATAGTGTTGGATAGTGTTGGATAGTGTTGGATCGTGAGAATCTCCCGGTTATTGTTACTAACTGCCTTTTTTCTTTGCCTTTTAGATATACAAATTGAAAATTGTGCCATTTGCAGAAACCATTTAATGGAACCATGCATTGAGTGTCAACCAAATACGTTTGCAAACGGAGGTGAAGAGTGCATTGCTGCATGGGGAATGTGTAACCACGCGTTCCATCTACACTGTATCAAGAGATGGCTCAAAACTAGAAATGCTTGTCCTTTAGATAATACCGAATGGGTATACCAGAAATTTGGAAAATAATCCCTCATTATCAAAAATGAAGGGGGAGGTTAACATTTGTTTCTATCAAATGTTCCTAATACTACCAAGGCTAAACACGATTCTTGAAGAGATTTCAAAACCAGGGTGTTGATTTCTGAGGCTGCTTCCACGAAAAACACATATTGCCATGGTTGGAGATTAGCCGGGCGTGAATTGATCGAAGTCAAATTGATTTCGGCTTGTTTGAACTTGAAAAGTATGTCACATAAGGCTCCGGGACTATCATCTGGCAAGGTGAACATCAACGATGTGATTTTTTCTTCTTCTTCTTTTGCTTTTGCTTTTCCCTCAGTGACATCGTTGTGCTTTGGGGGGTTGTTATAGCCTAGCACCAAGAACCGGGTGGTATTACTAGCATTATCTTCAATTCCTTTTACAATTATAGGCAAATCATATAATTTTGCACTCATTTTGGATGAAATCGCAGCTATCCTTTTATTGTCTCTGTTCTGACTAGCAATCTCCGCTGCCTGCGAAGTTGATCCAACATCGATCCTTGTCACTTTGGGCAGTAGTGTGTTGAAAAACTTGCTTACTTGTGTCCATACCTGTGGATGCGAGTATATCGTTTCAATCTCTTGTACTGATCCATAGCCAAGGAGATTATGATGAATCGGCACAAATTGTTCTCCAACAATCCTGAATCTACACTCTTTTGTACTATCGAAAAACCAGTCTCGAAATAAATCATATGTGAACACAACTTGTCCATTAGTGGAATTTTCAAATGGAACTACTGTATAGTCCACTTGCCGCGAGTTAATCGCCTCGAAACATTCTGCGATGGATTTCTTTGGAATGATTTCCACATCTTCCTCTATGCCAAATTGTTGTATTACAGCCTAATTAAGAAAAAAACACAAAGTTAGTCATTGCTACTGTTTCTCTTTTCCCTTCTAGACATACTTGATGCGTATAAGTACCTTCAGGGCCTAAAAACGCCACTTTCATGGTTTATTCTAACGCCCAACAACGGTACTTTACTATATAAGATTTGAAAAAGAAAAAGAAGAAGAAAAAAGAGGGTAGCCTGGGTTTAAGAAAACATCATCTAAATGTATATACAAAAATCAAACTATCAACCTTAAATGTTATTCTAAAATCTCTTCTTGTCATGTTGAATAACATTCAAGGAAAACCGATTTGATTTTTGTCACATTTGAAAAGGTAAAAAAAAGAAAAAAGGAGAGATATCACAAAGGATGAGATTGAAATAAAATGGACGCAACAAAGAGATGGAAAGAAGAGTTTTCAGTGTGTGATCGTAAGTGGCTCTTTCATTATTCTAAGCTCGGTAACGATCCACGAGTTTAGTCCAATATAGGACCTATTTCAATAAGAAATAAACCCCAGTTAAAATATCCCAAGAACAAAACAAGCTATAAAAAAAACAAGTAATGAAAAAGAATGTACAGTATTAAAATTGAACAGCAAAATCGACACCTTGCATAACTTATACTTCTTCAACAATTGTTCCTTTTTCGGAAACATAGATACCATCCAAGAACTTACGGATATCCTTGTTTCTGACACGGCAAATTTGTTGGATATCAGCACAGTTTTGTGAAACATCTTCCAATGAGTTACCTGTAACAATCAATTCATCCTTTTGGGCAGTTGATATTTCCATTGTAACACCTTCAGTGATCTTAATACTTCTGACTCTCTTTTCACCCAAAAAGTTTCTAATTTCAACAAATTTACAACCGTCATTTTCAACAACGTTGACATTGATTGGGAAATGCGCATAAACAAATCTCATCTTGTATTTGTAACCCTTGGTAACACCGGTAATCAAGTTGGCAATCAAAGATTTAACGGTTCTCAAAGCAGCAACGTGTTTTCTGTTACCATTGTGCACAGTAATCTTAATAGCCCTGTTTGAAATCTTTGTGAAAGTAACATCAATGTGTTTCAAGTTCTTGGTCAATTCACCTCTTGGACCAGTAACCTTGATGACTCTGGCTTTGATTTCAACAGTAACACCTTCTGGGATATCTAAGATCTGATCAGTTTGAATATACTTCATTTTTAATATGGGAGAGGACCTCGAGACCGAACTTTTATGGAGAAAGGGAAAGTGATGATAAATGAAAAATTGAAAAATTGAAAAAAGTATTTGATAAATCTCAATCCATCAATGAATCCCGCGCGCTGGAAAATTTGTTTGAAAAATTTGGACTTGGTAGCGCATTTTAGGTCTTAGCCCTGATGGGCACAGGCTGGGGCTGGGTGGGAAATAGGCCCATAATAGAGGAGTTATATACTATTCATTTATTAGTATAGCTATACTTGGGTCGTCCTGCTTAAGACTGACGTAGTGTAAGTAGCTTTCGCAGTAATGAGAGACTTGTGAGATACTACAGGTATCTAAAAGGTGAAATGACATCCAACCAAAACGGAATTTTTGTAAAGAAGAGTTGCTTACAATGTCAAATTTTTATTATTCTTATAGTTGAGTTTTTCTTTCTTTATAAAAGTGCCAAAGCATAAAGTTGACTCTTAATCACTCCACCTTGTGAGTGTATATTTGAAGAAAGCGCAAATATACAAACTTGGTATCAATGCGCTAATGCAAACGTGGTGCCGATGCGCTTGTATAAATTTGGTACCAATGCGCATTTCTTGCACAAACCTATAAAGACCGCTTTTTCTTTCCTTTTGTAAACTTATAAGTTCTATCACATAATATTTCTTTTAAATTATCAAAATGTTTTCTTGTTCTTGTTCTTGTTCTTGTTCTTGTTCTTGTTCTTTTTCCTTTTTCTTTTCCTTTTTTTTATACAAATACAGATATAAAATTACAGAGTTATTTTCAGTTCACTTTAAAAATGTAATATTTGTTATAAATATCCGTGATTTTCAATTCTCATCTTCTCTTGATCAAATTTTCAATCACCACAGCATCGGAATAGACAAATGACCCTTCTTCGTTATACGTCTTTGCATTCAAGCACATCTGTCTCAAGTCATCAATAAATTCCTTGAATGAGGAATAGCCTTCTTGCTCAACTTTTTTCTTGATTTGGTTAATTGCAATGGGTTGGGTAATGATTGTATAGTAGTCGGGGTATAGTTTTTTTGAAGGCAATTTGAGAAAAATGTCACTGATGTTATGGCCGTCGTTTTCATCTCTTAATTCGAGAATTTCATTTAAAACCTGCATGCACTTAACTTCAAGTCCATCTGAATCAATATTCTCATCATCATCATTATTATTATTGTTATTGTTGTTGTTGTTGTTGTTGTTGTTGTTGTGCTCAGTTTCATCAAGCTCCATTTCGGAGGCTGAGTAATCATCGCTTTTCGCATCGTCTTGAACTCTTGTTGCTGGAGTTCTTGAGCGACGTTGTCTTTTCCTAGGCTGATTTGAAACTTCAAACTCTTCATCATCCTCCTCCCCTACATCCTCATCATTTATATCTTCAATTAAAAGACCTTCTCTTTTAGCCTTGTTTCTCTTTCTACTATTGATTCTTGACATTCTTCGACGAATGGCAGCTTCAACAGAATCATTATCATCGTCCATTGCTTTCAACCATTGCGCTTCACTTAATCCGTCATCATACATAACCTGTTTCTTTTCCCTCATTCTTCCAAGCTCAGCTACATCCCTTTCAAAATGATGAGAAATATCTTCAGTGAAAATATCAGGCAATTCCTTCTTTTCAATCAACCTATGCTCGTCATATGGATCTTCGGCTCTTCTGATCCTATCCATTTCATTAAATAATATTTTTTCTTCATCGGATCTCGCTAAAATTTCATTCAATTCCTCATCGTCCAACGAGTCATTCTCGTCATCATCACCACCAGTGGCATCTGCTTCCAATAATCTCTTTAAAAACGCTTCTTGTTCCTCTGCAGTAGACTTGTTGTCAAATTTACCAGCTTGAATAACTTTACCATCAATTTCCAACTTCTGATGTGCTCGTTCTAAAATCATCTCCTCTACTGAATCATTGGTAATCAATCTCAATATTCGCACCTCATTTTTTTGACCAATTCGATGAGCACGATCTTGTGCTTGTAAATCTTGATGAGGATTCCAATCAGTATCAAATATAATAACAGTATCAGCTGTTTGCAAATTCAATCCTAACCCACCAGCACGTGTGGATAAAAGGAAGCAAAAATAATCCGAATTTACTGCATTAAACTCCTTCAACATATCTTGACGTTCATCAGCTTTTGTTGAACCATCCAATCTCATATATTTCATATCTCTCATCCGAAGAAAATCTTCCATGATATCCATAATTTGTGTCATTTGAAAAAACATCAAAACACGATGACCACTGACTTTAAATTTGGGTAAGATCCTATCTAGTAGTTCAAATTTACCACTTGTTCTCCATATTAATTCATTAGTCAACTTCAGCGAATTTAACACCACTTCAACCTCTTCAAACACAAACGGATGATTACAAATTTTTCTCAATTGCATAATCTTGTTATTCAAACCCTTTATACCGCTTTTGGCACCACCAACTTCAGCACCAACAAACAAGGCATTGTGTTTCAACATTTGCTGGTAAAGAACATATTGCAATCCGGATAAATTACATTTCAATACTTTTTCAACTTTATCTGGCAAATCCTTCTCCACATCCTTCTTCAACCTTCTCAACAAGAATGGTCTCAAAACCTTATGCAACCTTCGAATAACCAATAAAGACTCTTCTTCAGTCAATTCAATCTTCTCTTGTGCACCAGTATTGGCAAATGGCGTATTGAACCATTCGTCAAAAGACTTTACTGAATTAAATATCTTGGGCAAAACGAAATTCAACAATGCCCATAACTCGGGTAAATTGTTCTGCAAAGGCGTACCAGTTAAAATGAGTCTATTTTTAGTCTTGTAGTATTGTCTTAAAGTTTGAGATAATTTCGAATTGGTGTTTTTCATCCGATGACCTTCATCGATGATCATATGGGAGTAATGGAACTTGCACAACAAGGGTCGTTCTCTAATAACGTACTCGTATGTAGTAAGCATAACTTGGAAACTACCATACCTAATTTCAGCCTGCATTGATTTCCGCTGTTGTTGTGATCCCTTATAAACTATAACCTTAATTGAAGGAGCCCATTTTTCAAATTCTAATGTCCAATTGGTAATTGTTGAAAGTGGCACAATGACTAAAAATTTAGATTCGTGTTTCCTTTCAATGAGGTAAGTAATTAAGGAAATAGACTGTATTGTCTTTCCTAATCCCATCTCATCAGCTAATATACCATTCAAATGATTGTTATAAAGGGAAACCATCCACTCCAACCCTTTCATTTGGTATTCTTTCAACTTACCGCCAACCAAAATAGAAGGTTGTTCTTCAATTTTTTCCTTTACTTTGTGTGCTACTTCATAATAATCTGTATTTTCACGTAATTCCTCTTTAATGTTTTTATTATCTCCTTCAGCATCTTCCAGTGCCGGAGTTGCAAGAGCCTCTGGACTTCCATTTCGTGACGTTCCCAATGTTCCATTTGCCTCGTTTTGTTGAGCTCTAACTTGTTCCGTCAAAGAGTCCAAGAACTGATTAGTCTGTTTCAAAAGATGAGTAATTCTATGATCCTTAGTTTCGTCCAATAACTTGAGATACGCTTCTTCGTCATTTGCTTTCAAAGCTTGTAATCTTTGCTTGGCATTTTTTTCCAACTTCTTGCTCTCTTCTTTTTCAATGATTTGATGGTAATAATTGATTTGTTTAAACAAGTGATAACTTCGGTAATTGTCAAGGATAGATTTCTTATTACTTCTTTCGAGCGAACTATTCAAGATTTGACCAACTTTGGCAATGTGTAACTGACGTTTCAATTCTTTGGCTTCTTGCTTTTTCAATTCTTGCAACTGAACCGCTAATAACTGCGGGTTTTGTTGTTCGATTTTCGGCCTCAAACTAAAAGATCTCTTCTCCAGAAGACATATTGGTAAATTTTTAAGATTCGGATGTGAATACTTGACTTGTTGGGCCTTGTGTGAAATTATCTTGTGTTTGAGTTGTTTTTGAAAGCTTAATAATCGGAGCCCCTTTAGCTCAATTAAAGCTTTGATTTTGAGATCGTCGAGTCCATTGCCATTAAATGTTCCTAGATTTGCTGGTGTGCTTTCAATTTCTTGCAATCTTTGTGATATTTTATTAGTGATTATCTTTTCAATGTAGTAATTCCCTAGCGAGGCATATTTTGGGTCCTTTGTGGATACGTCTATTTGCGAAATTGCTCCAGCTAGACTTGCTCTTGTTTCAAAATCTGAAAGAGAACCACCAATATTTACAATATCATTGAAAATTTGTTCAATTGTGAATTGATCACGCTCCAGTTGTGATTTTTCCAAAAACTGTTTTTGGAATGATTCGGGTAAATCATAATCCCTTGACAATAAGTAAAAACCCGCTACTTGTTTTTCAAACAAGTTCATATCCAATTTTTTCTCTTCAGTTGAAGGTTCCTGTTTTGCTTCTTCTTCTTCTTTTTCTTTTTCTTTTTCTTCCTTTTCTTCTTCTTCTTCTTTTTCCGCTAATAAACAATCTATAAACTGTTTTTCTTCCTGTTCAAATGCCTCTTGGCTAGAACTTATTTGCATCAACAAATTTTCAATTTCTTTCCTTTCATTGTATTTTGGGTCCTTATACTCAAAAGCAAGTTTTTCACCTGCCTCATCGATTTTCTCTTGAAATCTTCTTGACTCTGCCAATATCCTAAAATAATCACTTAACAAGTTTTTCAACTCGTCCCTTGTTTCAGGAAGCTTATACTGATATAGATTGTGTGCTACTGCTGGTTGTTGTGTGGTGGCGACTGGTAGGGTTGGAATAGTGCCATTTCCGTTGATTCTAGCCATGCTCCCATTCATTTTATATTTTTTTTCACAGCAAATATAACCCTTATCTTATATATATATATATATATGGCTTCTTTATGTTTTCTTGTTCCTTGTTGCCAAAAAAAAAAAAAAAATGGGTCGATACAAAACCTAGGTAAAATTGTCTATTTTGTGAGTTTTCGTTTAGTTTCTTGCAATTCCAACAACTTTTCTGAAGCAACTCCGAGAACTTCTTGAAGCTTGAAGCAGGCTTGATGGGGGGGGGGGAGCTTTTATCAAGCAAATTCTTTTTGAGGAATCAAAGAACCGTAGCGATTTCTAGTAAAGGAATACCACCACCACCCTAACGGATTTACCAAATAGAAATAACCCTTTTAAGCTGAATTTATAGTGACAAAATGTCTACTTTATTAAGAAAGATCCGATTGATTTGATGGTTCTCTATATTATGGTTAACTTTTACAACCACTTTTTTGGTTGTCAAAAAAAGTGATTTCTGTTGTAAAAAAAATTGGCGCTGAAAACTCGCGAACTTTTGGTTGGTCCACGACACTATCGAGCTGGACACTATCGAGCTGGACACTATCGAGCAGAGCGAGATAGTGGAGCAGCACTAACTAGCCTCTACTATCGACACGACGACATTATGACATATTTGTAAGTTACAATTGGTAATAAAACACTATTTAGCAATACTTTGTACCTTGATACCTGTAAGTTATTGTTTAGTATAGCTCTAAGTGCTTTATGAGAATACTCTATCGTTTTCTAGTTGAGTGGTGTAGGAAAGTGCAATAGTGGTGCCCTGAAAGTTGTATTGAAGAATGCTCTGAGGGTGCTCTGAGGGTGCTCTGAGGGTGCTCTGAGAGTGCCCTGAAAGTGCTCTGAAAGTGCTCTATGAGACTGCTCTGAGACTGCTCTATGAGACTGCTCTGAGACTGGTCTCTGGGAATACTGCATGAGAGTGGTGAAAGAGGAATTTATATGAGGGCTATAGGAGAGCTATAAGAATGGTAGGCTAATACAGTAATAGAATGCTCTATGCGAGCTCTCTATAAAAGTGCTGCAAAAAATACTCTATGAAAATGCACAATGAACGTGCTTTATGAGAGTAGTGTAGGGAAGCTCTGAGAATACTCTAAAAGAGTGTTTTACTAGAGTGCTGTAGAAGAGTTCAACAATGCTTTAAAACAATGTTGTAAAAGAGTAGTGTAGGAGAATGCACTATGCAAGTGCTTTATTAGAATAATGTGGGAGTGCTATAAAAGTGATGTAGGAAAGCTCTGCGAATTCTCTATTAAAGTTCTCCATCAGAATACTGTAGAAGAGCTATGAGAGTGCTGGAGGGCCACTATCGAGCGAAGCGAGATAGTGGAGCAACACTGAATACACCGCGACATTATCGAGTAAATATACACCGCGACACTATCGAGCAGCACTGAATATAGGAGTGCTAGAGGGGTACTATGAGAGTGCTAGAGAAGTGCTAGAGAAGTACTATGAAAGTGCTATATGAGTGCTATGAGAGTGCTAGAGTACTATGAGTGCTATGAGAGTGCTAGAGTACTCACTAGTCAGTGCTGCTCCACTATCTCGCTTCGCTCGATAGTGGCGCGCGCAAACGAAGGAGAAAAAAATTAAAGAAAAATTTTGTATGAATATAATGTGACATTAGAAACCAACATTGCGAAAAGTGATTCTTGGAGATTATAGGGTTTCATTTCCTTTTAGCAAATATTCATCAAGTCATGTTCAAAGTAGGCATACGTGGAAGAGCCTTTACTCGAGCTTTTACCCCCAAGATTAGATTCAATTCAACAGCTGCTACAGGACAAGGTCCCCTTTCCTGGGTCGAGTATTTTCAATTGAAAAAACAAAATAGTAGAATCAATTTTGTTAGTGGCATCTTTACCGGTATAGGGGGATCCTTGCTCACCTTGAGTTATTTGGGAAATATAGAGATTGATGTTGAAAAACCAATTTTGGGATTTGACCCTATTATGATGATGGGAGGTGCAGTTATAGTTGGTGGGTTATTAGGGTATCTCGTTGGCCCATTTATCGGATCATTTGTATTCAGGCTCAAGAACAAGTCGCTGTTGAAAGAGTTTGAGGTTAAAAATAGTTATTTCTTATCGAGGTTGAAAAGTAAAAGACCCGATCCATCTAGTCAAAGTTTTTCAAATCCTATACCGGACTATTATGGGGAGAGGATTTACTCTTTAAAGGATTATAGACAATGGTTAAGAGACTGTAATGCGTTTAGGAGAAAGGCAAAGGAGTTTCTTTAAGGGGATAAAAGAGGTGAAAGGTGAAAGAGGTGAAAGAGGTGAAAGGTAAAAGAGGTGAAAGGTAAAAGAGGTGAAAGGCAAAGTAGTTCTTTAAGGGGGTAAAAGAGGAGAAAATGGGGTTTTGAGACAGAGAAGATTGTATAATGTAAATAGACCATTTCCTGTTGAAAGAGGTACATGTAAGAAAAAAACGCATTGCTTTGATATTTGCTACGACACTACGACACTATCGAGCAGAGCGAGATAGTGGAGCAGCACTAACTAGTTTCTACTATCGACACTACGACACTATGACACTATGACACTATGACACTATCGAGCAGAGCGAGGTAGTGGAGCAGCACTAACTAGCTTCTACTATCGACACTATATCAACCCTCTAGTCAAAACGCGTTGCTTTGATATTTACTGAGAGAAACGGTATCAATCATCTAGCTAGTCAATGCTGCTAGTCAATGTTGTAACAAGCTAGTCAGCACTGCTCGATAGTGTAACAAGCTAGTCAGCACTGCTCGATAGTGTAACAAGCTAGTCAGCACTGCTCGATAGTGTAACAAGCTAGTCAGCACTGCTCGATAGTGTAACAAGCTAGTCAGCACTGCTCGATAGTGTAACAAGCTAGTCAGCACTGCTCCACTATCTCGCTTTTCCCGATAGTGTCGCTTGATAGTGTAACAAGCTAGTCAGTACTGCTCCACTATCTCGCTTTGCTCGATAGTGTCGCTCGATAGTGTCGCTCGCTAGTGTCGTATGCATAGTTTACAGCTAATAGCCATTTCATATTTAAAGATTTTATTACTCTATTGTATTAATATTTTCATTTTTTGTATCGCACTAAAAAGTTCATTGTAAATACATACTAATTCTGCGTCTAAACCAGTAAATCTTATTAAATCTCCTAGTATTCTACTACATATATAAATACACTACTATATATATAAATACACTACTACATATAAAAATATATTATACTACATTTGTAAGGATATCTACTAGATACTCAATAAGCATATCTATATTTACTACATATACTCTATACATATACTCTATACATATACTCTATACATATACTCTGTACATATACTCTGTACATATACTCTATACATATACGTCAATGTTGCTAGTCAGTGCACCACTATCTCGCTTTGCTCGATAGTCAAGTTAGTCAGTGCACCACTATCTCGCTTTGCTCGATAGTCAAGTTAGTCAGTGCACCACTATCTCGCTTTGCTCGATAGTCAAGTTAGTCAGTGCACCACTATCTCGCTTTGCTCGATAGTCAAGTTAGTCAGTGCACCACTATCTCGCTTCGCTCGCTAGTGATTCCCTCCTATATACTCCGAGCTAGTTTTTTTTAGAACAAAAAGAACGTTTAGATTAATCTCGGAGTATTTCGGACTATTTTCTAGTTACATTTCCGGGGCCCGCGCCTACAATAACCAAATACAAAAGTTCTCACCTTTTTCCCCTGTTTAAATTCGTCCCCATCTCCCCCATCTCCCCCATCTCCCCGGCGAAAAAAGATAAATGACTTTTCTATACGCAATGTATTATATCATCCTAGCTCTCTAATTGCTCACAATTCGCTCTAATTCCTCACATTCGAATTTAATATTTTTTTCTCCGTGTCATAACTCTCTAGCGCGGAGATCGACCCAACTCTAAATTCTTTCTCACGACAATGTAGAAATTCTTGGGTCGGATTCTTTGCCCAATTCGCCCTTTTTCATTTTTCTTTCATTTTTTTCTTTTCTTTTTACTGAGAGGGCACATCCAATAGATTCTCAAGTAAAATTTCAATTTTCAATTGCGATTTTTCTTTTTATTATAAGAACTGATTCTTTTCACTGATTCTTTTTCTTCTGTTTTTTGTTGGCCTTTGTAGCTTAGAAGAGAACAAGAGGTAAGGGGTATACGTTACGTTACGTTCATCATGCTAAGAGCTTTTAAGACTGCTATACCACGCAGTAATGTGGTGGTAAGGAGACAAGGAGGTTTGAATACTTTTTCCCTCCTATCAAGAAGATGCACAAACAATGACTTGAGGTTGATGGCTTTAAGTAAGAGATGCTTTGCTACAGATACTTTTTTACAAGGAAACAATTCCAACTATGTCGACGAGATGTACGAGGCTTGGAAGCAAGACCCTTCAAGTGTTCATGCCTCTTGGAACGCTTATTTCAAAAATATCGAAAATGACAATATTCCTCCATCGATGGCTTTTCAGGCTCCACCTACTTTGGTTCCACACGTTTCCGGTGGTGCCGCTGGTATATATCCCAAATCTTCAGGTGGCGGCAACGAAGATGTTGTTACTCACTTGAAGGTGCAATTACTAGTTAGAGCCTACCAAGTGAGAGGTCACCAAAAGGCTAAAATCGATCCATTGGGAATATCGTTTGGCGATAGTGCAAAAACACCAAAGGAATTGACTTTGGACTATTATGGGTTCACTGAAAAGGACTTGGATAAGGAAATTACCTTGGGCCCGGGTATTTTACCAAGATTTGCTCAAGATGGTAGAAAGGCATTAACATTGAGAGAAATTATTAAGATATGCGAGGAGTTGTACTGTTCATCTTATGGTGTGGAATATGTCCACATCCCTTCAAAAGAACAATGTGACTGGTTAAGAGAGCGAATTGAGATTCCTCAACCATTTAAATATTCACAAGATCAAAAGAGGCAGATTTTGGATCGTTTGATTTGGGCTACTTCATTCGAATCATTCTTGTCTACCAAATTTGCAAACGACAAGAGATTTGGTTTGGAAGGTTGTGAGGCTATGGTGCCTGCTATGAAAGCTTTGATTGATACCTCGGTGGAATATGGTATCGAGGATGTTGTTATTGGTATGGCACACAGAGGAAGATTGAACATGTTGTCCAATGTTGTTCGTAAACCAAATGAATCGATTTTCTCAGAATTCTCAGGTTCAAGAGAATTTGACGAAGGTTCAGGAGATGTTAAATATCACTTGGGTATGAATTACGCTAGACCAACTACTTCGGGTAAACATGTCAATTTGTCCCTAGTTGCCAATCCATCCCATTTGGAAGCCGAAGATGGTGTAGTTTTGGGTAAAACGCGTGCTATCCAACAATATAAAGGCGATGTAGGCGAGTTCAAGAAAGCAATGTCCGTTTTATTGCACGGTGATGCGGCATTTGCGGCTCAAGGTGTTGTGTATGAAACAATGGGGTTCGCCAACTTGCCAGCTTATTCTACTGGTGGTACCATTCATGTTATTGTTAACAATCAAATTGGTTTCACCACTGATCCAAGATTTGCTCGATCTACTTTATACCCATCAGATATTGCCAAGAGTATTAATGCTCCGATATTCCATGTAAATGCAGATGATGTTGAAGCATGTACTTTTGTATTCAACTTGGCTGCTGAATGGAGAGCCACTTATCACACAGATTGTATTATTGATGTTGTTGGATACAGAAAACATGGTCATAATGAAACTGATCAGCCATCATTTACTCAACCATTGATGTACAAAGCAATTTCCAAGAAAAAATCTGTTATTGACGTTTATTCTAAACAATTGATTGACGAAGGAACATTTACCGCCGAAGATATCGATGAGCATAAGAAATGGGTCTGGAACATTTTGGAGGAATCGTTTGCCAAGGCCAAGGACTATGAGCCAACATCAAGAGAATGGTTGACAACCCCTTGGGAAGATTTCAAATCACCAAAGGAATTAGCCACTGAGGTTTTGCCACACTATCCAACAGCTGTGGATGAAGCAATATTAAAAAAGATTGGTGCTGATATCTCTGAAGTACCAGAAGGTTTTGAAGTTCACAGAAACTTGAAGCGTATTTTGAACCAAAGGAAAAAGACCGTTGAGTCAGGTGAAGGTATAGACTACGCTACTGGTGAAGCACTTGCTTACGGTTCCTTGGCTCTTGAAGGTTACCACGTTAGAGTTTCTGGTCAAGATGTTGAAAGAGGTACATTTTCACAAAGACATGCAGTTTTACATGACCAGAAATCAGAAAGCACGTGGACTCCATTGGCTCACTTGAGTGAAGATCAAGGTGTCTTTAGTATATCCAACTCATCATTGTCCGAGTATGGTGTTCTTGGGTTTGAGTATGGTTATTCGTTAACATCGCCAGATGCTCTCGTTGAATGGGAAGCACAATTTGGTGATTTCGCCAATACTGCCCAAGTTGTTATTGATCAATTTATTGCTGGTGCTGAGTCTAAATGGAAACAGAGATCAGGTATTGTTTTGTCGTTACCTCATGGATATGATGGCCAAGGTCCCGAGCACTCTTCAGGTAGAATTGAAAGATATTTGCAATTGTGTAATGAAGATCCCCGTTATTTCCCAACACCGGAGAAATTAGAACGTCAACATCAAGACTGTAATATGCAAGTTGCATATCCAACAACTCCAGCCAATGCTTTCCATTTGTTGCGTCGTCAAATGCATAGACAATTTAGAAAGCCATTAATCTTATTCTTTTCCAAATCATTGTTACGTCATCCATTGGCTAGATCCAATTTGAGTGAATTTACAGGAGATTCGCATTTTGAATGGATTATTGAAGATGTATTGGGCGACAAGTCAGAAGTTAAACGAGTTGTATTACTCACTGGTCAGGTATATGCCGCATTGCATAAAAGGCGGGCACAATTGGAAGATAAGTCGACTGCATTCATCAAGATTGAACAGTTAAACCCATTCCCATTTGCACAATTGCGCGATGCATTAGAAGGGTATACAAATATTGAAGATTTAGTATGGGCACAAGAAGAGCCTTTGAATATGGGTGCTTGGTCGTTCATTGTACCTAGAGTTAGATCTACATTACAGGAAACTGAAAAGTATAAGGATTTAAAGATTAGATATGCTGGTAGAGATCCAAGTGCTTCCGTTGCTGCTGGTACTAAAGCTATGCATTTAGCTGAAGAAGAAGAAGTTTTGGAACAAGTTTTTCAATAGACGAATGAATAAAGAATAACGATGAATGTGTAACGGTGGACATTTTTTTTTTTCTTCTTTTCTTTTTTTAGATAGTATATTTTAGAAAGAATGGTGGTGGGAATATAACAGTAGTAGTAGTAGTAGCAAGCAGAATCGTAGTAGGATAAAAGTAGAAAGGTTTATATGTTGTGCAACAGAAGATCTACCATTTTGAATTTAGATTTTTATCATTGGCTAACACAAGCAAGCATTTATATCCTCCTCCTTCATAGTCAACAGAAGTGGCCGTCTAGCTGCCACCGACACTATCGACCGACACTGCCGTCGCTACCGTCCCAACTCTGCCAACATCCGCTTTCGAGAATTATCTTTGTTGGAAACTAAAGTTTGTTAGCAGAGTTGTGGAGAAGGTGCTTAGAAAGATAGAGAAGAGAGATGAATAGTGGAGCAACACTTGGTAGCTTGTCACAACACTCAGTAGCTTGTTACAACACTATCGACACTATCGAGGGTTTTCAGTAGCTTGTTACAACACTATCTCGCTCTGCTCGATAGTGTTGTTCGATAGTGTTGTTCGATAGTGTTGTTCGATAGTGTTGTTCGATAGTGTCTTGGGTCGGATATAGTTATATTAATCTACTTGTTTCTTCCTCGAAAAGAATCTTTTAGTTATATTTGGTACCGCTCTGCGTCATCAAACCCATCTTTTTTTTTTTCTTTTTTTTTCTTTCTTTTTCATGCAAGTTTCAATACTCATGTATTTGAAATCAGAAATCCATGGAATGACATTGGCTAGGATTTGACTTTTCTCAGCTAATTCTTAAATGTAGGAGCTAGGTTACAATTTTATACTTGAAAAAGACGAGACGACCAAAGTGACCAAATGGCTTAAAAAGAAGAAGAAAAAGGTTACATTGCAACTGATTTGAAAATAATTATATTGATATAAATTAGCGGAGTAGCGGAGTAGCGGAGTAATGTATATCCGAGAAAAAAAACTTTTAGTGAGATATATTGAATATAACTTGTTTGCAAAAAGAGAACCAGCTAGTATAAAGAAACTAGTTGTCTCTAAATAGCCTCTTCCCCTCCATCTAAAAGTAAAGAGTAATATATAAGAAGCTACCATAACCATGGTATGTATGAAGCTACCATGGCTCGATAGTGTCGCGACTTTTACTTGTATTGTTATCTCCACACTTTAAGATAAAATAGAAAAACTATGACATTGCTGTAATGGTTAAGTGCCTTTATTTCTGTTTCTTTGGGAAATACATTTCCCCAACCCCGCTTGTAGTCAGTGTCGGCGTAGTCAGTGTCGGCGTAGTCAGTATTTGCGTAGTCAGTATTTGCATAGTCAGTATTTGCCTAGTCAGTATTTGCCTAGTCAGTGTGCTCCACACTTTCTGGCATTTGCTAGAAATTGAATGTCCATTCTATTCAAGGGAGGAAGAAGAACATCTGATTTTTTCAATGCAATGAGATGTATCAATATAAGAATATGGTTCTATCCCCAACTCCTTTGAAAGGCTTGCTCTTATCAGAAAATAAAACCGATCCTGAAAAAATCGCACAAAGAAATTCCCATCTAAAAATAAAAATAAAAGTAAAAATAAAAAAAAAAATAATCGTTTATGTTTTTGGGGTAAAACCAGTTACCGGATATGACCTTTTCCGAAGTCCTGTGGCCAAAACGTGGAGAAGATTATTTTTCAATTTAGAATATTAGAAATATCCCCATATAGAAGATTAAAGTGGAAAAACTTTAGCAAGGAAAAACAGACTTTAATTTTTACAAAATCTTACAAGTGCCTGCTTAAACATTGATCCAATTTTGAATCTTTAGATCATTGCAAGTAAATCTCTCTTCTTTCTTACACGGGTTTATTATTTTCACTCATTTCCATTTTGGATAATATCCGAAGGAACTTTTTTTTTTTTTTTTTCCTTTCAGCTCTTTTTTTTTTTTTTTTTTTTTTTTTTTTTTTTTTTTTTATTTTTTTTTTTTTTTT